AGTCGGATAGGTTTGATTGCGCCGCGAGGTGAAGAGGAGTACGACCGTTGTTGTCTTGGATGTTGGCGTCAATATTCGTCCCATTGCTTAGCAGTAAATATACACAGTGGGATGAGTTTAATTGCGCTGCTGGGTGAAGAGGAGTACGACCGTCGTTGTCTTGGATGTTGGCGTTAATATTCGTGTTATCCTCTAGCAGTGCATATACACAGCTGGCTGAGTTTGATTGCGCCGCTAGGTGAAGAGGAGTACGACCGTCGTTGTCTTGAATGTTGGCGTCAATATTCGTCCCATTGCTTAGCAGTGAATATACACAGTTGGATAAGTTTGATTGCGCCGCTAGGTGAAGAGGAGTATGACCGTCGTTGTCTTGGATGTTGGCGTCAATATTCGTGCCATCTCTTAGCAGTGCATATACACAGTTGGATGAATCCGAATGCGCAGCAAACCGAGGAGGAGTATAGCCCTCATTGTCTTCGTAGGATGTCTTTCGACTGAGAATTGGCTCGTCATCGCTAAGCTGACTTATTTCCGTTGGAGAGGGGACCACTGCCTTGATAGATTGATCTTGGAATAACTCATCGGAGCCTTTCATTGGGGAAGCCATGGCTTTAGGGGGGCTAAACAGTGATGCAAGCCCAGATGTTGCCGTGGTGTATCGGCTCCCATAATGCGTTTGTCGATGAGAGGTAGTCTTTATTTCGTCAAGCCTCGGGCCGCCAGTGTGGGAGGGAAATTCGATTGGTTGATAAGGCATGGTAACGGAAAAAGAGTCCACTTCGGTCATTGCATATGCTGCGGTAGGCTTCGGCTGGAACAAGACAGCATAATGCAAGGGAGTACGCCCATCCTTGTCTTTTTGATTCGCGTTCACCCCATTCTCCAGCATCTCACGTATGAGATTGATATTTCGAGCCTTCACTGCCTCGTGAAGCGTATATTGATCCGATTCCATATCGGTTCAAACAGGTTTTCCCTGCACTAAGATGTGAGGTCAAAACACAAATAAGGGTAGACAACATACGTAGACCCCTTTGATAGTAATGCATAGACTTGTAGTGAAGTATTCAGTGATGGTTGTGTAGGTCGAGGAAAGTGAAATTGCTCTGATACTTTTGCCGTTGCAGCCTAATGCACAGCCACCGAGGCGGCGAACATAGCCACAGCGCCGAGACCGTAAGTTCACCACTTCAGGTATCGATAGTCGGTGGAGAAATGCAGTAAGCGGCAATGTTCGGCCGCTGGGTGGGCAACGAATTCCTGAGTAGGTTTTGTGGAGGATATGCGTGGACGAGCGGCTTGTGATCAAAGACGCCTGGGAGTATGAGGAACGACCCGAAGAAGGCCCTCTGCTCAAAGACGCGACTGAGGCCGGAGTTAAGAACGTGGCGCGATGCTATCACCACAAAACCGATCGGTGGCAGGGTGGACGATGTCCTTAGCAATGTGCGCAAGGGTTCTCAGTGACACCGCTGGTCGGAATCCATTACAACGATGAGCAGAACATACCGGATCCGTCACGAGCCCGACAACATCAGGTGCAGGCGTGGCTGATTGCACAGCCCGTAGTGTGGCGCGGTAAGGCTGACATGTGGAAGGCGATTTTACAATGCACCAAGCTGAAGTGGAGGAACCCCTTGGTGACGCTCATGCTATTCGCGCTGGTAGGGGCTAGGTCGGCGATCGCGATGTCCTTAGGATGCGAAAGATGGAGTTGAAGCGAGGACCAGAAATCCACCACGCGATCCATCACGTACGGATGCGAGGACGTGGCATTGTATTCCATATCTCCTTTTTTAGAGGCGCCTAAGCCAACCCAATATGGTGTATGGGAAACAAAAGACTACTAGGACAGATTTTGGGGATCACCAGCAGATCCCTCCGTGAAGACAACGAGTGCGTATCTGCACACGGGGTTGGAGTCTAAGGAATGGGATGCTGAAGGGGTAGAGGGACAAGCAATTTAGCCGGTATGTTTACATGTATGTTGAGAGGAGTACGTAGACCCACTTCGCAAAATGCATACGGGTATATCGACAAGCTCGAGCAAGTAGCTCAATCCTACCTCAGAAGGTGAGCAGCCACACATCGGTGAGCCTTTGGTTGTCCTCTCCAAGGCCGCCATGCAACACAATGCTGTCGTTGCCGTCTTCCGCTTTCACGACATCTGCACCGAACCAACCACGGGGCTCTGGGACACCGTCGCTTCCAGTCGGCTCCAATTTCGTCCACCAGTTCTCCGTAATGTCGTACACCCAGACGTCGCCCAGCATCTTGCCCGCGCCAGCGTGGCCCAGCGAAGACGGATCTCGCTCGCCGAACAGGGTTAGCAGCTTGTCCTTCTTCTGCAGTCTGACGGGGAGCAGAGCGCAAACACTGCGCGGCTCGGGCCCGTTGTAACCGTCGGCTTCGAAAGCCTCAGTGGACCACGTGTTGGCCGCGACGTCGAAGATGTCGACACTGCCGCCCTGCTCCGTCTTTCCGTCGAAGCCATTCATCCTGTATAGCTTTCCGCCACTGTACGCTATCGACGTGCCTCCACGCGGCGGAGCCGGAGCGTCGGGGGCCTGTGTCCAGGTCTGGCTGGAGACGTCGAACTTCCAGAGGTCGGACAGGCGGTCTTTTGCAGGGCATCCGGCGTGGATGAAGAGCGTGCTCTTACCGTCGCTGGTCGCGCAGTGGTAGCTTCTCGCGGGAGGATACGGCTTCGAGGAATCGGCGGGCTTGATCATCGACCACGACGACTGGGCCGGACTGTAGCTCCAGACGGCGCCCTCTTCTTCAATGGGGGCCATGTCGGTGCCTCCACGGCCGGAGAAGAGGTACATGCTGCCATTGAGCACGGCGGACGCGGTCCCCACGCGGGGACTGGGAGCTGCGCCGATTGACTTGGTCTCGAGCTGCGGTGCATCTGCGCCGTGAGTACCCTGATGGCCAGCTGGGAGGATTGGAGATACGCACCAGATGCGAGGGAAAAGACGTCAAGCTGGTCATCTATGGGTTGCCGCGGCTGCACTTCGCCGCCAAAGACATAGGCTGTCTTGTCGATGACGGACAGCACCTGCGAGGAGCGGCGGAGACGGTCGGAGGAGAGCAGGCGCGACCAGCTGCCGTTGAGCTTCCAGATGGGCTTTCCGACGGGCATGCTGTGCGATTAGATGGCGGGAGGTTAGTGAGAGGTCGAAGAGTTAGTCCAGAAATCAATCATTCGAATATAGATGGCCTTGATCAAGGCCAGTAGTGCATCATGCGACGCACTGAAACGGTGAATGTGCGGACTCGCTCCGCCCGCACCTGCAGCGGGGAGAAGGCGCTAGCCGTATGAGGAAGGAACGCCAAATCACATGATCCGGATGGCCCAAGCTCCATCACCGACAATTTCGTCTACCTTACATTTCGGACCTTTCTATTCGACTCCACGGCTGCCTACGCGCGACGAAACGCGTCAAGATGCGGCTGCGCCTCTCGGTGCAGCGGAACAACCTGCCCGCCACGAATATCCTGTGGAGCGTCCCAGACACGAACAGTCCGCAGGCCTACACCATCGCGAGACTGCTTGAAGACGTTAACCGCGTCCTCCCGCTTGAGGCAGAGCAATGGGGCTTGGAGGACTACACTGTTGAAGTGGATGGCTTCGAGTGTCTGCACTTCTCCGCCGTCTCCCAGACGCTGAAGGAAGACGACCATGTCTCGTAAGCTCCGAGCACCTTGTTGGCTGTCTACGATTTCTTCTTATGACCTGTGCTAGCATTCGACCGCTCCTCACCGCTGAAGTCCGCTCGCGCACGCTCTGTGGCCGCTACCAGATCTCGGAAGGCGGACAGCACCTCGTCGACGGCATCCCCTTTGGCCGCCCTTACCTCAGGCAGCCCAACCGCCCCGCCGTAAGGATACCCCCCCGCAAGCGCCGCCGCCTGGAGGAGGACGATACTGTTGCTGGGAGCGAGGAGAACGGAGTCGCTGGCCTGATAACCGCGAGTGGTGAGGCATCCCCGCGGCTGAATGGTAGTGCCGTCGTCGATGGGATCGCAGGCAAGCGGAGCCAACAATCACGTTCAAGAAAGTCTGGCAAGACTGTTCACTTTGGGGAGGTCAATGTGGACGATTCAGATGATAGCGAGGACGACGAGGAGTTTACGCCCAGTGGGGAAAGCGAAGATTCGGACTCTTCCATGGAGGACGACTCCGACGCAGACTCAGATGATACATCCGACCTCTCTGATACCTCTTCCGCTGCCTCAAGCACTTCATCTTCGGACTCAGACTCCGATTCGTCCGCTAGCGAGTCCGAAGCCGATGCTGCTGTAAGTTCTGCCTCCGACGTTCTCCCATCTGAGACCAAGGTTCTGCCAAAGGCACCACCCGGAGAAGGTTCTAAAGTTACCAAGGGTAGAAATAAGAGACGCCAAGAAGCCAAACGCCTCAAGCAGCTCAAGGAGATTGGGGAACTAGACCAGAGTGCCACCCTCGAGGATCTCCGGAAGTACCAGGAAGAACAGAAGATGTCCCCAAAACCTACTGAAGACACTCCTCGAAAACCCGTCCCCACACATACCGGGAAGAGGAAGCGATTGGATAGGGATGGAGAAGAAGAGGCCGCTCTGGATGAGACAGCAGAACTCCAGCGCCGAAAGCAAGAGTTCATGGCCAAGATTGCAGAGGCGACTCCGACAGCAGCTACCGGGAATGCTGCACCGTCGAGCGAGTCGCCATGGGTTGAAACGCCCAAGCCAAAAACTCCAATGACAGAGAAGCGAAAGGTCGGCGAGACGTCTAAGGTTGCAACCCCGCCGGAACCACCTTCTAAGAGGCTTCGGCCAGATACGGCTGCAATCGGACGTATTCTAACTCGTCAGGCGAGGGTAAGTGCACTCCTACCTTATTGTTGTACCTGTCTAACTGCTTGCAGACGGTCGAGAAGAAGTCTCCAAAAGCGAAACCGCCGCCAGCAGCCGAAGAGCCTCCGGAACCCGAGGGCGCCTCCGATCCCGACTTTTGGAAATCGCGAATCAACCTCTCGGCGTTTGAATGTTGGAACGAGCAGCACGAGCTCAGCGCTCCATCATTCCCTTTCAAGCAGCACTGGGATCCCGCGAGCAAGCTCATGCGCGAGAAGACCCACAAGAAGAGGAAAAGGGGCGCGAACACGAACTCGGCGCGCAACTCGGTGGGCACAGACGAAGACACGGAAACGTTGATACTCAACTACGACGACTCTCCCGAGACAGCCAAGGCTGATTCCGATCCTACCGCTGCCATTGAGTCTCAGCTACTTCAGGATGCCCAGATTGCGGCGAGGTCTGATCTCCCTCCCCTTCCTGAGGATGTGGACGTGCTCCGTTCTCTCGAGCGTGCTGATATCAAGGTCGGGGCCATCATCGCCTTCAAGCTTCTGGTTCTCAATCCCAACACTCGAGCGCCGGAATTCAGCGGCTACAAGACGGCCATTGTCGAAGAAGAAGGCGACTCGGGCAATGGAGCCGGCGTCTTCAAGTTGAAGCTTGCTGAGCGCGACATAGCGAGGAGGGAGAAGGCGGACGAGCCCATTGACGACATGGAGATGAACGATGAGGAGGATGCCAGTGCGTGGCAAGGTACCTTTCAGGAGCTGGTGTCTCCCAAGCTTCTGCAGGCTGCGGAGTAAACGGCATGGCGTATTCAGATCCGGGGAATGCGAGGGCTTGCTCGGCACGAACTGATATGGATTATAGCCAGCCTTCACGTCGTCAGATTCGCGCCGTCAGATAGTTCCAGGCCGTAGAGCCACTGTGTCTGCAGCCTCTTCAATATTAGATACCCGGAAGTGCACAGAGCATTCCCGCCCTTTAATTGGAACTGTGAGCCCTGGAGTTTTCGTTCCTTCAGCTTGCAGGAGCAGTGCAATCCCAAAACGGAGCGGACCGGCGGTTGCGACTGCCCGATCCCGCCGCTACCCCGCGATACGTCATCCTGCCCCTCCTCGATGGTGACACTCCTTCGCTGCACTCTCCGGCATGAACATCTTCGCGCACCTTACGAAATCACATTCGATCTAGGATCCTGAAGCCTCTCCCTTCATTCACGTGTGTCCCGGAAGTTCGGACCGTGTCACCCAGATTGCAGGCCTACAACGTCGCTCTCTCGCTAGCTCAACCCTCGGACATCACACAATGAACAGATTGACAGATCAGCTTCAGAGCACTCGCATTATCGCATTTGACACCGCAGTCGTCAGTGGCTCCGAAGTCCCGCGTGTGAATGTCCATATCCGTCCAGACAGCTGCCATGACTGCCTCGGCACCCTAGCTTAGGCCCGCCTCTAACAACTGCCGGGTGGGGTACTGTCCGACGATGCTTTGGGCCAAGACAAATTTTCAATCTCTCCGCAACCTCCTAATTCCCCCAGCTTGTCTTTGAAGTACCTTCCTCCTGCTCGTCTTGTCTTTCCGTTCATCCAGCTTCGAAAGCCCTCCACATTGCGCCCCAAGCTATCTGTCCCCCTCCGAGCGTAAGACGAGACCGCGTAGACCCAGCTGGGACAGATGCTGACATTTATGCAGTAGTTCCCTTCAGCCGCGATGGTGCTTCCATACGGCGTTTACAGAGCGGACCACGTAGGCTCGTTCCTGCGTCCGAAATCGGTCCTCGATGCACGTGAGGCCGTGGCGCACAGAACATCCACGCCGGAAGAGCTGCGAAAAGTCGAAGACAAGGCGGTGGCCGATGTAGCATCGAAAGAGATTGCAAATGGGTTGCGCTCAATAACTGACGGCGAATTCCGCCGCGCGTACTTTCATCTCGACTTCCTCCAGCACCTGTCCGGCATCGAGATCAAGGGCCAGACCGGGCTGATAAGACCGCATGGATTTTCGCCACCAGTCCTCGCCGTGACAGGGAAGCTAGGCCACCCAAAGCCTATCCAGGTGGACGACTTCAAGTTCCTCGAGCAGACAATCAAGGAGAACGGAGGAGCTGCGACGACCAAAGTGTGCATACCAAGCCCCACCATGGTGCACTTCCGAGGCGGACGCGCGAGCATAGACATCGAAGCTTACCCGGACCTTGACGAGTTCTTCGAGGATTTGGCACGGGTCTATCAGGAAGAGCTGCACTCGCTATACCAGGCCGGCTGCCGCTTCGTGCAGCTCGATGACACCAACTTGGCGTACCTTTGCGATCCGGATATGCGCAAACAGGCCGAGGAGCGCAACGAGGATGTTGCTGCCCTCCCACGAAAATACGCCGAGCTCATCAATGCCGCCATCTCTAAGCGCCCCTCCGACATGAAGATAGGCATCCATCTCTGCAGAGGCAACTACCGCTCCAAGTGGTTCGCGTCCGGTGGATACGAGCCGGTCGCGGAGGTGCTCTTCAAGGAACTCAATGTGGATGCCTACTTCCTCGAGTACGACGATGCGCGCAGTGGCGACTTCAAGCCGCTTCGGCATCTTCCAGACCACAAGGTGGTGGTGCTTGGGCTCATGTCGAGCAAGAAGAGCACGCTAGACGACAAAAAAGAGATTCTAGAGCGGCTAAAGCAGGCAGCAGAGGTTGCGCCCAAGGGCCTCGATCAGCTCTGCCTGAGTCACCAGTGCGGATTCAGTTCGACCGTAGAAGGGAACGAATTGACGGAAGAAGAGCAGTGGGCCAAGGTCAGACTTGAGGTGGAGATCGCGAAGGAGGTCTGGGGCGAGGATTTGAGCAAGTGAGTCATGAGACGGTTTGAGAGAGTTGGCGATTCGCCGTCCTTGGTTGATCGCTACCGAATCCTATATTATTACCTCCAACGACATGTCGACCACGGGTCACCAAGTTGTTACCTGATACTGACCTGACATTAATAACCTTATCTGCGGGCCGTTCCGATTGACCGCCGCTTGGCTTCCAGGATACAGAACCATGGTTCAAGTGAAAAACATGCAGGCATATTGCGGACCACGACGAACTGGGCCCTCGCAACGTTTATCCTTCTATCGCAGCACCAGAAGTGCGTGTCGACTCATTAACAGAGCAATAGTGCAACCTGGCAGCCTACACAGAACACAGCTCTGCGATGTCACTGCTCGTCAGACGCTGTCAGCTCCTTCGCCAAAGACCCTCCAAGCAAGAAGCTGCCTGTGGGCACCATGATAATATACCGAATATGCTCAAAGGCGAATCCAGTCAGACGGTCACCATTGCTGAAGAAAACATGGTACGAAAAGTAGGTTCGCTCTCAGCAGATCCAAGTGCCTGCTTTCTTGCTATATATCGCAGACTTCCTTCCTTGTTAACGTTGGTATCCCACCCCTTGCCTCGCTGTCCGTCAGCTGTTCTTCACGCTGCGACTCCGTACTCATTGCTGCAGTCAGCTCATGAAGCACGGCGTTGGCCCCCACCAACTCTCATTCATCACTATTCCGGCGGGTTGATACTCATGGGCCCGAAGTCGCGTCTTTCTTCTCATTATTTACTCCAAAACTTTGAACCAGATCTACATTGTTCAGCAGCATCAAAGAAGCGGAAGGCTTCATGCGTCATATCATAAGTCAGCATGGATTCTGCTATCGCTAGAGAAAGAGTGCGCTCATTTGTTACCCGTCCTCCGTTCGCGGCCTCGCCGACCACCCCACCGGGGACCAACACGCCTCAGAAAACCCCTCAAGCATCACTAGAGCTTAGCACTCGGCCACCTTCCGTCGCCATCGAAGACTTCCGGGCCGAAACAAGCGAATCGGGTGAGCGTCTATCGAGTCATTGCCGGTGCGAACCCTGGGTACAGCTTCTTGTGGGACATCTCGTTCTGTTCAATTCTTTCGGACTCATCCAATCGTTCAGTATTTTCCAGCCACAGTACGCGGTACTGTTCGGCGCCTCACCTTCGGCAGTAGCCTGGATCGGGAGCATCCATGTGTTCCTCGTATATTTCATTGGCACATTCTCCGGAAAAGCACTCGACGCAGGATACTACACGCATTGCCTGGGAATAGGACTTATGATACAGCTCGTTGGCATCATTGGCGCTGTTTCCTGCGATAATTATGCGCTGTCTTTCATCTTCCATGGGGTCTTCCAGGGCATCGGACACGGATTGATGTTTTGCCCAATTGTCACAAATACGGCGCTGTATTTCTGGAGACGGAGCGACGGCGGAACGGCAGAAGACCCCGATCACGAAGGTTCTCTCAACATCAGAACCGCGACAGCCATGTCTCTTGCTGCTTGCGGGGGCGGTACCGGCGGAATTGTTTTTCCACTCATTGCCCGAGCTACGCTGAACAGGTACGGTATCCCTTGGACGCTACGGATAATTGGGCTCGTTGTCCTCGCCAACTCTGTATTGATATTTGCTTTGGCAAAAGAGAAGCCCCGGGACGAGCCGGAAACCAGGGTTAAGAGTCGGATTGTGGAATGGAGAGCGTTCAAGGAGGGAGCCTATGCGCTCTACGTCATCGCCATGTTCCTTGCTTTCGTGGGACTGTGGGTTCCTTATTTCTATGTGAGTGTAGAATCTCCTGTTAGCTTTCTCCGACAGCCCCTCTTGACGCATGCTATGCAGCGACGGTACAGCCCGATCGAGCTTGCGTTGGAACACGACTGTTTTGGGAAGAACGATACTAACAGTCAGCCAGGTCAGAGATTTCAACGCAAATGCCTTGCATATCTCGCCTCCGACGTCCCTTCTCATCCTCATCACACTCAACGCCTCCGGCATTCCCGGTCGCCTCATTCCTGCCCTCCTTTCCGACCACGTGCTCGGCGCCATCAACACATACATCCTCGTCCTGCTCACCACATCCACCACTTTGCTTCTCTGGCCCTTCGTGTCCTCCACCGTCGGTATGTTCGTGTGGGCCGCTGCATATGGCTTCTGCGCCGGCGGCGTTGCCTCGCTCATGCAAGCCGGCATCGCTTCGCTGAACACGGAGCCTCAGAAGACTGGCGTTAAGATCGGTATGGCGTTTTCGATTGTGGCATTCGCGAGTCTGGTCGGTGGACCGCTGGGAGGGGAGCTGATTAAGGCTGGAGAGAAGAGGGGGGATGGTAGGGAGAAGTATTTGTGGTTGCAGGTGTTTGTGGGTGGGATTATGTTGTTGGGGTGTGCGGTGCTGGTTGGGGCGAGGGTGCTGAAGACGGGTTGGAAGATGGGCGTGAGGGTGTAGAGGGCCTAACGAAGGATGAATGGTGGGTTCGGTTTCATTCGGGGGACATCTGTCAACAGAATCTCCAAAACTACTCAGATTGATTCGTACGAGCGTGCCGGTGCGTGTGCAGTCATGAATTCGCTCGACCTCGTCATAAAGAAGATGCGAGCATACTACATATACAGTACCAGCCGGTGCGCGTGCTAAGGAATAGACTTTCGTCATTCCAAGCTCATTTTTAAACTTATTTTCTGAAGGAAGCGGGCGCTGACACACATTCTCTTCTTCTGGCCTCAAGCTGAGATAGAAAGGTGAATCGTGATGTTGAGGTGCGTGTCGTGATCGCAAGATTGGCGGCTGACTAATACGGCGCTAGATCGCACAAGATTCAGCCCCTCTCGTCTCGTCTTAAGCCCACTCTCCACCCCAGACGTGGATACTGTCGCAACTGTCCTTCCTCGCCCGGCCCACCTAGAAAGCACGACTTCTCGCATGTCGCCCTCCTGGCCTTGAGTGCGGGGTTGCAGGAAGCCCTTCAGCCACGCCACGTCAGCGTTCACCGGTTGGCCAGCCTGCCCAGGCGTGGATGCAGACACAAAGCCATGCGGTATAATATCTTCTAAACAGTATCACGCTGACCAGGATAAGCGAGAAGCTGGTTCCCCGCGCCCACGCCGTGTGGTATCGAGCTTGGGGATTCAGAATGCCCACCACATGATCCAGGTCTTGAAGTGCACACTTTACGGCATCGCCAGCGATGAGCATGCCTTCAGCGGGTGTAATTGCAATAATCGATCGGCCACGGTTGCTGAATGATGGCAGAAGCCCCGCGAGGTGGGCGTGGGACTGCAGAGTGCACCTGCAAGCCACAATGGAAGCGGTCGCTTTCTTATCACGGGCTGAAATGTGGAAAAAGGCCGCCGCAGTGGATCTGCTTAAATCTCCGACCCCCGCTGCATTCGGGGAAATCCCGTATTCTTCCCATCCGCCTTAGCTGCACCTCGACTGTTTTGCCTACGTTTCTACGACTATTTGCCTACGTTTCTACAACTATTCAAACCGCCCCTTTTTTCCCAATACGAATCCTCAAACATTCTCGTAGAGCAAGAATATGGAGATGGAAGTAAGGGTCGACCCTAACGATGCCGTCGAAGAGAAAGTGTATGTCTCATTACCGTCGAGTGTTAATATCTCAACAAGTCAGCCGGAACTTACACAATGACTCTGATTTAGTTTCGTGTACATTTCTGATTTCACACCTGAAGGCGTACGCCCCAAAGACGAAATAGACATCGATTTATTCCGGGCAGCGGATTACGACCCCTCAGAGGCCCGGCGAAGGGCACCTGGCACGCTGTTTAGGTGGATACACATACCCGTGAACGATACCACATTTGTTACGGTACTCAGCTCCCCAGATTTTCTCCAGTGCTAGACGGGACGGCTTACCGAGAACGGTCAAGCAGGACTGTGTCAAAACTTTGATTGGCACCGATCGGGGCAATTCCCTGCCCAATACCTGGCTCCACAAACTTCGGCCAACGTCATCGATTCCGGGGGATATTGTGCCCAACCATGCTCGCTCTATGGAACCGTCATTCCAACTCCACGCCATGGACGAAGGAGGGGGCTCCGGCAGGCCGCCGCCTTTCACCCTCTATGTAGGTCCTTACCCTTTAAACTCCTGCTTCTATAAGAGTGAACGATATCTGGGTGTTCCTGGCGACAGCACTGATTTATCAACAGCTTCCGTACTTGAACTGGGAAGTATTTCAAAATCTTGGAAACCAAAATCTAATAGGCACGGACCACACAGCAAATAGCACACGGCATCCAAGGAAAACATTGGACCAGTTCTTCTACTCTGGGCTTCGAGATACTGCATCTCGGGATGCCGGACAAACCGTGTCGAAGTGGACAGGTGCAAATCCAGGCAGCAATGGAAGAGAAAATGCAGCTGAGGATAGCTACGTTGTCATGGTGGATCAGCTCTGGATCTGGGTTCTGGATGACGGTAAGCGCTTATCTTTTTGACGACAGCCTTTTCATGACCGGTGTCCCTTTAGAGCGCCATCAAGGTTCATTATGGGTATATGACTGATAGCGCGAACAGAAACCTTAGTCTCAAGCTTCCCCTCCCACAGGTTTCAGTTCAAGGGAATCCCTGGGGGGCCTCAGGTGACTGATGTTCTGACTTCCGCGACGGCAGACCCTCGGAAGTGCCAGGATCTTTTTGATCTGACTGCCCTCCTGGTCATGCACTCCGTAACGAATATTTTCGCTGAGGAAAACGGCAAATTTGTAGACGCACTTGCCATATACCGATGGGCAATTGCGATCAATGTGAGGAGCTGCTATACGATTGGCTTTGAGATCTTGTGGCTAATCAAAACTTCTTCCAGGCAGCTCGGCATACTGAGAAACTCGAAGCCTTCAGCAAACGGCAGTCCTCTCACAACGCAGAGGAGATTGCAGTCGAGGGTACCGAGGAGTTGAAATTAGCTCTTGAAGTGGCAGACATCCTTGATGAGCTGAACATGCTCCTGCATCTACTAGAGAAACAAGCCGATGTATTGGCTTCCACGCAGGGACAGCTACAACGATTTAAGCCCCTGGTACGTAGCCATGGTCCAGAAGAAGGACAACGCATCGAGATATTGAGGAGCAGTCTTGGCGATGTGCACATCAGCAACTCAGGGAACATTAGAGGCAGGCTCTTGTTCGATGAGGTGTCTATGGCCCATCTCTACGTCGATAATCAGGATGGGACAGCACCGGGAGAGTTAGCGCTTGGTGGGAACGCCGGAATCCTAGTCCAGGAAGCTGCGCAGAGACTGAGCGTCGAGAAGGCGAATCTCGAGAGGCTTCGTGTGGATGCAGCGCGCACGCATCAGATGGTATGCCGCCCTTTCCCAGAAAACCGACACTAAATCGTTCAACAGCTCATCGAGTTGCTCGACCTTGAACAAAAAGCCGCCAGTCTGGAGGAAGCCCGTGCAACCACTAAACAAGGGCAAGCAGTTATGCTGTTCACCATCGTTACGATCGTATTCGTCAGTTCCGCCTAATCCATCCCGAACTATGCATGCACCGTACGTCCTGCTGATTCATCCAGCTTCCCCTCTCCTTCTTCACGTCATATTTCGGCCAGAATGTGTCCGATATAACCGGCGATGACAAGAACCCAACATCTGGCGAGCTTTGGAGAGTAGCTGGTGAGTCGCCCCAACGGTAAACATTATCCCAGCGACTAGTACGGCAGAACAAATTGACATGCTTCGGGACTAGGTCCTATATCGGTCGTTGTGATCTTCTCGGCTCTCCTGGTGGCCTACTTCATCGTGTATCCCCGGAAGATCAGCCGGCACGGGATGGACATGGCATAGGCGAGGATGGAGGGGGCATCGCATCTTATGCGACGGGTATCTTTCAAAGTATGGCAGGAATAGCCGAAGCAAGCGACCAGAGGTCTGTGAAGGAAGTTGAAGACGCGTGGCAATCGCTCATGCGAAACATTGGCGATGTTGGCTAAGGCACGGACGGCCACTCACGTCATCGTCGTAATCGGGTGTCAGGCGCGACTTATCACGAGATCGAGCATCCGCTACGTTGGAGACGTCCTGAATTTGATTGGATATCGTAGCTGCGATGCAAGTCCATTCTATTCCCGTTGCTCGCCTAATTACATACAGGAAAAGGAACCGCCGTCGTAGGCACCAATGCATAACCGACGCAAGGAAACACGAACATTATATAGGCCCGAGACCTGGCAGCGGCTGGAAAGTCTCGAAGTTGGGCCAGTTACCAAGGTTCGCCGCGTCAGCGACGCTTCCACCGATCCTCACCCATACCGCGTGCGAAGGCGTAGGACCCTCCATCACGAACATGCGGTACCAACCGACAGGAGCGATGTACGGGCCCTTGGGCGCAGTGACGGTGCACGAGTTGCCACCGCATGAGAAGTTGGGGAAGAGGACACGGGCGCCCATCGAGTTGCCGTGGGTGCTGGACTCCGAGCCGAGAAGCGAGACCTTGATGTCGCCATTGCCGTTGGGGCGCGTGATGGTGAAGCTGTAGTCCTGCTCCCACTCCCAGTCCTTCTCCGCGACCTGAAGGGTGGGCTGTTGGCGGCCGTCAAGGAGATACGGAGGCAGGAAATGCTCGACGCGGTACTCTTGGTCGAAGTCCGGATCCTGTGGGTCGGAGCCGGTGATAAGCACGCGCCCGTCGTCCATGAGCACAGATTCGGAGTGGTACATGCGCGGGATGGTGGTGTTGGCCATGACGCTCATGCGCTGGTGCTTGGGCTGGTTGGCGTCGTAGAGGACCGCGTTCAGGTTAGGGCTCTTGGCGAGGCCAAAGCCGGCTTCGCCAGTCTTGCCGCCGTTCATGATGAGGAAGGTGCCGTCGGGAAGGGTGGCCATGCAGGAGACGACGCGGGGAGACGGCATTCGCTCGATGGTCCATTCGGGCTCGTCGGCGTCAGGGGCAATGGAGACGCAGTTGTCGATGCCCACACCGCCAGCCGCGCCGCCGCAGATGAGGACCTCGAGCGGATCGTCGTAGGGGTAGGACTGTGGAAGGAGCACTTGAGTCCCCTCATAAGGATAGGTACGTCCACCGTTGGCGGTGACGGAACTGGGGATGTTTGGTAGGACCTTGACGGTGTCGAGCGTCACCTCATCGATGACGCGGGCCATGTGGTAGTACGCGATGAAGATGCCGCCGGAGGGCAGCACCACTAGGAAGGGGTAGAGATTGAAAGGGTCGGTCTCGCGGAGATAATCAGCTTCAACGACACCTCCGGCACGGGGAAGAACCTCCATGCTCGGAACAGGGACACCGTTCGAGCCGCCCTGGCCACCGACGACGAGCATCGACGCGTTCGCCATGACCATAGCTGTGGGATACCAGCGACCCTTCTGCAGAGCCAGCTCGTGGAAGTTCTCCTGCCACCTGCTGGTGCCGTTGACACCGAGCTCGCCATCGGGCGTGTGGAGGCGAACACCGAATGTGGAGTCGAGCGACCACCCGCCAACGTTGATCTGGCGGCCCTTTCGATCAGGCAACGTCAATCCGGCGGCGCAGAAAATGTCCGTGTCGATACCCTGCAGCTCGCGGAAAGCATGGTAGATATCACCACCGATTGACGGATCGAACTCGTACGCGCCGGTTGAGTTTGGCGGACCGGTGCCCTTCTTTTCCAGGAGCATGACCTTGCCGTTGATGGCGGGCTGAGAAATGAGCGGGATGACTGGGCCGCCGACAAGGAACTCGTAGAGCCCGGCTTCGTTGCCTTCGGGGTAGTTCCAGACATAGAGCGGATCGTCTTCCCACTTGTACCAGTTGAGGCGTAGACCAGCACCACAAAGCGATTCGGGGTCACCGGAACAGGCGAATGCGCAGTCAGTCTCCGGCGCGGGCAGAGCACCAGAGAGTTCGATCCCATCGATGTCACCGCAGTAGCTGGCACCGTTAGCACAGTCGTTGCACTTTCACGATCGCGCTGTACTCACCATTCGTTCCCGTACTCCATACCCGCGGCCATGTAGCCAAACTTCTTGCACTGGCCCAGGCACCACTCAGGTGTGTTGCCAGTCTCGTTGAACAGCTTCCACTGGAACACGTGCGGCACGCTCTGCTCCTGAGTCTCCGTAATGCAGCCCTGGTACACCCAGCCGTCGACGTTCTGCTTCGGCGTCGGCTTCTTGACGATCTTGAGCGTTTCCTGGCTAGACCACACGCTGAGCCTGTTGGGGCCTCCGCACTTCTCGTCAGCGTTGCCCGCGCACTGATTGCTGCACTCGGAGTCGTTGTCGGCGAGGGAGCCGCTCATGCGGATCACGTCGTCGCAGAAACACTGGTAGCTGTATTCCATGCCGGCGATGGTGTAGCCGAGGTCGGCGCACTTGTTGGAGCACGACGCAATGGTCATCTGCTGGTCATCCGTCTGCTGGTTGTCCATGATGCGGAATCCGGGGCCATCGACCCAGCAGCCCTTGTACTCGAAGCCCGTGGGCAGGCCGGTAGCAGTGGCAGTCGCAGTGTTTGTCCTCGTGGATGTAGCGGTGGGCTCGGTGGGAGTCGCGGTCGTAGCAGTGCTGGACGCAGTGGGCTCGTCGCCGGTCACGTACTTGAAGAGCGTAAGACGGTTGGGGCCGCCGCAGACCTCGGTCTGGTTGCCGTTGCAGAGCATGTTGCAGCCGTCGTTGCCGTCGGGCGCTGGGCCACCGTCGTTGCGGAGTTGGCTGTCGCAGTAGCATTCTCCGGAATACTGTCGAGATCAGTGAGCCGTATGAACAGATGACGCATAGGAAGGTACTAACCTCGGTTCCCGCGTAGGTGTAGCCGGCGCCCTTGCAGACAGTTTGGCACTTCTCGTTCGTCATGCCTGCAGCACCACCATCGACCGGCATGCCGACGTTCAGCGTGCGCGCTGCAACTGAGTCTGTGTAGCACCCCTGGGCAATCCAGCCGGTCGTAGGCGCAGCTGTGAGACCGAACTCGTAGATGTTGATGCGGTTAGCGCCGCCGCAGATTTGGTTGTGGTTGCCGTTGCACACCATATCGCAGCCGTCTTCCTCGGGTCCATGGTCGTTGTCGAGCGTGTTTCCGCACTAGCCCGGTCAGCTCCTTCCCCACAGGAGAATGGAAGAACCTACGAAGCACTCGCCAGAGTATTCCGTGCCGGCGTATTTGTAGTTACCGGCGGCGCAAGCATCAGTGCAGCTCTCAGCGCTCATGTTCGCAGCACCGCCATTGACAGCAGCGCCGTACGAGAGAATGCGAGCGGCCACGGAATCTGAATAGCAGCCCTTAGCTCCCCATTCTCCTACGCTTCCTGCTGCAGGTGGAGCAGAAGTGGTAGCCTTCTCGTAGACGGAGAGGCGGTTTGGTCCACCGCAGGCTTCAGTGGCATCGCCCGAGCAGGGCATGCTGCAGCCATCTTCAGCCAGCGCACCGGCTCCCTGGATCTTGTTCCCGCAGTAGCATTCCTAGCGTCCAATCAATCGGCTTCTTCTTGCGACCAATGGAAGTCCGGAAGGAAGAAACGTACTCTCGAATACTCAGTCCCAGCGAGCGAATACCCCCTCGCACCGCAGTAAGCAATACAGGCCTCCGCATCCATGGCGTCGCTGTCCGTCGCGGTGCTGCGCAGCGAGCGCGACCCCACCGAATCCGTGTAACATCCCTTGTAGCTCCAGTCCTCCGGCAGCGTCGCAGGAACGCTCTGCCGCTTGACGGGGACGATAGACCGCGCGTCCGAGGACGCAATTAGTAGATTAAGTAGTACAGTAGTGATAACGAGTGAACGACCCATGATGGGCCACGTAGTTGGTTGGTATATTAAATTAACTAATGAACGATGGGATTAAAAAGAGTGTATGCAGGGACGAATAGTGTCCAAACGAGTGACTGTAGGCCAGAGGCCGGGAGGGGCAGAAAGACTGCTGCTGCTGCTGGGATTGACAGACAATTGACAGTTCCGACGTCTTCTTTCCACGTCGTGCAACCTTGGCCTACATATAGGTAGCCGGGGGGGAGGGAGATCGACTGACACCACCCTCCCCTTTGCTGTGTGTGCGTGTGCCTAGACCTCACACACACGCACTCTCCACGCGCTTTCCAGCCAGCCCTGCATGCATGCCATCTCGCCTACCAAGGCTTGTCTTCGTTAGACAAGCCCCGACACCCCGAATCAGGCAGCAGACGCACACGACACTCACTCGACCATACGCATCCCCCAGTTCCACTCCTCAGCTTCCCAACGCCCCCCAGCCAGTCCGGGCCTCCCAATAGCCCGCCCTCCACGATCCAGGTAAAAGGAAGCGAAAGCCGGCACTCCAGACCCGCGCTACGAATCGCGCGCGTGCACAAAAGCAATGGGCCCGTCTGAAGGTGCCGCATCAATAAGTTTAGCTTAGCTGGGTATGTACAGCAGTGCTAGCGCGACCGGCCGGGTTGAGAAAAATAGAATTGATATTTGCGGTACTGTGGCGCAGGCCGCGCTGCAGGGGTATGTAGCAGGGGACGTGCCGCTCGCGCCCGGGTACCTTGCAGCCAGCGCTAGTGCTAGCGCGGCGCCACATCCTGGCCGAGAGATAGAGAGATAGAGATACGCGCCAGGGGGAGAGATTACGCTAATTGTCTCGAGGTGCAGCCACGTTTTTTGTGTGGCGCGGCGGGCGGACGGGGCGAGAAACACGTGGGTGGGTTGGTTGGAGATAGCGCTATGCGGCAGGACGCAAACAGGGTGGAGATTGCTGATCCCTTTACTTTGCAGGAGCACTGCGGCGGTATGCTTTGTATTGTGAGGAGGGACCGGAGTGGTGAGGAGAGCGATGCATTGTTGAGGGGTGTGATGGGTGCGGCGTCTCCGCGAATCAATGTTTTGTCACGGTTTCGGCCCGGTTCTTATCAGTTCCAAGGGATTTTGCAGCGGGGGCCAGAGTCTTGACTCTCTCGACATTGGCTGCGAAGGGAAAACAGCCCTTCTCCTCAGGTGACAAAATGCATCCTGTGTATTCTACTAAGCATTAGCTATGTATATCCGGAGGTCAGTATCGCTGCTCTAAAAATAAAATTACATCCATAAGTGCACCATTGCATCCGAACAACCGTGATATCCCGTGTCTAAGCCGAGTCGCTATCGTGAAACTCCGAAAGAGGAAGGTGTTAGAGAAATGAGAGGGACTGGGCGAGAGCGTGCTAGCAGAGGCCCTCTTGCCACATCTTGACGCTCTTGACAGTCATGCCGCGGTCGCTGCCCTCACCCCAGCTGGGAAGCCATTGGTCTTTCGCTGCAGGAGAGTTGGTTAGCTAGCACGTGGAATAATGGGATAGAGAAGTGGCATACCTTTGTAGAAGTCACGAGCCGCCGTTGGTCCGCCGTCTACCCATGGCTTGTTGTGCTTGCCGTCGCTGCGAACTGTTAGCGCGTGCATCACCAGAGAAAAGCTGCACTTACTAGAACCACCCGTTCTGGCTTCCCACCGCGACGTTGAGAATGAGATAGAAGTTCTCGTCAAACGGCGTGTTCAGATTCCCCGTCTGCTTCCACGGATTTTCGACCACAGTGCTGTTCACAACAGTGCCCTCGAAATGGCCCCTCTCCCACAATGTGTCTTTGCCCGTAAACTTCATGTAGAAGACCTGCTTCAGCTTGCTATCCACATAGGTGAACATATAGTCCTTTGACCACTGCAGGCCGAAGGTGTGGAAGCCCTTCGAATAGTCAGTGCGTCGCAGGAAGCTGATACTGTACGTCGACCAGTATGCGTCGAGCTTCGGTGTTGGGCCCCAGTGGAGGGTTGAGGTCATGGCGTCTCTGCCGATGGGATACTGCCAGGGATTGCCGCGCAGTTCGGCGATGTCGATTTCGCCGCTTGCGGGCCATGGGCCATATTTCGATTCTTCCGGCATCATCCTGAAGGCACGTTAGATGTGGGGAATAGGCGGGGCAGTTGGACGTCGTACCAGACGGCGGGCCAGAGCCAGTCACCAGCAGGCATCTTCGCGACTACCTCCACACGACCATACTTGATGAACTTCTTGCCCTTCGTTGACAACCGCGCCGATCGCACAGGTGGGATGATTTCACCAGTCGTCTCGTTGGACTTGACGGAGCACTGCTTGTAGTCGTCCGAAGTGCAGGTGCCATCGCCGCCGGACTTTGTGAGGTTGAGAGTGTAGCCGTTGAGGATCTGCTGGTCGGTGATTTCGGTCGTCTCGGTCGTCAGAGTCGGGACAATATGCAGACCGTCTCCATCTGTAAAGCTGTTCGCCTTGTCGCTAGTTGTCCAGTCGAAAGAACCAGTGCCAAAACCGCCGGTCTTTATACTCGTCAGCGCTCCCCCATTTTCCTTTTGCAACCAACATACCTGAACCTCATGCGACCACACTGCGTCGTCAATTCCGTTGAAATGGTCGTCCATGATCAGGCAATACTGTCGCCTGTTAGCGAAATCTTCGGTTCATGCTCGTGAAATCAGCTCACATCGCCGAGCTTCGCTTGCTTCGCTCCATCATACGCAAGATATCCGCACACACAGACTCCTAGGAAAACGAATCCCCAGACTATCCAGTTGCCATATTTCGTTCTCTTCAGCCGCTTGTCGTCTACCCATGGCTGGACGTATCTGGATGAACCATCAGTTTCCTGGTCGTTTGGCGAGGATTTCGTGGGAAAACGCACTCTCCTTTTAGCCTGTAGCTTCTAAACGCATGCCTTGCTTTTCGCCCTGGTGCAACCGAGGGAAACGATCCTGCTGGCGATGGCGGTCCTGGTGGTATTCGAGACGAACTGATTACCAGCGAGCTCCGCCGTTCTAGAGCAATGTTATCCTGCGCGGACTCCTGTGGGAACTTGAAAGTAAAGTCTTTGAGGCCCATTCTGGGCTGACGTGGAGTGATTTTGAAGCTCAACGTCGCTTGTCAAGCTCTAAGGTCGGATGATGAGGACGGTGATTGCTCCAAGTTACCGAGCTCGTTGCGAACTCGTTGCGAAGAGTCGACCTTTGTTCTGCCGAGGTGTGGGATGGTGGGATATCTTGGAGGTAAACAAGAGTCCTAGCGCTAGCACAATGCTATTGTAGTCGTCGGCTCTCCGTTCTCGTCTCAAACAAGCCAAAGTCTAGTTCCCGGCCCGGGCGCAATTGGAAAGATACACATCCAGCCCTCAGCTCTTCAACAAACGCCTCGAACCTCACCGGACCCGCACTCGAAACAACAATTCCAAAGCACATGCAGGCGATTCACGGCGTCTAACAGCAGGGGGTAGGGGCCGCAGGAAATTGACCTGCACTCTGACGCTGCGGGCGCTGTGGCTGATGCCGTCTCGTTGCCGGTGTGCCTGTGGTCCAGACCTTTAGCTCCTGCCAAGAGATGTCGGTTTATAGTGTGGCGCATATAGGCTCTGGCGAGCCGCGGACACGAGCCAACCTGCAGGAGTAAAGCGCGGCGGCTGATGATTAGGGCCGGGCCTCGGACCGGAAACAGGCACTGCTGAGGCAAAAGGAACCTCGTGCCGTGTTGTACGCTACAGTACCAGACGTACGCCAGAGTACCAGACGTACGCCGTGCCGCTCCACGCAATTATCGTGCTGCCGCAGCGATAGGGGAAAGCTGATGCCAGAGTCGTACACGGATATGCCGGCATATTTGCCTCGTGTCAATGTTGCACCGCCTTATCGCTCGCAAAAGTCTCTAATCTCGTGCCGCTTCTTCGGTGCTGCAGCAGAGATACCGTTCAGCCTCTGAGACAGTGGCTTGGCGCCCACGGAGCCACCCGCTAACAGTCGTGGGCGTCACCAATCAAAACCGCCCATATGCGCTTGGCTCGCCAATGAATCCGGGAACGACGGGCGACCACTGAGTTCGGCTCATGTTTTAAAGTTTAGCTCCTGAGGCGACTGTGAAGGTGCTTCTGCTCGCTCACCAACGAGAGTTCGGTGCCTGGGCCACAATCAGCCATGCGGCTGCACAGCAACGTCCTCAATGCAATTGTTGTTTCCAAACGTTGCGAGATGCGTATTGTTGAACGTGGCTTGTGTTTAGTGCACATATGCAGGCGGAGATGTCATCATGGCCCCAAAATAGTCGCCGGTTATCGTGCAGTTCCGGTGTTGCACAACACCATTGATCAGGGAAATCCTCCGGACGATCCTGGTGCAGACCCTGTAACGGTCCGAATGATCGGACCCATACGCATGGCATATACGATGGTAGTACTGCTTGAACTTGCCAGTCTTCTGGCGTCATTTGGCGCGCTGCGGCTAAGGTCCAGGCTGGCCAAGGATCGTGAACATCAGGGGTTCGCGCGGGATGTTCAATAGTTTCTCCGACCGCCCTCAGTCTCGACCAACAATTTCCCAGGTTCAGAAGCCAAGAAGTGCAGCATCGCACTGGCCGGCGGCGTCTGCCGGGTCCCTGGCGCACTGCACGTTCACCCTGAGTGACCCCAGCTGCAGGATCATATCTCGCTTATCCGTGCCCTGGCAATAGAGTTGGACCCACTGCCTCATCCATGTGTTTGCTCAACCGCTCTGGGAAGCGCTGTACCAAGAATAGAGTGCCACGAGACGGGGCAGCGGCAAGCGTCTGGTCAGACGATATGGATTTGGAAGTCCAGCTTCATCCGGGAGCGCCGCTGCATGGTGTCAAGGCCCTGAGTCGATGGGGCCGTCGCTAGATAGGGTTTGACGTAGCGACGAGGATTGAGAGGCCCCTCCGTGCTGAAAGCCTGCGGCAGCCTAGGCGTGCGCCTATCGTGCAGCTTGAGGTTCAGCAGTCCTGATGCGTACTTTGACCACTGCTGCATCTTTTGCGCCTGTTACCCTGGACACCCCTCCGTCGATCGCTGATAGCCAGAACACTCTTTTCTCTACACTCGTTTTGTTTCGTCTTCAGTATTCATATCCATCTTGTCTTTCCAACCCACGTCCCTCGCTACCTCGTATTCACATTCTTCGTTGCATCTCTACAGTCGTTTTCCGGTTCGTGTTAATCGCGCGGCCTGGTAGGGCTCCCTACCCTCCCACTCGTTCATCATCGGTCCTTGACCCGTCTGTCGTCTTAGCATTGCCGTCTCGTCATCATGGCCTCTACCCCGGCCGGCACAGTCCATTCAGCGACATCCTCACGGAGACCGTCGTTTTCGGAGCATCGCACAAGTGGTTCTGGGAGATTGTCATACGATCCCCGCCGTCTAACAGTGAAGATCGACGAAGATACGCGGTATCGAGCTGTAGGTAACCCATACTCTTGTCGACTTCGAACCCGCTAATGTTGTGGTAGATCATAAAACATCTACACGCGAAAGCATGTTCGATGCACTGGATGATACCGGGCCCTGTGCCCCCAGGTCTCTGCGCAGGCGTCCTGATGCGAAAGGCGCAGGGTGAATTTGCTTCGGAGCCGAGACACGTCGACCCAGAGCTGCTGGAGGCCGTCAAGAAGATCAACCCTGGAGTCGCGTTGACTATGTCCACGGAAGGCACCGGCGCTGTGTTCGACGTCCTCGAGCCCAACGAAACCGAGTTGCTGTTCCAGAATGGCTCCCAGATCCAGATCTACGATTCCATGGCCGACATTGCACAGTCCAGCACCATCAGGAAGTACCAGTACGCGGCCCTCGTCCGCCAGGAAAGGGTACTGCTCGTGTGGCACGACGACCTTGGTGCCATCTTGTCGCAGGCCCTGGAAATCGAGTCGAGGATGCTCGCGCTCATCTGGGGTTCAGCGAAGAACCCCTTCGGCGGTGCCACCAATCCCTTCTCCACAGGCGCCAACTCTTACATGGCTTCCGAGGTCAACCTGTCGCTGGAGAAGGAGAAAGAGGCCGAAGTAAATGTCGACGAGGTCTCAAAGGACGGCGATCTGGAAGCTGGTCCGCGCGAGTCACTTGCGCGGCCCCTCATCCTCACCAGCTCCATATTCGTCGGCTTCGCTGCCATGGGCATCATCCTACTTGTAATCGGACTCGGCAACCGTGCCCTCCTTTTACAGACCATGACCGACGGTTTCTACGCCCGCATGGCATTAGTCGCAACGGAACCAGTATTCTTGTTGTTCGGTCTCTTCTTCATCATCGTCGTGTTTGGCAACATCTTCCAGACCATGGGGCCCATCACCAGCATTAAGACCAACTCTCGCTTCTACTCCGCCGTCAAGCCCAACCTCTCGTACGCGCGTACACTCGGGTTCCGACCACCGCCGATCACCATTCAGATGCCCATCTACACAGAGTCATTGACAGGTGTGGTCAAGCCCACGGTGTCCAGCTTGCAAGCTGCCATTTCGTATTACGAGTCCCATGGTGGCACTGCGCGTATCTTCGTCAACGATGACGGCATGGCCGTACGAAGCGCGGAGGACAACCAGGAGTTCCTTGAATTCTACGAGAACAACAACATCGGTTGGGTATCGCGCCCCAAGCACAATCACGAGGGTTTCATCCGCCGCGGCAAGTTCAAGAAGGCATCCAATATGAACTTCGCCTTGAACGTCTCGAACAGAGTGGAGGATATCCTGCAGCGGCTGATTGACGCCCGTGGCGAGAAGGACGATGCCATCACCGAAGACGAAGAGGACAGGCTCTACAAGCAGGCCCTGAAGCAAGTTCTCGACTCCGATCCGCGGGCCAAAGCTGGCGGCAACATCCGCATGGGCGAAATCATCCTGATCGTCGATTCCGACACCCAGGTCCCCGAAGACTGTCTTATGTATGGCGCGGCCGAGATGTTCCTTTCGCCAGAAGTCGCTATCATCCAGCACAGTACTGGTGTCATGCAGGTCTCTTGGGATTACTTCGAGAACGCGATTACATATTTCACCAACCTCGTGTATGGCGCAATTCGATTCGCGGTGGGTAGCGGCGAGATCGCTCCTTTCGTCGGTCATAACGCGTTCCTCCGGTGGCAGGCGGTGCAGGCGGTCGGCGACCCTCCAGAGGAAGATGGATATGTTGCATTCTGGTCCGAAAGCCACGTCTCTGAGGATTTCGACATCGCGCTCCGATTGCAGATCAACGGCAATATCGTCCGTCTCGCCAGTTACCACGGCGCCGGCTTCAAGGAGGGTGTCTCGCTGACTCTCTATGACGAGCTGAATCGCTGGGAAAAGTGAGTATCAGCGCATCCCATCGAAAGTACACCGACTGACGTCTCCAGATACGCGTACGGGTGCAACGAGCTCGTGTTTAACCCCATCTACACCTGGCTGTGGCGAGGACCCTTCACCAAGCTGTTCCGAACCTTCCTCTGGTCCAACGTGCAGCTCTCGTCGAAGCTGACTATCATTGGCTACATTTCGTCCTACTACGCCATCGCCTCAGCCGTTCCATTCGGTATCCTCAACTACTTTCTGGTCGGCTGGTTCAACGGTGACCTCGACAAGTACTACGTCGAGTCCTGGAAGGGTAAGTCGCTCTCGTCGCTTCGCCATAATTGTGCTGATAGTCGCAGTCTTCGTCACGCTCATCGTCGTCTTCAACCTCATGTCCAACATCGCGCTTGCGGTGCTGAGATATCGCCTCGGAGAAATGGGCCTGTTCCAGTCGCTTCTCGAAAACTTCAAATGGATGCCGTTCTTCGTCATCTTCTTTGGCGGCCTCTCCTTCCACGTTGGTATGGCGATCTGTGCCCACATGTTCAGCATCGACATGAGCTGGGGTGCAACCGCAAAGGAGAAGGACGACTCCAACTTCTTCAAGGAGCTGCCTAAGATCTGGTCGCGATTCAAGTGGATGTACATGCTGATGATCCCGTTGGTCGGCGCAATGATCTACCTCGGCTGCTTTGCTCCACATGGATGGGAAATCGACGGCGTCACCGCTGTTGTGCCCATGGCCAATCTCATCATCGGGCATGCACTGTTCCCCTTCGCGCTGAATCCGTCATTGATGGTGTTCAACTACTAGACGTATCGATACCGCATAGAGGCTTGCCTTGGCTAGACTGGTGTTGGGTGTTATCCAGACGGGTTTGTTCATTCGACGGGCAACAACGTTTTATGATGTACAAAAGGGTTCATGTATCCAATTTGATCGACGGCAACGAAGGACGGACCTGGAAATAGGTTAATGTGTAATCTTAATATAGGGCCGCCTTCCAACCACTGCACTTACCAAAACAATGCCAGAGAGCTGTATGCTGTTTACAGCGAATGGTCTCCCAGCTGCGCCAGGATCGACTCGTATGCTTCAAAGTCATCGAGCAAAGATTCGTCCGCGACGGGTTCGACGCTCGTCCAATCCTCTATCAATTGTCCGGCGGCGGCTATCAGCCCACTCTTTGAGTCAGATAGACGGTCCTCTCTTCCATCGAAGTAGCGGTCGACATAGCCGTGCTTGTCATGGAGTTCTATCTCGACGCCGACGTCTTCCGTCGATCTGTGAATATATATGGTGCTCATCCCGACGGCCTTTGCTGCTTCCAAATCATACAGATGCGAGGCGAGCATGTAGCAATCCTCAGGCGGCAGTCGGGCAAGTTCCATTGCTTTCCGGTACATGGCAGGATCCGGTTTCGTCAAGCCCAGGAGCTCGGAAGATAGCAGCATGTGGAATGGGATAGCGGAAGACTGCGCAATATCCAGCTGCAGGCGGGTTGTGCCATTTGCAAGGACGATGAGAAAACACTTTTGATCCATTCGCAGTTGGTGAAGAGCGGGAATCACGTCCGCCCAAGGCTTCTGCAAGTGCCATTGGTGCACCAGCTGGTCGCGAACTGCTGCATCCCAGAAATCGAGGCCAATCCCGCGTTCTTTGAGTAGCCGATCAAGCACCCGTCGATGGGTAACGTCGATGTCTTCAGCCGGCGCTCCACGGTTGAAGCGAGCATGAATCTCCTCGAAGAAGCCTTGGCGCCATGCTATCGCGAGCTCCCGGAGTTTGGTGTTGGCTGGATGCAATGAAGGGTGCGGCGGGCACAACTGGAGGGCGGGCAGCAGCGACGACAGCCAGTCGCAGCACGTTCCCACGAGATCAAAGAAGATGGCTTTCTGTGTTGATGCAGCCATGATCGCCGGGTCGTGGAGGAATGAATCTATCTGGCCAGATGAGATGACGCGATGGCACCTTAAAGCGGCCTAGCGCCGATTAGTCAGACCTACGCACATGTGCCACAGCTGAGACTGTAGCAACATCACACCTTCCTGGCCTTTACTGCCATCTCATGTCTCTTCTTCCAGCCCAGATTTCAATACCGCCGTCTAATTCCTAGTCTTTTGAGTTGGGAAGCTATTGGAAGCCTACCGCCCCCCTTTCCTAGCAGTGAAGAGCGCGACTTGGGATGAGGAAATGCCTCTACAAGAGCCGGAGTCCGAGATACAGACATTCAGCGACGGGTATTCAACCAACGCAAGAGCTCCATCATCGAAGACACGATGCAAACCCCATCTCTAGACCACGAGGCGACGGAATCTAGGCAACAACGAGTCCCATCTACAGCTCGGGGCAAACGGCATCGGACGTGCCTGGCTCGAGTCATCTCCTCCATCAATGTGATGAATTTCCTGGCTTTCAATATTCAACAACATCCTTCCGACATCCTTTGCTTTTGACGATGCGTGATTGGCCGTGGCGATGACGTAATGGATTCCTTCAATCGGAGACTTCGGCCGTCTTTAGAAATCAACGGCCCTCGCCCTTTTCTATCTCAATGACAGATGGGAAGTTCGAGATAGGGCGTGAGGTCGCCACTTAAAAGGCGCCATAGTCCGCCAGTACACCCCTTCCGTACAAGCCTTCCCTACCTTTCGTCCCGTCTCCACGCGAATTCCTGCTGCGATATAATAATTGCGGAGTCCACCCAATTGCTAGTGATGGTGGAATCCACTCTCTCTACCCGTGGCACGGCGGCAAGTATCGCCGGTGCCGGGGATGCTGTAAGTACCACCTATGCTTGAGATTCCCGCACGCATTGCAGAAATGGTCCTCTTCGGGGATAGGGAACTCTTCCGCTCTTCTAGTAACTCACATTCCAGGCAATATGGGACGTAATCTCCAACCTCTGGGATCCCGCCAACAACCCCGATGGCTACGTCTCACTCGGCGTTGCAGAAAACTCCTTCATGCACGACGAGCTACGAGACTTTCTCAACTCCAAATCCCTCATCGATCCCGGCGCAAAAGCCCTTACCTACGGCGATGGACCTGCGGGCTCGAAACCGCTGAGATCCGCCATATCCTCCTTTATGAATAACTACTTCAATCCGGTCGAGCCAGTCAAGCTCGAGCAGATCATGGTTACGAACGGCTGTTCGGCGGCTATCGAGCATTGCGCGTGGGCTCTCGTAAATCCGGGAGAGGGAATCCTCCTGGGGCGGCCGTATTATCGCGCTTTCATTCCGGATATGGGACTGCGACCTGGAGTGAAAACTGTTGCCGTGGCCTTTGGGAAGGTTGACCCCTGCGGTCCGCAGTGCGTGCAGAAGTACGAAGAGGCGCTGCTCAAGTCGAACGAGGAGGGCGTCAAGATCCGGGCGCTCATGCTGTGTCATCCGCATAACCCGCTTGGGCGTTGCTACTCCAAAGAGACGATTATCGGATTGATGAAACTGTGCCAGAAATACAGGATCCATTTGGTGAGCGATGAGATCTACGCGCTCTCGGTGTGGAAGAATACCGTGGATAAGCTTGAGAAAGAGCCTGCGCCATTCCACTCCGCACTCTCGATCGATACTGCAGGGATCATCGATCGGGAGCTCGTCCACGTGTTGTGGGGCTTCAGCAAAGACTTTGGTGCGAACGGTATCCGATTAGGTGTTATCGTGTCGCAGTTCAACGCGCCCTTTATGACGGCGGTCCGTACTTGCTCGTTGTACTCGTCGCCCTCATCACTCACGGAGAACGCCGCGGTGGCTATCCTATCCGACAGCGAATTCCTCTCGAATTACATCAAAACGAACCAAGACCGCTTGTCAGCAGCATACACGCACGCCGTGCGCACTCTGCAAAAGTACGGTATCGAGCACATGCCAGGTGCAAATGCAGCGTTCTTCCTGTGGATCAACCTAGGCAAGAAATTCTTGGAGAACGGAGCTGCGAAAGAATCGATGGACGGCATTACGCAGGCGATATTCAACAAGTTGATAGCAAAGAAGGTCTTCCTCGTGCTAGGAGATGCGACAGGAGCGGAGGAGCCTGGGTGGTTCAGAGTTGTTTTTAGCCAGAGGCCCGACCTGGTGGAGGAGGGCATTAAGAGGACTGCTGAAGCTTTGGGGATAATTAAGGCAGGACCGCAAGTCTAGGCGACAAGCAGCTCCACGCAATGGTTCTCCAGCACTCGCCATTTACGACTGGACGTCATGACTTGGTGCTTTGTTGGAGGGGTGGGTAGGAGCGGGAGTAAGAGGGAGAGGAGGTTTCGTGGTGTTTGAAGCTGATGTACGTTGAGCCTTGAAAGCCCCCGGCACCGATCAACCTTCCCTATATCTTCATCCTTATATCCTCATTGTGCCGATTTCCCGTACAGCTTCCTAATCTTCAACCTGAACCCCCCTATCCCATTGCGCCTTTGTTCCGTCCAAATCCTACGCCGCCTCTCCCTCCCTGACGAACTCCCCATCCGCAGAGTCCTGCCCCGGATTGGCCTGCTCGTAATGAAAGTGCTTAACGAATCTAAAATACCCAGCAGCTACTACAGCACCAAGACACGGACCCACCCAGTAAATCCAATGGTAAACCGGGAAGCTCCTCCCCGCAACAGCAGGGCCGAAGCTCCGCGTAGGATTGAGCGAGCCACCCGTATAAAACACGCCTGCCCCATGTCAGCTTCACCAACTCCTTGTATTTCCCATGCTCGGTAGGTAGAGACGCTACTTACCGCCCATCATCGCCACAAACAGCGCCAACCCGATCCCTATCGGCGCAATAAACGTGTCCTTGCTCTTCTCTGCGGCCAGCATCAACACCACGAACACCAGCTCGGCCGTCATGAACATCTCGATGAACACGCCCTGGGCAATGCTCGTCCCGGGGGAAAGCGTCGTGTTGGTCAGCCTGATGTCGCCGGGGAACATGCACGAGACGAGCGCCGCGGCGCACATGCCGGCGAGGAGCTGCGCGGGGAAGAGGAAGAGCGCGCGGATGGGCGGGAGAGTGGAAGTGAGGACCATGCCGAGGGTTACCTTTGACGCAAGCCAGTATTAGCTCTTTGTCTGGGCGAGCGATCGCAAGGGGGAAGCAGGTGGGTGGGTATACCGCGGGATTGAACAGCCCTCCGCTAATCCGATAGAAAGCCCACACGTTAACTAGCAGGCTGAACCCGTATAGCAGCGCCGTGAAGATATTTGTCTGGCTACTTGGTCCTCCATTTACGCGGTCGCTCGCTTGCGTCTGGAGCATGATTTGACCGGCGAAGGAGAAGTAGAGGAACATAAATGTCCCAACGAATTCTCCCGTCGCAGCGACGAGGTGCCCTTGGAGGCTGCTGATGCCATGATGTCCGTGGTGCCGGCCGTTGGAATGCGGCGCATCGTCTTGGTGGCGTCGACGGTGCTCTGGATGGTGCTGCTTCGGCTCTGGAGGGACGCGAAGGCGTGGCATTGTCGCGATAGGGGAAGCAAAGCGATACTAGAGTATATGGGAATCGCGACGCAGTAGCAAAGGAAACAAAAGAAGGCTATTCTACACTTCTGCTCACAGACCAAGACCATGACATACGACGCATCATTACTTCCAGACTTGCGGGAAGTCTAAAGTCCACATCGCAAGCCGTTCTGCACACTGACAGTAGGGGCTCAGCTAGCCCGAAGCGTCGCGACCTATGGTGTTCGCGAGGTCGATTAATGGCTGACATGCGTATGACGATGCAACGGGATTAGTACGCCACCGACGTTGCCTAGAATCCGCCCTACCATGGCACCAGAGACGCACAGTGTCGATCTCGCGGCCCACCGAGATGGGACCCTTGCAATCTGAAACACGGATCGCCCATCGGATCGTCATATCTGAGAGCTGCTGGAGCTGCGATGCGACCCAAGGACCGGGAAATAATACTCGACGAATTATCGTGAAATAGCAACCTATCTTCACGTACAATTATCGCGCGAGAATGCGGCACTGACCGGCTCGCGCGCCGTTTCGTCAGGCTTGAGCCAAAGCGCTATGGCGTGCATCTAGTACGTTGAGCTTCCGCTCTGTGCGGCTGATTGTTCTAACTGCAGCCATGGAACTGCTCAAGTATCTGAACACCCCTCGACGTCATGCGACAGCACCGTGTCCATTCAGTCTGCCCAAAAACCTACGTATCAGGTTCGTCGCAAAGTCACAGCAGCCGGAACGTTAGGCCACAGCACATTCGCCTCAATGTGCATGACGTGCACGTCGCAAAACGCCGACATAACAAGCGTGCGTTTGTCGACGGCGAGGAAGCCGTGCGGGTCATCGAGGGCGGCAATGGGTCGACGGAGCATGTTTTGCAGTAGGTTGATGCGCGAGAGACCGTATGACGGATCCTGGGAGTAAATAGGAATGGGTCCGCAAGGGCGTCCGTCAGCTTCTGTGTACGCTATGCGCAGGCTATCAGCAATGTCCTCGCAGCGAAATGCTGAACAGATGGCGGCGGATTGCAGAAAGCTTCCAGGCCAAAACAATCTTAATCCGCCGCGACATTGCACCTGGATGCCGGTGGTATGTCTTGCATGTTAGTCAAACATCGTGGACCTTTGAAGGTATGCGGCCATTGCGAGATCTGTCCATTGAATGAAATTCCGATAAGCATGAATACATCAGAGCTCCTTACGCTTGACGTACAGCTCCATATCCCACAAGCTCAATGCCCCCAAATCCGGCATCCAATCGTCAGTGATCTCCACATCCTGGAAATTGCACGTAACATATTGCTCCAACAATTCGACAGCCCAAGGAGTGGTTAACCTTTTCCATAGAAATTTTCCGACATCCTCGTCGTTCCGGAAAATAGCAGGACCGAGGATCGCGGGTGGCAATTCCGAAGACTCGAAAGCTTCAGCCAGGATATCGTAGACACAGGCTTGGTTATCAGCTATCCCCTTTCGGAGGGGGGGTGTTGTAGAAGACCAGCGTATGCTCGTCAATAGCCAGCACACCTTCGAGATCCTTGGCGATCGTGATGTCCGGATCCAGCATTTTCTCGAATTCTTTGTCGTATCTGGTGTAGTCCTTGTCTTCAGCCACAATTTCAACTTTCGGAGCGGGACGATCTTCGCTCTGGCGCACTGTCCTTCCACATATCGTAAACCTTCTTGATATGCTTCTCCAGTGCAAACGGCTGCGGTGGACTGTCTAGACTTTTGGGGAGCCAGCTCTTGTCGAACATCGCGACTACCAGAACCGGGTAGCCGGGATTCCACTCACGAAGCATGCGGCTATCGAAATGAGCAAGGTTGAGCCAAGCCAGCATTTCGTATCCAAACCAACGGAGCTCCATGCCGTATTCGTACCGACTCATGCCGACCGAGTCGGTAGGCGCTTTCCATACAACGCATTTGCGGCCATGAATATCGGGAAGTTTGAAATCGATCGGCGCGCCAGGACGAAGTATGAAGGCGTTATCGACATCGCGAAAATCTTGACAACGCGCGAGGGATTCTATGACGTCGCGAGTAAAAAGCCGTTGATCCCCAAGATTATCAACGAAGTCGTAGTATTCCTTGATGCGCTTTTACGCTCCTGCATATCGTCGAGGCTGGGTTGCCATCATGCGTCGTACTCTTCTTTCGAAATCGGGGCCATTATGTAGGCAGTCAGCAGTGATGCGTGTAAAAATTCAAAAGTGGTAGAGGAAAGTTGAGGGATATGATCTTCGAATTGTCCAGGAAGTAATGCTAACTGTTAAGAAGAAGAGAGACTTGTCTGCTTTTATACGCTGCATTACCTGACTCGTTACAATGACACATTCGAGTGAGTCAACGCTGGGTCCGTAGCACGGTGCCCTGGGAGCCGTGGTGTTGGGAGTCAAGGCCTTTCCGAAGTAATGGCCCGTCTGGAGGAGAAGCGCATACGCGAGAGCCAAAATCCCTTCTCAATTTTGGCCCTTCGTCGCATCAGCCTCATTGTCTCGACTGGATCATCCTCTATGCATATCCTCCTCTTCAACGACTTATCTTCCAGAAGATCCAGTACGCTCTCGTCCAGGCGTGTATCGGCGAAGTTGCACAGATCATACTCTTCTAGCATCTGCAGCACTTCTGGCGTGGGTTGATATCGGCCATTGAGTTCGCCAACGTCACCATCAAGGGTAATATCCGTGGCAATAATGGCACCCGGGCGATGAGAGGGATCTCCGGAGCGGGCGATGGCCTCAAAAGCGGGTGAACAAAGGCCGTCATTCGGAGCACTGCCGTCGATGATGAGCGTATGTTGGTCGGTCAAAAGGAATGCTCTAGAGTACGGTATGGCGCGTATGCAGGGACAGATGCAGATGAGGATTTGTTTGTCGACTTCATCGTAATGCTCGTCCTGGGCGAAGATGACGACCGGTAAGGGCGGCGATTCGGTCCCCTCATAAACCTCAACCAGAGTCTCGGCGGTGGTGACTGCTGCTAAATACTTGAAGACCCTATCGTGGCCTTCGGGGCTTTCCGAGATGTTTCGAACGGGACCCAGATTGAAGCAAACGATGCGCCGAATGCGTGGCGAGTCCTTCGCTCGCTCCCTGAGAGTGCTCTGAAGTCGCTGGCATGGCTCACTACGCATCCAAATTGGGGTGATCTTGGTTACGAGATCTTTGAACGTGTCCATATTTGATCCGGGAAGGAAGGCTGGCTGTATTGATGAAGAAATGAAAGAAATGAAGGTAACTCCCGAACGAGGGGCTGGCTAAAGGCCTCTCTCACCTCTGACTCTTGACAGTTTCCTTGACGCTAAGCCCTCTGAATATCTCGTGAGTCGACACCTATCCCGTGCGTTTCTCTGAGCCGTCGGTGAGCGGGGAGTGCGTCATCGCGTACTTGCATTCACGTTTTCCTGGGTCGGTTGGATGGTCTGGTTGATTAGCAGATTGCAAGTGAGAACGGGGCTTTCCAAGAATCACACTCTACCGAGCCGGCAGAACACGTCGAGCCATCTAACAGCTGCGTGGTGTTGAGCCTAGGTGTTGTTTAGTCTTCAGGTTGCTCGTGCGCCGTGACGCGATCGGGCCGCGCTAATGACTAATCACCGTGCCGCGCCACGATTGGCCAAAAGCCATCTGGCATTTCCGACGTCACCCACGAGTCGCGCCCACGATAGCTGTCGCGAATTCAGGCATTATGGCCTCCGCAAGCTTCTCCTGGGACACCATCGGTCCCTTTTTCGTGTGGCAGTTCCTCATTCCCCTGGTAACCCCCTCGTCTCCTCACTGTCGACCCCGCTAATGCCTCCAGGCCGCCGGATGGGTCCAGAGCATCCTCTACTCCATCTTCATCCGCGCCGGCGACCCCAAGCCCACCCCCGGCTCTCCGCGCTTCGTTCGGCACCGCCGGCAGATCCTCATCGCTATCTACCTCGCCTACTTCGCTTTCACAATCTACGAGGTGGACTTCAACTTGCAGAAGTCGAGCAATGCGTACAACGAGCTGGGCGTGCCGATCGACGTGGACGACGGCGGGCTGCAGTCACGGTTTAGGAGGCTGACGATACGCTTCCACCCGGATAAAGTGGGCCCCGGGGTGGACAGGGAAAAAGCCAACAGCTACTACATACACCTTAAGCATGCAAGAGATATTATTCTGGATCCGGCGAAGCGTTTTGCGTACGATCGCTTTGGGCCAGATATCTTTCAGCAGTGTAGGCAGTGCTTGACGGTCAAGGAGTTTACGGATAATGCGCTGCTCACGGCGCTGGGGACGTATGGGGCACTCCTCGTCTTTCTCTTAGGGGCGAATGCACTAGGATTCCTCAAGGACGGCGCGTATTGGCGATATCTCGCTATCCTTGCAGTCGCGACGTTCGACCTGCGTACAGCGATGCGACCGGATCATCCAGCATTTCTCACCAAGTGGCTGAACCCGCTGATGGCGTCGCTGCGCCTCCGGCCGCCCTACCTCCCCTTTCAGGTCACCATCATCGTAAAGAAAGCCTCCATATCCGCGGCGCAGTTCCTCGGTCTTCTGATCCCGCTCTACCGTAATGATCCGCAGAGGCCCGCCAAGGCATCCGACGATTCCGAAGACGCGCGCCACAAGCAAATCGACCGCCTCGACGCTGTGGTCCAAAGCTCGGCCATGGAATCGTCGCGTCTGCTGGAGCTCGAGAGCACACCGTTTAGGGAGAATGAGCATGCGAAGAGTGAGCTAAGAGCGGCGCTGAAGAAGTACATGTTGCAGAATGTGGTCCATCAGGAGAAGGAGGTGCGAAACGCGATTGGGCAGAGCATAATGCGGCGGCGGGCGGGTGTGCCGCATGGGGCGCAGGGGAATAGATGAGATACCCATTCAATTGTAACTTTCGATACGAGGAGGCACATTCTTGCATCCGAGCATTGTGAACAGGTTTTTCACATGTTCTTTTAACGTGTACAGGGTATCGACTTTCATAATCCAACGTGTTGACCATGCCAAGCAAGACTTTGCAACACGCAGCATCATAATCCCCGGTCGTACGTATCACTAAGCTTAGCATCACAGGGGCAGGCTTCGGGGTGATAAGCGTTTGATTCGGTTCTGGCTATGTACGGGCGTCGTGCCAGCCCTAAAGACCGGCGGGTATCGATGCGCGAAGCGTAAAAGCGGGGAAAGGCGGATGACCAGAAATTCTGGCGGGTATCTAGTCTAACTTGCGACAGAAATCCAGTAAGCACAAGTGCACTGAACGCAAGGAACATAGTCGCGCGGGATGGGACCACGGGACACACACAAAGCACACGGCGACAGCCATGGGCAACAAAAACAAAGAAAAAACTCTAATCGCGCAACTGGACTGGAGGCCAACATAATCCCCCGGACAGAGCCGTCGGACGCACAAACAAAGAAAAGGCCCCAATGACGCAAGTGGACTGAACGCAAGCAACAAACTCCCCGGGACAGAGCCGTGGAGCACATAAAAGCACATGGCAATAGCCATGGGCAACAAAAACAAAGACAGAAAACAAAGAGGAGGCACATCACTTCAGTAACGTGTGCGCAGATAAGCCCCCGAGAAACATCGCTCCGAGTGGGTAACTGCGGGTGGATCATTCGGGCCGCGTGGCTTGGGACAATGAGGTAGTTATGTACCTCAGTCTCGTTGATTTGCTCGTGGAGCTGCGGTGGTACGACCACGTCGACTCTGAGATGGAGCGATTCGGGCTTCGTATAACTGTCGGTGATTAAACCTCGTTGGTTCTCCAGGAAGCGGATCGAGGTTCGACTGCGGAGCAGGTTCGGGAGTGTGTGTTTCGTTTGGTGCGGGCGTGGTACTGGCTATAGCCGCTGGTGGCTCACTCGATAGTGAGCGTGCGTTGCGATAGTGCAGTTCTGGGCGTCGCTGAAAAGTGACTGGTTCGGTTGATGTTGGCGGTGGTGCTCGCCCCGCTGTTCGTGGCATCGGAGGGACGGTGGATGTATCGGGAATATCGTCTGAGTAATCGGTATCGGAAGAGGCATCGCTATCCATGATTGATCTCAATATCGTGGATATGGAACGGGCATCATGAGGCCGTGGAGGTGGCGGAGACGGTATCCAGCAGGAGCGGGTCGACGCTCGAGACTGACGCGCTGGTGGCGGAGATGGCAGCGACGGAGGTGGTATCGGGCCCGAGCGAGCGGGCGCTTGATACTGACGCGGTCGTGAGATAGACGGAGGCGGCGGAGGCTGTATCTGGCTCGAACGAGCCGGCGCTTGATAGGGAGGCGCTGGCGGGTATGAGCGATCGGGGTTGTTGTTGCGGGAAAGGCGGTTGATACGATACAGGCGCCTGGGGCAATGGATAGCTCGGGCATGATACTGGCGCATACGGGGTGTATGGCCAGTATCCATGCGGTTGGTGATGCAGAGGCTGGGACGGAGCATGCGGTTGATATGCTCCCGTCACGTATCCAGTCGACTGAGCAACGGTGAGCCGCATTTCGTCCTCATCAAGTTATCGCCGTAGGAAAGACGCTAGCGGCGGTCCGAGCCGAGCGTGCGAAGAAAATGTCGACCGGACCTCGAGAATGTTAAGAGTTCAGCGCCGTCTTCATTAGGCGTCGTGTCCGCCTTCAGCCCACTAAAGTCATGCCAACAGATCCACAAATCGAGCAAGTGACATCGTGGAGAGCCTCCAACTCGTCTTCGGCGCCCTCGCCCCATAGCATATTCCCACCGTACTTGTAGCCCCAAATATTTCTGCATCCCCCTCTTCCCACCGGCCTAATGGAAGATCTCGGGAAAGTAATGTTGTAGCTGGAGACCTTCAACGCCTTTTTAGCTGCGGAAGGAAAACGTAAACCAGCTCGAAGGTGTCTAGGAGAGCGCATCCGCTAAAGAGCGAATCAAGAGCGGGCAGTGGCCGGAGGCGGGAGAGTAAAGAAGCATACCGAGGCGAAAGTTCATCCCCAGCATATCCTAACAGTTAACCCTTAACCCCACGCTACGATTCATAATCTCTAGCTCCGCTTAATCTTCTACTTCTCCTTAAATCTTCGCACTTCTGCCTGTGTTAGCTCTGGATAGGGTATTAAGGAGCTAAATGTAATAGCAGCCGGTAATACATTAGAAGAGAACCGTACCAAGCTCTTAAGACTTTCGTCAGCGGCCCGTTATCCAATAACCCGATGGACTCCACGATACCCTTTACCATGCCGACTCTCTTTACAGGATAACATCCCACCGGCGTGTAAAGGCACGAGGATGCGGAAAGATGACAGCACGCTAGATGCGTCGGGCTTCTAGCGTGGAGGCCCGGACATCATGGCGGCCATGGGATTCCCAACACGTCCGCGGAAAAGGATGCCTTGGCGCTGCGCATCCGGCATCGAGGAAGACTTCCGAGGCCATCAACCATGGCTCCATGATACCTGTTCTCCTAATTTTGGCATCTTTTGAGCCCTTTTGTGCGTAGTCAGCATGACCTCTATACGTTGCTGCTAGACAGGTAGCGAAGACACAGCTGTTTGATATATTACAGAAATCGCCATCCGGAAACCAACTATTCTTCCATGCGGATGGCTATCCAACTGGATTGCTAGAGACGACGAAAGGTGCAGGCGACCTTGAAGCCCACGGTTGCCGCTATATGAAACGCAACTGGTATGAGAGTTCCTACCTCATTAGTAACGCTATCTTTCCACGGTACTATCGCAAGCTACGCGAACTGAAGCTCGCCGATCTTTACATCGACGACGACCGGCTGAGGTCATTCGTGGCCACCCAAAGCGATACCTTGGTAGACTTCGACATGTTGAGCATCAAGCTTACATGCGGTTCCTGGACCAAAATCTTCAGTACGCTGCGAACAGCGATATATCTGGAGGGTCTCCGGCTTGCTGGACTATATCAGAAGTCACGAAAAGGCGCCATACTTCGAGTTGGAGCATATTATCCCCGCCTGCCGTACTATCAAGTAGTCGTATTAGGTGCTGCTGCAATCGATACATTCCTAAACGAATCGATGGGAACAGTGCAGCTCCACCGTCGTCAGCATGATTACTGGGAGATAGAGATGTTCGCCATTCCTAACGTAAGCGTTTCCGTCGATCCCCCGACTACGCTTGCATAATTCCTCTCCTGCGAGTAGCTGATGTCGGATTTACGGATTGGGGGCCTTTGGGGTTCGTAATGCACTCTTATAGGTCGAATCAGATAAGCAGTTCCCATTAGGTAGCCTTCCGTTACGAACCAATCAAACTTTCAGAACGTTCCATCCATATTGGGAGACCTTTTGGAGGTTTTGCTGATGTATACATCACGTGACAAATGTGGAGCATGCCCAGTCGCTGCTTCGCCAAAAAAGCTTCGAGCTAGGCTGGATGTTTTTCTCCTGAGCTACTGGAATGGCTATGGGATTGTGTCTTGGTTGAACTGGAGTTGCTACCCTGCTCTCGAGCTTCCTTCGAGCGTGCGAGGTGCAAGATGGGTCCATGTAACATCTTACCCAGTAGGCATCTTGCTTGGAGCGGATAATATCCAGAACTGATGAGAAGACTGAGAAACATTGAATCTCTGCTGCATTGTTCGGATCGGACTCCAGTAACTTCACAATGAGGTCGAAAGTCCCATCAGTTACTCGGTGAGGCAGCGGGCCTTTCACAATGCAATCGAGGTCCAGTAGAGGGTTCGATACCCGTAGTGACTACGCGATGTTCAATCACAGCGAACGCCTCGTCGGCTATACGTTGCATAAAACGGAGACTTTGCCTCTTCCCACAGTTCCCCACTCCAGTCTAAAGCAACCCCTGACATGGACGCACAGCAACCGACAGAGGAAACACAGGCTGCCGAGACGGCATGGGAAAACGAGTTCATCTCCCGGTGGATCGACCGCCTCAAACATACATACTCCTTCCAAAGCCACGACAAAGACCCGAAGTGTCCATTCGGCGCCGCCATGATGTCCTTCCAACACTTCACCACCCGTATCATCCTGGCCCTTGAAGCCCGCGATCCCGGGATTGTCAATATGACCAAGTGTGGCTACCTGCGTCTCATCTATTCCCGCCTCCCTAGCTTCCACAACTTACAGGGGTTCCATGCGTGGGTTGCAGATGCTGTACTGAAGCATCCGCAGCGCCGGAATATGAAGCAGCACCAGTGGCTTGCGATAGTGGACTATGAGCGCCTAGGGGGAGGGCTGTTGCGGAAGTGCAAGATGGCGTTTGTTGAGCTGAATAGGTGGTTCAGGGAGGTGAGTAAGCCGGAGAACCTGGTGCGGGATCCGGATCAACTGTACTTGTTTCGGCGCGCGAATGGCCTGAAGGCTGTCAAGACTGACCGGGTCGGCGACTGGGAGCATCAGGAATGCCAAGTGTGTACAGAGGAGTTCGAGCGCCCTGATACGATTGAAGGTGAGCGCACTCCCCAGCGAGCGCCGTGCGGACACGTCCTCTGCAAGGCCTGTTTCAAGAACTGGCTCGAGCAGTCGAAAGGACGGTACACGTGTCCCCTCTGCCGCGCCTGTCTCGTATGCGGCGAAAACAACTGTATCTTCCATAGCATCCGACGCGAGCCTACCACTCCCATGCCAATGCCCGATGTCCTCCGAATTATCCGGGGGCGATCGGAGGAGCTACTCCACGGTTTGGCACCGAGTCGGTACTGGGTTCTCCGCGAGACGACGCGCTATCACCGTGTCTGTATTCGGTTCTATAACCGGGTATTGGATCGGGACGGGGCAGATGTGGATGATCCGGTGTATCAGCATTACCAGCAGCGTAGGGATGAACATTGGGATACGATGAAAGGAGAGATTCTGGGTGAGCGCATGGTGCCTGCTGGACGGGACGAGGCTAGGAGGCGAGTATGAACGGTGGAATGGTGATCGCGGACGGTGGCGTTGCTTCCGACGAGACTTCGCTGGAAGAAGCGCAAGAGTCTGAGCCTCGCAGCACATAAGCTGATTGGCATCTAACAAGACCAAGCGTCGACATCCGCCTTATATGAATGAAAACGAAATGTTCTCCAGGGTAATTGGGAACCCTTAACGTAATTCAAAATGAAGTACTCGTCCTCTTTATTTCTGGTGCTGTACATATGATATGCTGGTATGCTTTTTGTAACGAGGTTGAACGAATTAATGACTGCGCGCATGTGGCTGTGCGAGGATCTGATCCGGCGAAAAGTCCTTCATGATATACTGACGCAGCCGGTCAGATTCATCAGCGCCGTACAGAATAGAACGAGACGGCTCTATTTGCCACATTTGGAGTGCTGAGCTCGAAAGGCGGGATTTGAAGTTCTCTTCGGAAACTATCATGCGTCGTCCGAAAGTGCAGCATCCGTCAGCAATTCAAGTCTCCTTAGAACTACTTCGCCTTTCTACAAAGTGTCACTCGAAGAGTCCACGCGCAGCTGCATCATTCGCCGCGGTTGCCGAGAGGGATTTGTGAACCTGTGATGATCAGTTATTAGTCGGAGATGCATGAGTCCGGCCGCGATTTGCTCTTACCCACACCTTAGCACTGCCAGACAAGAAGGCTCACGGCACGATGATCTGCAAATAAGTCTGTGATGCCTATCGCCTAGCGCGATGCGAAGTTGCAATCAATGGTAGTGGCTTACTCGGCGGGCATCATGCGTTACAGCGCGCAGAACTCCGTCGTAAAACTATCGCCTGAAACGAGGCGCGCTGGCTGCCAAACTCCCTCCTCTGCATTCACAGGCCCCAGAGCATCACAGCTTGTCCCTATCAGATTGTGCGCTTGTTGCAATCGAGAGTACTTTCTGGACGGAGGTTATGTGTGCCAAAGGCCTGCTGCTTCCAAATCGGGTTTCACGTGGAGTAACCTCCCGGCGACTAATAATCCAATGTCCGACAAAAAATGTCAGCACTTAATGTTCTCATCACCAAGGACTACCCCTGGCTGAATTACCTCGCGCCAAATCGAGAGGACTCAGGACGGGATGGAAGAAGCAGGACTCCTGGCATAAGCGGAGGGCTATTCTATGACTACAACGTCCTTAGGGTCACTCGTAGAACTCTAATTTTTGCTCGGAGTGGAGATTGTTGACGGAAACCGAGTTGTTAGCAGAAATGGAGGAAGGTAAATGCGTGTTGGTTTGTTATTGTTTTGTTGGCGAATTTCAAGGTGAATTCCTGCCGGCATCTGAATTCTTGCTCTTGAATACTTGCCGGAACCTGTATACTTGCCGGAAGCTGAATTGTTGCCAGAAAGCTGAATTGTTGCCAGAAAGCTGAATTATCGCCGGAAAGCTAAATAATTGCCAGAAAGCTGGATTATTGCCGGAAAGCTTCATACTTGACAGGAATCGAAATCTTGAAGGCACTAAATGATGGGGTAGCAATAGAGCCCAAGTTTACCGTCATCCTGCTCCCACCGTGTAGCATTCCACGGGAACCAGTGCTGACGGGGTGGAGGCATTTTGGACGGAGCGTAGACGGCTTTGCGAGCTTGCGAAGCCCGGAGGATGGGGTTAACAGGTGGGGTTTTCTTCGCTGGGCGCACATGTTCCTCTGGGTTGGTACGAGACCTGGCAAGGAGGTCATGGTCTGAAGCTGGCGCGGACGACGACGCTCACACTAAATTTAGCTTAATTTTTAGCTCACAGGAAAGCGTGTCGGGCCAACGCACCTGTCTTGCCTTACTGGCGTGAAGGTATCTATAATATGCCATGCGAAGCACCCGTACGACCCTCCAGCTCCGCATTGTTCAATCGATTCCGCATCTTCATCCTGTGTTCCCTATCGTCTCTGAGGCTGTCCAACCAATACTCTTATGACAGCACACGAGCGACGTTGATGAAACCTTTGTCCGACCCTTCGGCGGGGTTGTGGGTGCACTGGCGGCAGGTGCGTGGGGCCGGTATCACGATGGTACTCTGGTGTCAGGAATTCAGAGTGATGGAAACAACCAGGAACACCGACCACATTTCCCTCACTCTTGCCTTCCGGACGCCATTACCATCGCAGCGGTCTCGAGTGGGGACTTCTTGTTAAGCCCTTTCGCTTCTCGTGGCAATGTCGAGGCCCATATCTCCGAATACGACATCCTCCCATTCCTCCTTCGTCGGCCAGGAATTCTCGAACAACCTCCTCAGCGATCTCGCACCGCTCCTCACCCTATTCGGCGAGCAAGTGACGAAGCAGTTCCTTAGTATGTCTATGGGCTGGGCCGACAACATCCTCCTCTCTCTCGGGCCTCTGGGGATAATGACAATCCTGGTCAGCACGATTCGAGTCAGCGGAGTGAAGCGTCTGAAAACTATTGTCGGGAGAGCGCGCGAAAGCAAAGCCACTGCGGAAGCTGAACTCCTTTCGTCAACCTCCCATGAGGTGTGCGAAATGTGGGATGATCAGCAAGTCGTGCGCACGTTCGGATCTCCCAAGACACTTCAGATCGTTATCACCCACGAGAAGTCGGGACTCATTGCTCGAAATCTGAAGGATGCATACTTGGACGGGTATCTGGTGGATACGCGTGGGCGTAAGCTCTCAAGCGATGAACTGGAGGAACTAGGCGAAGCTCCCAACCTTACGCTGAATGCTCCTGGGTCCACTGTCTCAAACGTCGAATTATGGGCATGGGTGCTCGTGGGAACAGTAGCTCAGCTGAGCGCGGTCGTATTCCCCGGAGTCATGCAGTACCGTTGGGGTTGGAGAGTTGCGTCGTACGGTTATCCCTGCTACCTACTAGGCACCGTTACGCTCATCGCAGGGCTTACGCTCTGCTCAAGAACCATTGAAGGCAGCACAACAGAGCTTAACTTCGTTCCTAACCCCGAAAGGAGTCCCAATGCAAATTATCATGCTCCAACGACCAACGTCTGTGGGCGAGCAACACTTTGACCAGTACGTCTCCGTCTGCGCACCCGGAGAGCCTCAAATCCGAGTGTCGAGGTTGAACAAGAAGGACTATAGGTAGGAAGTGATGTCCCGCCGCCAAATTCATGCTCGAGGTAATTGATAAATGACCAGGAAACTCTCCGCCGTCGCAACATTTACGGCATTTGCTGGTTGTGTGTGCCAGTTCATCGGACTGCGAGCAATTCATTGGTCGGCAACGATATTGTCCTTGGGAATGACGCTTCTCATGACCTGCGTTCGGGCTTGGGTACGAAGGGGACTGGCTTCAGAACCCCGCTACATCCGTCTCCCCAGAGGACGGGGCCGCCTGGCTTGCGATCTTCATTGACAGCCAATTCGACCTTGCAGGCGCCGAAGGACTTATTAACCTAGACTTTCCGGAATGCTCACATTCTTTGGACGATTGGACGTACGCCTCCCAGTCGTTCAACTTGGTCACAGGAACCTTCGGACTCATGCTGGACAACAGAGGTCTTTGGGGTTACACCTGGAATCCGGGCAAGAGTGAGGCAAGGGGGATTGCAACAGCTTCCCTTGCCAATCGTGAGATCGACCTTCTGATTACCCTGCAAAGGCTGCTTGCCCCACGGGCCGAAGATTTCGGAATCGCTCGACAATTGAAAGCGACTCTAGAGGCCGTCGTAAACCGCTTGTGCACAGATCCGTCTGTCCATTGGAAAGGTGAGTACCCACTGGGGGATGATCTATCATGGGACGTCCATCTCGTGCAAAGGATTCCAAAGGAGTTGATCCCAGCTCGGTTTCACGGCCAGCTAGGAAGCGAGAGCGATTTCAGGGTGCTGAGGAGGTACAAGATGAAATTTAAGTCTCCTTGCGTTTACTCTTCAAAATATCAGAGGCTTTGGATACTGGACCCCGGGATCGACGGATTTGATGCGGGGGAGCAAATCTGCGCATCGTTGACTCTTTGGGCTAGCGGTGCTCGTGCTAGCCATGCAGGTAAGAATAGTCTGCTCTCTTCCCGCCTTCGGCATTCGGCCTTCGCCCAAGCTCCTCTTTACGCATTCACACTAGGGTAGAGAGCTAAGGAGCTGAAACTCGTTCAAGCTAATTGAAACGACACAGGTCTCTCCGTGAAGCCATTTTTGCGGGTTGTCGGATCGAACTCGTCGCCGGGAATAGCCTTCAGCTGGCTTAATAAATGGCTAAATCTCCAAGTGCTTGTTTGCCCGAGCCCTTACGGGATGCAAGTAGGGCGCTCCACCGAGACCAGACAGAACCTATTCCAAGAATATCCAGTTTTTGGTAGCCGTTACTCCAGCCTATACAAGCATATCGCGGATGAACACGAACGACTGCCGCCAGCGGCCCAAGACCTGGCGTGGCAGAAGGGAGATGGTGACACGGACTTCGCTGTCTTCTCCAGCCGGAGCCTCCAAGTGGAACATGCGCTCGAGATCTTCTCAACCTTCATGACCGCGTTGGCCCCCCTTATCCACTGGAAAGGCCATGGCGAGACGTCTGAGATAATTAAATCTCTTGTCGAGGAGCTGATGGTGCTCGCCCCTGCCCTGTTTCCAGACGAGAAGGCGGCAAAAATCATGCTCATTCCGGCGATTCTAGAGCACTTACACCCTCACGGAGAGTGACGTGTGGATTCCGATTGCAGTTCATGAAGAGCGTCCGGCGCGTGTGTTCGGGGGTGCTTCATGGGGGCGGAGGAAAAACTTCGGCGCGTTGCGAGCGCGTTCGGTGGGCGCAATTTCGGCGTATTGTCGCGATGGGTTTCCTGTGTACTGTCATTGAGAAAGCCATAACCGCCGTTATCACCATAGCCGGCGTCGTGGAGCCGTAGGTGGAATACAGTTGGTGCTGGGATCTCGCTCGCGTGTTGACAGGGACAAATGCTTAGCTAAGCGCTGATTCAGCACCAGACGCTCTCAAAGGCGGGATAGGTGATTGGCGACTCTCGTGGCCGGCTGCATGGCTCTATCCACGTTGAAAGCATAGGTTGAAAAGGGTACATGTATACTTCTGTAGATAGTTGCTATCCACATCAACTTCCTCCACCTCCACCTCCGCCTCCACCGCCACCACCACCACTTCCTCCTCCCCCATCGGCCGCACCCCCTCCATCCCCACCCGGTCTCGAATCGCCGCCAACAGCACTTCCAATGCTCGCCGCGAGCTCCACCACATTTCCTACGGTGCTCGCAGCCTCATGCGCCTTGACAAGCGTCCCATGCACCGCTCCATCACCCGGCGGGCCCTTCTTCACCTCAAAATCCGTCGCCCGCCAATACCTCATCCTCCCCAGATCTGTCTTCCGCGCCGCATCTTCGCTAATCTTAAATCCCTCTGGGTCCCTCCGCTTCTGCTTCCTAAGTGTATGCAGTTCCCAATCCTTCAGGATCTGGAGTGTGGCTACCACGAGCGCGGGATCCACGGTCGGCGAGCGGATGTAGAGGGCTTCGTCGGGGAGGCTGACAAGGGTGAAAGAGCAGGTGCTTTTAACAGAGGTACTAGATAGGCGGCAGTTTTCGCATATGTCGTGGTCGACGCACGACTTGCATTTCCAGCGGAGGCCACGGATGGGAGACGCGCCGCAGCCGTGGCAAGAACTGCCTGCGTGCACTTCGTTGTAGTCGATGAAGCCGTCCCAGTACGTGTGGTCCGCGACGATCTCGCCGTAGAGGGGATCGTGCTGGCCGTATGTGGACGAAAAGAGCGCATGTCGTATGGTATCGTACCTTGAGCCGTTCGCAGAACTGAGCGGCGCATGGGCAACCCACATGTACAGACGGCCGTCCGGGCCCACAAAGCGCAGGCTGTCGTAGTTTGCCGCGTGGACGTAGGTGGTGATGAGGTCCTTTTCGGTCGGTGGAGTAAGCAGCTCGCTTTTCCGAATGCCGGTATCGAGGTCCATTCGTAGGTTGTATATCCAGCTCCCTGGATGCGACTTGGTGATCTTGTCCTTTCTGGGCGAAGGTGTCATGGTCCAGGAGAACCGCGGATCCCGGTAACTGCCACCTTTCGACTTGAAGCCGAAGGCGAACGCGGGCGGACCCGGTGCTCTTGCTTTCCCGGAGCGCGTAGTACGCCACTCTCTTGAAACCGGGATGTCCAACCAGTCTGCTTTGGGAGCGTGGACGAAAGATCCATACAATGTCGAGACTGCGGGAGGAAGAGCCCATTGCGGCGGGTAGGGCACCTGCCTGTGTCGCTCCAGGTATGCTGATAGGGACACGGGATCCTTTGGCGCCGGAGGGAGATGAGCTGTTGGATGTGGTATTGGTGTAAATGAAGTTGGTGACGCTCGAGGAATGGAAACGGGACGTGGGCCTGCAACAACCTCTGGAAAATCGTTTCTTGGAAGCGGTATTGGCGCGGATGAAGCCGGTGAAGCTGGTGAAGCCGGCGATTTTGCGAGAAAGGAAACAGGCCGCGGTCCTTCCACGACTTCTGGGAGCAGGCTGACGCTGGATTCATGCGGGAACGGGCCTGTAGGAGCAAGTGGCGATACACTTTGAGAATGCACTCGTGTCTGCGCAGGCTGGTATGGTTGACCTTGGGGGATCTGGGGACTAGGACTCGGAGACGCTCGTAGAGAATACTGCGATGCGCGATTGCTCAAATTGCTGCTCGACCTCCGTCTCGCCTCTTCTAGTTCCATCTGCGACAGCTTGCGTGCAAGCATCTCATCTTCGTTCAACTGCTGCTGCGGTGTTGATGTTGGTGGCGCTGGGGGAAGCGGCGCGGGGAGTTCAGCGACGACGGAAGTGGTTGCCGTCGTCCCGTAATGCGGTTGCACATAGTCCGCTGGGGAATGTTGTCCCTGATACTGGTAGTTGTGGGGATGGCTTTGCGAGTATCGGTTGTCTGGATACGGCGCTGCTGTCTGTTGGTATGGCTGGCCGGCGAATCCTAGGTACGGGTACTGCTGGTTGGGATTAGGCGACGACATGGCTACCCAAAGCGACGGAAACTTCGGTTGGAGCTCCAAACACAGGTGTAAGAGGATAAAGAGAATTGTAGAAAGTCGGGAAGACGTCAGTGGAAGGATTCGGCCCCCATCGCACGAGAAAGGCTGTGCCACACGCGATCTGAAACGGTGTGGCTTGTGCTACGCCCTTGGAAGGTTTGATTTGCCAACGCTACACGCAACTTGGAACCGTTTTTGGATGAACGAGCCTTGCCCCAAGTCTTACGATAGCCTGTTGTGGAGCAGCAATTTCGTAGCCTCAACGAGCTCTGCTTGGGGCCGAGGATGAGGCTGGGGGCCTTAAGATCACCAGAGTGACGTCAGCCGCGTGAATTGAGATCGATTGTATGGAGATCTGAGAGCATGGAGATTTGCCCTTTGAGAAGGAAAAGAAGAGGTATCAGCGCAGGAAGTGCTGTCGGCGAGGATGGGCTCGGCTGCTCGCCCTGGATACAGCCACTTTACGCGTGTCGATGGAACGAGGAGGGTTGGTCTGTAGATCAAGAAACCCGAGAGCAAGAACGAATTGCTGCTCAGAGAATGAAAGGATCGCGAGCTCTTCGCAATCATGAAGCGAGTCGTCGGAGCGCCCGCATTGGCCCGAGCCCTGGAGAAGTTAGAGTCACATGGTCTCGGCTAGCGGCTCGGCGTCGGCCGATCATTTCATCCGAAGTCAGTTGGGCCTCACGAGTAACGACACACCCTTCACCACGGACTTGCCCGTTCGATGGCCAACATGTGGACAGATTCTTTCGGCACCGCAGCCCGCAATTTTTGAATGGACCACGTCGGCTGCAAGCGGCCAATGACAAATGGCGGATTTGCCGTCTTCTCCACTCGCTCTCCAACCGCCCCCGCTCGATGACTCTCGCTCCCAATCGGCCCGATGACCGACACTCATTCAAGCCGTCTGGAAGCTTGCAAAATCACACTTCGCGGTTCCAGGTCGACCTCCACCCCCCAAGATGCCGCCGAAACGGACGTGGTCGCAAACGAACGATACCAATGGACCTGGAACGTCGATGTCGCCAACAGCGCTACCCCGGTCCTCGGAGCTTAGCGCAGATATGTCGGCCTTCGCTCCGACTATTTCGCGGAAAGTGAAGGCTTGCGCGGCGTGCAGGAAGCAGAAGGTTGGGGTTTCGCAAAGAAGTCCGTGACAGGACGAGAGGATAGCTAACTGGTGTACAGATCAAATGCATCATGGATGACGGGCCGCCATGTAAACGGTGTACTGAGCGGAACTTATCCTGTGTGCTTAATAAGAGTCTGCAGACTTTGATTGAGGAACGTTCACAGTAAGTATAGCATTGCGAATACGCCCTTTCTCAAACGGCATAGAAATCGGTCTATGCCGCATATTTAAGTGCTTCCGAGCAGTTAACCGATGCCACTTCTGCTCTAGGGTGGTCTTCGTGGCTAGCATGCCATCATTCCATGCTAATGAAGTTAGGTGGAAGAATACCGTCATCAGCGACCTCGGTCATATCCATTCCGCCTTAGAGCAGGTGCTGGGAAGACTGTCTCTCCCCACACTTCCTCCACTGCAAACGAACGCTTCGCAGCATATTGAGGCCTCGCCTCATGAAGATGTCTTCGAGCGAGAAGAACCAGGACCGTCGTGCGACAATTCGCCTCGCGTCTCTCCCAGGGACGACGCCGTACCTCATGTGCCCATCGAGTCGCTCTATCAAATTACGAGACTAAGAGCCCTCCGTTCCGACGATGCGGGGGATGAATCACAACTATCCCCCACTGCTGCTCCAACCCACCCGGTGAACGACTTCATCTCACATGGCCTTGTCAGCTTCGAAGATGCCGAACGTCTCGTCAATCTGTATCTGAATAGGATAGACCATTTTATGTATATGATTGGGGGCGGCAAGTATCGAGATCTCGAGAGTCTGCGCCGTGGCTCGCCAATCCTGACTGCCTGCATATGTGCGGTTGCGGCTCTCCACGATCCAATGAGCAACCACCTCTACGGGGTCTGCAAGCGCGAGTTTCAGCGGCTTATGGCAGCCTCTATGTTCGATCGGCGCGTTGATCGCGATCACATGCGCGCGATTTGCATTGGAAGCTACTGGCTTCACGACCTCTCGTGGACACTCTCCGGCTATGCGATTCGGCGAGCCACCGAAGTCAATCTGAGCAGCAGCTACCACCGTGTACTGGCGAACAACAGCGAAGAAGCCATGGAATGTATGCGGATATGGTATGTTCTGTATATCTGCGACCATCATCTCTCCATCCTGTACGGCAGGCCCTCTATTGTGCGCGAAGACGCGTCAATATCCGGCTGGGAAGAGCTCATGAGGACTTCAGTCTTCACCGAGTCCGATAAGAGGCTGGTCAGTCAAATGGCTTTACTGATTATCATGAGCAACGTTCGTGAGCTCTTCGGACCCGACATCGGCGAGCCAGTACCGAAGGCTTTTGCGTCGCAGTTGACGAATTTCGGTCGCCAGATCGACCAGTGGATGGGCTATTGGACTACAGAGCTACTCAGTATGCTACCATCCTGTGTCGAGATCGCCCAGCGCTGACCGCAGCAGAGCTGCACCAATTCATAGGCGAATTCCCCACCAAGGGCGTCATACTACATCACCACCTTGCAAAGCTTCATCTCCACTCCCATGTCTTCCGTGGCCTAAAAGGCGCACCGGTGCCGTCCTACTTCCAAGAGAGCGCATCAGCAGCCGTCAGTGCTGCGAGATCCACCATCGAAATGCTACTGAACGATTACGACATACGCGAAAGCCTCGTGGGAATACCGCATTATCTCCACTCCATGATCGCCTTCGCCTGCGTCTTCCTGGTCAAGATCGCTACTCAGCACAGCGGACAATATATTGAAGACACCATCGTGTACGACTTGACGACCAAGGCGGTGCAGCAATTCCGATCGACCGCCGTCGGAAAGTGGCATCTCGTGCATCTTATGGCTGACGGGCTGGAGAAGATGGCTTTCTCTAAGATTAGGAGCCCCTCCGATACCACCCACCCGCGCATAGCCAATGGCGTGAGTCCGTCCGGCCTCCATTATGTGCAGTCGGCCAACACTACGCTTCCACTAGCGACAAACGGCAACGAACTATACGGAGGCGACTTGACGGGCAGCAGCTTTGAGAATGACTTCAATCTTGGAACGTCTTCGTTTCTCCACTTCGGGTCAGGAGATTTTGATTTCAACTTCACTGGGTTCGGCATTTGAGAACGGTAACACTCCTTTCCGCGGGGACTCCTTCCATCTCGTATATCGCCGTCCACAAGCTGTGCAGCCAACGTCCACATTCACCGAGGTCCGAGTAACTCGCCAGCCATGGAAGGGTTGCCGAGGACGCGTCCGAACTCGAGTCTAGAGTACTCGCTTTTAGTGAGGCAATACAATCTACTGCTGCTGTGAAAAAGGCTATTACCTGCTTTTTCCTCGCACGGGGCGATCTCGCTATATAAGGATCGTCCCCTCTCGACAACTCTATCGACACCCAACTGCGCAGCCCAAACCCGACTGGAGTTAGCTTCGACGTCACCGCAGTCTACCACTTCTTCCTATCACAATATATCGGCATACCAAACCCTCGAAACCGCTCAACAAGGAGAGGTTCAAGCACTCATCTATTGCCTCAAAGGAAGTCTTAATATACCGGACTCGAGCGTATCCTACCATGACGGATCCAGCGATGTATCCAGGCCTGGCTATCCTGCCGACCGAACTCGTAAGCCATATCAGCATGTTTCTAGAAGCCGAGGACTTCGGCTCCCTCCGGTTGACGTGCAAGGTTCTCTACCAGCAGACACTCTAAGATGCTTCTGTCCGCTATATAAGATTGAGTGAACCCGAGGTCTGGCTTTCATTCTCCGGTCTATCAGTTTTCCTCCATCTCACCAAGATCCCGGAATTTCGAGATAAGATCGAGCGTATCGAACTACATCGACCTCACATGACGGATGACAACGATCTGTCGGACTACGAGAGGTATCTGCGACAAGAAGCGGAGGATGCCTTTATCTATTCAACCGAGGCACGGGATCTCCTTGCAGAGATCTTCCGAAACCTGAGAAATGCAAAAGCCTTGATATCTATAGAACCGTGGTTTGAAGGATACGATACCGTCTTAGGCGCCCTGACGAAAGCTCAATTTCCGCGGAAGCTGGTAATCCTGCGCATGTACCCACGAAATATGGCCGTCGACCCCGGCTACCAAGCTTTGGTTGAGAATCTCGCCCTATATTCTCCACACATCAAGGGGCTATTGTTGCTCGAGGTTGAACAAGGTCCGCCCAGAGAATCAGGGGCCAATATCAAGGAGATACTGAAAGAGAACAAGGAAGGATTCCACATCAAGAACTTCCGTTCTAGCGATTCAAATCCAGGATTCTCGCAGTTAGTCTCAGCCAGTCGAGGGATGGAGGAGCTATGTCTGTTCGGGTGCTGTGGGGCTGCGCCATGCCTCCGGATTTGCCATGGCTGTGAAGACCTGTTTGTCACGAACTTCGCCAAGACCCTTCATCCTCACCTCTCAACGCTCTTGCTCTGCAGCATCTACATCAGCGGCAGCCAGCTCCGGCGATTTCTCAAGCTCCACGATGCCACACTTCAGCACATCGAAATCTATAGCGTAACACTGACGGATATGTCGTGGAAGTTTGTTGCACGAGGGCTGATGAAGATGTCTAGTCTCCAGGTCCTGGAGATCGATGGCCGCATCTATCAGAAGGGTGCGGAAGCACATCCTGTGCGTCGCCCAACCACCTACGTGGCCTTGCGTCAGGAAACATATTGCTATTGGAAGGTTCAGGGACAGGAGAATCTGCGTCACTTTTTGGGCGAATTCATCAAATACTTCCAGACTCATCCACCTGTTCGACTTAATATGCCGCATGTTCGACGTACTGCGCCCAATTATTACGAACCTGTCTTATTCTCTATTCCCGGTGTTACCACGTCGATGCTTGGCTCCGAGGATGCTTCCAGCACGTCGTCATAAGCGGGCGCATCTATGCAGCGCAATAGGTCACGGTAAGAGTCCGCTCAGGGGAGTGCAATGCAAGCAAAGGCTGATTACTACCTGAAGGCCTCGACGAGCCCCCCCAATGTCCACTTCTCTATTTCACAACGAATTAACATGGAGGCGACCAAGGTACGCCACCTGATGGAGGCTCATGCCAACGCATACTTCAACCCAAAGACACGAATTATTAGGAAGCCCAGTCTGCAAGAAGTTTGTACAACGGCGCCAGAAACGCGTGTGGTCTCACCAAGCCCACATCATTCTATTCATCCAATCTCTCGAATCTCCGCGCGGCACGCTTTCCTTCATCACCGCGATGAAGCTTGTCTAGATAGTCCTTGAAGTCCTTGGACATCTCCACCACTGACTTCAAGTGCTCATCCGTCAGAAGGATCTTTCCCTCTGAATCTTTCTTCGCCTCATACTCTGCAAGTGCGACTGCCGTTTGGAACGCTGATACATGTTAGCGCCCGTAAATAAATCAAGACATATTACTCTGCTTCCTCACCGTTTCTAATCTCTCGGCCGTTCCATTTAACGGCCCTCAACTCGCTACCATCGAGATACTCTTTCGCGATTGCGTTCAGCCTCACGTAATCTCCCCGCTCTTTCTCCAGCTTGTCAATGAATGTTTGCCACACTTTCCGCCTGCTGACATCGTCAAAGTCTGGGTAGTAGAGCTGGACGTGGATTCTCGAGATGAATGCGTCGTCGAAGAAGCCCACGCGGTTCGTCGTTAGGAAGAGGATACCTTCGTAGAATTCCAAAGCACGCAGGAACCCTTGAAGATCATGTCAGTCAGTCTTTGGTGAGCTCTATTGGATGTGGTGGCTTACCGGCCACGAGACTGTTGCGCGTTAGGTCCGCTGTCGACCGGCGCTCCATAAATACGTCTGCTTCGTCGATCAGCAGTACCGAGCCCCACCGCCTAGCTCGCTTGAAGTGCATGGTTAGATTCATTTCTACCTCAACCGGATTGGTACCGATGTCGCTGCTGGTCAACACCATGAGAGGTCGGCTGGTATAGGCGGCAATGCACTCTGAAGCAATTAGGATGGAGGAAGCTTCTGAAGGACGCATCAAGGCTCACCGGCCGTGCATGTCTGCAAAGGTAGCAGTTCACTTAGCGGATGTCTTAGATAAGGGGAGGGCACACTCTAGCATGTCTTAAGACTTTACCTGCTAGAGGCCCTTAGGGGGAGCTTTCCGCAGTTGAAGTCTGAGACACGCTGGAGTGTGTACCGCGACCGACGTACCTTACCCACTCCCGGCTTTCCATGTAAGAGGAATATCAGGCCGTTCCCCTTTCCCTTGACAAAGTCTGCTGACCAGTGCTCTTCCTTCAGCCCTTCCCCGAATTGATTGACGCGAGCAAAGCTTTTCGCTAGGGCCTTGAGCGTCTTCAATCTCTTTTCTTCCATCACCAAGTTATCGATAAGCTCCTCCTCAAAGTCTGGTTGAGTGAACCCCCCAACCGGAAGAAGCTCTGCTTTCGAATCAGTGGAGGGGAATAAGTTCTTGTTCTGTATGTGCTTACCCCAATGCCGTGTTTTGAACACATAGGCCCACATATTCTTTGGGAGCAGAAAAAGCTGATCGTCTTTCAGGTCGGTGGCTAGTTTGGGATAGATGTTTTCGAAGAGCACCCCACTACTGTTCGCATTTGGGGCTCTTCTGCGACTACAAACTGTGCAACTGCAACCGGGGATTGAGGCGCGATTGTCAACATCGGTGTCCATCAACTGCGGAATGAAGCGGTCGTTTGCACCGTATAGTTCGTCTATGTCCACCATCACAAGACCGTCAACCTAGAACTACGGTTAGTCTTCTCTTCCTTCCTTCTCGTGGATAAGGATTATTGCTTACTTCGGTGTGTGGGAATTCTTTTGTTTTGCCCTTGAAGTACTTGCACTGTTTCTTAAGAAGACCCCAGTACAACTTCCCTTGCTCGATTATCGTCTCCACGTCCTCTTCGCGGGGCCGGGTCCTCAGGTCCACGGACCTCGTCTTCTCGACTACCTCTCCTTCCCACTTGGTAAACGACATGCTCCATTTTCGGCGACCAATTACGCTGCCATCGTAATCCAGGGACCAGTAGTAGAGCTGCCAGGTAGTCGCTGGTGTTACAAAGTGGCCCCCAGAGAGAGAGTGCACTACTCCTGCGTAGTATTCATTCGAGGTTCCCGCATGTGCAACAATGGTGTTTCCGGGCTTCAAGTTTATCCAAAACCCTTCATAGCTCACGTACCCGCGTCGGTTCCTGGCCCGTTCTTCTTCCACCGCCGGCATGATATGCTCATCGAGGAATTCTAGAAGGACACACAGATCCTCGTATGCGTCCTTCTCTCGGTGACAGAGCTCTTCGGGCGAGTCTACGCTAACTCTTTCTCTATACTCCACCAACTCGTCGTAGTGATGCACGAGAACCGCATAGGGGTAGTCGATCTTAATGATATCGCTCGCAAGATCCTGACTGGGATAGAATTGGACGACTGAACGAAGAGCATGCGCGATTGCTCCAGACAGGATGCGCATACTGCGCGATGGTGCGGCTGACGTGTAGCGTTGCTCCGTGTCTTTCTCGTTCTCTTGGATGGCCGCCTTCTTGTTGGACTTGAACGTGGTGACAACTTCGAAGGCTGGCTTCGGACCTGAGGCAACGGTCTCTTCCTCTAGGTTTGGTCCCGATGTTTCATACTGGTGAAGCACCTCGTTTTCTTTGCTGACATATTGGACGCGGAATCTGATGCGCTTGTTCGCTGCCGGCTTAGGCCCATCCTCCAAGTTCCCTTCGGCGGCTGATATGCCCTCCCATTCGGGACTCGTCGACTGCGTCGTTGTGTTAGTGAGGACGCCGTCGGACTCCATGGCGGTTTCGACCCTGAGGCTGAGAATGTTGTCGCATTGGTGTGGTCGGCACCCACGGAGCTGATATATGTACGAGTTTCAGCCTCGTCCGGCCCCCACAAGCTAGCTGCCGTCATCAACGCACACATGTTCCAAATGGGCTAGTGCACAAGCGAAGCGCGAACTCGAAGCCAATGAGACATAAGTGCAACCCATCCTTACATTGCAGAGCGCGATCGCTTGGCTAAGAGCATAGCCCACTGAGGCGGAGTCAGCGTGCTTCTAGGCAGCCTGATGCACCCGGCGATCCAGCCCAGACGAATTGAGCTGCAATAACAGCCCAAGGATTCGTGAAGCTCTTCATCAACCCACTGTTCGAAAAATTCCTTCGAGATATACGAGCACGATACAACTTCTTCAAAGGGCCAGAAACGATGGAGGATGAGACAGTGACTAGACAAGTAGTCCGAGTCTACAGCTTTCAGGCCGAAGAACGACTACCAGCCGAGAGCGAGGCGCATGTCTTAGCCCGTGTTCTTTCAGATAAAGAGCCTTCCTTGGAGAATATAACGGAACCATGGCGCAGGTTCTTCGAGCCTTGGGAATCCGATGAGCATGAGAGGTATGAGCAAAGCGGTGGCATCGCGTCCAGCGGAACAATTTAACCGGTGATCAGCGACCCTATCACGAACGTTCTCTCCGTCGAGGCCGCGAAGCTTCAAGAGCAATGGTTCCTGTTCCAGAAGTTCATTCCAAAGGAGGAGCAAATCGACGTTCGGAACTCTGAGCCGACGATCGACGGAGTCATCAAAATGGTAGCGACCGTAAGCAAGGCATGGCAGGCAAAGCGCGAGAAGGGGAAGCGAGGTAAGGCAACGGGCCTCTTCCATCGCTTATGTGGTACACTGGACGCGCATAGTTCCATGTTGGAAGTCGTCCCGAAAGGAAATGAGTATGCTTCACTCTTCGCCGGGACCATCATCTCCATCATCAGGGCGAGCGTCAACCACGAGCACATTGCGGAGGATTTAGCGAGTGCCCTCTGCGCCATAAGCGAAAATGTAGCGGAATGCGAGGTCGAACTCGAGCTTTTCAAGACGGAAGCTATGATGCGCGCCGTCGCGGATCTATATGCACATATCTTCCTCTTCCTCTCCGACACACTGGGCTGGTACCTTAGGAAACGGCGTAAACGACTCGTCGATTCGTTCAACGAGAAATTCTTCGACCATTTCGAGACCGAAATCGATAACATTAAACGTAAATCCGAGAGCATCAGGAGGAAGGCTGCGCAGAATATGGCAGCAGAGCAGAGGGTGACCCGGCTGACAGTGGAGGAGACAGGAAGAGATCTGAGGCTAGGGTTACAGGGGATCATGAGGGAGCAAGCCGAGACGAAGTACGCGGCGCAGCAGATGCGCACCCAGATGCAGAGGGAGAGAGCCGAGTGGCAGGAGGAGAAGAAGCACTTGGCGAGCTTGCACGCCAACCTGCTGACTTTCCTGACTGACGCCGTGCAGTCACATGGCCTTCAAGGTAAGAGCACTTCCACTATGTGAATGCGGCCGCTTCAGAAATTCACTCCCACAGAATTGTCTTTGCTCCGCCCAAGCATCGCAGGCGCTCCAAACACCGTCCAACGCGTCCTCCCTGGCCTCGATATAGCGTCAATTACCCGCGAGAAGGTCATGCTTAACTCTGCATGCCTGGAGGATTTCTTCCACCGGGATCGCGTCCGTCTGCCCTGCGATCATTTTGCGCCTGTGAAGGTCAATCCGGAGGCTCTAGCTCGTCTTGCGGAATGGAGCACCGCGACCGACTCCGACGTCCTCTGCCTCGCCGGCCCAGATATCGAGACGGATGAGCTGGAGAACTCGATGACTATGCTGGCAGCTAGGTTCGTCGACTTCGCGGCACGATCGAATGTGCCCGTAATGTCGTATTTCTGCGAACTTCGAAGAGGTCAGAAGAACAGACCGGGGAATACAGCAGAAATGCAGGGCGCGATCGAGTTAGTGTATGCGCTCATCAGGCAAACGATCGAACTTCTTCCTCTAGAGCTCAAAGAGAACGACTCGGACCTCTCGGGGGAACGCTTTCAGCAGCTGGACGGATCCGCGGCATCCCTGGGAGACGCTATTGCACTGCTCAATGAGCTCTGTAAGCAACTTCCCGGGAAAGTGTTTTGCGTTATCGACGGGCTGCAGTGGCTAGACGACAAGAGCACGGATACATTCCTAGCCCGGTTCGCTCATCAACTACGAGAAGCGGGGATGAAGGTCCTCTTTACGACGACAGGGCAGTCAAGAGCCTTGTTGGACTGCCTCTCCAGAGGAGAACTGTCCCTGTATGATGGACCAGAGAATCGAAGCGGAGGGGCACCATGGGAACTAGATGATGTCGTTGAGTTCTGAGCAGGATACTGACGTACTTTTTGACTTCCCGTGTTCATAGAACGGTTTAATTCAGCATATGGGGCCAATGATATCAACTAGGATGACGTGGGATCCAGATCTAGCCTACGTATGTTCTTGGTGGCCCATGTGGTTTATGCCGCCGCTCAAGTGTCGCTCCAGGCGTTGTCCACTAGGCGCACCTCCCCCTCGCGCCATCGCCACCATCGACAAGATCTCATCTTTATGAAAGTATCCCCGAACCTTGTGAGTCGACGAAACGCTTGTCGCGAGCACTTTTACCACCGCGGGAACGCTCTTGTCAAATGTAGCGCGCAGCACACATTCAAGGGCTTGAAGCATACCAGCCCTCGTTTCGTCCCGCTCGTAGTAGCCGATGCCATCAATCAAGCAGAAAACAGTGACGGCTTTGGGTAGCCGACGAAGCAGGCATATGAAAAAACTACAGAGGGCGTTGAGATCGCCGCTCTGCACCTCGTTGAGACTGACTTCGTAATGGATGTGACGCGTATCGAGGTGTTGTTGGCAGAGTAGTAGTTGCGCGATTAGACTCTTCACCATGGCTGTGCCTCCGAAAGATGCGCCGTCTCTCTTTTCCACGTGACGGCCACAGAAGAAGACGAGCGAAATGAAGTTCTCTTTGCGCTGGAGATGTTGGCTCAGTGTCGAACAAAAGAGAGAGAGAGGAGAGACGTATTGGGTTCCACCGAAGTCGCTGTGCACGAGCAGCTTGGTTGATGTAGGCGCAATGATCCAGTTATTGAACTGATGTGTCCGGACCACCTGTTCCGCTCGTGCGCGGTCCTTGCTCGGAAACCGCTCTCTCCGTTCTTCGATGAACTGCATATCCTCGATGTCCAGGCTGGAGATGTTGAGCAGGCGCCAGAGCTCTTGTGGGTTGATGTACCATTCTGTCACCGGAGCGGGAGGGATATGAGTTATCATTGAAGGCCCTGGTGCAGGTGTGCAGCTCCGCAAATGCTCGCGTTCAACCATCAACGTGGAGATCTCGCGTCTGACGGCTGTAAGCTGGTCTGGTCGCCGACATTAGCATACTCCAGCAATGGAATATCTCTAGGTTACCTTGGTGCCGTCTCTCATCCTGCGCACGCCCTATTTCATAGCGCCGGCATTGCATATCAAACAGGTCCTTTATCGAGTTTATGCCTTCACCTATCTCCACGATACCTTCCTCAGTCTTTAGGACTACTTCCTTGACTTCAACCACGTTCCTGTTGGTCTCCAGTCCTTGATGAATCTGCTTCTCTTGTCTCCTCATGAGCTCTTGTTGCGCTCGGCGCATTTCATTCCACGCTAAGAAGGCAAAGCTCGTCAGTCTCTTGCAGGACCGAGATCAAGTGTAGTCTTACCTCGAAGCGTGTTCTCGAAAACCCACCGTATATTACCCATGGACGAGTTTCTCGCTTTGTGAATAAGAGTCCAGCTTGAAGCCTTCATAGCAGCGAGGCTCTCCAGGATGCTATTCTGATACTCTTCTCCTTTGAAGACAGCCTATCCCAATTTCTTCTCTGTAAGGACGAATTAGCCAAGAATGCAATCGTTCGCAATAGTCCGGAGGCTGACATACGGGCTCCTTTGATATAGAACCCAATGACCTGCTCCATGGCTGCTAGTACACAAGTGACCACGTCCACTGCAGCTTTTCGGATATTCTCATCCTAGGGAAACGTTGCGAGGAAGAATTCAACATCTTGGAAGATGGCTTCCAGGTCTTCAAAGCCGCTAAGGATCTGTCCGCGAACGCTCGATGCTCGTTGGGCTGCCTGCAACTACGTCAGCATACGCGAGCCTTTGAACCTTATGGGGTTACCTCTAGCAGGAATTGAACTGTGTTAAGAACCGGGGAGACATAGTCTAGATTCGGAACCACGCGCATTGTCTGCATTACGGGTTGGGTGTTATCGACGGCTTTGCGTCTGATCTTCCTCGCCCATCCGCTCACTCCAGTCTCCTTCGTATAAAACTCTCGAGCAGCCTCAAGCTGCAACTGCACATCTTCCAACTTCCACCTATCGCGAATGCTATACCCAGACTCTACTCGATTCTTGGGCTCCTCGTATTGAGCCTTGAATTTGCGCATGGGAAGGAAGCTGCGTGTGGAAGAGGGTGATGTTGCGCTGCACGCCAAGGAGTACTGGGACAAGAATAAAGACGGTCGATGGAACGGACGGCAAATCAGAAATGCCTGTCACACCGCACTCGCGCTCGCCGAATTTGAGGCTCAAGGCGGAAGCCACAAGACCGTTCACAACCCAAACGCGGAAGTCCACCTCCAGGATAAGCATTTCAGAACCGTCTCGGGCGCGTATTTGGACTTCATAAAGTATCTTAAGGAGATATATGGCACGTCCGCCGAGGAAAAAGCGCAAGAACAAGGTATCAGAGCGAGGGAAAGCGATGTTCGCTCTATAGCTAAAGATCATGCGAAGTTCGCCTCTGGCCAGCTGCCGGCCGCCGGCGGGTCCGCTGGTTCGCACTCGTATTGCATCGACAACCCCGTCCCGTACCGGCACAGCCGCAGGCTACAAGTTCAAGATTCCCTAACCAGTATATGCCCCAGCCGGATCAGTTCAGCCAGCATTGGAGCGTTTCCCCTGGAATGGCTGGTCAGCACTATCCGACGATGCCAGATGCCTCAAACGGGGAACGCCTGTTTCAGCAGCAGCCTCGTTCGTCTGGCCCGACGCCGTCAGTACCCAGCGTGGATCAAGCGGGAGTATTCCAAGAAACAGTGAGCGACCAGTACAGCATGTTGGACCACCAGCGCCCGGATATCGGAAACATGTGGCCTTCCGCGCCCAGGCACGCGTAGTCGGAGTGAGGAGCGATTCCAAAGATGGTTTCCTCTCTGACTTCCAAGGCATAGGGGCAAGAAGTGGAATGCATGATGGAGATGAAGATGGTGATGATGATGCGACGAGCTTGATGGCCTGAACAGGAGAGAACGAGTGGAGTGGGGCTTCAAAATTTCGGGCGGTTTGTGCTTAGTAATCAGGATGCGCTAGGTGACCTCGGCACACCTACCTAGGTATTTCCCTATACTTGAGGCAACCGCTGGGGGCATATTAGCCACTCGACATTGAATAGAGACTAGTTAACGACAATCCACTACTTACTCACCTGCTTCAATCCAGAATAGTCTATCACCCCGTCCCTCAAGTTCGCCACCACGGCATCCTTCGTCCACGGAAAAGCCCTCACCAGGTCATCCAACACAGCATCCGCCGTGGCCCGATCGCGTTCGACGAGCACCGCATACAACTCCGTCGCAAAATCGATCTTTCGATTCGCAAACTCATCCTCTAGATATGCAATCGTCGCCTCGCAAGCCTCTATCACCTCCATACTCCTTTTCGCCACGGAGTTCTGCATCTCCTTCCTCCAGCTCCAAAACACAGCCATCCTCTTCCGCCCCTGCTCATGCAGCTCCCGAAGGCGATGACTGTACATGATGACAGCGCGTAGGTAGGCACTCGCACGCTCCCGATGCTCGCGCAGGAGCGCAAGCTTCCATGACAAGTGCAGTTCTGATTCGCGACTCATGGTGTCTGTGTAGTCGTCCAATATCTCTTTTACTGCCTCTTTGATGGCGGTGTCGGTGTGGATGTTCCATGCATTCCAGTGTGGGCTTTCGGATGGTTGGTGGTAGAACTTCAAGGTGAGGCGCTGGCGCTCCGCGATCGATTCGAAACATCCGGCCGTCATCGTCGATGAGCCTCTGATTAAGGTATTGATATTGGAGATCCTGGAGGTTCGAGGTTTCCAAAGTTGAGTGGTGTCGAGAATGAAGGTAATGCAATAGAAATGTTGGCGTGCGGGCGCATTAGCTGCCATTGTCTGGCCTGCTGGTGAATGGCCGTGGTGGGGAAACAACGTATCTAAGCATAGTCCAAGAATTCTTAGCGGGAGTACTCAAGACTTGAAAAATTCTAGGGTTCGATTGTTAGTGAAAGTTTTCCAAGAGAACTTGGGCAGTAGTGCTTCCCAATACTTAAATGTCTGCTGGATAGCACCTAGCCTACCGCAGTTGCTGTCCAGCAGACATGACCGATTTTCAACCACACCCCGCCGTTTCCTCGATACTAGGATTCCTAGCCGACATGATAGCATCCATGCCTTGGTATGCTTCTACAAAGATAGGTTGGAATTCCACCGCCCCCGAAATTTTCCGGCGGCTACTCCGCAATACGAGTAAAACCAGGCTCTGATCGCAAACTTCGATTGTACCTATCTTCGACCAACGCCTTCTCGAACTCAGCCTCGGGAAGCGGAATTATGTGGAGTGGATCATCAAGATGGGGTTCGCACTCAGCAAGTAGCATCCATACGTAACAGCTGAAAATAAGGGGAATCGTACCTACGCACCTATCCCCGTATTCATCTTACTTCCCTCCACCAGATGCGCCATTGTACTTCTCTCTGGTGCTATCTCGCACATGCTTGATGATTTGAAGGGCCTCCGGATATCTGGTACGCACGATGCGCAATATCGCAGCAGCATAATCCTCCCCAGCATCTACCTCGGACATGACATCGAGCAACTCGTGCGCGCAACGATACATCTTGGAGGACACGGCCTTGACATGCGAGACAAAGGATGCCGTCTTCCTCGATAACGTCAAAGGGTCATTCTGGATCTCTTCCCAAAGTTTCTCCACGTCATCCGCCGCGATATCGGCGGCAGTAGATAAGTCCGGCAGCCATCTATCACGGGCATCGTCTAGCTTCGTTCCGTACTCGTTGATCTTCCTGATTTGTGTGACTAGCGCGGCTTCGGCGACGATGGCTTCGGAGTTGCCTTGGCTGGCTTGGTCACAGACATCCCTGAGAGCCTCGAGTAGATCGGCGCGCTGAGCCTGCAGTTTGCTCCAATGGAGCTCATGAAACTGGACGGTTTTGTTGAGGAAGTCGCCCACCACTGGAAAAACGAGTTGCGCTTCTTGGGCGCTATCGTTCAGCATCTGCTGCGAGGCTTCGAACAGGTGCAGGAGTTCAGTCTGCAACTTAACGTCCTCGCAGTCCTCACCCTGCTCCAAAACGGTGGCATCGCGGATCTCTTTCACCTCCGCATTACGCTTATAGAGAGCGCGAACAATGGTCGGAAAGGTTTTCGCGAGATAAGCGGTCGGATATTCACGAGGCATTGCAGGTTGCCATCGAAGGGCTCCATTGCCGGTCCTTCCGAAACTTGAAGGTTGCTCAGAGTTTTGTTCATATTGTCGATAAGATCGAAATAGAGTCTTCTAGAGGAGATATCCGGGTGTGACCACGTCCCCTGAAGGTTTCAGTATGATATATCGCATCCACTCTCAGCCGAGGTCGCAGTGCGATGGCTGGAAACGTACCTTGGAGGGCTTCAACAGCTGGTTACTTAGATGGCGGAGTGTTCGTGAATTGAGAGTAGGGGCGCATGGGTGCACCGAGGGAGAAGAATAAGGTGGGGTAGGGAGCGGTGCGGTTAGAGTCGACTGCCGAGCGAGCTGGGGAGCTGTTGGAGGGAAAGGAAGAAGGCGGAAGGAGGCAAAGGTCGACTTAGTATGTGTCAATGCGCGACGTAAGTCATAAAAGTGAAGGAGGATTGTACCGATAGCATTATCTCTGTATGATCTAAGATTTTCAGCATCGGCAACGTCCGAGGAGTCCACTGTATCCGCTCACCCTACTCCACCACTCTCCCCATACTAGCGGGCCACTCCCTCCTCAACCCCTCCACCACCATCCCCCAAAGCTCCGCGTCCGCATCCGCCAGCAAAAACAACATTGTCTTGAGATTCCTTACCGCCTTATCCCAAATCTCCAGGGCCCACTTCACATCCTCCCTCATCTCGTTAGAATATGGCGCCACGCTCAGCCCATTCCACTTCCCTACCCACTCTCTTGCCTGCCCTTGCACGGTCTTCAACCTGTCTGCTGCAAGGCTGACCAAGGCTTGCGTGTCCGGCGCCAAGTCCTTGTTGTGCTGCTCGATGTATGGGCGGAACTTTTGCGCTGCCAGGAGCGTGCTGGCACGTTTGAGGAGGCGCGGATCGTTGCGTCGGTAGAGAAGTACGGCGATACGGTGCTTCGCGGATTCTTCTTGGAGCTTTAGGGAGAGGACTGTGACGAGTTTCGTTTCGATGGAGACCATGGATATGATTGGTGGGAGGGACGCGAGCCTTTTGACATCTTCGGCGAAGGCTTCCATTTTCGCGCGCTGGAGTGTCGGAATGGAGTGGTGTTTGGGAGAGCTAAAGTTGGGAAGGGCAAAGAAAGATCACGCGTGAGATTTGAAGGGAAAACAGAGCAACGTAGTGAATGGGCGGGCAAGAGAGGAGCGGGTCGCGGGGACATCGCATTTGATTTGGCAGTGAAAAGGGAAGACGGAGGATGTAAAAAAGTAAGGAGATCCTTCCAAACTTCGCGAGTCGTCCTTCTCGTCTTAGGGAAGCTTTCTCGCCTTAGATAACATAACGCCCAAACTCCCTAGTCGGTACGTTCCTCTCGAACATAATATCCAGCTCCTCATACGTGCGTCCCTTCATCTCCGGTACCCTAAACCAGCACCAGATCAAACACGGCAGACTCAGCCCACCAAAGAAGAAACCTAGCTTGCCCCTCAGATTCGCTTCATCCGGGTTGATTAGGTATGGGATAGCGACAGTCATGACGATGCCGACCATGGCTTGAACGGCGGTGGCAACGGCGATGGTCTTGGAGCGCACGCGGGTCGCGCTGACTTCGCAGAAGATTGCATAGGCCACGGGGCCGACACTGAAGAGGTTAGTGCATCAGTGTACGTAGAGGGCGAAAGGGGGCTTACCTCCAATCAAACGTAAAGTTCCAGACCAACAGTAACGCGGACTGCGCCCAGATCGCGCCCTTCGTTGGCACCACATCCAGAATGCCGACCAGGAACATGATGATCATGAGTATCGTAAGACCCAGGTTATAAAGAATCCTCCTCCCAAATCTCTGCATCAAGAACCAACTGAAGATCGTACTGACCCAACCTACGGCCAAGAATCCGATGCCCATATCATAGGCTTGCTCGGTGTTCAGCCCTGCCAAGCTGAAGAAATACGTGCCGTAATTGATGAGATAGATACCACAGAGCACCTGCGTGGCATACACGCCGATAGCGACTTCGGTGCGGCGCCAGTTCACCTTGCGGAAGACGTCCGTGTAGGTACTTCCGGCCTCCATCTGCGTCTCCAGTTTATCGGTCTCAATGATCTGGGCGAGCACGGCCTTGACATTGACGTGCTTGCTCGAGAGGCGGCGGAGAGATACCTCGGCATCATCGAGCCTGCCCTGGCGTGCGAGCCACCAAGGGCTTTCCGGCGCGAAGAACATCCCTGGGAGGATGATCAAGACCCAGAACCACTGTAGCGCGAAGGGAATGGAGTATGCCCAGTGGGTGTCGAGATTCTTGGTGCCCGCCGTGACGCCGTTTCCGAGAAGTTGTCCCGTGACGAAGCAGAGGTTGACGTACGACGTCGATACGCTGCGCATCGCTAACGGAGTGACTTCCGAGGCGTACGCTGGCGCGATGACCACGAAGGCTCCTAGGACGAGGCCAGCCAGTAACTCTCCCGCAAGCAGCACATGCAGCGAACGCGCGAAGAATTGGATGAAAACCAGGCCGGCAACAGCAAGCACGCACACATTGAACGTCCTCTTCCTGCCATACCACTCCATGGGATACCCAGCTGCAAGGGCGCCGAGAACTTGTCCGATTGGATTACCCATGCTCAAGCCAGTCTGCCATGCTGCAGATATGATGTAGCCATCGCCAAATTTGTAACCAAAATCTCTCTGGAAGGCTGGCATGGCGTAAAGGTTGCCGAGCAACTGGGGGTCAAATGCTGTGAGTTGTTAGAGACTCTTGATCCTGATAATCCAGCACTTCGAAAGAGTTCGCGCAACGTACAGAGCATGATAACTCCTAAGCTGAAGTACATGGACCATCCTATCGCCTTAGGATACAGCTTCACAGCATCCCAGAAGGAGAGTGTGTGCTCGATTGCGATTGCTTCAGCCACTTCCTCCGCGTTTTCCTGATCCTGCTGCGTCGACAGCTTGCGAACCTCGACTGGTGGCTCGGAATCCTTCGTGTCAGTCGCCATGGCGTACAGCTGTGATCCAACGAAAATAAGTGAGGAAACAGAACAAAATGTTTCAAGCTTTCTGCAGGGCCATGGGTTATCTTATGCACGACCGATAAACCATGATAAGTCCTGAATTTGTTATCAGTTGAGTCCCTGCTCGCGGTGCGGGGTGTGCAGTACGGTAATGGTTCCACCTCCGACGTTGCATGCGCATGGCTATCCCGGGTGTAGATCTCTTACCCATATTGAGCAGGTAAGTATCCAGATTGCGGTCGGCATTCACCCCGGTGCTCCCCGTAACAGATCGATAGAGTGCGGAATTTTTTTTTAATGAGACTTTCGAGGTGGCTTCCCACATTCAAGTCCAGAACATGTGAGCTTGGGACGTAGGAGGGCGAAGTTTGCGGCAAATCCTGGTTCTGGATTTGCAGATAGGGTGCGCCGTGTATCCGGGTAAAGCTCGAGGTGGTGCATCCCACAACGCCGGCCCAACGGGGCGGAGAAGCATGGTGTATGGGTTTAACAGGTGCTGGGTGTGTGAGAGGGAGAACGTTGGCTAAGAGGACCGACAGGCTTTCCGCCCCCGATTTGGCATCCCTTCCGCCAATCTGCAGGGCCACATCTCTTTCCTCCACCCAAGGGGTTTGTGTGAAGCAATATTGCGTTGACAAAGTAATAAGAAGAGAAAGCAGTTAATCGACGTGCGATCGCTATACTTACGCGTCGCAAATTCCTGACGCGTCGAGCCAAAACGCGGTTCAGGCGAGGAGAAGAATATGCGTGCCACGACAGGTCGAAAGCATCCCCATTGGAACCTCAAATGCCTCTGCGGCGTGTCCTGAGGTTATTGGAAAGACGATTGCGTAGTTTATGAGACGAGACGAAAGAGAAAGAGAGGAAGGAGACGGAATGGCGAATCACGTGCGCCAAGACGCCAAAGCCTTGGCTTTGCGCCGTCGAGAGCTTCAGCAGACCTCTTCTCTTTCGCCTCACTCGCTGCACGATGGCTTCACCATTCGTCGCCGACGATCTTCACAGACATTGAGCTCGCGACTCATCCTCGATTGATTCCGGTGAGCCAAATTGGTCGATTGACCGGCATCCGGCTTTCATCCACCAACGGCCCAGTTCCCACCGAAACACGGGTAATGAAGACAAGCACCAACCCAACTGGTAGGGCCTCAATGATGAGGGTTGGTCTTCTTTGCCTACGTCCGTTCACTTGCGGATAAGCAAAGCTAAGGCCAAACGCGTGAAAGCGTCCTAAGATTTGCACTGTCGCACTGGCCAACGCCTATAACTCACCGCCTGTAGACCCTCGTCGACGAGTACAAAACCACACCCACGTCCGCTCACGTTTTCATTCTCACTGCAGCACACACGCAGCCTTGCACCGCACGCCATGTTACGACCGACCCTCGGAGACCTTCCTTCTGAGACGATAACCGCAATTGCGGCTCATCTACCAGACGGCGATCTCCGGTCCCTTCACATTGCAGGCAAGGTCCTCTCTCAGAAGTCCAAGTACGCTTTTGCCAAGCGGTTTTTCACGAGTGTCGGCGTACTCATTCATCCCCTCAGCTTCGAGAAGCTCCGCGGCCTGGCAAGCGACCCGTTCTACTCGGATTTCATCGAACAGATTACAATTTCAACGCATGTGCTGAGAGAATGGTGGGCGCCTAAAGATGACCTATGCCATATGGATGTGGATGACGGGGGATTTCCAGTGCGCGTCGTGGAAGAGAAGGAGGAGGAATATGAGCAGCGGTGTTGGTCTGAACAGCATTTCGCCGAGGGGTGTGCAGTCCAGGATCTGGTGAATATCCTGCAGCGCTTGTCCAAGCTACGGGCGGTTGCCGTGTCCGATTTTGTTGACAATTGGGTCCAAGACGTAAGTTAATCTTGTGGGACGAATACTGAGGATATGCTAATCGTACCGCCACTTTAGGTAACTGGCCATCGCCAGAGTAAGCCATGGGGAGGTTCCCAGCTATTGTCTCCATCGGGCTTCGATAATTTAGAAGAGTGTAAGGGACCTCGTGTGTGGCGCCAGGGTATGCACCGTCATCAAGTCCTTGGGATCGTCCTTGCGGCAGCGTCACAGGCCGATCTCGCCTCGAGGAACATCCATCTTGACTTGACCCTGAACCACGGACACTCTAACGTGTGGTCGCCCGACTCCAAAGACTGGCACTACAGCATGTCCTCACTCCTTCGCAGCTTCTCGGGTTTCATAGACATTACACAGCCCAACAGCCGCCAACTTGTACAAAGCATTAATCCGTCGGTCTTGTCCCTCGACTACGGACGGTCGCGCACATCTCCAAACCCGCATAACCCGCACCTCGGCTACTACCCCCAACTCCGCGCGCTTAAGCTATCACGCATGTCTATTCTCTACAGCCAGCTCAACAACTTCCTGCTAGCCCGCTCCGAAACCTTGGAGGTCGTGAGCTTATCGGACGTCTATATCTGGAACTGGGGTACACAAGGCCTGAATCACCCCTGGATTCCCATCTGGCAGACCCTGTGCAAGATGCCACCACGACTGCGTATTCTCAGCCTCAACAAGTTAGCTCTAGTCCGACATGGTGAGGATCTTGTCGGCAATATACCAGGTGCCGCCATTATTGACTTGGCCTGGCGTGGTCAGGAGATCGCTTTTGGATTAACGAATCTCCTCGCTATTTACGACGATGCGTCCGTTGCATTCGCCTTGCGATTCAATTTCACCTGGCCTTGGGTTGATCTACGAGTAGCCAACGATATGGTTGAGAAGCTTCGGCAGGGAAATATTGGGCTGCGACCACGGCAGTAGGAGAGATTTAGTCGAACTACTCTGCCCCTTTCTAGCAGTGGCAAGACGCCTTTGATGGTCATTATATACATTCTCTCTCCCGACTCTATGTTCTTCCAGATTCCCTTCACCCGAACAGCGCCTCACCATCCACGAAAGCCTCCCTAATGGACTCTCAGCCGACTCACGAGGATGTCGAACGTCAAAGAAGAACGGGTAACTAATCCCGGGAAGTATATACGCAAGGCCCTGTCTCCACGCTCTCTCCCCTTTACCGCAACAGCACAGCAAGGCGGTCTTTTATCAGGGGGTTAAGAGATGACGTGACTTGAAGCTGCACTGTCATCCCCACTGGCCAGAGGTGTTGAAGAAGAAGTGAAGGTTGGGATGGTCGTGTAAAAAAAATGGTCGTGTGCGTGATCGCTGTTGGAGTCCGGGCGGTGAAGCAGACGGTACGGAAGAGTCTCATAGGGCAAGAGTCTCACAGGGCAAGATAGACTTCGAGCAGTGTATAATGCATCTCAGTATAAAGTATTCTGCGAATAGAGCTTGGAGAAGAGTTTGGCTGCCAAGCACCAACGCGGAGATGCCCCGCTGGATCCAATTTCGCGTTATCAGGCCACCGATTGAAGCGAGCATGACGGTGTAACGGGGCAGATTGCAAAATGATAGTTCGGCACGCCTGCATTAGTTCCAACTGTCGGTCAACAATGTCCCTTTTCACCCACTGCTGATGGCGAAAGTGGCCCCATCGTTGGAAGGCATTTCCGAAAAGGGAAATCAGCTCCATCCACGAGGCTCTGCACCCCGCAACGGAGCGCGCTAGTGCCTGACCCACCACACCAACGGCCGATGAGAGCCGCACTCTCTCACCACATAAACCGAGCTTTAAAAAACATCCAGCCGCAATGAATTCAGCAATTGCACCTTCTACAACCCCACTTTCAACGCCAGGTTCGTCGCGATGGCATCCTCCTACCTCATCGTCGGCGCAGGCGTCTTCGGCGTATCCACCGCCTACCACCTCATCAAGAAGTACCCCTCTGCATCGGTAACTATAGTCGACCGCGACTCCTACGACGCCGACAGCCGCGTCGCCGCCTCTTGGGACTGGAACAAGGTGGTGCGCGCCGACTACGACGATATCGTGTACTGCCAATTGGCCCTCGAAGCCCAAGACATCTTCAAAACCGACCCGCTATGGCAGCCGTACTTCCACGAGACAGGCATCTACTGGATCTGCCGGTCCGAGTATGCGCAGGACGTCATCGACAACTACAAGAAGCTCGGCCGGAAAGCGGAGCTGTCCGCCGTGCCGGTTGACGAGGCGCGCAAGATGTTTAGCGGGCTGTTCGACGACGCGGATTACTCGGGGGTCAAGGAAGTGCTTGTGAACAAGACGAGTGGGTGGGCGAATGCGGGGGATGCGCTGCGGGCGGTAACGAAGAGGAGCATCGAGTTGGGAGTGAAGTATGTGACGGCGGATGTGGCGACGCTGAAGTTCGAGCCGAGCGGGAGGTGCACGGGGGTCAAGACGGAGAAGGGGGACGTGTTGACGGCTGACAAGGTTGTTCTTTGCACAGGAGCTTTCACGCCGAGGCTGCTGGAGCAGAGTGCGCAGAGCAGCGGAAATGCGGATCTGAGAGTTGGAGACAGGATCGTGGCGGGCGGCATCACAACAGGCATGACGACACTTGACGACGAGTCGTATAAGAGGTTCGCGAAGATGCCAGTGGGCGTCCAAGGTTATACCGCGTCGACAGGTCCTTTCATCGGCAGTCTCCCACCCACTCGCGACCGCGAACTCAAGTGGTGGGGCCAGAAGATCTTCAAGAACACGCAGGAAGTCCTCCCCGGTCGCTACATCTCCGCGCCGCCTCCGGAACGCGATTACGGACAGTGGAATGTCGCCGGTCCGCTAAAGCAGGACATCCAGTTTGCGAACAATGTCTTCTACGGCAAGAATGGTGCAAACTGGAAGATGGAGAAACACCGTATCTGCTGGTATGCTGTCTCCCGCCTTACACGTATGAAGACTAACCTTCAATAGGGACGCCTTCACAACCAGCTCCGACTTCATCATCTCTCCGCACGTCGCAGCTAAGGGTCTCTACATCGCGACCTGCGGTTCCTTTCACGGCTACAAGTTCTTCCCCGTACTGGGCAAGTACGTGCTGCAGATGCTGGAGGGCGAACTGTCGAAGGAGCTGAAGGAGAAGTGGGCTTGGGACCGCGAGAGGCCAGATCCGGCACTCAACCCAGATTGGCCCCGGTGGGAGATGAAGGATCTTCTGGACGCGCCACCTAAGGCGAAGCTATGAGCACGACTCTGGTTTACTGTCTGTGTCAGCGTGAATGCAGCATGGAAGAGCGAAGGGGTAATTTAGATAGGTAATGAGCAAGCTGTCCATCAATCACCCATTCTAAGCAAACACGCTCCTTCACCCCGAGCATTCAATCAATATTGTATTTATGTGCATGATCGAAGGACCTCCTAAATAGGTCGAACTTACTAAGCAATTCCCACGTGACTGGGCGATCAGCGTGGCCCAAGCTCCCGATTTCAAAACCCCGACGCCGCATCGTTTCCTCAGTCCTTCCCCTACATCCACCACAACCATGGTTCCGATACGGCTGAAAGTTGTGGCACGGCTGCTCAATGGCCGGGATGCACCGTTAGCGTCACGGATATCGACCGCAACTGCGGGAAGCCGCGCATACTTTCGGCCACGTACACCGCAACTTACCCCAGCTCCGGAACGCGTCCGTCCCCTTCAATCACGTGTCTCCGCTCTCACACGAGCATCCCTTTCGCGTCATATCTCTTCATCATCAACGAAAGCTCCGCACAATTCGCAACATGCCTCCTCACTGCTCGATCCTACGCGGCAGCAACTCTACCACTCAGCCTTTCCTACCAAAACCGTCATCTTCCTCCTCATCCTCGGCGGCGCTGCCTTCTACTTCATCGACGTACGATACAAAGACTGGGCGGACCATATTCTGGATTCCTTCAACGGCGAGCCCGGCGCCACCCCTCTCCATTTCTACAAAGACCGCGATGAGGTCGACCACTGGATTCAGTACCATATCCCGGATCCGAGCGCGCCGTTGAGAGACCCGGAGGTCCTGAAGCAGATCAATGATCGGTTTGCCGAGATTACGTTTGGGTGGGCGATGAGCGAGGAGGATGCTGTGGAGGCGGGGATGCCGGTTACGCATGGGTGTCGGTTTCGGAGTAATGAGCCTTGCGTGAGTATTTTCCTTTTCCGTCATGTTCAGTCATCTTCTTTTCTGCTTTTGTTTGGTTCTCTGTTTAGTCTATGTTTTGCATTCATCTTCGCTCTTCTCTTCATTGAATACCTGACCCTTCCCCTTAAATAATCTCCTTCCACCACCCCGGCTAACCTTCCCCAGGAAGACTACTATTCCCTCGGCACCGCCCCCGGTCCTGGCTCCAAACCCTGGAACTACTGGTCCATCTTCGACGGACACGCCGGCCGCCACACCGCCTACTATCTGCAGTGGACTCTACACCCAACGCTCTCTCGCGCCCTGTCCAACCTCTCCCCCGCCTCCTCCAGCTCCGTCATCGACACCACCATCAAAGACGTCTTCCTCAAAATCGACGCCGACCTCCTAACACGCGCCCGCCACGCCGCAAACTGGTACCCGGCCGCCAATGCAGCAGCCATCGCGGCCCTGACCCCGGCGTTCAGCGGTTCCTGCGCACTGCTCGCGGCCTTCGACCCGGAGAGCTCGAAACTGCGCGTAGCATGCACCGGCGACTCGCGCGCAGTCCTGGGCCGCTGGGACCCTTTGGAGGAGAAATACGTGGCCCAACCTCTCAGCAAAGACCAAACCGGATTCAACGAGGACGAAGTGAAGAGGCTCGCAGAAGCCCACCCCGACGAACCCGATATCATCGACCCGAAAACCGGCCGCTTGCTTGGCATAGCAGTCACGCGAGCCTTCGGCGACCACCGCTGGAAATGGGAGAACGACTTCATCAAGCAAGTGCAGCTCAAGTTCTGGGGCACTGCGCCGCGGCCAGACTCGAAGACGCCGCCGTACATGACAGCGGAGCCAGAGATCACAGAGACACAGGTCGTGCGGGCGGGGCCGAAGCCTAAGAACGGGAAGGCTGCTGGAGGAGCAGCTAGCGACGGCATAAAAAGCGACTTCATGATCATGGCGAGCGACGGGCTATGGGACCACATCTCCAGCGAGCACGCCGTCGAATGCGTGCAGCGCTGGCTCGAAGCCCGCGCCCGCGGCAACGGCAGCGTCGCCAAAGACCCGCAGCTCACGTCCCCCCTCTTCACCCCGTCCTTCCAGCTCGACCCCGGCGTCGCCTACGACATCGAGAAGGGCGCGGACATCCGCTGGCAAGCCACCCCGGAGTACTTCGCCATCGAAGACGACAACGCGGCGGTGTGTCTGGCGCGCAACGCTATGGGCGGCACGCGCAGGGGCTTGTTTATGGGCCTGCTGAGCATTCCGGGGCCGATGTGCCGGTCTGCCGTCGACGATACGACGGTCATGGTCGTGTTTTTTGATCGCCTGGAGGGCGAGGGGAGGGAGCTGAAGAGGAAGGAGAAGAGCAAGTGGTGGCCTTGGTGAGTTACGCGTGCGTGTTTGAGTTTGAGCGATAGCTACCGGTGGAGGAGGGGAAGTGGGTGGTGGGGATTGTATTAACATATTTGTGTGTGTAGGACGCGGATTTGGGACGCTGAAGCCGTGGGCGAGGCGTGAGCTCAGCTGTCCTCTTTGCGCTGGAATAGTCGCATTGGGAGGCCACCGTCTTCGAAACCAGAGCTAAACATACCCTTGGACCTGCGAAAATACCCTGTATAAAACAGAGACCTACCCTGTGTACATACCACTCCCGCAACCCCTCCACCTCCCGGTCCGTGCCGCAGTGACGATTGATCCATCAGCGCATACCATGCTAAAGTAAGTAGAGTAAGGTTGGTATTCAATCGAACCATCTACGCGACCAGGTACCTAGGTAACAGCGCTACACTATCATCGTACCCGCAACGCCGCTGCCCATCCCGTATTCATCCAAAAGAAGCATCAGATAGCCTGCCTATCGAGTGTAGAAACTCCATCCGTAGCGCCTAGAGGAGAGAGAAAACCTGATGCAAGCCCGGGTCTTAGTGACAGCGGGCGAACCGTACATGCACGTCCAGTATCTCCTCTCCTGTGCTTGAAAGAATAGATACTACTCTCCTTTGCCATATGGAGGGAGCTTGCTGCCGGTCCAGCTTCCACGCTCTGCAAAAACAACCCCGACTCGCTTCCCAGATTCTCGCGCAGCATCTCGCATTACTGCAAAAAGTCCCTCCGCACGTTGATAAACGCCCCGGGGCCGCCATCACCTGCGAGCTCGTTCACCAGCGCCTCCGTCTGCTGCACTAACCGCTCGAGCGCCGCGCTACTTGACTTGCCGAGACTCACTGCTTCATGTTAGCATACACTCCGACGCCGCCATATCCACATGGGTCACATACCTAATATCGCACTGTTCAACTCCTCCGCGACTGGCACCCGACCTGCCGTCTCTAGCAGCGGCGCCAGCGCGCTCTCCCTCACATTCTCATACGCAATCAACGCAAACGTATCCTCCAATGCCCTCTTGACCTCTCTCCGTGGATCAGTCGCGAACTCTGACTTGAGCTCCATGCCGTACTGTATTGTGTCCTGCGTCAACTGCGCCAGCTTCGCTTCTTTATCCTCCAGCTCATCTTCATCGTCCATATGCTCTGGATGATTCCAATGCGGAGCGCCATTGTGCATGCCCAGCTGCTCGTCCAGCTCCATTTCGAAGTCGTAATCGTCGGTGGCGGTGGAGTTTCGGTTGTTCAGGGTGGAGGTGGTGGAGCGTTTTGAGGGCGGAGTCGGGATGGGGTGGCATTGTGCGTTGAGCTCGTTGCATTTCCGTATCATTTCGATGAATTTCCGGCACCGGAGCTTGAAGTATATGTTCTCGTTGTCGCGGAGGACGGAGGGGTAGTATGCGGTCGTATGTTTGAGGGCTTTATCGATGTCGCCGTCGAGGATGGCTGCGCGGATTTCTGTATACAGTTAGTGCTATCCTGCGTGGAGTCCTAAGCTTGACTCACTCTGCCGATTTATGGCATCCAGATCCTCCACCGTCTCCTGGTACGGAATTTCCGCGTTCTCGTCATTCAGCACCGCCTTTACTTCTTCAATCACTTCTTCCGCGAACGCTCTTGCTGTCTCTACATATCCATCATGTGCAAGATATTGCCCAACCAAGGTGTGTATGAACTGCGTCTCGTCTGTCGACACCTTCTCCTTGCACGGGCCCGTACCTCGCGTAATCTCGGACTGTATCGATGCCTTCTCCGCCTGCACCATCTTGTCAATGTCAAAGGCGAAGGGTTCCTGGCCGAAGTTCGCGCGCAATGTCTCGCCGGGCTTCTTCATCCCAACGGTGGGGTAGTATGGCATATTGGGCTTTAGGTCTCGGAAAGCGTTCCCTACTAACATTAGCACTGGCTCGTCCCAGAGGACCCAGTCTCACATACCCAAGAAATGGCCATTCTTCGTAAAGAAGGCTGTACCCGTCCTAAAGTTTATGCCACATCCTATCACGTCCAGTGTGCCAAACTTGGGACCATATGTCTTTCCCGAGGTTGTGTTGCTGAAGCACTGCCCGTCGTCGCCGTGGTATGCGTACGAATCCGGCTCCCAGCCCGGTATCCTGTTGAGAGGAACCTTGGGGCCCGAGAAGCCGACGCCAATCATTCTGCTCAAAGAGTGTTAGCCTGCAGTCCGCAGTTGCGGCAAGGTGTACCTACCCGTCCTTGCCCTTGGACACCACGGTGACCTCGTAGTAATATATGCCACACTGCCGGGGCATGGGGTAGTCTGCGCGCACTGAGGCTGCTTCATCGGGCCCTTTCTGTGCGCCTGCGAACTTGGCCTGTCTCCCGTTGTCGTCCACCTCCATCTGCGGAAACTTCTCCGTTTCGCTCCATCTTGTCGGCCACGGAGCGACAGGCTCTTCGACGACAATAGGCGCTCGTTCTATGATGTCGTGGGACAGGCCGCGGTGCGAGGGCGCCATCTTGTGGAGGTTGGCGCTGCTCGAGCTGGTTGATAATGATCCGGCATTCGACGAGTGGGTTGACCGGTATTCTCGCTGGGCTGCGATCCTCGCCTTGTGCACCTCCTCCAGCTTCTCTGCATGCTTCGACCCGCGGAGATACGACGGCACAAAGAAGGCGGATGTTGCTCCATCTTGCGCTCCTCCGTAGCCATTCAGGTAGCCGAACTGACCCGGGTATGATGGTAATACGCTGCGCCCCAGAGAAGTAGACATGCTGTTGTGGTGGCCGTCGGCATCGAAGGAGCGCGAGTGGCGGGGGTGGGTGATGGAGTGCGGGTGCGAACCACTGTTGGCGAGGTGCGAGAAGGCGCCCGAGCGAGCAGGAACGGGGTTTGAGGGGCTGCTGCCTGCATTGCCAGAGGCCACCGCCGCATACGAGCTCTGGCGGCGGAACATGGTCGCGAGAGGCGGTGCGTGGTGAGCTTTGGATGGTGGGATCAGATCGCACGTCGGCGTGACCTTTCAAGCGACCGCAACCGCGACCAGCGCAGCACCCAAGCGTGCCGGGGGTGTTTATTTGGGCGAGAACAGCGGACGAGCGACCTGTGAAGCAGTCGGACGGCAGGCGGTGCGCGTAGGGCGCGGACCGAGAAAGCTGGCAGCGGTGGTCGAAGCTTGGTGCGTTGGCGGCGAACGAGGCGGCGAACGAGGCGGTGGTCAACGGCACAAGAGGTTCTGTTGTGCCGTATCCGCAAACGCATACATCGCTTGAGCTTTATCGGCGTCGGGGGCAGCAAACGGGCTGGCGTGCAGTCAAGGTCAACGAGAGAGTGCCGCGGTCGTCAGTGAGGTTGCAGGTGGAGTTGCCGAAGCGGGCCTCCCCGCATCATTTCGATAACGCGCAGTCACACTGCTAGAGCACGCAATTCGGCCGACTCACGCTCTTGAAGCTACAAAGTACGCTGAAAAGTCCGTATCGAAGCGCGTTAAATCTCTTTCTATGCAAATACATGGGTCCTACTACTACCATGTCCAGTACCGTCCCTCATGGCCTGGCCTACTCCAGACACGAGCGGTCACGCGCCAGGTTCAGGTACCGACCCGTCACTATCATATCCAGACGCCGAAGAAAGAATCCGTTTTGACCCAGACACGTCGGTGGACCCCCCGAGACGCCGAACATGCCCAAAATTGAGGTAGAAACACAGCTATGTAGAAGATAAAAGTGGGCCCAACTGCCCAAACGCAAGCTAATGACGCCGTTCGAATGCGAAAAACGCAAGTAGCAAAAGTATGTAGGGATGCATAGCTCAGGAACCATCTGTGTCAAGTCAGTAAGCTGAGGTAGGATATGTTGGCCGAAGAGTATGCGACGTGAGGGTGGAGCTGTGGCGAGGATGGAGAAACAGGTGCATACGTACCCATGCCGAGATGTGTGACGGCCTATGAAGCGGCAGCAACAGGCGTCGGCGAGCTTGCGAGACCGTTCAGCGGCGGTGGTATTGGGGTACTTGCATCGCCATTGGCGCCGCTCTTCTCACTGATAGCACTGCTCTCGTCCTTGATCTTGGTATCGCTCGAGCCTGTGGTATCGCTTTTCACGTCTTCGGCAAACACGGCAGCCTTCTTTGGCGCTCTCCAGGTGGGAACATCCCAGGCGACGCCAGTGAAGCTGCGGATCGAGAAGCCCTTCTTCTCCCACTTGCGGCATGGCTTGCCCGTTCGGTCGAGGGCACGCAGGCCGGCGTTGATGGCACCCATGTTGGCCTTTGGTCCCAGCTTCTGTACGGGCGCCGGGGCGGCAAAGGGTCCTTTGTTGTTTGGGTCGTTGATCATGTCGCCGCTGCGATGCTGTTAGCACTGGCTCGGAGGGGTGCTTGTAGTAAAGTGCGACGGTGAAGGGGGGATGGTAATTGAGACGGAAGCTCGGGGTGAGACGTGTGTGCAATCGATGAGGGGGTGAATATTCTTTACGAGAGATGGGCCAATTCACTCACAGCTTCTGCTTCTTCTTGGGACCCGGCTTGCCCCGTGGCTTGGGGCCGCCGTCCATGGCGGCCGCGCCTCTCTTCGCGGCGGTCTTTGGTCCAGGGACAGCCTTTCGCTTGCCTCCTGGCGCAGCGGCCGGCGGTGCGAGCAGGCCATTGCTCGTGCCATTCATGGGCGTCGAAGAGCCGTTGGGAGTGTCGGTCGGCGTGGGCTCGACGACCTGGGCCGGCGTGTCTGGCGACGACGCTGGCTTGGACGATTCGGAGGATTTTGACGACGGCTCGTGGGGAAACTTGGACAGCAGCTCTGATGGCAGTGGCAGGACGATGATCTTGGACTTCGCCGTGGCCGTCTTGGAGGTGGACATTGTGTCGGGGCGGCGGCGGCGTCGACGAGGTCGTGGGCGGCGTGCAGCAGGCGCGCCGTGGTGGTGGTGATGTCGCGACGGTGTGGTGGTGAGGGTTTGGCGGTGGTGTGTCGCGGCGTTGGGGCTGCCGTGGTTTTATTGTCAGCCGCTGGGTTGCGTGCCTATTGCAGCGCTTGTCTAAGGCTGTGGCTAGGACCGAACCTGAGCGCTGTCTAGTTCAGGGTCGCTCGCGCGTCCACTCACGGGGCGGTGATGCAGCGGATGGGAAAGCGACGATGAGAGGGGGGTGCGGGTGGGTGAGGGAGGAAGCGCGGCCGGGGCGGCCGTGAGGGTTTGCAAGGCCTTTGCATGATGGGCGGGCGGGTTTTGCTTTGCGCACGGCGGCGTCTTGATCGCTAAAGGCATCTGGGGGCATCTCACGGAAGAGAGGACTGAGGTCGGGCCCGCCAAGACGGCGCCCGCGCTAAGCCTCCGCGCTGCTCGACCTTGCAGGCGGGCGAGCGCGCTCTGCACTCTGTTTATTTCTCGCTGCTCCTCGCTGCGACGCCGTGCATCAGTCTCGCGGTGCTGCGCGGCGCTGGCCGTGGGCTGGCGGCTCTCCTGGCCGTCCGTGTCGCACGTCTGGTGGCTAATCCGGATCCATTCCAGTGAAAGCTTCATCGACTCCCGGTCGTGCTTTCCTTGCACCCATGCGCCACAGCCCATCCCCTCATTGTGCCCTCAACAAGAGAACCCCCGCCGCGCGCATGCGACTCGCTTTGTCTCCCTGCAGCGCGCCCTTTGTTTGCAGCCTCGAGAGAGCCAGCTCCAAGACGCGCTCGAGCGGCACCCTTGCTGCGCCAGGGGGGCGACTACCACTCATCAGGATCTTCCCAGGCATCACGAGGCTGCGAGTGCGCTATCCCCTCCGCTGTGTCCGCGCACGCAGGCCTCGCCAGCAGAGATGTAAGCCGGCCAGAAGACGCTCGCACACTCTGGCGAAATGCAGCATCGCGCAGCCTCGCTTGCCAGCCTCCCGCTGATGATGCGCGCTCGTCCAGGCTCATCTCGCGTTTCGGGCATTCTAGATTGGCGGAGTCGTCCAGAAATCCCCGGCGCTCATTTTCCAAGGTTGGCCTAGCGGCACGTGACCGTGGCTCCTCCCTGACTTGTCCCCCACGTCACGCACAGCGTCCTCACCGACTTCCACCGTCGACTGGTCGCCAAGGTCGGGTTGTGACGGCCAGGAAACCGTTGATCGAATGACTCCAGCCCTCACGGCAGCATTTACGTGTTCGCTGGCTGCGATGGCGGGAATGGCCAGCCGAAGTCATCCGAGACTCTAGTATTTCGCTCAAGCCTTGGAAGCCTTTCGCCCGCGTGCTCAGTGGCTCCATATGTGCCTCTAGCCTCCGCTGATCGATAACCCCCGTTCCTTCTTCACTCGCGCGTGTTGCATTATCCCCAGAAGAGGTGCCGTGTCATGGCTAAGAGTGCATGCTGACCCCTTTTCCCCCCTCAAAGAAGCTGATACCGAGACGAATGCGCGCTTCCACGAGAAGCTGCGCAAATTCGGGAAGACTCAGTCCGTGCCAGAATGTACATGGAGAGAATGAAGTGGTATCATTGAGAGGAACCCTTCCTCGACGAGTGACAATATGCCTGTTTCCCTTTACCTCCCAGAGCAGACCAAGCTCCGCATCCAGAGATAGCACCGCCAACCCAAATAACCATAAAAAGGTAAGACAAGAGTAGAAGTGCAACACCAGAACTTGGATCAGTCTCGACGCCGCCGCTCATCCCTATCATCCCTCCTGTACCGGTCACGACTTCTTTCCCTTCGGCTGTCCCGATAGCGATCCCGGCTGCGGCTGCGCTCTTGTCGAGGATTTTCGTACCGCCCGCCTGCATCGCGATCGCGGCGCTCGCGTCTTGGACTTCGACTGCGGTCACGTTTCCAGCGGTCGTCATGGTAGGCCTCCCTCCGCTCTCGTCGGCGACCATCGTCCCTCCGAGAGTCATTCCCATCGCGCGAAATTCCATTTCCGCGGGAGTCTGGGTACCGCGGGCGGTCATCTGTGTCCCTTTTCGAGGTTCCCCGATCTATGATGAGCTTATCGACTACCGAATCACTCACGATTTCCCGAGCAGACTCGCCGCGGTACTGCTTCTTCCTCTCCAGGTTGCTGATGCCGCCGAAGCCACCACCGGCTGCTCTTCTTCGCTTCTTGTTCGTGCTGTCCCGCCAATCGTCGGCAATCTTGGAGACGCTCTGCGAGAAGTCGACGTGGATGCGGTGATCATCAATCAAAACGCCATCCATCTTGAAGTATGCCTGTTCGCAATCTTTCTGGTTCGTGTACTCTATGAACGCGTACTGCAGACTATCCCCAGTCCGCTTGTCCCGGATAATCTCGCAGCTTAGGATCTTGCCGAACCGTGAGAAGATAAGCTCAAGATCTTCGTCTTGCGTCACAGGATTAAGTTTGCACACGAACAGCACGTTCTCCGGCGGCGCGACTTCCGCGAACGGGAGATCGCCAACCATTTCGAGCGTGAGCGCCTGTGCTCGCGCTTCGCGTTCTCGGCGGACACGCTCGAGCGCTTCTGGGTCCTTCTCTTCTTCCAACTCCTCATCGTAGCCGACACGTACTGTCGCAAGCTGGGCCGCGGAGGGCACGGGGCTCTCTGGAGGTTCCACGACGCCCTCTGGGTCATCATATGGATCGTCGAGAATGACGGTATGCAGGATGCGAATGTCCTTCAGTGGCCGACCCTTGTCGTCAATGAACGCGGCGTTTATTTTCTCGAGCGTATCAAAACCTTCCACGACCTGGCCAAATATGGCAGCTTTACCATCCAAGAAATCGATGTTGGAGCCGAGCGTGACAATAAACTGACTCCCCGCAAACCGCTCGTCTGGGTTGTCCGGGGCGGGCGCCGTGGCCATGCTAACGGTGCCCATCTCCGCATGCTTCAACTTGCGCGCAAACTCGGGCCTGAAGGTTTTCTTCGTCGCGTTTGCGGGGTCGAGCGCGCCCCAGATGGAGCGGCCGCCATCGCTGTCCTGGGAGCCAGGGCCAATAGGATCGCCGGTTTGGAAGGAGAAATTTGGCTGGACGTTGTGGACCGGCGCGAAGTTGTAATACTTGATTTTGCAGAGCTTGAGGAAGCTGTAGGGGCAGTTGTCAGTATCTGTCCTGTGCTCAGCTTGCTTCGATAGACGGCGGGTGGTGGCATGCAGACGGGGTGGAGGGCAGCGATTGGACTGACTTACTTCTCACAGCATTTGGGCGCGTCGTCGACCAGCAGATCGATGGTAATGTCGCCCAGTGACGTTTCCAGGAGCACAGACATGGCCGGAGTCGGTCGCGCCGTGTGAGGGGGTTTGTCGCAAAAGTTGCGGACGAAGGAGCTGGGAGCTTGGCCCTCGGCGCCGGCGCTTCGTTTCCCCGGCGCCAGCCAAATCGTGTAACGTCAAGGTACGTAGCACTTTTCTTCCACGTACCCAACGTCCTGCAGCACCTTGGTTCTGTTGTCAATGTTTCCTGGGAAACGTGATTCAGCAGCTCCTCCGACGTATCATCCACCCTGGGAACCCTTCACGATGGATGATCCAGACAGCGTCGGCAACGAAAACTCCCTAGACCGGACCGCAGTCGACAGTATCATCAGTGAGCCAGGGCTGAGCAGGTTGGCCAAAGAACCCTGACTGCTAGTATCATGTGCTATGCAGCAAGAGCTTGGTGTCCGAAAGGAGTTCGCGGGGCTTGATCAAGAAGCGGGCCGTTGTAAGCAACAACCTTGGCCTCATTTTGTGCGCTCATCCCCTGTCCGCTATCGGGAAGCTGCGGCGGCCACTGCAGTATCGACAAGTTTCAGCTCTGCTGCCACGTCTGGATGAGCGCCGAGTGTCCAAAATTCGGGAAGGTGGCTCTGCGACTACTGGAGACCACCCGAGTCATGCATCTTGACTGGCGCCGCCGCATCTATGTCAGAAAGAAGCATCTGATCTCGAAATAGCAGAGGCGCAATCTCGTTCCTTGATCAAAGTCTCAGCCTCGTGCAAGCCAGAGGCTGCCCGAGTTCTGGCACTGACCTTGCTTGCCTCCTGACCCCGAGATCTGCCGCGGCCGATGTCAACACTTGGGGGTTATGGACTCAAGTTCACGAACAATATCTGCCACCGCGATTTCTCCGATGCTTCGCTTGAGGAGACTACGCACAGCATAGCGGCGGACCCAGCGTGGTCACACCGTCACCCTGCGATTGCGGAGCGCCATTGCCGCAATCTTGTCCAACTCTCATCTGTACCTTACTCCTTCCGGCGCCTCTTGCGCAAGCATACCCCACGAGCGTCTGTAACAGGCACTGTCATCCACAACAGTGGGCCCCTTCAGACTCTCACGAGCCGATCAATGTGTTCATGGGTACCCCTGGCTCAGAGACGCAAAAAAGGCTTTTGAGAAATGGCGGAGAATATCCTTTTGGCTTCCCTTACTAGATCCCTCGCGGTCTTGAGCTCCCCAGGCAGCGAGTCGAGAGGTGTTTGCTGCACGGCTTGGCACTCGCCATCTGCAGCCACGATCTGCGAATGAGAGAACTCAGCTCTTCTCTTCATGCATCTTCGCTCCGTATGAGTGCAGCAATTATCTTCTGGAACTAAGGCGCTTTCGGGAGCTCCACAATTATTCATCGTTGGCCTAGCTAGGCGCAAATAGCCCATTACCACCTCTTCGTTTGCTCCCGCACAGCCGCCCATGGACATATGGCCACGGCGTACATTTTCCCCATGCACTCCGAAGTCAACGCTTGCGTTTCTTTGGCTCCCGATTGCGGCGTCAAAATGCAGCGCGAATAGACCTACGAAACCTTCCGTTTGAGTGTGGGTCCCGTCGGCACACTTCCCCCCGCATTCCGCACATATGAGCATCGGTCATTTGCTGTCGTTAGTGCCCAAAGTTCCAGCCCCGTTATGTGTTTCCGCGTCTCGATACAGGGCAGTGTCGGACAGCTGAGTGCTCCGTTAGCGCTGTCTTCACTCCACCCCACTTCCTGACAGTAAGAACCTGCATCAATATCGTGGCCACATTCTCTGCCATTATACTGGGAGACTACTGCGCAAAGCATACCGAACAGACCAACCACAGTCGAAGGTAGCCTAACCATCTCGCAGATCCGCCACGGCGGCGTGCAGTCATGTCCCACACTTCTCCCAGAAGTTGACTTTGACGTTTGCTTGGGTCGGTCCTGGTCAACGCTAGATCCGAAGGGCTAGCTGCTTTCTTCCCAGTTCCATACGCGACCCTATTTCAGTGCTTACAGAAACCACCAAATTGATATATCCCGCCCGCCCGCTTTCCCAGCATCACTTACAACTTTACGTCCCTTTAAGGAGACACCGCCGGCGTTCAGGCTATGTATTTCCCTAGCAGGTTGACAGTATCGCACCGTGCGCGACCGTCGCTTGCTACAGGAGCCCACGACACGTGCCATGTCTCCCGACTTCCCCGGGGTGCCACATTGCATGCTGCAAACAGCCAATAGCTGAATGCGATCTAGGCTCCTAGGACCTGCAGTTCTCCCCGAAAATTCTTCGGACAGGGAAGACTCTGTTTGTACTCCGCTAAGTGCCTCACTCTCCAGTCACCTTCGAGTGACCCATTATTAAGAGGCGATGATATAGCACTTCCAAGTCCGAGGTCATGAGCTGGTGGTGTTCCGCCAACTGGTCGCCCGCAATCCGAAAGCGGCGGCGATGCCACAACAGTCAACCTTGTACATGGTGGCACGCTCTGCTCTTTAGGCAGCCAGTCGTCGTTTGGCTTACAGTGCCCTTGAGGCGCATTCGTCTCGTACCCTAGCACGAGCTGCAGTGAGCCGCCTGCATGGAACGGCAAGCCTGTCTTGCGAAACTGTCGATGCAAACACTGTGCGGCGTTCAAAAAAGCCCTACGAGGGGCTTCCATTAGAATACTAGCTTATAAGGTACATGCACAGCTCCTTCAGCCACGTCAATTATGATCATGGCGATAGCAATCGACTCTCGAGCGCGACTCCAGTTCCAGTATTGACCATCCTCTATTCACCTATAAGCTTTATCGCCCCCAAATCGATGCTCCATCGTCCTCATCTCCTCTTTACTACGCTTTCTGAACACCAGCGTGTTGGAGGTGCCCAGCACGCGTCGCACCGGACAATTTTTCTTGAGGTGCATCGGTGAGAACATCGAATCGGAGCTCTTACTTTGGGATCTCGTCATTTTGGCAAACAATCTGTGCGTCCGCCCGCAGACCTACTGCCCCTCTTGTTCTTCCTCGCCAGATATGATGTCTAACATCACTCCTAGACTGCATACAGATCATGGACCCCGAAACCGCCCACCGACACTCCCAGAACGCTGCCCTCAGCTACCCCCACCATTACTATGTCAACGAGCGCAACATTCCGCTCACAGTCGCTACTAGCCCGAGATATGACCCACGTGGCTATTCTGTGGGAGGCCCGGTCGGTGGCCATAGGCTACGGGCCGGCATGGATAGGGATGATGTGACTATGGACAGCAATCAAGCAAGGCGTCGAATAGCCGTAGCTGTAAGTACATTTTTCTTTGCCTAATGCTGCATAGTCCGACAGATATCCAAATTGCGGCAGTCAATGGCTGTTCCTCGTTTGTTTAGTTACCATGAGCTGACCAAAGCGACAGTGCGCTCGATGCAGGAAGCGGAAGATTCGTTGTAGCGGGGACCCCGGAAACGGCACCGGATGCGCAAGTTGCAAGCAGGCCGGCCTTGACAGCAGCGTTTGTCAATTCCATCGTGTATGTCCAAGCAAATGGCTCGCACAATGTGAGACTAACGCAAGCATAGGTTGGGTCAGGTGAAGCCACGAGGGTGCTTGACAACCTCCACCTAGCAAGCAATTTGACGAACATGGCGAATACCAACGTCATGATGCCGATCTATAACGCGGCAAGCCCAGCCTATTCTCGAGCCACATACCCACCGAGCTGGCCTATCCCGTACACAGAGGAGACATCGCCAGTGGAGACTTACAGCCTGAGTGAGCCTGCGGCCTACCTGCCAAGTCACAACGGCATAGCAAGCAGCAATGCGTGGAGCCACCCTCCCACGAAACCTCTACAGACGGGAGCTCACGCATTTTTGGACACAGATTCCATGCCAGTCTACGAGACGCATGGCTCGCCCTATGTGCAAACGGGCCTCAGAGCTGTGACAAACTCTGAAGCGCTCTCGCCGCTAAACATGACGTCTCTCCAGCTCACTCTCCCCGAGCCACCACAAGCACGACCGAGCCAGGCTTCAGAGACTACTGTACCGCAGCGACAGCTTCCTATGCCACAACCGAGTCCCGCACAGACCTCAAGAAACGTAGTAGATCAGCTACAGCATCAGCGACTGCGTTCTGCTCAAGCTATGGGTGGCTCCGCATTGTCCACCACGGGCGCATACCCAAAGTCGACGCTACCGTTCAACGATGAGACTGGTCTTCAAGTCACGGCTCCTGCAGAGGCATCATCGTCCGCGGATCTCACCACCCAGGTCACAGCTCCAGCAACGATTCCTGGCACTACCGAAACCATGATAGGATACCTTCCGGGTACCACATCTGCCAGTGACGATGCCGCCGTTACAAGTGCCGGATCCCAACACTCCCTCAATTTCAGCACTTCTGGACTGCTTGATACCACGCCAGCACCGGCATTACCTACTACTTATTCCAACTTCCGCAATTACAATCTCCCGACGTCGTCCTCGACCGAGACGCTTTCACCGTTGGCTCGCCAGGATTCCCAATCGAACCTCTATAGTTTCACTCCTGATAGCAACTCGAAGCGCCACTCGGCCGGCCGATCGTCGAATGACTCTGCTCTGGTGAGCGGTCATCGATACACACCACTGAACCAGAGCCAGCATCAGCCGAACCACGATGGCTTACGACGTGATTCGTTCGAGGCCAGGAAACTCCCTGTTCGCCGGGCTTTTATGTCCAACCTCTAATGGCCCTTCTCGACTTGTCTGTCTTTACCGCCATGCGCCCCGCGATTGTTTCTTTATTCACAAGGGCTAAGCTGCTGCTCTCCTGGACCTTTCTAGCCACGTCATGCATCTATTCGGCGGCTAATGAGCGATCTCTTTCGAGGGAATGCGTTGTCCTTTACACGCAAACACAAGAAGGGGAAGGCTCAGCGCTACATCTGCTTCGCGCGTTCTGCGAACGTCCATCGCACCGAGTGGTTTCGTCTTTCTCATTCCGCTACAATCGGTCTCGGCAACGTCGTTGTAATACCGTGGGATCTAATATGCCAACTTTCCACTACTGTCAATACCCGGCACAACAGTGCCGAAAAGATCTGCATGGCACGGCGTTGCCGCTTCTCTTCTTCTGATCGCAGACGCTGAGCTTTTCCATCGCTTTGGTTAAAGCCATTCTGTCCTTACCAGACACACGATATGACTTTACGACATCTCTTCCCATGGCATCACTTCATGTATCATCTTACCCCAAAAACGACGATTGTTCATCTCTCTATATTTCATAAGTTTTATTTGTTCTTGAATTAATGAAGTATTGGGTATCCCAAATATTGGTCTTCTCATCACTCGCTTTTCGCGCATTCTGGCAACTCCCAGAACAGCCCCCAAGGTACTGCAGAATGAGAGGGAAAGGGGGGGCTGGGGGTGGACTGGCGCCGAACACAGAAGAAGCATAAGGTACAACACTGCTGTGCGGATACTCTTCATCAAACAAGCGGCTGAATGAAGGATCGATAGTTTGGGGCATGATCAATTTTCCATAGCTACAATCCACGAGATTTCTCGATTGCATTGCGGATCTCGATGTACAAACGTTGGCCATGCGTCTTGGTGTGGTTTTGGAGCTGTCGTGATAAGCTGACCGCGTCTGCATGGTACATACAGTACATGCTCGATGCAGATGTTGAGATGTTCTCCTGCCCTGCTGTGTCGTTCCAACAGCCTTTCTCCACTCTTACCCTGTGCTCGCTCTCGGACCTTTTCCCTCAGACAGCAATCACACATTACATCACCGTGCAGTGCAGTGCAGTGCAGCACAGTGCTGTGCTCATTCTCCCAGTCATTCCTCCAAGCGGAAAGTCGGTCTGTCTCATACCCCGGTCCCCGCCTGCTCATCCGCTTCCAGACCCCCATGCATGGCGGGCGCACAAGCGTGGGTCGGAGATTTCAGGGATATGTGCTGTTGCTGTTGAGGACAGGGAGGTGGGAGTCGAAGTGGGGCGGAAAATAGAATGCTACGCTAGCAGTCAGTCGTGGTACACGGACCGGATGATTTGTTTGTGTGACTGAGGAGGCTGGGGTGCTGTGCCGTGGGGTGGGGTATGTTTGAGAAGGCAAAGAAAAAGGCGGTGCGGTGGGTACACGACCGATTCTAAGACTGGCGGCGCGGCGGTGGGCTGATGCGCATGCGGGCGGCGTAGAGCTGGGGTTGGGATTCCAGACTAGGAGAGAGATAGTTGGGGTTATTATAGTTGGTGTAGTAAGGGAGGTGGGGGGGGCGCCGCTGTAAGAAGACGGGATGGCGGCGCGCAGGTTCGGAAACGGGACTATGACGGGAGATCGCTTTATCTTGACAGGTAGCTTGTAACTTACCTGAGTCCACATTTGTGTATTTCTCCGCGTGCGGGGGATCGGGTTGCCGCTTCGGCGGGGATGCGCATGTAGGTCTGTTGGACGCGGGCTATTTATAGGTGCGTTCAACGGGGTTGCTACCATGGTTAGAAGCAGATCGCGAAAGCAGTTGAGAAAAGAATAAGAAAATAGCAGCTTCATAATTCGAGGTACAGTTATCCGTATGGATTATCAGTATGAACCCTTTCTGGAATTTGAGCAAGGAAAGCCCGTTTGAGAAGAAAGATCCTATGACTATGAGAGTACAGGCAGGCTCTAGTCGCCTCTTCCATCAAGCGCTTCATATCCGTGTTACTTTGCTCCTACTACTGTACGAAGATTCAAGCCCGCGGTGAGATACCCACATCGGGAGCCGTCTGCGCTCTCACGAGTCTCGGCCTCCACATTCCATCTAATTGGGCTGAAACAACTGACCAACCCATTCGTACCCCGAAATCGTACCAACACCCTCCCTCATCTCCCTTGCGATACGGTCGACGAAGTGTACATCCGCAACTGTCAGCGCGACGTTCTTCCTTCCGTAGATGGCGACAAGAAGCTGCTCGTTAACGTCGCGCCAGGTGATCTCGAAAGGCGGGAGCGAGGCGAGCTGCACCGTAGGTAGTTGAGCCCCCCGTTCGCGAGTTCGGTCCAGAGACTCCCGCATGTACGCCTCTGTCACTGAGCGGTATACATCGCCGAGGGGGTTCGAAGCAAGAGTTTCAGCATCGATGAATGTTCGCGACAGTAACATCGATGATTGGGTACTGTTCCGGGGCAAACTGGTAAATGAGGCAGCGGAAGTGTTCCTGGAAGGTTCCCGAACTCGAAAGTTGCTTGGTCCGATTCGGCGAGTCATCTCGTCGAGGCCTCCGATGTGTAGGGCATGTCGTCCACGAATAGGGCTCGTTGCCGTTGTACTACGACGGTGTGCATTCTCACCACCTTGAAGGCGAGTAGTAGGGAACAAGAAGGCCTCGCTCTCATAGCTGCGCAGTGGCAATGGACGGTGGAAGCCGCTCACTGTTACAAGGTTTGGTGGTCGAGCTGCATTGCGGGCCCGAGCGGCGGCACGACGCTGGGCTGGGGTAGGAGCCGGCTTTGGCACGAAGTTGTTGGAGCTAGACGGTGGGAGTGGGAAAGCGAACTGGTATTGCGGCGGGCTGGAGGGATTAGAATCCGTCTCCAAGACAGAGACTTCGTCAGCTGAACCGGATGCATCATCCTGGATGGTGTCGAAGTCGATGTTGTCCTCGCTCTCATTACCGAAAAGTGAGCTGCTATCATAGCGCGGGACGGAGCCATTGTGCTCAGTTGTACGATATGCAACCAAAGCTGAGCTGCTATCTGAATCTGTGCGTCCACGATGCTGTTCATGATCGGATTCCGATGAGCCAACGCCTTTCTCCTCACTGGAGAACAAATGAGTGGGACGATTGGCCGCTTCATCGGAGGAGCCAAACACGTCCCCAGCGCCAGGATTGACGCCGCCGATGATGTCATCCGAATTCTCTCTAGTTGGCGGCAAGGACTCATATCTCTGTGTTGAATCCCACATAGCATTAGAGGTAGTCGCGGAAAGCGGTGCTTGCCGCGAACGGATAGGTGTCGACACAGAACGTAGAAGAGCTGTAGGAGGAGTAGAGTCGGTTCCGCGAGATTTGATACTCAAGGGCGCAGGACGGTCAGGCGTATCCGGAGGATACTTGCGCTCCGTTGAACGGGTAGAATGCGCAATGCTCGCGGCTGAACTTGCATTCTTGCTCCTCATGCTCGCACGAAGGGACTCTGTTCTGGGTATCCAGGGAGATGCCGGCCTGAGTGGCGTGGAAACCTGTCTTGTCCGAGGCATGGTTTTGGCCTTCGGTTCCGTGGCAGGTGAAGCTCCATTGACGTGAGCCATTGAAGGCACTGCAACTGGTGCCTTCGCGCTAGGAGGCCCGGAGAGCGATCTAAGAGCAGAAAGGAATGAAAGACGCCGTGAGTGCTGCCTGGTGTGCGTTTCCGGCAGGTCAAGGAGCGCGCAGTCTTCCCCTTCGTCCTCTAGAATTGCGGACCGATAATTTGGCCTGATATGGACAGTATCCTGGAGAAGTTTGCGGAGAAGCTCATTTTTGATCCGGCTTATCGGATAACTCTGCCAGCTTCGTCAGTCAACCGCCCTCATGATTGCGCACAATGAAGTGCCTAATTCCCGATCGCCCGGTTGACCGGCACGCATGAAGAGGCAGAGTTTGACTTAGCCTACTGCTCTTCCACCCCGATACCTAACCCAGGCAAAGCCATGGCTCGAGACGCGCACTGTGCATCTTCATGTAGAGGTACCCACCTGATCAAGTCCCAGTTCGCGAATATGCTTCCTCGCCTCCTCGTAATTCTCACTCTTTTCGCAGATCCAGTAGGTGAAGAGCGACAAGTGCACGTCTGCAATAGTCTCTTCCTGGATCTCTTTGACCAGTTGCCGTATCTCCTCCGGCTTGTAGGTGACGTGGAACGACGAGCCGCGGTTGTGGGCTGGCTGGACCGCCAGCCGCGGATCACCCATATCGTCCATGGGTGGTAGTAGATGCTGGTGATGTTAAGCAAAATAGTGGGGGCATACGAGAAGGAGAGAAATTTGCAATTGCGAGAGAGCGAGGAGGTGGTGAATGGTAAAGTCATGCGGGGCGGAAGGCAAAATATTTCGCCGACGCACGTGGTGAAGTCGAGTGAACGTGGAAGGCACGACTGGCGGTGTGTCAATCTGCGAATGCACTTCCGCGCTATGTGAATACGCGTCGTGAGTCGAAAAAGAACACGGAGTGATTGACGATGTAGCCAGCGGAGCCTTCGATGCTGACAGTGTCGGGGATGGTAGCGCAACTATAAGGAGTCGAAAACCGAAGCCTTGGACGACGTTTGCTCTGACTGCAGCAACTGGGGCGGCAGAACTCGACATAGAGACTCGAAAAATATTGGCGCCTGGAGAAGGAATTGCTTGAGCCCCGCTCACCCGAAGGAAGGCAGAGGACGGAGGGATCGAGCAAGTTCGCCGACGCTGAAGGCACTGGACGGCACCCAAGGCAATTGGAGCAAGGAAGATACGGAGAATCCACAAGATATCCAATTTGAACCTAGAATACATGACTGAGCAAGGAAAGGTCGAGAGAATTAGGGATGATTACGGGATAGTAAGAGCAAGAAAACCAATGTGCGAACAAGAGACTCCATCCTATGCCGGTCGATGTCTGCCGAGAGGAAAAGAGAGTGAGGCTCTGCCATCTACCTAGTCGGTTTCATATCCATGGTCAGGCTTGTCTCCCCAGTGCGGCTTCTTCTTCTGCCAAGGATTGGCATTAGCCGCCGCAAGCCTCTTCTGAACGCAGTAATTTTTCTTGACGCCGGCAGACTCGAAGTTATCCCTGTTGACGAAGACTTGGTACTGCTTTGTGTCGCCCAACCAGCAGAAGTCCCACTCTCCGTTGTTTTCCGAAATTCCTGGGGTGATGGGCCAGGTGAAGTAGGAAGGGCTGCGGCCGACAATACCAAGCGGATTATTGCCAGTACGGTAGAAGCCAACAGAGAGCGAGTTTGGCGGCATCCATCCAACCTTGGTGTACTTCAAGGCACCAGTGCTAGAGTCGACGTACAGCTGGAGTGGTTCTTTGCTGACCTGCAGAGCCAATTAGCCATGGAACCTCGTGGACCATGAAGCCAACTTACAGTGTAGCATTGGGTGTCATCGTCGACGAAGAAGGTGGGAAGTTTCGGATCCCACCATTTGTTGTAGGGGGTCGCAATGACGTTGCCATGCTCCAATCTTATCGCATAGCCCTCGAGCGGGCAATAGTTCTTCTTCATGTTGGCTAAAGCTATCGGATCGGCATAAACATCGGCCGGGGGATCGGAGTTGATGTCGTAGTCAGAATCTTCGGGCCTATGGCATTTGTCGTTGACGTAGAGGTTGAAGAAGTGCGGTTCGTGGGTCTTGGGACGCCACGGCTTGTGGCCATCCATTCCACCATGGCCGTCATCATGACCATCATCATGGCCGCCACCATGGCCGCCGTCATGACCGCCGTCATGATCGCTTTCATGGCCGCCGTCATGGCCGCCTTCGTGGTCATCGCAGCCATGATCACAAGCGGGAGGGTCGCGCCGCTCGATGGCGTGGGCGGCGGCTAATCCGAGCAAAGCCCAGACTGTGAGAAGTTCGACTCTCATCTTGAAAAGAAAGGTTAACGAGCGTCAAAAGGAGTGTGGGCAAGAGAGCGGCTGATGGGTAGCTGAGACAGTGTCGGGCAGGACGAATTGAATTTATCATGAACTGAGACGCGAGTGATCTTGTTTTGCTGCAACAAAAAGGGCTTCAGCTCGGAATGAAGCGCAGCGCATGATGTTCCAATTGGGATATTGGCAAAGGGAGACTCACAACGCTGCATTGCGGATTTCGATGAGGGACGATAGGAATGAGGAATGCTTGGAGCTGGAACAACATTGGTCTTCGATCAACGAGATCCAGCCACAACCGTCAGGCGTGCGGAACGGGCCGGTATGAATATGGGTCATGATCTCTATCTCTTGTTTTGTTCAATGCCACTTTCATACTCCCTAGGAAGCGAAGAGCTGCCCGAGGATGCAGCGCGGCTTAGAGCAGCCATTGTCCGTGAGGCTGTTGGTGTTGACAAGCACCTGTCCGAGGAGCCCCTGGAATGTTTTCGGCATCTAAAGGAACCGTCAAGTTTCCATACGCATTCCATTGGGTTTTGTGTGCCCTAAGGGACGTGATTTGGCGCAAATTAGGCACCTGTTAGTGCGGGGACGGTAGCATCGCGGATATGGCGGGATCTCTGCTTGCTTCGAGACCACGTCGTTCCCAGGGCAATGAATTGCGGATTGTCGAAGGCTACTGACCTGAAGCTATCGAAACGAGCATGCTGTAGACAAAAGGAGAAGGAGATGGGAGTTTGGTGTGCCGCCCGCGGCTCTTGCGCGCTAGGCTCGATCTGCCGATGGCGCTTTCCCCAGTCCGGACTAGCTTCAGATTGCAACACTTGGAACAACCCTCACGTCGCGACAACGTTCGACTGACCTTCCCATCTGACCACCATCGTTACGACGCGGTAACAGTCCGGGACGGCCTAAGATGCCTTGAAACTATTGAATCGACGCGATCTGCTTGGGATCCAGTCCCTCCTCGGCCACCACCCGTCTTCGCTAATCCCCGCCACCTGGTGCCGCCTTTGCCTCTTGCGACGGATTCTCTCGCGCGGTCTGGAGATGCCAGGCTTTTACGTCTCTCCGTGCCTCATTTTGCTGACCATAGTTGCCAGGCTTTAGACACTTTAACAGCTGTGCAACATCATCTGCAGACTTGGGCGCTTAACGCCCTCCAGGACCGTTACACAACATATGGGGGCGGCCTTTGACAGGCTGCATCGGTCAATCCCGTCAAACACTCCCAAATTCTAATGTCTCAATCAAGCATCGAAGGGCTGACCGCAGACAGCACCTCGACGCGTCAGTGGGAGCTGGATTCGCCCACATGCGAAGAACTTGTCGAGTGCTGACCCCATTTCCAGCCAGTAGGGGACCCAAGGTAGGGCTTGAAGGGTCAAGCTATCCCGGCAACCGTTGGCCTCAGCTTTAAGCTTCTCACCGGTGCAATCTTCGGTGCAATCTTTGACGCAATCAACTGGAGGGGCACAGTCGCGGCGCAGCACACCCCTCTCGCCCGCTCGCTCAACATCGGCCTCCTTCCAGATGCGGCATCTGCTGTATCCCATATCTCGCGAGAGCCCCATCGAGGCACTCGTGGCCACGAGCTGATGAACGCCTTCTCACCCTCAAAATCTGGGTTCCGCGACCTGATTGGCCAGGCAAGGCCAAGCGAGTCTGCCAATGAGAGCGCGACATGGCAGACGTCCAGCTTTCCCGCGTACCCTCCATCGGCTTCCCGGGTCCTGCAGATCAGCCAGCGGGCAACTGCTGGACGACCTGTGTTTAGAACCAGCCGCGTCTCCATATTTCCAGCCGCCGTCCCCAGTCCAGCACCAACACCGATCGGTGGAGTTGCACTCTACGTCCGCCAATCGCCGTGCAGGAGCTAAGCGCCACCGCGTCCACAGGGTTAGCGCGCGAATACCACGCCGCCTTCCAGCAGTTCGCTGGCCCTCACAACCACCCTCAGGCTCCTGGAATCGTACGATTTGCTTCCGCCGCAACACAAACAAGCTTGTCAGGCGATCTTGCTATTTTGCTCTGGCTACGCCGTAGCTCGCCGCCACTGCGCCGTCAAGAAACGCTCGCGGCGGCGTTACCGAAGGTCTGGTACTGCATGTTTCCTCGGCGTGTGTGCTCTCATATAACAAACGCTGCCTGCAGGCAACGACAGTAACACAGCATCCAGCCTGTTCACCCCAACGGTTTGATTGCGGCGCAGTTCTCTTTTCCTTTGGTCTGTGCTTACTGTCACTCGGTTTCTTGTTTGCGCTGTCTGTCTTTCCATATCTCCTCTTGATACCCTCACTTCCGTTACACTACGCGCCGTCCTCTCCAAGTCCTCGCCTTCCTATTCATCCGTTGTTTCAGTTTCCGACAATCGTTATTGCTCGTCGGTTTCGATCGGTTTCGGGCAGTTTCAATCATATAAGATGCCTTCCTCGACATCTGCGCGGTCGCCACAACTCTCAGCCTCGTCCCCTCGTCCCAAGCAGAACGGACTGTTTCCTCCGCTCTCCAATCACGGATTGCCCAAAACACCAATGCCTCTCTCTCCGGATGGCAGCCTCCGACCTCATCGTTTCTCAGGAGTCAGGGCCCCATCACCGTTGCCTGGCTCCCCGCCGCCAATGTCACCGCCCATGTCCGCAAAGTCATTCGGCACTTTCATCGACTCTGAACCATCTACTCCTGCCTACTCTCCTCGCATGGGCTCCACATGGGACGGCTCAACCATAGTCCTGCTCTCTCCTCGCTCGTCAGCCCCCTCAAGCCCAACCGAGCCCACATGGGACATGCTGTCACCTATGAAGCGACCAAAGAGAATGACATTCAGAAAGAAGTCAGCCCCTGCTCCAGTCAAAGAGATAACCACAAGCACTTCGCTCTCATCTCATCCGCTCACTCCCGCGCTCACCCCCGCTCCGAAAGAGTCTCAAAAGGAGAACTTCCCCCCAGCACAAGAAGATCCCGCGCCGCAAGCAGAGGAAGAGGAGCCAGCGCACACTGCTGCGCTGGAGAAGCTGGCCACCAAAGTCAAATCGATGCTTCGGCGGAAGAGCTCGGGATCCAGCGACAAGAAGATCGAGGAGAAGAAGCGGCGGCGGGGCTACACCGATCTCGATCGCATAGAGGACGTGCACTGGACCGAGATGTGAAGCGCATTATGTCTCCTCTCACGAGAACTTCCCGCTACGCCGTCTACGATCAGGAAGTCTGCCGCCCTGTTGATATTGACCCCGAACAGCCGGGCATATAACCCTTGGACACTCATAAAACACGACTGCTGCTGCGCCATCAGCGCACACATTTCCTATACCAGCATCTCCTACGTTCCCGGCTCGATCACGATGCTGCTGGCCATCATTATCTTTCTTGCCGGCGTACACGGGGGGTAATCTTCTTTGCTTTGCTTTTTTACTGAATGACGGCGTTCAATCGGACCGGCTGGGGACACGGACATGGTTAGGCATTTTAGAGACCAGACTGAAGGGATGAACGAAGGCATTTGGACTATCGCTTGACACGCCGGGATGTTTCTGGCGGCCTCTCTACAGCTATGTTTGTTTGAGCCTATGTAGCAGCGTCGGAGCTATAGCGAGAGATTGATAAAGACTAGTGAAATAGATGAGTATGGAACGTTACAAGAAGTTGATCTCGCAATCGTGATTCTGGTTGATTGAGTCGGCAAGCCTAGCCGCCTTCTTACACCCAACCTTCACCCAACTGTCCCTCACGCGCATTTCGCATGACGTGTAACGGCCCCACTTACCTAGCACCGTTCTGCCAGCATTCTTTACCGCGCGGGTGCAATAAACCCATCATGCGACAGCGCATTCTCTCTGTTTACGCATATGCACACCAGGTACCTAATAGCCTCCTCGGCTCTACATTCAGTCTGTCACCGCTTCGCTTCGTTATCCGTGATCCGTCTCACACAGCAAGTACACTCACACGAGTCAGTTCTTCGATACGGCGTAAGCAATTCCGATTCTTCTTGTCTATCTGTACAAGGCAGCAAGGGCTGCGGCGCATATGTCGGTAACCGTGAAATATCTAACGCCGCCCCTTGACCAGCCCGGGAGCGAGCAAGCAATACCCAGAGGAAGCCTTGGAAGTGTACAGTATGAGCCATTCTGAAGAAACCAGCCATCCCTCCTTCACGTAAACGCCGGCGCAATGCAGAAAGGACATAATCCGAGGGCCTGTTTTTGGTGTTAGTGAGAAGCCACCCGTCAAACGGCGACTGAAAGTTGAGAAAGCACAATCGGAGATAGATGGAATAGAGAACGAGGTCGTAGGAGGTGACAGCGCGGATGCTGTTTAGTCGCGCACGCTGAGACCAGACCGGTTGGTGAACATGCGCGTCGCGATGTTCATAGCCATGAGCTCCTGGAAGAGCAGCTTCGCCGCGTAAGGGATCTGAATCTGCGAGATGCGCGTCTTGTTATGGCACGGGCGGCACTCGTACTGGCCTTTCTTGATTTGCCTAGAACAATCGTTAGCACACTTCCAACAGATATCATGAAGGAATAGACATACGCAATCGGGCTCATCAAGCCGCAGATATCGCACACATGCACCCGATACGCATCAGACACCTCAAAGAGACGTTCTTTCAAGAACGCGGCCGCACCATGCGCAATCATACAATCGCGCTCCATCTCTCCGAAACGCAGTCCACCGTCTCGAGCGCGACCTTCCACAGGCTGGCGGGTAAGGATCTGCAGCGGACCGCGCGCACGCGCATGGATCTTGTCGTCGACCATGTGCCTCAGGCGCTGGTAGTACGTCGGGCCGAGGTAAACCTGTGCGCGCAGTTTCTTGCCCGTATGCCCATTGTACATGATCTCGAAGCCGCGCTTCTGAAACTTGGCCTTCTCCAGGAGTTCGGAGATTTGGTCGACGGTGACGTCTGTGAAAGGCGTTGCGTCGCCTTCGGAGGCGTTGATGGCGCCAACCTTAGAGAGCAAGCACTCGACCAAGTGGGCAATGGTCATCCGTGACGGAATGGCGTGCGGGTTGATAATCAGGTCAGGGGTGAGGCCATCCCGAGTGAAGGGCATGTCTTCCTGGCGATAGGTAATACCAATCGTACCTTTCTGACCGTGACGAGAGGCAAACTTGTCGCCAATCTGCGGCACCTTTGTGGTTCGCGTGCGCACCTTGACGAAGCGCAGACCTTCAGTGTTGGTAGTGAAGAGGACTTGATCGACGATACCATTCTCCGTGCTCCTAAGCGGTGTGGACACATCGCGCTTCGTGTGCAAAGCCGTCTTCTGACCCAGCTCCTTGGCATCTCCCGGTATAGGCGCCGTCTTTCCAATGATGATATCGTCACCAGAAACACGGACACCGGGCGCAACCACACCATCGTCATCGAGTTTGTCATATGTCCCCGCCTTCAGCCTCATAGTGTCGGCACGCGTTGGCTTCTCGAACTGCTCCAAGACGTTGACACCAATGCGCTTCTCCTGCTCCGTGTACGCACGGTAGAAAAGACTCCTGAAGAGACCACGATCGATACTACTCTGATTCATGATGACGGAATCTTCCTGGTTGTACCCAGAGTAACAAGCAATGGCCACGATGGCGTTCTGACCAGCGGGCAGTTCACGGAATCTCAGGTACTCCATGGACCGCGTTGTAGCCAACGGCTTCTGCGGATAATAAAGGACATTCATCATGGTTTCCATGCGTAGCGCATAGTTGGTGAGAGCCACGCCCATAGCTTGTTTGCCCATAGCGGACTGGTAGGTGTTACGAGGAGACTGGTTGTGGTCAGGGAATGGAATGATACTGGCACAAATACCCAAAATCATGGCCGGGTGGATTTCGCAGTGCGTGTAGATGGCAACCGTAGGGTTCGGTTTCGGCCTGATGCGGCCCAGACGGTTCTTCTTGTCTGCATCCGGGGCGGGCTGGACACCTTGTTTAAGGTCGCGCCATTCATCTAGCTCTTCAGGCGACATGACTATCATGGCGGTCTCTTCTTCCTCGGCATCAAGGTATTCGACGACACCGTCGTGAATAAGCCCCCTCCATCCATACTTCATCTCCATTGTATCTTCGTCGTTGTATCCAGATGTGTCCACAGTAGAGTCATTGAGAAGCTTCTGTAGATGAGTTCGGTCGTACACAAGGTGGCCACGGTTAGGCTTCCGAACGTCATTTTCCACCACGAAAAGCGGCCTCATGACGCGTCCAGCATCGGTGAAGATTTTGAACTCTCGGTCGCGAATATCCCGAATAAGGCTCATCTCGTACGAGAGCGTCCCGTTTCGTCGGAGCTCTTGCACAACCGTCACAAGCTGTTGCGGGTTCATATGTGTCCCTACCCAGACACCGTTGACGAAGACCTTGGTGGCAGTCGGATTGATGACCGGGTCGTACTCCTCGAGAAGTTCCATGTTTCGCTGGGTCATGAAGTCGATAATAGGCGTACTCTCGCTGCCGACACTTACATAACACATCAAGGACAGGTTCTTGACTAGACCGCACGCCTGCCCTTCTGGAGTCTCGGCAGGGCAAACCAGGCCCCAGTGGCTGTTGTGGAGCTGCCGTGGCTTGGCCAGCTTTCCGTCACGGCCGACGGGGGTGTTCGTTCGCCGGAGATGGGACAGAGTGGATGCGTAGGTGTACCGGTTCAACACCTGGGAGACGCCTGCTTTCGCAGAGGCAGCCTTCTTCTGGTCGCCCCAGTTGCCGGTGGCGAGAGAGTACTTTAGGCCGTTGGTGATTATGCTGGCCTTGACCGCCATCTGAACATTGAAGTCCTGGTTGTTCTCGACGCACCTCTGCAGGTACTTGTACACGTCCTTGGTGAGCTTCAGGAACAGAATTCGGAACAGATTGGCAATCAGCGGCCCCGCGAGATCAAGGCGCTTCTTACCAAAGTGATCTCGGTCATCCTCCTCGCGGCGGCCCAGGACGCACTGAAGCAGACGGTGCAGCATATATCCGAAAAAGAAGGCCTTCCGGGTGTCCTGACCTTCCTTCTGAGATATGTGCGGTAGGAACTCGCGCTGCATCACATCCCTCGCGAACTTGAGACGCTTGTCCTTTGTTGCAGCCTGGCTCGTCCCTCTCCTCCCTATGAAATCCAAGGCGTTCTCACGGTCCTGGATTCCAGAGGCTTCCTCTATGCTCGGCTTCAGCAGCTCGAGCATGGCCGTGTCTTTGTGATCATATACTATATGATTCAATATGTCCTCATCGGACACGACACCTAAGGCGCGGAAGACGATGCCGGCGGGGACGTCGGCCTTGATGTAGGGAAGCGTGGCGTATGCGAAGGGGCCGGGCGTGCGCTTATTCAGCTGCGAATTCTCTATCCACTTGATGTTGAAGGAGGAGATGAGGCGGGTGCCCTTCTCGACGGCGCTGCGGATCTCGGCAGTCCAGGGCACGGGGCCCTGCTTCTTGCGGAAGACCTGGACAATGTTCGCCGCGCTTCGCTCCTGCGCAATGAGCACCTTTTCGCTGCCGTTGATGACAAAGTAGCCGCCCTGGTCGTACGGGCACTCGTTTAGCCCGAAAAGCGCCTCGTCTGTCTGGTTGCGGAGGTGGCAAAGCTCAGAGCGAAGCATGACCGGCAGCTTCCCAATGAACACCCTCGCCGAATCCGCGTCTGGCTCGTCCTCGCGCTCCCACTTGATCTGCGTCGTGCCAATCGCCTCGATATCCTCGTCACCCTCGGTCGCCATCGCCGTCGCCTCGCGGGCCACCATGATCTTGTTGTCGATGTTCGCCATCATGGCGCCCGAGTAGGTGAGGTTGCGGAGGCGCGCTTCGTGCGGGTACAGCTGGTTCGTCGAGCCGTCGCCTTCGGTGTGCGTTGGCCGTGCCAAAAACACGCGCCCGAAGGTGATGATGTAGCGCCGCTTGATGATGGGGTTGTCGTCCTCGTCCGGGTTGTAGGGCGTGTTCTGCTCGAGGATGACATTGCCGTTCTCCGTCACAATGTCCTGTATTGTGTTGCGCGTGAACTCATCGTATGAGTCCAGCTGCTGCGACACCAGGCCCTTTGTGTCAAAGAAGGACGAAATGACGGCCCAGCAGTCCTCCGAGGTGATGGCGTCTTCCTCCTCCTCGTACAGCTCCTCGTCGTCCATGTTGTAGTTGTCGTAGTCGGCCATGGTCGCGGTGGGGTCGCTGCGCAAGTGATGCGTCCGGTGCGGAGGAAGAGGGGAGAGAGGGACGACGCGGGTGAGGTTGAGGAGACTTGTCGAGCTCGTTGTTCTTTCGCGATGGGGGCAACCTCAAAGAATGCGGCCGTTCCGAAGATTACCCGCCTTTTCGGCTAGCGCGGATTTCTGCCTGAAAGAGTCCACTGGAGTGTCGCGGCGAGAACCTTGGAACAAAACACCCAACGAACTAACCTCTCGCGGTGTGGGATTCTCCAGATATCAACAACTACTCTAGAAGCCTTCGTAGCTACGTACAGTAGGACATGTAGATAGCTAAGCAAGCTTACTTATCTATACAGCGAGCCCTTTTATATGGGGAATTCCTACCGCGAGAGGCAACGCGCCCTCAGCATATCCCAGAGTCCCCTCATTCATCATTTCCTTCTATGCGCGCAGTCTGCCGCTGAATCACCCGCTTGTCAAGGGATTGCTTCAAAGCAGACGCCCACCCCTCCGTTTCGTCCCTTACCAATCCCCAGATGGCTGTCGAGCCCTTCCGTAACAAAGCTACCCTAGATGTTTCGCTCCACTCCTATATCCTTCTCTTTCCCTTCTGCGTTGCTGAACGTTCAATTTTGCAACAATCCGTCGTCTCTATTGTTGTTCTCATGCGGTCGATGGCAAAGTTGCTGCACGGTAGAAACGATACATGAAAGAACCGAATACACTCTCCTTTCTTCTTCACTTGTTTCGGGATCTTTTTGCTTTCCTCTACAGCATGCATCTAGGTGTGTTGACTTAGATCGGAATGTGTCGTCAATGTCGCCTGTCGTCGGTTCTAGACTGTCGGTCTAGAGCGACACCCCTATCATTCCACGCCTCACGAACGCTTCGCTCTTGTCCAGTATCCGTCCAGTACACAAATTCTACGCCTCGCGTCTAGGGCGAGGCTGCTCCCTGCCAGCGTTGATCGCCGACGACATTGCCCGATAAGTCACCCAGCGTCCCCCGCCCCAATCAGCTTACCCGACGGCGCGAACCGTGGCGAGGAGCCCATCCAACACGCGACTGGAACAAATTCGAGCAAAAAGGTACCGTGAAACAGGTACCAGCGCTTGTATCCGTCGCGGAGTAAACCCGAGACATGGAGCAGGAACAGATGTTCGGTGATCTGTTCCACGAGCTTCATCAACCGTCATGAGATATATAAGCCATCTTTCAACGCGTCAGATCATAACAACAACAGCTCGAATCACCACCACAAGCTAGCAACATCAACGAAGCCTGTACCTCAAACACTATTCGTCCTTCCTTATCGCCAAATTTCCTCATCCTTTCGTGGCCCGAATCCACTATCAAAATGCAGTTCACCACCTTCCTCGCCACCACCCTCCTCACCGTCAGCATTGCAAGCGCGCGACCAATACCGCTACTTGTCCCGTCCGCAGCAGAGATTCATGCTCGCAATGTGGATGACCTATGGGTGGTAAGCGTCCCGACCTTCACTCTTCCCACAAAGGTTCCGACTAGAGTCTCACATAGGCACAGGATAAGCGATTCGTCCTCGAAAACGTGGAAGTGTAACAAAGCATGCGATTCCGAGCGTTCCAAGAGATAATGAGGATATAAGGAAAGGGATTTTGGGTTCTAATGTGTAAATATCTTTGAAGACGGTGTTTGGGCATAGGCGTGAGCCAAAATGGGACTTGTATATACACTAGTTTTTTGTGACGAGGGCGTCTTTGGGTTATCACAGTTTTCCATTCGGTTTAAATCCAACTTTCTTACTCACTCCTTGCATGCGTTTGTTCGAACGGTGCGATATGATTGGCCGTACAAGCGATCACCTTCTCTAACGTCACAGCCGTTCTTCTCGGTCGCTCTATTATCATTCCTACGCCCGATGAATTGAATATGGTCTCTCAGCCCGATATCGTAGCTTCAACAACCTCGATTCCGCAATAGTTCTCAGGGTCACGAATTCATTGGTCGATTATGAATACGAATGTGGCGCAGGCAAGCGGGCTAACACTTCCCTCCAGGGCTCGGCGACGGACATCACACCACGAACTTGTTGCATAGCTATTCGCTTACAACCGCGCATCGATCACATGAGCATTGTCATAGCATAGCAGCTGGACTCTTGGTGGCTACCTGAGTTGCAAGCGCTCAGCGTTCCGAGGTCACAGCCCCGTGTTGGAAGCCTTCCGTCACTCCATCCGCCCGTGCCTTTCCGCTAGGACCTCAAACCATAGGCGATGCTCTACATTTGGCTCACATTTCGTATACTGCAGCTTCTCCGCCGATGTCACAGTCATCAGTTTTTACCTCCACATTCTTTATGAGCCGAGGCTCTTGTTGTGGTCTTGGATTCGATCACTGATCTCGCGATGGACGAACGACTAGCTAGAATCTGCATCTTGTCCGCCTTTGCCTCGCCGTGTTCTCCGTTCTAGAATTTGGAGCGGTGAGCGGACGATATAACGCCTTGGTATATGGCGCAGCCGCTGATCTTTAAAGCCAGCTACAACTACAACGTAAATTCGTCACAGACTTAACGGTCTCCATTCCAGACTAACTTTGACTTTTCGATCTATCATTCTTCTTGTCCTCGATGAGACTCACTACCTTCCTCCTACTCGCCGATCCTCAGCTCGGGCCAGACGTGAAACTCCTGAGCAACCTCAACAACGAACTGAATAACATCCAAACGCGCGAATTCCCCCTCAACGGCAAAGATATCTCCCTCATCAACTGCAAAGGGTTTGTCAACAAGCCCGATGCGGTCTTCTTTGCTGGCGATCTCACATCATTCGGCGGCAACATAAACGTCGGGGAGTGGATGGACGCTGACGGTTGCAACGCGGCCACTTATGAGGGCGGGGCGCAGTTGCAGGACGTTCGGGCATTATATGATCCAGTGAGGCCGAGGAACGGGATCACGCAGCTGAGCAACTGCGGGCCGTTGTATTTTGGTCTGGGGAATCACGGTAAGTCCGCGCACCGTACTCCAACCTTGCAGACACTCATTTGCTTGCGTAGATCTCGAGAATAACACATATGGGATGCCCCCGTGGCGGTTGTATGACGGGAACGGAGAGAGTGATTCCTTCGATTATTACCGATTCCAGATGTGGAATTACATTGACCAGATGCACATAGGTAATATCCCGGCAATCTCGCATACTCTTTGGTCTCATCTTGACTGAGACGCTAACCATCGATGTGCATAGGATACCATCAGGAATTGCATAATGCGGTACGCAATGTTGACGCACGGTTTCCCATCGCTGCCGCCAACATCGACTCGGACCCGCTTGGTACCTCATACTACAAGGACTACTCCTTCAACTACGTCATCGATCTTGGCCCCGTGGACGTTTATCAGGTAAGTTTACTGGGTACAGGATGCCTGTCTTAGCTCAACATTTATGCTGTTGTTACTCGAAAGATTGCCTGGGCAGTGCGTTGTAACACAGCATGCTTAACGAAGCTATAAGAAGTACCTGCCAACTCTATGAAGAGCCATGCTGACTTCGTACCTCAGCTGCACCAATTCGGCGGTGATTCCACCTTTGGCCGCAAGTCCGGGCTCGACTGGCTGAAGCGCAAGCTCGCAATAGGCGGCTACTCTCGTCCCGTGATCATAGTCCAACACATCTCCGTGGCGGGGTCCGACTCCGATTACGGCTTCACGCCTGCAGTCCGGGACAAGCTGCTCGCAATACTGCGGCCGTACAACGTCATCGCCATGCTCGTCGGACACTCACATTCCACTGCCCGAGTCCGCGAGGTCCGCCCCAGCACAGGCGTGACAATAGACGGCGTCAGAAACAACCACCAGATTTGGGAGCTACGCCCTGGCGCCGCAACCCTAGAGGTCAGCCATACCAATCTGGACGGCACACCTGGGACGCGTTTTGGCCTAGTCCGTGTTGAGGAGCCCGATGCTGGAAACGAAGTCATCACGAATGTCGTGTACGGCACAGTCAGGCAGGGAAAGACGAAATTCGAGTGGCAGTACGGTTGGTCGAACCGCACCTCCACTGCGGGTCTGTACTTGCTAGATATCGAAGTGCGTATCCCCAGTAGTACTCTCAGTTATACAAACAAACCAGACGCAGGTGCTGACAAAGGAGCACAGGTCATCTACCGCGACACCGAAGCCGACGACGCCGCCGACGATCTGCCCTGGTACGTCACGGAAGAAACCAGCAAATCCGCCAACATCAACCACGGCTTCGGCGGAAGACATGTCTACATCAAGCCCATCCTGACGGCGAACGCCTTGGAGGCAGCCACGGGCTTCGATCTCGCGATCCGCGACCAACCCTACGAGGGCCCCAACGCGCGCATCAAGGACCTAGCCAAAGGCGCGGGCGGAAAGTATCGCTATTTAGTGCCGAAGCGTGAGCCGGGCAAGACGCCGATCCGCCAGCTGTGGCTTTGGCGAGCGGATGGAAGGCAGGCGCCGAGACTGGGCTGGGAAATGACGGGCGATATCAATAAGGGGCGCGGTGGGGATTATTTGTTATTGGAGTGGGATGCTAGGGGGTGAGGACAAGGCTGTGAGGGAGAGAAGAGGAGGCGGAACAGGATATCGGGATCGGGACACGTTTGCTACACAAGATTGTGATTTTTATGACGGTGTTCGTGAGTGGAGGGGACTTGGGTCGTGGTGCATAGGTTGGACTTTTAGGAAGATACCCCAACATACGTCTGCTCATATGCTTCTACATTCATCGCATCAAAAAGTTTGAATGTTTTACTAGATATCGTTTAGCCCTAAAAGCCTTCAAGACCCAGGAAGTAATCAGCGAGGTCCAGCTTGCTTTCCCAAACCCAACAATATAGCATCTCAGCCCAAATCACTCACGTTCGAATAAGCAGCGCATCTCACGCAGAAACCAGTGTTGAACGGACGCAACACAACGAAGAAACGGTGGACAAATCTTAAAGCCATTGAATGGGGGCATCTATTTACCTACCCATACCGAACTATTATAGCCTGGGGCGCCGTGTAGTACAAAGACTTCCGGTAAATGAAGTATGAAGGTATACCGGATATCCCATATCCCTGTACCAAATCCATAAACCCATCGATCCTGTAGTAACGCGGGGTAAAGCGCGTGTCTATGATCGATATCCAATGAGTCCGCTCATCTCTCGCTCGTCGCCTGAAGTATCCACGCGATCACGTATTCTGGTCCCGCGCCTTGCCGCAGTGCTCACACTATGAACCGCCCCCAAGTAAGTACTCAATCGCGCCCTGCACATTTCCGCCACTCCTCCGCAGCGCCGCAACGTTCCGCTCGAACTCATAGAAGCCCATCTCGTTTAGCTGCCTCAACTGCACCTCGTACACCTCCTCTGGCGGTCTGTTATCCGGAGGCGGGGGGGTACCGAATCCTCCTCCGGGGCCAAATAACGCTGCGAAAGGATTCGCTGGGGGCGGACTACCGGTTCCTGATGCGGGTGTCGAGGTTGAGGGTGGCTGCCCGAAGGGCGCGAATGGTGAGCCTCCTGCATTGCCGCCGCCCATGGAGCCGAGCATCTGCATTGCTGCACGCATGGCTTCGGGGTTCTGCATTAGGTTGCGGGACATCTCTGCGAGGGGATCGGACTGTTGGCCGCCGGAACCTGCGGGAGGGGGACCGAAAAGCCCGGCAAACGGGTTCGGCGGGGGTGGTGATGTCGAAGTATTCTGTGTGCCTTCTGCATTCTGGGGGGTTGAGCCGGTATTCGAAGCATTTGCGTCTGTGCCCGATGTACTGGTCGCGGATGTGTTCGGGTTCTGCGGTGGAGGAGCGAACGGATTTGCGCCTGCACCGAGTAGACTAGCGAAAGGGTTGGCTCCCATGCCACCTCCGCCGCCGAGAAGCGCCGCGAATGGATCTTGTTGCGGTGCTGATCCGGCGGTATTTGGCTGGCTTTGCTGTTCTTCTGAGCCCTGCTGCGGTGTGGTATTCGTAACGCCTGGTGCCGGGAAGCTGGATCCGCCACGGTTCTGGTTCATAGCTCGCTGCATCTGCAGTTGCATACGCATCATATCCGGGTTGAACATCATTCTACGCATCTCCGGATTGCGCAGCATTTCTGAGATCATGGGGTTGTTCCGGACCATGGGGTTCTGCTGCATCATCTCGATGACGGCGGGGTTGTTCATGGCCTCGTTCATTTGCGACAGGAACATGGGGTTGTCCATCATCTCTAGTAGGGCTTCGGGATTTGGCGGCGGGCCCATCTGCATACGATTAGCTACTACGTCTGGAAAGTTGTCATGAGAGGAACTTACCCCTCCATCAGGACCGAATGTATCCATACCCGGCAGCCCATGGAAGCCAGCATACCGCGCTCCGGTCAGGCCCGCGAGAGGGTTATTCCCCGTGCCCGCCGCGATGTTCGTCGGTACCTGCGGCGCAGCCGCACCGCTTCCGCTCGCCGTGCTGCTAGTGCCCTGGCTGGCCGGGTTCTGCCGCGCATTGCTCGCCGCGCCCTTGACTAGATGCACCGTATGACCGTCCTTGATCTTGGCGCTAGCGAGCGTGTCATGGTCCTTGAGCACCCGACCGGAGTATATCAACCGCTGGCGCTCGGCGGGGATATCTGCGTATTCTGACGTCGAAAGCTTGGCCTTGAGGTCGGCGACGGTCGTGCTTGCGGGCACGGTTATGACGTGCTTCTGGTCATTTGCGGACTTGACGTTGAAGGTGACTTGCGTCTCGTCGGTGGACGCTGCGGCGTCGTCGGCCATGGTTGTATGAGGTGAGGTAGTGCGGAGCAGCGACCGTAGGGCTGCAGCTGCGGAGCAAAGTCTGGCCAATAATACTATGAATATGTAGTCGGGACGTAGGTGTAGTCGCGGAGCTTTGTGGTGTAGGAAAGAGAAAATTAGGCGCAAATTTGTAGGTTGGACGACGCTGGAAGGCGACAGAAGAAAGCGCCCAACATGCGAAGCCCGTGGTTGTCACTCCCGTCATTGGTGTGTCCGTGCACGTGGCGCGGGTGGCTAGTGACGGCCCGATTAGTAAGCGCGATTGTGGGACCGAGAGTGGGGAAGGCGCGACGTGGGCCGAGGTATCTTTGGAGAGCGACCTCCTCGACGGTTAATCGCAATTATGAGTCTCTCACGCATTTCGAGCTTCCTTCCCTTAATTCGTTGCATCAAGCCTGGCTGATAGCCCCTCAATTCACTGGTCTTCAGTCCCTGTTCGTAGACGTCCTCTCAGGAATCACGATTGTAAGCAGTCAAGATGAAGGCGATACAGATCAAGGAATATGTCAAGGTAAGCCGTCCTATGTGCATCCTGTCCAACGTGAGTCTAACTCTTCTACAGGGGCCCGAAGAGCTCAAAGTCATCGATCTGCCCACTCCGACCCCAAAGCCGAACGAATACCTCATCGCGATCCACGCGTCCGCAACCAATTTCTTCGACCTCCTGCAGATTCGAGGAAAATACCAGCACCAGCCCGCCTTCCCATGGATCGCCGGCTCCGAGTTCTCCGGCGTCGTGTTGAAGGCTCCAACATCGCTCCCAGGCGGCCGAACGCCAAAGTACAAAGCCGGAGATAAGGTCTTTGGAGCAAGTCAGGGGGGATATGCAACACACGTCGTGTGTACAGAAGAGAGGCTGAAGCCAATGCCCGAGGGGTGGAGCTTCATGGATGCGGCAGGACTGTTCGTGACCGGGCCTACGAGTTATGCGGGATTGGTCGTAAGAGCGGGCATCAAGAAGGGTAATTCTTATTCCACCCCCTCCCCTAACCCTAAAAGATGAGAGCGCGATGCTAATGATATACTTAGGTGACTGGGTCCTCGTCCACGCAGCAGCTGGTGGCGTCGGGCTAGCTGCTGTTCAGATCGCGAAAGCCTACGGCGCAACAGTCATCGCCACCGCCGGAACCCAGCATAAAATGGACGTCGCGCGCTCCTTCGGCGCCGACTACGCCATCGACTACCGGCAATCCGACTGGCCGGACCGCGTCAAGAAACTCACGCCCAAGGGCCGCGGCGTAGACATCGTGTACGACCCCGTCGGGCTAGTCGCTCAATCCATGAAATGCACTGCCTGGAACGGCCGGCTCCTCGTCATCGGATTCGCGGCAGGCGGCATTGAGAAGATGGCTACTAATAGAATCTTGTTGAAGAATGTGAGTGTGGTGGGGCTACATTGGGGCATGTATGCGACAATGGAGCCCGAGATGGTGGATAAGGTTTGGGAGGGGCTATACAAGTTGATGGATGAGGGGAAGTATAGGGGCACGGTGTTTACGGATCAGGAGTATGTGGGGTTGGGGAGTGTGCCTGCTGCGCTGAAGGCGCTGGGTGCGAGGGATAGCTGGGGGAAGGTGGTTGTTAAGGTGCCGCAGGAAGGGCAGAGCAAGATTTGAGGTATGTTCCAACAAATAACAGAGATATTTCTGCTATGAAATTCTAGGTACTAGCTTACCACCATTCCGAAAAGAGGGCTGAGGTAGGACACGCACTCTTCTAAGCGTCTGCATCGTGTTCCCCAGCCCATACCTCTTCCACTCACACTGACTCGGGAACGTCCCGCCGCCTCTGACATGCACTTTCAGCGCTGCGAGTATCTCGAGATTCGCATTCACCCCAGGCAGAACCCTTGGCACCACCTGCTCGATCCTGCACGCCAGAATCAGCCACGCTCGTCCATGTCCATCCCTGGCTAGATCCCTCGCGTCGATACCCTCTTGGCCCCCACCACACTCTCCCGCAACCCAATTCAACGCCCTATTTTCGCCGTGCGACTTCGCCCCGATGCCTTCTCCTGGACTACTAGAAGAGGGCGCGATGATAGAGCTGGTGACATTTGACCGTCAAGGGGGCATGTTTGAACGACGACAGTAGCTGCGGAACCGGTGTGATCCAGAGAGGTTTGGAATGAACGATGTTGGTCAGGGTCTGTATAGTTTCGGCAGGCCACAGCTTTCACCAATCCAGATAGGAGATTTAAGATAGATATCAGGAGATGGGAGTATAGTTGCATCCAGAATTGGTTTCCGCTTTTTGTAGTGCAGAAATTCTCAGCTCTTGGCATCTACCCCGCTGTTTCCGTTTCTCTTCACCTTATCTCTTGCGACTTCTCTTTACGCATTTTCATCAGCTCCAGCTTGTTCTGAGTTCGACCGAAATCTTTTAGTAGGTCTCTTAGCAAGTATGGATACTATCCCGCCAGTACCACCGACACTATACCGCGTCCAACATAAGAGGTCCTTTACCTATTACGGGAGTAACGAAGGCTTCGTAGCAAATGGCCGCTACTGGATGGACTATAGCTATTGGTTCAATCCGACAAAAGTGTGGAAGCACCTGGATTAGGACGATAGATCACTTGAGCCAAGTCCGTTCATATCCCTCTTCGATAATCTATGTAAGGCCATTCTACAAAACTACGCCGTACAAGACGGATCCTAATTAGCATACTAGCGGATGCACAAGATCGAGTATCGATTCACCGGAACAGAGGCGATAGCGATGTTTCAATAGCCCAGGTCGATATATCCGAGTTTGTGCCATGCTGCCTTCGTATGCAGTTCTCCGAAGGCACCGTCGAAATATTTGGTCGGGTACACCCTGCGACAAGGACAATGCTGTTCCCTATGGGGGAGATTGGGAGCGAATTTCACATCGATTTCAGAATGATTCAGCAGTTGGAGTGGCTTGCGCTACTGTCCATTCCGCCTGAGATGATCACCTGGATGCCTTTCTAAGTACAAAATACCGTGCTCAGGTTGGGAATTGGTTGCTCTGCTGCGCGTAGGATAAAGCGACATAGAACCATGTATCATGCAACTCTCAATCAATTTATATATAACAAAATTGCGGATTCTAACATTAACTTACGTTTTTCTACATAGTCGAAAGTAAGTTAGTTTAGTATGCCATTTTTTTTTGTTGCCTGCATGCCCGGTGAACTGCTTGCTAAGAGCTGAGCAAGGACCGTGCGGTGAGAATTTCTGCACTGCAAAACGCGACTGTACACCAGGACTTCATCTTTGCTAATTCATATCATTCATGTATCGTCGCTAAGGCTCAAAGTATCCACCGGTGGATGCCATTCATAATCTCATCAGCATGAAACATATCCCCAGCCCAAGACTCCAGCGCAATGCACCGATTAACCTGACCAAATACCGGCTGACAAGGTAGAGAAAGTTGCTGATTGTCCGCGCTTTTCAACGTTTTGAAAAGAAGGCCTGAAAACCTTCAGCACTCAAGTAAACTCGGACTCCCCGCCAAATATGCTGGATAGATATGACCGTCAAGTAGGAAAACGCCAAAAGAATGCAAGCGAGCCACTGTCGTCGTGGTCTCTAGTTCACATCCATGCCGTCATCCTCCGCCTCCTCATCGCCTTCCTCCTCCCCAGCGGTGAGTACGCCGGCGCTGCCAAGGCTGCGTTTGCGGTTGGTGTTTGTATAGGGCCGCAATTGGCCCATCATCTCGAGCTCATCACTGCTGACCACGCGGGAATCAGGGTCCGATTCAGAGCAAAGATCAATGAGGCTGGAGGGATTCAGTGCCCTGAAGCCAGCCGTGCGGACAACGCGGCCCCAATTCTGCAGGCAGTATGCTGCCGCCCGTCGTTTGAGCCAGTCTTCGTTGGCAGTCGCTGCCCGCTCCCAGATTACCGCGGCGTGCTCGATATCCAATTCTCGGCCGAGGCGATTGACGCACAGCAGCCGCAGACGCGGCATGTCGTAGATATTTGACATAACCAGCATGCCCGCCACGTCATTGAGAGTAGGACCGTTTTGTGGGTGAGGAGCGATACTGTCCGTGTACAGATAGAACAGAAAGGCGCGGACAGCCGAATAGGGCTCGGGAATGTGCATCTTCTTCGTGTGAAATTCACTCATCTGAGCGCTCCACAACCGGGCGAAATGCGGCCAACGAGCGTGGAGGATGAGCCGATGGACGTGGATTGGACGGGAAACGGGTGCAACCGCGGTTGAGGATGGGCCGGGGTCAGTTACTGGTGAGGCGTCGTAGTCAACGTCGTCTGGATCCGCAGTGATGATGAAATCAGCTCCGCTGCCGGTTTCTGGGGGTTGATCAAAAGTGAGGGAGAGATCCGCGCCAATGCCTGTGAGATGCGAGGAGACGTTGGCGTCGGAAGAGGGCAGCTTCGATCTTGGGTCGCTCGCGAGCTCATTGCCGAGGATGCCGTATTTGCGAAGGTCTATGGCTAAGACATCGCTGAGATATTCACCACCGCTTACGCCATTGCCATCGGGCGAAGGCTCGACAGGGCTGCCGAGGAGCCAAGCATGCGTGCCCTCCGCGTTAGTGGTGCAATAATGCCAGCGGAAGCTTGAGTTATAGATATCCTTTCCGTCTGCCAACTTCTGCCAGCGGAGGGTATCTAGCTCCAAGCTTGACAAACTCGTCTCACAGCTCAACTCGGCAGGAGTGACAAAGTCGAGCATGCAACCAGAGGAGAAGACGTGGAAATGCATGCCGGCGGCTTGGGAAGGGAGGTTAGGGCTCGAGTGGAATTTGAGCGAGGATATGGAGCCCGGCGTAATGTAGGGTGACTTGGCAGAGAACATGGAGCTTGGATACGACTGCACGCTCGAATTGGCGGTATAGCCGGTGCTGCCGGTTGCGAGCTGACCTGACGCGGGAGTGGGGAAGCGATGCCGTGATGTGAGCAGTTGACGATCCCCAGTGCCGTAAGTCATGGCGGTCTCGAAGCCAGGGCTGCCGCGGAGGTCTAGCCACCAGATCTCGTTGTTCTTCTCCATTTCGTCGTTGATGCCTCCGAAGATCCAGATACGGCCATTCCAGATCCAGCTGGCGTGATCGTATCGAGGCACGAATTTCCATGTGCGAGACCACGTCCACGTCTTGAGGTCGAGGAAGCAGATATCATCCAGTACGCTATCGTGACCCGTCTGCCCTCCGCTGATGTAGAGCTTCTCGTCGTGTATAACGGCAGAATGGCGAGCGCGTCCTCGAGGCGTCGGACCGTGCAATTCGGGCTGCGTCCAGTACGCCGTCTTCAGGTCGAAGACAATGACGTCGGAGAGGTGCTGACGGTGCTCGTTCTCGCCGCCGAAAACGAGCAGCTTGTCACCCTGCCAGAGGCAAGCGGTGTGACCTAGAGCCGGTCAGTATATAGTTGCAGCTTGCCAAAATGGACTTTGAGGGAATCCAAGGCATAACGACGTGCCAGGTCCATCATCTTGACCTATGGCTGGGCATCGCTACTGTATTGACTTACCCATTCGAACCCCAGGGATGTCCCCATAGTTATCGACTAAGTTCCACTGCCGAGTGGCCAGGTTTAGACGAAGCACATGGTTGTATACTGTGGTGAAGGCAGTCAGCCTTAGTTTTGCACTCTTCAGGAGTGTGACCCACCTTCGTCTGTATACTGGTCGAAGCCGCCAAAAGCGTAGATCTGGTCGTTGCCGACGTAGGTCACGGAGGCGTTGACCAGACATGCGGGCTTGGCGCCGATGGTAGAGATGAGCTTAGGCTTGTAGCCTTCTACGGTGGACTTGCGATTGCGCACTGGGCTCGCCGTCATGAGGAAGGTGTTACTGCTAGAGCTGCTGCCGGTGGCTGGGGTTGTGGTCGCCAGAGCGGTCGACGGTGTAGTTGTCGCGGCGGGCGGGTGACTGTTCGAAAAGAGAGACGAAGAATGGAGCTGAGTTTGAGCCATTGAGTCAGTCGGTTGCTGGAGCTGCTGCAGGAGAGTCATGAGCGGCGGTGAACGGTGCGCTTTGTCTCTGCGTGCCGCACTATCGGCAGGGGAGCGGCATTACCGGTCCTGGCGCGCTTCACGGAGCTGGCGAAGGCCGGAGAGTCTCTTTGACCAGTGGCCGGAAATTGAGTAGTCGGGAGTGTGTCAGCGAGCGTGGGTGGTACTGTCCGTCTTTGTTGGAGCGTGCGAAAGTTTGGCTGACTTGACAGCAGGCACAGCGGGCGGTGAGTGCCAACCCGGCAGAATCTTCCGCTTGGCGCAACAATTCTCCGAAAACAGCCGCACGTGATGTCATCGGCGCTCGGGGCGCGTGGCCCCGCCGTCGCCCTGTCAACCACAGCGAGTAAACAAAGCGTATTTAATCTGCACCGGGCCTTCCACCCCGTCCTCCCTCTACCTTACCTACCCTACCTCCCTCATCTTCTCCGCATACCTCCACCCTCTCTCCATCTCTCAAACACACGCAAATACCTTCGAAATCAATACTTCAAAGCATCGATTACAGCATTGTCTAATACTAATATTTGTTTTACAGCAGCATACCAGAAAATCATATTGTACTACACCCATACCCGCTGCGTGGCATACCCTGGCTGACATCCCGCAGTAAGAGAGTAGCGCAGTCATGGCGAGCCCAGCAGTCTTGACCCCGGTCAAGAGCCGCTCATCAGTCTTCTCCACCCGCACCGCTGGCGGTCGGATGCCATTGACGCCCTCTCCCCGAACCCCACGGACGCAGACTCCTGATGCGCAGGCGCACGAGTCTCTCCATGGCGGCAACTTCATGTCCCGTCTCCAGCGCTCCATCTCCAAGACCACCCGAGACTCCCCCAAGTCGAACATCGCCCGGGCTACCAACTCGCCGCGACGGTTAGAGCTCGGCGTGTCGGAGTGGTCGCTGACTGGAACGGGCAACACATCAACCAAGACACCTGCCAAGTCGAAGAGGGACGGCACCCTCCGCTCAAGGCCCACCAAGACCCGGATAGCATACAACGCCGCCGACCGCTTCATCCCAAACCGCACAGCGAGCGACGCCATCTGCAACGTCGGCACCGGCAAGCTCGATCTCGACCAGCGACCCAAGTCTAGCTCTACGGGCGAGGGCTCCACGGTGCTGGCCAATGCCGCGAGTGCATTCGATCTGGGCGGTCGGGGTTCAGAGGAAGATGTCACCCTCTCGCTGGAAGGCCTTAGCCTCGAAGATGACGATGAGGAGGGCCGGTCAAAATCTAAGGCCACCCCAGACACCGTCGCATATCAGTCGTCGCTCGCATCAGCATGCGGCGTCAGCCTCAACACTCGCATTCTTGCCTTTAAGCCTGCCCCTCCGGAGTCATCAAAGCCCATCGACCTCCGATCACAGTACAACCGCCCCCTCAAGCCGGCCAGCAGTGTCAACGCCCAGAGCCGTCGTCGCATTCCATCTGCGCCTGAGCGGGTTCTCGATGCACCTGGTCTCGTCGATGACTACTATCTCAACCTCCTGGACTGGTCTTCGAGCAACCAGGTCGCCATCGGCCTAGAGCGCTCTGTCTACATCTGGTCTGCCGACTCCGGTTCGGTTGCTTCTCTTCTCGAATGTCCTTCCGAGACTTACATCTCGTCCGTGAAGTGGTCCGGCGATGGAGCCTACGTCGGTGTCGGTCTCGGCACTGGTGAGGTCCAGATTTGGGATGTCGAGGAGGGCACCAAGCTCCGAAGCATGTTCGGCCACGAGACACGCGTTGGGGTCATGGGCTGGAACAAGCATATCCTCTCTACTGGCGCTCGCTCGGGTCTCGTCTTCAACCACGACGTTCGCGTCGCTCAACACAAGGTCGCCGAGCTAGTCTCACACACTGGCGAAGTCTGCGGTCTTGAGTGGCGCGCCGATGGAGCTCAACTCGCGACTGGCGCTAACGACAACCTGGTCTCGATTTGGGATGCTCGGTCGCTTGCCGCTCCCAAGTTCACCAAGACCAACCACCGCGCAGCCGTCAAGGCTGTTTCGTGGTGCCCGTGGCAATCCAACCTCCTTGCGACTGGCGGTGGATCGAATGATCGTCAGATCTACTTCTGGAACACCACCACCGGAGCGCGCATCAATCACATCCCGACCGACTCCCAGGTCACCAGCCTGCGATGGAGCACCCACTACAAGGAGATCGTCAGCTCTGGCGGCTTCCCCGACAACTCTCTCAGCATCTGGAGCTACCCATCCGGTGTCAAGAACATGGAAGTCCCAGCCCACGAGTCTCGCGTTCTACACAGTTGCTTGAGCCCCGATGGCCAGATGCTAGCCACCGCCGCTGCGGACGAGTCCCTCAAGTTCTGGAAGATCTTCGAGAAGAAGCCCGGTCAGCCTTCGATCGCCGCTGCCGGTGCTGCCTCCACCAAGGCGAGCGTTGTCAAGCAGATGACGATTCGCTAAACATACAACAACTCATGTCTCGCACAGTCATCCTCTTCGGACTTTGACGCTGGTGCGGACGTCATCACCAACGGCTTGCGCAATGGAGCCGATTACCCGACTCTACGCGCAATGGTAAGTTGGTAAGTATCACATCTCGTTTGGGTATGTGACGCGGTCCTATCCATAGGAACCTTCCACAGCTACCCTCGGAAACTGGCAACTCGGCTGGGTGTTTTAGTCTCTGTTCAGCGAGGCGTCTTGGAGGATCATGCATGGGCGGTGTTGGTGGAGTGGATCCTTTCGAGCGTCTGATGAATACGAGTCCATGAGCGACGATGATCTCAGTCGATGTTTTGGTTACGAAAGCAAATGTTTTCGGGTGTCATCTCAAGTCTTGTCTGGAGGTTCTTCCTGGGTCCGTCCGTATTAATGCAAGCATATTCAAACGTTTAAAGAATTCCTTTTGAATGTGAAGTGACAAAGCGCGCGTAGACCACACACGTGAAAGACTTTTTTAATCCAAGGGTATTAATAATGCGAACATGTGATTATACAGTCTTTAGCGGTTCTCAAAATGTAAATCACTGCGAATCCGGCTCCTTCCCCATGCAAGTCACGAGCTCGTCCCCCGGCACCGCACTATTACACCTTGCACTATGCCAAATATTCTCCGTATACTCTTTCTCATAGAATCCTTCCTCCAGAATCGACCCAGCAGCAAGCGAAACCTTCGGCCCCGCGCCCTCGTGATGATGGAACAACTCTGGGTTCACGGTCACACAGCGAATCTGTCTGCCCTTGCACAGTATATGAAGCCAGACGTCGAACGACTCGACGCCATGGTCATCTCGCCCGACTAGCTTCCGGGCTGCTTGTCCAGTGACGGCATATGCGTAGGTGCATATGGGGCCGGCGGACCAATGGATGTAGCGCTTACGTTCGGGATAGGGAGATAGAGTCTTTTCCCAGGAGTTGATGTATGGCGGTACTGTTGGGTCGGGCAGAGTTATTGGCGGAGGGTCGAAGATGATGCTGTCGCCGCAGTGGCCGAGCCATAGGATATCCCATTCGGTGCCAAAGGGAGGGAGCGGCATGATGGATGTCGCATTCGACGCGTCGCCAGTCAGGTTGCGCACTGCCTCCGCGATTTGCGGCATCTGTGCTCGAATACCGATGTCCCAATCTGTGTCGTCTTCTAGGATTAACGTGCTGGAGTGTGTAGTCGCAATGTTGAGCGCGTGCAAATGGCCGAGCCATGAGAGAGCGTAACCCCTTCCCATGCCTTCCTTCCGCGCCATCAGCGCTTCTACATCCGCATTCGGCCATTCTGGCTGGGGAGGGACTGCTATGCTGAGGCCGCTGTATGCTGCTGCTTTGAGGAGGCCCTCCTTTCGCCAGCGTAACTGCACAGGGACAGAGTTGGGAGCAACGGCCACGATGCTTTCGAACTGTGATATTCGATGTCAGTCTGGATGTCTCAAAGCAGGGAGCGAGGTGGTTACCCCCAAAGTCGCATTAGCCGCGGAATAATCGAGATCGAGCTTTCTCCAAGACGCCCAGCTTAAGATATTAGCAGGGCGAAGATGGCCCGTTAGAATGAAGACATTGAATAGGAAAGCGACAACAACGAAATTTTTGAAACGAGAAGACTGCAATGAATTCATCCGGAACGACTTTCAAAGAAAAATAATGAGCGTATGCATGATAGAGAGGACCGTAGGCGATGTCGTGAGGTGTTCTCTGTTCATGGGAACGAGGCGCGTGCGGCACAGGGTACAGTACCACCATGCAAGCGTCTGTTAATATATATGATGGTGGGCGCTTAGAATTCCTTTGTCCTAGAGATTCCTTTGTTTTTAATTCCTGACTATACCACAACGGGCTAGCGCACATAATGCAACATCGCGGCGAAGTACACCTAGGCTTACTCTCTATCTCCGCACTTCAGGAACCATAAATACATACCTTGCAATGACGCATTTGCCGTCGCGACGGGCATCAACTCATCTGAAATCAATCATAAATAACAGTACCCGATCTCTCTGCATCAGCACACCAAGGACCTAGCCAACACTTCAGGCAGACGCATATCGAAAGAGGGCATTCGATCGCACAACCACAACATCAAGAGAAACCCCAATAGAAGCAGGAGCGCAGCCATGGCACCCGAGCACTCCATCATTCTCTCTCCTCTAGACCAGACGATGCCTCGGGCCTATATCCCCACGGCCCTCGTTTTCGCAACCAAAAACTATGAGTTGGCGATCTCGCATCTGCAGGCCGGCCTGGAGAAGACGTGCACGCAGCTGCCGTGGCTGAAGGGTCGTATCATAGAGAGGGCGAATGAACGGAAGCAGCTCGCTATTCGTTGGGATGTAACAGCACCAACGCCAGTCATAGAGGAGAAGGATGCCCCTGAGGGTTTTCCCGGTTTCGCACAGCTTGTAAAGACAGGAGGACCAGCGGAGTATTTTCAATACGGGATGTTCCCCTCCAGCTGTCTAGCCAGGAATCAGGAGGTGGAGGAACCCGGGGCACCAGTTTTCGGCACCAGCTGTGTGAGGATTGAGGGAGGGCTGGTATTTTGCGCGTCTATGCATCATGCTGTCATGGATGGCAGCGGGTATGGCGATTTCGTAAGGCTTTGGGCCGAGAACACGCGCGGTAGCCTAGGCTCTTCCATGGCGCCGGATCCGGAGGAGCCGTTGAATAGAGGGGGGCGCCTTGCAGATGCCATCGGACCTCCTTCAAAGCGGGATGAGCTCACAATTGAGAGCCTATTGAAAGAGCACCGCGAGTACAAGCTCCGATCCTCCGAAACCCACCCACCTACTTCCTCATCACCATCGCCCGAAGCAATCCCACCCGGCACCTCGAAGATCTTCACCTTCTCCGTGCCCAAGCTACGCGCCGTCAAAACGTCCTTCCCGCCCCACCTTATCGAAGACTCCTTCGTGACAGTCAACAATGTCCTCTGCGCAATCCTCTGGTCGCACGTCTCCTCTATCCGTTGCTCGCGCCCCGAGCACCCTGAACCTGCGTCAGACTCGCTTTTCGGCTTTGCGGTAAACGGGCGGCGGATCCTGGGGCTCAATGAGCCCACAGCTCCGTTTCTGGGCAACGTGACGCTGCTCGCACAAGCGGATGCACACATGGAGGAGCTAAAAGCTGTATCCGTAGAGGATCCGACTGCCCTGGCACCAGTGATATATTCTATTGCTTGCGCTGCTCTTCTGGTTGATAAAGCATACATTGAGTCCCTCGTCCAACTCGCCTCCCTACTGCCGGATCTCTCAGGCATGGAACCAGGCTGGGATGCCATAAATGGCCCGGACTTCAACGTCACGAGCTGGGTGTATATGGGACTGTATGACTGCGATTTTGGCGATGCAGTGGGGAAGCCGGAACTCGTGAGGTTGCCATGTCTGCCGGTTGATGGACTGGCCATGATACTCCCCAAGCGGATGAATAGCATTGGAGAGGAGACGCTGGAGGTCATGGTCGTGTTGAGGACAGATGATATGGATAGGCTGAGTGAGAGTGAGACGTGGAGAAGTTGGCTCGCAGAGGAAAAATAGAGAGGGCCGGGGAGCTATAGACAGCGGATGCAGCTCGAATTTGCACCAACATAGTTAACAGATGCAGAACAAGCGCATGCATCTCCTTGCTCCCAAGAAAAATCCGAGCCAGAGTCCCCATACCCACGCTCAATGATCCCTGTCCGGATCCAAAGCCGTACACAATTCCAAGATCCCGTCAGCAAGTGGCCAGCAGAAGTCGCTATGACACTCTTCGTCCAACTATCTGCATCTGTCTCAATCTAATTACTTTTTACGTACAAGGCTGCTGAGAGGAGGAGAGAGCTTAACAACCAACAATGGGCACCTAGAATCGAGTCGAGTTGGGTGGACTGCGATCGGCACAAGTACAAAGCTGAGGAGGCTTGGTGGAAATGGTGGCGACCGGTTGGCGTGCGGTCCAGGGCTCCGAACGAGCTTGCCGCCAGCCAGGCGTGGAGACACACCGGTGAGCACGATACCCATGAGTATCGAATGAAGATACTCGTCGGATCAGTCGGTCGCAGACATCTTCGGATGATGGTTGATGATAACCCGTTTGCACCATCCCTGAGTTCTCCATCAGGGGTGGCCCCGGGCCTAACCACGGGAAGGTGGGGTGCAAGGCTCATAAGAAGATTCCAATAAACAAGGTCAACCAAAGATACATGGTAAGCAAGTGGATAGATTGGAGTTTCGTACGTATCCGGCAGCCTGATGTGCTTCAGCTCCTTTGGCGTTGTTCAGGTTCTAGGGCGTATCCGGCTTCCCGATGTGCTTCAGCTCCTTATACGTTCTTCAAGATCTTCCCTCTGACTCTGCAGCCGATACATCCTATTCCTGCTTGGCTGCGTTACCCAAAAACACGACGAGAACAGCGCAGTACCTAAAGCCCACGTTAGCAAACGATGCACTCCTACTACTGTGATTGGAGTTTCTTACGCTGCGGTTGCCGCTAATGTCTCGTGACGCTTCGCCTTCGAATAGAAAGCCATGGTGCATGAGAATAGCATAGTAAAGAAGAAAAGAATGCCAATGCATCCCGCATAGCCGTTATAGCTACCCACCTTGGTCACTAAAACGTAGCAGAGTAGCACTGGTAGAACGAGGATGACTGCCATAATGAATGCGACGATTGCGGTAGCGACGTTCGAGATCCGACTAGCGCTGAAGTAGTGGATATATTGAGAACCGCTTTTGCTCCTGCTTCGCTTCGGTGAGGCCTTAGCTAGGCACGCTCGCAATTTAGGTGATGCTTAGGCGGACGGAGCTTACCTGGTCTGTAAAGAGTCGCTAACCAATGTGTTAGTCCCCGGGCATTCTACTGTGCACGTCTTACTTACTTGGAGAAATCGCCACCCTAGGAAGACAATCGCTCCCCCAATCCGCGCTTCAAGCCAATCGGGCTCTTTTGGGGGCCGAAGCGCAACTAGGTCTTCTTTCATCTGAACCCAAGATGCTTCGCGTTCAACGATTGGCTTGGTATTCCACATGTAGTTGAAAACACTTTGGTGATCCCGTTCTGTGGGTCTCTCGAAGGAGCGCATTTGCTGTACGGCGGTCATTAGTTGTGCTAAGCTATTGTTAGCTAACCGCCCAATAAGGTCAAGTGGTAGGTACAAGATCGAGCAATTCGAGAAGAACTCCCAGTTCGCGAAACAGCGGATCGGGGTGCCTCATTCTGAAGGCCTATCAGCTATCCAAGGCGGAAGGAGATCGCGTGGAGTTCTTTTGACCTTATGGTGAACGTTCGGCATGTTCGGAAGCAAGACGGGATATTCAAGACGTTGATGAACGTACCGTATTCCCGAAAGACCTGGTCCGCCCGCTCAAGGAGCTGCTGGCGCTCAGCCACCACATCCCGCGCCCCCGGAAGGATGGAGTCCTGAACCATCTGCACCGTCCTAAGTTGGCTCGGCTGTGCTTGGTTGAGGCATTCGTCTAGTTCATCAATCCTCGTCTCGAGCGTCATCAATTCGCCTTGTTTTTCCAACAGGAGACGGTTTTGGAAATAGCCGAAGCGTCGGAAAACCATGAAATTCTCATCGCTATCGAGAAATGCGGCGAGGCGAGGGTAGCCTTCTGGTGAATCCTTCAGAGTCCTGATGACTTCGGGAGCCCATGCTGGCCTCGAGCTTCGACGGCGCTTCTTGAACAGCTTCGTGCGCTTTCAGTGCGGGCTGTGGGCTTCGACTGCTACTTTTGCTGCTTCTACCTCGACTTCGGGAGGAGCTATCACTGTACGGTTGGGCGTAGGTGATATCGACGCTGGGTTGCTCGACCTCGGTTCGTCCTCAGCTGTGCGCGCGGCGGGTTCACTCTCTTCTAACGACTCTCGGAAAGATCCACTATCGTCCACAACTACCTCGCTTGATATGCCCGGCACAGCCTCGTCCCTGCTCTCCGGCAATACTCTCTCTGTTCTCACGAGGTCGGGGCAAGATGACGATCGCAGAGATGGGGGCATCGTACCCGCTTCAGGACATAGACCGGAGGTCCTCAAGAAACGAAAACCTGCGACTCTAAATCGCTATACCAGAAAGTAAGGATCAGGCAGGCTAGCTCGCAAGATATAGAGGTGCAGATGCCACCTCAGCCGCGCTTCCAGAGGGACGCAAGGTTGGCACTCGCATGTCGATCGCATGCAGCATGTCTATGCTTGGCAGCCTTGACCGGTGGTGATTCCCAAGAAGAAGGGCCCTCATCAACGCTGTCGCATGATGCTACTACTGGTGTAGCAAAAGTGCTCAAAATTCCGGCGATGCAGAGGATGTGTAGCTCCTTTGGTTGCTGACCCCGTTCAAGCCATTACCACCAAGCTGGAGCGTCAAGGACGAGAGAGAGAAGAGGAACAAGGCCTAGAAGGTGTTTGGCCGCATGCTGACCTCGGGGAATGAGGTCTTACGCGAGTATACGCGTGGCAGAGGCTTGCAGAAGAAAAAGGCAGATGTGCAGCGAGCATGGCTATGCAGCAATAAAGAGGTCAGGCGGCGAAACAAGCAAGGGCAAGCGAACTGGAGATGATGACGTATAGATGGGTATGCAGTGCCCCTATATGGTCACTGTTCGACCGAAGAAGGCGACCCACGGATGGTGTTGAGGCTCTGGAGGTCTAGCTAGAGCCTGCCCAGGTGGAGGCGAGACTTGTGACATGTGACGGATCTCCGCAACCCCGGATCGGGGAAGGCGCGGCTGGCGCCGGCTACCTTCAAGAGGAAGCATCACCTCGGCTTAAGCAACACAAGCGAAGGCCCGCGACCGTATTCGACGCTGCACATCCTTTCTTTCCCTTTCTTCGATTCTTCTTCGGAAAGTAAGACACCATGGCTTCGATCGCGAGAACCCTCAGACCGCTTGCGCGCGCTGCGACATCCTCATCCCGCACTCTGCGACCGGCATTCTCGCGAACCGCCCCGCGGTATGTCCGCGTGATGGAGTATGAAAGATTGTTTGCTGATACGTTGTGAACAGGATAAGATGCCTCTCAGCAACCCTACCACGCCGCGAGGTCGATATCTCAGACATTCCGCCCACGCCCATCACGCACCTCTCCGAAACCGAGGCCTTGATGGCCGATTCCGTCTCCAAGTTTGCTAATGAAGTTATCCTTCCGAAGGTCCGGGATATGGACGAGGCGGAGGCAATGGATCCGGCAGTGGTGGAACAATTGTTCGAGCAGGGTCTAATGGGCGTTGAGATACCCGAGGAGTACGGTGGCTCTGGCATGAACTTCACGTCAGCCATTATCGCCATTGAGGAGCTGGCGCGGGTAGACCCCAGCGTCAGTGTCATGTGCGACGTACACAACACCCTCTGCAACACCGCGATATTGAAGTATGGCTCCGAGAAGCTGAAGAAGGAGTGGTTGCCACGGCTGGCTACCAACTCCGTCGGTGAGTGCTGGAAGTCGAACACGCGCCGGAACCAATACTGACTATCCAGGCTCCTTCTGTCTTTCGGAACCTGTCTCGGGTTCAGATGCCTTCGCCCTCGCCACCAAGGCCACGCGCACCGAGACTGGGTACAAGATCAACGGCAGCAAGATGTGGATAACAAACAGCATGGAAGCTGGCTTCTTCATCGTCTTCGCCAACCTGGACCCCAGCAAGAAGTACAAGGGCATCACTGCGTTCATTGTCGAGAAGGGCACGCCTGGGTTCACCATTGCCAAGAAGGAGAAGAAGCTAGGAATCAAGGCCAGTAGCACATGCGTGATCAACTTCGACGATGTCGAGATCCCTAAAGACAACCTGCTTGGGAAGGAATTCGAGGGATATAAATACGCGATCGGACTTTTGAACGAAGGTCGTATCGGCATTGCCGCCCAGATGACGGGTCTGGCTCTGGGGGCTTTCGATAATGCTGCCGGGTGAGTACTTCGTTCATCCACATGCTAGCGACACGAGGCTAACAAGCACTAGGTACGTCTGGAACGACCGCAAGCAGTTCGGCCAGCTCATCGGCGAATTCCAAGGCATGCAGCACCAGCTGGCCCAGGCCTGGACCGAAATCCAAGCCGCTCGTGCTCTCGTCTATAACGCGGCGCGGAAGAAGGAAGCCGGCGAAGATTTCGTCATGGACGCTGCGATGGCTAAGCTGTATTCTTCGCAGGTCGCCGGAAGGGTGTCGGGCCAGGCGGTCGAATGGATGGGCGGCATGGGCTTCGTCAGGGAGGGCCTGGCTGAGAAGTACTTCCGAGACAGCAAGATCGGTGCCATCTACGAGGGAACGAGCAATATCCAGATGACGACTATTGCGAAGCATCTGCAGAAGCTGTACACGAAGTAAGCGGCTAGCGGCAAGGGAGGTGGACTTACTACAAGGAGTTCGGAGAATTCATATGCATGCCGATCTGACTGACGAATGGCTACGTATGTTGTATACAGTAGGAACTGGATAGCGAGAACAACGTCTTCTACGGCTTCGCGCCATCTCTTGTGATGCATGATGTCATCCTTCCGCTTTACCGCGAGCTCGACGCTGTTCGAGAGTGCCCTTAACAATGTGAGCGGGACTTGACAGTGGATCGCTTACGAGCACATCTGCTTTTGCCTTCATGAAAAGCATTCGTGTGGGAGAGATGCGTACATATGAGTGCCTGATCTGAGATCGAAGCCAGGATCACGCCCCAAAGCGGCTTGGACGGGCTTAGCACAACCCGAGTCCGATTTCCTTTCGCGCCCGGGGCCATGACCTGACGGTCCCAAACAATTCAAAATATCACGCATCACAGAGATGTGTATCAGATCACCGTTAACGTCAGCCATCGCGGCGCCGGACGGGCGATGCATGATGGCTCCTTCTCCCGCGCTGGGTAGCGCCTGCCTTAGGCTCCCGGCGCCCGAGACTGCCCATTGGCGTCGGCCCACCATGGCGAGAGGAAGGCATTTCCAACGCCCCCCATCCATGTCGACAACCCTCTGCCCGCCCAGCGACGCGCCAATTTTCGCGCACCACAGGGTGATGTCGGGCTTCCAGGCGGCTTTGTCTCTCTGACACCCGCTCCCTCAGTTTCCGTACCATGACGGCACGCTGCCACCTTCGCTCTTTTCTCGACCGCGCCCTCACCAGCCGACTTCCATTGTTTCCTCGCGTCTCCTAATCGGTTCCCACGTCTATCTCCTGTTGCAGTCCTGTTTCCTTCTTATTCGCTATTTTATTTTTCCTTGTCTGGTCCCCGCTCGCGTGACGCTCGATCCGCTCACCGCCCACCACGTCTCACTCAGCCCTACGGTAATTCAACAACAACAAGCGGTCGCGTGGCAACCCGCCAGCCACAGGTTACACAGCCCGTAGACAGTTGGAAACACGACACCGTCTGTTTGTCCATGTCCAAATAACTGCGCCTAAATGGCTTCCGAGTCCGGTGTCTCGGATAAGGATCGCCATGGAGCGCATACCTACGCCCGCATGGAAAACATATTGCCCTCCAGCATAGCCAAGCTGGAGCACTCCTTGCCCACCACACCCAAAATGGAACGGTCCATATCCATGACAGACAGTTTTATCCTGGAGCACCTTCAGCACCAACACCCACAAACGCCAGCAGCAGAACCAGACGGCATACAGTCTCCAGCTCCCGCTAAGAAAGATGATGCTCTCACTCCTATATCCAATTGGGCGCATCTGTCCTACATCAAGAGCCAACGGAATCACTTGCGAGCGGAGCTCAAGGCTCAGCAGGTTGCCGGTGCGGAAGCAAGGCAATCGATATCTTCTCTCCGCCGCCTTGCCTTTCGCATGGCCGTCAACATCTCTGTCAAGGAAAAACAGATCGCTACTACAGCACGGAATCTTGCCAGCGTCCGGAAGAGGGAGTACATGTCTACGCGCAATGCCGAGAAGAGGATCGAGCAGCTGACGAAGCATCTGAAAGAGGAGGAATACAAGAACAGAGATATTCTTGAATGCCTGGAGAAAGCTTCTATGCTGACTCTTCAGTGTAAGTGTCTCGCCCTAATGCTATTCTAATAACTGACAGCGCCACTTCCAGACTCCGATCCTAATCCCCAAACTCAAACCCGGCTTCAACCTAATCCACTCTCTCCGCCTCCGTCGCCCCCACCTCGTACTTCAAGGCTCTCGCGCAGCTCCATTGGAACGCCCAGAACTCCACCACGGCCGACTTCGGCGTTATGGGATAACAACAACTGGGACTTCACGCCAGAGTATAGCTCACCTATTGAGATACGCACATCGGACAATCGACTAATCCGAGCGAAACGCGAGTCGGATCGTGCACTTTCAGTATGCAGGGAAAGGATCGCGGAGCTGGAGGCGGAATGCTCCAAAAGTAGGGACGCGGCGAGCCTTCTGGAGGCAATACAGGCGAGTCTGGAGGAGGAGGTTCGAAGTCATCAGGCACGCATCGTGGCCTTGGAGCGATCGGGAGCAACGGTGGAAGAGAACCTGCGTGTCGCAAAGTCGCAGCTGGATGCATCGTCGAAGGCCGAGGCTGATATGAAAGCCGAGTTGGATCGCAAGAGCAAGGAAATCGAGGAGCTGGAGAAAGGCGCAAGGCAGCGGCATGAGACGATTGAAGCGCTGGAGAAAGAGAAGGCTTCGCTTGAAGAGGACGTCGAGAACTGCAACGCCCGCATTCAGAAGCTTGAAATGTACACCAGTGGGCTGGAAGACGAACTTCGCTCTGAGAGGGATAGCTTGGATGCCGCTGGCCGTCGAGAAACAGAACTTCGCGAGCTCATTTCCGAGAACGAGAGTCATCTTGAGAACATGTCAGCACAGCTAGAAAAGAGCCGAGAGAACATCAAAGAGCTAGAGCAATCACTAGGACTCTTCGAAAATCAGGTCAAGGAGCAGACGAGGAAGATCGAGGTATCCGGCGGAGTGATCTCGGCCCTTCGGGATGAGCTGAAGGAGTCTGAGGAACTGAAGAAGCATACCGAGTTAGCGTTGGCGATATCTCGCGCGTCATTAGCGGAATTGGAATCGGCTCTACGATCAGCGAACGAGACGAACGCCAATTTGCAGATGGAGCTGGATTCGACCCTGGGGACGAAGAGCAGACTTGAAGAGGAGCTACGAATGACGAAAGAGAAGCTTAGTAGTGAGATTGATGTCCAGGCCAAGATACAATCTGAGCTCGATACGCTGCGTCTATCGCGGGACAGTTTGGAGGACGATCTGCAAGCAGCTCGAGACAGGATCAACTTGCTAGAACGAGCCGACTCCGAAACCCAGAAGGATCTCCAGACCTTACGCAATGCGAGAGCTTCATTAGAGAACGAACTCGTGGCCGCGCACCAAACATCATCCCGGCTGCAGAAAGAGCTGGAATCTAGCACCGGCAAACTCGCATACCTCGAAGCTTCTATCGCGGCAATCCAGGAGAAGCTACGAGAGTCCGAGCAATATAAGGCCTGCCTGCGCGATGAGTTGGAGCACGCGCAACGTTCGAAGATGGAGATGAAGGAACAGCTCGACGAAGTTCTTAGTTCGAAAGAGCAGCTCGAGCGCGATCTTGAGTCTAGTCAGTCGCACATGGCTCGCGTGGAGTCTGAAAGCAGGACTCTGGAGGCCAAGGTTGCAGAGCTGCGGGACAGTCTTCAGCAAAGCGAGCATTCCAAAGCGGATCTTGAGGAACGTCTCACCCGCATTCAGACCGAAGGAGAACGCCTCCGGACCGAGCGGGCTGAGTTGCAGGAGAACCTATCCTCAAACCAGCGTTCGAATACGGAAGCTGAGGAACGCCTTGCTCTTCTCAAGGCCGAAGCCGCAACCTTGGATAAGCAATCATCTGATCTGCAGGACAAGCTACGCCAGAGCGAGAACACCACGGCAGAGACTGAAGGGCGCTTGAAAGAAGCACTTCAAACTTCCGCTGAGCTTCAAGGGAAGCTAGCTGATGCACAGTCAAGTCTAGCTTCAGTTCAGTCCGAAGGCGATGATTTGCGGTCCAAGCTTTCCGCTCTCGAAGCCAATATTCTCTCCGGCCAGAATTCGAAAGAAGAAGTGGAAGAGCGCTTGAAGAGCATATCAGAATCGCACAGTGGCCTCGAGAACGAGCTCACCTCAACTCGGTCTTGTCTAAATGGCGTCATTTCCGAAAGGAATGAACTCAAGTCTAAGCTTTCTGCAGCTGAGCAAGAGCTTGATACCCTGCAGCAGACGAAAGAGCAGCTCGAAGACCGACTTGAGGGTATATTGAAGGCTAATGCAGAGCTGGAGAACGAACTAAACTCGACCCGCTCGCGCTTCCGAGATAATGAGACTGAGAATGCTACCCTTACCTCTAGGCTTTCTGATACTGGGAAAGAACTCGACGCTGTACGCAGTAGCAAGATTGAGGTCGAAGGACGATTGGACACTGCAGCAAGCGCGAACGCTGATCTTGAAGAGGCGCTTGGCTCCTCTCGTTCGCGTTTAAGGTTGTTTGAAGATGAGTGTACTACTCTCAAGTCCGCTCTCTCTGAAGCAAGTCAGGAACGAGATGCATTGTGCAGCGGCAAGAACGACGTCGAGCAACGTTTAGACGCGATGTCTGCGGCGAAGGCCGAGCTTGAGAAGAGTCTAGACGCTGCCCAATCCCGCCTGGGTGGAGCGGAATCAGAGAGGCTTACGCTCAGGTCTAGAATATCCGAGGCCGACAAGGAGCTCGATACATTGCGGCAGACTAACGCGACGCTCGACGCCTCTGAGAAGGATCTGCTGTCGCGCCTCGCCACTGCCGAGGAGGAGTTGAACACCGTAAGGATAGCGAACGCTAGGTTAGAGGCCTTCTTGGAGCAAGTCGAGCAAGATATGGTGGGCGCAGAGGCAGCCGTTGAAGAGAGCGAGAAACGTCTGGATGACTTCGTTGATGAATCAGAGGCGAAGCTGAACGCGGCGCGGACGTCGAAGCTGAAATACAAACGTAGGCTTACGGCGAGAAACAAAGAGTTGGAGATCCTGATGGACGAAAACTCCGAGCTACATAACCATATCAGTGAGCAAGAGCGAGAGGTCGAATCGCTCAGGGCTGGCAAGAGCAAGCTTTTGGCAGAGGTACAGGAGAAGGAGAAAACGGCGCAGGAACTTGAATGGAGCCACCAACAACGACTACGGGATGAACTCAAGGCGAAGGACGACTTACTGGCCGAACTACAGAAGAGCAGCCGAGATCATCTAGAAGAGCAACTGCGAGAAAAGGACATAGCCCTAGATGAGCTACAGAAGAGCCACGAAAGCCGACTCCAATCCGAACTTCAGGCCAAGGACTCCATGATCGAAGACCTACAGAACAGCAAGGATGAGTTCGCAGCCTCGCTCGCTGCGGTTGAAGAGGAGCTTCGTGATCTGAAAGAGAGCAAGAAGACTTTCGAAAAGCTAGTCGAAACACTTCAAGAGAAGATTCGCCACCTGGAAGTTCTAGAAGAATGGCAGCATCCTGCAGGATCCGATCAGACTGAGGGATGGGTTAGCGCGAAGAGTCACCAGGATGACGCTGAAGCGAGTGCTTCAAGTCTACAACCACAATGTATCTCATCTTCCGCAGCACACAGTGTCCGAAGTCATCACAGCATACAGAAAAGCCGACCATTGAGCCGTGCCAGCGTCGGGTCGAAGGACGAGGATCTTGAAGCATGGGCAAAGGAGGTCGAGAGGGTGCGCATGCTGAGGGATGAAACAGCCATACAGCTGAGGGGCATGAAGAAGGTCGAGAGCGAGCTGAAGAAGTCGCTAAAGGACAGCGAGGCACAGCTGCACGACCTGGAAAAGCACGGCAAACCGTAAGCCGCACCCCTAGGTTCCCACTCAGTCCGTGTATTGATACTAATGCTTTCCACAGCAAGCGTTTCCGCGCCGTTCTCACCAAGCGCAGGCGTTCGCACCATCCCCAGTCATCCTCTCCTCAAACCCCGTCGCCCTCGCGCCCAGCCACTGCCGACATGATGCGGAACTCGTCGTATCACCACAACTCTCTATACCTAGACCAGAACGACGATCGGCCCAGTACATCTGGATTCAGTCCTTCGTCCCGCAGATGGTCTTCGCTGCCCCGGCCCACAACAACCTACCGACCGAAGACAAGCAGTAGCTTAGGAAAGTTGAACCTACATATGATGGGGCACGGCGATCGGCCCGCAACAGTTCATAGACCGAAGACGAGCAGTAGCTTTGGGAAGTTGAATCTACATATGATGGGTCATGGCGATCGGCCAAAGACGGCTGGAAGCGCGATGAGTGGTGAAGGTGGGCAGAAAGAGAAGAAGAGGTGGAGCTCTAGCTTGAGGAAGCTGTTCAAGGGTGCGGCATGAGCGAGAAAGTGTATTTCCGGGCGGATGAGGCCAAGTGGGAGTGTCTTTTTCAGCATGGCGCTAACTGCATTGGCATTGGGCGGTAGCATATCGTCTCGAGCGTTGACCAATCACATTACATCACTTGCCAGTTCCCTCAAGGGTTTGGTCCGGTGAAGGTGAACTATAATCAAGGTGAAGGTAAACTATAAGCAAGGTGAAAGTGAACTCTAAGCAAGGTGAAGGCATGCTAATCTTTTGGAAAGGTGGGCTTCCTATACAACTTCTCACCTTTAAAGCACCACCTAACGGCTTACCTTGCGCTCCCGTACGGGTGCCACCCACCATGGCTCGCAAGAAATCATCACCTGAGGACAATGGCAGCTCATCCGCGCCCAGTGTTGCGGCGCAGTCCGCTCAGAACCAATTGCAGAGGTACGAAGTGCAGAAAGTCAAACAGTTTCCTCGGCGCTGATAGCATATAGCTTGGCAGAAAAGAGGGATGCGGTCAACGAAGAAGCCCTGGCGCTCGAGCGCCGCCGCCGCGCTCTCTGCAAGCAGAGCCGGGGAATCGAACACCGCATGCGTCTAGCTATTCTCCGGAACTTCATTAGCGAATGCCGAGAGCTCGCCGGGAAAGTTCATGCTTTGCTCCCGCTGGAGCTTAGAGACCGGGTCTATGAGTATGCTTGGGAAGGATACGATGCCTCTCGCCCTTGGCGCGGCCCCAAACGGTCCTACTGGACGCCCTGGGTGCTTCCGGAATTTGTTGGACACGGGGTCGCCAAAGAAGCAGCAGTGGTCTACTACCGTGTCAAGCCCCATGCTCTACCCTTCAGTATGCCCGGCGGAGTAGAGACCTTTCTCACTGTCGACCGCTTCCACCTTGGCCTCAACCCGGGAGATCATATTCGACACCTCGAGATCAGGATTCTCGCACACTACAATTACGCTATGCTTAAGACCAACATGGAAGCCTTGCGGCAGCTGCGGCTAATGAACGGGTTCCGGCTCCGCATCACTTTGGAGGGCCGTGTCACGGAGCACTTACCGAAGGTGTTGCGGGCGCTCGTGCCAATGTGTCAAGAGCTGAAAGAGGCGGGTGCGAATGTGCAAGTCTGGGAGGCTCAGTATGCGTTGGAGAGGAAGCGGCTTCTGGATCTTCCGGACCTGCTTAACTCGATGGAGGGATGAGCGAATGAGAGCGAGAGGACATGGGTGCTGGGCTTGGTGGGATTCCGCTGCGGATGTGATTCTTTGAATGCCCGCGTGTGAGGAGGGTAGCTTATTGAGATGGCTTACTTCTCTCGTAGGCAGGTTGATGAAATATCAAGGCCGCCTCCACAACCTCCATTCAGATATGGGCGGAGTGAAATGTCATGCACGTATCGCACGCTAGCGCGGTCCGCTATTGCCTAGCTCTTGTCTTCCAAATTGTTATACACGAACTAAGCTCTTCGCAACTCCATACGTGCGCTGTCCAAGATAGAGCGCAAGGAACCGTCGAGCGTCCGCATGTCCCAACCATCTACAGGCAGACTCGCTATCGAGTCTCCTCGACAGCACGTGCAGAGGTTAGTGCCTCATTTTAAGCTGATTACCCTCGATGTTAATGCAGGCCAGCTTAATCATAAGAGCAGTCGTCGTTGCGGATGAGTAAAGCCGCGCCCGCCTTGAGATTAGGATTCTCACGTCAATATCTAAGGACCACATCGCTCGTGCAGCGTCTCGATCAGCTCAAACACGAGCAAAATGATCTCCACCACGAAATCCATCTAGCCATCCTCCGATGCTCCCTCAAAGAATGCCGCAAATTCGCCTTGGAAGTGCACACTCAGCTCCCCCCAGAACTCCGCGACATGGTCTACCAACACGCATGGTAAGCATCGCACGTAAAGCGCGCTGGCCGCAGGTAGTAGCAGCTAGTCTTCTACTCTGAGAACCCGTCGTGCCCGAGCTACGGCCTCGAACACACGCTCAACATGAGTTTCGACTGGCGCCGCATGTCCTTGTGGGTGCTCCCGCACTTCGGCTGCCCCAGCGTCACGAGGGAGGCGGCGATTGCGTACTACGGTGGCGGCGTCATGCCCGCCAATCGAATCGGGTATGCGGTACACAGACTGCAGGCTGCAGGCGTTTCTTACGGTGGACAGCCTGCACCTCCGCCTCACGCCTGCGGAGTATATCCGCCGTCTCACGGTATCTATATACCCTTTCCACTGCCCGGCACTTTGTTTAGTGCGGGGATGTCTGACAAGGGGTACGCCTTACTGGCGGAGAACTTCCGCGCGCTGGGGAAGGTGCGGTTAGAGGAGGGGTTTCGTCTCTGTGTTCATATTTCGAGATTTGTGGACGGGGAGAGGGGGTTGGGACGAGTGTTGCGCGTGTTGTGGCCGATGTGTGTTTTGCTTAAAGAGAAGGGGGTGGAGGTGGAGATATTGGTTCTGGAGGAGGGGAAGTTCGGAAAATAGAGACGCTCGCTACGTACGGATAAGGGTGTTGAAATCCCAGCGCAATGGGAGTAGAGAGGCATTGTGAGATATCCAAAAACATGATTCCTCCTTAGTATGTTCTGGGCAAGCAGCAGTCAGCATAATAAACGAGTTGCCGTTTGCCGTCGGATACTCCACTGAAGGCCTTCAGGCTGGCCTTTGCTCAATCTGCCCAGTCCATGTCTTGCAAACTCTTCCATCCTTTCTGTACTAAACCGCTGAACCTTTTGATGGTACCACTTCTGCCTGCGGAGTCTAAAATATAGCGTCTTTTTTGCTGGTACTGTATATGTAGTATGCTCGCATCTTATTTATGATAAGGTCGAGTGAATTAATGACTGCGCGCGCGCAAACTCTTCCACTAGCTGTGCATCAGCAGAAACCAAACACAAACACCATCTCACTACCTTCCACAGCATCGTCGTCGCCGCCATGAAACGCAAGCGCTCATCAAACCTAGGTGGTCCTCTCAAGGAGACTCTGGCTGTAAAATATTCTGCGGAGTTAAGGGGCTTGCCACACAGCTGATAAGAAATTCGTACCTAACCATACGTGCCATTGTACCCACCCGCGAAGGCCTCCAGGGTGGCTGTTACATGCGTTGTTATACCCGGAGGATTCTACACGTTGAGGAGGGTTTTACCGTCCATATTGCCCGCGAGCAGGTTGAAGAGTGTGTGCCGATGGTGTATATCGATGCTAACAGCTCAGAGGCTTATAGCAGACTAGCGAGCTCTTACAAACTACCTGAAATGCTCACGACAAAAGCCCTGTTCTTGAAGAGTAGCACGCGAACACATTGCGACGTTGATCCACCGATTAGCCGAATACGACCACTACCCCGATCTGGTAATTCTGCGTCTCGTCCTGTCAGACCTGCATCGTCATCTAGATACTGTTCCTCTCCTTGCCAATTTTCCAGACAGAAGGTGACAGCCGGTGTCTCCATCTATCGCAGGGCATTCGAAGAATAGATAGCTTGCTACCGCTCTTCACTCTGCGCAAAAGATGTTGTATGCTTCTAGCATGCGAAACACCTCCCCTTCTCCCTTGGTCTTCACCTCACCCATCTTTCTCTCCTTCCTAACCACCCCCATATCAAGTGGTTCCCCTCCTCCATTAAACGCTCTCGCCGTGTCCCCTGCGCTCCCGCCAACCCTCCACGACCCCAGTCTTTTCCTCACCCCACCCCGGCCTCCACCGCTCATCCGCGGCATCAAGCGACTGACGCCTCGAAACTTCCTCGCACATCTTGGCCTCCATCCCGATGGCACGGCGGAAGGCGAATTCGCAGGTGAGCAGAACTGGATATACATCACCACATCAACCGCGTCTTGCCCTCTCATCAAATCCTTTGACGCTGCGTTCGAGGCTGTAGCGGAGAGTCAGGGAGAGGTAGTTGATACGAGCTTGTTCTTCGTAGACTGTGGAGCGGACGAGGAGTTTTGTAAGCGTGGCCTTGGACTGGGTTTGGGAGAAGAATGGGGAGGGCGCATCCACGCGCCGGCGCTTGTGCATATGGGCTTCATGGGTCCTTGTACGTATAGCTCGAGGCATGTGTATTGCTGGCGTTGTACGATTGTGCATACATTCGCTGCGCTGCCACTGCAGGGGAGTCCTTGGACGCCGAGGGCTAAGATCCGGATGGAAGATGGGAGCGGGAGAGATATCATTGTCCCTGTATTTCCCGGGCCGGAAGAACAGTTGAAGAGTTTGATGTTTCTTGATGGGGCTGTGGAGGATTTGGGTGAGGTGGAGGGAGTCTGGAGGATGTATGTTAGACCAGGGGAGGATGGAGGGGTTGAGGTCTTTGGTGCTTGAGCAGGGGTTTTAAACGTGGAAAATTTGGTATGATGCCGAATGGAACAGTGTGTTTTGTGGCTGATAGGCAAGTAGCAAGGTATATGCTACATATACAAACCGCGCGACGGGCGATTAGTACTGTTATCTCTATGGACGCTCTCAGTCTGCCGGACTTCACATCATGCCCGGCTCCGAAGGGCTCTCACTTAATAATGAATTCGACGCATCATCATTCCCCTCCGAGGAACTTGACTCTAAAGGGCTCTCCTCCGATGAGGTTTCGCTCTCAGACGCGCATCAGCGCCCCGCAACTTACTCACGAGCGGCCGCAGAATCTCCAGCCCAAGATGCCGCTCCCAAAATTGGCGGTTAATCTAATACTGGATTTACTGCGAATTCCTAGCAAGGCGTCACAGTATAGCGTATTGTGCCTTCCTTTCCTTTCGGACAGCATCTCACACCTCGTCCTTCTCATCCTGTGCCCCACCTGCTTCGACGTCGTAATGAACTTTGATACGTGTACGTACTCTTGCATAGCTGTATATACAAAGCTGTATAGCCAACAGCACAGTGAAAAGCTCAGAGTTGTTGATGTGCACCGTATACGGAGCATTGTCGTCGAAAAATCGCAACCAGATGACGTGAAGGAAGTTGTGGATAAGCACAATATATGCCAAACGCACAGTCAGGTCCCTCCACGAGAAGTAGTCCAGGTCTTCGTCGGGCTTGAATTGGTGCAGAACAGAGCCGTGGGCGTCTATTGCCGTTCTCGAGGCCTGCCAAGTTCTCCGTCAACCGGATGTCTATGGAACTTGTGCCACGCGTGAAACTCACCTCGTCATAGGAGTATCCCTCGTAGTTCCCCAGATAAGTCCATTCGGACATGTGGCACAGAACAGAATAAAACAAAGGCAATATGGTGTAGACTTCATACAAATGCAGGTCGTTATGGTAGCTGCAACACAGGGCCGAAAGCAGCGTGAGGAATCGTATCGCAACCGTTGTGAGAAGCATCGACCAGAACGTTGTGGCTTTGATTTCCAACAGCTGCTTTCCGCATCGCAGCAATCTGTAGGTTTGTAGGAAAGCGATGGGGCTCCATAGCGCGACAGCTGGATACTCGAGTGACTTCCAGTACGCGAGGTCTAGCCTCGATTGTCGGTAGAGGACGAACACGCGGTAGACGGCTGTCATGAAGAAAGCCACGGGTGGCAGCCAGAGTATGGCTGCTTTTTGGAGGCTATGCATCGTGCTGCAAGTGCGGTGGTGAAGTTGATAGCGAAGAAACGTTCGCAAGAGGGGCAAGTGATGAAGTTGATAGTGAAGAAAGTCTTGCAACGGGAGGTGTCGAGATCTTATGGTGTGATAGTAAGATCGGTAGGTTGAGATCTATAACCGTGGGTTGACGACCGAACTCTCGGGGGGAACCATGGAACAAGTGCAGACTATCTATGCCAAGTTACCAATAGAATATTTTACCAAACGTCTCGGTGCGCGAAAACGTTGCGTCATCTTGTGTGCATTGTTTTCAGGGCGCTGAAGATGCCTCTATCTTCCGTCTCTTGCTCATGCAAGGCTCGTCGGCTTCCGCAATTGTCCACTTACAAAGAGACCAATTTCAAGGTGGCATCAATGTTGAGACAAAGAGTAAGAGGAACGCGGCCGACTGGCGATTCCAACTGTCGCATCAAGCCTATATTTCATTCCTCGTTCAAATGCGGCATTGGAAAACACTGACGATTCATTGCGGATTCGCGGCCGCGTCTACGACTACGTCTCGAGCGGGACTAGGCAGCTTCTTCTTCTTCCGTCCAAGACGAAAGTCGGCAGACGAGCAGACATTTTCATTGCTCTGCGCGTCGGAAGAGACGTTGCGGAAGAAATCAGCGCACTACTCCGCACAGACGATGGTGGTAGATCAGCGGCGATGCATCTATTCTTACAAGGGTAAAGCTTCTCCAGTAGAGCGTTCCGCCTTATTACCAAGCAAAGAACATCCACGGTACCTATACAGCCATTAGCCCTCAACATCCTCAACTTTCTCACGCGCGCAAGGTCCACAAGATTCCTTTCCACTCGCTTTCAGACAAAAGTGAGAAGATTATAAAATAGCTGGATTAGAAAGCACAGTTTCCCCCTCCATCCCACCACCCTTTGGGCAGCAAGCAGGAGGAGAGAAACTCATATGGCCCCAGCGTTTGTCATCATATATTAAATTCGATAGTTCGAGCAAGAGGAAAGAGGAAAGAGAGAAGGAGGGGAAGGCTTACCACGCTATCGGGATGGGGCGAAGATTAGTCGAATCGAACCGAGGATATGCTAACGGCTGGAGATATCGATGGGTCAAGGGTGCCTGCCATACACGTGAAAGTGCAAGCGCTGGACCAAAGCTAGCGGGTCGATAAGGCCGTGCCTAGGCATAGGGAAAGCGCTTGGTACCGATGGGATGGAGAAGCGCCGCCACGGGATTAGGTTGGCTGGGAAAGCTGACCGACAAGTGCGGGTTATGGTACACTAGTGTAAGTATTGTATAGCACAGTCGCTGGGCAACGCCTCGCTAGACTAGATCCTGGACTTGGTTCGCATTCGCTCGCAACGCCCTGAAACAGACACAGCGCGGATGGTCGTCTCAAACCACGTGGACATACTTGCCCTCGGCGGATGCGTACCGGGAATCCAGGGGTCGTCGGAAACGCTGCTGCAGAAGGGAAAGCTACCAGAGCGTCAGGTGGCAATCATCAGCTGCCCGCATTCGCTGCCCTGTTATCATCCTCGCATAAGCGTTGCCTGTGTACGTGCTGTAGTAAGCCCAATAGGTACCGAGGAGATGGTTTGCCAGATGCGGAAAAGAGGCCCGAAGCTCTTACACAACCGTATACCTCGGACGCAATTTCGACCAGCATTCTAGACGCTCTTGTGGCGGCGGCGATGGCGGCGACGCGGACGGTAGATTCGTACAGTCCTGGTCGGCAAGCAGCGAAACAGTCCTGGGGGAAAGGAGAAGAGAGACGCTGCTCGTTGGAGTCGGCCGAGGGGATGCGACGCCATGCGACGGCTGCTAGGATGTCGTTCCTCGGAGAAGGCTGAATGGGCTCCATGAGTCGTGGCTCGTGGCGTCGGCTGCATGCAGTCTGAGTTTTTGACACGGCTGCTAGCTGCGCGAGGGAAGCGTGCAGCGCACATGGCTCTGGATGTGATGGGCGTCCAGCACGTGCGTGAGCGTGGTGGAGGTGTGCGGGAATGCGGGGTCTGCGTGCTTGCCGATCGCACCCTCGTCTCGAGACTGGCTTTGCGCTGGCGAATAGGAGGGCGGCTCCTTTCTGATTATCTGCTGTACCAGAGTCATGGCCGTGAGGGGTCCGCCGGTGCGGACCGGTTGATGAATTGGGCGAAGCCGTGGATGCGAAGGGAGAAGAGGACGATGGAGCCGCTGATCCATGATGCCATTGTCCTCCTGAAGGAACGAGGGGCGAGTTTATCGCGTCCGAGAAAGGGCCGGGTGGATGATGGATAATCAAGATACTGTAGATAGCAGGGAACGCTGGCTGGCAGGGCAGACGGACGGCCGAATCGCATCGCATCCGTCCCGCTCTGCTGCTAAAACCCCCGCGGGACTTTCCAGCCGTCCCAGGCAGTCGGCTCACTGCCAAAGCCCTCAACGCACCCTAAGAATTCAACAGCCCGTCTTGTCTTGCCCTGCACGACTGCCCTGCCCAACGTCCGTACAGTGCATGTCAAGATGCGGGATAATAATACGTGTGCTCATCGTACAGGATGCATACACAGTCCCCTTCGGGCGTGCATTTCGCATTTTGCCTCTCCAAATTTATCAGTCATGGACCCGACACCCCGGGCAGCTCACGCTGAAAACAGCGCCCACTCATGCTCATGCTCCCTTGCCACCCCCCAATTGCCAATTCCGCTTCGTCAGACCGCCTTTCATCCCAAAGCGCACATCGCAACACCACTGCGCTTGATGGGTCCCGAGAATCGGGGACTACTACCTTCGCTCGGGTGAAGAGTGGGAAGAAAAAGGTAATAAAGGCCTTCATTTAGCACTTTTGCCACCACCTCAGCCGCTGCATTCCAAACCCTGAGTTTGCACTGCTGCATTGCATCGCTGCTCTGCACTCTGCGCGCATGCCCGACACCTGCTGATTTTGCCAGCCAGCGGCGAGCACTCGACGGCACCATTGCGGAGGGACCGCCGTCGGGCCAAGGCCAGGTGCGGCTCGTAAGGATACCGACGGAGTGGTAGAGGGCGTCGGAAACGTATCAACTACGTATGCAAAGTGGCCAGCGCACACCGCAGAAGCAAATTGGTCCTTGAACGCTTTGTTCGCAAAGAGCTCAATTGACGGAGCGGGTATATGTCCTGCTATATTATGCTTGCCTGTGAAACATCGGACACCGAAAGAGAACTCTGCCCCTTCAACGAGTGAGAGCCTCCAACATGACGCAGGTGCGCCACATTGCAGCCCCTGTCCTGTCCTCCGAGAGTCTCCACGCGAACCAAAAAAACAAAAGGCCCGGCGCACATCATAATGGCGCGCGGACCGAGGAAAAGAAACATGTGCAGGCGGAGGAAACAACCGCGTGCAGCCTCGAGCCACCAGAATATCGCCGCGTGTACACGCGCAAGCAGCCCCCAGGAAATGCTTTTCAACGGTGAGACCACAACCCACGCCGATGAGCTCAAGTGCAGGAAGATAGAAGGGAGTTGACAGTGATGCAAAACAAAGACAGCCGCTCGAACCATCTCTTCTTTCTCGACGCAGGATCAAACTTCCTGAAAGTGAAGCGGACAGGCCCGGAAAGAAACAAAAGCAAGGTATCAATGTTGCAACAATGCTTTACCCGAAATAGATCAGAACGCCTGGTAGTGTGCAATCGCCGGAAAGACTCCATTTTTGTCCCACGCAAACATGCGCCGCCAAGGCAAAAGGAGAAGAATCATAAGGAGCCTGCACGTGAACTCTCGGTGTGGGGATACGGAGGGGTCCGAACAGTGGTCGTCTTGCGTAAACGTCGTGATGCTTGCTTTCCATTTGCGCCTAGAACTCCCATCGCCGGAAAGCCTCTGCCGGGAGGCTGGCAAGCTAGCCCAGTGCGTACTTTTGAAGTGTACATTGTCGAAACAGCGACCCAAGGGGAGAGGAATGTACGACGGGGGTATTAATGCCCTAAATACCGGTAGTGGAACGGGAATCGGGACAACTCTGGGTTCAAAAAGCGGACAAAGGTGCACTGGGCGGGTTGCACTGGTCTGAGGCCATGATATGGAGCCACGACCTCCCGAGTGGCATGACCGATACCGTCTTACAGCATTGGTAGCCAATGCGACAGCGGTCACTGTTGTGGGCGGCGGGCGGTCCAGATATGTCTGCCGAGCAAGGGATCAGCATTGAACCGTAGCATCAAACGAATCGGTAGCACTGGGACAGTGGAATTGACTTACATGTTGTTGTACGCATGAATCTTCCTGTTACATATTTCGCGACGGACGGCCTCGACAAGTGGTTTGACGTGCTCGCTCGCATCCCACCGGTTGACTCTTGTGAAAGGTGCGAGGCTGAGTGCCTCCAGGCCCTCGGTTATGCCCAAATTGTACCACCTGCCGATCTCTTTCTGATGCGGATCGTTGGGCCACGAATTGTAGGGCGCGCGAATGATGGTTTCCTGGATGTCAATGAAGCCGGCTGCTTGCAGCAGCTGGCGGGTGCGGTGTTCATATGCAATGGGACGTGAAACCCTGGCCGTGGCATCTGCCAAGTAGTTGTACCACTTCACTAGGGCGCTGTCCTGGGAGAGGGTGTGGTCGTCGCAACGCGGCTCCAGATCAATCTCGACGTGCTCTATCCAGCCAGAGCCGGGTCTCAGGTGTCTAGCAGAATTAGCACAGAAGCACAAGGCCAGCGGCAGCACGCGTACGAAAAGACTTTCTGGTACAGCTCCGGCCAGCTCGATACGCTGCCGCAGGCCATCCGGATGTGGACCAGATCCCAGGAATCCTCGCCCAGCATCCAGGGGCTCTCGTAGTCGCGGGGAACACGAAATCGCAGGTTCGGCGGGATTCTGGACACTGGAGTCAGCATCTGGGCCAGGCGGTGCAAGGGTGGGGTGGTCTACTTTTCCGGCTGAATATTGACGAGATCCAAACCCAAAACCTGTGCATCTCAGTTAGCCCCAATGCCGCGTCTGGCCGCGGGAACTGGGCGCAACACGCACCTCGGCGTTCAGATACTTGCTGCACGAGCGGTTAGCTTGGAGAGGGCACACTGCAGCTTGCGGAACGCGACTTACTCGGCCATGTCAATCGCCCAGATGCCGGTCCCACAGCCTATGTCGAGGATGCGGGGCTCCCAATGTTGCGGAATCGGGGCCTGGTGCAGCTGGTCTCTCCGTGCAACGAGGAACAGCTTGTGGTAGATGTCCATGCGGTCCTTTTCGGGCTGCGGGCGCGCGCCGTGTTAGCAATTCGCCCGCTTTCCGCACACGGCGGACGAGGGCGCTGGCTCTCACCTCATCGCAGGGGTACATGTACATGCCGCGCCGGAAGCCGTGGTAGTGGCGGCCATTTTCTACGTAGTTGCTCGAGGCGGGAACGGCCAGTCTGCAGCACGCGGTCAGCCAGCCTATTCGGCCAATTTTCGAGCGAGGGGCTGCCGTGTGCGGGCAGCGTTGCACGAAGCGGGGAGGGCGCTGCACTCACCCATTCGAAGCCATCGTCACCATTGGAGCAACCTTGCTCTTCATACAGCGCTCGCAGGCGGGGGGAGGCGTCTAATAAGGTCGTCACAGGCGGGCCGGGGGAGCTACGCGCGCCGGGGACGACTGGTCATGCGCCGCGGGCTGCAGTGCGGTGAGGGCCGTCGACGTCGGAGCGGCAGCTGCAGCAGCGCGCAAGAGGGCGTCGCGGGGGTGAGGCGTGAGGGAGGAGAGGCGGGCAGCGGCGGGGGTGCAGAGGGCCGGGCAGCGGGCAGCGAGCAGCAGAGGACGAGAGGGCGAGGGCAGCGGTGCCGGGGCGGGGAGGAGGTTTTATTAACGCTTCCAAGGTTCGGCGGGACGAGCTGCTGGGAAGGCGCGCGGGCATACAAGTTGAGGCGAGCACAGAGGGCGACCGGGATTCCACGGCATGGCTTTTCAGTCAGGGAGCGCGCCGGCTGGCATTTAAGAAGGCGGACAGCCATCGCCGGCCAGGGCCCATGTCGGACGCGCTGCAGAGCGTCGCACGGCACGAGCGAGCAGTCTCGTCAAGCGGGCAGCGGCCAGCGCTGACGCTCACGCTGGATGCCGGCTGCGAGGCCATCCCAGCGGCGCCAGGAGCAGGAGGGCAGCCCGAGGCGGCGCGTTCCACTGTGCGCGCGGGCGGCGGTCGCTGGGAAGCCCGCATTAACAGAGCGGCGCTATTAATTGCCCTCGCCCACCGGCCGCGATGCGCAGCGAACGGGCGGCGGCGATGCGCCGGAGCAGCGCCGCCTTGGGCCTAGCGGGCAGCGGCGCGGCGGCCAGCGCTGCGCGACGCCCAAGCAAGCAGAGGCGCCCATTCGCGCACGCACTGCCTGTTACCACTATCCAGCCCCTCGGGACTGCCAACTTGGAGGCCCGCGACGTCGGCGGGCTGCGCGGGTGCGGCCTGCCCATTGGCCAGCCGCCGCTTCCCGGCTCTGTGGTCGCTTTGCCCCTCCTCGTCTGCCGCGCGCTGCAACACGCCTGCACGCACGCATGAGGTGACGGCCTTTCCACCGCCATGGAAGGCCGTCGATGCCGACGACCAGCACGTTCGTGATGGGCAGCCCGCCGGGCCTGCGACAAGACGGGCCCAGCATTCGCAGGTCGTCGTGCCAGCCAACCACGGCCCGCCCTGGCTCGAGCTAGCTGCAGCCCGCTCAAACTCTCCCACACACCCATCGGCCTCTACAGCTCACCACATGGTGCGGCGCGGCAGGGCGCAGCTAGCCCTGTTCCGGGCTCGTGGTGTGTGGAATTCATGAGCGCCCTCTGCACGAATGGGAGCGTGTCCTCCGGTCCGGGTCGGGCTCGAAAGGCGCATTTTTCTCAGCCGGCGTCCTCCATTGGTGCCAGGACTTTATAACACTCGGTATATGCGACTCTTCGGCCTGGTTGGTCGCAGCCGGGCTGACTCACGCCCGTCCCAACAATCCTCTCCGGCCAAAATCCCTCGACGACAGTGAAGCCGGCCTTGGGTGTGTCCCAGTGGACGCCCATCCGGTGTCGACGTCGCGCCTCATGCAGGCAGAAGTGTTCCTGGCGCTGCAAAGATGCCAGGGGACCGTCAGCTGCTGCCATACATGAGGCACGGTACGTAGGGAACCGGAGTGTCGTCCATTCTGCTCTAACCCTGGGCCACCGAAGGACGTATCCAGGGGGGCACGCCCGCTGCTGCACCTGTGATGCCACCATTCTTGCAGAACACGCGCCGTCCCGCTGTTGAACCTAGCAATTGTGCGCACGCAAGGTCCCATTAGAGAGCAGTCACAGCGTGCCTTCCGACATGTCGAGTCGAAGCAGTATAAGTACGCCAAATGCAGTCTCTGCGCTGCTGTTGAGAGAGTTCCGGGCGCATGGTAAGAATGAGAGCCAGATGCTTCGCAGCATGCATTGGCAGAGGCGGACAGGGGCTTGGAACTGCAATTGGCCGCTCTTTTTGCCCAAACCACGGAGGCACGCCTCCTTTCATCGCTTACGTGGGGAGGAGCTTTCATGCAAATCACAGCCTTTCCGGTGCCACAAGGCCTGCAAGCCCGTCAACACTTCCCTCATTCAACTTACTGCCTGGCGCAGCCTTCGCGTCGACGTCTCGACTGCTCTGCTGACGCACCTGTTGCTAAGCGGCTGGACACGGGAAGGTGAAACTCTGCGGCGAGTTGGTGGGCTATATGATGAAGAAAGTATGGGCAGTGGACAGGACTTCGCGACATGTCCCAGAGGACTGGTTCTGCGCTTGAGCCATGCCTGGGATCAGCCTGCTGGACCATGCGCTCTAGCTGCCGCCTGCCCCATACGCCTCGGTAAGGAGATTTCGCGCTGCTTTGTCAGGCCCGCCAGTGGCCAGGACTGCCGCTGAAGTGACTGTTGCGGCCCCGAGCGGCTGGCAATGCGCTGTCGATGAGCATGCAGCTTGCTTTTCGACCACGCTCCGAAGCTGGGAACCGAAATGCGCGCACTACTCGTGCTGGCGGTTTCGACTTTGCCTGCCCAAACGCTCGGAAGGCGGATCGGCGGGACTGCGTTGAATTGAACCAGAGCGATCCGCTATTAGACAACAGCCGGATCCACAGAAGGACTCATGCGGGCGAGTAGAATGCTCATTGGGCATGTGACGGCTGCTGAGATTGGAGCCCTGGATGAGTATATTGGCCGGTGCCGAGACATCGCCCTCCACGGCGACGCGGAGTGGGCTGGCGATCCACCTTCCTGCTCTGGAACTGCCGGCCATCAGCGCGACGCCAGTTCGTGTTGCTCCTGCTGTCTGAATGCGAGAGGCGTTCTTCTAGAAAGGGGCGTCCGCGCCTAATACAGACGGTCCGCGCCCAAGAAAAGGGGATGCCACGCCGTCGCAGCGCCTCCAGAGAGGGTTGCAGTGGAGGGATGCAAGCGATGCAGCCATGGCGAGAGGGCGATGAAAGTGCGGGGGCATCGCGCTGCAAGGAAGAGCGGGCAGACCAGCATCAATCAACCTGATGTGAATTTTGAAACACGGGCTCGCTAACAGAGCCTTTCTCCGGCCGCAACCACTCCACCGGATCGTTTCGACCACTGAACTGGAACGCTGAGTCGGCCCGTTGGCCAAAGCCGGCGAACCTCTGCTGGCGCGCCTCTAGCTACACCCGCGCCGACCGCTGGCAAATACGGCGCCGGGGCCCATCAGTATTTTGCAACGCAGCAGCGAAGAAGAGCGTCGACGGAGATGGTGGGTGCTGGCGCTGGCGTCGCTGGAATCCACGGTCCCGCGCGATGCCCAGAGATTGGGGGGGCCGGGATGGGGGCGACAAGCATGTCAAGCAACGGCATTCGTGGGCCGCGAAATGAAGCTTGCACGCGAGGTCGTTCGCGGCTGACATCTACTCACATGTGGCCCGGAAGAGTCACCGCGAGGGTTGCTTTTGGCGGGAGAATGGCCACGTACGGTCGGAGGGCGGCCCCTGTCTATACAGGGCGTTCTATACTCGCATGCGTGATCTCGCAGAGGCGCGCAGCATCACAGTCAATGGCGGTTTGGCGTCTCCACCGACATCAGCGGGGGGTCACATGGACGAAACAGGGCGCGGGCAGCAGAAGGATTGTCTCAAGCCCTGCTCTGCGCCAAAGGAAGGAAGAATAGCGAGAATCGTGGAGGCTGACTAAGCCGAAGTACCTCCGATGTGCACGCGCCCAAACCAACAGCAGTGCGTACCATCTCCTGAGTCCACACATGTGGCGAGAGCGAAGCCATCCGTAGCTGCGGAGCGTTGCTGCAGTCGCGCCGGCGTCAGCGTAACCCGCACCATCGTGCCCAGCTGTATGAGCCTATCCCCAAAATTACCGCCGTGCTAACCAGACGCTGCAGGCTGCATGCCAGGAACTCAGCCTGTCAGAGCGAGCGACGACGCCATGGCGAGAGCGTCACTCACAGTAGCCGGCCGACTGGCGGTGTGAACGCCTACGTGGACAAGCAAGACACCAGCTATTTGCGTCAAGCATTCATCGTTCCAGCGTTGCCTCTTGAGCGTTGCAGCACGCCACGCTCCCCCACGCCTCCGCTTCCAGAATAATCCCGCGTCCCGACGTTCTGGTCTCTCATGCCTAGTGGCAAAAACGACTCTCTTCCATCACCGGAGTCAATCTAATAACGACGCAGCCGAGGTCGTCTTCAAAAGCCGTGCATAAACGCAAGAGCGAGCAGCGCACATGCAGAATGTACATCTACCTTATGCACCCCAGCGCTCTCGTTGGAGCGTTGTTTTTTGAACGCAAAACCGGGAGGCCGCCAGTTCCGCTTATGGCCTCATCAATGCAGGCATACGTTATCCGATCACAGAGTGGTCACTACTACGGTGCCTGCTTTGCACTACGAAACACAGGTACGGTTGGAAGGAGTACAAACGCCGTTTCCGATAGGCTACCACTACCGCGATCCCCTTCAACCCATTGATGAGTTTTGGCTCGAACACCAGGGCTCGCATTACCACTGAGGGTCCGCCGGCTTGGGCTTCGGTGTACTTTCACAACATGATGCTGTCACCCCTTTGGTGGGAAGAGTGCATCGAGGTAACCTTTACCGAGGTCTAGCCATCACACCCAATCCTCGTGGCCTCTGATACACCCTCTGTCGGCGGAAGTATCAACCCACTCCCCGGCCAACTGGACGACATTCCTTCCGGTGGTGTCGAAGTCATGGGTTGTTGACGACTTCAGGACCCTGCATGCTTGTGCCGATCACCTTCTGCGCCTCAGGGGTCACCGTTCAGGCAAGTGTTGCTGCACGGGCGACCAAAAAGGAAGCCGCCACTGCCATTTCGGGAATGAAATACCCAAAGTCCACCAAAAGAGGAGCTCTGCAGAACTGTCGCGCGTTTGATATGTGACAGCTCTCCCCGTGCTCACAGTCCTACCCAATATAGCAGGAAGTCCTACCCTATATAACAGTAACCGAGGGACTTGGCTTTTCCCTTCCAAGTTGCTTGCATATCAGAGCCGAGCGAATGTACGGCACAGGGGTCCCATCGACTGCATGACATGTCTCTTCGCTGCAATACCAAGCTCGCTTAGTCGAAAGAAGCTCTTACCCTCCTTTGACCCGTCGCTGTGGGAAGAGCATTTGAAGCAATGGTCCCTTCACCTGCACCGGCTCGGATACTGTTGCTCAGTTAGCCTCATGGGACGTGTACGCCCCCTTATCCAAGTGCTAGACTAGTCCATCGCTCGGACAATCCTTCCGCGCTTTCGTCTCCTTGATGAAGTCAATCACACCGGAGCAGAACCCGGATCCGGATGTCCATCTTTCCTTCCGCATGGCCAATCATCCGCAACTGAGGATGCCATAGAAGAGCGCTTCACCGTCAGTTTGGCCTTCTGACCTACGTATTGGACTCAAGGCGGGAGTATGCGAGTGCACGCCGCTTTGGCACCGCAGAATTCCAGCGCAATGGAACGGAATCCTTGGTCAAGCTAAACATGGCACGGTACGGGTGACTGCAAGCTGGACTTCGAATCTGCGGCCGATCTAGGAACGAGTTCGGAGGATACGGGAACCTGGACGCATTTGGGTTCGCACATTATCGTCGGCTTCCCTGAGCTCTGCGGATAGTACGATGGCGTCACGGTCCGCTGCAGACATCAGGTATAGGATATACGTGTTCGGTTGCCGCCACAATATCAAATTCCCGCACCCCCGCGAGGGCTACGGCTGAATTCTACCAGAGAAGCCCTCCCCCACCCCATTCTACTCATACATTTTGAAGGATCTAATGGCCTTACATAATGCACTGCATGTGCATCCCGTCAGCCTGGGCCTAGCCTGTAGTTCCGCGATCGATGACACCAAGCCTTCAAACCCACTGCCACCTGCGCCTAAGCCAACGCAGTACGTACACTAATGCCACAAGAACAGGTACCTCGATCAAAGGGCCCACTGTACTCGCCAATGCCTGCCCGCTGCTGGCGCCGTAGACCGCGACGACGACGGCGATAGCCAGTTCGAAGTTGTTGCTCGCAGCGGTAAAACTCTGCGTGCAGCTGACCTTGTAGCCAAAGCCCATCTTGTAGCAGAACCAGACCGTTGTAGAGAAGATGACAAGGAAGTAGACGATCAGCGGTGCGCACACACGCAGCACATCCGTAATCTGCCGGACGACATGCGCGCCTTGACTCGCGAAGAGGACGATGATGGTGTATAGCAGGCCAATGAGCGAGAACGGGGCGATGTACCGGATGAAGCGGCGCTGATACGTCTCTTCGCCGAGCAGCTTCCGTAATACCAAACGCGTCAGTACTGCAGCTCCGAGTGGTATCCCCAGGAAGACGCCAACGCTCTGGGCCACCTTCTCATATGACACGGCCGTCTTCTCGCCATGGCTAACAATCTGCACGTAGAATACGGCAAACGGCGCGAACAGCACAATCTGCAGCAGCGAATTGAACGCCACCAGAACTGCGCAATAATCGCCGTCCCCCTTAGCAAGGTCCGTCCAGATGAGCACCATGGCGATGCACCGCGCGATGCCGACGAAGATCAGCCCTTCGCGGAGATCCTGGCGATCCGGGAGGAAGGCCCACGCTAGGGCGACCATGAAGAGCGGCGCGATGATCCAGTTCAACACGAAGGATATGCCGATTTGAAGCCAGAGGGCGCGGGACCCTAGCAGGAGATGCAGAGTTTCGTAGCGGACTTTGCAGAGAATGGGGTACATCTAGCGCATGTTAGCAGAGATCCGGGCCGGTGGAAAAACAAAAGAAAAAGAAACGGCCGGCTGGAGGCTATCAGCATGCCTTGCGGCACGCTCTGCAAACCAGATAGTGCGGACGGGCTCCGAGAGACTAAACGGCTCGAATGTGCGTAGCGCAAGATACGTACCATGACTAACAGACCGATTGCTGTACCTGGTTAGCTGACAATTCCCCAATACAAGGGTAAGGTTCGGCTGTGCGTGGAAAGACTAAGTATTGTAGTACGATGTAGTGTCCCACAGCGAACTCTGGAACACTATCCCGGAGATGCATACCCATCCGGAAGGCAGATCCATCTTCGCACAACAAACATCATGACGACCTTCAAAGAAAGACGGATGAAACTTACCAATCGGTATACTAACGCCAACGAACTCTCCCTTTTGCAGCGCCGGGCCTATGTCGTCGACCGTATTTCCGAGCACGATGCCGATTGCCATGGCGAGAACAATCCATACCACGAGGAAGCGGTCGAGGAAGGAGAGGCCTTTCAGCGGCGGGAGTTCGTCTTTCTCGTCTTAGGTCGCCAGTCAGTCTCCGATTGAACGATGCATACAGAATGTTGCTTTGCTCACCAGGAGTACACTGCTCCGTCCCATTTTCCTGGCCCTTCTCCACATCCCTCCTGTCCAACTCTTTCTCCCTCTCATGCCTCTGCGCAGAGGAGGACAGCACTGAGCGTTCGACTGTGTCCATTTTGTTTTCGTTGTTGTTGCCGTCGTTGTCTACGGAAACGTACCTTTCTTGCGTACCCTCTCCCACGTCGAAATATATCCGAAATCGCAGCCTGCAACCGACCAATCATGGCGCGGCAGTGACATTCCTCCGCCAAGCCGCTAATTTTTCTTCCGGCAGAAAAAGGCGGTGGCGAGCGGGCGGTGATCGAGGCACGCGGACAAAGCGTCGACGTGATTGGCCAGCGCAAAGTTCTTGGTGATTGAGAGAGCACGAAGACGAGATTCTGCGGTATGTCATCGTGTCGAGATTCGAAATCATGAGCACGGAATACGCGTACATGTTCGATATGTCATTGACAGTATCCGCGATGTGTCGTATGCCTAGCACGCCTAGACGGAATAGCATGAGTAACCACGGCCATTATTGTCTTGAGCTTTGGCTCCGCCTTTCCCGATGCTGCGAGAATCCTCTCACTGCACGTTTGTCAGGGTCGATATGTCACATCTCGGGGCTGGATGCAGTCTGGGTTTGTCGAAGGCATTGTGAGAAGCTTTGCTTCTTGCACTTCGGTTCTTGAGGCTGGATAACTGCATCCCCAAGGAGCTGCTTAACCACCGCCACCGAAAGCAGCTTTGTGTATATCACATCAGGAAGATCTATAGCGCGAGCCTTGTGTGCTTTCTTTTCCTATGTCGAATTGTAGTCGAGGTGCAAAGTATTGACCCATTTATTCCGCTAACTTCTTAGATTTCCTCGGAGGACTAACGGCACACGATCCGGCCGCAACCTCACCAAAGCTCATTATGTCCTATTATTGGAATCCTTTTAACATTTTGAGCATGGAAATCATATCACCTAGCTGGACGGCTGCGTTGATAGCCCATGCTAAGCCACTTACAAGTTGAAGCAACCTTGGAAGGGAAGGGTCCTCAGGTCCAGCACACGTCATAGAAGATGTTAATTCGGAACCGTGAAGTGTCGATGCTCGGGCCCCTCCTCCCCCCATATCACTAGTCATCTATTTTATAAAGAGGGGGAAACATCCATCGCATTCCCACCATGCCGCCGACGAAGTCAAAAGTAGTAGCGACGAAGCCAGTGGAAGAGAAGGACGCGAAGCAAGCAAGATGAGATCGAAACCACAGAGGTAGAGGAAGAGACAGGATGGATGAAAGGCAGGGAACCTGATGGCGAAGAATGGGCATGCTGAGAAATGCACTTCGCCCAAAGGCCACAAAGGTAAGAAACGCAAATGCACGGCACCCGCAGAACCCAAGAAGGCATCCACGACATCAACATCCGAAACTAAACCCACCGCGTCTCCATCACAGTATCAACACCTCAAACTTCTTCTCTCCGACGCTGCACTCGCTATTTGCAGATCTGAAGATGAACTTCAAGATATCAAGGATGGCGGGGAGATATCGTAACCTGCTCCACACTACTCAGCCCTTCGAAGAACTCGTCTACGCTGTCACTCTCTCCAGGCCAATATCCTACCACAATCCGCACAGTCTTAAACCCACCATATGCGTTCAACAACCCCCCCAGGCGATCAAGCAAGCGGGATCCGAGAAAGAACACCAAGCGCTCTGGGACGCGGAAAACCCAGCACAAGGAAAAGACGGCCGACGAGATCGGACTCCTCGCCGACGCAGTACTGTATAATTCCCGCGAGACTCAGGGATAAACCGAGAGAAAGAGTTGAAGAGGAAGAGGACCGAGAGATTCTGAGGAAGAGTATCAAAGGTTTGGGTAAGATGGGGTTGGATATCTTTTATCGGAGGGCACATTGACAGTGGGGGACGCGTGTTCGTTTGCGGATGAGAAGGCAGGGGGGTGATGTGTGGAGAGGTTCGGGTTGCCTAGGAATTGCTGAAGACTGTAGAGGAGCATTGGGAGGATGTTGGTGGGAATGTTGGGAAGGTAGAGGCGGGCGACGAAGAGCGGATAAAGGAGATGTTTGTGCTTGCTTTGGAGAAGCATGCTAGTGCAGATTTAGAAAGGAAGGCGGAGAGGGTGTTGGAGGCCGTGAAGATGTGAGTGCAATATATGCGTTTGAGGCCCCGAAGGTAAGAGGACGGTCGAAAGCCGCGTTGGCTTTGACATCCACGAGGGTGGGGGAACTATCAGACAAAGGCTGACTCCGGAGAAACAGTAGTGTATTCGAGAAAGCACTAGAGCAATGATCTCAACCTGCTACCGAAGCATCCTCCGTACGATCGAGTGTTTAGTGCGCATGGCTGTATGCAGCTTGTATGCGGCAGTCTAGTAACTGCACTTCCTTCTTCCTCCTCCTCCAGCTCGATGGGGTATTCGCAACGCACTGATGCTGGCACTCTCGCTCTAACTTTTCCAATCCAGTCTATAACGGACCAACGAACGAAAGAAAACGCTCCTCCCTGGCGCCGAAGCTGCATATCCCCCTCCTCATCCGTAATGTAATGTATGTTCTGGTTGATGAGACCTGCTCATATACCCAAGAAAACCTCCAACACATGCATGCCTCAATGCCACGTCCTCCTCCGCAGCATTGCCTTCCTCGGATTCTCCTTGCCCGTCTTCCACTTCTCAATCTCGCCCTCCCGACAAAGCGGCCATCCATAATCCTCACTCAGCCTCTCCGTCTCATCCTCCACCATCTGACACCCATTCACCTCCACGACGTCAACATGTCGGGTCATCTTCCCTTTGCTCACGCTCGACCGCCGCCTTCGTTTCTCCTGCGATGTTCGCGGGGGCACCTCTTCTTCGTGCGACATGCGCGGCGCCTCATCGCCCCGGGGTTGCGCTGAGTGTGGGTCGTTTTGCGGGGGAGTGTAGAGCACGGTGTTGGGGGCGAAGAGGCGCTCGAAGAGGTGGGCTGCGTGTTCGGGGACGGATTCGACGAGGCGGTGGATGAGCGAGGGGTGGGGGGCTTGCGGGGAGGAGGAGGTAGTAGTTTCTGTGGAGGCGACGGTGGTGGAGGGGAGGGTCGCTGGTGCTTGCGGTATTGGGGTTGGTAAAGTCATGATGGTGTGGTTGTGGTTGGGGTAGGTTTGATCGAAGACGATTGTGTAGTCCGTTTTGAACGACTTCGACGAAGTGTATCAGTTGTAGATGGTGTTTCGGTGTGAAGTTGACGACCTCAAGCGGTTGTCGCGATACTGTATTGATGGCTTCAAGGATGGATGTCCTGTGGCGAGTGCGTGGGGTGCAGATGAACAATACTATCCTCAGTCGCTCCGTAAGTCAGAGCTTTATCTAACCCCTCCAGTTCGTTCTATCTCCCACAAGCTCGTTTAGACGCGGTTGAGCTCTCGGGCGCAGATCATGGAGTGACCATCACCGGCTGGAAGGTCATCGATACTCCTCGCAGTATCCGCTTGCGACGATCCCCTTACAATCAGCCGCAAATGCGCCTGCAACGCTAGAAAATAATGTCAGTTGACGATATGACATTTTCGAAGGAAGGCTCTGATACCGGTATCCAGACTCTGCCCAGAGGCTCTGTCGTCACGTGTCGGCTGCTATGGCGTGACACCTGCCGTCGGCGACCTCCGATCTCACCACCAGCCTCACCCAGCTGCCCAACCACAGCCGCAGAACCCGATAACTCGCGAAAGCGAGACCGCGCGCCACGAAAATAATCAGGGCCCTACAAAGGCCACGCCACGAAAGTATTGCTACACCTGACGACGTGGGAGCTTAGCAATACGACATGGGATCATGATACCTGTTATCGCAAAAACTGTTGGGGAGCCTCACACCGACGCTCTCTCGCGCACATGGAGCCACTACCAAAAAAAGATCATACAACGTCGCCTGCTACCATCCATATAAAAGCCATGGACACGAACCAGCTACATTCGCCTCCCTCTTCATTGCACATCACATCAACAGTTACACAGCAACGCAACACAACACACAATCAATCGTCCCACCGACGACCACCAGCAACTACCCGTTTATGGTATCCTACGATCCATACACCGCACAGCAAACCATCGAAATGAACGCCAAGCCCGTCGAACAACCAGCAGCGACGAAGCTGTCCCCAGCCGAGGAAGCCTTTGAGCGCGAAAAGGCCGCCATAACGTGCTACGAGGAAGGCTGGGACCGCTGGGACGGACCCGTCTGGCCGGTTGGCACCATTCAGTGCCATTTGCGTACGTCTTCCCTATTCATTCCTCATCGACAAGTCGCTAATTCGTGAGTGTGCAGAGGAAGAATGCTACTGCGAACCCGCCTGCAAAACCGAAACATGCGAGGCCGCTTCCTCACCAAAGGAGCACCTCGGTGATCACTGATCGCCCCCTCTTCCTACCCCCAGTCCTCCACCCGTCGAACTCTCGCCACGCTCACAGGAGATCCGACTCTTCGCAATGCTACAACAACCACACATTCTATTGACGCGCCACGATGCGCAGCGCCTTCACACAGACGATCAGGTCTACTCGAAGGAGTCGATAGCGCCATCCCTTTGCCGAGTCGAGTTCGATGGGGAGGAGGGGATACTGGGGGTGTGGATGTTGCCGCGCCCGTCGAGTCCGGGGAGGTGGAGTGGAGTGGTGCGGAGGAGGAGTTGACGCTGGCATGCTTGCATGATAACCCGGCGTTGGTGGAGTTTTTGGCGTTTTGTATAATGCCGGTTCGGAATGGGTGGATGGAGAATCGATAAAGAATCATGGCTTGATGGATGTCCGATAGTAATACAAGACGATACCGGGAACAATCTGCTGTTGTTGGATACAAAGCGCGCGCGTACGATCTACGACTGTCTTGTCTGTTAGAAGCGGATATGTTGTAATGGGAAGGACATCATGTACATACCAGAATCGGGGAAGAATCGAAACTTAGCCGTCTACATACTCATTCTCCCCAGCAGTGCTACCGTATCTAAGCGGTTCAGCTTCGCTTCGGAAATGTGAGCTCTCACGAGAGTCGCCACCTCGCTAATACGATCGACGATCTTCACGCCTTCAGAAGCCATCCGGGCTACCGAGAGTAAAAGCCTTTGATTCAGATGTCGCAGCTATGAACATGAAGAAAGTCGCTTAAAGCGACGAAATCCCATTCCAAACGCCGTTTCCCATCGATCCACAGGCCGATTAGGCTGGAATCGTTCTGAAAAAACGCCTTGGGTCGCCGCCCAATCCATCGTTATACCACAAATGAGGTAATCGCCGAAGCAATGATCTCGAAAGACACCCGTGAGAGGAGTGAATGACTCTAGGTCAGGCTTTTTGATCGCTCCATCCAGCCAAAACATCGCTGGCGGTCCAGAATTCTCTACCCGCCCGCCAACCTCTGAACGCCTGAAAATGCTCGTGACTGATGGATGCTGATGCTGAATGCTGGAAAACAGAGTACAAGATGTACATATGCCGTGATAGGAAAAATCAAGCCTTCTGCTGGTTGATCTTCAGCTCCATGACATACTGCATCAGCGAGCAATCCTCGCACTTGACGAGCGCTTGAAGGGCCTTGATCCGCGTCTTGAGAAGTTGATTCTCGTCTGCGAGGCCCTTCTTGTCTTTCTCCATCTGCTTGATGTACGCAGTGGCTGAGGCGAGGATTACGGCTTTGCTAGGCTTTGATGGGGTCGGCAGGTCCTCGATGTCAGCTCCATCGCATGAGCGCTGATTCTGCTGCAGAGACGGAACGACACGGCGCAGAGACTCGAGTTGCGTGTTCAGGGACTCGCGGTATTTTCGCTCGACCTGATTATGCGGTAACCGGCGGCGCGACTTGGGCTTCGCGTCGTCTGCCGCGGGCGCTTGGGGTGAATCCTCGGACTCGCTCTTGAATCGAGGTTGAATCTCGGTCGTGTCTTTGTTCAGGAATTGACGGCCCGATGGTTCGCTAGAGGAGGCATCGCTCTCGGTCCGCTTCCTGGAATGCGACTTGATCTCCACCACGCCATCCTCGGGAGTCACCTCTTGGGCTTCGTTAAGAAGATTGTTGATCGTCGGAGTTGGAAGTGCGTCTTCATTGGCGAATAGGAACGGAGCACATCCACCTCCACAGGTCGAAGGATTCGGCGGTGGGCCTTCCTGATCATGATTCGGGCACAATGGCGATGTCCAGCATGCCGAAAGGATATCGGGCTTCGACTTATGCGAGCGCTTTACTGTTGTGCTTGCCGAGGCCTTGTTGTTGTTGTTGGTGTTGTCGACGCCTGCTTTGGAAGAACTGGGTGGTCCGTTGGGTCCGTTCGGGAAGGTAAGATCCTCAACGAAGCCCGACTCGATGTTATTCGGGAACATTGATTCATACTGAGGGTTCGGGAAAGTATTAGCCCTCGATACGGTTGGCCTTTGGGGTGGCGCCATTTGAGGTGATTGGGCCGAACCTGTCGAGAGTGATGCTGGGGTCTGCGATGCTGAAAGACTGCTTCCTGTGAAGGCAATGCTGGTAGACGGCTCCGGGGAAGACTCCGACGTTGATTCTCCGCCAGCGATAGCGTCGCCAAAGGGCTGGAGGACCTCTAGGTCGCTAAGGAAGTAGTCGTTGGAGGCGAAAAGGGAGTCGTCGAAATACGGATCAGCTGACGTGCCGTTGAGGAGGGAGTCGAAGTTGGTGAGGGTGCTCTCAGGTTCAGCTGAGGCTGGAGAGCGCGTTGAACTTGATTTTGGCATCTCAGTGGTAGGATCGTGTGCTGGTTGTGTGATATCTTGCCATGGATCGTTCGGTATATTGAAGCCGTCATCAGTGAGGAAGGCATTCCAGTTCAAAGCCATGGTGATTGTCAGAGGATGGGGAGGTTGCACGAGAGGGCTCACGCGGTGATCAGGAGATAATCGACGGACACTGGGATGCCGATGCGGCTCGCCAAGGGAGACGTGAGACTGAGGCGAAATGCAGGCTCCTGAAGCGGCTGGGGGGCAAAGGTAGATAAGCTCGGCTGCGGGTTCGCTTGGAGCGCGCGCGTGCAGGTGGATTTGCGGCGGCAGGAGTCGATGGTGAAGGAGGTATGGGGTTTGGGGGAGCGGCCAAGGTGCGAGGACGACGTTTTCTTCGGACCCGGGCGCCCGCGTGCTTATGGCAGAGGCCAGTTCGGCGCGTTTCGCGACACCGCTGGCGGCAGATGCAGATGGCTGCTGGGCGGCTTCTAGCAGCGCTCGTAGCGGACCTTGTCGCGGTTCTAGGCTCCCCACCGTGCCGGGGCAAAATGGGACTGTGGGATGCAGAAGGCCACCTGGACAGGCGCAGTTCTCGTCGGTTGATCGGATTTCGGTGCAGCGATGGAGCGCAGGACGCGGAGGGGCTGGCGGAATCAGGCCACTTGATGGCGTGACATTTCGCGCCGTCTGCCCGCTAGGCCGCTTCCGGGCTGGGCAGGCCGGGCGCCGCGACGCTTGGCGATCGGTGAGAGGAACAATAAACAGTCGGCGCTGCCTGCGTCGCCGGACGGGACGGTGCACAGCCTGCACACAAGTTCTCTGGCGTTTGCAGCAGCAATTCTAGAGTCGATGAGCTGGACGCCGCAGCCTCGACAGCGTGGCGGCGGCGGCCGGCCAGCGCCCTACCCGCACGCGTAACCCGACACGTGCGCGGCCTCAGGGACCCATCCTTCGACTCCATGCCCGTTTCCAAAATGCAGGAACCGCCGAAATTTCGATATCGGCACGCTCGCCTCAATAGCCGGCGGGCAAGGGTCCACCAGCAGCGTTTGAGGACTTGAATCAGCGCTCACTGACCGCTGCTGCATCCTTACTCGCTCTCTAACCTCTAGCAAGATTCTTTGCTAGCCAAACGAGCCGCAGGCACCCACCTCCTAAGAGTATCAGGGCCTCATCCTTCCGGAGCTCAACGCGTTTCTCAACGTCTTGAAGCAGCCTTCCATGGAATGTGTGTGTTTGCGTACTCCGTATTGGGCGGAAAGCTTCCGCAACTCATGCGAGATCTCCTGCATATCTTCGATCCTAGAGCTTCCGCTATCCACAGTACAGCACAGCTGTCCTGCATGGTACAACCCTTGAACCATAGCAGCCTCCACGTCTGCATAGAACGAGCATCCAGTCCTGCACTCTAAGCATTAGGCCATGCTTTAGCCTGTGCTGTCTACTGTGTACAGTATACGCGATCCGGAGCTGCCCGAAGTGACACACCGTCGCCAGTGCAGCCCAAGTTCGGGCTCTGGAAACTCTCCGAGAAACGAAATGGGTATCTTCGCATTAATTAAGAGTTCGAGAAGCCTCCGTGCCCCTCGACCTCTCTAAATCCGCATCCCCACACCTCCCACTGCCGCCGCGTGCCCGCATGCCGTCGGATCCGCTCCGAGCAATTCCCGCAGCGGCTGCCGATCCCAGGCAAGGATAAACGAGCCCTTCCCGCTGCCAAGACGTTCTCGATGCACGCCACATCTTAACCGTCGGAAGCGCCAAACCTCGGGAAGTGGGTGGTGGGGTCCAGCAGCCCCGCCCACACGTGCCATTCACTCTCCGGCTGCGCCTGCCCTTTACCCGCAAATAGAGCTCTGTCCACGTCCAGTGTGCATTATTTCCTCGCGCTGTCGTAGAACGCTCGCCGACATGGTTGTTGAAGTAAGGAAAGGGGGTATCATAGAAGCATCGTCGCGTGAATCACACCATGAAGGCCACGGGCGGCGGCTCGTTCGCGTTCCTCTCTTTCTTCGACGGCCGGGTGCCTGGTATTATGGGGCGGTGGCAGAGCGGGCAGTACTCGTTCCATCTGCCAAACCAGTCGTCGAGGCATTCTTGGTGGAAGACGTGGTGGCAACCGAGCCCGCGAATCTGGGCGGCATCGTCGAACTCTTCGAGACATATGACGCTAGGCACGTACGTTAACACCTGTCGCGCGGTTGGGTCGATCGTAAGGCGCACCATAGCATGGTCGTGAAAGGCACCTCAGGGTGCTCTTTCCGCTCCTTCTTCGCCCAGTCGAGGAAGTGTTCAGCTTTGATGCTGTTCTCGAGCTTCTCCAGGCGCTTCTTGCGGCGCTGCTCTTTCGTTGCCTCGCTCTCTTCGCCTGTGCATTTCGGCAGGAGACAGGCTCTGAAATCAACGTTAGCAGGTGTCGCAAATAGGGGTTGTATGCGGATGGCGAGACCGACATTGTGAGCAGAATGAACAGAATGAGAGCGAACAGCGAAGGCAGAATGATCGCAACAGCGACGCTGCTGTCCTTGCCTATTATCCCGCCTTCCGATTGTGTCTCGTTCGCCATGCTGCTCGAGAAGGTGGTGTTTGAACGCTGAGGGCTCCAGCCTCGTCCGAATATACAAATAGCGACGTTCCCGAGGCGGATGATTTGAGCTTGTTGCATACGATGGGTTGCGCGGCTACGGTCGTATATTATGCGGTGTCCCGCACGATGCGTGTCTCGAGCGGTGAGAAGAACTTCGGGCTGCAAAGAGGCGCGTTGTGCTCATAATCTTGAGGAAAAGAAAAGATCTAAAAATTCACGATATCAAGATATGTGTGTTTATAGAGAAGGAAATGGAAGGAAAGGGTAAGGCTTCCTCACCTGACACTAACGGAACAACCTGGAAGATTGTGTCGCACCACCGCCTTACAAGAGTTATTGGTCGGCTTGTGACCAGACCTCTCGCCATATCTGGAGAACACGAAAAGCCAAGCGAGCTGATGAACTACGTTTCTTGATGTTCTTGTGACGCGGGGCAGGAGATTCGCGACCGCCCGCTTCGGGTAAAGCGCCTGTTCTGTGCAACGGTTTGCTGAAGCTGTGCACATCGACTTTTCAGTGCCGAAGCAAAATGGATGTGTTGCGGATGGCGATTCTGGTATCCATTGCCCGGATTTCTAGGAGTAGGGAATCATTGAGTAGGTGCAAGTATTCGGTCATGCCAAGGAGAGCAAATGGATATGAGCGCATAGGTCACAGCACTGACCCGAAAATTCGATCGTCGGCCGAGCCCACCCCCGCTGCAGTGTAGTCGATTTGGAAATCTCGATCATGGCGAGATGCTTGGCTTCAGGCTCACCATACTGTGCCTCTTCCGTTGTTCTGTTTCCCATGCTGAGCTAAGTCGGACTTTCTAAGCGAATAGAATTTCAGTGCTACTCTACGGTCTTTGATGAACTATGTATGCTATCAAGTGCCGCTACGTGCAGCGGCAGCTAACGCGGGGGAAGAACCCCTGGCCCCAAAATTCCATATGCGGGAGAAGCGATCTAATGAGAATCAGCAGGCTAGATCCCTTGATGGAGACACAAGTTCTGGGTGCTCTCGGAAGTGATCAAGTATTGGAGCGTGGTGAACTTCTAATTTCTCTTTCCGCGATTGATGACACCCAGAAACGCTTCAACAACTAGTAGTCACCAAGAGAAAATGACATCCACCAAATCGAAGTGGTGGCTTGAACACGGACATCTCCGCGTCTCAAAACGGTCGCCACCCCACGCGGGCAGTACTGTGGTACTATACATGTAATGAATCTTGAGGAGGCTCATGCATTGGAAATGCAGGGTCCATGGTAGGTTATAGGCGTTCTGCCGAAAACACCGACACCGAAGTTCAAAAATTCATAACGTTAGCATCTAGTATGTGTGCATTTGTGGAAGTCCCTGGTCCTGATATGTTCCTGCCGTTGATGTCGGTTTAACTCCGTCGAATCCAGCCGTGCAGGCTCCGCACGTGGAGGTCGACGTTTGAAAAGCGTTGTATAGCATGCATTCGGGGGACGTCCAAAACCTAGAGACCCCTAAGCGGGGTGCATATGGTGAGAGTGCAGGATGAGCTAGGCGTGGGAGTCCGTTACCTAAATACACACTCCCGGCTACAATAGTTCTTGCTCGGCGCGGGTCGTGCTCGCGGAAAGCTAGATTGGTCGATGATCTCAGGAGTCTCTACCGACTCAGATCACGAATTCCATCAACGAGGTTGCGTGAGGGGCCGCTGGTAACACAATCGGTTCGGAAGGAGAGCCGAAAGGCATTTGGGAGATTTGAGGCTGAGAGCGGGATCTCATATCAAGGATGTCGAACTCTCGGTCTAAATTGCGATTGGGACGTCGGCGCTGATGAGACGTCGAAGCGGGAAGCGATCGTCATGCACGTGCTCGCTAGCTCATCGCTCGTGGCCTTCTCTTGCACCGCAACACTCTGTGACAACTCCCAGCCGTCTCTGTTCAGAGATGCATGCTAAAGCCGTGCTGACGCCCAGTCGCCAAACCGCCCAGCTCCAGCGCCGTCGCCCGCTTCATTCGATGACAGCTCGGGAACCAAATAACGGGCGGTACGTATTCGCTATAACGTGGCCGAACGTGGAGTCGCCCGTATCGAATATTGGCCGGTGGGCGGAAATGGAGCGAGGCCTGTGGGTGATTTATCAGAGCCGTTGCGTGCTGATGCTGACGATGATGGATCATGCAGGAACTGCCGGCTGAAGCAGAGGGGGATTCAGATAAGGCATGAAGGCATGACGTCCACGACTTCAGAACAACCTGGCCGATGATGCACCGAGACAACACTGGCTCGCTATGTCTAGCGGACACGGAACACCCGGTGGGAAGAAACAATTCAGATGGCGGAAAAATGAACGAACCGGTGTCTCGCTTTCCAAGATGGCGCCAAAACCCCACGATACCAAACAGGGGGCGTGAGCCACACGCTTATGTAAATAAGATTTTCATCCAACATCCGCGAGATAAGAAAATACGTTTCACCTCGACTCAGACGAGCTTATCTCAACATGGCTATATACATGCCAGATCCTGCTCTAGCTGCTGCTTGTTTTCGCGTTTTCATACATCGGCTCGCGTGCGGTCCGCTTGGCGGCTGTTGCTTCTTTTCCACGACTTCTCGATTCAAAAGCTGGGGTCCCCGAACTTTGTATAAGGAAGAGAAGGAAGCTCCTTTAGGTGTGGAGGAGCGTGGCTACCTGACTTTGAACAAGTTCTTTTTATCTTCGGTAAAGCGAGTTCCCACGCGTCCACCATGAGCGGACGAGAGAGCCCCGATCCCACCAGGGAGAAGGTGATGGCCAAGGAGGAGGGACCAGACGTCGCTGTTGGAGAAGTCAGGATCAACGCGTCGGGCCATAAAGACCAGCTGCAGCGCCAGTACAGGTTAATAGCCCTCTGCGCCCTCGCATTGAACATCGATAATGCCTGGATTGCCCTGGGTGGCTCCGTGACTATAGCCATCGGTAAGTGCGAGCTACCCAGAATCCCTTCAGTATGCCGGTTGCTGACCATAAGCCAGCAAATGGTGGCCCTCCCGGCGTCCTCTATGAGCTCATTGTAGCTTGCTCTTACTACGCAGTAATCGGAGCATGCATCGCAGAGGTTTGAATCCCTCATTCAACCATCACCAATCAAAACACTAAGCTGACCTATGTAGCTGGCATCTGCGATCCCAAGCTCGGGAGGTGTCTACCATTATGCCTCCATAACTCCCGGTCTCAAATACGGCCGTGTGCTCGGCTTCTTCGCAGGCAGCATCAATTTCTTCGGATGGCTTTTCGATTTCGCCTCCATCACGCAGATCTGCTCCAACGTCGCGGTCCAGCTCTACGCCATCTTCCATCCCGACCTCGTCATCGAAGCTTGGCACGTCTATATCGCCTACATCCTCATCACGATCCTTGTGACACTCACTTGTGTCTTCGCCAACCGCTTGATTCCGATGCTCCAGGATGCGGGCATGGTGCTAGTTATCGTCGGCGGGCTGGTGACGATCATTGTGCTTGCCGCGATGCCGGACAGACACGCAAGCAGCTCGTTTGTGTGGAAGGATTTCGTGAACATCACAGGGTGGGGTGATGGGGTAGCGTTCCTTACAGGCGTGCTGAATGGAGCGTTTACAATAGGTACCGTCGATGCAATCACGCATTTGGCGGAAGAGCTTCCAGAGCCAGAGCGCGACCTGCCCAAGGGAGTGTTCGCGCAAGTCGGACTTGGCTTTTTGAGTAAGGCTCATCCTCTACTCATGTAGTATTGGTCACTGACAGATGTACAGGCGCTTTCTTCTTCGGCATCGCAATGTTCTACTCCATCTCAGATTTAGACGCCGTCATCAACAGCAACGGTTCCTTCCCACTCGCCGCCATCTACGCCCAAGCGACCGGCACCAAGGGAGGAACATTCTGCCTTCTTTTCATCGTCCTGCTTTCCCTCCTCATCTGCCTTGTCGGAACTCTCCTTACTTGCGGACGTATCTGGTGGACTCTTGCCCGCGACCACGCCACTCCCTTCCCCAAGCTCTTCTCCAGCGTCAACGAAGACCTCAGCTGCCCGATCCCCGCCACGCTTCTTTGCGCCATCATATCGATTGGCCTTGGTGCCATTCCTCTCGGTAGCAAGACGGCGTTCACGGATCTCGCTGGCTCTTTCATTATCCTTACTTCAGTATCCTATGCCCTCGCAATCGCGCCGAATCTCCTCACCGGCCGCAAGAACGTACCTAGAGGCCCTTTCCATATGGGCTCAGCAGGCTTCTTCGTCAATGCCGCTGCTGTTCTACTCATCGTTTTCTTCGATATCATGTACTGTTTCCGTAAGTATTCCTTGGCCCATGCACAGAGCATTCTCGGCTAACAGAATCATAGCATTCGGACTCCCCACAACCACTCAAGCCATGAACTACAACAGCGTTATCCTCGTCGGCGTCGTCGCACTTACCGCTATCTGGTGGTTTATCCGTGGTGGGAAGCGGTACGAAGCGCCGACTGTGATGCACAAGTATTTGGCGGGTAAGATGTGAGGAGAGATGATCCGTTATTTTGTCAATAAGAGTATTGGAATACCCAGATTGGACGGGAAGATTTTAAGCATTGCCGAAGCTCATAGCTAGAGAATTCCAAGCATTTGCATAGTAGCTCAGTCTTCGATTGAAGAGTTTCAGCCAAACTGCGCCCACTATCATACACTTTCTTGTGGCTGGTTGCATTGGGCTGCGGTATCATGCAGTCGTCGGCAAGTGCATGGTACCGCGCGGTGACTCTATGTCATTGACACTCAATCTTCGCTCCTTGGTCCCACTAGTAATCCCGATACTCTTATCTCCCATACTTCTCCATTCGCTGCCCCAAATCCCACACCCGATTCCTCGAGTTCTCACTCCCCGGGTCTCCGAGTGACATGGGAGAGAAATGAGGTAGGGGCGCTCCAAGGGCGCGATTGTATATATGACCGGCGCTGGAGGCAGCTACGTGCGCCCCCAGAACCAAAATTGTTCCAAGGTTGGACCAAAGTCATGTGGGTGCTATTAGCTGAAAAACATGGCTGTCAATAGTGTCTCCGTGCATCCACACACAAAGCAAGTTCTAGTGAAAGGAGGATGAAGTATGAAAGCAATAGGAGAAAATAACAAAGTCTGATCAGATGTTGTTTGATATACAGTTTTTGTTAGCCATATCTACCTTATCCCCTCGGTTGACATGCGTCACCCCCCTGCCCAGAAGGAAGCTTTCATTCACATTAAAGCACCCGATATCCCATGTAGTCCCTCGAGCTCTAAGGTTTGAGCTCTGATGGACACAAACCCCCGAAAACACCAATTGAAGGCTCAGACCAATCCAAAACACACACTGGAAAACCCATTCTTCCCTGTCTCACAAACCTGCCTTGACATAATTCCTCTAAAAGCCGCTAAGCGCCTGCCCCCAAGCGGAGAGACTCAGATGCGGCTCATTTTGCCGTCCCGCCATGTATACTGAGAGATTGAAAGTTCACAGGATATGTGCGTGCTGAAAGCTTCTCCGGGGGGATATCGACAGACAAAAGTCGGCCATCGGCGACATCCTGCTCGAAAGGCCACCGAATGCTGAGGAACTCCAACTTGTTGTCCGTAGTACCGGCGATATTCGAGAGCACCGAATGCCATGACCCGGCAGTCAATAGCGGATATCGGAGGATCAGACACTGGAGGGCGTCCGAATGGGTCGTAATAAATGTCGTCAAGTCGGCTTCCGTGAATGCCCAGGCCTCCGATAATTCAATGCGTCGGAGTTTCCTGTGGTAGCGGAGAGAATTGAAGACTTCTTCCGAGACCCGAGAGATCTTCTTTAACATTGACGACCGAATCGGCACGCCCAGGTTAACGGACTCCATATAGTCACTTCCACCTCCTGGAGTTATCAGAACCAAGTCTTCTAACTCTGACATTGTTGCAAGGATCTGTATAATTGGTGAAGGAACCCCTCCGCTAGGCAGGATGTACTGCCGGAGCATTGATATGCGTAGAGTCCGGAGAGCTGAGAATTGCATGATAGGCCTTGGATTCACGTACAAATAGGTGCTATCCGAAATGCTGATGCTCTTGAGATTGAGGTTGGTTAGACCTAGAGCTTTGTAGATACAAGGGAGAACCTTCGGTGTACCGGACCGGTAGAGCCGGGAGGTATCGCCTCGATATTCGTTCCTGTGGAGAGAGCTGAAGTCGGCGTGAACGATGTCCTGGTCGCCAGGTCCCAACCATCCCGCAAGCTCGGCCGGGAAGTCAAATACCGCAATACGGATGGTGTCCAACTGCGGAAATACGCCAAGTACCGCTGCAAGGCTCGCAGGCAAGTCAGGCATATGGGTCTGTTGCCACGTAGCGCACTTATTGTAGGAGGCAACCAGTCGATCACGATCTCGCTGCTTCAGCCCTTGGAGGCAGTCGTGAAGGATCTTGTGGTCCGGTGGAAGGAAAGTCGCAGTCCCGAAGGTGAGAGTTTGAACGTAGGGACGAAGGAATCCTGCTCGGCTTATGTCTTTCAAATCGCCCATGTTGGGTTTAGTGAGGCGGAAGCGACGATCGCCCAAAAGCTTTGCGAAGCTCTTGAAGGAAGCAGCGTATAATCTCCGTGAAGCAGACCGGGCGTTGTAAATGTTGCTTCGTGAAGCGTTGGTGAAGGTAACCCACATTACATCCTCCCGGGCAGGCCAGTGCCGTGCTAGGACTAGCCTATCGGTCGGCATTTCTATGAAGCTTGAATGCGACTGAGAGGCTAGGTCGAACTCTTCCAGCTGCTCGACGATCATTGTGGTGAGCTCGAGAGGCATGCATTGGAAATCGGTCCCTTGCCGCTGAACGCAATCTCCGCTCGAGGAATTCGCCATTGTGTACGCCGATAGCGGACCCGGAGGGGGAGAGGCCGGGGCGAGGATTCGACAGACTGAGAGTTCTCTGAGCGCGGTCAGCAACGCAAGCTGATTGCTCTCAGAGGAGCTCTGGTCGTATGATTTCTCGCTGCTAGGCAGCCATACCACTAGCTGACTAGTGCCCGGAGCAGGCTTCAGACGAAGCTGTCGAAGTGAAAGTCTAGGAGCTTCTCCAGAGCGTGGAGGGGTGCGGACGTACGAAGTAAGGCTTGGATAATTTCAGACTTTGCGAAACTGCACGTGAAGCTGGAATCTGTTGTAACGAACCTTCAGGCCGTGTATTCGAGTATTCGATTGCTGATCGAGACGATGGTTGATAAGCCCGGAAGGCTCTGAGGGTGAGCACTGCAATTGGTGCCAATGCGGGTAAGCAATACAGCCTTAGCGAGGCAGGATGGATTGGGTCGGCTTTCACCACCTTCTAGGTGCTAGGCTGGTGCTTCTCGAAGCTCGAGTACAGTAAACAATGCACGTCGTCGCCCAGGCAGCTGCGAACGCCTCCGGGCCGGAAGAACGTTTGGCCTAGCGCGCCGCAGAAGCTACAAAACCCCACAGCTCCCGCCTCGATAACTTTTCTCTCCTCAACGGTCTGCCTCTCTAACGCTGCGTTTCTTTGCTCACAAACAGACGCCGGGCCTCGCGCCCGGTTCGTCCTTCTATGCAAATGAGAAATTCGGAGTAATCTTCACCTTCCTCTGCCATCTCGCTTGCGAGCTCTGGCACGACTGCCCGTAAGGGCCTGGCGTGACTCACGCCTGCATTCGGCATCAGAAAGCTCAGGGCCCAGAAAGCCACGCACTGTCTCTAGGGACGGTGCTTGTGCGGACTGGTGTCCCTATGGGAGTCGGTGCGAAGATTGTGTGCTTTGCCTCCGGGCTGAAGTGACACTATAGTACAATACGCAGCGTACTTGACTTCGAGTAGCTTCGGCGAAAGAGGGACAGTATCATTCGATTCTGATTACTCAGGCGAGGCAGGCCGTTCACCTCTTCTCCTCTTTGGTAAGTTGTCAAAGCCTCCTTCCTGAGTTCGAAGGATACTACTAACAATTGACACACAAGGACCAACATGCCAACCACTGAGCGCCGAGCGAGTCCAATTGCCTTTCTGAGAGGCAATACATACGCCCGTAATCGCGATCAGTACTGCAGAGCGATTCTATTCTTCCTTCGCATACATGATATCGGTTCGCATCGTGAACTTGGTGCCGCTTACGACGTCTTCTCCGGAGTGGAGCAGGAACCGGTGCTGGAAGAGCAAGACGCGCCCGGTCTTGGGAATAATGTCTGCGCGGCGAATCATGTCGAGGCCATGGAACGTGGTAGCACCTCCTTTGAGAGGTTGCTGGCCTTCCTTGCCTGCAGCGTCGTTGAGATACAGATGGAGCGTAAAATAGGAACGCTCTTTTTGATCGGGTGTTTCGTAGGTGCCGTCGCAGTGAGCTTCTGCCGTCAGTACTCTTCCACTTTCGGTCGTGCTCTCCGTCTGTACTCGCCTTTGAAATACTCGCCACCTACGTACTTCAGGAATCGCATTCTCTCGTTTAGGCGGGTCATCTTCCACACTTCTTGCCGCTTCAAAGGGCCATTGCCAGTAACTTTTGGCCAGTTCCGCAATCGGTGGATCTCAGGGACGGCGCCCTCAACTCTTGCCCAGACCTTTGCCACAATCTCCGGACTGTCATATATGATGCGGCCGCATTTTCGGGTATCTTCGTACAGGGCTTGGAAACCTCCTCCAATGTTTACCATGGCTCTCTCCCACTTGCCATCAGCGGTCGCCTCGGCGGCAGCCACAAGCATCTCGCATTCTTTCTCCGTTAACACGCCATCGAGAACGACGGCCCACAGTCCTTCATATTCTGGGAGCCTTTCTCTCTTGAAGTCCACGACGGATTTGGTGAGGTTTGGCGCCGGGCCGTCAAGGAAGTCCGCGGGCAGTTCGAATTTCTGTGCAGCAGCCATCGTTGCGGTGTATCCTGTGTTGAATGCTATCGGCCAAATGGCAGAAAAGTAATGTGCGAAGGGACCCTACTGTCAGGCACGAAATTGAACCATTTATATTTCCGGCGCAGCAGTTGTGGCTGTTGCCTGGGAAGCGCTGAGCTCCAGCCATCCAAAGGTAGGCGACAGAATAACTGCGCCTTGCTCCAAGAGTCATCGTGTATACAAGCAGCTATATCCGGCAAGTGCAGCAGAATCGTCGTCCAGAGGTCAACACCAAGCTTTACCCGGGCATGCGGATGCGAAGGTTGCTATGGAGAGTTCGATCACGTGAAAGTCGGTATCCAAGGTCGCGGCAGTGCTCGTTTCAGGATTCCCGTCATCAGCATCACCGCTACGCAACCTTGACTTTGACACACCAGACGCCCTTTTGCGACTGAGTCGCACCCGCAATTTGGCGCGGTCAGCTCTGCTCTCCGATCGTCGCGCGTACGCGAAGCATATGCGCCGTTCCAAGCCACCCGTCGCTCGTTCCCACTCATAGCGCCAAGACCCGAGTTCGCTGCTAATTTCCCGACTTCACTCTCGATCCAACAACGTCAATTGCGCCCGCCTCGAAGCCTCCGTCAATCCTCCAGCGCGCTTTTGCCCTCTCCTCCGCCGTCTTCCAACTCTTCGTCGCTCGCTCAACAGCCGCTGCACCTGGCCCGCGGGAATACATCGTACGCGGCCCGCTCACGTCAACCGGTTTGCGAACCCGACAACAAACTGCAAGCACTGCGCCCTCGAGCGCACTATTCCTACGATTCCTTGTACCATAACACAGTCGATCAGCCGCCGCCATGTCGGAATCCCCTCTGCCGGCGGAGCTCAACCGCAACCGCTTCCCGACGCTCTTCGAAGTGCTTAGCCGCAAGACAGTTGCGCCGCTCGATCTCTTCTCTTTCTACATTTACATGCGCGACCAGCAGCGGTCGGTGGATTACTTGGACTTCTGGTAGGGCCCCCGAGTGCGATGCAGGATCCCTGGCTGATTGCAGAACAGGCTCGATGTGTCCCAGCACCTCCAACTATGCCGCCTATATGTGCGCCGCCTGCACCGGTCCGTGATAGAGGATACGCCAGAGATGGAGAAAAACAGCAAGCGATCGTCATATATCCTAGATAATGCCGGAGAGGGACCGTCTGGGGAGAAGGGCAATGTGTCGGACCAACGACTGTCTGCGTTCCTTCGGTCGGACCATGGAAGTCGCCAGCACTCGCCACAGAACAGCCAGGGAAGCAATCGCTCAGACCGCGAACGCCCACCTCGACCGAGCTTCATGACGATGGAAACGAATTCGCCCCATGATTCGAGCTCTCCCGGTCAAAACTCCTCTGCTGACAACCAGCCGCGAAGAGAAGATTTGCGTGCTTCAGCAGAGAAGATTCTCTACACCTACCTTCTACCGGGCTCAGAGCGAGAGATCATCATTCCACAGAGCATTCTACACGATGTTCAGGAAGCGATCGAGGGACCAGATCAACGAAGCGATCCGGAGCTATTTGACGCCGCGAAAGACTACGTCTTCCAAGCCATGGAGCGCGATGCATTCCCTGGATTCCTGCAGAGCAAAGGACTCGGCAATCTCGTTCCCCAGAGCATGATGATCCGGCTCATCATTGGACTCATCAGCTTCTTCGGCGCTGTCTGGGCGGCATTCGTCCTGATATTCCTAGACAAGTCAAGGGCGACTCGGTGTTGGGTAGGTGTTTCTTAAGCGCATGCACAATACACTTGCTGACGGTGCCAGCTCATCCTGCCGTTCACGGTTGCCATCTACTTCATCTTTACGCATCAGTATATGCTCGACCCAATCCTGGCCCTGATCGGCCTGAGCGAATACACGCTGATGGACTTCAACCGGATACGAGAGCCGTTCGTCAAGAAGACGCTCAATGCCCGATCTCTTACGATGCTGGGAATGATCTTTCTGGTCGATGCAGCCGTCTGCTGCTTGTTCATCTTCGTTCCCGGAAAGCGGCTATGAAGGCCGCCCCGACACAAGTCCCTTTCCTTCTGAATTGTAATGCCATGCCCTTTTTTTCTTCACGATTGTAATATTAGGCCGGAGGCGTCGTTAGAGGCCACCGTGGCAGTGGTGAACCGCGCAGAGGTAGGAGATACCTCGTTTGATACCATTAGTGCGTTTTGGGCGGTTGAAGGAGCAGGTCCACCTTTGATAGGTTTCCTTTGTTGGAAATTTGGGGTCTTGATTTCATGAAGCCCTGAGGGCATTCGAGCATGGTGTCTCGGGTCGCAATGGCTCCTTACGATAAGGTAGTCAGTCCTGTCCGAAAGACCAAAGAATAATAGCTTGTGAATCGAAAGTGTTCCATCTATGATAACGGATCACTGCCTGCTCGTAATGCTGTGTCGAAACTGCACTGCACTCGCCGCTAGAAGCGGGGGAGCTCGGGCCACGCCATGACGTGCAGCTCGAACTTTTTGGCCTCGGAGCTTTCACAACTCGATACTGTCGGCACCACCACTACCGCTGGAGGGCAGCCTGCTATCACTTGAGTGGTAACTCATATCATTTCATCCGCTTACGATAGGTACACCTTGGCGCCAACCGAACCGCCCCATCTCTCGTTGAAGGAACCAGTAGACGGCAGGATGAACGCAACAACGTCCAAGAGCAAGAGAGGCCCAACGGTGTTAATCACGGATGCGCGAGATGCTCAACCGCGGGTGCAACAACGGCCAGTGACATCGCAACGCCCGGGCGCGAAGCTGATATCCGTCGACAACATCCTTCAATACGCCTCCGATATTCCCTCCCAACAGCGCCGTGGCCCACCCGGCCACCGTCCGATCATGCACACGCGAACGCCTAGCGGACGGCACCCATTAGACCCCAGGCTCTCCGGTCGCCTGATACCGCAGCATATGCCCTCTCGTACCAGCAAGCTCAGCGAGAAGCTCGTCCTTCTACCGGAAACACAGGACGGTGAGGAGGAAGATGAGAAGGGCGACTTCGGCGAGGACGAGGAGGAGGGGCCGCCTACAGATGAGGACCTGGCGAGACGGACTATGAAAGGCGGACCGAAGGACAAGAGCTATGCAGAACGTTTGCCCAAGGCGAGACGGGCGGAGAAGCTGTCGAGAGTCACGGCATACTGTACGGCGCAAGCATATAAGATGAAGAGCACGGCGGAGTTTGTGAAGACGCAGCATAATGCGAGGACGAAGCTCTACGACGACTGCCTGTACTGCGTGTACCATCTCCCGCTGCTACCGGGAGTCGAAGGATATAGAGTAAGGAGTAGTCCCGCTCTGAAGAGTCCAGGAGGCAAAACTGTGCTGGATGAGGAAATAGAGAGGAATGAGCGGCGGGGGCATGAAGAAGGCTACTTTGAAGATGCAGAGCAGTACAGCATCCGGGACAGCGGCGATGATAGTCCTGACCACAGTCCGCACGACCACCCGCGAATACGATCGCCTGTAAGGGAACCTGGAGAAGGCGTGCCCAAGCGCGTCCCGCCAAATGCCCTCTCCTTTGGTGAAATGTTCGTCTTCTCCTACGGGGTTGTGGTCTTCTGGAACTTCACCGAACGACAAGAGAAGGATATCCTCGCTGACCTCACCTTCTCCACCTCTTCAACAGGCGTCAACCTCGCCACGCGCCCTCTCGACGATGCCGACTTCGAGACGGAAGAATTCCACTTTGAGTACAATCCCGAGATACCTAGGCCCCGCGTCTATAATGATATGATTACGTTGAAGAGCGGGGATCATATGATTAAGCTCGCGATGAGCCATGCGATTGCACAGAGTACGAAGTTGAGCTTATTCGAGGAGGGCATGTCCAGGACAATGCTGCAAGCGCAGTACGTGCCGAAGAGGTTGGCATTAACGGGTAAGCTGGGCATGAGAAGGACTGATGTGGTGAAGATGATTGGGCAATTGTTCACCAGTCGGGTGGATGTCAATCTTTGTAAGTTTCCTATATTGTTATGGCATATGGAAGTAGTATCGGATGTTAGACATCATACTAATTGACGCAGCATCCAATATGCTCGACACGCCCAACTTCTTCTGGGACTCCGAACCTACCCTACATCCGCTCTACTCCGCCGTGCGCGAATACCTAGAAATCAAACCCCGCATTCAAGTTCTTAACGAGCGCTGCCGCGTCTTCCTCGACCTCGGCGAGATCCTGTCCGACTCTATCTCCGACAAGAAAATGACACGCATCACCTGGATCATCATTGTGCTTATTATCATCAGCATCTGCGTTACATGTCTAGAGGTGTTGCTCAGGTTTGCGATTCTGCATAGTAAGGGGAGGGCTGTTGGGGCGGAGGGGCTGAGGAGGAGCTCGGTGGCGGGACCGACCTTGTTGTTTGGAAGGGCTGTGGTGTGGGGTGTGGGGACGGTTAAAGGGGCGTTTGTTTGATTGAGCGGATTGTGCGCAGCGTTAGAGCATATAAGAAGGTAGGGTGGAAATGGGTTGGACGCTGTCTATGTATTCTTTCGCGTCTGCTCCTCATCGCGCGCTATTGCAGCACGGGTACGGGTAGCTACCGGACGTCCAGGCGAAGAAGCTTGCTGCACGGTGGCTGCTGAACTGGATCCGGGTGCTGGCAGTGACCCAGTACTTGCCAACTGCCGCGATGCTGGCCTGTCGGGTTGGCGGCTCCGTCTACCGGCGTCCTTCTGTACAGAATGCATTGTTGTACCTTGACGTTGTTGTCTGGCTGGAGGGGAGGGCGACGCCGGAAGGTTAAAGTAGCGGTTAATGTCCAGACGGGGGAGCGGCGTGATGAGGTGTTTCGGGGTTGCCATCTCTTCTCGAATCCATTTCCCCTTGCGCGCAAGTTCTTGGACCGATTCTGGGATTTGCCAGTCTTCTTTCTTGTCGACGCATGCCTGATGCACGAGGTATGCGAGCGCCATCCGAACGCTTACTGTCTTCGCTTTTACATTGAGCTTTTCGCCGAACTGGATAATGTCGGAGTAATAAATGGCAGGCGCCGAGGTTCCATTCTGCTTGGTAACTGTCTCCAACTTGAGGAAGACAGTTTGTTCGTAGTTCGAGAGAAAGGCATACTTCACGCCGTAGGCGATCATGTAAGCCACAACTTGCCCTGTAAGTTTAGCCGTTAGCTTTTCAGTGTCCCCTATTCTAGAGAAATAAACATACCGAGAATTGCATGAAAGCTCTGATTTGCGCCACGATCACACAGATCGATAGCTTTCTCCAAGTTGACAGTGACGCAAAACTTGAGTTCCCCGATCATGCGGACTTCATGCTCGTCGGAATTAATATTCAGCACAGTATCCGGCTCTAGGCCCCTCTTTCTTCTGTCTTCCGGATCGTCCAGTAGTCGCCGAATGTGGTATCCTTTACAAACTGGCGATCAGCTTGGACGGGCCCTTTCTGTCCTGCGACGATCGTCTCGATAGCATGAATGACATGGTCCAAAGCATTCTGAAAAAATCTGCCAGATAGGGAGATCTCTGCACCGCACTGCAACAGTTCTTTCGTCATAGCGTAGGGGTTTACGTCCTCGATTCTCGGATTCATGGACACTGGCATAGAAGCGCAGTCGGCGAAGGCGCGCTGCATTTGTTCCTCTAGGTAGAATCGCAGGACTTCCGACTTGAAGCTAGGCCACTTTCCAAGCTTGCCTGCGAAATGCTTCGTGATCGTCGGAGCTTTTGCTGTCGTATAGAGGAAGTTGTCGCGGCGCACTATAGCGGGCATCCCCGCGCAGAGTGTGTCGTGTGCATTCAAGTAGTATTCTGGCAGTCTAGGGACGGAGGCGGAATCGTCGGGCATGATGTCTTGTCGAGGATCGCTGCGAATGGCGGGAAGTGGAGTTGGTACTAAGCTCGAGCCTCGCGGATAGGTAGTCCCTTAAAGGCGGGCACAAGCTCAGGTGAAAGAGCGCACACCCACGCGACCTTCATGACTAATTCCCTCTTGAAGTATGCATACACGCCGACATCGGAAGTGGTGGTATGCAAACGCGCACCTGCTATGCTTAGTGACGGATCAGATATGGGGCGTGGTGACACTTACTAGCAAGGGACCGTCGGTGATAGTGATACTCTCATTCTCATGAGGGGAGTCCTCTCGAACAGCATAGCGTAAGACCTGCTGTGGGAGCTTGACCCCTAAGCGCCGGAAAGGGACTCCTCGATAACATAAAAAAGATTCGCTAGGAAATGAGTTAGCCCGATATTGTTTGCTCTCTTCGTCGCGCACTTCTACCTTACTCTCTGGCTAACTAAAACTGAAAACCGGGAACGAGACTAGTCGATATAATTGGCCGGTATAGATTCTGCATTTCCATAGACTCTAGGGTTTTTGATGCGTGCCTTGCTCTTTTGGCAAATGCTGTATTGTAGAGTAGACAAAATATGGATCGGTACATGCGGATTTACGAATACGGTTGACGTAAAAGCTATATTCAAGGTGGAGAATGTTGAAATTCCATTTAGCCTGGTACGAAGAATAGTTCCCGATATATCTGGGAGCATATAGCCCGGCCTGGGTTATGAGGTAGCGCAGGCAGCAACGAAGCCGTGCAGCGTAAAGGAGTTACCGATGGACCAGATTCACTCGCGCGGAAGATATGTAGCGACGTGCTTAGGCATATTGAGCATTGCCTGGTGACTATTGAACGATTTTAAATAACATATATCCATTTCCTTGTGTAAAAGAAGGCTGAGCATAACGGATAGCAGTGTACGGGCGTGTCAACGGTGCATGGACGTTGTGAAATTCCGAAGGGGAGCTAATCCTGGATCGGCTAGTGCGTCACATGCTTTCGCGCACCGCGGTGTTTGTTTCTCGCCCCGCAGCCATAGCAGGTGCGCAAGCTCTGATCAAGTCATATTGCCAGGGCGTCCCTGCCTCACGCCTTCTTAACACTCGCACTCTGCCAACTTCCCCTCCGCATCCACGTCCACGTCCCCCGCCATGGATGAAGAGCGCGACCCTGAGTCCGACCTGGTCGGCATCTCTAGCCGATTCTTAAGAGTACATCCGCCTATGACGCCGAATGCAGGCTTTTTGGGCTGCGTTGTCCGCTTCGGAGACGGTTCGTACTGGAAGTTGATGAAGCCGTTGTCGCAGACGAGGTATCAGCAGTCGGACCCGCCATACGAAGCTGCACAGGTTTTCGCATGCACGCGTCTCGACGGTCCGGCTGATGAGCAGATCGGTAGGGAGGCTGTTGTGAAAGTGAAGTATCAGTATGACAACACGGTTTCCTCGCTCTCTATGACCGGCTGACACGAGACTTCAGAGTCAATGGTACAACGCAGAGCAACGACTTCTATCAGCGACATCTTGAAGAAGAACAGGAAGCGGCGCGACTCCAAGATCTAGACGATGATGAGGAACCACTGGAGAGAGCGCGGCGATATGTCTACCGTGCGACACATCCGGTCAAGGTGCCAAACGAGGCCACTACCAACGAAATCAACGCCCTCGGAAAATTCAACGAATGCAACTGCGCAAACGCACCGCACCTCCTGGGTGCAGTTCAGGATGTCATCAGACCTCGGGTCGATGACGAGGCTATGATCCACGGCTACGTTGCCTTCATCCTCATGACCAAAGTGCCAGGGGAGCATATTGATCAGAAGAAGTATTGGGCTCTTTCGGTGGCAGAGAGAGACGAGATCAGGGCCGCTTTCAGAGAAGCATTGCTGTATGCCACCTTTACGACCAAGTTCTTTGCTGTACATGTTGGCTAACATACGGATAGCGAAGTCTGGGACTGTCGCATCGTCCCTCTTGATACCTCACTACGCAACATTACGTGGGATAAGGAGGCACGCAAATGGTATGCTTCATGGTATGTGACATCGAGAATATGCTGATACAATGATTCTAGTTACATCGTGGATTTCGAGGAACATGCGTTCTTGCGCGACACCAATGAATGGTCAGAGGACTTGACAGAAGCCGATTACAAGATGTGGGGGCTGGCGGAAGAGTGTCGCCCGAGACATTTATTCGCCGAGCCTCAATAGATAATGAGGCGTTGGATCGATGTTGTTTGAATATCGGATGGGCTATTCCGGATTCAGAGCCCTAGTCGCTCGTCCAAGCTTGGATGATCGCGGGACCTATGACAGCATCGTGCTTAGCTCCACCAACTCCAATCCTGAAATGCAACTCACCATGCCAGCAATGCCTCCAATTTCTCGCCGCATGTCATTCACGCTGAGCTGTCGTTGTCTACGAGAAGATGGTCCTTGACTTGCTAACCCTCACCGCGATACCCACTGCCGTTGGCGCCTCAGAAGCCGTCCACCAGCAGCGCGTCCTAGACGAAGAAGCAGAGTCGGAAGAGCGGCAGGCCCCCTTCCACCTCGATGTCTATTGCGACGCGCAGTCACGGAAACGAAATGAAGTCCACGGCGCAATCGTTGTCTTAAGAGACGGGAAGGTAGCACTCCCAACATCCTGCATCGACTCGGCTAACTATTCAATTCATATAGCTCTGTCTCTGGCCCAAAGACCCTCATACAAAGCTTCCGAAGGATGACTCAGACAGCGATTCCACCCCGCACCCTTTCACCGGCTTCTACCTCCCTTTTCCGACTGAAGACCTCCCGCATCGACCCATCCCTGCCCCACCGATCCTCGGCCTTGTCAGCACGATACCCTCCGATACCTCCACTCCAAAATCCAAACACAAAAAGCCGAAGCTCAATTGGATATACGCAGACAAGCAGACGCGGGAGCTGAAGTACGGCCCGCGCATAGAAGCACGGGAGCACATAGTTGGTCCTTGGGATTGGACGGAAGATGATGAGCAGGGATTGACGTTGAACGGGGAGGAATGTTTGGTTGCCGTTGAAGAAGAAGAGAAGAGCGGCCTGGGATGGGCTGTATACTGGGATAAGGATGATGATCGATTGAAGGGTCTGGGTGTGGCGCAAGAGAAGAGGGTGCTGAGGTGTAGCTTGGAGAGGAGGCTGGTGCATGAGCCAACGCTGGTAGAAGTTGAGTAAATATCTTTTCTCTGGTTCAAGCTTCTGTGCTACTCTAGGGTTGCAGAGCGTGGCTGTTGTTAGGCGCTGGGAGTAGCTGCTTGCAGCAGGCATGAGGTCTCATTTGCCCTCTCGTCAAGCTTGGTTGGGCGCTCTTCTGCGAAAGGCTTTCATTCTAGGTATGCCGGTAGTCGGCTCTACAAACGTCCGTTTCCTTCTCTGCGAGGGTTCTCTTCATCACATCTTCTAGCCTTCATGAGAGAACACCTTCCCCTTATATTCCTACTCTCCACAACTCGTAACATTGTCTAATCAAGCACTATCCCTCCGCTGCTTCCTGCACTTGAACCTATCACTAGCCCAATCCTCTTCCTCTACACCATCATCCGCATTACACAGAAAAACCTGACTCAATAGTTAAGACACGGCGTCCACCCCTCATCGTCCACCTTCTCCCAATCTTCCGACCAATATTACCTTTCCTCTTTTGTGCTGCATGCCTCCTCTCAACAGCGGTGCGGAGCTTCTCTAGACGCTCCAGTTGATGGGACATTCCCCAGTCTAGCTCTTCGCACCTTTTCATCTGGCCTGTTCGAGTTAGCGCGCACATACCCCTTACTCCTCCCCTGCAGCTACGCCCATAAAGCATCAAATGCACAGTTCAGACATTCGTACTCATGATCTCGTTCGAAGATGGTGTCGCACATCTTAAAGAGTGCATAGCTTTCCGCTCGCTCTCGGAATCAAACGCGTTATGCTATACAAAGATCTTTCTTTCCTCTCACATACCGCAAAAAGGAATTCGGCGGACAATTGAAAACGAGGAAGACGTTGGATTGCAGTGAAAGAAGTAGCATTAGGAACGCAACAGCGAACCACCGGTTCGCACGCGTTGCTTGGCTGTCGCCCCAGCGTACGTGCCTAAATTTGGATTTCCGTTCATAGCTCCGCTCGTCGTACTTTTCGCCATCATCTTGCCTCTCGTCCTCGGTGGCCTGGGAGTACTGAAAGAACTGGAAAACGGACGTAAAAGCGTTGCGAAACGGCGCACGACGTGAATTCGGAGACCGGAGAGATGGGCTGACATGAGGTTTTGCGCCAGGAGGAAACTCATCATGAAACCGGGAGGACAGATTGAGGTAGGTGGGCGAGCGCTCGACGCTCATTGCTCTTGGGCTTGGGTCGTGGGATGGCTGGGACGACATGCTGGAGCTGTTGAGGAGGAAGGGCCCCACGTTTTCAGGAAGGCCTGTAAAGAATGGTTTCTGCGTGGCCTAGAGGAAGGTATGCAAAATTATGTGGCGATCGCTTTCGAGATGCCTATTCAGACGCCAATCGGGATCTAGATGGGGAGGTTCGTTGTCGGATCGCTCGCTATGCGCCTTTGTTTTACCACTGGGGAAATTGGAGACTTTCGGGAATCACTTATGACTCTAAGTACGCGTTATCTGAGTCTCTCCGTCTCTGAACCTTTGGGTTCACAGCGATACAAATATGTATGCAAATGGGAGCTACTCGTCCCGATTTGGATTAGCCTACGCAGAGTCATAATTCAACACCTGTAATCAATCAAACTCGACACAAACATAATTATATACACGAAATACATCAAGTCCCAGCTCGAATCTCGCGTCTCCGAAAGAGACGTATCAATCATGGCGCCTGGCCCCCACCGCGATCACCTTCCCCGAGGCAGGCAACCCTGAACCCCACGATCGCCCCTTCCTTACCCCTCCCATGCAACAGCCCACATCCCTGCAGAACGCCATTCAGCCCTACGCGCTTCCGTGCCAGCGCCAACGTCATCTTTGGCCCTCACACTTTCCATTCATTACACCACCACGCAACAAACCCTCAGCAGAAAAATCTCTCCATGCGCCTGCTGCGGAATCTATTGAGCACCTTTGCGAGCAAGACACCGACAAGGAGATTTGCCCAAGTCCACGACGTCCAGATCAAGCTTGAACGGAGCGAGCCGGGCAAGGGCACCATGGATCGGAACGGTGAGTATCCGTCCGGAGTTTTCTCTCCTCCTTACGTGACGAGCCGAGCGGCATTTGCGACACGACACGGCTTTGCATGTTTCCTTCTCGGCGGTGCCATCGAACTTCTGCCCCTTTTCCATTTCCTGTTGCAAATTGCACCCCGGCGGCGGGTTTGTTGGGATCGCCGCATCCGCATTGTTACACACGATCCTGATCATCTGGCTGAAACGCTGTGCGCGAGCGGCTTTGAAACGCACATTTTCCCAAGCCTCGAAAAATTTCCGGAATTGGAGCTGGCTGGATGCAGCCGGTGTTGGATGGATGCCTCAGGCCCACTTGTACCTCTTTCCAAGTTTTGGGTATGCGTGGGTGAGAGAAAGAGCTGGAGAGGGCGAGGCGGGCATCAGCACTTTATCTCCCCTTTGATTCACCTCACCTCAGCTATAAATAGCTCTTCTACTCGTCGTACCCCTGTCATATACCCCGTTAGGAAGTCTACAACGAGGGCGACAGCTGCCAGCACTTTTACTGTACTGTGGCTTGCTGACCACGCAACTCCCCAGTCTTCAAACAACCCCTCGCGCTGCACTCCACGCGCCCCCTCACGGGCTACATGCGCACGGGCTACTGCGAGTCGCCGCGCTCCGACGCCGGCAACCACAGCATCGCGGGCATTGTGACGAACGAGTTCCTCGACTTTAGCGCTTCGCGGGGGAATGACCTGCGCCAGGCTGGGTTGACGGACGGGTGTAAGTGGTGTCTTTGTGTGAGCAGGTGGAAGGAGGCGTTTGATGCGAGGAGCGGGGATGAGGATAAGAAGGTACCGAGGATTGTGCTCAGGGCGACGAATGAGAGGGCTTTAGAGCGGGTGAGGCTGGAGGATTTGAGGAAGTTTGCTGTGGATAAGGATGCAGGCGGATCTTGAGGTTGGGAGTGGTCATGACGCCCTGAATAGGGAAAAGACATAGCCATATGCAATGAGAAGGGCTCGCAGATGAAGTCGCCAAGGGGAATCAGAATACAAATTAAGACTCCGAAGACTTTGCTTTATATTGGTATCGTACAGTAAAACCTTCCGTGAAAACACTCCTATCTAGTCCTTATACTCGTTATTGCGAAATGCGAGTCATTTTATTTATCCATTATGCATCATTTCGTAGTTCATGGACATGAACAGCGGTTGCCACCCAGCGGGCACCTTTTGTGTGTATATAAAGGAGACTCGGAAGAAACGCCGCAGCCAAGATGCAGTTCCCTATTTCGTACCAATGCCATAGGTAGGAGTATTGTTGTGGTATGCAAAAGAAAAAACACCAGAACAAAATGCAGCCAGAGAGGATCCCAAAGGAAGTAGATGAGTCCCTGAACACCAATTTTGTATGCAAATTGCCTCCTCGGCCTCCCGAAGCATGTTGTCATCGACCTCGCGCGGGTATTAGTTGCCAGTCGAGCGCTCCAATGTTACCGATGCACACCCGCACCCGCCTTGATCTCGCGCTTCATCTCCTCGAGCTTCTTGTGCATCTTTAGTAGATCGCTCCGTTGTGTCTCTGTCGGCGGCGTCTCCGATTCTGTCAACTGCCAGTACAGATCCTCGTACCTCTTGTAGTACTTCTGGAATTTCTGACTCAACTCCACTGTCTGGCGGAAGCTGAGGCTTGGTATGGAGGGGGACGTAGTCGAGGACGACGAGTCGCCCGGCGACGTCTGCGCTGCGTGGTGCAGATAGCGGGACGCGAGAGAGGTGTCGATGTTGGTGACTTTGCGGATCTTGGCTGTGGGCGTCGTGGAAGTGGAGGACTCGTCAGATCTGCGCTTGAGCGAGTTGCTGCTTGAGGGGGTGATGCCGTTCGGCCGGCCGTTCATGCCAGAAGGCGTGTGGTTTGGAGTACTGCGGTCGACGTGTGGCTTTTTGACAGAGAGACTGTGGTTGTGGATATCGCTGTCAATGTCGTTGGCTTTGCGCTTTAGCGAGCGGTCAGAATTGCCAGATGAGGTCTTTGCCGGGGATGGGGCGGCGGATAGAGCCTTGTGGACTGGATGGTTGTCCTCGAAGTCGCTGGCATTTACGGGTGGTGACGCAGAAAGAGGCGATGGATTCTTTGGCTTGGTATTGACGGGCATCGGGGGCTTGGCCGGTCGCGGGGCGCGGTCTCTGTGAAGATCCCGTGCGGACATTTTAGACTTGACGCGAGGAGTCGAAGAGCCTTCGGACGTGGGCGCTGCCTTCTTAGTGCGGATTTTGGTAGCCTCAGTCGAAGGAGTGTTGCGGTGGGAAGTAGCAGCGGTAGGAGCGAGCTTTGGGGTCGAGGTTGCTGCGGGTGTAGTTGCGTGTTTCGCCGGCGCATCCTTGGTTGGCTTTACCGCCTTCTCTTTCACTACTTTTTTCGCCTTTGGCTCTGTGTCTTTCACATCCTTCGCTGTCTTCTTATCGGCATCCTTGTCTTCCGTCTTCTTTGCCGCCGGCTTCTTCTCCTTTAGGTTGGGCATCTTGTGCAGCGGCGTCGCAGGCTTGGGCTCGATTGCTTTGACGGTAAGCCGCGAGAGGCATTTACCTTGGCCTCGCTCTTCACGCGGGAGTAAGATCTGCCAAAGCTTGTCGTCCTTCGCTAGCCGCAGGCGGTCAAACGACTTGATTGCGCTGTTGATCGCTTGCTCTCGGTCCTCCGAGGTCCTGTATGCAAATTTCCAGGGATTGAATTCACGGAATGACTTGTCCGTGAGCTGCCACTTCTCCGCGTCGTCGGCAGAGTGCTTGGCTATTTTGGGGAGCAGGTCGCGCACGTTTGCTAGCGACGTGCGACACGTTTCGGCAAGATACGCCTCTCGCGACGGCTGCACGGCGAGAAGGTGGATCAGCGGGACGCGGAGAGCGTTGAGTATCATGCCGTGGGCGCTGCTCGGCTGCGAGGTGGGGGGTCGCTTGGTCATGGGCGAGGAAGGCACGCTGAGCAGGGGTGAGCCCATGGAGGAAGGAGCAAGATGCTGCGGCTTGAATCCCTTCGAGGGAATGCGGCGGTGGCCGGGGGTGCGCGAGGGAGTAGCATCGCCGACGATAGTTCTGTAGCGCAGCAATTGTCAGTCCAAGCTCCATCGAGGCACGGTAGCGGAGAGTCGTGCATGTGCGAGCCACCCTCACGACGCCAGAACCTGCGGGCAGCCAAGGGGACACCGGGGAGGCATACTTGTTGGCTTCCTTCAACTCTGATATCGCCGCCATGCTACTCTTCAGCTGCTCCAGCGCTGTGTCGACGCCCGCCGTCACATCGTCCGCCGCCTGCACAAGGAGACTGTGGTTGATCAAGCTCGTGAATTCGAGGCCGTCGTCGTGGCCAGCCCCGCTGGAATGGTACAGTTCGTATCGATAGCTCTCGGAGCTGGTCTGCAGTACGTGGTTCTTGTCGCCGCATTTGAGGTGCTGCGATGCGGTTAGCCGGCGTCGCTCTTTCCATTCCTCGACCGCGACCACGATAGAGCTCCAGGGGCACAACAACTCCCGCAACACAGCTCCAGGAAACTCTGGGCACCTACAGGAGTCCTGCCGAAGATTATCTGCGGCGGTTTCCCGCTCCTCACGCTCTCGAGCAGCTCGTCGACAATGTCTTGGGTCATCTCCACCTGCATGGCTTGCACTGGCGTCGTTTTGGCGTCCCTGGACCCCATGTCGCTGTCCGGAGCCCCGTGGAGGGCAATGCCTCCCGAGGGAAGCATGGTGGTCGCCATGGGAGGTGTCTGGCGTACTACCTCGAAAAGATGTGCAACGAGGTGTGAGTCTCGCACCCAGATGTCGTCAAGGGAACCGATGCATGGAGAGAGCACCCAGGCAGTCGACAGAGAGCAAGCAGCGAGGGCCGGGTGACAGACGCCCTTCACAGAGCTTCTGGGTGCGAATTCAGGTGTCGAGGGGAGCGGAGAAACGAACAAAGGACTCGCTGCTCGGAGGACCGTCAGACAAGGTCAGACTGTCATAGCGCGATGGTCCCGGAATCGAGCGAGCAGGGTGCACGGGTGTCAAGGTACGGTGCTGAAACGATTGGCTGTCACGAAAAGAATGAAAGGCGGGGGATTCAATTCATTCTTCACAGCACACGTCGTTGCACGGGAAAAGAGGAGGAGAAGCGACAAGCCAAAGTGCTGGCAGACAGCTGGCTGGGTGGTGGGCCAGCGTGCATGCCTGTGAGGGCGGTGGTGCCGGACGAGGGCGGTCGAGGCATAGAGCGATTAGACCGGTTACGCCAATTCTGGAGGGCAAATCCAGCGGCGGGCCGCGTCCAAGGTACCTCGTGCTACATCAATCTGTGGCCGTCTGCAAGGCATTACCATGCTTGTCGCCGGCGGCTTCCATTCCATGCCCTTCTTGGGGTCATTAATACCGCCCACACGACACGCAGCGCCAGCCATGCTCGAGTTTCTGTCCTCGAGTCCTGCGAGCGCTGCCTTTTTGCCTCGAGCCCTCCAGGCTGCGCCATGCGTCCCGTCACTCGCTGACCGAAGCCGAGCAATGTGCTGAGTCTGGCACCGGCCGGGCAGCGCTCCACGTCCACTCGTGGCGGGCATGCAGGCAGCAAATGGCTCCGCGTTTAAAAAACGACGCTGGCGGAATTTGGGAGCCGGGCCCTGTAATCCTGGCCATCCGCACCAGGCAGACCGGGGCTTGTTGGCGTGCCTGTTTCGAAATTCGGCGTGCACACCTGTGCGATGTTTGAGCCTGGAGCCCACAGGATCGCCCTGCCTCACGCCGCCTTGCCATTGCCCGCTGACCGCCGCTCCTGAGGCTGCGAAGAGGGCGGCATCGGCTGACGCGCAAAAGCAGACGGGCCCAGCTTCGCGGGTGGGAGCAGAGGCATCACCCGCGCCTGCTGTCATCCGGTGTGGCGGTTCGCAGCATCACTCGCGAGCGGTGGCTAGGTCAGCCTGATCGGGAGGCGCCACGGCAGCCACGGGCACAGGGACCAAGCTATTTCTGCTCCAGCCCTTGCCCGCGCCGGCCGCCAGCCCCGCAATGCGCGGAAACACCCACCGAGCGACGCGCTAGGAGACAGTCCGTTTCCCAACACTAGAAAGCTCACCAATCTCATGCACACAGAGCTCTGGAGCTTTATCAGCAGCTGAGCAGTATCCTGCTGATTATTGAGAAGCGGCTTGTCTTCGTCAAACCCACGGCGGCACTGGCACCCCACCCGCCGCCAAGGCCCACGTCTCCGGTCGTCCTGGGCAGTGGGCCCTGCAACAAACAAGTCCGATCGGGCAGCTGGGCACAAAGCACGCCGGTTGAAGGCCTCGTAGTCGCGAGATCCTGCAGAGACAAGTTCGAAAAAGACGCACTAGCGGGCGACGACTAGAGAACCACGTCGGATCGGATGCCATACCGGCTCGAATGCTAGCAGGATTAGCCGGCCTAGGCGACCTCGTTACGCTGCGTGTGCGTGAGTAACCCACGCCTGCAGGAGACGAGCTGGTGCTCGTGGGTGTTGCCGCCCCTCCTGCAGCGAAGCCGACGCTGACCTGCATGAAAACGAACCGTCAATTGCCCACAAACGCAGTCATCCTACAAACTTGCCTCGGCCAGGTCACAATCCCTCAAGACCAACACGACTGCAGCTGAGCTAGATCAATATTAGCAGCAGATGCGCTCCTCAGGCCTCGTCAGCTCATCTCGATCACTCCAATTTGCTACCTCCCCGACTTCTGGAAGCTTTCCGCAATGCAATATCTGCACCCTGGACCCCGTCCTCTGCTAGATTAACGTTGACGTTGACGGCCGCGGGGTACATAGATGAAGTACCACAGAGCGAGTCACCAGATCACAAACGCAGGAAAACCACTGGATTACCCGAGTACGACGCGGAACACGAACAAATACACAAAGTCATGAATTTCCCCTCCTCGGTGCGACGATGCAGGAACAGCAGGCCGAGGGCAATATCCGGCCTCAGTCCACCAGGAAAAGGCTCCCCTCATGCCGCCGCTCTTCACAGTATAGTAGTTCCCCAGATCTAATGCATCAGCGGAAGTCGATCTGCTTTGGTCGCACCCGGCATGGTCGATATATTAAAGCATGGCGCTTCGGTCGGTCGACGAGGCTGATCGCCCGCTTCGCTCCCCAGAACTTCCGTCGGCATAAAACGGCGTGATATATTGTCGACTGTTCGACTCTGTAACGGTTTCCCTACTCTCGGGTCGCCTGCTCATCTCACCAGGACCTCACTAGAGTCGCAGTTACGAATTCTGCCATATTGGACAGGTCCTGACATTTTCCCGCTTACCATCATTTCTCTGGCTCCTGGTGGTCGCCGACTGCCTCTTCTGCGTATTAGGCCTTTGCTGAAGTAGAAGGTTCGTAGTTTGTTTCTATGTTTTTTCTTGTGGTACACGAACTTCTCTACCTTCCCAATATTGCTACTGCAGCATGTCACCTATCCAACCCCCAAACACCGCGACGCTGCACAACCCCCAATCTAGCAGTCTGCCTAGTCTATATTTGGCAGTCCATAGTTTTCCTTTCGGGCAAGGCATCGCTTACTGAATCCTCATCTCGACCAGCGAGGCAGACATCGCTTTCCAGGCTCAACATTTCGTAGTGGTGGGTGGGTGGATGGTGGTAAGGGACGCGATGGATCGGTCCCTCGAGAGGGGATCGAGACACACTGGTATCACTGATGGCCTGATGTGGGCGGATTACCTCGACGATCATGCACACATAGGGCCTCGGGCGCTGATGTGCGGCCCGCCATGTCTCTGCTCGAAATCTGGGAAGACGGAAGTGGCGTGCGAGATCTTCATTGCGCGCAGCGAAGATCCATTCGCAGGGCAGCACTGCATACCCACTTATACGGCGGCTGTAGTCCAAGGCCGTACTCACGGTGTTAGAATAATGGCATCCGGCCGCATTTACCTAGTGTGATGTGTTCACGCGCTGCCAGCCTTTGGACGTTCATGCAATCTGAAGAACGCTCGACGATGGCCCACCGACGCGCTAATCCTTTTAGCGTTGATTGATAACGGCAAGATAGTGTCTCTCACGGTGTGGAATTCTCCGGATAGAACGACGTGCGCAACAGCTACCCTGGAGGCCTTCGCGGGTGCGTACAATAGGCCAGCTAATCTTACTTACTTGTACGGCGAGCCCTTGGATCCGGAGAATCCCTAACCGCAACAGAGTGTGCAATACTGGCACTGCGCAGGACTCTACCCTAGTCCGCAGTCTGTTGATGCCCCACTCAAGCTGCCTCTGCTTCACTTCGCGCACATTCATCAGACGAACGGTGAATACGAAAGTGGTATTCGCTAGTAAAGCTAAAGAAAGGATACCTAGGAATTTTGGAGTCTCAGCATCATCAATGCGAGCGCACCCATTCGTCCCTCGGCCATCGACTCGTAGCTTCGTCTCGAACACCCTCAAATGCGCGGCTTCGTGCCGTGCCCGACTCCGCCCCATGCCATGCCCCGTCGCCATGCAAAAATGTGACAACCTCGTCGCTCATGACAAGGCAAAAAAGCAGTCGCTATCATAGAAATACACGAATCAGTTTGTTCAGCTCCAGTTTCAGCCCAAACCTAACCAGCCAACCATCCTTTTAACATCAGAGACCCAAAAGTCCCTTAGTCTCAGATGCCCGGCTAAGAAAAGCACGGCGCAGCTGAGCTGAGCTGAAGCAAAACCGGTGATTCAGGATCGAAAGGGATATCAACAAGAGACCAAGGCAGTCGGACACAAATCGGCGTGCCAGATCCACCAACACCGCGCTTACAGGGAAAGCACCACGCCGCCGGGAAACAGTTCGCGAGATGGATGTCCAGCCAGGAAGGCGGTGGAGGATGTAGAAGCGATCAAAGACCGCCAGCGTCCAGCTCCTCGGGCGCCTTGTGGCGGGCAAGCACGAGGCGCTTGTACTCGGCCGGGTCGTTGTCCCAGAGCTCGGCAGCTTGACCGTTGAGGGGGCTAGAGCTATATTCCAGTTAGCAAACCATCCCATCCCAGCTCCCGCTTCACAAGAGAACTCGACAAACGTACTTATTCGGCTCCCCCAACAAGCTCTGCAAGCTCAACAGCACGGTCCCGATATTGTAAATCGCGCTCCACTTGTCCTTCAGGATATCGAGGCAGATCCTGCCGCTGAAGTCGACGTTCGGGTGGTATATCGGCGTCTTGAAGAGGACGCCCGGCGGCGCGTAGGGGTAGTTGGCGGGGAACTCCATGGACAGCTTGAACGTGAGGTTGGCGTAGGGCGTGTCCGAGGGCCCGTCGATGGTGGCGGTCCAGCGCGTCATGTTTTCGTCGTCCGGGAAGGCGGTTATGCCGGGCGTGGGCTTGGTCATGATGTCCATAAGCTCTTTTTGGAGGCTGCATCAAACACATTTTGTTAGACGGTTGCGCTCGTAGAGGAGTTGAGGTCTGCTTTGTGGAGAAACGTACCGCTGGGCAACCGTCGCGCTGCCGCCATTTGCCCGAGCACCCGTTGAAAGCGCCATTTTGCCCCTCGCGCTTCTGTCCCAATTCGATTCGCTCGATAACTGAATGCTCTCACGGAAGAATGCCTCCCAAGCAGAACCAAAAGCAAGTTCGGCGCCAAAAAGCCTTCAAGAAGAGAAAAGTCGAGGGGGCCGGTGTATTAAGGACGCGGGCGAGGAGAGAGTCGAGGTAAGCTTCGTTCGTGGGTTGTGGTTGCAGACGGGACTAAAAGCGCTCGCTGGTGTTGTGTTTACGCCCTCACCCCGGAAACCGCGTGGCTCGTGCGCGCTTCGGCTCGCGCACCCCGGTGACGTGCCCACGCCGATCAGGAAGCCAATCGTAGCGTGTCAGATTCGCGAGCGTCGAGACAGGGGACGCGTCGTTGACGTGCAGCCCGATAATCAAGTGGCTGGGAAAGTCTAGGGTTTGAGGGGCGGATTGAGCCGTATTTGAGGTTCTTGTGAAGTCAAAGGAATGGATGGTCGGAACGACGGCTTGGGGGACAAAGAGTTTCTCTCTTCTTCCTTGGATATGTGCGCCGCTTTCGAAAGTCATTTCCGTATCCATTCACGCCTCTGTGGAAGTACTTCTACCAGCACTGGCTGCCTGGGCCAATTCTAACGGCGAACCAAGAGAGACGCTTTCCGCACCCATTTGCATCGAGACTCAACACGCTACGCCAACCGCACCAGACTCCTACACTCGATCAATGATTTGAGCTCTCCCACAGACGGACTAGCTAATACTACAGACTTTTCGGGGACAGGATGTATCTCATTTCTCTAGCACCCTTCAGATGGTAGTCTGAGCTACATGGCGGCGGAGGGAAGAGCTTGGGAAATTTGGTCTGCTTGGATCGCATTCGAACAAAGGAACCAATTAGGCCCTCAACGACAAATGAAGCACCGTCGGATGATTTGCAATGCCAGCTGTTGGTCTATATTCGCGGCTTTGGGCGAATGGCCTCCAGGGAGCAGCACACCTCTGTCCTCTCTCCGTGGCACCAGCGTCTCCTCACCGCACCCTCATCTCCTCATCTTCTCAACAGCTCGGCGCGCGTTCCAGCCCAGTTTAATCCCGCATCACGTCCTCGAGGCTCGCTTATTATATCCTTCTCCTGTCGGCGCCTCTCAGCCTTATTGGCGTCATAACTCGTGGCGCTTCGTGGCGTAAAGCCTCATGTGTGTCCGACGTGCACATACAGAGCTCGACTGGCTTGGCTCTGCTGATGATGAGAAGACCTGATGTGCTCAAAGTGGGCTGATGGGTCACCACAGTATCTATATAAGCAATAGATAAGAAGAGACAGAGGAACCAAATTCGTTTAGGTCAAACTCACTAAACTAACCCGTGTGCTAGATAAGTAACTGATGAGTGATATCATCGCACAATATCAAGCCCAGGTAAGCCATCGAAGCGTTTTGAACGAAGCTCGTTGGGCGCCTAACACCAGCCATCTCAGAGCCAGAAGCAGTATTGGGCGCCTCAAACGCCCCCGTCAGCGTTGGCGGAAGATGCACAAACTAAACCTCGCTCGCTGTGGAAAGCGATTTTCCAGATACTTCTAGCTTTCGCCGTCTTCGGCTGTCTGCTCGCACTCACTTTAACCACTCTCAGGCTAACGGACCACGGGAGTTACAACTCGATCCAACGCACTGTATACACTGCCATTGTCACCCTCATCGCTACTATCGTTACCGCAGTTGTCCTGGACGGCGTACGAAGGTTGTATCTGTTCCGTGTAGACGATCAGCTAGCACAATATCCGCGATCTCCGCTGTCACAGCAAAAACGTCTTGACCAGCGATGGCAGACTATCCTCGGGATAGGATCCATATCCACTCGGCTCCAAAATCCCTCGGTTGAAACTGTTCTACTCCTGGGAGCGCTGGTTACTACCTGCATCACCTCCGGCTTCACTGCAACGTCAGCAACAAGAGTCGAACCGTATGCGCCCAAGATCCCTTCTTCAGACCCGTACGTCTTTGCGCGACCGTGGGAGAACGGGACCCGGCCTACCTGGGGTCTAATGTACTGGACCCTCGACAATGGCAGCTTGTACGATGCCTGGGTATTCCACGGTGGGTCGCCACAACACAAAGCCTTCGAGCTTATGAACGGCATCAACATCAACGACCCAACTCTATACGCATACTCAGACGACGGCGTAGCAATCCAATCCTCCGCCATTGGCGCACCAATCACTGCCTACAATCCTGAGCATGCTGGCTATGGCCTCCAGGCCATCATGAGCCGCTTTGAACGAAATATCAATACCGTATCCGCATGCGTGCCTGTCATGGTCAGAAACCCCGCAAAATGCGTCCCCGGAGGCATTCTCTCATGGCCAGACGACGGAAGCATAATGAAGGTCACAGCCAGCGACGGGAGTTGTCCGCGGACAGTGAACACGACGAAGCCCCCAGACGAATTCATCGCCATCATCTCGCGCATCTGCAACGTAGGACAAGTCGGCCAGTCGAAGGTCGTGTTCGGCGCTTCCAACGGCAACTACGCCCAGTGGCTGGCCACCGCTGTGGGCGAAGACATCGGACCCTCTTATGCTGGGCAGACATACGCCGTGGAGTGCGACCTCGACGCCCGCGACGCATTCGAGTATCGAAATGCCACACTGCAGATCTCCCCGCGAACTACATCATCCAACCCGGGTACCCAAAACCTCGCATTTACACGCGTGCTCTCGGCGAACGAGCCCTGCACTCCGCCGTCAAACCTGCCCGTCGCCGAAGCCCTAGCCGCAACCGTCGCCATGGGGCCCTACTTCCCGGTCTACGAAATCACAGCAACAGGTTGGTTCCAGTCCCTCGTCAACGTCATCTCTAGCACAGGCGACTACGGCCACTCGCCTAAGAACTCAATCCGCGGCCCACCATTTGCATTCAACGACTCGCAAAACGCTTTGGAGGATGTACTGGGGCTTGTGGGTGCGCTGGCGGGATCAAGAGCGGTGCTGAATATGTCCCTGGTTGAGAGTACGGGGTCGGCAGAGGTAGTCTTCATGCGCGTGGGGTCGGGAAAGACGTTTGCAATTGTGTTTGCGATGGTGCCGTTGCTTTTGGGGCTGTGGATGTGTGGGATGGTGGTTAGAGTGGAGAGGGAGAGGGGCGGGTATAAGTGTACGAGCTTGCTGGATTTGGTGAGATTAGGAATGGGTCAGTGAAGGGCTATCGCAGTTCTAGAAAAGGTGTACCGAATTCTCTTTTGCACATATCTACCCATGAGCGCCATCGCTATGCACAGAATTAGAAATACAGAGCACTCGCCCTAGGGAATAGTGCTAGGGTTGCAACCCACGAAGACCATCTTGATGCGGTATATGGTAAGCGCTCGATCAGGAGATTTCACGCTGAGGGTATCTAGGCTGACCTAAACCTAGGCGTGTTTTCTGATGTCAAAGGTGGCTGCCGCTCTCTGGACACTCCCACCTTCCCTCTCACCAACGCGGCATCCACGGATGCTTTTACGCAGCCGAAAAGCGAGGAATCCGCACCCTGATTCTGCACAGAACCTCTAACCCTATAGGTAAGACGAGTTTTCTGCACTAGGTGATCATAACAAGCAATGACATTTGTCGACGAGGACAGTTGGTATATCATTCATTTGACACGCAATTCCGTGAGCGCTTGACTGACTGATTATGCGCTGAAGGGCTCTAGGCATTGATTTACATAGTCGTATTTTTATTCAACGCCATGCGGATCGCATGCTGTCTCAGCTTGCTTGGAAGGCTCTCCCTATACACTTCCACCTTCCCTCTCAACATCACAGCATCCACGATACGCAATGATGCTTCCGAGCCTAACGAATAGCAGCCGCAATGCGTTAGATACCGCAGACTTATCCTCTCACACTTCAGCGCACTTCAGCGCACTTTGCATCCACACATCAGTCGCTACGCATCACTATCTGACCATCGCTACAGCCACCCAATTACTACATCTTTCTATTTACCCCCACCTCAATCACTACACCCAACATGAGCGATCCAGCCGGCAGCGCGTCCGCTCGCAAAGTTCCCGTCCCCCCTTCTCTCCTCCCCGGCACCATCAACGCCGCCACGAGTCTCGTTCTACCCCTCCCCGGCATAGCCACCAGCCCTACACCCGCCAGTACAACTTCCCCAGGCCACCGAACACGCTGGTACACCGGCTACCTCCAGCACTGGCCCAGCTTCAGCACGGACGCGCACTCCTTCTACGCCGATCCAGACTTCCGGGTTGCGATCAAAGCTACTAACACCGTCGCTATTGTTAGACTGATGGACGTTGCGCCTGGCATCGCAGTTGCAGCGCAGTCGCCAGACGAAATCGCCGACGTGTACGATAAGAAGTGCGTCAAGGTGGTGGAGAAGATCGCGAAGCTGTTGATCGCCGCTTTTGCCGCCGCCCAGGGCGCAGGCCAGCAGGCCGCAGTGCAAGAGCTGGGACTGCTCGACATGCACACGGCGAGTTGGGAGAAGGTGGAGAATATGAAGTGGGATGTTAGTTGGCGACCAAGATGGGTGTTGCGAACCAAGAACACGGAGCCCGGAGTGCTCGGAGGCGGATACGATACTCGCGTCGTGGGGCATTTTCTCAAAGTACCGGGCGGTGCGGAGGAGGATTTCCTGTCAGCGGCTATTGCGGACAGGAATAGTTGGAAGTGGAAGTCTCTGCGCTGCGTCCTGGGTATGTATCTTGGTCCTTTTTTCCTACCACGCACGATACATACCCGCTCGAGGACTACTAGCTCACTAACACATCCATGCGCACGCAGGCCGTATAGTCCACTACCTCATCCAATCCAACACAGCTTTCGGCTTCATAACAACATACCACGAAACCGTCTTCCTCCGCCTCCAAATCATCACACACCCAGACTCCACCCGCCGCGGCGTCGTCCGCCTGCCCAAACTCTACTACTCAGACCCAATACGCAGCTCCACCACGCACTCTCTTGCATCTCCGGTCCATATCGCTGCGGCGCGCGACGTTTTCGCCGAGCTAGCCGGCCAGAACGACATGCCCTTCGAACCCAAACAGAGCGCCGAGGAGGCCGCTGCGGAAAAGGTGGCGAGTGATGTGAACGAGAGACTAGCCGAGATGCAGATGGATGACGAAGCCGCGCAGCAGGCGGTAAAAGAGGAGGAGAAAGCAGGTGGGGAAGATGAGATGGACATCGACCCAAAAGAAGAGATCCCCATCGACCCCATCATCTGGGATCTGCTCAACTCGCCCACGCCACCCGACTCCACCGCCGGTGCCGAAGGCGAAACCGACCCAGACCACACCTCCTTCCCCGGCCTCGCGTCCTCGTCCCCTCCCCAGTCATCTACCCATCCCAACAAAGGAGAGGAAAACGACCACAACTCCCCACCACCAGCCTATACACGCTTCCTCCGCTCCCCACCTCCAGTCCCCAACGAGGAGGAAGGGATCGACAACTTCACCCTGCCCCTGCGCTTCCTGCGCTCCCCCTCGCCCACTACACTCTTGCGCGCCCGGCTCTTGAAAACAGCGCCGAAGCATCCGGCTACGATCCGCGGCGCAGAACTGGCTGCGTACAGGCCGCTGTTGGTTAATCCGCTGTCGCAACAGCTGTCTGTGCGCGCGGCGATGTTGTATGGGTTTTGGCTGGGCATGCAGCCAGAAGGGTGGAAGCTGCTGGATGCGGGGAAGGGGGAGAGGATTGGAAAGGCGAATAAGTATACGAAGCTACAGCGGAGTGGTGAGGATCTTGATGTGGGGAAGGGGTTGTTTAAGCGGAAGGATAGTGCGCACTGAGGGGAAGAGGGCCGGAGTGGGCTTTTCGGATGTGAAGAAGTTGATGAAGAAACGCTAGGGCTTGCCATGTGTTGGTGTGCTTGACTATTTGTGCTGGTTGAGATAGAGCTTGGACTTGTGCATGTCCGTTTTGGATTAGTGAGAAAACTGAAGCGCGATAGGTGACTTGGAAATGCTCAGCTCAGCTAGCTCATCCTCTGGACGGCCTCGTAAGGAACTTTAGATAGCATGTCTGTATTCAAAAAGACTACTGGCTGAGAAGATTTTTAGTTAAGATATGCCACACAACCTCGTGCCGCGGCTGCCGCTCAAATACCCGCAGCGGCAAAAGCTTCCTTCTCCTATTAATCGACTTTGATCGCGCTGTAAAAAAAAAAAAAGGTTAGCTATCTGTGCTAGATATCTGTTGAAGGAGACCAAAGGAAGCGAGACAGGTTAGAGTGATCTACTTACCTATAAATCCTCCGCACAAACGCATAGGCGCTCAAAAACCCCACCGTCCCGGTCAACAGCCCATAAACCGCACACGCGAGCCCACCATACGCGAAGAAAAGCAAACTCGAGACAAAGCCCGTGATGTGCAGGCGCGCGAAAAAGTACCACGCGAGGTAAGCGTAGATCCAGAGCGCGGAGGAGCCACCAATGAGGAAAGATTGCCACCACCAGTGGTAGTTCTGCGGACATGAGTTAGCAGATTTGTTGGCTCGAGAGGCGTAGGGAAGACAAACCTCAGAGCAGAGCTGAATATACGTAGCCATGACCGTGACCTCGATCACTGTGACGAGCAGAATGACGCTCACGACGGCCATGAAGCCGAAGACGTAGTAGTATCCACTCTTGTCCACCCACAAACTTTTGAAGACAAACATCAGCTCGATAAATACAACTGCAAAAGGAACAAAGCCAGCAAGGAGAATAGCTTGGACGTCCTTCGTGAACCATGGCTGTGCTGGGATCTGTCGTGGGATAGCATTCGCCTTGATGGGATGCGTCCAGGACCCGACTTGGGTGTATCCGTACCAGCCGCCGACGTAGACGAGCGGGAGCTGGATGAAGAGCCATAGTGCGACGAGACCGACGAGCGTGCCGAAGGGGATAGCGGTGCTGGAGGCTTGGATCCAGACAAATAGGTTGAGGACGAAGATTGTAGAGAACAGCAGGCCTGGAACAAGGGAAGCAGTGACGAAAACGTTCTTCTGCCACAACTGTCCTCCGAACGTTTTGTATACTCGTGAAGAGAAGTAGCCAGAGAACAGACCGGCGAAGACCCATAGCCCCGTACCGACACTGACGTAGCCGCCGCGGAAGCTGGGGTTAAGGATACCAAAAGCGCTTAGGAGCAGGATACCGATGGCCATGAAGAGAAGTTGGGTGCCGGAGCCGATGAGGGGTGCGAGAAGACCGCCATGTGGTGGCGCTCGGAAGACGTCGCCATGAACCAGCTTCCAGCCTGTGATGTCTTCCGGTTCTTCATCATCTGAGACGTCGGCTTCTCCTTCCAGGTCTCCAAGCTGATCCAACAAGCCGCCCTTCTCCATGCCATTGGTCGGTGACATTGGTCCTCTTGCTCGTTTCAACTTCGGCTTTCCTCCATCCTCTTGATAACCTTTGATATCCCCACGCACAGTGCGCGCTAAGATAACGGCCACAACAGCTGTAAGCAAACCAGCAATGACCAATGAATTGACGATGGCCAACCAATGCACGTTTGAACTGTCTTCCTGAGCGACAAAGTACCTGTCCCAGCGGTTCTGCCATTGGAGCTGTTCGTCCTCTCGGAAGTACACCGAATACGTAAACGGGATCGTCAATGTCGCTGCCTCGCTCTCGTCGATTTCCCCCGTGCTGTTGGACGTCGGAATGAGCATCATCGGATCTCGCACGTTTTGCAGATCCTTCGGTAGCCCATCCTCAGTGCGGTTGTTCGCCGCAATGCTCTTCGGAAACACCTCAAATCCGACTATGACCTTCTTCCCTCTATCTCCATCCTTTCCCGGCGCGCGATGGTACCGAATAACCAGCGTGACATGGTTATAGATCAAGTACTGCGGCAGCCCACCCTGCTTCGACACCACCTCCTCGCCAATCTTGAAGCCTGCGGCATAGTACTTCCGACTCTTATCCGTCGTCTGGAAGCTCGTCGCCCCGGGCAAATTGTCCACGATCCACTCCGCCACATATCCATCCCGTATCAACTCCCTCGTCCGCTTCAAGCCATCCTGATCTACCGTCTGAGCGCAGAGGTACCGCGCCTCTTCATCATTCCCCATTATCAACTCATAGTCCGAGACTGTGATCCGGTCACCGCGGAGGACCTCGCCTAGATTCAGTGATATGCTTGCGCCGCTTGTGAATCGGCCTGTCTTTATGCGATGAGTCGGCGGACATACGAAGGGAAGTTCGGTGTAGGCATATTGGAGCTCGGACTTGTCGGAGTAGACTTTGTTCACGAAGAGTGGTATCGTTTCGCCATCTCGGTAGCTTTTGAAGGTGAAGCCTGGAGCGGGGATTAGCAAGTTGATTATTCGTGCAACAACAGGCGTAGCATACCTGGTATGTAAAATGCCTGTGTGAGTGCCAAAAGAGCACAAAGGGCGGTACCTCTCCGCACATCGGCGTGCATTGTGGCAGAAGTCGCAAGTGCGGAGCTTGACCTAGTGAGCAGAGAGCCAGTTCAGCAAGGCAGTATGCGTGAAGATTAAGGGTTGATAATATCGCTCGTCGAGAAGTGTAGCGCGTGAAAGGCGGCCGAAGCCCGGTGACGACACCTGGAACTCGAGGTTCGGCAAGGGCGGCCTGTGAATCGCAATCGGGAATCTGCCTGAATAGCGTGGTGGGAAAGAATGATGGGTAGCCGTCGCAGTGGCTTTTTGCTGTCAACCGCGACTACATCGAAGCCCTGACTTTCGTCGAGCGACAGGAGACGGGCCCGTTATCATGCCGGAGTGCCTCGAACGAAGGGACACGCTAGGGGGAGCGACGCAGTCGACAATCGTTATCGCAGGGGAGCCGGCCAATCGGAGAGCGAGCGGGCCCGCATGCAGCACCGCTAAATCGGCGCGATGACGACGCTTCCGCCCGTCTCTCGCGGACAACATCTGAATGTGCGGAGGAGGAGCTCACGATGTTCGGTTCGAAATGGTTTCATGAGATTGTGCTACCGATAAGCAAAAAGGCAACAAGGAGCCGAATACGAGCGCAACAGGCGCTACAGTCACACATGACAGGGATCATCACGGGACGCAAGGCAGCCTTCAAGCTGTTCTGCATACGCCTCATGCGCGCCACTTTTCCGCGGGGACAGCATTTCAACGGGTTGCTTGAGCTGTTGGCGACAGCCTCAGCAAAATTACTCTTGCTTCTCAGCCGAGCGTGCCAGGCCGCCCATCTCATCCTCCGCTTCAAGCTAAGAAACCCAAACATGCAACCTGGCCGATAAGATACAAGAACTCCATCCTCTTCCAAACAGCATTCGTTTCCCAGGTAAAGTAACCAAAACGCCTCCCCTGATGCCGCTCAATCGTTTTTTGTAGACGCCCAGCCAAAGCGAAATCCCCGCGCCATGCTGTGTTACAGGACTGTTGAACAAGAACAGAAGGAAAGGATTAGATAGAGTGAATACTAAACGTGGTCCGTTGGCATTACAAGGTCGTAACGATGGCCTGTGGCAGCCGGAAGGTATGATGCGTCGAAATATTAGAACGAGTAGATGGTAGTCCAATCGAAAGAAGGTGCGGTCACATCGTCACTTGTCATGGCCCCTGAGGCGGTTGGGAAAGTGGGGAGATAGCGGGTGATTCCGATGTGTCCGTCGTCGTGGCTACAATAGTGACAGGTGCGTTGGCAGTGTTCGGGTTTGCCATAGGCCTAGATTGAAATGGCTGTGCAGCACGCCCGTTCGGAGGTTTAGATGACGACGGCTCAGTAGCCGGCGGAGTCGTGGCTTCTGGTTCTTCTTCGGGTATAGGCGGACAATAGGTCTTGAGGACATGCTTGAGTGCAGGGCGTCGAATGGGCTTCGACAGGAAGAAATCCATACCGGAATCAAGACATTCCCTAACATTCTGCTCTTCCGCATCTAGGTATCCACAGTCAGTAAAAGCTCCGTGGACTTTCCGGTAATACTTACAAGCTGTGAGAGCCACGATGGGCGCTGAGAAACCCGACTGGCGGATCAATCGGGTAGACTGAAGTCCATCTAGGTTCGGCATCTGCACATCCATGAAGATCAAGTTGTACGGCGTCTGGCGCTCCATACTCTCTTTGACCTTGTCCAATGCCTCCTGTCCGTCTTTAGCCACCGTGACATCGTACACATCTTCGAGCTTCAGCATGCGCAGAACAACTTCCTGGTTTGTCTTGTTGTCCTCCGCGACAAGGACCTTTACCTTATCGCCTCGCTTCGTTGCTTCGGCTTCTACTCGCTGCATCGCCGCTGTCTGAGAGTTTGGTGATTCTAGTGGAACATTGGAGGCAAAGAAGGGCTGGCTCAGACCCACTAGGCGTGGCTTCGAGTCGGTCTCGAATGGCGGAGGCCCGCTCGAGGGTCCCGCAGCTGGTATGGGACTGCTCGACGCTGAGGGTACAGAACGGCCGGAAAGCGCGTCGTCGGTTTTTCGCGGATCGTCCATGCTCTGACGTGCGTTCGGATCTGCAAGATTGACGTTGCTTGAACTGGCTGTACTGTCTGCGCGGCTAGTGAGGTGCTTCAGAGGTATGGACATGGTAAATACGCTGCCATGGCCAAGCTCGCTCTTCAGCTGAATCGTACCCTTCATCAGTCCAGCCAGCTGCGAACAGATGCTCAACCCCAGACCAGTTCCTCCGTACTTCTTGCTCAGACCAAGGTCGCCCTGGACAAAGGGCTCAAAGATCTTGCCTTGGAGGCTTTCTGGGATACCAGGACCGGAATCCTCGACCTCAAACTCGAAAGATAACCACCGCCCGGGTGGTGGTGTTGCCGCCCGCTCCTGTATCATCATATGAGAATAGGCGGTTGGCTTATCCAGAGCATTGATAACGTTGGCCGTTCCGTATTGATCGGGACTGGTAATGGAAACTGACCCGACCTCCGAACTGGTTGCACGAACTCGGTTCTTCGAGCCCCGCATTGAGCTGTTCCTCGACTGCAATGACGCCTTCCTGCTGTCTGTCACCGAGGCTTCCCCAATGCATCGGATCGTAATCGTAACGGATCCTCCGTGAGGCGTAAATTTGAGGCTGTTGGAAACAAGATTGATCACCACCTGGAGAATTCTGTGCTGGTCGCCGTACAAGATCATGTCCTTGACACGACCAAGTCCAAAGGGTCCAAGATCGCCAAGGTCGTTTTGTCGTCCGTTGTCGTCCAAGTTTGCCTCGTAAGGACCTTCAAATTTCATGCATAGATTGATGCCCGTCTCCTTCGCTTGCTTGTCGAAGATAGCCAAGACTTGGGAGCTGATGTCTCTTAGCCTGAATTCTTTCTCGTCTAGGCTCAGATGCTGTCCAACTTGATTTTTGCTGTTAGTCAGTTAGCGGAGACGTTGTCTAGAAGCACTTCACGACGATATATTGGGCCGAGAGCTTACCTGAATGTTAGCAGATCTGTCAAAAGATTGAGGAGGAGATCGCCGCTCTTGTAAATGATGCCAAGAGATCGCCTCAGCTTGACAGGGTCGTCCTCCGACATGCAGACAGCGCACATGCCTAGAATTCCGTTGAGTGGAGTCTTGAGCTCGTGCGAGATATTGGCGATAAACAGCGTTTTGCTTTCGTTTGCCGCCTCAGCTGCCTTCTTGCTTTGCTCTAGCTCGGCAGTCCTCTGCTGGACTCTCTCTTCTAGCTTCTCGTATTGCATCATGAGCTCATCTGTCATCTCATTGAACGTCTTAGTTAGGTCAGTGAGCTCGTCGTGGATGAAATGTTTCCGGTCTTTGACTTTTGATGGAATGCGGAACTGGCGTCTCCTCTCTGCGTCTCTCCTTTCCGCTCTGCTTGCTTTTTGATTCCGTCGGTAGTGTATTACCCGCCCAAACCACCTGCGATGAATTAGCACATGCCCTAAAATATAAGACAAAAGGCGGTGCCGGAACACCTATCCTAGAGGCCTTCAACCACATTATCAGAAATACGTACCCTTCTTTGCGGGCAAGCACGTCCCGCTCATCATCGCCATCTACTTGCGAGCCGAGGCTATCGTCGTCAAAAGGTTGGGGCGAAACAGTCCGTTTGGTGGCGTCGCGAAGACGGCGAATAGGTCGGCTAGAATAATGTGCCACGGGGAAGGCGAGGATCAACATGGCGCCCATGGTTCCAAACACGCAGGCTACGATGACAGTCCGCAAGCGATTTATTGGTGCCCAAACCTCACCATGCGTTTGTTCGACAATAACCATCCAGTCAACCAGGTCGCTGCTGACCAGGGCATAGCCAACAGCAACGTTGCTCCCCGCCTCGTTCTCGGTGGAAATGAGGCTCCCAGCGTTATTAGTCGCTTCGGTCGGCTCCGTATATCCTTTCCGGATTGCGGGAAACTCCTTCCAGTCGAAAGGTAGTGGATCTATCGACGTGTCGTAGGCCCCGTGTCTGACAGCAACCGACCTGTTTGTCGGGGGAAGCACGAAACGAACCGACTCGTCTTCCGGAGCATCGGGGTGCGGTGAACTGTACAAGACTCCGGCGGGAAATTTATTCGTAGAATTGTCTGGTCCAAATACCTGGGGAATACTCAGCTTGAAGACCTTCAGAGTGTTTTGCGGACTTACCATTGTAAGGCCCGTGTCATCCAGTCCTTCCATAGCGTCTACGACGTTTTTGAGAAGACCGGCGTCAAGCACGGTGGTCAGCCAACCGAGCGTGTCGATGCTCGAAGTATTGTTTATGATGGGCATCGTGATGGAGACTAGACTCAATGTGCTATTGACTCGGTACGGGCCCGAGAGGATAAAGCTGTCACGATCAATCGGTCTCCCATTATAGGCAGCGAAAGTCTGGTTGTAGGTAGCGTTGATGGGAAATGGGACGGGCGTAAACTTCGGATACAGCTCCTCGGGATAGCCATATTGCAGGTTTCCAAAGGTAGCGTTCTTGCCATCGGGCGTGAGATAAGGCAGCTCCATTCCCTGGAGGGTATCTTTCGTCCGGCTGAAGAGAGCGAAGTCCGAAGTGTTGTATGGGTACACTCTAGCCTGACTACGAACACGTGCGATTCACGTTAGCAGTTGTTTTGAAATCAGAGTGAGAACAGTCAACACGTAGCATGTCTCTATCTGCCGAAGGCCTCCAGGAGGACATTTTCAGAGCTGAAGCTAAGACATGCCGGCGTGTACTGCGGGCTACGTACATAGGTAAGCGACTCGCTTGATCACCAGAGAAAACGGCGTCGAAGTCATCCGCAGTGCGCGACCAATTTGCATCCGAATTGTTGTTGTCTCGATAGTAGCGTTGCAGAGCGCTCTGGACGGCAAGGCGCGAGGCCGTCTGCCGGACGCTGGTTCTCATAACCAGCAGATTGGAGCCCAGTTGCGCCGCCTTCAGAGACGCGGTCAGGGTGAGGCGGGTAGACCTACGCGAGCTGTCAGAATGTGTGTCCTTGCGAAGGAAGACTCGGATATGCGCACCGTATGCCGAGCACGAAGTTGTGGTTCGTGATCTACGCCAGAATTAGAGGCTACACGCAACCCGGGAGCGGAGAGCAATAGGTACCCATGTTGCAATTGCTATGACAGCCAGCCCGATCAGAGAAGCCAGGAGCACGAGACATCCCAATTGCTCGCGGATGGGGATCCGCATCCTGACCATCACTCAGGCCTTCAGCAGCCGCGGGGGCTACGTAGAAGACGGCCGGTATAGGGAGCGGCGAAGTATGCGCAGGATGGATGCGGGCGGGACTGGTTTCGGTCGACCGCGTGCGAAGGGTGGTGCGAGGATACGAGGCCCTGGGGGCACGACGGCGACGGGCGACGGCGACGGCGGAGGCGGTGGGTTGGTGAGCGCACGCGGTCGCCAACTTCCCATTCCTCGCAGGAGGTACCGGCGCCGCCTGCCAATTGTGGACGCGGGCGATTGGCGAGAGATCTTAACGTGCTGATCCAAGGCGCGGTGGGAGGAGGAGCAGCCGGAAGGTGTCCTCGAGCAGCCGTGAATGCACAGCTGGGCAGCGGCGCACGACGAGCGCTGCTAGGCCGGAGGCGGAACACGGGCCCTATTCGCGGAATTAAAGTGGCGGCAGCGGTGCTCGGCAGGCCATGTGCAGCAGCGCGCAAAAGAGGGGACGAGCTGGGCGCTCTTGGGGCGCGGTGGTGCGGTGGAGCGGTGGGTGGAGAGGCAGCAGAGCGAGGCACGACAGGACAAAAGAGACGTCGTCTTGGGGAGAGAAACCGAGCGCTTCCGCTCCGCTGCCCGCCGCCCTGGTTGCCGAAGGAAAGGCGCCACAGATGCTCCCGGCAGAAACGGGGCGTGCAATTCATCTCTGGCTAGCGGGCAGGTGTTTCGCTCGTTTCGCTCGCGCAGAGGCGACGCGGCCGGGCTGACATGGGCACGGCTCGCCCGTCTCGCCGCCACTGGACCGCTAACTCAGCGCACGCGCAGGCAAGGGGCCCCGGGGATGCGATTCCGCAGAATGCCATGTCTCGCAGCGCAATCTGGCCCGCTGCGCTGCTCCAGCGACCATGAATCTGCCAGTCTGCCCGAGTCCGCTGCATCCATCGCGCCCGGCCCCAGATCCAGCAGCACGGCTTGGCGGGCGGACGTTCCTGGGGATCTGTTTCTTTGATCCGCGTTTTGAATGGAGAACAGATCGGCGCAGAGGCACCTAGGGGCGGTCGAGAACGCGGTCGGCTCGCTTGGAAAGGCTTATGAACCATGCCGCCAATCGCTTGTGCGCCGTGCGACCAATTTCATCTCATTTCGCACCGCGGGACGACATCCATCGCGGACCGTCTGCACATAGCGTAGCAGCACTGAGTAAATACCTACGTGAGACTTTCTTCCTGTGCGTGACGTGTGACAGTCCCGCCGTACGGGGCCCAGCGCTGCTTTGGACAGACCGCTCCGCTGTCGATGCTAGTTGGCCGGTGCCCTATCCACTGACGCCGCCATTCCACCAGAGTCCAGTCGCGGACTCGGCTCGAACCTGTCTAACCATGGTCTTACACGGACCGAGACGCGTCGAGATTTCTGGGCGCGGATTGTGTGCTGGTTCCAGAAGTAAGTCAGTCCGCAGGCGGGCATGGAAACTCGGACCCAACAAAGGCTCAATGTGGCCACGAAGAAGTCATCTAGCGGTGATCGGATGCACAACCTTGACGGACATCCATATGACTCTGTGCTTCCATCCCGCAGGATGGAGGACTGTAAACTACGATTACCATGAAAGCTCTGTGCTAATAAGCAGATTACTGTTTCTTACTCCACAACCAGGCCCAATGCTCGCCCCCTCGCTCATGAGATTCGTTCCTGGCCAACCCAAAAGCTCCCATAGATGAAACTCCTCCAATTGGTCGGTAATGTTATTAGACGTGTCCAGACATCCGCATGCATCAGCCCGATTCCAATCTTCCACTTGCTCCAAGTGACGCCATGACTCAAAGCGTTGAATATGCGGCAATCGACGTTCGGGGTGAAGGAAAATGTTCCCTGGGCGACGACGTTGCGCGCATCGGGGCGTCGACTTCATTCCAATAGTGTCTCCCCATCTTCTTGAAATGACTGATGGCGACTAGTAGCCCGCATATGATCTTCTCGACACCAGCTCGGTCTATCGACAGCCCATCGCGGTATATAGTCAGGTCTCCCACTTCGGCTCCTCGCGTGGCCAGGGTCCCACGAGCCGAGTAGGTGAAGCGTGCAATGACAATGCTAGTTGACTTCTCGGTTAGGACCAGTGACATTGGTCGCCCTTCGAGGGTCCATGCGTATGTAACCCCTCCTATGTCGACTGTCCAGTCTGCAAAGTTTCTCGACTCCATGCTATGCGTGCTCAGCCCGCCGGCATCCGTGTGGCAGAAGTGGGCTCGCGGCCGCCACGGGAGGGGACCGTCCGCGTCGAACCATATTCCACATATACTCTCCTCGCTCATCTGTCCGTGGGTAGTTCGAAACATCTCCATTTCCGGCTTCTTGGTGAAGAGTCGCACCCCGCGAGTGACGATCTTGTACGACGACGAGGAGGACGGTCCATAGGGCACGAGCACCTGTACCTTGCGGTCGATCTGTCGGAGGTGGTACGTATGGAGGGGCGTCGCGTAGTCTTCGAGGTTATATTCAGGGGCCGTCGCAGGCTCGTAGTCGGGGAGCTCTTCATCGGGAGGAGCTACGTCAAAGTCGAGCGGGTCGAGGCGTTGTGGGAAGTCCATGGCGTCTTGTGCATTGCGAAAGGATATTACTTGAAGGGCTCAGGTATATATATGTCAAAAGCCATACTCCCCACTAATATGACTGCAACCGTTGCAGGAGCAAATTCTGTGAGAATTCAAGGACGCCGGTGCTGTTGTTTCGGCGTCACCCCACTCGTGGACTTAGTCATCCGCACTTCACGCGTCAAAGCTTCCGTTTGTGGCAGGCTCTCACGGTGTGGAATTCTCCGAATAGAACGACGTGCGCAACAGCTACCCTAGAGGCCTTCGCGGGTGCGTACAATGGACGAGCCAATCTTACCTACTTGTACGGCGAGCCCTTAGATTCGGAGAATTCCCCACCGCAAGAGGCAGGGACAAAGAGGTTATGGAGAACGTTCTAAAGCAACACACTTATATATAAGCTTCTATTTTATGACGTTTATAACGCCTTTTATTAATATTTTTCTACTATTAAATTGGCGACAAGGGTGAACAGTTTGCCCAGGCCCCGACCGTCAAGGAGCGTGAATGTCTGCTTCCTTAAGAAGGTTCGAAGTCCAGGTCGTGGTGAAACTCTCGAGGAGTAGAGCGCAGCAACAAGTCGATATCCCGGAGCTTTTGGAGAAGTTCGGGAGCGTCGTCCTCGGTGAATCTGGGATCAGGACGTTCGATTCTGGTGTAATTGCGTGGGATCCATCTGATGTAGAGACTCTATTTCAGGACATCCTGGCGTACGAACAGATGACGCGCGACGTAGTAGGGTGTTAAAAAATACTTGAGCGTTGAAACAGGCGACAGAGGGGCACGTGGGTGTGGTGGGGTGGGGGAGGGAAGCTTGGAAGCGAACCCCGCCAATTTCGCCCCCCAAAACGGAGGACCTGCTCGCTCAGGCAGAAATAATCTCTAGACAAACATGACAAAGCCTGCTAGCCATTGAAGTCGAATATAGAGGGTGGCAGGCCATGCTTTGGTCCCTGAAGCAAACCCCGCCAAGGTAAGCTCGCCCTGAGATTTCTTCGTCCTAAGAGGACCTACTCATCTTTGCGAGAGCGGAAAGCAACACTGGGTGGGTCCCAATCGACCTGGCAGTCGCACGGCGGGAGGATCGGAAGGTAAACAAAATACTCTTTCCCTAATTATTTGGAGAGGCGTTCTCTATGGAAGCTTATATGATCACCGTTCATACAGTGTAGCATGGCCTATGACAGCGATGCGTCCGATCTTCAAAACACCACGCGCTCGTTCCGCTGGAGGGATGTGCCTGGATCCTGGCCTCGCCGCTTGTTGCACGTACCGACCATGACCTCTTTGGAGCGTCAAGAAGACAACGTCTACGGGGATGCTAAAGAGCCTCGGTATGGGATTCTTACATACACTTGGGGCCGGTACCCAGGAACGAATGAAACTCGTATCGGCATTTCCGGGACGACATGGAGCATTCCGGTGGTGTCTGCCACACATTTCAGCGCTGCAAGCTTGGAGCGAGTCATCAAAAGAATCGGGGAAGATGTGGATTTTGCCTGGGTGGATATTGCATGCATTGACCAGGAAGACGAAGCCATCAAGATGGATGAAGTCAGAAATCAAGTGGCCATATTTGCAAACGCGCATCGCGTATACGTTTGGCTATCGAGAATTACGACTGAATCTTTGCGAGGCATTCTCAATGACATTTTCCTCTGCGAGACTCATTTACAAAGTCAAGACGAACAAGCTCTGGGTAAAAGTGTGCTGAAGGCATTGAGCGACCTGAATGAATATCTTTCGATCCTCCTCAAAGACCCATGGTTTTCGTCGCTATGGACTCTACAGGAAGGCACACTTCGATCAGATGCATTGATACTATCACGAGAAGGGTACCCGATCCCGCTTCTCCACGAGCCTAGTCTCAATGTATACTACGGCTTCCTCCTCAATGCATTTTGGCATTTGACTTCCGCTAGCGGTTGGATACTCATGTATGGCACACCTGAAGTTGGACCAATGGCCGATACGGTTCTGAACCAAATTCGCCTTGCCGGCTATGACCACGCACCATTCGCTAGAAACCCGAACATACAATATGGTGCAGCGCGGCGTCGCGAAACAACCCGTCCCCTGGATAGAATTTATGGCATAATGGCCATCTACGGCGTTCGTGTCGGGGCTAAAGCAAACACGGAATACACTTTTGAGGGGCTTGAACAGGAGTTTGCGGCCACCTTAAACAACAGGTCACCTCGGCTTGGACAGATGTTCATTCATACGGCCAAGCCAGCGCCCGGTTGCACTTGGAAAATTACGCAGAGATGCAGGGTAACAGACGAACTTGGAACTTTCAAGAGCAGTGGCCAAGATTCCTGTACCATTTCAGCATCTTCGAGCATTGGATCCGCTTATAACGGTCCCACATGTCAGCTTCACAGCCTGTTAGGAATATGGCACGCTAGGATGGCACCATCACCAGGCGAGAACGACAGATTTTACTGGTGCCAAATCCGCCTCGACGATTATGTATGCGACGACTATCCAAATTTACCTCGAATCCACGATGTTCCTTTTGATATGTCCATGGAAGCCCGCGATCGGTTTCTGCCTCTTGGTAGCGCCTTGTTAAAGGTATTTGGGGATGATTCCATTATCATTTTGAAGCTTGGAGAGCAACCTGTTGAAAATTCATTCATGGCAGCCATAGGACTTGTACTACTGCGCATTGATGGCGCCGGGCCAGGTTACCAGCGGTTAGGAATTTGTCAATGGGCACTGGGCAGACCTAATGGAGTTCAAGATCCCAAGTGGGAACATCAATGCGGCATTATCTACTAGCTCTCCAATTATCATGGTGGCTATGAACGTGAAATTTTATCCACGCGTGTCTGTTTGACCTCATTACCCAGTTCACTTGTTAATCAGGCTAAAGCATATTCTACTGTTCTCCAAAGACCCTCTGTGTCTTCCCTTGAAGCATCCATGGCCCAAACGCATAACCCTAGCCTTTGCCATGCCACCCTTTCTCGAAAAACCACCCGACGTACAAGAATTCCAACACAGCCAGGCATTGTTGGAGGAAATGCCTCCTCCTCATCCTCTGGATCAAGGAGTTGACCTAGGAGCAAAATTTGCAGCTCATCTTCAGATATCTCCAAAAGAAGGTTCGATAAGGATTGGTTCAATGCGAAGTTCTCAGTCTCTATATGGCGCAAGTCCTCCGGGATCCTAGAGTACCAATACTCATTTTCGTCGAGAGCAATAAAGTGCACGGCCCCGTCCACACCCCAGAACGGCCATCCTTCATTCTTCTCCTCAGCCATGGTCCACTGCTGAGCAATTTGACGGAAGTCACATGCAGGTCCTGCGAATACTGGTTGCTCGGAGTCGTCCAATCGTATCTGAGCAAGATTCAAGGTCATCGTGCTCATCAAGCGGAGAGCAGTTCGTATGTGTGAATTTTGACTAATACGCCAGCATTTGCCAAGGTCGACGGGCTCGGTATGAACAAACAGCTGGCCCATGATGGGAGAGCCTGCATTGATACGCGTCGCAAACTGGTGCTCCAAATTGTCGAGAGTGTATTCGCGCGAAGGATCGCAGGCTGCTCCGAGACGAAAGCCAAAGATCTGCATGATTCCATAAATGCGATCGAGTGGATCAATGCATTCTCTGAATCGCGCAGAACCATAAAGAGTGCTGGGGTTCTCCCAACCTCCTAAACCCACACGCTGGACAATCGACTCCAGAACCTTGAGCGACGGCAGTACTACGTCGAGAGCGTGGTCCTCTTCTGGCCGGTTCATGTACAGAGCCTTTGACAAATGTCGCTCAATCTCTCCCATGCCATGAACGAGGTTCATGAGTGCGACCTCAGCATACCCCTTCCTTGGGATCACGGACCCTTCCTTGGAGATGAACCAAGCGTCCGGACGGAGAGAGGCTTCCTGTAAGGTCCAAAGAGACGAGAACCATACGTCTCCAATGATGCCCGACAAACACCTTTGCATATCGTTGATCCAGTCCAAGTCTCTGATGCAATGAGGTAGAAATGTGTTTTCCCCTATGAAAATTTCAGAAGCCGCATCGTCGGGCTCCCAGTTGTTGGTTATTGTGGTGTTTTCATCGAAGGCAATCTCCTCAACAGCTTCGCCATCCAAGCGCGCCACCAACTGGAAGAAATGATCGAACTTGCGCTGTAGTTGCTGAGTTGATGAGCCATGCAGCCAGATGAAGGCATCTTTAGCGTTGTAGAAGATTCCCGCTTGCCGACCAATCTCATCCATCTTGACTTCGTAATTCTCTTGGTCAATGCAGGCGATGTCGATCCAAATGAAGGGTTTACCATGACTGACTACCCGTAAAGTCGTCTCCAGATCCTCGACAGTGAAGCGTAATGGGTCGATGGGCTGGATGTCCCAACCGATGTTCTTGACTTGGAGAGTGGGACCGTCACTTATTTTGTAACGGCCCCACGTGTATGACAGAATATTATAGTCGGGCTTTTGGACGCCCAGGTACGTGTGCTCGCCCTCGCGTTCGACAGAAGTCATGCTGGGTACGTGGAGCAGTCGCCGCGGCCATAGCTTTTCATCTTGGCCTTCGAAGAACAGCGCAGTTGTGAAGATTTGTGGAGTCTCCATGGGTTTCGTGCTTGATATAACAGCGCAACAAGCGATTTGCAGGCAGATCGGAGCACAGGCTAGTGTTGGCCGAGAAATGAACGAGAATGATTGTGTTGGAGAAAGCAGTGGTAGGCTAATAATTTAAGCAAAAATGAAAAGATGAGGTATCCTGTCGACGAGATTATGAATGTTGAACAGCGTTAGGCTGACATCTGCGCCGCTTTAGCGTCACACGTCTCTTCATGTGTGCGAAGGTTGAGACGCTCACACGAGTGAAAAATGGGATATGTAGACGAGTATACCCAGGTGGGTCTAGCGTCGTTGCTGCCACTCTCATCCAACCAACTCACGTTACGGCGAGCAGACTCTGCGCTCCCGGCCGTCCGCTCAGCCCTTTGCTCTTCCTCTCTTACTTCTCAGAGTCAGTTGTCCGCGCGATGCCTTTGAAAGTTTCAAGCAGCTGGGCAGATGGCGCAGTCACTGAGCCTCCTGCACGGCCTTTTGCGCAAGCCCTGGAGAACCCCTGCACGACCTCGGCATCTTCCCGAGGTCGCTCGACCGCCTTCAATTTCAGTCAGCAATCGCCTCTGCGCTTGATGCAGCTCCGATCGCCATGTTCGCTCTCATCGCATGCGCCGCATCCTTTGAATTCTCTAGATATTAGGGAGGAGGATCAATTAGCCCGATGAGGTTGCGCACCCTTCTCAGCGATGTTCGCGTTACACAGAACCTGCATTTCCTGCTCGGCAATTACAAGTACGACCCGTTACCTTCGCCTGCCTGCATTCGACTTCTGGAGATTATCCCTTCTGCGGACAAGAGGATCGTGCAATGCTTTCTAAAGCCATTTGAGCTAGACACCGCGCCGTCTTTTCAAGCCTTGAGCTACACATGGGGGAGTCCGGCGTTGCCCATCTCGAGGGCGACGTCAGCGTCGTCGAGGACTCGTCGGCTTCAGGCCTCATCCACGCTTCCGTCTTTCAGTAATTCGGACGACATTGGATTGCAGCATTTCCAGCAAGAACCCGAGTACAACGGAAGAACGCGGCGACACTCCATCATTTGCAATGGCCGAGTCATGCAGGTGACAGCCAACCTTAAGGATGCACTCCAGATGCTCGCAAACCCCGTGGCCCCGCGGAAGTCAGTCATACCCCCACGGTATTACTGGGTCGATGCTCTCTGTGTAAACCAGGAGAATATTCTCGAAAGAAATGACCAAGTTGCGAGAATGGCTGAGATTTTCAAGAGAGCCCGGAGCGTGGTAGTTTGGTTAGGTAAAGAGGATGAATACACAGCCGATGCTCTCACCACAGTCGAAAGGATCTCTGAAATTGCTGAGGAAGAGTGGCCTTTGATCCCGTACACCTCCTTCTACGAGCCGGCTCGAGCGCCGCACTACGATCGTCTTAACCTAACCTACCACAATTGGCTCGGATTCATCGCTCTCATCAATCGGCCGTGGTTCAAAAGGGCATGGGCAAGTCATCCACTGTCTGTTTGGGTCTCTAAACTAATCATGTCTAGGTGGTGCAAGAGATTGCGCTATCCAAATCCGCCTTTATCGTTTGTGGATCTCGAGCCGTTGAGTGGGAAAAGCTTTCTAAGACACTTTCCTTCATAAAAAGCACCAAATTTTACCATCACCTTCACACAGAGAAGCTGAAGCATATCAAAGCACTCCGAAGGAACCCCGGCATCTACAAGCGTCTCTTGCGTTCAAAGCTGCATGTCGGCGTAGGACCACTATACCTCGATGCGACACGGTTGAAAATCTCTACAATCGACCAGTCCGGTACCCAGGAACGCAATCAGATGCCGCCGCTCCGGATGCTGCTGGACACACATCGCTTCTCCAAATCAAGCGATCCACGCGATAAGATATATGCCTTCCTCGGTCTCGCAGATCGCCGAATGGCGCCGTTTCGGAGTCAGCCAAATGCCCTAACACCAAACTATAACCTGAGCGTCCAAGAAGTGTACACTGACGCTGCACGCGTCCTCTTGACGTCTTACAGAAACCTGTCTCTGCTTTCGCACGTCGAAGACCCGTCTAGTAGGAGGGTTCCGAATCTGCCGTCGTGGGTGCCTGATTACAGTATAGACCTTGACCCTTACCCGCTACGTTACCGTGGCCCGAGCTTCTGGAAGGCTTCTGGGAATCTTGTTTGGGAGCCGAATGTTTTTGGCCTTGGCAATGGCGAGCTCGATGTACAAGGCTACCGCCTGGACGTCATTGATCACACCTCGGTCCTGGTCGGCGAGTCAGAGGACCCTTCGGCATCTTGGGCGAGCATAGTCAAGCTTGCCCTGTCCCTAGAGCTGCCGTATCCGAACCCAAGTAATAGTAGAAAGAATCCTGGCCGGGTTGAAGTTCTCTGGAGAACACTGACCACGGACATCTACAATAAGCAATACCCGGCTCCATTACATACGGGCTCCCTATTCATCGACTATATCCTAAACCTTCAAATCCGGTATCGCCTTACACCTTGGTCTAGCACGGACGAGTTCCAACCACATCACTCACCGCTGTCTGAATCTATCTACCCAGAATGGCGCACACTCTTGCAGCTGGAACCTCCGGAATCGCCATATTGCCTGGAGAACTACAGAGAACGCTTGACCACCATGGTCGAAAGCATGTTCAACGGAACATACTCCGCAATCGGCCTGGCTCAGCTACAGCACGAGTTTGACCAGAGTGGGGGAAAGAGACGGCGACTCTTCAAGACGCGAGGAGGGTATCTTGGTACGGGGGCCCGATCTCTCAGAGAGGGTGACGAGGTGTGGATTCTTCACGGCGCTGGAGTTCCATTCGTGCTCCGCCCACAAGAGAATGGTAATTATCGACTCCTCGGAGAGGCCTTTGTGTACGGTGTCATGCATGGGGAGATGCAGGGCCTTGCACTCCCTCGCCGCCACATCACGATCGAATGAATAAGTGCGGGAATTTCTTTCAACAGCGAACACGGCGGTTTAGGTGAGTAATCATCCGTTAAGGGGAAATCGTCAGCATCGCCGCCTGCCTTAGGCCCTCATACGTTGAAGGCTCTTGGCAAGGGCTTTCACATATGCCATGGTATGCACACCGGCATACATCTGTCTTTCTTTGAAAGTATCCCTCTTTTAACTATTTCTACAGGCGCGTTTAAGTACCTAGCTTCTGCGATGCCCGCCGTACATACAAATAGCTTCGGTTCCCTTGAATCAGCTCTTCGGATGGACGTTAACCAAGTTTACAGGCCGAACCACGCCTCTGAAGCATCCAAATGCGAGGGTACCGAGTGCCCAACGCCCACCGCCCAAATACCCTCTACATTCGGCCCGAAGTCATCCATACGGTAGTTACGCTCAGGAGTGTCCGGCTTAGTAGAAGTAGGAGTCATACTGACGCCGAAGACGTTGGTCCACTGCTTGATAGTCTCGTTGTAGTTGTTGGGAGAAAGGGTGCCGTCTACCGAACCGTGCCAGATCTGCATCCGAGGGCGGGTACCATTGTAGCTTGGGTACATCCCTCGCACGACGTCGCCCCAATGCTGCGCGGTCGAGATGCTTTGTCCGCCTGAACAAGTGTTGTTCCAGGCCGCAGACTGGCCCGATGACGAGACGAAGCAGCCAGCAGGCACGCCTGAGTAAAGGGAAACGGCGGTGATCAAATCGGGATATGTTGCGGCCAAGACGTTTGACATCATGGCTATTTCTCGTGAGTAACAGCAAACTCTCAGAAGTACGTATTAACTCACCTCCAGAGGATCCTCCCGTAATATACACCTTCTTCGGGTCGATATTGTACGTCGTAATCGCATACTTTATCATGTTCGCAATCGCATTACTATCCCCTCCTCCATTATGTGTGAGTGACGCCTTGCTCGAAACGTCCCAGCACTGTGACGTGGAGCTCGGCCATACAGTCACGTAACCCTTCCGGTCAGAACCTTGGTGCCATGGAATCTTAGAGTTCTGGAAGTACGACTGCGCGGACGATTGGCAGGAGTGGATGGCAACTACTAGAGCGTCGCTTTTGACCGAATCGGGCACATACACCCACCTAGTATGTTGTCAGTTGTGTGGAGGGATGGTGGTGGACGGGGTACGTACATTCCCGGCTTCGCTTGCGCATTATTGTTGTAGTTCGAGATCTGCTTAAGCTGCGCTGCTAATACAGCCGGGCCGAACGTCAAGGCGGTAACAAGAGTCGGAATGTGCATCTTTGCGGGGTATTAAAAGCCTTCGACAACCACAGTTGTCTCTTCTTCTCCCATCGGATGGAACATTGGACTCTCATATTTATTCTCCGCCCTATATCCGACCTACGTGCGGGACTCTTTTCATTCGTGGAATTTCACCACATCATCTGTTCCACAAAGCTCTTCAAAAAGCTGGACTCCAGATATGGAGTGATGAGCAATTACTTTCTTACAGTGAAGATGGGCTCTTAGGCTAAAGGCGCAGGGGTGAGCACTCAAGCTTTCTACCAAGCATTTTCCCCATATCAGCCGGATATCAAAGCTACCCTAGTCTCCCCACGTCGATCGCCCAGATATGCATCAGTACCGAACCCGCCACCGAACACTGACTTTCCATTGGCTCGTCGATGTTTTATATTGAGCATGCTTTTCTTTGGGCGATGGGGTGCTGTCTACGGTGACCCTGGGCGTCACGCGCTCGGTATTGAAATGAAGTGGAGACCGTCCCTGGATAGACAGCAATTAACTCCCGGGTCAAGAGCCAGTACTTTCATTCGAGAATATTCGCGCCAAAGGTGGCACTCATATAATGAGTGGAGTGCTTGGCCTGCGGAGGCGATTGAGTGCCCAGAGCTGTGGCGGGGGACCCTCAGAGCAGTCTTGTCCTTTCTGGCCATCTTTTCTTCTAATTACACTACTTGAAAAAGGTGGGTCTCTTTTCCTAAGAAAGAACTAGCTTCCACGCAGGCTACGCAAGTCCGCCTTAGCCTAGAAGAGCTTGAGCGCCCTTAGCTCGCAACTACTTTACGCATGGAGGACCTTCTTCGCACTTGGCTTCTGCCTTGCGTTCTTCTTGTTCTCTCGTTGGCACTGACGGTTGTTCTGCGTAGGACGACGCACCTACAATAATGTGGCGCATTCTCACCTCCATCTTAGGGTTTCTCGTCCATCGGGCTTCCGCTCATGGAGGCGCGCTGAACTATACGGTCGGCGATGCTTCGTGTCCTCCAGGTCCTGCGATGGGCGAGAGCCCGGACGGATGCGCAACGTGGTATCCTGGGTACATCCTTCCATCATCGTTTCCCTCACCCGTAAAGGTCTAACGATATCTGCAGCTACTCCCCTTTCGACGACCAAACTTTTCAAGACGAAGCGCCGTGGATGGTACAGCGCAAATGGATAACCAATAACCCGATCGTCGAAACGAATAACATCTCCCTCTCTTGCAACGACCCCGGAAACCCCGCACGCACGTACATACCCATCCGGGCCGGCCAAAACATCACGGCCGTCTACATGGCCTGGGTGCATACGGTTGGCCCTATGATTGCGTGGATGGCCCACTGCACCAATGACGACTGCGGTGCCTTTGACTCATCCACCGCCTCCTGGTTCAAAATCGGCCAGCGCGGGCTGCAAAGCGGTACTATTGAGACGGGCGACTGGTTCCAGAAGACGTTTAGTAATTGGGATGGGAATCCGAGTCTTTGGAGCGAGACGGTGCCGCGGAACTTGAAGCCGGGGAAGTACCTAGTCAGGCATGAGATTATTAGCTTGCATAGTGCGAATAAGCCGCAGTTTTATCCGGAGTGTGCGCATGTGGAGGTTAGTGGGGAGGGGGTTGGAGAGCCGGGACAAGAGTATCTGGTGAGGATTCCAGGGGTTTGGAATATGGATAGTAAGTGTGATCGCAGGGGTGATAGGAGGGGAAGACATACTGATTTTGTTCTGCAGTGCCTGAGATCAATATTGATGTTTATGCGCCGGGGATTTCGAATAGCACGGTGAGTTGAAAGGCAGTGGAGACATAAGGCAGAGCGCTGATGACAGAGTGCAGGTTTATAATATCCCGGGACCGCCCGTGTGGACGGGGTAGCGCGAATTGCACTCCCTCCATCACCTCAATATCATCTCCCACTTTCCCCCGATAGCCAATGCGTTTTCATGTCCCTCATGCGTAAACAAGTGCTTCGATTCCGCCTTCGCATACTCATGCGTCCACAGCGCCAAACACTCATATACCAGCAATCTGCTCCCCTAACAAGCCTCACGGTCCTTGCACTCTTTGAGATATGATCGTGTCAAAATCTTCATACTCGGATCCAACTGCCGCCACGTATTAGAGAAGGGCGCATTGAGACGTCTCGCGTGCAGCAATCGCAAGGAAAGTGCTGACGAGCAATGATGTCAGCGACTCAAACGAGGAGACGAGAGCCTGATGGCAGACGCAATGTTTTCATTTACACCATTGCAGAATACACACACATCTAGAGTCGAGTTCACGCTTAATGCAAAGACCATTCGTATCCGACTAAGTCTTAAGGTCGGATAGGGTAGACTCAAGCGACGACCTTCCCTCGCACGACTCTTTCTCTCCTGTAGCTAGCTCCTTATTGGCCCCGCATATCTCCCATATTACACTATCCTCTCTCCGTTCGTATATTTGTTCCGGCATGGGCATGTGCTCCAAACCATCCCTCACAAGAGTCTCAATGTCCTGACCTAAAGTATCTTCAAGATATTTCTCCGGGAGGCACCCGATTTGACGACTTGTCAAATTAAGTAGACGGAGAGCATCTTCATTATGGTTTGAAGAGAGCCGGACGGATTCGAGGCCAAACACCGCGAGATCGTGAGGGCTGGGCAGAGGTTTAAGTTCATCCCAGTTAGCGAGAAGGCTCAGAAACCGATGCAGCTTCAATGGAAGACCCAACAGCCTGGGAAATACCTCCTCCAGTTTCGCCGCCAGAATCTGGAACGCGCGTCCGTGGCCGCTCGCATTCAGATCGTACTTCCAAGTAAAGCAAAACCGACACGAGTAGTAGTTCAGAAAGGCATGGACTGCCTCATGCATTAGGGTACCGATGAACTCCAGTGCAACGTAGTCGCCAAAGTCCTTAGCGGTTTCCTGAGGGTTTACTTCGATCGTCGGTCTCCCATTTCGACTGCCAGCTTGCCCCAAATCCACGAGAGATGGATTCCAACGGAACTGACCATCTGCTAGGTCACCTCCAAAGAAGAGCTCGTTGAAGCATTTCCATAGCCGCCGCATTTCCACTCCAGAGAGCAGTTTTTCTCCGTCTTTGTGTTCTGATATCCGCAGCATATCCTCCCGGCGACCCCTGCACCAACCGAGGAACCAATCACGAGCAGCGAGCTGCTCGTCATTCAGGTATTCCCACGGCCGATCAAAGTACGTGATAATATTTCTAGTCAGATGCATGATCTCGCACCTGAAAGGGCGAGCGCCGGGCGAGAACAGTTTCGGTGGCTTGTAGACCGTGAAGCCATACCTGTTTACCGTGAGGTTTTTATGCAGAGAGATCTTTAGGTGGCGCCCCATGGTGCAGTTTATCGACGTGTACCGCTCGGGCTTGCAGATGTCGCAGCTGCAATCTATCGCTCGGGCACGAACTAGCGCTTCGAATTCTTTGATGCTTCGCGGAAGAGGAGGGTGTGTGCCCTCCCCACGGCTCTTGTTAATCTTACCTTTGAGGGATCTCAGCATGGCGTCTCAGAAGCTCGAGAAGTACTGTTTTAGAGAACGAATACCGTGCTATGTGGGGGATGATATTGTCGATTTTGGTGGTGATCGTTCGCGAATGGGTTTTAGTGCGACGCCATTGCATTGCGCTTGCAAGCAACGATCAAACGCACGCTTCACGGTCGCGCACACATTCCCCTTCCACGATGCAACCACGGATTGGCGGTAGAAACATGAAGCACGCACATATTCAATTTTAAGACGTTAAATGTTCACCGTCCCTAAATGCTTACTAATCTAGCCTCTATCGACGCAATCAGTTGCCCGCCACGCCCGTGTTATTGAGCGTCAGCCGCGAAGGAATCTTTTATAGTTCACGTTGCGAGCTTCGGAGTCACACGGAAGCGGTTTGCGATGAACCATACGCTCATGCAGCCCTTTGGTTGCTAGTTGCGAGACTACCCGCGGCTTCGCAGTATCTAGAGTGCCATTGTAAACGGAGCCAAAAGGTATAAACAGACTATATCCACGTTTCATGTCTCTGCAAGGCTTGGTTTCAGTCGAGTTCCTTTTTTCCCGGGCCTTTCTTTGTCTCACGTCAAAGAGAGGTCTCACGTCAAAGAGAGGTCTCACGTCAAAGAGAGGTCTTACTACCATATTTCTCGACACAACACTAACGTCCCTCTCCAGGAAGCTCTGTGTACAATGGGGAAGCCTTTCTTCACCAGCATAACGGCAAGTACCGCTCCATTCGGCATTGTCCAACCCACCGTACACCGTACATTGTACCCGCGCATCGCACCCCAACATCCGACTATAAGAATGCCTCGACCTCGCACCCATCTCCACATCATCCAAACACAACACAAATCCACCAAGCCAGCAAAACACCCAGAACCAAAACCAAAACCCAGTCTCATATCAAAGAAATCACAATGGCCCGCGATAACCTCGACTCTTTCTTCGGCGCGCATGGCAGGACCGATGCTTCCCGTAGCAATAGCAGCAGCCGCAGCCGCACTGAAGGGACCAGCTCTTCCTACCGCAGCAGCTCGCACCAGGATTCTCGCTCTGGAGCCTCCCGCGGCGGCGGCTCGCACCAGACTTCTCAGGCCGGTACGTCGGCGAATGGCTACCGCGTGCGCATCGCGACACCCGATGAGAATCTCGCTCGCGACCTTCGCGACATGTCTGATGCTGATTTGGACCGTGAGATGCAGCGCCTGCGTGGTGGTTCTTCGTCCTCGCGTTCTCAGGCTTCGGGATACCATGGTGGTAGTCGTTCGTCGGAGATGACGGCGCGTTATGAGGGTAGCTCTCGCGATGATGGCAGTTCTCGTAGCTTTAGTGGCTTGGCTGATGAGTGGGAGCGTCAGCGACAGGGCGGTGGCTCGTAATACAGCGGTTCGCGTCGCTGAACGTGAAAAAGATGGGTTTAAGCTGGTGTCTATACTAAGCACTGGTTGCTTGATGGATCTAGCAGAGCAGAATTAGAGGGATCAAGTAAGTGAGACGAGGTCTAGATCTTGGAGGTATAAAATAGAAGATTTGAGCATAGTAAAATTGCACCTGCGCCGAACGTCAGTTGTGGTGAGATTTCCCGTGTGCGTAATATCGAAGTAAACGTGCAGTCAGATTCGTCCCAATCCGTGACCCATTCTACTCTTCCAGTGACGATATGACGGCATGCTCGCCCTATTTCTCAACCGCGAAACATGCACCTGCAGCTTGCGCTTGATTCTCCTCACAATAACCGTCCTCACTTCCCCTGTCAAAGACTCCCAAGCCGGAAATGGGAGCGGCATCTTCTCTTCTCTGGCCGGAAGAGCATAAGCCTCTAGATCGCAGCGACTGGACAAGATCTCGTGTAATGTTATATAAGAGGAGCTTCAATAAAACAATAAAAGAAGAGTAATAGTGCCAGGCATGTACAGATCTTCGACAATCGATGTCTGAAATAGTATAACGCGCTAGTGTCCAAACTAGCCAGTAAAGGCATAGCGCCGCACACGTACAGCGTACCGCTCAGAACACGATCTCGCATCAGGCTACGCAGACCCTACCCAGGTATCCAACCATCGCAATCAACATCATGCATCTATATCTTCTCGTGCCGACCGACTCTCGCACACCCCACTCCCTCGAAGTGAACGGGCGACACTGGTCCCTCCAATCCGTCAATCCAGACAGCAGCCCCTTCAACTCCTCATTTCCGGTCTCAGACCGCACCATCCCCGCTCTGCAGACCTTCATTCGGCACCGACCCTCCTGCGAACACATCTGGATAGATGCGTTTTGTGTCCCGCTCGCGGAGCCCAAGCGGGCCCAAACCCTCGAGAGCATGGGGTATATCTACGCGCGCGCCAAAGAGGTCCTGGTCGTTCTGTCTGAAGCAGCGCGGCCAGCGCTCGAGAGAATGCAGGGAGGAGGCGGGATCGGGATCGAGGAGCTCGCGGTGCTAGAGCGCGAGGAGTGGGTCGAGCGCGCGTGGACGTACCAAGAGGCTGTGAACAGCAACGTGCTAGTACTGACCTGCGAAGGCGAAGGTTCTGCCATCATCCGCGCGGCGCAATTCTTCGAGTGTATGTCAACCGCACTGCAAGAGTGCAAGGGCTCTGTGTCCGAGAAACTGTGCACCTATCCTCGGCTCAACGCTTTCGAGGATATTATGCTGGATTTCTGGATGGCTGGCTACGAGGAGCGCGCCGCGCTGAATGTTATGTCGAACATGGATCGGCGGGTGCAAGCACGCAAGGAAGATCACTTTTATGCGATGATTGGAGCTATTAGCTCAGAGCGGGCGAGTGCGCTTGGGAAGGTGGAGCCTTGCGAGGCGTTTATAAGGGTTTGTGAAGAGAAAGGGGACTTTTCGTTTATTTATTCGGCTGCGAGGCGGGAAGAGGTGCCTGGGAGGAGGTGGCGGCCTGTGATTGGAGATCTGCCTTCTATTCTGCCCTGGCATGGGAAGGGCACTGGACAGCCGGGACGTCTATGTGAGGAGGGATTGTGGCTTGATAGTATGCTTGTAGTTCAACCGGCCCCACCGCAGGAGGAGGCAAGAATATTTGTGGAGGAATGGTTGACGCTTGTGTGGAAGGACGAGTCCCATGGACATCAGGATCTCGAAGAGGCTGCATATGCTACGCTCCAGATTATGGGCTTCACCGGAAGCCAACGATGGGTGAGTGGCGCGAAGGGATACTTCTTCCCGTTCGAACCTGTGAGAAGTGAGCAAGTGATCCAAATCTTGGTAAGCACGGCAGTCGTGTGGAGAATGGGGGTCCAGGCTTAGTGTCGTATGATCGCGGCGATGGGAAGGGCCTTCTGTATACACCGGGCGTTTACATTGGGGCTGTCAAAGAGAAAGAAGGTGTGTCAGTTCTAGTAGGATGACAAAACTGAGTTTGGTTCAACATTCACCTACCGTTAGCAGGGACACAGTGCGTTTGAGCTATGATGTGTTAGCGGTGGACTCAGGGTTGCGTGTCTCTATCGTAACGTATAGACAGCGGATGAGAACCCGGCGTAGATTTAATACTTGATTTTGAAAATCTCCCTCAGTCAAACCGTTGACAGCCAAAAGTCCATTCAAACCAGTATGGCCTTCGAAGAGGTGAACTCTTGCGTCATGCAAGCAAGCCCTATCCCTCCGACGGCGGACCTCGCAACGGTTCTCGGATGATTGCATTCCAAGAAGAAGACAAGGCGATCCTCAACAAGTCCGTTATGTCTGAAGCGTTCAACGAATGGTGCAGCTATGACGACTGCTCCCCGAAAATGTACTCCAACTGGCCCTGGTCATGCATCCTCCAGCACAAGCCCTTATCCATATCTTCAATGATATCTTCTTCCTTGGCATTGCTCCGCCTATCGAGTTCGAGTGGAATGTAGATGCGCTGGATACAGCCCATCTTTACGGCGCCGGCGTTTCCGGAATCGTTCCTTATCGTATACTCAGCACCCGATAAACCACGCCGCGCCGCCGAGACCATCTGCGGCAGCAGAACGATTTGGTGCCTTCTTGCACGAGCTTATTCGTGCCTTCTTTGATGAAATGGTCTGTGAGCGCTGTGCGACGTATTATACCAACGTGAATGGGACTGGGCATGGCCGCCTGGCATCTCATCGCCAAAGCGATTGAAGAGATTGCTCCTACTGCTCTTCTATGGATTTAGACATGCAGAGGCTGACCGTGCTTCTGCAAGACCGGAATACCGAGGTCGAGGATCCGAGTATATGTGACTTGGAAGTGATTGGTTTCTAAAGCCTGTGGAACGTTGTAGCTGAAATGGCATGTTTAGGGCCTCTTCTGCCCCTTCGTCTCCCTCGCCCCCTCCTCATACATATCCACCAAACTCGGCATCCTATTCTCCACATAGTGGCTCATCATCTTCAACACCTTATTGGGCGTCCTATGCGCGTGCGGCGGCCTCTTCGACACATCGCTCAGCCCGATGTGCGGCACCTTCTTTGCTAGGTCCTCCTGCGCCATGCTCTTCATAGGTGTAAACTGCTTCCAGTACGGCTGGCGTTCGACAAAGTCCTGGTGGACGACCCGCGAGCGGTCCACCGTGACCTGAAACCACTTTGAGATTGTGTCTTTGGGGGCGGAGGGCTCTTGGAAGGGCATCGGGGGCGCCGACGACGAGAAGGGAGATCGAGGGTTGCCTTCTGAGTCTGGTGAGGATGTGCGCGTTGTGAGATCGGTGTGGGACAGTGTGCGGTTGACTAATTGGCTGGGGCGGAGAATCTCTTCGATGCCGTCTTTAGTCGGTGTTTGCGGTATTATCTGATCCTCATCTTCTATTTCCAGTTCGCTGTATTGTGTATTTTCGTCATTTGGGGCGACCTTCTCGAGCGCGAATCGTATGGGCGACGCATTGAGCGCTTGCTGGGCGGAGTCGGCGTCCCGATAGATGGCCAGGGCAATGTTGTCCGCAGGATTGTGGTACTCGTACTGCGCAAAAAGCAAAACAATCAGCATTGTAATCCTTACTCAGACTCAGACGCCAATTGCATCGGGGTTGGGGTCGTGGCTGCGTCGGTCTCGTCGATCAAGGGGCACAAACCCGAAGGTGCTTGTAGACGCTGATCTCGCCGAAGCGCTGTAGCACGCGGAGGATCTCGCGGCTTTCTGAGAGGTTGGCCGGGCGCGGGACGATGCGCAAATGGACCGATCGCTGTGCGAGGAGATGGGAAGACGCGCGGCGGACCGACATGTTGACGTGTCACGGTGAGGGTGAGGGTGATGAGGTTGGAGCGTCCCAGCAATTCAGAAATTGCCCGCTGCTGGTGTCAAAAAGTCCCGACAGCCAGGGTCTCGGAGCGCAGTCACGTGGGGGAACACGTCGCAATTTCGACGAGGCGCAGACGGGATCGCGTCACCCGATAAGGGCCAAAATGAGATGAATGGCATAGAAGGCAATCGTATTGATGGCGACTGCGCTATGGATGATGGCTGCGACAGCGCTGAAGCTTATCGCACCCGACAATGCCAGGCTCAACCGCTGCGGGAGCTCTTCTAGAACAAAACGGACACGATACCCTCCCAGCCGAACCAATGCATCCGAATTCCAATGTGGCGAACCCAGTGTCCCAATTTTGTCGCCGCTGGCTGCGGCTTCCTCGATAAAAAAGCAGTGGTATAATGCGCTCCGAATCGACAACCAGCCCAAACGCCCTCGCAATGCTATTAAGATAAGAATAGGTAGATATAGTAGTCGTGATTACTTCGGGACTCTCCTCGGCACTGTCGACCTCTTTCGCATCCGCACGCCCTTGGACACTCTGGCGCAGCCGTTGTTGTTGGGCTTTTCGCCCGCTCGCCAGAACGGGAGCTCGAAGCGCAGCGCGTCTTTCGGATCCGAGGGCGTGTATTCCATGTCGACGCCCTCGTCCTCGTCTGATAGCGGTGGGGAGGGCGGAGTTGATGACTTTGGTTCGCAGATGCGGCACTGATCCCGCTCCTCGATCATCCGCACCAGCAGCGATATGTCTTTGATGCGCGACGAGGTGCACTGCATCTTGGTGTTGGCTTGCCGCTGCATTCGAAGGGTTGCGGAGGCGAGGCGTTGCGAGGCCAGCTGCTGGGGTCGGTCCAGCAGCTCGGCGGGAAAAGCAAGTTCGTCGCTTGGCGGCGTGAGCGGTTCGCAGGCAAAACGGCACGACGGGTCGACCTGGACACGCAGGCTCTGCTGGGTGAGTGCGTGTGCGAGGTCGCCGACAGAGCAGGGCGGCGGCGTTGGCAGTCGTGCTGGAGGCGGCGCGGGTGCGATTGACGTAGGGCAGACGCTCACGGCCGCGGGCTCGGCGGTGCGAGCAGACTCGAAGGAAAAGTCGCGGAAGATGGAGGCCATGGCGGCTGCGGGCAGCTGGGTGCGCGGCGGAAGCTGTGTGGGACGGTCGTCAAGGGCCGCACGGCGATATACAGTACAATGGATGCGGTCTGCTGGGGCGGCACGCAAGCAGGCCGGGCAGCAGTGTGGGCACTCGGAGGGTAATAAGAACGGGCAGCGCACAAGCCGTCGTTTAGCGGGCTCCAGCCAAGGCAGCGGGACCGGCTCAGCGCCCAGTGTGGCAAGGCGCTGCAGGCAAAAACGGGCCTCGCGCCAGCGCCGCGGCCATTCACCGCCGACCCTGCTCCTCGGTGGCGGCTTTGGCGCACGGCGACGGCCTGCAGTTGGGACGCCATCGAGCTGCGCGACCCGGCCACGACTCGGCTCAAACGCTGGCTGTTGCAGCCGCTCGCCCTCTCGCCGGCGCCCAACAGCCAGCGCCCGCACTGAGCGGCCGGCGAGTGCTCGAGGCCAGGTGCTCGCCCGCCCGCCGCCATGGCATGTCGCACGCCGCACGCGCACCCGCCTTCTGCCGGCCAGCGTGGGACCATCGCCAGCCCACCCGGCAAATGTGCAGGCTGAAGAGCAGCTGGTAACGAGCCCATGCCTGCCGCCGAGCCGCTAGAAGCCAGCTAGAAGACCCGAAGAACACCTCCCGCCGTCATGCCTGCCGCCCTCACCACCACTCACCCTCCCTTTGGCCTCCGTTGTCGCGCGTGCCCTCGCCCGCTCCACAGCTCACCTTCTGCATTCTGCTGCGATCGGCGCACGCCCTGGAGCCTCTGCGGGTCATTGCTAGCTGATTTTCACCAGCGGCCCCTCACATGCCCAGCCGTCAAGGGAGGGCCTACTCCCTCAATCTCTGCGCATAAAGAGGCTGCCGGCTTCTGGATCGTCGGTCCTGCCGGGCAACTTCAGCCGTGAGCTTCTGGTGGTGCCACGCCAGACCGGAGCGCATCCACTCTGCGAACGGGGCTGATCCGCAGTGGTGGGAATACCCAGCCTTATGCCCGAGACTGCATGAGACGCCAGCCAATAACCGCTGCTAAGTCCTGCCCTCCTCTCTGCTATCATATGTGGCGTCTTACTGCTGCCTTCCCCTTTGCTTCACCCTAATCCAATGCTCTGGATCGCGGCGCATTTGCTTCTTTCTTCGAACTATCCAAGAAGGGGCTGCAATACTCCGCCGTCGAATAAGACCTCTCATTCCACTCTTCCCTCTCTGCCCTAGCCGCCCCCAAGCTGACCCCGGCCTCGTCGAAGCCGGAGCCTAGTCCGGCGTGGCTAGCTCCCGCATGAACGCCACAGTCGTCCGTCCTACAAGCTGAAGGGTGATTGGAAGCCCCTACTACAACTACCGGAGTGTCTACCACCTACCGCTGAACGGGGCCTGGGCGAAACGGAGATCTTCGTACGACCATGGCGCTCTGTCTGGCCTGTCAGAATGTCAACATTCCCAACCTGATCCGCGAACTACCGGTAGGCCATGTCCCAGATTGGTGGGCGCAGCTGGGCAGCCAGTCAAAACCGCGAGGCATGGTGCACCTCCATGATGCCAGACAGCTGCCGGTATCAGCTGCGGAGGGGTGTCCCTTGTGTGGGATGATCATCGATGCCATTCTGCAATACAACAACCCATCTTCACCGCCAGACGTAACCGTTCCTCTACCGAGTCACAGCAAGCGAGATATGGCTCAGTTCAAACATCACTGGATCAAAAGTCCAATTTACCTCCGACCAAACTACGACCCCATCAAATCGGCGTTTCCAGAGCAAGATGTGGCGCACTCATGGCACGTCAGGGGCTTCAAGGCCTTTGTTCCTGTCGATCATGGAGTCTTGACAGGTCAGATCAGACTATTTGCGCCACGGGGTAACTCTACCCTAATCTCATCCCACATGGTCTGCTGAACTGAGCACATGTTAGATAGTTCAGCTGCCGTCAGCTGCGATGTCATCGGTCGTCCAGCCCTACCATCTTCGGACTCCCCGGCAGCTTTCGATCTCATCAATCGTTGGATGAGCGCTTGTCTCGCGAGGCATCAAGCCTGTAGAGAGACGTTTTGTGGCACCATAATCGATGAGTCGACCGCTCCAATCTTGCCCACTCGAGTAATTCACATTAGTCGCCCGGATGGGGCAATATGCCCGCGTCTTATTGAAACAAATGGCAAGACTGGTTATTATGTTGCCTTAAGCCACTGCTGGGGATCTCCGGCTCATAAGCTGCCTCTTATGACTACCCAATCCACGCTCCAGAGTCACCTTGCTGGCATTTCCTGGGACGAGATACCCAAGGCCCACCAGGACGCCATCACAGCTTGCCACCGATTAGGTTTTGATTTTATATGGATAGACAGCCTCTGTATCATCCAAGATTCTCATGCGGACTGGCTCTACGAATCAGCACGCATGGGCGCCGTGTATGAAAATGCTCGCCTTACCATTGCCGCGTCTCATGCGCCTGACTCTAGCGAGCCTTGCTTCTTCACGCGTTCTCCGCCCCCGCACTCTATCGAGCTGCCTCATGTATCGCAAACTGGGCAACATGAGGGCTCGATATTCGCCAGCCTTCTGCCTACAGACTACATCTCCATCTCTCCGGAATCTGGCCCCCTCGCGACCCGTGCCTGGGCTACCCAGGAGTGGCTTCTGTCCAGACGGATCATCTTCTACACCGCCGCATGCCTTGTATGGTCGTGCAAGATGGTCAGCCAACGCGAGAGCGGGGCCTCATTCCATTCAACCGCTCGGAATCCCCGATGGAAGATCATCGTAGAAAAGTATTCAGCTCGCTTGCTTACCAAGCCCGCTGACCGTCTCATTGCCCTGGAAGGACTTCGGACTGAAATGGGTAAGAAGAGAGTCTACGACGTCTACTGCTTTGGGCTGTGGAAGAATAGTATGCCGGACCAACTGCTTTGGTACTGCATCCGGGCTGCAGAGAGAGCGGAGTGTCCTCTCGATTTACCGTCTTGGACGTGGGCAAGCGTCACTCATGGAGTTCGCTTTCTTGACATCAAGCACTCAAAAAACACGTGCCACGGGTTTCGCTTTGATGAAACCAGCAAAGTCCTTACCATATATGGCGCCGCAAGCAAGGTCGCGACCACTGCGCCCTTCGCAAAGTTATCCGAAGAGAAAGACGCCACGCCAGACGACATGCTAGCGCTGATAGGACACCCTCCTACGTCCCCGCCCTCGAATATGATACACCTTCTACTCGCCCAGGACGGGTCCATGCTTGGTTGGGTAGTCCTGGACGAAGGTCGAACAACTAGCAGCAACGTAACCTGCCTACGGCTAATGAGCAAGAAGGTACCTCTGCCAAGTCAAGATGGCGTCAAGAAGAAAGTATATTACGATTTAGTGCTCTTACTACAGGTTTTGGATGTCACAGATGATACGTTCGAGAGGGTCGGGGTAGGTGCAATGACGACTACCACGCCTTGGTTTGACGATCAGGGCGATTCGCATATCAGGATCAGATAACAAATGCAGGTTTCATTTCTTTTGTCACTGTCTTTCCTCTCCGTTACTGCCTTCAATAACCCGGTGGCATTTCTGTAGTATGTGCTTAGTCAGCAGGCCAGTGTGAATGCGACTCTACGACTCCACGCCGTGTCAAAGACATACGGATAAGGAATGTCTTAGACCGCGGGAAATTCCTCTCAGAATCTTTGTGCTTCTGTGACTCAGAATAATGCGATTGCCAGTCTTTGTTGCTCCACAAACATGCCTGTTCCGGCGGTCTCATCCAGCAATCGCCGCATGCGGCAACAGCGGACAAAGAAATCCGGGACACAAAAATCCTCTCAAATCGAGACAATTCGGTTCTTAGACTCTTTTCTGTCTCTTCAGCACCGTCTCTTCAATCTTGAGAATTGAGGGAATACCTCGTTTGCATTGGCTCGACTAGGAAGCAAGCAGCGACTAATTCTTCTTCTCGAGCCAGATCAATACTGCGCACCACCGGAACCATTTCATTTCATTCAAGCAGCAATGCCTTCCGACTGGTGGAATCCAATCACCTGGCTGCATTCAGCGAGTGAACCGGAGGAGCCGTCTCTCCCCAGTCGTCGCCGAGGCAAGCGCAGAGCCAGCGAAGACCTGCTCCGCCCGTCCAAAATCCGGCGCCAGTCTTACGTACCACAGCGCCGCTATCGAGATGAGGAGTATGAAGAAGCAGATTTCTACGAGGGATCACCCAGAGCCCAGGAGCGCAGGATGTCACGACCGGTACTTCTCGCTGGGGGCACATCCACCTATGTGCAGGAATCCGGCTCGGACTCGGACATACAGCCTGATAGACGCTTCTCCGTTTTTAATCAGCCTCGTCGAACATCGTCACTCAAGCCGAGCTCTGCGGTGACCGCCGAGCCTGCTCTCCTCAGGGAGAAGCGAATGAAGCATCTTTTGAAGAATCTGCACACCGTTGAGGAGGAGGCTCAGAAGGCGGGCATGCCTAGCATTGCCGGAAAGATTCATGGCATACATGAGCAGGTAGCACGACGTGATGAAGCAACGGTTCCTCACCCCGCTCTGATTGAGGAGTACCAGCCGACACCTGAGCCTGAAGAGCCAGAATTCATCCCGGTGTCAAAGCCTCCCTCCAGACGCGGCTCCAAGCTTAACGATGAATGGACCAATAACCCGAATGCGCGCGCGCGACGCATCGTAGAAAGATACAGGACCACCAGCGAAGCTCGTGAAAGGATCAAACAAGAGCTCGGTGAGCCGGAGTACGCCTTCCGCGACACCGAGATCCGCGATGGCCTCTGGCAGATTATGGACAAGATGGAGCGCTTCGCTACGAAGTTCTTCAGTTTCGAATCCAACGACAAAGATAGATTGACACGCAGTTTCCGCCTAATGACGCCGGAGACAATCAAGGTCATTGGGTGCGTTGCATCAGGTGGCCCAGGGGGTCAAGACGGCTGGCGCGACTTGTTCTTCGATGAGCAGCAACGTCGCGCGCTTGTATGCGCTATCATTGGCAACGTGCTCGTCGAGCAAGTCTTCCAGCACGCCTTCTTCGGCGGCACCATGGCGGACTTCGAAACACTCTCCACCTTGCAAGAACGGCTTAGGGATGAAGACGGCAAGTTCTCTACCTCCCTTCCCCCACACAACATTCTACTAACAAATCCTTAGGTTTCGCGCGTAACAGCGCCTACGCGAAACACATCCAATCCGTCGTCTTTGGGTCAAGCAGCACAGTGATCAAACCCACTACCACCCTCCGCCTCCCACCCAACTTCTCCGCCCACGTCAACATCATCGTAGCCTCCATCTTCACGCACATCGAGCCAATCCTGCGCCTCAAACAACACAATCCCTCCAACTTCGCGACCGAAATATATCCTGCGCTCTACGACCTCGTCGCCTCCGCGGGCATCCTCTCCCTGCACATGCGCGTCGACCCGCACACAGTGTACTACTTCACCCCCGTATTCAAAGAAGACAACTTCCGCGGCAAATACATGGAGAGCTTCAACCACGCGCACATGGTAGCTACGCACCCGCGTGACCGCAAGACCTGGCCTCCCCACGTCAGCGAAGACGAAAAGCGCCGCGCGCAGAACGACGACGCGCTCACCCAAATCACCATCATGGACGGCGTGACTGCGTACCGCGTTGGCGGGTGGGAGACGTCTGAGAGCGACCCGTGGCGGGTGCGGTATGCGGAGGGGAGCGAGGCGAAGGGGATTAGGAGCCGCATACTGACGCATGGGTGGGTGTGTTGTCGGTGGGGGAGGGCGAGGAGGTTTGTGGACGGCCGGCCGAAGGATGATCCGAAGGTCCATGGCGCGGCGTGGAAACATCCTGGCTTTGTTGAGTTTAGGGATGTGGAGGGCGTGGGATGGGGGGAAGAGGGGCTCGGGAGGAAGGGGAGCGGTGCGGCTCGGAGGAGCTCTGGCGGATCGAGAAGGGCGTAGAGAAGCAACATATGAGGAGGGGCGTGTGGGAAAGATTGAGATGGGATGATGGCTCGATTGATAAGTTCTCTTTTCCTCGTTGTTCTAGTTCCAAGTAACTGCAAATTTCTCTTCTCTTGTATCAAGCTACAACACTTGTTTACTCTCTTGAAAGTCTGTCGATTTAAGTTAGACCACATGATCGCTCCGACCTTCTATATCGAATGCTGAGTAAGATGAATAAAGGATAGAGCGTCAGCCGTTGGAATCGCCGGAACAGATGCACTACAATGATCCAGCTAGCTGAGGGCGTGGGGCGTCCACATCCTAGCGTACGTAGCACTCTTAGACAGACGCGGGGATGTTTGGTAGGTTCTTTTCTTTCAATTTAGGATACTTGATGAGACATACTAGGTATAAAATACAGTATAGCAAAGAGTGAAAACAGACCCATTCGACTTTTCCCCTCTACTTCGCTCGCACCCAAACGCAAAGTAGGAACTGCCTCGGTAGCTGAGCAGTTAGGCACACTCATTGTACCAACGAACACGTAGGCGGTTACGTACGTTTTCGTCCCTGTCGATTGTGCAATACCGCCTGTCGTCCGGCACGAGAAGATACACTTTATGATGGACAAACACCCTAGGTATATGTTGACGTAGAAAAAAGCAGCAGCAACAGCGCGCCCGACGGTCAACCACTGTAGGATCAACGAAAACAGAGCGTACAATCGCTGGCCTTCAACGTGTGCCCTTCTCGTTGCTACTCCATTATGTGCGTACCGGCCATCAAAGCAAGGGTATGGGGTTGGTATCCCTCGGTCCCTTGCGGTGTGTCGCTCCGGCGGACATTTCTTTGGGTTGCTTAGTCGCGTTTCGCCTTTTGGCGGGAGGCTCGAGTCCGAAGTTGGGGAGTTCAACGGAGACTATTTGTCCATACCTGTTGACCGCCCATTGTTGGTACGTGCGCTGATCTACGAAATCCAACCAGGACCCCGTGTGAGCCGATTTCCAATAGCTTCGTACGATGTGATCGAAGCGAACGCTATGCTTAGATCCACTGGCAACGAAATGGATCCAGACATTCGCAGCTTCCTGTCTCCCGAACGTAAGCCTACACATAAGCTCGTAGGGCGTGATGCGGACCTGGGCGAGGGAAATCCTATCGAATGATAGGGTGATGTTGATTTGTTTTGCGTCCCGATGGTGGGGAGATTGCTCAAGCCATCTTTCCACATCGTTCGACACTTCATAACCCTTTGTGAGCTTGGCTGACTTCCATTCGAAATAGAAATTGTAGGTGTTCCGAAGGTGGCATAGACGCTCGGCCCATGCCCTAATTTTCTGGTTGGCCCAAAAGTTGGACAGCGTCAGTGTAGGTTCATCAGTAGGACTGTCTTCGATTTCAGAGTAAGATTCCACATGATCGGCGGGTGAGCACGATTCAGCAGCCGGGTCAGACATGTCGTTTGTCTTATAAGCTTGAATGACCAAATCGACGATCCGTTTAAGAAGAGGATCGGGGAGAAGCGAGAGCTGTGCGGGCCGATGCTCGAACAAGACGTCCCCTTCTGGTTCACCTTGCTCTTGTCCTTGCGCTTCATCACAATCCTCCCCCCTCACTTTTCCTATCCCGGTCTCATCATCATCCTCCACCTTGATCTTGACCGTATTGCCAATATGCGTAGGCGTGCTGGCCGTATCCTTATCCGGGGCGACACTTTTCTGCAAGGTCCCAATAGTAGTAGTCTTGCTCTGTCCACATACTCGTCGAATCCGTGCCGGGACTCAAGAGCTCATAATCCTCGAAGTCGACAAGATAACTAGTACGTTCGTCAGCCTGTCAGCCTGTCAGCCTGAGCTTAATGATTTTGCATGTGGCCTACCATTTACGTTCGTCTTCATCCCACATGATGTTCCGCAATGCAGAGTCATGCGGGTCGATCCAACAGTCCCACACCTTGCTGTCCTCTTGTCAGTGGTATGGACGGTTTCTTTAGGCATACTTCTTACATCAAAGCCTCTTTAAACGCTGCGCGAATCTCGTCTCGCTCGGCGAGACACATCCCAGTATTCGTCAACGATCGGCTTCCCGGGAACTTTGGTCATAAGGATGAAGACCACATAGCCCCCAACCATAGCTTGTTCATCTACTCCAGGTTCCAAGACATCCTGGACCGCAGCCAGAAGGTGTGGCACGTTGCCGGTTTTCATTTTCCAAAAATGATAGAGGGCGTCCCTCTCATGCAGAGTAGCCTCATTTGGCACGTCGACCGGCTGTGGCGAAGTCCACATATTGCTGCGCAATCTCGAAAGCTCGCACTTCCTTGTCAGAGCCCTGGTCTCGGGACGTCATCGCCTTCTCTCGCCGCCGCAGCACCCGCTCAAAGTGTAGGTTGTTCTCATAGGTACCTTGGACTCTAACGTGTAATGTTAGCAAGCATGTTGACAGAGTAAAGGCATAGTATCGTACTGGTACTTCACTTTGATCACAGCCTCCTCTATACCCTCGTATTTTTTGTCTGGGTCCTCAAGGCAAATACAGGCGAACACCTGCGTGGCTTCATAGGGCGGTTGCGCTTGTTGATACTTCGTCCGCGATAGCGTCCGAGTCAGCTTCCAGTATGAGCCGTCAAGAAAGCAGACAACTGTCCCTAGGAAACCTCCATTCTCTGTCGTAGATGGATGTTCTTCAGAGAATTTGCTGCTGATGCCGGGCTTGATGAGTTCGCTGTCACCATCGGAAGCCATAGCGAAAGTGGCGCATCCGAATGCGGAGTGGAAGTCAACGTGGGCTGCCAGAATGGATGTTATGAAAGGCGCATCGAAGTTGCAAGTTGTGGAAGAAACGCGTCGCTAATTCTTGAAACACCAACATGGTGGTTCGTTGCTCTTGCGGTAGCGAATTCTTGGGAAATAAGCCTGCACCACCAAAAATCGCCCAGCCCACACAAAACACCACCCAACGTGTCTATTTTAGAGTTTTTAGCTATCTTAGATTTAAATAATTACCTTTAAAACTCTATTTACTATAGGAAAATAGCTATATAAAGGTATAATACAGGCGTTGTGGTGATGTTTTGGGTGCATGAGCCTGTGCGCTTATTTCCCGACTTCAAACTATCGCAAGAGCGTGGTTGCCTAAGCAGGCCGTGCGCGATAGCACGTGATGCACTAAGCCACTTTTAGCCTAGCTCGCTCCAAAATACGTCCACGGCCTCTCCCACTATGACAGAGACACAAAGAGCAGATGACTCCGACCCCGAACTCGAAATCGAAAGAACCGATTTGGAAGTAACACCATAGCATCCGGGCTACTCCTCCCTGTGGCCCATCATGTCGTCAATGGTATGCTCGTTTGCCCAGATAAAAACCAGGCAACTAACAGCAGCAGAGAAATGCCGTTCAACGAAGAAACCACAAGGAACGATCGCAGCCCGAGGGGCGAGCACGATTGGGTATTCTGGAGAAGCGGAAAGACTACAAGTCCCGTGCGACAGACCATAAACAAAAGAAAGCGCGACTCAAGATCCTCAAGGAAAAAGCCAAGGACCGCAACCCCGATGAGTTCTCCTTCGGCATGATGAGCAGCAAGGTCGACTCGCAAGGCCGCAAAGTCGCAGATAGGGGCAACAAGGCATTGAGCACTGATGTGGTCAAGCTGTTGAAGACGCAGGATGCGGGATACATACGCACGATGCTGCAGATGGTTAGGAAAGAGAGAGAAGAGCTAGAGCACAAGATGGTCTTAGAAGACGAAGAAGTCAGGGTGTTGCGGGATGGCGAAGGGGGCAGGAAAGCAAGGCATATCCTATATGTAGGGAACGTGGAGGAACAGAAGGAGTTTGATAAAGAAGAGTGGTTTGGCACCGGCGGCGAGTGGCCGGAGAGAGCATGGAATCGTCCACGGAGAACGAAGGATGCTATACAGCGGGATACCGACCGCGAGGAAGAGGAGGTGCGGCCGAAGAAGCTATCAAAGAAACAACATGAGGCTATACACCTGGCGGAGAAGGAAGAACGGGCGGTCCTGAAGAAGAGAGAGCGGGCTCAACAAAGGGCAGCAGCACACTTAGATGCTCTCAAGGTTCGCGAGCGCGATCTTATGGCCGCAGAGGAAGAATTGGAGAGGCAGCGAGCGAAGATAAACAACACCGTGGGCGGAACGAACAAGCATGGCGTCAAGTTCAAGATTCGGGAGAGGAAGCGATGAGCGCGCCGATTCCCAAAAAGCATGACCAAATCCATGTTGTAGGGAACATAGCTATTCTACATATCTCTACAATCTCGCCGGCATCCGCATGGCGCCGTCCAACCGTATCACGGTCCCATTGAGCATGCTATTCTCCACCGAATCTCTCACAACCCTCGCAAACTCTTCCGGCTGCCCCGCTCGCTTGGGGAACTCCATCGCGTTCATCAAGCTCAGCTTCACCTTGCTGCTCAGCATTTTTGTCATATTCGAGTCGAACAACGCCGGTGCGATCGTAACAGCGCGAATGCCGTATTTGGAGAGATCTCGCGCAAGTGGCAGCGTCAAGCTCGCCACGGCACCTTTACTGGCCGCATACGCAACTTGTCCCATCTGCCCGTCGAACGCTGCCGAGCTCGCAATCATGATTATCACACCTCGCTCGCCGTCTGGTCCCTCGTGGTTCGCGGTCGTCATATACGGCAACACTTGGCGAATAAGATCCAGTGTTCCCCGTAGGTTAATGTTGAGCACGAAGTCGATGCTCGATATCGGAATAGGCTCGTTCTTCTTGTCAATGATCAGCCCCGGTAGTCCAACGCCAGCACCAGCCACTACCCCGCCGATGTCCTTTCCTGTCTCTTTGACCCATGCTCCGGTGCCTTTTATTGCCTCTGCGATCGAATCGGTATCGGAGACGTCTACTTCGAAGAATTTCGCACGCGAGCCGAGCTCAGAGACAATTTTAGAGCCGGAATCGCTGTTGAGATCCAGGAGGGAGACATAGGCGCCATGAGCGTGTAGGTCGCGGGCCGTTGCGAGACCGAGGCCGGATGCACCGCCTGATATAACGTACGTGCGTTCTGCGATCTTCATCGTGAGGGTGAAGAGAGAGAGGGATGCGGAAGCTCGAGGATAGGCAGAAGTATCGTAGTAGATTCTCAATGACAGATCGATGGCAGATGCTGCTTCTTAATATGAGCGAGACAGTGAAGTCGAAGTAATCTGTAGCGTCAATGAGTGGGGTGTAAGATGCAAAGCCGAGCAACTTCAACATGTGCCCATACGCCCCTCCGACCTCCGACATCACCGCTCCCAATCCCCTCAACTGCTCCCTAACACTCTCAATCTCGAACCACCACCGCCCAAGCTCTACAAGCTCCGGCGCCCGCAAACCCGCAATTGCACGTCCACGCAATCCATACGACCCCTCGGAACACTCCGCCTAGATCAACGCATTTCGCAATGGCAATGGCGACCCCCACCGAACCCAGCATACCGCCCGCAACCAGCCTCCCCAGCAAAAAGCTGCCCTCGAATCCCACACCACTCTCCGCGCCGCAGGAACAGCAAGTCCGCGACCTGTACTACAAAAACGTGCGCTCGAAATGCGCTTCAGAAATCGCAGGTACGATGCCTTCCATCTCCCATAACCTTCCCCTCCACCATGTCGCGCTAACGCTTGCCCGACAGCCTTTGCAACCTGCGCAACCGGCCGAACCTTCACAATGGCGTGGGCGTGTAGACAGCAGAAACTCGCGATGAACAACTGCATGATCCAGTACCAGAACCAGGAGGAGTTTGACAAGGCGCGGGCGGAGTGGTTCCAGTTGGCGGGGGAGAGGAAGAGGCAGAGAGAAGAGATGGAGCGTAAGATAGAGGAGGGGAGACGGAAGCATAAGGAGTGGTGGGGGCTGGATGAGGAGGGGAAGTTGCAGGGGAAGAGGGTGGAGGTGCATGAGGAGGAGTTGAAGAAGAGGTAGCGAAGATAGTGGGTGATATAATATCGGGATCGAGCGAATCTAGGTTTTCCCCGGACGAGGTCACAAAGGAAGAGGGGAGAAGGGAATGAAAAGAGGAGGTTGATTTCGATTGGATTGCATTGGCATGGCGTATTTGGATGGGATGTATAGCACGAGCGTTCCGCGGGCTTTTCGCATGAGCGCGCTGTATTACTAGAGACGCTTTTTGCGACGAGCAAAAATATTGTTGTACGATATTCGAGACCTTTTGAGCATCTAGGAAGTAGACGCTTGGTATGGAAAAAGAATTCAGCTCTGGTATACCCCCAGTTAATCCTCCACCTAACGCCTTGCAATGCTATAACCTGTCAACTCCGAAAGAGTCAAAAATGCTGCTCCCCGCTGCCCGCGGTTTAAGACGAACCGACCTCATTCAACGCCTTTGCGGGTTTAGTGACGTGCAAGATGCTTTGTGGATGCTCCGTTCCAAGCCAGAGCCAGCCGGCCGTACTCCTGAGCAGCCGTCCCTGGTGATCATCCTTTCTTTGCCTTCCACTTTGCCTTTTGCATCCTCAGCCATTCGTCATATTCGCATCCCCACCGCCCATAGCTGCCTCAAACTCCTCGGCATCTACCTCCTCATCCTCCATGCCGCCCATCACCGCATCTCCACCACCAACCGGCCCACCCATGCCCACTCCCGCACTCATATCCATACTCTCATCGGCCTCGACCTCCTCTTCCCAACTCTCCTTAACATCCCATCCCACGCCCGTAAAGCAGTACCGCTCAGGCGGCAGCCGCATCCCGTACTCGCGCTCCACCCGCGGCAGCGCAATGCGGTTCCTCTCCGCCGCGACCTCGGCCATGAACTCTTTCGGCAGCGCAGGATTAAACTGCTGCGCAGCGCGCGCCCCGACCGCCGTCCGCAGCGCATTTAAACTCACTCCGTCGTCCTCTTTATTGGCCTTCTTCGAACCCGAACTCGTATGCGACGGTGGCTCGTACGCCAGCGCATCAGACAATATCCCGGACGTGTACCGGTATGCGAAGTCGAGGAGCTGGAGCGGCACACGCTCTGTGTAGGCGTGCACGCCCATGTTCGCGAGAATAAGGTGGATGAGGCGCGCATCGCGGGGCCGTTTCGTCGTTCCGCTGTCTTGTAGTGAGGTGGAGGGGAATGATGCGCTCATTGAGGCGGTTGTAGTGCCGTTGAGTTGGGTGGCTTGCTGTGAATTCTGCGTGTTGGGTACTGTGGAGGATGCGGTTGGGGGACTAGGGTTCGGTGCGCCGGTCGCGGTCGCGGGCGGGGTCGATATGCCGTTTTGCATTTCTGCGGCGGCGGCGGGTGAAGCCATGTTGCGCGGGTCTAGGAAGCGGCGTGAATGTGTGGTTGGTATGGTCTTTGTGGTTCCGGAGTGAAGTTGCGGCCGGAGCTTTGAGCTCGGGGGCCTTGGCATTCTACAGGGCTGAATGAACTTACACCAGCGAGAGCAGCGACATGTGAAAGCGATATTACCTACAGCAAAAATCCCATAGCAGCCATGAATACTTTACTTGTTGGGCTACCTCAAAGCAGGTTTGCAATGAGTGAGGGTAATAGGCTGAAAAATAACCTTTTTTTCATTGACTCGGCTCACGAACAGGGCATCTGCCAGATGCACGGCTTTTAGTCCACCCTCTAAGCTGTACCACCACCTTCACTCACTCCATCGTCCTCATCGCCCGTGGCCTCGCTAGCAATACTCTCGTGCAGACTAGGAGTCTTGTCTCCCCTTTTCCCAATGCGCTTGATCGAGCTCCAACTCAAAGCACTGCTCTTGTCCTTGGGTGTGCCAATAGACGGGCTAGCACCGGGACTATCTGTGCTCCTTGCCAACAGAGCCCCAGCATCTTCATCCATCTCATCAGGAGTGACCACCTCACTTGGCTTCTTGGAGAACAGCGAGCTCTTTGCCTTTCCGAATTGGAGGAACTGGCTCGTGCTGCTCTTTCGCGAGAGCTTCTGCATGAACGTCTCTTTGCCGAAAGCGCCAGGAGGCTGCGACTCCGACGTTGTTTGCGAGATAGATCGCTCTAGTGACTCGCGAGGAGAAGCATCTGAGATATCCGCGGTGGATATGGACCGATTGTCCCTTGAGCGTCGTGGATCCAGGGGAGAGCCGGTGTCTTTTCCAGAATCGTGAGCAGCGACTTCGGATGCGAGCAGCTTTTCCTTCTCCTTGCGAGAAGCCTTGTCAGCCTTCTCGGCCTTTGCCTTCTTTTCCTTCCCCTTTTCCTCTTTCCTCTCAGCTCTCTTGGCTTCCTTTTCCGCCGCCTTCTCTGCTGCTTTGTGAGCCTTTTCGGCCTTGTCCTCGTCAGTCTCTTTCCCGCGCGTAAAGATGCTTGTGAAAGCCGCCGCAGTTGGATTCAGCTGTTTAGGTGGCGTGGGGGGGACAGGTGGAGGGGGTATAAAAGATGCAGATGATTGCGGCCTCGTACCGATAGGTGCTTGAGTGGGAGATCGAGTGGTTGACGGGAAATCCGGAATATCGCCATGCAGTAAACCTTCGTTAAGCAGGCTTGCCGATGAGCCATGCTGCATCGAAGGTCTGCGTGAAGGCATTCTCGACCAGGACGTGGAGTTATTGTTGTTCATGCTCCAGTCCACCCCAAGCGGGCTGCTGCGCGCACCAAAAGCATCGACTGACCATCCGAACCGTGTCTGACTCTCTGTTGACGGCCTTGGTAGTACATTCGCCTCGCCGGATTGAGTGGATCCTTGACGAGGTGAGGACGGTCTATCGCCGAGTCCTAGCGCAGATGTCAGCCAAGGGTCACCTTTTGTCCCGAACATGTTAAATGCCCGCTTTCGCGTGGCGACATGTTTAGGGTTACTCGATGACTCTACAGGCTGTGTCTTCGTCCGCATGAATGCGTCATACCATGCACCTCCAGAATGGCTACCCCGCCGTCGTTGCGACCCAATAGGGTCCAAGCCATCAATGTCTTGTCTAGGTAAGGACTGGCTTTGGGATAGTTTCAGAGAGCCCAAGGGAGGGCCTTGGTCCAGAGTCTTACCGCGCTGCCTGCTCAATCCAAACAGACCGCCGAACCGGGTAGTCTGGGGGAGATTCTTGAACGAACTGGACGTTGACCGTATCGAGCGCTTGTCGCTGTCGACCACGTTCTCATTATTTGGGTAGTAAGCAAGTTGACCGGCACTGTCTCGCGGGCTTGCGAATGCACTAGGAGAGCGACTTTGTACAGACACCGGCGAACTGGGGCTCTGTATTTGATCCAGTGTACCAGGTGCTCCCAGGCCAGGTAGAACATTGCGAAGATTAGGCGAGGGGTCCGGCGGCGGTTGTGGGGGCCCTGGATCATCCTCATCTTCGGCATCTGTCAAACCTGTGTCATCCCCGAACAAGCCGGAAGGTAATAAGGCCCCAGCCGTAGGACTCATCGGTGCTCCGCCAGTCAGACTATCTATCTCTGCCTGGGAGAAGGACGAAGCCTGAGCACTCGGAGGAGGTATGGCCATGCCATTGACGGGGTTGAAATAGGGCGTGGCCGAGGCGAATGAGGGCGAAGTCGTGGTTATGCCGCCGTTGAAAGGCGCTGCTGTAGAGTGAACGAAACCACCAGGGATTGCAGACGTCAGAGGCTCGCGCATGCTGAGCGGCCGCGAGCGTTGACTGTTCCTTCTTGTGAGAACGAACTCCTGGGATATTCCGGACATGAGCTGCGGTTGGCTCATGCGGCGTTGTTGCAGATATTGCAACCTCGCTGAAGCTTCGTGGTTCGCACGTTCGGCCTCGGTGAAGAGCGCCCATGCCTGGGCATAACGCTGCTGTAAGCTCGGTAATGTAATGAGCCATCTCTTATCCTCGTCCGCCTCAGCGTTCTCAGATCCTTCCTGAGCATCTGCACCCTCCTCCCCTTCTTCGAGCTTCTTCCTCTCCTCTTCAAGAGCTTTAATCTGGGTCCCTTTTTCACGAATGACCTCCTCCAAACTCTTGTTCGTCTGTATGTCTTCTGCATACTTGTCTTTCATCTCTTTTATCCGCGTCTCGGAGGCGCTCTCATACTCGGTCCGCTCCGTCTGAATGCGCTCCGCAGCAGCACGCAACTCACCGGCCTCTCGTGCCCACCGCGCAACGTCGTCTTTCAGCTTCTTCCTTTCGGCTTCCTTCTGACGTAGCAGCCTCTCCTGCTGCGTTCTCCGTGTTTGGGCTGAGGCGTTTGCACGTTCCAGGCTTGCGACTTCTTTCCTTAGATCGCGGCTTGCGTCCTCCTTTTCTTTCAGCGCCGCCTTCTTCTCGTCCCGTTTTTCTACCAATATCGCCTTTTGAGTCTGGAATTCCTCTTCTTCATCCTGAATCTGCCGTTCCATATCATCAAGCTCCCGTCGAAGACTGTCAAGCTTTTCTGTAAGCTGCTTGATAGATTCCATGGAGGCTGCTGCCTCTTGTGCTGACTTCGCCTGCTCTATTGTCTGTGACGCTGGCGAGTTGCGCCTTCCAGTCTCCGATCGCCTTGCGCGAGATGTGCTATTGCTGTGTTCCCGAGCCATGACTGGCGCAACCAGCGGAGGGACCATGATATCCACCAGGTTCTTGTTTGGCCGAATGATGGGCGTTGGCGTGTATTCATCATCGTGTCCGCTATCTCGGCTCTCCTTAGGCGGCGCGGAGCCATAGAATTGTTCGGAGTCTGCGGTGAGGGTCTTGAGGCGGATGGGGAGGCTTGGAGCCTGGAAGCTAGCACTATTGAGTGTGACAATGCGAATCACGTAGTGGTGGTCTGGCTGGAGGTTTTCGATTGTCACGGATGTTTCCTGGGGCGATACATCGCCAACTGCATTTCGTCAGCTCTGAGGGTGTGGACGGGAAGAGCAACCCACTATCGATGCCGTTGATGCGTATGACATATTTGACGACCGACGAGCGATGGTCTGGCGGCTTCCAGTGCAGCAGGGCGCCATCCGCCTTGATACCTGCGAGCGAGACCAGCGGCGCAACCGGGACTTCGAGACCGAGGAGGTTGACAAGCTCTTCGACGGGCTTGGAGAGCACGCGGTAGGCGCGGAAGGCAACCCTACACATTGACAAAGTCAGACATGGCGCGTATATAAGATTGTGCTTGAATATATCGAGCCATACCAGAAGAGAGCGCAGAGCACGCAGGCCGTCTTCAGCCAACCGGAGGACAGGAAGACGAGGGCCTCCATGTTGTAGCGGGCGACATCGGGCGGCCAGTAGAGCGAGTGGGTGGTCTGGGGGAACATGGAGACGGGGTGCAGGCGTCACCGGCCTGGCTGTCGTCTCCAATGTCAGGTGCCTGCGGCTTGCGGCGTGGAGAGCAGGCGGGCACTTTGCGAGTTTGATGCATAATGGCCGAGTCGGGCCGAGCTGCAAGCAGTATAGCGGCCTTGGCGCTGGCTGCACGCTTGGGGCCCGCCGCCGCCGCATCTCTAGCGCTGCTCCATGAGGATTCCGAGGACCGACGGCCGTGAAACACGTCTCGCGCGCTGCTTCTGGTGGAGAGAAACACGAGGGTCAGTTGGCATTCGTCCTGCGCTACTGCAACTAGCAGGAAGACGCATCCGTGGGCGGCGGACGCTGTTGCGCCAGACGTCTGATAAGGCGCGTTCCGCAGCCATGGTTGAGCCGGTTGCATCCCAACAGTGCAAACATATCTCCAATGCGAGGCCTCGCGCGCTGCATGTGCGAATTCTGTTTCCTCACAAGTTTTGAATCCTGCCCGCCTGCTTCACACATGGCGCCTTGCTCCGGCTCAAGCTTCATGTGAATCCCATGACCATGACATAGCTGGTCCGTGATCCCTCGCTGTCGGTGACCGCATACCTTGGTCGCAGGCACGCACGTCTCAAAGGGCGTCGCGCCTCCCTCCCAATTCCTCCCCGCAAAATCTGCACCGTTATTCAAGCTTCAGCGGCGCAAACTTCCCTTCAGACTAAATTCTCACTAGACGTAGCACGCCACGCACCCGCCGTCCGCGCCGCCACTCGTGCCATCGAACCATACCCTTGCGCCGCCAGCTCTCAACCACCGGAGACACGTATACTCCCTCTGGCAGACCCCTTCCGGCGAAGTAGGCCTTCGTATCCTCTCGCAACCGAGATATCATACATCCCTCGTCGCCATACCTGATCTCCCAGACTTCACGGCGAACTTCTCCCTGATCCAGCCCGAAGCGCCGGCGTGAGCGCCTCCGGGCCGGGACGAAGGGGAGATGAATTACGTGCGCTCCATCACTGGCACAGTATCCAAGGGCTGGAACTCGATCAATCCAGCAACTCTCAGCGGCGCCATCGATGTTATTGTGGTCGAGCAGGATGATGGAACCCTGGCATGCTCCCCGTTCCACGTCCGCTTTGGCAAATATCAGATTCTGCGCCCTTCAGACAAGAAGGTGCAGTTTACTGTCAACGATGCGAAGCAAGACTATGCTATGAAGCTCGGAGAGGGCGGGGAAGCCTTCTTCGTCTTCGAAACCTCCGCCGCGATCCCCGAAGAGCTTCAGACGTCACCGCTAGCGTCCCCAGCCTCCAGCCCCGAGCAGAAGCCTGTCGAAACACCCACCCCTGCCCTTCCTGAGCCAGAGCTTTTTGAGCTCGATGGCGCCGGCTCGATGCGAAGAGCGACCTCTGTCGGCGCAGTGCCACAGACCGATACCCTCGCCGAGCGCCCCAAGTCGGGCGACTGGTCGGGAATACAAGTACACCGCTCCAGCAGTGATGAGATCTTGCCATCCGCAAAGGCCGAATTCGCCAAATCTTTTGAGGAGAAGGAACATGGGCCGATTCAGATTAGTAAAGACGAAGCAACCGCGTGGAATAATTCAAGACGCTCAACTAGCCCGCCGCCGGTGTCCCCGAACGAAGCCATGGCCCGGGCCATCAACCTCTCGAAGAAACTATTCACATCAAACATACCAAACAAGGTCACAGAAAGCGGAGATTTAATGTTGGATATGACTGGATACAAGAGCAGTGATGAGGAAGCGCTGCGCGCAGAAGTCATTGCGAGGAAAATTCTGTCCGACGAGTTGGAGGGCAACTATGACATCGGTGCCTTGATCGGCGCTGATGAGAACGGGAATCTGTGGATCTATAGCAGCGAAGAAGCGAAGGCGGCTGCTACCGAGAGATCCATGAACTTTTTGAGCAAGGATGGAATGCGGTCAACGGACGCCATATCGGACCCCGGATACCATAGCGACGATGCGCAGAGCGAGGCCACAGCGGAATTTCCCCCGCCCATCCGCAGAGACTCCGACAGTGCCATTGGCCTAACAACTCCTCCCCAGTCACCTGAAATGGGTGGCGAGGTAAGGAGCTACGCCAAAACGCTGCGATTGACAAGTGACCAGCTCAAAGCGCTGGACCTGAAGCCCGGGTCGAACACCATGAGCTTTACCGTCAACCGCTCGACTTGTACCGCCTACATGTTCTATTGGCAGCACGATACTCCCATCGTGATCTCCGACATCGACGGCACCATCACCAAATCTGACGCTCTTGGCCACGTGCTGAATATGATCGGCAGAGACTGGACGCACCAGGGAGTGGCTAAACTATATACCGACATCGTCAACAACGGTTACAACATCTTCTACCTCACGAGTCGATCAGTAGGCCAGGCAGACACTACGAGGGCATACCTGAACGGTGTGATGCAGGAAGGCTATCGACTGCCCAAGGGACCCGTGATAATGAGCCCTGACCGAACGATCGCCGCTCTGCGACGAGAAATCTACCTTAGGAAGCCTGAGGTCTTCAAGATGGCCTGCTTAAGAGACATAATGAGCTTGTTCGGAAAGCCTCCGGGACAGACACCGTTCTACGCCGGATTCGGCAACCGGTTTACCGATGCCCTCAGTTACCGCTCAGTGAATATACCCTCAACTAGAATCTTCACTATCAACTCCAACGCGGAAGTTAGCCTAGATGTTCTCTCGCTCAACAGTTATAAAACTGGGTATGCCAGCATGCGCGAAATTGTTGACCACTTCTTCCCTCCTACCGGTTTGCTCGTCCCACCCGGCGGCGAAGACTTCACCGACTTCAACTATTGGCGACAGAGGCCTCTTGATATTGAAGACTTCACCGATAGCGAGGACGAGGATGAGGACGAAAATGCAATAGGGGGCGGCAGCGTCCGCAGCGAAGACGAAGGCTCAGAGGTCGGGGAGGACCTGGAGGCGAGCTACATGACGCAGGAATCCGTCGACGAGACCGGCACTCTTGAGGACTCGATTGTCGAAAGTGTTGAAGGCGACGAATACGACGAAGATGAGGAAGACGAAGTATCAGACGAGGAAGAATATGATGAGGAAGACGAAGCTGAAGCCGATACACCAACACGGGAATTAGACGGCGTCACTGAGCAGTTGGCCGATCTGCAGCTGAAGGCCCAGACGCCCACACCGCAAGCCAGCCCGAGGAGGTAGCGGATTCTGGCATTTTCTGCATAGGGTAGGCGTTGAAAAGTGGCAAGTTAGACAGCATAGCATGGCGTGGGCGTTTTGGGTGGTCTTGGATCGCATCCAGCATGCCAACAGAGTTCATTCTGTGGGCGGGTAGGACTTTACGTAGACAAGAGAACGGAAGCAATATCAACTATTGCTCGTTACGCGAAGCCCATTATTCTGTCGTGGTTGATCTCGTTCTCGGTATCAACCTTATCTGTACATCGGGTCTCAGCTATCCGCTATGAGAAAGCGCGGGGCGGGGATGCGGGAGAGAAGGCTGAGAGTGTGGAGTACCTAGTTCCTCATGAACCGGGCAGTGCTTATCTGGAATGGTCCTGAATCATGCTGGATCTACATTTGGCGGAAGCCGACTGAATCTTATGTTCACGATGAGCGGGCGTCCCTGCGCTACTTGTATCGATAGCGACGCCCAGGGCTCATGATTCGTACAATATTGGAAAAAAGGTTCTAGAGGACCTACCTAGGTAGGATCTACTCGCCTACTGTACGTAGACTCTGCTTGGCATACTCAGGCGTCCGCTGCTTAGGTGTGAGTGGCTTCGAGGAACTATCGCTCTCGAGCTGCGGTGATGCCGGCTTTGGCCCCCAGCCGTACATGAGGCATAGACAGCGTGGCTGCACTATGCTGCTTTGCGCGCCCCTCCGCTGCATTCGACCTGCAGGCTTGAAACCGGCGGGTTGAGCCTCTGTTCGGTCACAGTCCGCCGGCGCAACTGAGTGATAGCGCATGTGGCCAAGACACTCGGGTTGGGCTGAGCTAACATCAGCGTTGTTCCTGGCGCCTTTCCCCTCTCGTAGCGGCAGCTTCGCTAGCGCGAAGAACATTCATGCAAAGAAAGCGGCCGCAAGGTTGTTTCTTTCATTCACGGACGGCGTGTGGTTTGCCGGGGCCTGAACTGCGGAGGCGGGCCGGGCCAACAGCAGCATTACACGGCGAGCCGCATCACTCCGCTGCATCCAACAGCAACCCCCTATCCCAGACTCGGCAGTGGGCTATCGGGCACCCTCACATATATAGGCCCAGGTAGGCGCATAACATGCGCGATCTGAAACCTTTCGTCTAGCGGCGAACCCCCCGGCACGTCAGCCTTTCCACGCTCTTCCCTCGCCGAAGCTCGACCAAGCTCCGCGAAACTCGTCTCAACAACCCTTTTTTGCGCGTAGGATGCTGTACCACGCTGCGGGCACGCGACGGTGACGCTGCGGACTTAATGGCTAATTCCAAGTAAGTTATTGCTGCGTCTCAAGCGCTGCCGCGCGCGCTCGGGCGTAGAGCTGGCTAGCGGGCAGGGAGGGGAGCTCTCAGCGCGAGCTTCGCGACTGGACTGACTGACGAGCTAGATACGAGTACGTTCGCTCTTTTGAGCAGCAGGACGTGCTACTGCCCGAAACGTGGATCGTGGTGCGCATCGATGGCAGAGGCTTCTCGAAGTACGTCCCTTCGGTTCTGGTCTTCTATTCTTCGAGCTGTCGCATGGCCACCCTATCGTCTTTGGAGTCATTGGGGGCCGTCTGCAGCTGTCCCTTCATGTAATGGCGGCCGCATACTCGGACGGCCTCGCCCCAATCCCGCGTTTCGAGGACCACTTTCCAAGGCAGCTCCAACTAAAATGTCCGCGCAAACAGGCTCACGGCGAAGTACAAGTTCGTCAAGCCCAATGACCGGCGTGCGCTGGATCTCATGAATGCCGCGGCGGAGGCCGTCATGAAAGAACTGCCGGATCTGGTATTGGCGTACGGCAACAGCGATGAGTTCAGGTACGTTATCAACTCCCATTCGACAACAAGACGTTCCAGAGATATTAGAGATCGGCATTTGTCAGGTATCAGGGAGCTGAGCTGCACGTGGGTTCTGTTTCGAGGGCACCCTCAGCTGACGTGTTACACAGTTTCGTCTTCCACAAAGACTGCAACCTGTTTGAGCGGCGAGCCAGGTATGAATATTTTCTGTAACCCCCACCCACCATTACCCTCTCTTTGGGGAAGTGTACGCTGAGTTGCTGCGGTGGAACGTTGATCTTGCTGATATATATTTAGCAAATTAACTTCGACGGTTGTGTCGACCTTCACTGCTCATTATGTATATCGCTGGCCGGACTACTTCCCGGAGACTGAGCTGACGCTGCCGCTCCCTTCTTTTGATGGACGAGCAGTCTGCTATCCTAGTGACGCCATACTGAGGGATTATATGAGTTGGCGACAAGTTGACTGTAAGTCGCCCATTCCTGTTCCTGACCCGTCAACGCTTTAAGTCCCAAATGTCAGCACTATTGCCTCAAAGAGTTCTACCTCTCGTCAGACATCGGACGCTGATTACCCTTTCTGACTCCGCATAGGCCACATCAACAACCTCTATAACACGACCTTCTGGGCTCTCGTTCAGCAAGGTGGAATGGAACCTCGAGCAGCGGAGCAAGAACTTTCAGGCACCGTGTCTTCTGATAAGAACGAGATTCTTTTCTCTCGCTTTGGCATCAACTATAACAACGAACCGGAAATATTCAAGAAGGGCAGCGTGCTATACCGAGATGTAAGCCTGGACTTCCACTCCTCTCGATAAGCTACTGACTCTCGTAGCTCTTCCCCACCTCGACACAATCTTCACCTGTTCCTCCGCGAACAGCCCAGAGTCCACCCCTAACTCACACAAGGCCACAGAGGTCAATACCCAGGCCCATGTCTCAACCACTGGAGCGCACTCTCCCCGACTTATTCCGAGACTCACCGGCTTCTGGTAACTCGACGGTAACGACGCCTCGGGGTCCAACCTTCCTCTCTACTTCGACTACTCCATCCCCTCCGCCCTCTCCGCCCGCAATGTCGATACCCACCGTCTCCAATCCACTACCGACAAACCCCCAAATCTCCTATCCGCAGACCTTTGTTCCTGTCGCCCCACCTCAAAATGGCTCCGCGTCACGGCAACCTCTTCCCATGCTGACTCCCCTGCCATTACCACCACCAACCCTCAAACCCAGCACGAGGCCTCCGCCCTCACTCAACCCGCCGAATCCTACGGCACACACAAACACCTCTCCCCTCCCGTCACCCGAAGTAGCCGGCCCTAGTAGCCCGATTCCGAAACGCACAACATCGAATCCCACATCGAATCTAACATCAAGACCAAACTCACCTCCAAAAGCCTTCTCACACTCCGCATCCGCCTCCCTCTCCCGCCCAACAACAGGCGCACCACCCGCCTCCAAACCCGCCCCAAAACGCAGTCCCAGCCTCTCCATCCTAGAAGTCGGCCCCCCTCAAATCCCCCTACGCATCTCCTCCATTCCCATGAACGCCAAGCCACGCAAACTCTCCCTCCCCAGTCAGAAATCCTGCAACCACCTCAACTCCGACGAAAAAGAAAACGCCTTCACGACCACAGTAGGAACAGGAATAGGCGCGAAGGTCTCCCCGCCCCCGCACCTACAGACCATGAAAGAGCTGCCCTCTCCGCCGGTAGACGATATCGCAACCCGGCACGCAGTCATGGGCTCCGAGCCCCCGCAATGGACCTCCTCCCCACCCGCATCCCGCGAATCCAACCACGGCAAGATGGAAACCGTCATCCCGAACCCCGTCATCCCCCTCTCCCCACCCCCCGTCGTGCCGAGCAAATCCACACAGCGCCGCGCACGCTCGCACTCGCGCTTGAACTCCGCGCCGCCGTCTTCGTACCTCCCGTCCTCCCCACCAGCTCTTTCAAAAGACCAGCAGGAGAAGTATCGCTTCGCGGGGTTCGACTGGACGCCTGCAGAGACGTCTGCGAAGGGGGACAAGAAGAAAGGCAAAGCGAAGGTTGCGGAGGAAGAAGGAGGCTGGGCGGCCGGCACGAAGGGGAACGAAGGCCGGCCACCGATAGCGCAAATGAGTAAAACGCAGAGGGAGAAGGAGAGGAAGAAGAGGACGAAGGCGCGGATTGTGACCGAGCATGTGGATATTATCAAGGATGAGTTTTGGGAAAAGAGGCCGTGGATACTGAGTGGGAAAACAGGTTGATGTTCGACGTATACGACCTTTTTTTCTTTATGACATCGAGTTGGTAGTGCTCGTACATGCATGCATGGCCGGAGGGTGTAGTGAGCATACATCTCATCCTATCTTCTTCTCCTTCACTCTTGTATTCAAACCTAGGATAAGGGAACGGAAGGCTCAAATGGATATGGATTAACCTCGCCCATAGACGCCCACATGCTACGCTTACTAACTCGTCTGAAATCTACACTCCATCAACGTGGCCACTTTCCGAAGTCTAAGATCGCCAGAGTTTAGCTGCATGAGCAGCAGCAATAGCGTTAATCCCACCAGCAGCAGCAAGAGTAGCTGGGTCAACACCCTTGAGCTCCGCAGCCGCGTCCGCAACCCTCGCCTTCATGGTCTCACTAGCCCGATGCCTGCCCTTCTTGTTCTCCACCAACTTAAAAATGCCACCCTTGTGCGTCCTCTCCCTCTTCTGTGTCTTCATCAGTTTCTTGGCGCGACTCCTAGCCAGATTCCTCTGCTCCTTCGTCGCGCCCTCGGGGACACCCATCTCCTGGAGGATCTCGCGCGTTATGTGGCCGATGGCCGCCATCTTCTTCTGCTGGCGCGACACCTTGTCCTTTCCGTTCTCCTTGAGTTTACCCGAGGCAATCTTCTTCTGGCGCCGGCGTTCTTCGAGCCACTTGCGGCGCGCTGCACGGACTTCTTTTGGGAGGTCCTTGACGACGCGGCCTTCCCAGATGGTTGGGTCGAGCGGACAGGAACCATCGGGGAGGGGAGTGTATGTGACAGGGGCCAATGCTTGCGCGATGATTGCGTCGCCCTCAGTGTCTTCAAAGAAGAGAGCGTCCGATGTGAAGCCCAGCTTCTTCTTAGCTTCCAATTCCGCCTCCTTTGCGGCTTTCTTCCTTTTGTTCTTCTCGGCGCGGCGGAGTATGTATTCGTCGAGGGTCTGCTCCTTTTCGGCAGCACGCGCTTCGTACGTAGCCTTCTCTTCGGGCGTGAGTTTGGCGAGTTTGATGGAGATAATTGCTTGCTTTTTAGCCTCATCTGCCTCTTGTTGAGCCTTCTTCTCCAGTTCTCGCTGTTCTTTTGCGATGCGCTTGCGCACTTCTTTCTCTTTGGCTTTAACGAGCTTCTCCTTGTCCTTTCCGGACTTGCGTATCTTCCTCTCGCCCTTCTCAATCGTCAACAAGGCATTCTCGATTCGCACGTATCTCGACCGAGCTTCATCCCTGGTCCAGCCTTCAGGGTTTGGCAAGGTGCCCTTCATCATGGCGGATACTACCCGATCCTTCAACAGCTCCTTCTTAGCCTCTCGCATTTTCCTCTGTCGGTTGAACTTGGCCTTCTTGTACGTAATTGTTTGACCCGGGTTGTCAGGGTCGTCGAAATGGATCGCGGTCATGCCCTTCTTCTTCCCCTTCAATTTGTTCGGGTCGATCCAGACACCGTATACGCCTTTCTTCGCGTTCGTGTTGAGCGTGACCTTGACCTCGCGGCCAATAATCCTCATAACGGAATTGATCCTTTGCATCTCCTCGAGACTGAGAGTGCCGAGGATCGTAGTGACCTCCGGTGGCGGCGGGTTGGCGACGGACTCCTCCAGCAGCTCTATCTTCAACTTTTTATTGCCCTTGTCCTCCTCCTCCTTTCCGCGCTTGCGCTTGTTGTTTTTTTTCTTCGACATTTGCGAGGCTTCTGAGGCAGTGTCGCTGTCTTCGGAAGAGTCTGGAGCGCTATCACTGTCGGACGCAGAGGTAGGCGGTGTGCTCACGCCGGCCGATAGCGCGGAGGAATTAGAAGCTTCAGCGGCCGAGCTCTCTTCGGTGCTGGATATGGTCCCAGTCAGACCTTCTCCTTTCACGAAAAAGCCGTAGAGACCGCCTCGGTTGATGCCTTTGCTGCGGACTTGACTGAGTGTGCTCTGCAAAAGTTAGCTCGAGCAGCTCGGATGCGCCTGGCTGCATACTTCTTGACCAGTTCCAATGTTTTTCAGGCTCTCATCAAAAGCTCGCATCCACCATTGATCGTCAACGCTGTGTGCAGCTTTCTTCTTCCCGAGCCCTAGCTGGTCTTGCTTGTGCGCGATGAGGAGAGGTTTCTTGATCCCGCGGCCTTGGCCGTCGAGTGAATGGCCCGAACCTTTCCAGCCTTGCCTTCGCAAGTAGGCGCCAGTGTCCATGCAAAAGATGCGGATCTTTGGGGGTAGCGGTGAAGAGGCTCGGTACGTCAAAAAAAATTCGTGGGGCTTGCTTGCGAAATCTTGGCGTCGACTGTTATGGAGCAGGCGAAGTGGTAAGATTCGGAGCAGGCTAAACGCTTAAATCGAGACTAGCCCGAAACGAGTCCGCCTCGCACTGTAGATGATCGACATCCATCGTCTGCTCACCACCGTCCCTCATCCCATCTGCCTCATGAACATGTAGTATTCTTTTCGCTCACCTGCGCCTTTCTGGCGGTTGTGAGTGAGCCAGCTCTAACCGAAATGGGCAACCTACGCAATGGCTGGAGTCGCTCTTTCCCTACTGGTGAAGGAGCGCTGTTCCCTTCTGCTTCTGCTGCTTCTACTTCTTATTCGCTGCTCTCCTTTGCTCTCTCTTCTTTTCTTTCTCTACATCCCAGGCGGCGTTTGCTACTTGTCTCAACTTTCATTGCTGGAGTCATCCTCACGGTAATCATGAAGAGAGAACAGCTGCTTTGGCTGTTGACGGCCGCGGCGGGTGCCAGGCCGCTGCTGGAGTATCAACAGGGCACCAAGTTCGATTATCCGGGCCTACGGTTTGACTACGACCGTAAGTTCCATATTACCATGTTCAATGACCTGCACCTCGCGGATGGAGGGGTCCTTCCATACCGCCCAGACGCGGATGACAAGACGATCGGCGTCATGAACGCGGTTCTGAACTCCGAGCCCAACACCGACCTCGTCATTCTCAACGGCGATCTCATTTCCTGCGAATGGGTTGCTCCCGAAGACGCCAACAAGCACATTGACAAGATCATGCAGCCACTCCTCGACCGCCAGCTTCCTTGGGGTACCACGTTCGGCAACCATGACTACTCCAAGACATGTAACGTGCGGCTCATGTCCGAGCACCAATGGGATGTTGGCAATGCGAACGGCCGTCAACTCACCTGGACTACATCATCCGTTACGGGCGACTACAACCAGGTCGGCTCAAGCAATTACTACATCCCGATCTACGACTCTGCCGGTGGCGGAAATCCGAACCTCAAGATGATCATTTGGCTCTTCGATAGCAAGGGTGGTAGGAAATACCAACCGCAAGGCGAGGATGAGTCCATCGCTGACTGGGTGGATGAGAGGGTGAGAGGGCCCACTGAGTAGTCCAAAGCGCACGCTAACTGTATAGGTTATCTCATGGTTCCGCTTGACGAGAGATCAGTTGAATCAGGACCACGGCAAGACCATCCCAAGCATTGCCTTCGTTCACATTCCGCCGCATGTAACAGAAGCATTTCAACGCAAAGGTGGACGTACTTCTACACAAGAACCTGGACTCAATGAAGAAGTAATCAGTCATCAAGGCAATGTTTGCGACCCATCTGGCCACAACTGCGACTATGCCGGAAAGGATATCCCGTTCATGGAGGCTCTAGTCGAGACAGAGGGCTTGATGGCTGTGTTTTCGGGCCACGATCATAAAGTTGATTGGTACGCCTGCTGTACGGCCTGATACCCGAAATCACTTGCTGACGTGCTCAGGTGCATGAAATGGTCCGCTACCAAGCCAGTCCCCAACAACCAGCCTGCCAAAGGCAATGGTATGCACTTTTGCTTCGGCAGGCATACAGGCTACGGTGGCTATAGCGACTACGCACGCGGCGGGCGGCATATTGTCATCGAGGAAGACAAACTAGGGCAAAGTGTGCTCGAGACTTGGATTAGGCTTGAGGATGGCACTATCTCTGGCAAGGTCACGTTGAACGCTACCTTTGGATACGATCAGTATCCTGCGGTCAAGAAGACGAAGACCACCGGTTCTATCGGTGATATCTCGGACAGCGGCGTCTCGGTCGAAAACAAGCCAGATACGACGACAACCAGTAAGCACAGCACTGCGACTACCAGCAAGACTCAAACGCACACTAACAAGCCGAAGCCGACAACCAAACCAAAGCCGAAGGTCAAGCCGACGCCCAAGCCTAAGCATAAGCCGAAGCCGAAGCTCAAACCGAAGCCTAAGGGAAAGGGCAAGCATCTGCCCTAGGTGCATCTTCGTCATCATGATCATGAACCTTTGCAGTTCTAGTGGTGAAAGACTTGCTCTTGTGCGCAGAATGGTACATTCACGGCCTGCTTTTGGGAGCGATTAAGGGATATGGCGGTATAATATACCCGGTGCATGTCACTAGCAATGAATGGAAATAGTAGTATGGATTTCAGCTACTATAAAGCAGCCCTTGGTTGCTTGCTCGTCCAAGAGACAAAATGAGGGGGTAACACCATCTCACCTACTTCAACACACTCCCAGGAGCATCCGTCTATGGTCGATCAATCTTGCAACTTTACCGCAAATCCCTCATCCAAAAGTTCTTGACGCCATCCATCAATCTACCTACCAACCCCCCGCCCAATCATCTCTCTTTCTCCTCCTCTCGCTCCCTCTAATCAAAAAATTCAACTTGCGAATCTCCGTCCACCTCGAGAGCGCCCCCAACTCCAGCACACTCATCCTACGCATCTTGCCACTTGGATTCCCAATAACGACCGCCTTCCAATCCGCACCCCTCCCTTCCTTCTCCAACTCGCGAAACTCCTCCCACGCCTTCGTGTCGCGGCGCGTGCCAAACGTATGGTTCGGAATAACCTGCACCTCTTTGAAGCGCCAAAGCACAAGTGTGAGCAGGATAGTCAGGAAGAGAAGGATACCCGCGGTGACACCGGTGGAGGCCTGCGCGCCAATGTGTCGCGTCATTATGCCGCCGACTTCGGTGGCAATGGCGGCGCCGATGAAGGCGAGGGTTTGGCTGGCGAAGATGCCGGCGCTGACGCGCGGGAAGGACGAGTAATTTGTTCTTCTGCGGCGGTCTTGGACGGCCATGGATTCCAAACGATGGCGTGTGTTTTCGCCTGGTTGGAGATCGCATGTGTCGAATGTCTCCATGATCAGGCCGTGGCACTCAGCGATTGCGAGAATGGAGAGGAAGCCCACTGCGCCGGCGAAGACGATGGGGACCATGTAGGGTTTTGGGCGGCCGGCTGAGGAAACAGTGTATGCGAGACCCATGAGTGGGAGGGTCAAAGTGAAGATTACGCGGCGGACGAGATGCGAGGACCAAGTTAGTTGCTTCTGGAAGGTCATGCTGTCTGTGCGGAATGGGCGTTTCCGCTCGCGGGAAAAGATGCCAGCTTTTGTTAGAGGGATAGCGAGGAGGGCGCCGATGGCAATAGACATGACGCCCAGGCCAACGTACCGCGGATGCCACTTGTAGTCGCGGGAGAGCAGAGCGCCAAGGAGTACGATAACGAGGACGATTTGGGCATAGATCCAGCCAAGGTAGAAGGCAAGGACGAGAAAGCCAGGCTGGCACATCATCATCACGAGGAGCTTCATGCCAGCCCACATTTCTTCGAACCAGTACTTGGGGCCTTCGGTCGAGATGTGGAGTTTGATCTCGCCGCGGGCTACGCGGCGGGTGATGTAGTTCTCGTCGCGGTCGTAGACTTCGGTGACTGAGCGGCGGTATGCAGAGCGACGAGTTTCAGGCGCTATAACGTTGAGGACGAGAGCGGCCGCAAGGATCATGATGACGATATAAAAGCCCCAGTCCGGTGTGAGCGACTCAATGATGCCAGCACCAATCTGGAAGCCGACGGCAAGAGAACCGATAGCGCACCAGGACCAGATGCCAATCCATATACCCATGCCGCCACCGTGCCGTCGGACGTCGCTTGGAACGGTAAACTCTTGATGCGGGTGCTTACTCTGCAGTGACGCTCCAAAGAGGTCCAAAAGGACAGCGATGAAATTCACATTGGCAAAACCAAGGACGAGGCCAGAAACAGCACGAGCGACGAGTAGCCCAGTTCTGAAGCCGGGGTTGTTGGGGGAGCGTCTTTCGCCGACAACGAGTGCTTGCGGGAATTGGAGGGGCATGGCTAGAGCTAGAGAGGCGAGTATGTAGGGTTTGCGCCCGTGCAGGAGAGGAAGTGGCCACGAAATGAAGGTCGATATGGCCAGACCAGCATAGAGCCTGTCCCATATTAGTTCAGAGTACAACCGCCAACCGGGCATTTGTGAAACTTACACCACGTTGCCAATGATCACATTATGGCTCTCATCAGCAAGCATGTACTGGATACGCGGAACTTCGCCTGCCTTAGCTACTGTCAGACAATGCAGTGCAACGTGGAATGTGGACTACTGACATAGATGCCAACAATGATGCCCAGCAAAGCCGTGTTGATACAAGCAATCGTCGCAGCAATACGCTTCTTGCCGGTCCTCCAATTCCTGGCGATGGGCTGTCTGCGGTGATTTCGACGGAGGCTGAACGTGTGATGGTGTGCCTGATCGCGCACATGGAGTTCAGTCCCATAGCGTCTGATGCCGTGCGGTTTACCAGCAACATGTAGGTCTTCTTCGTCAAACGAGGTGTCAAACTGGCTGAAACTGGAGGATCTAGGTGGTCGACGTCTACGCACAGATCTCGAGCGATCATGACTCCTGAAGCTTCTAGGATGGCGATGTCGCCTTCGGGCTGGAGAAGCGCTCGTTCTACGTCTGGGCGAGCGTCCGCGAGAGTGCTCGCGATTGACCGTTGGGCGAAGCACAAAATCAACATGGTCTCGAGGCCCCGCTTGCACAGGCTGTGGTGGAAGTAACAGATCGCTTCCTGTACTAAAGCGGGACCGTCCTCGCGAGGTATCGCTGTCTTCGGATGACGACGCCGACGCTCCATCTTCTGCCCGATCATTGCGATTCTGATAAGCCCAGTCAATGGCATCTGAGCCTCCTCGTTCGTGTCGCAACCGGGGTCCAGTCGACAATATCGTATGTTCATAGACGTTTCCCTGCACCGGAAGAGCGGGTTTTGTCCTACTGGATTCAGGTGGGAATGCCTGTGGGGATACAAAAACGGAATCAGAGGTATCGGGCGAAGAATCGGAGACTTCTTCAGAGGAACTCGAAACCTCGAGAGGAGAAGAAGTTCGCATCATACGATGGGTTGGGGCGCCCGACGCTTCCTGGATAGCGTTACGGGCATCCTCGATGATTTCGTATATCTCCTCCACTTGGCCCGGATCTGTGGTATGGTCTGCGGTCACGACCGCCTCTTCAACAAGCTCTTCCAGTCCTTCGATGGCATTGCTGAGCCTTCTTTGATTCACTGTCTCAAAGGGATTGCGTCTCGGAACTGGCTGTGTAGGCGACATCTGGACGGATTTAATTACATGTGGCGGCGAGGACATATGTAAATCGCGCTGGACGACTCGAATGACAGAATCGGGCGTCTCAACTCGTTCCAGGTGGCCGGGCACAGGGGCGAGGCTGTCGCCGCGGGGACGTACGTCTTCAGCTAGATCATCAGCCTCCTCGATATTGACGATGGAAAGCCGCTTTCTTGGCTCGTGTGAAAATTCTGGACGACCTGAGGCGACAGTCCTCAGTGGTGATGCTGCGGTGCGAATAACAGATGGAGGGCGAATCTGAGACACCCCAGTCCTGGTTGCTGGAGAAAGGTTGTGGGCTCCAGCAGAAAAGACTCGTCGTTCACTTGTAGTCACCGTTGGCTTCCGGCGCAAGGTAGGGCTTGAGCCTATTTGACGTATCGTTGGGTCAGCGTCCACGGATACTGTTGTAGGGTGTCTCGACAAGGGCGAGGGCGTAGATCGGCCACTTGGCGGTTGCTGCGGAGAAGGGTGAACCCTAGTCCGAGATGCTGCGCCGGCTTTGAGGACCGGAGGCGAGGTTGTGACAGCTGGTGAGGATTTGCCATCAAGCCAAGGAAGCTTCTTGATCGTTGTCCTGGGTTGAAGCTTCTTGGAAGGTGCTGTATTTGGACGGCTCGGCGTCTTCGCCGGCTCGCGCCCCGTACTCCCTGCCATTCCGCAATTCTCGAGATAAACACTTCAAGCCTTAAGAGCACGAATTGTGGCGTGTCGCTGCTCTTCCGACCGTGCCGCAGCCAGTGGACTTATATCAGACTGTGCTCGATCCGTCGATAGGCTCGTGGGGCTATGGGATCGAAGGCTTTTGGGCGGAGCGTCGAGCTTAAACGGGATCGCGAGAGGCTGAAGTGCAGGAAATTGTAGATGAATAGGGAACGACCAGCTTCGTGAGGGTAGCGACTGATGTAGGACGAGGAAAGGGAGAGCGAGGCTTGAAATGAAGCTGGCCGTTGAGAATACTGATTTCGGAAGAAATAGGCGATACGGGAGCTATGGATGAGATGGCGGGTTGAAGGAGAGGTGAGGCCACTGGAATGGCTAATGTTTGGTGGTGAGCAACATTTTGCTCCTTCCCGCAACGCCGGTGTTACCGGTCCTTTCCGCATTGCGGAAGGAGTGTTCGAACACACCTTATTAATCCAATTGGGCTGGATTCGGTATTCGCGATATTGCTAAGTTGTCCGCATCCCTACTTGAGGTGTAATAGGTTACTATTTCATTGGCGAGGGATCCTTTACAACCGGGATTTGATGCTGGTCATTATAGAAGACAGCTTTGAGGGATGTATAGCCTGGAGCACGGTCTCGGTCATCGCAAGCACCTTTTCTTCCTCAAGCCTCTTAGCCACGAGCCTGAACGGAGATTAGCGAAATGTATTTGCGGAGGGAATGGTTTGCACTCACTGTAGACTAACAGGCATTCCATGTACCAGATCGGCATTGTCTAACAGACGTCAGCGGAAAGTATCCTTGGAGTACCCGCGTCGAACTCACAATCATCGTGGATGTCCTTGCAGAAGCCACTGAGGGGGGCGTGGTTGGCAATGGGTGGGTCCTTCTCCTTATCGGCAACCACGCCACAAGGGAAAGAAACAGCAGCATAGTCAACAATATTGAACACGCCCGTATAGCCAACGTATTTGAAGCCGCCATGTTCGACGCTGGAGAAAGGTGTCGTGGGCGCTAAGCTATGTCAGTCTTGCGCCACAGATCCTGTCGCATTAGTACTACTTACCTAGTATGGCATCCAGGCCATCGCACGATGTCCACTGGTCTAGATACTGCTTCTGCAACTCGGACCGCTCGAGATGTATTTGCCACATCGCGTGGACTCCTAGCTCTTCGGCCTCCTGGTACTGCTGCATTTCAGGTCGGAATGGCTCCCCGGTAGGCGCAAGCAGAGCTTCAACACTCTTTCCGCCATCTGCGACGAACATCCGGCCCTAATAAAATTCATTAAGCTGATTTAAGCGTCTTTGACACGAGTGTCTTACCAGAAGCTCCAGGGCTTTGGGATGGAGAACCGGATCCCAGTCGACGATTTCGTGACCCGCCTGCTTCAGCTTCTCGACCGTCTCCTTCAACGCGCGCGTAACCGGAGGTGTTGGTACAGCCATCCCATCATGCCACAGCACGGCCACCTTCAATTTCTTTTGACACTCTACAGGCCTCCATGGGATGGGAAGGACCTTTGGATCTACCAGCCAAGGCTGTGAATCTACGATGGTCTTCGAAAACAGGACAATATCTTCGAGAGTCCTTGCCATTGGCCCGTTTACGCTCATAACGGCTTCTTGACCTGCTAGTCCGGAGCGGCATCTTTGGGTGGTGAATCTACCGAACGACGGTCGGAGAGTGAATATGCCGGTGCACGCAGCTGGAATGCGTAAACTTCCGCCCTACGTACCATGTCAGCGAATCTCTTGCGTCAATGTGATAGAGCCTCACGATATCAGTTCCAACTCCTAACGGACTTCCCCCGAACGCGATCAATGCCGATTCGCCTCCTGATGAGCCTCCCGAGGTCAGCCTTCTGTTCAGTGGATTCACTGTGCGTCCGAATACGTTATTGACCGACTCTGCCTACGCATTGTTAGAGCTTGCACATAGACATCTCACCTTTTCCACCTACGATCATCATTGCCGTCGGAACATTTGTTTTGCAATATCGGACAGCCCCGAGCTTCTCCAACAGCTCCACCAGCGTAGCATTGTATTCAGCGGGCCGATTCACTAGGGAAGCAAATCCGACCGTACTGTCCTTTCCAACGATGTTGAAGTTATCTTTGAGGGATATTGGGAGGCCATGAAGGGGGCCGATGACCTTGCCTATCGTGCGTAGGTGTTCATCGAGCGATTTCGCGTGGGCGATTGCTTCGCTAAAGAAGATTTCGGAGAGGCAATTAGTCTACGCATGAAGTTAGCGACACCCATACAGAAGCTCCGGGGCTGTACCAATTGCTGCGCTGCAGCAGCACGCTTGCTGAATGCCCTTGTCACTTCTTCGGAGCTCCATGTGCGCGACGCGATCTTCTTCAGAATATGGCTCGCTGTGCTATCCGTGATTTCCAATTCTCTCTTCGAAAACCATCCCGATTCCCTAGGAAACGGCGTCACATCGAGCTGTTCGTCTGGCGGTAGAAGGTGTGGAGGAATGCGATGTTCGAGCGGTATCTGTTCCGCGAGCGCGCGACGCTTTTCCGCGCTGATCTTTTCCCACTTCTGCTGCTGCATCGTCATCCCTGGTCACACAACTTGAGATGCAAGAATCCGAAATCTACGCGAGGAAAGATGTCTGCAGGCTTTGAAGATGAAGTTTATCAGAAAGGATGCTCCACGCCATCCCGTCAAGCATCCTGTTCCGGCGCCACAGCATCCCCACTCTCGGTCCAAAAGAGACGCGGTCCGCGGTCCATGACGGTATTGCGCCGAACTCCACTGATTCGGTGGCTATCGCAACCCCGCCGCGCTATGTAACCCCGTGGACGCGACAGAACCCTTAAAGGACAGTCCCGAAGCTATCTAAGCTATCTTTGACCAAAGCTGCCTCTATTCTACCCTGCCCGAATCTTCCGATGCCGGCTCGTACTTCCCGTTAAGGCATCCCGACATCCCTCCCACTTTTGCTTTACGAGATAATGCGTTGATATCCGCCTCGGTCGAGTCATCGTTGGGGATACGTGAACGGCTGTTCGAATCGCAAGCCGGCACCGTCCGCGCGTAGGGGCGTCACTAATCCGAGAAGATAAGAGGAAGGACGACTCTGCCATCGACGACGCTCGCAGTGGCGGCTATACTTCGACGACCCTATCTCAGGACGAGGGCCCATCATGGCCTCTCAATTCATCCAGTACCTCCGGGGCGATCAAAACGCCCCAGGGGAGCGAAAGCTTATCCAGAAGCTGGATTTCTTCATTTTGACATTCTGCTGTCTTATGTATTTCCTTAATTACCTGGATCGCTCCAACCTCAATAATGCCTACGTCTCCGGAATGAAAGAAGAACTCGACTTCAGGGGAAACCAGCTCAATCAAATAAACACTGTCTTTACCGTAGGCTACACTATCGGCCAAGTGCCGTGCAATATCGCGCTGTACTACATAAAACCAAGGATCTTCTTTCCTTCATGCATGGTAAGTCGAAGCATGATCACGGACTGGCATAACTGACGTCGCTTAGGTGGTATGGGCTGGATTGACCATGGCGACTGCTGGGGCCCAGCATCCGCGCGATATCATGACAATTCGCTTTTTCCAGGCCATATTTGTGAGCCAAATCCGCGGTACGAATACCATTCTGAGACATGCTAATCGTATCGCTGCCTTAGGAGGCTTCTACATTCGTGGGAACCCATTACATCCTGGGATCCTGGTATACGGAACGCGAACTGGGAAAACGCTCTGGGATCTTTACAGCTTCAGGACTTGCTGGCACGATGATAGGCGGCTTCATCCAGACTGGTATCCATTCCAGCTTGAACGGACGGAATGGACTCTCTGGCTGGCGCTGGCTTTTCATTATCGACGGGATCATTACGCTTCCTGTTGCCATCTACGGGTACCTTCTATTCCCCGACACCCCCAAGAACACGAGAGCTCCATACCTGACTGCGGAGGAGAAAGCGCTCGCAATATCGCGGGTCCCGGAGGTGTCCGAGCGCACGCCTATATCCTGGAACTTCCTGAAATATTGCTTTTCGACCTGGTATTGGTATTTCTTTACGGTCCTCTGGATCATTGCTGGGGAGACCGAGTCCTTCAGCTCCAACGCTCTCTTGGCCTTGTACATGAAGGCGCATCCGACTATCAAGTACACCGTTTCCCAACTTAATAACTATCCAACGGGAGTGCCAGCGGTTGGCATTGTATCGACTCTGTTCTGGGCCACTTTGACGGACTTCCTGGGCGGAAAGCGATACCTTGGTATGAATGCCTCCTTCGTTCGCCGAACCGAGACGCTGATGATCAATAGTGGGATATTGGATCGGCATCACTGGAGTCATCACTAGCGCTTTAATCTTAGCCTACCCCCACAACACCGCGATTCAATTTGGCATGTACTACTGGGCCGGAAGCGTTTATGCCTGCCAAGCCACATTTTTCGCATGGTGTAATGATGTTCTGCGCTACGAAGAAGACAGTCTGAGAGCGGTCGTTATTGCCAGCATGAACATGGGAAGCAACGCGGTAAACGCTTGGTAAGCCGAGGTCTCATGTAGAGCAGGACGACTGCTTACGGTGTTTGATGTTATAGGTGGAGCATCTTATTTTACGGTGCAAATTTCGCTCCCTACTTCACTCGGGGCATGTGGGCAATGATTGCCGTCAGTATCGCCAGTAAGTTCCCTCGGACGTCGCATTCAGGCTTTTTTAACATGCTTCTAGTGGCTATGTGGACAGGCTTACTTGTGTGGATGCATGTTCGAACTGAGAAGAGACGAGAGATGGAAAGTTCAACGACGCCTGGGGCAGAGAAAGAGCATGCGATCGGCGCACCTGATGAGATCAACAAAAGCAGCCAACTTGATGAGAAGGTTTAGTCTCAAACGAATTATATCGCGCTGTCACTCTACATATTTTACGAAGCATGCCGCTGCAGCCAAAGCACTGCTCCGTTTTCCTTCCGCTCTGGAATAAGAACTCAGGTCAATTGCGCGAGATATCTAGAGACCGACTATCAGACCTGTCCTTCTTGAGAAGGATGCGAGAGACAGCGCATACTTGCATACTCGTTAACCCTTTTGGTCGTCTAGGTGCTTGTTGCTCTTTGTCCGGGCTCCTGGCGCGTGGATCGGTAGATGAGTGCTCCTGTCCTAGAGCATCGACTCCTGCCGAATATTTAACGACGTGAGGTATTCCGCCATTATAAACCCACATCACTGACTGAACGGGCGCTCTGCTGTTCGCCTTTTTAAGATTTATGTATGCCGAGCTAGCTGCATATCTGGACCGGTCCTCAGTTGCCGGCTACGATGACATCAAACATCAGCAAAGGCCTGAACTAAGCCTCTTCGTCGTCATGCTAGGCGGCCTAAATAGCAACTCCTGACGGTTTCCGAGCGTCCTCAGATTTGGACGTTTCGCGAATCTGTACAAGGGAGATCCAAATACAGGTGCAGGGATCTTCCTCTCACGTGGCAACCTCAAACGCCAATCCACCCCATCGGAAAGTGACGCTTCTACCACCTCAACCCTGACGTTGTTATAGAAGCATGGATTCGCCTTGCACACACAAAGAAACGCTTCCGAGGCCACAACAATATCTGATTCGTAGCGAGGACTAGACCCTACAACAACCGATTCGCCGACCATTTCCCAGCTCTCGCACAACTGCGGACGTGGACTTGCATGATTCTGCCCTAGGTACTCCCATGCTACAGCAGAGCATATACGATCGCATTTTGTATTCGGTCCCCCCTTCGACGTCATCGCATATCTTTGCTTCGTTCTCGATCGTAAGATCCTAGGCTGGCCGTCGGCTGGTTGCTATGACCAACGAATGGATATTGATAGGCTTACGAATTGCGCGGACGAAGAAGCATGACGGGCCGGGAATGGTTGATGAAGGGGGTTGGCGGTTTTTGAGGTTGATGGTTGCTCCGAACGACCTATATTATCTTTCTGTTCTTTTACTACCCCAACCCTTCCTACACCGTGCCACGATCTTCTTCCCTCTTCGTATCATCAATCTGCTGCATATATACCCCTCATCTCAAGTCGTTTCAAAACGCATCTCCACGTTCCGAAGTTCTTCTACAGAGTCTACAAGCCCCGCATCTCAGTCTACCTCTCTCCTGAACCAAGTCCTCCTTCCGCTTCATACATGGCACAGGGACCGCTCACCGGCTCTCTTCCTGTGTATTATGGCGAGCGGATGCAAGATGGGACGGTGATAGAGAGCCCTCGGCCTCGCCAAAGCGATAGCCGCGATGCCCTGCTGCGTCTTCCGATCCAGCCGAACGATGCCCATCTACAGCCTGAGGTCGTCTCTCCCGTCAGCCCTGCGCAGGGAGATAGTCTTGGTATCAGCTCTGGAACCCCTGGGCACGCCAAGAGCAAACAATTAGGCGGTGACCCTAACCGCTGGGTCCTATTTCCTCGAGGGGAAAGGGACGACGACTACCGTCACCGAAGTCACAGATATGACGGCTACGGACCTTCCGAATACCGAGGCTCAATGTCCCGCCGTGCTCCTTACGTTGAGGAGTACTCAGACGAAGAAGAGCATCCCAGAGCATATCGGCGTCCTGCACGCCACCGTAGTCGTCCTCCACCTGTCCATGGCCGCCGCGTGCCGGGCCCAACTAGTCGGTACTCCATCGAGCAATGAGGCAGACGTAGCATAGACAGCCATCGAGTTAGCTACGACTACGAGTCCGATACCCCGACGAAGCCGCATGACCATTACCAGTATGGGAGTGAAGATGATGGCCCACGTCGTCCCCGAACTGCTCACGGTGGAGGGGGCGATAGGGGCGGGGGCCCGCCCAGGCGTCCGCCGTCTACAGAAGTCATGCGTCTCCCGTGGACGATGTGGATGAACTCGAATGCGAAAAACCGTAGGTCTCGTCCCAAGCTCCGGTCCAACCTCAGATTAAAGCTTAAGCCGAAGCCCAAACTTCCTTCCCAAACTAATCTTCCTACCACTCTCCTGTCTTTGGTTCGGGAAGAACATCCTACGCTCCCGGCCCATCTCCAACATCGGGTACTGGTCCTATCCTAGACTTCGTGGCCTTCATTGGCGAATTCGTTGGCACAACTATGTTCCTCTTCTTCGCCTTCAGCGGGACCCAAGTGGCCAATATCGGCAGCTCCTCGAACTCGTCCAACACAACCACAGGCGCCGATACCGGTTTCTCGCCCGCCGTGCTGCAATATATCGCGCTCGTCTTCGCCTTCTCACTCATGGTCAACGTCTGGATATTCTTCCGCATTTCAGGCGGGCTATTCAACCCTGCAGTCACTTTCGCGATGCTGTTAACAAAAGCGATGACGCCCGTGAGGTTCTTTTTACTGCTCGTGGCGCAGATTGCGGGCGCGATTTTTAGCAGCTTTTTGGTTAGTGTGATGTTTCCGACGCCGTTGAATGTGAGGACGACGTTGAGCCAGGGGACGAGTCTCACAAGGGGCGTGTTCATTGAGGCGGTTTTGACGGCGGAGCTTGTTTTTACCATTTTTATGCTGGCGAAGGAGAAACATAAGGGTGGGTGGTTTCCTCCTGAAGCTCTGGAAAGACGGATGCAATGCTGACGAATTGTAGCGACGTTCATTGCGCCTGTGGGTATCGGCCTTGCTCTTTTCATCGCCGAGCTGGTCGGTGTGTACTACACCGGTGGCTCCCTCAACCCAGCGCGGAGCTTTGGGCCTTGTGTCGTTACTGGGGTGTTTGACCAGGAGCATTGGATCTACTGTAAGTGGAATCACGTCTCTCGTTGTCGGATACCTATACTCTCCCAACGAAGACGCCAAGCTAATGGAGGATAGGGGTTGGACCCGGGCTCGGCGCGATACTCGCTGTAGCCTTCTACAAGTTCATCAAGATCCTTAAATATGAGATGACTAATCCGGATCAAGATGCTGATGATAAGGATATGAAGGAAAAGCGCCACGAGTGATTGTGAGTGACGGGTAATGAGGTGGAGGCGGACCATGATTGATGAATGTGTGTATAGGGGATGTCGAGAGAGAACGCTCTACTTGGCGAAGGGATGGATTCATCGAGACGGTAACTTTATACGGTGTACAGCCAGATATGATTATGCGTCATGGCTGATGTTCCACATATTCGAAGGGGTAATGGAAGGAAATGCTTTGCGTTGATTCTCAAAGGCTGTCTGTGATTTGTTCCTAGATTGTATGTAGCATCGATGCTTTTTAATGAGGGAATGGGGCATCGAATGATGAAGTATCCATACTGAACGAACTCGCTAAGAAGGCGTACATTAAGGGGGTGTGACGACGTAAGAGCGAGCGTGATGAGCAGTCGTGTGCTCCCCGGCGACCCGATGTGCACAGACCAGTTCCTCGCGCGAAATCGGAAAAATCTCACTCTCGATTGCCGGCAAGCTCTAACCAACCTCTCGACAACCAACGCGGCCGCGCCCATCTCACCACCATCGCCAATTTGCCCTCTCCCATGACAACGATGTCTCTCGCTGCATCACGCGCCGTACTGCGGCACTCGACATTCGCCGTGCGGCGCGCGGGCATCCGCAATGCCTCGTCGACTTCCGAAGCTGCTGGCGCTGCGAAGGATAAGGTCGGCGAGACGGCAAGCAAGGCGGCACAGGGACTTTCGAGGGTGACGAGCTCAGCTGGCGCGACATTGAGCAAGGTGGGGAGTGCGACTGCGGGGACGCTGGGGAAGGTTGGGGGACGGACTGGGAGGTTGATTGGGAGTGTGCAAGGTTAGTATGCGCTATCCCACGGGGTGGATGGGTCAATTGGAGTCAGCACAGGTGCACAAATCGAGGCGATGGATACGAGGCTCTGGGGATGCTCAATGGCTAGTGTGCGCGGCTGTGTGAGGACTGGTTCAACCTGGGTTCGATATCACGTCCCAATGGCATCCGCTCGGTCAAACGGCTTTGCGAAGGATCCCAGCAACGTTTTATATGCACCACATGCTGACTATACCGATCTCTAGCACTGATTCCGCGCGTCGTCTACTACTCCAAAGTCGGTCTCGAGCTCGGCAAGCTGGTAGCTCAGCAGCGAGGCATGGCACCACCGTAAGGACCCTTTCCCATGATATCAAAATTCCAATATCAAATCTGCTAACCCTACTACTAGGAACATGGCGACTATCCAAAGTTACTTCATGCCCGCCCTCAATACCATCCGTCACCCGATGAGCCTGTTTATCCGAGCGTCCGAATCCGGCTCTGCACAACCCGTCAATATCCTCGCCCGACTCCGGAATATGTCTAGGGAACAATGGCTATCCGCCGGTGTTGTTACTGCTGAAGTCATCGGTTTCTTCACTGTTGGCGAGATGATCGGACGAATGAAGCTCGTTGGCTACCGCTCGAGCGCTCCAGCACACCACTAAGCGCATCGCAATCGGCAAGCAGAACAGAACTCGAAGCAACGAAGGCGAACTCTTCATGGATGAGCGCGGGGACGGATAAAGAGTGGTCATCCAAACGCTGAAACCGTAGATGATCCGCCGATTGGCAGCGGAAGGGTTGGAATTGTGCAGGTGGCGCACGTGTAATGGCCCCCACTGTACTCTATGCACATACTCTGGTTTAGATTTCCTTTTTTTTCCTGTGTGCAACTACTGGCAATGCATCATTCTCACCATGATATCAAGCTGTTCTGAGCCGGTGAAATGTGCCGGCGTTACTTTTCTCCGACTACCGAGGCCTAATAACTTTTCTGAGTGCAACTAGAACTTTTTGCGATCACGGAGAATTACCCACAAACACAATGTCAACCTCCTGAAACCCCCGCTACTCGCGAACTCGATCTTAAAATCGCCGAAATTAATAATGGACGTTTTTAAACTCCTGTCTCGCTCTTCGAAAGCGGTGCAAGCTCCTCCCACACACAAGCTACCCTCCGACGGCGCCGCCGCAAACCCTCAATTATTCGGACACGCTGAATCGAATGCAATAGAACATGCGGTAAATAAGGGCCAAAAGCGGAAGAGAGGCCAGGACACTGCAGAAGCGAAGGAGGAACTGCCCGCGGGTTTATATTTTTTCGGAAGCGCTCCCAAGGCGCCGGAAGCAGAGCATAAGGCAGATGCCGAAGACAAGGGGTGCGCGAAGAAGGAAGGACTCGAAAACGAAACAGTCGGCGATAGAGCTGAGGATCAGGATAGCACAGATGCCTACGATGAGGACGAGTGCAAGCGGATACTACGGTCGCACAAGTTAAAGATTATGGTGCTTGAGGATTTTAGGATGCACGAGGAGGATCCACAGAAGGAAAAGAAAAAAGTGAAGAAGCGGGAGAGGGAGAAAGAGAAGGTGCAGGATAAAAAGAAGAACGCGAAGAAGCAGCTGCTCCCACAGCCCTTAACGTCTTTCGCGCAGCTGAGATCAAGACATGGGATCTCGAGGCGGTTGGCGGATAATTTGAGAGAGCAAGGATATAAAGTACCCACGGAGGTGCAGCTGGGGGCGCTACCGTTACTGCTTGGGAAGAAAGGAAGTCGGGAAGCACAGAAAGGCTCGGAGCCCGGTTCGCCCAGTTCCTCCGGCGAGGAGTACGGAGGTGATATCGACCTTTTGACTATTGCGCCTACGGGAAGTGGCAAGACGATAGCCTTCTTGATACCGATTATCAATAAGCATGTCTCTCAGAAGTCTGATGGTGTAGAAGGGCCGCGCGCAGTGATCATCGCACCTACAAGAGAATTGGCATCACAGATTGTCAATGAGGCCCGGAAGCTTTCGAAGGGCACTGGCATCAAGGCTGCACTCATGAAAAAAGGCATGGAGGTCGTTGAGAGACCAGTGCATGAAGTGTCTGAAGCGTCTCTGGACATTCCAGAAGTCTCGGAGGAAGAAGGGAGTGCTTCTGACTCCGAAAACGAAGGAAAGGTTGCGCGATTGAAGAAGCGCACACATAGGCGCTCCGAAAAGCTGAAAGCCGCCATCCTCGTTGCGACACCCCTGGCTCTTTTGAATGCTTTAAAACTCAGGGACGACAAGATCGCCAAGCTCCCGAGCGTTCGTCATCTGGTCCTCGACGAGGCCGACGTCCTTCTCGACCCCCTTTTCCGCGAGCAGACTTTGGCAATATGGAATGCTTGCACCAGCCCGCTTCTTCGAGTGGGCCTCTGGTCGGCAACCATTGGATCCAACATCGAAGCACTAGCGATCAACACCCTCAATGATCGCTGGAGCACACTCTCATCCTCTAATCTCCCTTCTCGACGGCCCCTGATTCGATTAGTCGTAGGCCTCAAAGACACCGCGATACCTAACATAACCCATCAACTCACCTACGCCGCGACCGAGCAAGGCAAGCTCCTTGGCCTTCGGCAGCTCCTTCACCCGACCGCCGTCCCTTCTTCCGACTCCACGCCCTCCCTCCGGCCACCCTTCCTCGTCTTCACACAAACCATTCCCCGAGCCATAGCCCTCCACTCCGAACTCCTCTATGACATCCCGCCAGAGGCAGGCGGCAGCTCGCGCATCGCGGTTTTGCACGCCGACCTCTCGTCCTCTGCCCGTGAGAACATCATGACGCGCTTCCGTCGCGGCGAAATCTGGGTCCTCATCACAACCGACCTGCTCGCCCGAGGCGTCGACTTTCGCGGCTTAAACGGCGTTGTAAACTACGACGTTCCAAACTCCGCAGCTGCATATGTGCACCGCGTAGGCCGCACCGGACGTGCAGGACGCGAGGGCGGTGTCGCGGTTACTTTCTACACGCAGGAGGATATCCCGCATATCAAACTCATTGCCAATGTAATTCGTGCGAGTGAGAAGCTGAGGGGCAAGAGCGAGGAGGAGGCGAGTGTGAAGCAGTGGCTGCTTGATGCTCTACCGACGCCGAGCAAGCGAGACAAGCGGCAGCTGAAGAAGAGAGGCGTGGAGGCGAGAAGGAATGTTAAGGACGGAGAAGGCAAGGGCAAGATGCGGATTAGTACCAAGAGTGGGTATGAGAGGAGGATTGAGAATAGGAGAAGGGGCGCGAAGATGGCGCATAAGGAAAGAGGGAGAGAGGATACAAGGGCGATTCAAGCTGCCAGTGAGAGCGAATTTGAAGGTTTTGAGTAGAAAGAAAGCAGCTCAGGATCATTGAATGAAAGTTACATCGCACGCGTTTCCTGCCTCCAAGTGTACCAGCTTATTCATGGCATCCAGTGACTAGATCAAGAGGACTGCGCTCTTTCGCGAAGGCCCATCAAGCGGTGCTGCAGGCAAGTGCCGCCTCGGCCTCCTTTCCCCCGAGCCCTAGAACCTCCAAGCTCCACTCCACGATCGCGTCGCCCGAACCACACTTCCGCCCACAATCATTTAACCATCATGGCGTCTCTAAACCTTCGACCCGGTCCAATATGCACTTTACACTGCTTCTTACCATTCATCACACATCTAAGGACTCCTCTCCCGCCCTAAGCCTAAGCTCAAAGCTCCGCGAAACAGCCCCGCCTTCCATCCCACCACCCTCCAGCCCATCCAGCCCATCCAGCCCATCTACCCCGATAACCCTCAGCACAATGGCGACGCCAAAGCTCCTCGAGGGCAAAACAATGGCGATAACAGGCGGCGTGACAGGCATCGGCCGCGCCATCGCGCTGGGCTACATAACGCACGGCGCCAACGTGGCGGTGAACCATCTCGGCGACGCGAAATCGCGCTCGCAATTCCAGGCCATGCTCGACGAAGCCGCGCAAACACTGGGTAGCAAAGGGGAGGCAGAGAAGCAATTGGTGGAAGTACCGGGTGACGTCGGGGATCCAGAGACGGGGCGGAAGTTGGTGGAAGAGGTGGTGAGGAGATGGGGGCGGTTGGATGTGTTTGTTAGCAATGCGGGGATTTGTGAGTTTAGGGAATTCTTGGAGTATGTTTTGCCCTTTCTTTTTCATATCCCGCACCCTCTGTTTGTGTGAGTGGGTGTATGCTAATGTAGTCCTGTGTGCTTCGAACAGGATAACGCCACAACTCTGGTCCTCCACCCTAACCACAAACCTCACCGGCGCGTTCAACACCATCCAGGCCGCGGCCACTCAGTTCTCCTCCCAGTCTCCCCCGGGCGGCTCCATAATCGGCATCTCCTCCATTTCCGCCCTCGTCGGCGGCAGCCAGCAAGCTCACTACACGCCCACGAAAGCCGGCGTGCTCTCGCTCATACAATCCTGCGCCTGCGCCCTCGGAAAGTACAATATCCGGTGCAATGCGATCCTCCCGGGGACTATCAAGACGCAGCTCAACGATAAGGATCTGGAGGACGAGGAGAAGAGGAAGTATATGGAGGGCAGGATTCCGCTGGGGAGGACGGGCGAGCCGGGGGATTTGGTGGGGCCGGCAGTGTTTTTGGGGAGCGAAGCGTTGAGTGGGTATGTGACGGGGGCGCAGATACTGGTGGATGGGGGATTGTTTGTTAATCTGCAGTAGGGGGGTGGAGCGAGGGGACGAGGTGGATGTGTAGAGCAGTTTGTGAGGTTGATGTTTTATTGGAACAGGGGTATATATGTCTATCTATTCAGTTCATGTCTCCTAAACTCCCCGAGGAATATATCCCATGCTTCTTGGACAAGCCCTAGTATGCTTTACATGGACTTTTACCCTTACACTCGCACATATTCTCAAATCCCATCCAGCCCATAAGCCTCGGCCCCAGCCCTCCACCACACTCTCTCCCTCTCCTCCTCTCCCGAGCCCTTCTCCTCCAACCACCTCTCCACAACCTCCCTCCAGAGCGCCCAATTCCCCTCCTCCCCCTTCGGACCCCCGACATTACACACCGGCCAATCAGACCCAAACATAATCCGCTCACTCCCAAACACCTTTAGCACGTGATCCAAGTAAGGGCGCAAGGATGCAAGCAAGTCAGACGCTAATGACGGCGTAGCAGCGGGCGAGAACTCGTTGAAGGCGCCCGAGAGTTTCATGTATACGAGCGGGTCGGCGGCGAGGCGTGTGAGGACGCTGGAATAGCGGGGGAAAAGGGGCCAGGGAGTTGAGAGGTCGGGCTTGCAGAGGTGGTCTGGGGAGGGAGGGATTAGCTTGCTTGCTTGCTTGTTTGCGCGAAGACGGAGACGGAAATGGTACGATGGCGAGGGAGTCCTCTTGAGATGGCCAAGCTGCAGCCAAGGCTGGTGAGCGGAGGGTGGCTAGATGGCCTTTATGGCGCCCAATGTGCAGCTAGCTAGCAGAACTGAACTTTACCCATCGATGTTGACTGGCGTATGCCGCCGACTGATGAACACACGCAGGGTCCGATCCCCGTTGCGGGCTTGCAGCAAGCAAGATCGCCAAGGCACACAAACGCAGCTCATCTCGTATCGTGGCCGACGTTCTAGAACCCCAGCTCCGGCCAAAGAACGAAAGAAAAGAAAAGAAAAAGGAGCACTTACTCAGCACAAACCTCACTTTATTACCCCTCCCCTGCAGCTGCTCCACGGCCCTAACCCTCTCCACCATCCTAGCCACAACCTCCAAGCCCTCCACCCCATCCCTATGACAGTCCACGCCAACGTCAAAGCTCCAGCCCTTGCCCGCTCTTCCCTGCCCTATGCTAACGAGATTCGACAACCAATGCTCACTCTCGACGACGTTCCGGACCTCGTCCACGCCCTTGCCCTGTAGGAGATACCGGAAGCCTACGACTCTCTCCCAGGCCGAGGGTTGCAAGACGGATTCTACGATGCGCATGTAAAGACTGAATAGTTCGGGCGGCAAATGGAACGGCGCCCATACGACCAGGCCGACCAATCTCCTCCCATCATGTTCAGACGAGAAACCATCTCCATCTCTTGGCTCGCCTCCCACGATTCTCTTCAAGAAGTCTAGCTCTTCCAGCGGCGCTTTCGCCCAAGCTCTTAGCCTTCTCTCCTTCTCTTCATCATCCTGGGCGTCCTCCTGCATCTCAGGTACAGCACTTGGCAAGCAGCGGTCCGTCTCGACGTAGACGAAGCCAGAGGGCCGCACAGGCGAGGCCGACGTTGCATTGTCGTAGTCGGCTACCCCGTGGCGCTTGGCGAGCGGGTGGCCTTGCGTCATCCAGCCATGGTCTGTCGGAGCGGTTGCTGTCGAGGGCCAGAGGTGGATGTGGGTGTCGATGATTTTCGGGAGTGGCGCCATGGCGTGAGTGATATAATTGTTCTGCACCCCTTTTTTCACAATTTTGGCCTTCTTTTTTCTGTTTGCTAGCGAAGGAGTTTGATGTTGCGAAGGGAGGCCTTACGGTCCAGAGCAACTGTCAAGGGTCCGTTTTCATGGGGGTTTTGATGAGTGTTGCGTTTCGGGGTGCCGGGGGAGAAGCTGCCGAAACTGTGTAATTGCGGGAGCTCTAGCGGGGTAGGCAGGGGTGCAAGGTCGATTAAGAGGTCTGAGGGCTACAGTGGAATGACGTAATTGGGCGAGTAGCAATCAAAGTGTGTTGTAGGTCAACTAGGAAAACTTTTGCGATTGGAAGCTTGGAAGAAACGGCTCGCGCAGCAAGTTGATGACAGGGTATTAATCCGAGACGAGGAAAGATGAAGGATTGAAATAGCTTACAGAGATTCTTAACTCTACTATCAGAGTACTTTCTGCCTTGCTCCTCGCACATTACAGAAAGAGTTTGCTCTATAATGCCCGTACCTATCAATCATTGCTCCTGGCTGTGTGCTGCTCGGTTCTATGTTTCCAGCGACAGCTGTAGTTGCAATGATATCGTCATCAGAGCCCAGGGGCGGCCCGGTGTGTAGATGCAATAGCTTCCCAGGGTGCGTTGTCGTCTTAAGCAAAGCTATCAACCTGCCCAAGCAGATAGAGCTCGTTCTCGCTTACGACATCAGCATGGCCTCACACACCATATGCCGCACCCGGTTACGAGAGCACCCAACTGCCGAACCCGGGTATGTGATGGCTCGCTTCCTTGATTGATTCCCAGGCTGCCTGCTTACTTCCAACAACTGGAATGCAAGTCAGAACGAATCAAATGGTAATGTGAAGCTCGTGAAAAGCACATGTCAGACTTTGATAGAGGGCATCAGAGTGGGGTAGCTGACCCTGTACCTCTGTGCAAGGGTGAGGGGTACCGGAGAAAAGCAAGCCGACGACGCGGCTTAGACCGATCACGTGATACTGCAGCAACCCATAGCCGCGCGCTGGAAAGCAAGTGCGCGGCATGTCTGCAGCCGGCGACGTGCAGCTACGTGTCGTTTCATGTGCACATTGCACAGTGGGTGGAGCAGTGGAGCAGCTACTGCTTCGCTGTCACGCAACAGTTGGAGAAGACGAGAGCCAGCCAAGCGCCCCTTCCCCGCTTAGCTGCGAGCTGTTTGGCAGGGAAAAACCTTCCTCACCCACAGTAGTCGATGACAGGGACGGTACCTGTGTATGCATCCTCGCGTTGGACACGAAGGAACCGGTTCGGAGGAACCGCTGCTGTTAGCTTGTAGTCGTACATGCACGTTTCTGCCTCGCTATGACTAACGGTGCAAACCACTCTTCTGATATCTCCCCACACGATTACTCACGAGCTAGCGAATGTGATGCAGTTCCCGGAATTGGATCCATGGTTCGCCTTCGCGATCTGGCAGACACATTGACAGTAGTCGAAACGGGTAGCGCGATCTGTACCGCACTTCGAAGCGTCGGTATGCGTCTGAGTCATGTCCATTTTATACGTACTCGTACTGTATCCACCCTTCGGACTTGATGTCCAGCGAGTAGGAGATGGAGGTGAGGCCCGCCCCTGCTATGCGTGCCAAGCTAAGAACGGGACGAGTGGAGATTGTGTCATCAAGACCCTGATCCGGGTGAGCTTCGATAGAGTTGGCTGCAAATCATTTTAGGGCTGGGTTCGGCGCGAGGTTGGCCATCATCTGTGGCATCGGGCGAGACTAGACTAGTTCGAAGTCTAAGAATTTAGGCTTAGATGGACGTGTGGGAGCTAGCGACGATGACGATCATGTCCAAGCTTGGTTGCGATATAATTGTGTTCGCGGCTCGGAGTCCCTTAGATCGTGAGACTCGGTTCGGTCATGACTGATTTGGATTGGGACGAGGAATGCACTTGGCTCGAGTGACATGTCACGTTATGCGTGCGTTCGGCGTGTATCGCGTATATTAACAGCGGGGAAATACGCGGTCGAGACCCGGTATTCAACGTCTTGGATGCTTAATTGCCCGCATGAGGTTGTCGGTTTCAAAGTAGTACCTAGGGAATAATACTGCTAGGCTATCAAGACATCGTCAGCCTAATGAAACCTAGCGGATATTCCAAAATGAGTCGTGGACGTCAAGATGCAAGGCTTAGTTGAGCCTGTGCTCAAGGAATCGACGAATATTGCTGGGTTTGTAGAAGATCTCACATCTGATCGAGCGGAGCTGTGTCTCGACTGTTGAGAAGACCAGTGCCCAGGCGTTTCATGGTCTAGTTTCTGCATCCTGCGATGCGTTTTTTGCCCTAATGGTTCTGTTCACCTCTGGCGGCGAAGGTACAGATTATGTGCAGTAGTCCGCATGGTATTTCGACGGTTCCCATGGATCCGAGGATCTCAAATATCAATCCTTGGTAGACGTCGTTCGCAAGATCGGCTCTTTAGCTCGCAGGAACGTGATTCTAGTACCATAAGCTGGTGGCCGAAGCGCGAAAGACAAAGACATAGAGAGAGGAGGCAAGCGCGTGATTTGGCAATGATAGTCAGACCAGAACCGCAGCATAATTCCCGATTAATAACTCACCCTAAGGATAGTCGGGAGGGAACCGCGGAAAAGAACAGCGTTGTAAAATACACGGAAAGAAGGCACGCACGAACGAGTTAGAAGCGGGACTGCGGCTTCCTGGCTGATGTGAATCGAGGTCCATATTGCATGTGTCAACAGACGTGGGAGGATGGATCAATTGGTACGCCCGAATGTGGAGCGGAGAAAGGAACCTTGCTGAAGGCTGTCGAACGGGGAGAATGAGCGCGTCTGAGTTTGCAATTTGGCGAGTGCTTTTTCTGTGTGTACCGAGCTGTTGCCGGCGAATGGCGGTGGATGAGGAAATTTCTGCGTGGTCCCAGTACAATGGCATCCAGTGAGCAGAATCTGAGGGAAAAATAAATGTCGCCGGTCGACAGCGGCACGCGAAGATTGAGTCCGTTTCCGGGAGGTGCATGTCGTCAAGGTCTGCGGGCTGCATCCAAGGTACGTAGGAGTACATATGTACTGCGTGCGGATACATACGTGTTGGGCCAACAGCGGCCGTGAGACGCTCAACTACTTGTTCCCGCGAGGCCCGACTGATTGTGGCGCCTGCGTGCTCTGCAGCCGACCTTTTGAGGATGCGTTTTGATTGATGCCCCAGGCACCGGCACCAGCGTTGCCTATGCCATTGGTGGATGCCGGGTGCTGGCAGTACGCGGCACGCGATGCGTTCGACTGGAAGTCCGTTCCTAATACGGCCTGCATTCGGTTGCATCGGGGGTCCGGGTCAGTCGATGCGTGCATGCAGCCATGGCTCTCTTTTTTTGACGAGGCACAGTACGATGCATCTCTGGCCGCCGCGGTGCGTTGCGACCTGTTGCTTCGTGACGCATCCAGCAGGCTGATGAGACGTGGGACTGGCGGCGCGCCGCAAGTCGGCGGCAAGCCGACGCACGAGCAGTGCTCGAGTCGTGCTGGCCTGCGGGAGGCGGGAGATGACGGGCATAAGGTTTGCTGGACAAAGGGTCCTCTGCCTGTTTCCGCGACGAAGCCGGGGCGCCTTGCGTCCGTCATCGCACGCTCCCCAGATAGCGTATCACAGACCGGACAAAGCGCCGACTTTACGCCGCGGTTCCTGGAAATAATTTGGCTGTTCGAGCGCAGTGCCGTGAGGATGCGGGGAGTGCCGGACGCGGCGATGCGTCGACGCTCGGATGGATGCTGAGCGGCCCTGGGGTGCTGCCGTATGTGAGTCCCAAGCACGGCGCGCAGGGAGCCGGGCCGCTCGAGCTGGACGTGTGTGGTGTTGGTGAGTGTGCCGGTTGTGCTGTCCCTAGCCTCGACCCCTCAGCGCCATCGGCATCCGCTCGGACTGCCATGTACCAAGCGCGCCATCGTCAGCCTTCTCACTGCATGAACCAGCACGCAAAACGAGCGCAGGCGCTGTTGGCGAGTCTACATGTAACCCGCTGCCGCCACCGCAGGCGCTCTTCCGCAATCGACCGAAACGGGCGCTGGCCGAGGGTGGAGACGCGCCGGAGGAGGTTGGGAGGGAGCGGCGGCAGGTACCTGGGTACTCGCACCCGCACCTGCCGTGTTGGAGTGGTTCGCCGGCCTGTCCTCTCCGATGACAAATGGGCGCCCATCTGGGCTCGATAACGTGCCGCCATCGTCGCTCCGCAGCGCTCAGGGCTCAGGGCTTACTACTGTACAGGAACATGCGACCATCGAGCAGTGTGGGTGCGGGAAGTGGTTCGCGCTAGGCGGCGTCCGTGCGCGCTGAGGTGAACGCTAGGCGCAGCGTGGGAGAGAGGTCGCTTTGGGGCAGAGGGCAGAGGCAGTCCAGAGACGGCCGCCTTGCGGTTCGATTTAGGTTTGTGTCGCCTGCCTGCCCGCGACAGATCCGGCTTTTTGTGCGACGGCGAGCCAACCGCGCGGCGGCAGTAGCACAGTGGTGATGAAATCAAGGCATGCACGCTCAGACGGTGCGGTGCGGGGACACGAACGCGATCCACGAAGCAGCACCAGGCGCGAAGGGGGGAAAGGGAAGGGGACTTTTTGCAATAGACTACATGGGCGCCAGCTCTGAACATGCCGGAGATCAGGAACGCTGCAATTTTGAAAAAGCTGACCGGGAACCCTGCGAACGCCGTGTATCCGAATCCGTCCTTTTTAGTGCCTTGAGCAAAACTCCATCGCTGCTCCGCGAATGAAACCCATCGAGTTGCGACTCTATCGATCATGGCTGCGTGAAGCCGTGGTGCGGATCGTCGTGCGTACGTCTAAATTACTGCTTCCCAGGCCGCCAAGCGGCGCCTCAACTAGAGTCTAGCGGGGGTCTGCTGACCAAAGCAGCATCCATCCACGCTCTCGCGCCTCAGCTCACGCCCGCCGGCATGAGCGCACCGCGCTCGCGGAGCATCCGTCCCTGCGGCGGCGGTGTCAGTGGCGGCGTTATCGCTGCCATTGGGGGGATTGGAATCATCCTGATGTTGTCGTCTGCATCGGCTCCCTCTCGGGTGCCCCACGTCGTCTGGCGGCAGCGTGTCAGCAAGCGGCTGGCGTGAGCGGGTGCGGGGCTACGGACCTCTGTCACCGTGATGCAGCCGTACAGCTTGATGAGATTGTGGAAATACCCAAACAAGACCGACACGGCCACGAAGCGGACGTCGCCCGGGTTTCTTAACAAATGCGGGACTAGCTTGATCGTCTTCGAGAACAGCCAATGGCCGAGGAAGAGGGCCCAGAGGACATTACGCTGCCACCGCCCGGCGCCGGCACTCTCGTCCTGCACGGCCGCGTACCCAGCCTCAGACAGTGTGAAGTAGAAGGACGCGACCAGCAGGCAGTCGTACAGGAAGGCCCATTGCGTGAGCGTCGTCTGGAACACGGCGTACAGAGACCACGGGTAGTTTCTGTTGCGCGAGGGGTTAGCGATGGCCCTGGCTCGCAAGAGTGGAGGGGGCGGCTTGGCGCTTAACGACGCGAAATTTCAGAGCTCGACGGGGGTGCCCTCGGCCACTTACAACCACATATGCAGCTCGCTCAGGCTGGTCAGGTTACTCCTCCAGTTGCTGCGCACCCACCGCAGGCATTGGCGCAGATACTTGGAATCGTCTTCCAGCGTCGTCTCCACCTCGCACTCGCGGTGGTTCTGCAATTGAATCTTCCAGTCGTGCGAGAAGAGCCAGCGGGTGATGAAGTTGTCGTCGTCGGCATTCAGGAAGTGGTCGCTGCCCCACGTCTCGTGCGTGAAGCCGTAGGTGAAATTGGGGTCTTGCAGGATCTCCGACCGATATGCCACGGCGCGTCCAGAAAGACACGGCAAGCCACCGTCAATCCAGTTGCAGGCCGTGCAGTCGAAGTTCCTCCGGACCAGGTATATTGCTCCCAGGAACTCCCAGATGTTCGAGCGGTTGCACCGCCGAAGCTGCTGGTTTGTGCCCACCCCGCCCACGCGAGAATCCTCGAACGGGGCGAGGATCCATTTGGTGAACTTCTCGGGGAGCCAGACATCATCATCCAAGAGAAGTGTGATCTTCGTCTGGACCTCTGGGATCGCTCGAGACAGCTGCCGGCGCTTGTTCGCCTGGCTGACGGAGAGCACTTGGATCTTCTTGGGGCAGCCCAGCTCTTCAACCATCTGATATAGACGCTTGACTCTGGAGTCCGGCGTCACCAGAAGCAGTTCGAAAGGCTCCAGGCGGTAGGCGGTTTGCACCGTCTCCTTCAGCTGCTGGATATCCTCGGCAACGGTCGGAATGATAACGGTCATGTCTTGGGACGTGATGGTCGGCTCGTCGACAGGCTGTATCGGCGTGTAGAACCAATTCGCCGCTAGATTGACCCATAGCCGCACGTAGCGGAAGAGACTGCAGGTGCACGTTAGTAGCAGGTACCCAGCGGCGGCGGGCAGCAGACAACGGTTGCTGGGAGGGAGGGCGAGGTGACGACGTACAATAGCGCCAGAAAAATGCAGAACCAACTCCAATTAGGGAACATCCAAAATGAAAAGGGAAACATGGTAACGACCAACGAGCGTGACAAGAAAGCGGAACTGCGGAGTGAAACGGGGACGAAGATCACATTGATGGAGGAAGGAATCCGATGGTTCCCCGGTGGGAGCGCGAGAGACTAAATATTTAAGCCACATGTTTGCGGGCCCGGGGCGGCGAGATGATGGTTCGCGTCCCGGCGCTGTTTAAGCTGCAGGAGATTTCTCTTAGCAGCATTGGGGTAGTGTTAAGAGGGCTGGAGCATGAGGTAGTTGCAAAATTCCAGAGGAGGACCAGGGTGGGCGCCATTTCGGGGCTAGCAACATGCACCCACTAAAGTTCGAGCGTCATGCTTGGATCCCGCCCGCCGTTGAAGACTCGCATATTTCGGGCCACCCTGGCGCAGCGCTCAGGGATCGTCTGCATCGAGCTCGAGTTGTCGACCAGCCTGCGATGCAGCCGCCCCAAGCTCGCTCCGGCCGGGAGGTGCTGCGGGCACGAGACTGACGCCCCCGCCGCCTCCATCACCTCATGGCGCCATCAGCGCGACAGCAGCGGCGGCCACTCACCGGCGCCGTGTGGCAGCGAGGATGCCGCGCGCGTGCTCGCCATGAGCCCTCCAGACGATGCGGCTGATGATCGCAGGCCAATATATCGCGTCTCCGCTTGGCGGGCGGCGTCGGCGCCAGTCCGCATCTGAGATCAGGGCTCTAGGCCCCAATTGCGCACTGCTCTGAGAGTGCCATGCGCTAGCCGCTGCAAGCGTCTCCAGCGTCGTGACGGCAGGCGCACCCGTGGCGCAATGGCCGATAGGCGCTTCACTCGCGGCAGGGCTGGCGTTGAGTTCCCTTGCGGTCGCCTGGCGCAGTGCCGTGCCGTCGGCTAATCGTGATATTATGGTGGCTCGCCATCATGCCCGTCTCCCAGCACACTGCGGCCCCTCCGGCGGCGGTTGCAACAGCTCTTCCATTCTGTCCGAAACGTTGGCCAACGGGGAAATTTCCCAGCGCGCTGCTCCCCTTAATTGCGTGCGCCTGGTTAAGTGGGCGTAGCCGAGCGCCCGCAAGGCCTCGCCGAACCGCTGATTGCGGGACGATGAGATCAATGCCATGCCTCTGGGGTCGGGCGGCCTGCTAGCAGCGGCAGCTGGTGGCGTCCGTAGACCGCTCGCCTACGCCGTCTATCGGACACATTGCCAGATGAAGCGAGCACTCTCCCTCCGCACTGCTCGACTGAGGCAACATGCGCCCGCCGTACCTCAAGATTGACAACAATCAATATCGCTGAGCCAACTGCGGCCAACAGAAGGGGACGGTTGGCGAGGTACCTGGCGTCGGCTGAAAGAGACCTTGGTCCGCATCTGCCTGCAATACTAAATCAAGCTCATGTAGGCGGCGCGTACGGGGCATACCTTGTCCATGCAGATCCACAGGCATCGGTCCGCGGGAGGTCATCCGCGCTCCAATGGATGTTGCTTTGGACGCCTGTCGTGGCCCATGCGTGCATGGTTTGCAGATATTGCGTCGTGGGTGTGCAGAGAGACCCACGCCGCGGGAGATCGAGCGAGTGGCTTGCCCCAAGCATGCCCCTCCGACGCATGAATCTGCCTCTCTATTCGCTTTTGTGGACTCGGCGGCATACCGAAATGTTTTTGTGCGAGGAGAAACTTTCCGTAAAGTATATGACATGGCGTTCTTTCAAGTGACTTCGTGGGGGAGCGAGCCCCCAGAAAGCATCGAATAATTGCCTGGACTTCAGAGAAATGCGTAGACGATGAGGACATGTCGTCTAAAGAAGGTTGCGTCAGTTGTCCAAGAAGCATAGAACGGACATGGTGTCTTGCATTCGCGGAGATACAGCCGCTTCCACGCGAGAGCCTCATAGCCGTATCGAGTAGAGCCAGAGATTCGCATCTGTACGCAGATGAGATGTCGCATGATGCCTGAACGCACCAGCCACCTCCACCCGGATGAGGCGCGGCTTAAAGTAGATTCCGCAGTGACCGTGCCTTACGGCCCGGTCTCTGGTCTGGTCAAAAGGGTCTCATCGTCGCCGCACGCCTCTCCTTCTTAGGACAGCACTGCACCAATATGTTCGCCCTGCAAAATTTACCTTCTCGAAATAGATCATCCGTGATGGCTCACGGCCCGGAGAGCAATTTGCCTTTGCCCTCAAAACAAGCCGACGCTTGTGAACTGACGGCTGGTACTGCTGGAAAGCGGCTTTTCCCTAGCCTAAGCGACAGGGGGTCTTTAATATGACAACACCTCCAGTGACATGCGACCGGCTTGTGTTCCTCATTGTCGGTATCCTCATTGCTCGACCAGACTGAAAAATTTTCACAAGAGTCTGGGTTCTAGCTGCGGGATCAACGACGACATCTGTTGATTAACCGGACAAATCAATGTAGAACCCGTTCAGGAAGCTGCTGTTCTTTTGAGGCGTGAGCGGATGCAAAGATAAGCCATGAATATGGGGAGCGTGCAGGAGTGCCCACTCTCAACGGCTAATTGAACCTGCAGGATGCAGGCGCGGATGTGAAATGCAGGAGCCTACAAGAACTCAGAAAATGCGGCTTGCGAGATAAGAAATGCGGCTCTTGCCGGAGTGCTCCAGAGAGACAGGCCGTACAGGACTTCACATTCCGGAATCTCTTCGCCAGCTCATCAAAGCGTCTTTTACATACGCCAGCAAATAGCGCATCTCAGTTGACCACAGCAAGCCGAGAAGGCAATACCGCCGATGCAAATCTCCTCTATGTGTCACCGCCCCGGCCGCTTAGGGATAGCTGGAGGCGTAAAGGCAGTGGTCGTTCGAAGCGGCGATGTCTGATCTGGAAACGTCCAATTTGATTGAGACGGATCCTACAACCAGGCGCAGCTCGAATACTCGACAACGTGGCCGTTGGAGCAGGGGCCGCAGAGGTTGGGCGGTGCCTTTGAAGCATTGCAGAGATATTCCACCAGAGGTACCAGTCCGTCCAACGCCACGCTCTATCTCAGTGTATCCGGTCGTAGGCACTCCCACGATGTTCGCGCAACAGCAGGCGGTATGTGTCGGAGAGAGAGGCCGGGTATGAAAACGTCGGCTCCCGGCGAAGGATGCCTTGATGAGGTTTCGGGAGGCGTTCGCGTACGATGAACGGTCAACGAGCGGCCGAGTGCGGCATCCGGCGCGCACAAGGCCAAATGGCTAGATAAGAACCTCCGATGGTATCTCACTGGTCCATTGAGGTCAGCGCACCGTCAGCTGGCCGCATCTTTGGGCGGATTCAGCGCTGTTCAGTCAGTGCGGATGGTCACCGAAGCGTGGTGATTGCAGCAAGCGACTCCCGCAGCCTGACGGCCTTGGAAGCTGCACAGCCACACGTTGCGGTGTCCGTCGTAGGGGCTGCTTCTAGTGAGGGTCGTGTGCAGACGCGGATCGGGTGGACGCGCTGCGCCGGGCTTCCGGAAGAGATGTTCTCCTCAAAGACTTGTGGGGTGGGCAGCGTGTCCTGGACGACGGAGACGACACGCTGTGGCAGGCAGAGATGATGGACATGCGGTGTTGATGGCGGTGGTGGTGGTGGAGGAGATGGCTCGAGGGGCTTGGTGTTGAGTCTCGAGGGGGCAGTCACGCCAACCGCCTAGCGTACCAGACCTCGACACGACCCCCCGAAGCGGCCAAGTGTGTCCAGGCATTAGGCAATAGCCAGACGTCACGCAGCTTGCCCTCCACCCTCCAAAATCCCCGGAAACTTTCTTCGCGAGCCGCTTGTGAACGCGAGCCCACCCTCCCTACCATCGCGAGGGCCGGGGTCTGCTGTGGTTCCGCTGCCAATCCTCTCAACCCCGGTCCACGTCCCCTCGATCTGGGTCAGCTAGTGAGTCGTGAGCGCCCGTCGGCTTCATGGAACCCCCTGCATCGCCCACGGCTGGATGTCACTTCCCCACACCAGGACCCTGGGCAGTGACGCTCCTCTGCATAGCACGCGCCCTCACCACGGCCATTAGCAGCCTCGGAGACTGGCTTCGCTGCCTGCGTTTAGCAGTCGGACCGCCGGCGACGCAGCGAGTCCCTCGCACACCATTACCCTGGAACGCGGCCTCCCTCCTGTTGTCCCACCCCTTCGTAGGAGGAGGAGAATCTACCCGAAATCCCGCGAGACGCATACCTCAGTCCCGGCCAACCGTATTAAGTTTCGCCAATTCCATTATGCGCAGCCCGCATACACGAGCCGGCCTAAAGAATGACGGACAGGCCCTTTTCGGCGCACCCCGGCCCTTCCACTTTCGTTGGCTACTCCACTCCTTGTCTTTCTCACCAAACGGTGGGCAAAGCCACCTCAGATGTGAGGCTTCTGCGAGTACAAGGTGGGCTTACCCACCCACTTCCTATTATTCTCCTTGCAGCACTTGCCTGTCCTTGATCCTGCTGTTGTTCTCCGCTTTTGGTCGTTGCCGGCTTCGCCTTGCATACAGGCGACTATGGTCTATCATCGTTCTGCAAGCTAGCCAGCTGAAGCGGCACGAAGCTGCGTCAAGATAACCAATCTCCGTCCGCCAGAGTAAGCGATTCGCCTGCGAGCAAGAAACCGACCACTGTGCCCTGGCTCCACGGTCGATGCGGCTAGATTTGCGCCAAGCGCCTTCGTCGATAGCAAGAGTCGATCTGATGACGTGCATCGGCTGTCAGGGCGTGTTTGACCCTCCAATGGCTGTGCCGCAAGCGCGCAACCTCCATCCTCACAGTGAAGTGTCTACTTCGCGTACACTGTTTCCTTCTCAATGGCACACTTTCATACCGATTGGCTTATGCGAGTGCTCCCCGATGCCCGAGCCATGCCGATAGATGAGCAATTATTCAGACCTAATCTATGCCACGAGGCTTAGCCATTCCACTCTTTAGGGACTTACATAATGCAGGTGGGGGAACTCTAGTTAAAACACGTGATCTCTTCTTGCTGACTCACTACCCCCAGTCAGCCTTCGAGACTCTAGAGTTAGAGGCACAAAACTTCGAAAAGCATGGAAAATCGAACTGCGGATTGGCCCGCCGGCCTTATCACCATCAACAGATTGTCTCGATCACCCCTGTCAGGCTTCGGCACTGAATCTTAGGTATGTAATCTGTTCTCTGATCTGATGTATGCCTTCTGATTTCCTAAGGGATACTCTCGTCTGCACAGCCGATGGCATCATCTATCCTGTTGTCAACCGTAAGCTGCATCCGGCAAACATAGCTTGTAACTTACACTGACACGCTATCCAATCGAGATTGTTGAGTGCTTTCGCTGCACAGACTGCAGCATCGTAACACCGATCAGAATGCGTCATATCTGCATGTCATAAAGGACTCTAATAGTTTAGCATTAAGCCCCCAGGGTTCTCCCCTCCATCTTTTCCGAGTCATTATTTATCCGCATGGTTGTCAAGGCGTGGGAAGCAGAGCGCCGGTCAAAAGCCCAGGATCAAATTAGGTCAACAGACAAATGGTCCCTCATGCGGGCTTTCCACCAATACAGCCTTCCATTGCCTTGAAAATTGGCAAACGCATCGAGACAAGTCAGCCGAGCGGAGGACTCCAGCGCCATTACGGATGGCGAGAAACTATGGACCTCTGCGGTTCGAGTGCCACGACCGATTGTGGATGCACGAATGCATCCACGTTTCTTGGCTGTAGACACGATCCTGTTTACGCAACCACATAAGCCAGTTCCCGTTTGCTTCGCGCGTCAAGCGACAATACTTCGTCCAAGAGCCACCGGAGCTTTTTAAAGACACTCAGAGTTGGGCAGAACGCAGAAGAGGGGCTTTGGAAGCAACGAAACCCATTAGGAAGGCAGACGCTGCATGGCTTGGATGGCATGCCAGCGCCGTTATCGCTACGACTCGATTGGGCCGGTTGGAGCACTGCAGCATCGAGACTGCAAATTGCGGGGGGGGGACGTCTGGTCGTTGATTAATATGGCGCCGGGTTCGAGAAAGACGGGGTTCGAGAAGCACGCGATGCAGGGCCCTTGCTTGTCTCAGCCGAAAAAGGCGCGCTAGCGAAGGCTTACTCAAGATCTCAAAGCTGATTGCACAAGCAACACTTCGCGCCTCACATTTAGAGGGGAAATGTGATATATCACACTTTTCTCTTCCCGCTCGACAGCATGATCCTCCCCCGACACTGCGGGCCCTTAGGCAGTTCACGCACCACAGCAATTCGCCTCTCGCAGGTGGCACACCACTTCGCCGTTCATGCCAAGAGGATGGCGCCCACTCACGCGTCTTACGATTACATCGTGATTGGGGGTGGTAGTGGTGGATCTGGAGCTGCCCGTCGAGCTGCGGGTTGGTATGGCGCACGCACCCTCCTGGTGGAGAACGGCAGATCCGGGGGGACCTGTGTCAATGTGGGGTGAGTACGCGGGATGTCGTGCAGAATGGTCGTGTGCACTGACAGAGCCTGCCGCAGCTGCGTGCCCAAGAAAATGACCTGGGTAATTGTCCAGGGGCGGTTCGGGAGGCATGAGACTTGTGGCTAATCGTGATGATAGTACTTCGCGTCGGTGAACGAAACTTTGAAGGGAGCTCACAACTACTTCTACGAGATCCCCGACGTAAAATTCCATTTCGACAAGTTCAAAAAACGTCGAGATGAGTCAATCCTAAGGTTGAACGGAGTCTATGAGCGGAACTGGACTCGTGAAGGCATCGACTTGGTCCACGGAACCGCTAGATTTATCGGCCAGAAAGAGATCGAAGTAGATTTGCAGGATGGCTCTGGCAAATCAACGTTCACCGCGAACCACATACTGATTGCCACTGGAGGGTATCCACTTCTTCCAGGCATTGTGGGAGCAGAGCATGGCATTACGAGTGACGGGTTCTTTGACATGGAATATTTGCCCCAAAAGATTGCCGTAGTCGGAGCCGGATACATTGCGGTTGAGCTTGCTGGGGTGCTGAACGCCATTGGTGTTGAAGTCCATATGTTCCTCCGCGGAGACACATTCCTCCGCACATTTGATCCAATGATCCAAGAGACCATGACGAAAGCGTACGAGGATGCAGGAGTGATTATTCATAAGAGATATCCAGGCTTCAAAAGGATCGAAAGGCTCGACCGATCACCCGCATCCGTGGCTGATGGAGAAGCCCATGAGAAGCGCGCTGACGGTCCGTCTCCTGATAAACACCTACGCATCACGGATAACGAAGGCCAGATCTACGACTTCAATGAGCTCCTCTGGGCTATTGGCCGCGCACCTGAGACTCAAGACCTGCACCTCGATGTTCCAGGAATCCAGCTCAGCAAGACCGGTCACATTGCCGTCGATGAGTTCCAGAACACTAACATCCCAGGCATCTACGCGCTCGGCGATGTGACAGGCCAAGCAGAATTAACGCCAGGTATGTAAATGCATACGAGCGGGGCCCTTGCCACCGGGCCACTATGGCGAGATCTAAGAAGCTTACACGCTTTTTCCCGCAGTGGCGATCGCTGCAGGAAGGCAGCTCGGGAACCGACTGTTCGGGCCGCCTGAACTGAAGAGCGCGCGGCTCGAGTACGAGGGTATTCCGACGGTGGTGTTTAGCCATCCCGAAGTCGGAGCGATTGGACTTACCGAGCCTCAAGCTGTTGAGAAGTATGGGAGGGAGAATGTTAAGGTTAGTGTGGTTGCTTCTTGTCACGATACTTCGGTGCGCACTAACACCATGTAGGTTTACAAGACGAAGTTCACTGCGATGTATTTTGATGTCTTCCCCGCGGAGGAGAAAGCCAAACATCCGACACAGTACGTACCGAGCTTCTCTCTGCTGGTTACACGGTCCCACTTTTGTGCTTCATCCCCTCCCCCGTCAACCTCGGTCCTTCTCTAGCCTACTCTCCTATCCCGGACCTTGTTCCGCTCTTCCGCAATTCTGCACGCTAAACCCACACCCTCAGGTACAAGCTCGTCTGCGCGGGCCCGAACGAGAAAGTAGTTGGCCTCCATATACTAGGTGAAGGCTCCGGCGAGATGCTGCAAGGCTTCGGCGTGGCCCTCAAGATGGGCGCTACGAAAGCCGACTTCGACAGCTGCGTGTACGTTCCTTCTACCTGTGTCCACTTTTATGCAGGATGCATCCTCTGACAAACCTTGCAGCGCTATTCATCCCACATCTGCAGAGGAACTCGTCACTCTGCGGTAATAGTAGTTATGGAGCCTAAACACAACGCGTTCAGTACTGTGTTGCGATTTCTCCATTCAACCTCAGATCGTGAATGCTGCCCGGAACTCCATCTCACCTCCGTTTTCCGCCTGCCTTTCCACCTCCCCTCCCACATCGAGCAGTCTACGAAAGTCAAATACCCACTTCTTGACCTTTCTCCCCACAACATACTGCCCACTTCTTCCCTCCCAATGTGCATCCCAAACCCACTCTATCCCCACCCCACCCCAACAACATTCGACCCGCGTCTCCCTAACCTCGACAACGAGTCACTGCTTAACCCACCTCCCCCAAATTACGCAACGTCATCCCCGAAATCTCTCCCTCCATACTTCCACTTACACAAAACCCGCCTTGGAATTCCCGCTCTTTCCGCCCACAGTCGGTCGCGCCATGACAAGAGCGCTATTGTATCTATCCGTCCCTGCCAGAAAAGGAATGAAACATCCCGTTCGGGAGCTGGGCTCAACCGGCTCTTCTCCTCCAGCAGCAGCGGTGTTCGTTTCACGTTCCTACTTGTTCCCGCCGCTTTTTTGGGGTGGTTTGATTCCCGTCTATAGCCAACCGAAGGGATGGATGTGGCTCCGCCTCCTACCTGCTTGGCCGCGCTGGAGCTAGAGCTAAATAAATCCGGGGCTAGAGATTAGATTAGCAGTACAGAGTTGCCTTGATTAAATGGCATTGTGTGAGGTCGGTGTACGGGTGCTGGGCTGTAGTGACTTGATAACGGAATGGGGATGTAGTGTGTCTGTTACGGACGTCGCAGGTCTACGTTTGGGGATTTTGAAATCTAGGTAAGAGGTTGCGGAGCTTAGAATATTTATGAGGACGATACGCTACCGTGCTGGTTAGTGGAAAGAGTAAATATTATGGTATATTCCAGGCAAGCGGAATGGCGTGAACGGAATAGCCAGCTAGCTTCTGGTGCCCAGGAGAAGTAATCGATCCATAGGCCTTGGAATTTATAGTCGAGAATGTATCATTCGAACCCGTCATCTAGTGGTAGCAAATCCATCCGCATCTACACTCCCTTGTTCCTAACCTGTTATCACATGCCCAACAGCACTACAAATGTCGCCTTCCCAGCAGCACCAACATGTTCCAAGAACGCACTCAACTCGCCGTCATCATCAATCGCCACACTAACCTCTCTTTCCGCTCCACTGCCTCTATGCACTACTAGCCCCTCGAGCTTCAGTACCATAGTTCCCGGATGCTCTCGCATAGCCAGGCCTCTTACTTCTGAAATAGTTCCAGATTGTAGAACGCTTAGCCACACGGTTTTGTTGGGGAAGGGCGTAGTGGAGTGCGGATGTAGGCGGAAGTAGATGGGTAGGGTGACGGAAGGCAGGTTTTGCTGGGAGATTGAAGTGTATGGATTCTGTGGAGGGAAGGCGTGGTGCTGGTGTTGGTGGGAGTGTTGGTTGTATGATGGTTCGTGGGATGCGGGCGTTAAGATTGATGCATCGCTCGCGGCTAGCAAGAGAGACGGATCGATCTGCAGGTCGGGAGACGCGGAGATGACGGGTATGCTGTTGCTCACTTGTGCAGAACTTCTGTTGGCGGACCGTGACCGGCTCCTCAGATGAGTATTCGACGCATGGGGGATGACCGTAGGAGGTGCGGGTCCAGGACCTGGGCCTCGGTGTGCCTGCTTCCTCGACGGGTCTTTCTGGCAATTCTCAGCACGCAGACGCTTCATGACATCGCGTGCCAGTACTTCAACAGCTCTCCATTTCTCCGCATGCTTTGGGTCCGCTTGTCCACCCGCGAAGACTCCCCTTAAGAGTTCTGATCCCTGGACCCAGCGCTGTTTGAGCTCGTTCCAATGCTGATCACCCGCTTCGAACTTGTTCGTGAAGTGATTCACCTTCAGTATAGCCATAAAGGCAGCTCTCACCTCCCGAGTCTGCTCAGGATTGAGACCAAGCGCGTTCTTCGCTTCAGGAATGCCCAGCCGGCTTTCCATGGTACGCATTCGCTTCGTGACGTCTTGACATATGACATCCAGTGACAATGCTTTGTGATTCTTCGGCCGCCACATGGCGTCATTCTGCTCCAATACCTCGGATTCTTGCCGAAAGACACTCGATAGGTGAGCGTTCTCGCGAATCAGCCCTTGCAGTAGCTGTGCCCATTTCTCAGGCCCAGCAACGGTCTTCTTGATTACGCCCTGCTGTTCGCAGATAGCCTGGAACTGCTCCCGCACCTCCTTGTATAGCTTGTTATCCAGACTAAGATAAGCTTTGCTTTCGTCGAGCGTCGTCTCGGAGGGAAATCGAGGAGGTTGGCCGGGTGCGTCGGCGGGGAGGCCAGCCCAACCTCTTGTCCGACGGCGTCGCTTCCGCGTCCGCCATTTCTCGTCGCTCTCTACTTGTAATTGCTCCTGCCGAAGCTGCCTTCGCAAGGTCTCGGCCGGATCCAAGGCGTGTGTCTCGTGTTCTGCGGGTGCCGATGCTTCTGCAGATTCCAGCTGTCCTTGCAAATCCTGCTCTTCCTCTCGATCGTGGTCCGACTCCTCTTCCTCACTCCAGCCATCCTCCTGCCGTATCGCATCCGCCAATTGGCCAATCCGCCCATTTCCAGGGCCACCCTTCCGCTTCTTCAGCTTCCTCTTCGGCCCCTTCTCATGTTTCTCTTTGTTCTTCCCGCCTCTGCTGGCACTTTCTCTCAGAAACCACTTGAAGCGTAGCCGCAGCCGCATGAGCTCGCGGTCGTTGATCTGGAAGCCCTCAGCCAGGAGCGTGTCCACCATGTCCCTCTGCATGTAGTTCTTCTCCCATAGTTCCTTGACGCGGGCGATGAGGGCCGGGTTCTTGTGCGCGGGGTTCTGCTTGCTGGGAAATCCCCATCGCTGCGTGCAGTGCATTAGCTACGCGGCCAGGGCAGCAGAGGCGGAGGTTGTAGCTCGAGGTGTGACGAAGGGGCATGGCCGTACCTTGAACTGTGTCTGGAAGGCTCGCTTGCTGCGGACGCGTCGTTAGCTTTCTCTTCATATTTGTTGCTATCGGCAAGCGCATAGCACGCACTGCTGTCGGACGCAGTGCGCAGATTCATACGGCGAGCCATGTCTCCAGCAGCGCAAGTAACCCACCTCGGCGTGAACCCTCTCTGCTCCCAATACTCTTTGACCTCATCGAGGCTCCTCCTTTCTTGGACGTACAGTCTATGGCATTCGGCTTCTTTTCCGTCCCAATTGTATACCATGGCGGAGGTGCGTGCGGGATCGTGGTCGTGGTGGGGGGAAATTGCGCAAGTAGTAGGTTCGCAAAGACAAATCGCCCGCCGCAATGCCAAGACGCACGGTGGTTCCACGACTCTTAGGCAACATGTGCTTGAACTAGCGGATGAAGTACACCGTAGCCTCTTGATTGTATATTTTCGCAAGCTGCCAATATGCCCGTCTGCTTGCTCGAGCTCGAATTGAATTACCAATCCCCTGAATCCACCTCAATCAAACGCATTAGCCCAATGCTAGATCATGAATCTTGTTGCCCGACTCCATCTTTGACCCAAAGCGAACTGACCCGCCCAGATGTGCCGGCCTGATTCTACCAATCCCGCCCTAAGAATAATAGTAGCACAGCTTTTCATCTTTGCATGCTGAAGCCAAGTTGTAGCAGCTCCAAACACCGAACAGAATGCACCATCCAATGCTCCCAAGTGTGCAAAACAACCGAATACAAATCCCAAACAAATCCATCTCTATTTCCCACCAGCGAATGAGATAAAAGTGAGCAACGTGCGTTCCTTCATATCGAGTAAGGTGTAATAGACGGCTTACTGGGGACAACCAGTCCTAGAGGGTCCGGACTGAGGGTATCGGGGTATTTCATTGTGAGTTCTTCGATCTTGGGTATCAACTCTAGGATGCGGAATGGTTTCGAGACGACATCATCCTTGCCCAAGTCAGTTTTGCATTCCCAAGAGTCCCGCCTAGAGAGGAGTGCTTACCATGCCAGCAGCTAGAAGCGTCGCAATTTGCTCGCTTCTCGCGTTCGCTGTGACCGCGATGATGGGTACATGGCCTTTGAAAAGGCCTTGAGCTTCAAGTTCCCGGACTTTGCTCGTGCACTGCAAACCGTCCATGACTGGCATTTCCTTGTCCATTAGTACGACGCCGACGTCTGGCGCGCCAGGCCCATGCTCTTTCCAGTATTGCGATTGCTTGAGCTTTTCAAGTGCTTCGCCACCATGGTTCGCAACATATGTCGTTACGCCGTGATTCTGAAGTTGACGCTGCAGCACCCTCTGATTGACTGGTCGCACGTAAGCTGCGGGCTACTCTTGCTGGTATCCGGTACTTACCGAGATTGTCTTCCACGATCAAAACCTTCAAATCCGGTCTCCGAGCCTTGATATCCGCCACAACAGCCTCCTTCGGCACCGCTGCGAAGTCTCTGATCTTGGGCGGCTCCGTTCGGGGCCCTCCTCTAGCATTTGATAGCTGTCGTGCTAGTGACATAGGTATATGCCCGGCGGCATCCTTCGGTTCGGCTGTCTTTCGACATTTGATGTAGAAAGCAAAGGTGCTTCCTTTTCCGGCTTCGGAAGCAACGCCGATTTCCCCTCCCTGAAGCTCAGTGAGTTCGCGTGAGATGAACAGGCCAAGGCCAGAGCCTCCATATTGAACATGCGTACGGGGGCTTGCTTGTGAAAAGCGTTGAAAGAGTAATTTCTTCTCTTCGGCATTGAGGCCTCGCCCCGTGTCTTGCACCGCAAACTCAAGGTAGATCTCTTCTCCGTCACCCCAGTCAGACCCGAGTGTCTGGTCGACGCGTTTGGACCTTGAGGGGAAGAAGCTGACGCGAGGTGATTTACTGGCCGAAGGCGGCTCTTTTGAGGCAGAAAGAATGACTTTGATCGTGCGACTGGATTCCGGTGTAGTAAACTTGATGGCATTGGTGGTGAGGTTGATGAGCACCTATACCTAGCCGTTAGCAAGGATTTGTCAACAAATGCCGAGCGACTGACCTGGAGCACTCGTGAAGGATCTAGCTTTACCCAATCAATGTTAAGCTCTTTGTACGAGGCGCTCAACACGAAATCCATCTGGATGCCTGCAGTTTGCACTTCTCCTTCAAACATCTTGAGCGCGCGCTGAACAACTTGCAGGGGCTGGGCGTCAACAGGCGTCACCTATACAAACCATTAGCTGAAGGAGGTAAAAGCGGGCAGTCATCATACCATAAGCATCGCACTGTCAAGCTTGGACAGCGTGAGGACGTCATCGACAATCCTCTTCTGATGCTGTGCACACAAAGCAATCGTTTGAGCGGCATCGATGCTATCTGTTACAATACTGGGCGGGATCTCCTGCGCACCAGAAGTCTTGAAGTCGGTGAGTATGGTCGATATTTCATCGGCGCATTGAAGAATGGCGCTCAAAGGATTGCGCATTTCGTGGCTTGTGATGTCGATGAAGTTCTCTTGCTGCCTCTTGAGTTCTACCGCCTCTTCCATCTTCCTCTTCTGAAAGCCTTCGGCCCATTTCTGCGGGCTGATGTTGGTAATGCTGCCGAAGACGCTTTTGAGCATGCCATCTTCGTATTTCTCCGGGAAAGCACAAAAGAGAACCCATGTATCTCCCTTGTTGCCACTTCTATCCTCCCATGGTGCTTTGAATCGAAACTCGATGTTGATCGCGGTAGCATTCTCGACCAGCCGTCCCCACTGTTCTTGAATTAGGCTTTGGTCCTCCTCATTCACATAATTAATCCACTGATCCGTCTTCTCGGGGTCCTTGGGCACTCGAGAGATTTCGTACCACGTGTCATTGCAATAAGTGATGCGACCCGCGTGATCTGCGATGAATAGGCCAGCCGGGGAGTATTCAGCCATTCGTGTAAACCTCGTCTCACTGTCTATAGCTTCCTGCGTGCGAGCTGCGAGCTGCTCGGACAGATGAAAGCGGTCTTCCGCTGCTAGTTTTGCTGCTTTCTGCCCTCTGCGTATCTCTTCTTCGAAGAGGACTACAGATGCTAGAGAGGTGGCTAGCTGCCGACTTAGGAGCTGTATAAAGAGGTTGTAGTCGTCATCGTAAGGCCTACGCGGATTGATACCCAGCACCAGAAACCCGAGTATTGACTCTCCCGTTGTCGGATGAATAGGACAGACCACCACATCACGGCAAGGGTCTCCGAAACCGCGCCATGCAAGACCCTCCATCATCTCTAAAGGTAGATCTCCGGAGCCAATGCTCAACACAACGGGTTTGTCGGTCTTCATAACTTCGCGAAAGACAGGACCAAAGCCTTCGTTGCCTTCTTTTAGATCGATCTGCTCCGGCGCAACCTGGTGGCGGGTTGGGACGCCCAATTTTCCTTCCAGGTAGCAAGTCTTCGTGCCAAGAAGACTGTTAGAGTATAAAGAAGAGGAGTCGCTGTCGTTGTCATCGGATACGGAATAAAGTAGAGCAAAAGGCGTATCGTAGTCGTTCTCAGTCAAGGCAATCAGGACTTGCCCCCAAAAGCCCTTCACATCCCGTGCAGTTGCAGTTCGTTCACCGACTTCTCGTAAGGTGAGCATGCGTCGCTCAGCGATCTTCCGCCTCGTCTAGAACAAATATTAGTATCATTCTTACTTCGGATCTCCTGTGCATCGCTGTCAAGCGAATCGGCAGCCGAGAAAAGAGGAGCGGCACAGGAAGCTTTTCTGGATGTTACCTTTTCGAAAGCTGGATTGTACAATCCCATTACGGTTCCGTCTTCGCCGACCATGGGGATGATGGACCAAGAAAAGTATGTTTCTTCGAGAAATCCGCTTCTCTTCATGAACAAGCAGTCATCATCCTTCATTGTAGCTTGTCCGGTCAACCTTGCGTTTGCAAAAACCTCCTTGACGTCGTCCCAAATTTCAGCCCACGCAACCTTGTAGCTTTGCCCCATGAGAGCCGGATGCTTCTGACCAGCGAGCCCTGCAGCAATGGTCAATAGAACACGGGCATATCAAGAGCAGCGACCACGAACCGATATAGGCCTCGTTGTAGATGGCCACAAGTTCATCACCCCAGTACATGGCAGCAGGGTGAGGACTCGCCCTAATCTCCTGTTAGTACAGGATGGTATATGAGGCTATACGAACACTTTAGACATACATTATCAGGTTGCACATGGCCCGCAAGTCATTTGACCAGTATTCGATTGGGCCTAGCGGAGTTGACGCCCAGTCGACTGAGCGCGCGAACTGAATATGCCTTGGAAGCGACGGTGACATGGATAGTCTTGTCCAGTCGAAGAACCCAACATCGACCTCTTGCGGCGGGCTTGGTTCTCTATGAAAAGCGTCAACGTCGCCTGCAGAGTGAGCTCGCAGAACGCACTCGTTGGTGAAAGAGGGGTGACCCTCTAGAGTCGCTAAGTCTAGCCTGTCAGGCTGCCGGAATTGCCTCGCGACGGCGTCGTCGCCGGACTGGATGTTGCTTGTATTATTGTGTGGCGCCGTAAGCTCTGGAGTCGGCTCCTGATCCAAGGTTTCCACGATGGTAGGTACAGTGCTGCCAAAGTAATCCTGAGGTTCGTTTGCCGTAGCAGATGCAGAACCGTCCATGCCAGTGCCAGAAGTAACAGCAGACGCTGAGGGGATACCGAATTCATTCGAGGAGTTTGTGGACGGAACGCTTGCAGCACGAGAAGGTACGGCGCCCGAGATGACACGCAGGCGCTTCCTTAATGTATAGCAAGACCACACTATGGCACCATGTTCGACAGGCGGGGGATTGACATCTAGGCTCTCGCCCTGTACGACGGTACTGAGCAGCCACCCTCTAAACTGGTTCGATGCGTGTGCAGTTGGGTGGTCGGACGTCTGGTTCAACGACTTGCCTGCTACCAGCTCCCATATTGGCGAACTTGAGCGCAATGCGCTATTCGCGAACAGTATCTGAAGACTGGACGTGGCTGGAGCGTAATTCAAGGCGTCACCGATGTCAACGATGAAGGTCGGGCGGGTATCCTGCTCAAGCAATTCGACAATGCCAACAGATCCAAGCAATCTAAGCGGATCGTTTCTATCTCGTCCTTCGGGAGACGCGGTCCGCGGCAGGCTCGACCGTTCGGAGGAGGTCCTTCCACTTGCTGTGCTGGTCGGCCCCGGCGGGCTCAGGCCACTGAAGGTGCCGCGCGCTAGTGTGACTGTCTTGATGCCGCTGTCTTCCCCCCGCGTCTTGGAGAGCATCCTTGCTGCGGCTTCGGAGCTGGAGAAACGCGCGGGCAGCTGTGGTCGTGTGCGGCGCGATGAGAAGAAGAGCGGCGACGGGGGCCCGTTGTCTCTCAGCTGCGCCGACTTGGGCAAGCTGAAGTGATCTAGAGTATGTCGCGACCTGTCTACGCGTCGGCGTTTGTGCACGGGATCGCTCGCGGGCTCGGGAGGGCGTCCTGGAGCCACAGACCGCTTCGTTCCCGCAACGGCCGGTGGCGTCCTTACAGTCTCTCCTCGCCGATGCGCGCCGCCGCTGGTCGCTGTCACGGAGGCGGGCTGCCGAGAAGGATTGCCGCTGTTAGCTGGCGCACCGGGTAGCCATGTGGGATGGTTCGATGGGGACGCGGCAGGGTGCTCGAGGGGAGTAGAAGGCTTCGGCGCCTCTGCTCCCTGGGTGAGGGACTCGTGATATTCGGGGGTGCTGAGGTGTCGATTGTGCGGGTTCGCGGATTCTGGTCTCGGGTTGCTTCCTGTGAAGATGGACTTGGGCGGGTTCATAGAGATCGCCACCACACCAGGGCCGTTCGCGGCAGACGGAGCGGAAGCCGGCCGGAGTGCGCGCTCCTGTCAAGCAGCGGGCAGGCCGGTAGAAGGGACGCTCCAGCTCCTGGTGGTACGGCGCGGAGGGGTGGTGCTGGCGGAATATGCCCAGAGGCGTTCGCGCTAGAGGCCGGGGTCGCTAGCCGGTTGGGGATCACGAAGCAAGACAGGCAGCTCCGATTCAGCGGCAGGGCAGCTTTCCGACACACGTAGCAAGGGCCGTTCGACGCTGCGGGGCCTCAACATTGCGTACGGGCTGCTTCGGGCTGCGTCGCTTGCCAGTGCATTCGCCGTATTCCAAAGCGGAAGGCACGACGGGGATCTCTGTCCTAGCTTGGCAGCGATCTGAGGCCAGCGCACGCAAATGGACCACCGTCGCGCCCATCGAGCCCACGCGCCGTCCTCCGCCCCTGCCGTCTTTCTAGAATGTCTGGACGTTGCGTCATCGGCTCCGGCACCCCCATGGGCATGGATCACGGACGGTCCTTTGTTCCACCTCAACCCAGACTTCACCGCATCCGCTCGCCTGGGTCGGCTCAGCACTCAACCTCAGGACATCACGCCCGCGTGTACTCTTTCTTCATGCTCCACCACGGCGCCATTTCAACATGCGTCTGACGTCTCACCTAGGTACACCACCGGCCTGCCCACGTCCGTTTTCAGCTGACTCGACGCTTTCGTCTTCGTTCTGGCTTCCCTGCCGCGTTGTACAACAACTGTTTGCGCGACCCGAGAAACATACCCTCCTGAGGACTTCCCGCAGTTATCCTTGCTCCTGGCTCTCTCACTGCCGCTAGCTCCCGAGGTCTTCAACGCCGTCCCGACACGTTTCGAGCCGGAGCAAGCATCTGTTCCAAGGTTACTTCTTTCGCGCCGCATCCTGCACTTGATCGGTAGTCGCATCGTTGTGCATCGGAACGCCGTACTCGCTTTTCTATTGGTGGAGTCAAGATAAAAGTGGGCATGGCCAAGCCACTTCTGATGCAGAGCCACGACTAAGCCACCTACACTATCCGTCGCAAATATCCTCGACCTGACGGCTCCCAAAGCATTCTGTATTGTGGATCCAGTCCCGCCCTTTCCCATGGAACGCATCAGCCAAATAACAGGCCCACTGTCCTTTGAGAATACATTCACCCTGGAAACATTGCTGAGTACAGTGGACGTCAAGATAGACTATCCAGACAGCAGTGCCGTATGCGTCTACTCAGCCATATCGCCATGTGCGCAGCTGTACTACACGTTTCGGCACGGCGGATCCGAACACTCCAATTGTCGTAAAGCTGCCCTAGCAGCCCCTTCCAACCCCCACATGCTCCTGCATAACCGCCTTGAGAGTGGCCTGCTAGCACACTACCCTGGCAGACCTGATACCCAATGTGGCTTTAGCATACGACTTTATTGGCCTTTTGAGCTGAGGCGCATGCCGCATGCCATTGATGGGCATTCCCGGGACGTCCGCGCCGAGAACAGCACGCATACAGTGTTGATTTAAAGGCCCTCGCAGATCCTCTTCAGCTTTGACTTGTGCCCAGCTTTTCACATTCTCAGCATTCATCCTTGTCTCACAAGCGGGGCAGTAACTTCACAGTCATGGATTTCTTAAAGAAGAAGATGAAGGAATTGATGGATGATGGCGATACGAAACCGAAAGGTCCTATTCTGACGTCCTTGCCCTCGTTACCTTGTGCTCATCGCTCAAATAGAATCACATGGCGATTCACATGGGGCCTCTCACGGCACTTCATACGGCGAGACCCATGGTGGATATCCATCCCAACAACAGAGCTATCCGCAGCAACAGCCTTATGGGGGATATGGCTCGCCGCCGCCCCCGCAAGGGCCTCCAGCGCCTGTACGTAAGCCCGAGTACAAGGCTTAGGGAAAGATCTGGCGTGTTTCAAGAAGTACTGGCTGGAGTGGTGTATCGATCCTTTCCACAAGCTGCCGATACTTACTCACAGTACTCCATATATTTCTCACCAATCTTTGCTGACCCGAGTAGTACGGTGCCCCTCCGCCAATGCCCCCAGGCTGGACCGCGCAGTGGGATCAAAATGGTCAACGCTGGTACTACGTAGACCAGTCCACCGGACGCAGCCAGTGGGACCCGCCTCCGCACGCGCCCCCGCCTCAGGGTCCTTACGCTCCCCCTCCCGCCCCGCTGGGCCATGATACCCATGGGGCATCTTACGGGCATTCCTCGGGCCACGATGAACGCGGTCTCTTTGGCAACACCCAAGGAGCGCACAGCGGACACGACTCCTACGCCTATGGGTCCGGACATGGCGACTCCCACGGCGAGCACAAAGAGAAGAAGGAAAAGAAGGAAAAAAAGGAAAAGAAGGAAAAGAAGGGCCACTCTACCGCTATGCTGGCCGCAGCCGGTGTCGGCGGTGTGGCAGCAGGTGCTTGGATTGGGCATGAGATGAGTTCGTAATCTTTCTCTTCTACTTTGCCTCCGTTCTGCTCGTCATGTATGTGCTAACAAGACGCAGCTGAGGGCGACTCCGATGACGAACGCCACACGACATACGCCGGTGCTGCTGCCCCTGCAGCGGCTCCGGCTCCGGCTCCGGCTCCTGTCGCACCAGCTCCCGTCGCTGAACCAGCTTTTCAAGAGCCCCCGCCAGTCCCAACTCATGACGCAGACGGCGACTCCATATCAAGTAGCGACCGCGAATCGCTGGAGGAACAGCGCGAGGAGCTCATTGAGGCTCAACAAGAGTATGAGGAAGAGCTCGAGGAGGCATATGACGACTGAAAGAATGTTCGTTTTCCAGGGCGTGCTCTTCCTCCGCTCAAGCAAAGCCCATCGGAGTCTGCGCCTCGTCAGAAAACTAGAATCATGTCCCATATATCTTAGTATGGTTAGCATAGCTTAGCGGGGGACGTTCGCGGTCTTGTTGTTGGTGGTGGAACTCAGCCAACTTGGGTATCAATCGTTGTTCTGAATATGGAATTATTGAGTCCTCTTCCGTTCGTACTTGGGAGTGCTTCTAGCACACTGCCCGCCTATCCGTTGCCTCAAAAGCAGTCCTAAAATCGAGAGATTAAGCCGTTATTCTCGTGACTCCTTCCGTTGTCTGGTATCGACACGCCTCCACTCGTATCATTTATCGCACGGTTCTTCGTCGTCTCATCCTCCCACTTTCATTGTCGCGGAACGGGACACGCTTCTAGCAGCAGCACTCCAGCATATCTAGACAGCAATCGCATGCCTCGCCGCATATCCAGCAGCAGCATATCGTCGCAAGACTAATCTCCTATCAGCCTCATCTATCCCCACTTCAATCCTAAAATCACGAATACTCACCAAGCAGCCAAACACCCTCGCTCCTTCTTCTGCCCTCGCTCCTGCTGTGCGGGCGCCTGTGGGGGACCTGGCGCGTAGTACATCTGTGCGGTCGTGGTTCTTAGCATGGCACTACTCTACTCTCAAGTGTGCGCGCCGTGAGCTTACCTGCTGTTGCGGCGGGGGATACTGGCCGTATGGCTGGTTCGGCGGCGGCGGGCCGTAGTAGCCCTGGTTTTGGCCTTGGGCCTGGTCGTAGTAGCCTTGGTTGGACATTTTGGGTGTGTGGTGTTGGGTGCACGGCGGTGGGGTGATCGAGCTTCAACGGTGCACGACGTTGGAATTAAGTGAGAAGGGTGGCTGGTGAGAATGCGTGGGTTCGAGTGGGCAGAAAGACGCGCCAGCTGCTGTGTGAGAGGGGATTGAGGCTGACGAAGAACGGTAAATAACACTGGACGATCTTCACTTCATGGAGGTATATCGGTCTTATGACAGCGCGCGCACGAGAGCCGAGCTCGTCTTTTCCCAGTGGAGTGAAAGCGCAGTGGCTTGCGGGCATTCATGGCGCCACTTGTGTGTGGCTTCCAAGCCACTATTGTCGCTGTATGGGCTCTTGGCGCTGCGGAAACGCGTGGACGGGGTCTTGGGAGATGAGGCGCATGACTGTTTGCAGCAGCGATGTCGTTTTGGGATTCCTGCTCTTTGTGGCTTTACGGTGCTCTGAAGATGTCTCCTGACTGTGAAGTACTGCATGTGAGTCTTGTCTCTTTTCTGTCTCTTGCTCTGAGATGAACTAGAGACTACTGACGAGAGACTGAGAGTTAGCAGGGGGTGTGGCATGATCGGTTTGTGTGAGGTTCGCGGGCTGCCGGCTATCCGATGTGCCAAGAAGAGGTGTGGCTTGGCAGCCCTGTTGGGCATTATTCGGCGGAGGGGCAGGTTTAAGCGGATCGTTTGCGGTAGGGTTGGCTGGCATAATAGATGTAGGTACTTTGCATGCGTTTAAGGTCTGTTTGACTCTCAGGCGTAATTGAAGTGTTGACAGTGCAGATAGAACGGACAGGTCGGTTCAAAGATAAAGAAATAAGAAATAAGGCAGAAGCAAGGAAAACCAATGAAAAGCTCTTGAGGGATCTTGTGATTCTGAAGTTTCCTAATCACTTTCTTCAGCATCAACAACCTTTGGTACAAACCCTCTTTCCTCCCTCCTCTGCTGCACCCAATCCCCAAACGGCTTCCAGATAGCCTCCTTCTCCGCCGGCTTGAGGTTCGCCGCCAAACCACTCGTACTCGTCGTCACAAATACCCTACTCCCCTTCCACACCTCTCCATCCGGGTCGGTTTCCTCCTCGCCGTCTTTACTCTTTCCCATGTTATGCTTCTCATCCTGCCATCCATACTTGAATTCTGCCTTTGTCGGATTCTTTCCGTACCGATACCGCCACACAGCCTCCCATATGCCCTTGCCTACTATACACACGGCTTCAGGTTTGTACTTCAGGAACTTAGCGTCGAGGTTTGCGGTTCCCGCTGCCATTTCCTCCTTGGACAGCTCCGCGGCGTCCTTTGAGGGGCGATCGACAATGTTGGTGTTGCCCATGCAGTATAAATCCGGTAGACTACGATCCTCTTCCGGCTTGAGCCGCCGTTCCGGCGTGAGGCCAGATGAGTGTAGCAGTTTCCAGAAGTGGTTCGAAGGGTGCGCGTAGGCGTGGCCGGCGGTCGCGGTCTGCACGCCGGGATTCGTGCCGACGAAGACGCATATTAGGTTCGGCTCGAGGATGTCGACGAGCGGAGCAAGATGCGCGTATTTCAAGGGGTCGGCATATTTGCTAGGCTTCCGCTTCTTCTTGGGTCGCGGGGAGGATGCGGTGGACGCTGAGGTTTCGGTGGCGACTGTCACGGCGCTTCGTGTGCGCTTTGAGCTTCGCATGGAGGAGGTGGATGTCGGCGTGCCATTCTCGACTGAGGTTGATGTCGAGGAGAACTGGTATTTGGTCAATTGGCCCTTGAAGGATGTTGTTGAAGGAGTTTCGGTAGGGTCGGAAAGATCCACCTCTTCGCCTCGAGAAAGCGCCGGAGCCTGCTTCTCGGCTAAGGGTTTTGCAACACGCTTCGGGGGCATTGGAGAGAATTGAGGTTGCGGGTTGGAAGGTGGTGATCGGAACGCTTTTATGCAGCTGAATGCGAAATACGAGTGTTGCCTTGCGGAGAGAAGCACACGGAAACACGTGCTCCCGTGATTCTGCAGGCGGACGCGATCCCCCTTTCGGGCCGAATTCGCGACGTCGCTTTTCGTGGACCCTCATCACCCGTCAGCCATTCTGCTTTTGCCTCAGCCCTCGTGGGGATTTCAGGTTACCTTATCGCTCTCGGCTTGACGTCACAGTAAGTAAAGTCAACTTTTTTCGTTTCAATTCTTCAATTTGTTTATGTAGGGGGACATTTTATTGTTACCCACTCCGCGACATTTGAGAGCCCGGTACCCACTCGTTACTGACTTGAGCCTAGAATTCAGTACCTTATGAGTGGAGTAGCTAGTCTACGGCGTCTTACTCGTTCCGGTCCCCTTATTCACCACGGTCTACCGGACTTCAACCAAGCGTCTCGTCGCTCTGCAAACTCGGCCGATAGGTCCCAGCGTTGTGCTTTAAAGGCATCGTCTTTCATTTTGAGGATTTGCTGGTCCACTTCCTTCATCTTTTTATCAGGCTCAGCGCTGCGCATTCGCAGCTCGATCCCTTCGCTCAGAAGAATTGACTTCATCTCCCGAAAGTCGTCGTCCGAGAATAGACCTGGCCCAAGAGTGACTGATTTCATTCGGGCCAAGTTGGCTTCCGGATGCTTAAGGAATACCTGAAGGTGTTCGAGTACCGGCTCGAGACCGGCCTTTTGATCGAGATCCCACACCTGCCGCAGGGCGCGACGATCCATCAAGAGCGTGAGGTGCTCCAGATTCTGAGGGATCAATTCCTGGATGTCCGGAATCTCATTCGATTGGGTGAGGATGAACCCGCCGGTGATTGTCAGGCTCTTCAAGCAATTCAAGCGAGCCAAGTTCGAAGGCCAGAGACGAAAGTAGTCGATATCCGAAAGTGGAAATTGCAGAGTGAGATGCTCCAGAGTATCTTTCAGAGAGTGTAATGAGCTCCACATGAACTGCTGGTCGGTGCGTGCGAGATATTTCCAGTCGTGAGGCGGTCCATAAGCTCTAGGGATCGCCCTATACGTCAGAGAACGTGTGCATCCAAATTGACAGAAGACCAGGTCAAGGTCCAACGCGTCAATCCATCCGTTCAAGACGAGCGTCTCTACTCCACTGGAACCCTCCTCCAGAGGTACTGGAGTACCGTCTCGACGATGACCGAATGGTTCAATCAGGTCATTGGGCTCATAAGTCAATTCCAGATACTTCAGCTGCGTAAGCCGGGCGAGTTTATGGATGCGGTAGACTACACGGAACGAGCTATCGATCGTCGAGATTTTCAAGCTCCGGAGCTTCGGGAGCAAAACGCCACATGATGGCCGCGCGAGCCTAGCCAGGAAGTCTAGGCCGCGGATACGTTCCAGGCTAGCAATCTCTAGATGTTCCACGTTTGGCGTCAACAGGGCAAGAGCGCAGAGCCAGTAAGACGGCTCGGAGTAATTGACCTTCATGATCCATTCGGCCTTATTTTCTTCCGAAAGATCTAGCGCATGAATCTTCTCCACAATCGGCGGCGTCAGCAGGCCCTTCCACTTCGGATTGGGGTGCAGGTTAGGATAGCCAGTGGAATCAATGTCGAGTTGGTTGTCGACCCAATTCAAATAGAGAATCCAGTGCTTCAGTACCTGGGTCCGCTTACCGAGTTCCGGGACTTCCAGCAGGGTCCGTAAGAGTTGGAAAGATTGTTCTAAAGGTCGTGCCATCAGATCGACTTGGCGATAGATGGTCGCTTCGCCACAGCGCCGGAACTGCCTGCTCGTCAAGATGAAGTTCAGTAGTCTCTGTGAGCGGGTCGGCCCTGTTGAGTCAGTGAACGCCTGGAAGTTCGGACCGAGGCATCCCTCAGCAATCGCCATAACAATCTCGTCCGGAAAGGGTTCTGGCTGAACTGCTGTGGTCATGGTCGCTTCCTGAGTTGGGTTGTGATAGTGATCGAGAGGTTGAGACATGGTAGCGGAGTGGTCGGGTCGAGGTTACTGCGAAGAATTGGGCTCGAGGTACGTCTTATATATCCCTCATGTATAAGCGTTGCTTTTTCACTATCTGCAACAGGGCATCACTCTCTACTTACTTTCAACGCAGCTCCGAGGGCTTTTCCATTCCATCCTAGTGTCCCTGGGCGCATTTTCACCATCCAATCTTTCTGAGGAATTATTTCACGCCCTGCCCCAGCTATACATTGCAATATGCTTGTGGTGACTGTCTCGAACTTCTTGGAAGCTCTCCTAAACCTCAATTGCACTTCAATTCACGGCGAATCTGCCCGACAAGCTTATTAAATTCAATATCTGTCACAGTCACTAAATATCCCTATCAGTACCGCCCTATCCCTCATGTCCTGCTTAACGTGGGCCACCTGAAAAGCAAGTGGAAAATGGGGAGCTCATTTGCTTCCTTCCCTATTCCAGCTTTCGTTCAAGTCCCACTATGCAATTCAATTGTTCGAGCTTGAGACCCAAGGGAGCGACATCCCTTTACTTATTCGATTGAAAGCTTCAGAAGAGAAGACTTTCAGATGATTTGGCCACCAGGTGCCTGCATTGCTGCAGCGTTGGGTTCCACTAGTATCTTTATGAGTCCACACTTCGGAATCCAGAATCTGGAATCTAGCGAGGTGGTGTTTCGAGTACGGGAAGGGTCAGAGTCTTCCGGGAGACGTGCGACCAGCTAGCAAGGAGGTGGGTTTTCAACATCGAAAAGATTGAGGCTTCTGATTCAAAGGAGCGATAAAGAACCAAGAACAAAAAATGTAGCAACGAACGATGAGTGGAAGCAACTTCACCTCCAACAATGTGCAACCCACCGCAGCCTCCACGCCCTCCTACTTCCCATCATACTCCAGATCCTTCTCGCCCCTACCCTCGGGCGTGATATCCAAGATATTCCAAACCGGCGTCAACAAATCCATGCCTCTGACCACCATATCCCCCTGTGGCCCATTCCCCGTCTCCCCACCCTTCCGCCCAAAAATCGGACTTTGCTGATACCAAAACCTCAGCTTTCCCTCCTCCCCCTCACCACCTTCCTCATACAGGAAGACGCTGAAACCTGGGGCCTGCTTCATCTCCGGCATCCACGCAGGTGCCTCCATTCCCATGTCCTTGTTGAAGCTGTTGGACGAGGAGGACAGGAAGCGCAGATTATGCCATTGGCGGCGGAGAGCATACGCACGGATCGCTGAAAGGGGCGCCTTTGCCACGACGATCAGGTTGATGCGCTGCGAGAGTTGCGTAGCAACACCGTTCAAGCTATCGAGGAACATGGAGCAGCCAGAACAAGCCTTCTCTTCCTGCTCCCCCATCATCATGTGGTACACGACGAGTGGCTTCTTAGCTTCCTCTTTGGCGACGTCTGCAAGCGTGACTTGCTTGGGTGGAGCGTCGGAATTGAGATTCAAGCATCCTTCTTCGAAGACGTAGGTAGGCAGGACAGGACCTGGAGGGAGAGCGCGGCGCTGCTGGGCGACAGCTTCGATTTGTTGGATGAGGGCATATTCAGCCTCGAGGAGGGTACGACGCGCGGTGATGTATTGTTCAGAGGAGTTGGAGGGCCAGCGGAGGAAGGACGGATCGGGGAGGGTGGTGGTCATGGTGGATGAAGAGTGGGACCTCGGGAAACAGTGTGAGAATGGATCAGACTAGCTCAATTGGTGCAATCAAGCAAATCGATGAAGGATATGGAGATGCTGTCTACCGCTGAAGAAAGGAACCTGCTTTATACTTCTCCTTTCCACTTGATGAAGAGAGGTGACGCCAAACCACGTGACAGCGCGAGAAACTGAACGCGAGGAATCCGAAGCCGTGGAACGTCACTGTGAACCCTCCCCAACACCAACATCGACTTTTCATCAATCCTGGTGCGTTCACACTGCATTGTGCTGTCAATGCCGTCCAATTGGCAAGATTTGCAAATGCTAACGGCCGTAAGAAGCGTTGGAGTTGAAGAGAAGTGGTGAGGGGAAGTCGGTTGAGGCGTGTTGTTGCCTGAAGCGGCGCAGCATTCCTTGGTACTCGATTACTGATCGCCAACCCAGAATCAAGTACGCCGCAGGTCACCGATCTTATTTCGACTCCCACCCTTTTTACGAGGTCTGTTTCGGCGCACTCACCTCCAGGCAGCAACGGCGGGAGAAGACAGCGATGCAGCAGCAGTCACACGGGTGGAGAAATATGAGTGGGAGAAGTTATTCAAGCATTGCTCCCAGCCATGCCAGGATCAGTAATCACTAGGTACAGGTCGTCGCCATTCGCCATTCAGTGTCATAACACGATCCGTAGCCGAGGTCCACTCAGTACTCGCCGTATACAAAGGCGTAAGGCATCCGTCAGCCGCGCGACCAGCTCAGATGGTATATCTGAATCCACGCTGATGGTCCTCATCGCTGTCCTCAAGCTCGATCTCTCCCCGTGCAGCGCGCTTGTTCTGGATAACAAACACCACCGTCGTGATCGCAAGAATGACGAGCGTGAGCAAGCTGGTTGCGATGCAAGCGTACAGACCAGGATGGTAGTCAGGAGCGTCCTGAGACCTGAACACCAGGCCACCTGCAATTCCTCCGATTCCGCCAAAGCCGACAAGCGTCGCTGAGCAGAAAGCGCGCTTCCACTGGCCTCGGATGTTGTTCGCCTGGTACGCCATGGTCGCTGGGACGTTCGAGTTCGCGCCGGCTGTGGTGAGGAAGACGCCGAAATACCGGACAGCCGCGTTACTGTGGAAGCCCATGATTGGGAGGCCGATTAGGCAGAGGAGCATATTAAAGGCGATGATGGGGCCGCGCATCTTGTACTTGTCGCCGATATATCCGGTCGTGAACATGACGATAGCTGCGAATGCATAGGGTGGAGCGACGAGACATTGCGCAGCGCCGACTGAGAAGCCCATATTCTCCGTCAAGATGATCGGAAGGAAGTAGGCGAGCGCGTACGACACGGTAGTCGTGTTGAAGAAGATCTGAACAGTCAGTAACCTGCTCTCAACTTGCGATTTCTCTTGCTTACCATTGCATAACCCCAGATTTTAATGTCAAGCCCGGCACGGAGGAACTTAGCGGCGGAGAATGGCTGGATGTTCGCGTCTCCACGGTCCCTGTTCACCCTATCCATGATGTACTTGGTCTCACGCTCGTTCAGGAACCAGAGCGATTTATGCGCCTTATCCGGGAAGTCCACAATCGCGAAATAGCCTCCAATACCAAGGAACATGGTTAACGCTCCCTCGACGATAAAGATCCATCTCCAACCGGCGTAACCTTGGAGGCCCTTCATCTGCATAAGCTGCCATCTGTTAGCGGTGCGCTTCTATCCGACACAGTCAGACTTACGCCATAAGCCAAAATACCGGCGCACGCCGAGGCCAAACTTCCGAGGATATAGAAGCACGAATATCGCTTGCCAACGTCGTACCTCGTGTACCACGTGCTGAGCAGGTAGACGCAACTCGGGAAGAAACCAGCTTCAAGTATACCCAAAACAACGCGAAGCGCAGCGAGAGACTCCCAGTCGTTGACGAAGCCCATCCCGAGCATGACCGCACCCCATAATACTACTATGACGGACAAGAAAATTCTCGGCCCGAGCTTTCGCACGATGATGGTGGCCGGAGGCTGGAAGACGACATAAGTGGTGAAGAAGACCAGGGTGACGACTGAGTATCGGGACACTGTGCCAATCAAGACGCCGAGATTCAACTCCTTGGTCATACTGCCGTCCGGTCAGCATTTGTATCACCAACATTGGAGGAAAAGAGCGGTCACGCACCCAGCAATCGCAGCCGCACTCAAGTTCGTCCGGTCCATCAAACTGATGCAATAGAGAATTCCAACCGTTACGACCAGCCGACGATCGACGCGGTGGATGATGTGCTTCTGTTCCCTCGGGGTGAACTCGCACTCAAACTCGTCCCCGGAGGTCTTGGTCGGGCTCTTCTCCACGTCCTCCATCGTTGCGTGATTGTGCTTGCCGACAACTGAAAGGTCCGCCATGGTGAAGAGAAGGTAAAGGCAGAAGTGTCAGAAAGGTATGAGGGAATAATGGCTGCGGATCAGCACAGCAACCAGGATGGCTCTGTGCTATATGTTGTTTTGGCAGGTGCCACTTGCGCAGCCGTCCAATACAGCCGCCAAGGGAACGCGACCGACAAGCCCGCAGATTGGAAAGATACCGAGGCAATGGGAGCGGAATGAGCTGTTGATGGCGGAACCGTCACGGCCATTCTGGCCTGCCAAAGCCAACGGCGACCGCACAACGATCCTCAACAAGTCAAGCGGCGGACGCCGGTCTGTGGAACTCTGGGGGCGCGTGGCTTGGCACGTGGAGACCCCGCATATCGACGACGCTGTGGCGCGAGCGTGGCCACCCCGGCCCAATCACCGCCATCGCCCAGCAGCACAAGCCGTGCGGAACCCCTTTGCACCTCCTCAGCCGTCATCGTGAAGCCACCCGGCAAGGCGGCAACGCAAACACCGCGTGCGCAGATCTCGGTGCTCTCCTTTGTTGACCGTCGCACAGCTTGTTCAGCTCCCTTTTCCACGAGTCGCTATACGCGGGGTCACGGAGCACCGTGGCTTGGCGCTGGTCGCCTCCACACGTTTCGTTTGCACCTGTCCCGACTGGGATATTCTTCCGGCACCATGGCAAATGCTGCAAATGCTAAGCCGATGATGGTTCCCTGCGCCGTGGCCCGCCGTCGGGAGACGCACTTCTCCCATCTACCGCACCAACCCTCCGACCTTCGTCCTCTTTTCATCGGATGTTCATTCAGCCACATAGGTAACATTGTGTGAGATTGGTACGTGGATAAGGTGAGGATTCTGAATTGGTATGCTGAATCCGGATCTAGCGACGCCTCTCGTGAAGTGACTGGCATTGCAACTCTTGGTCCACGTACTCTATGGCACGTGGGATGCTTGTCGACCATACTCGCCTAGGATTATTCGCCTAGACACTGATTCTCGGCCATGCCGATGGAAGGTATTGGCTTCAGCGACGCGACTTCCCCAGGCTCGGCTTTCCTGCCAAGGCGAGCCCAATCTTACCCGTCCTATGCACGACCATTAGATCTCCGCAGAGGCTGTTATTGGACCATTCCGTGCGTATCCGGCTCTCTGTCACTCTCCTGAATGAGGGGAGCCTCCCTATCAACGTTGGTGCACGTCTTCCCTTCGTCACTTTACGCGATCGAATCCAGAAAATAACCGCTGCGGTAACTCAAGATGTCGACGATACCCAGCACAAGTGCATGGCGAATCCCCGCTTACAATACTCGTTGAACGACCTAAAGTCAGGAAGACAAGAGACCCCGGCTTCTCAATGGTTTTCGCACCAACGCTGGAGTATGTCTTCAGTTCCCCGCGTTCTGCAGGATGCGCTAACTCGCCCACCCACCATCATCGACGGTCCCTAATAGCACGCCTTGCCGACCCGTCACTGTGGGTATAGCGTCTAAATCTCTTTTTAGATCCAGGCTCACGGGATTCCATACACTATTTCTGTTAGGTTGATCTTCACTCCACTGCAGGTAAGCAGGACCACCAATCAGATCAAACCTCCGACTTCCTGGGCCGAGGCATCAATCTATATTCAACTCTCGGCGACGCGCTTCTCGAATCTCTACAACGACATACACGTTCTGTCGACAGTCAGGCCTCCAATAGGATTGCGCGAACGGACCGAGGCTCTTTTCCCACTGCTTTCTATAGTTCGTTTCGATATCGACCGCCTGGCTCGGCAGCGATGGCTAGATGCCGGAATAGGACGCTCGCATCATGTCTACGAAAAGCTTCCGGATGCCTACGAAAAGTGAGCACGGCATCCGAGGTCAACGCTCAAACATACCTCAGACTGTATGGGAGCACTATGGACACTGACTACTGTAAACGACGTCGCCGACTAAGCTCCAAAACCGAATATGCCGGACTTAGGCAAGGGGAGCCTGAAATTGCCTCTTCTTCACCTTATCACAGCGACCTAACTTCGTGATGCCTTGCCCAAGGGGCAGCGTGTGGTATCCTGCGCAGCTCTACGGCAGGGAATTCGGACCACTTTCTCTTCTCCTTCTATGGGGAGCATATGGAAGTTCCAGTGTGGTATCTTCCGTTTCCCTCGGGAGGTTTCCCACAGTTAATCCATAGTCTCTTCTCGGGGCCAAAAGGTGACGGGATTTTCTATAAGCATTTTCACCCTGTTTCCGTTACGAGCCATATGTTTTTGGCGTCATCTTTCATGCATTTCGCGCTTGACTCGGGGCACCGCCAAATTCTTCTAATAGAGAATGATCATAGTTTGTACGAAGATTGTCGTGCTTTTTGTGTCATTGAGCCAGGTGGTCGGTGCACCAACATCGGTGACTGAAAAAATACAACAATCTTCGTATGCTGACTGGAAGTCTCGACCGGGAAACGGCGCTCTCGATGATATTTCACTCTCAAAACTCTGGGGCATCTCTTTCACAAAAGTTTCCATCCATGAGCTATGAGCTAGCCATAGAGAATAGGTGAAAGAGAAGAATCACCCCAACTTGGGTGGGTTGCCGCTTTCACCGCTTGCCCATGGCAGCGTGTAGCACGAATTACTTCAAACAGCTCTAGACCCCCACAACCAGGCCACCCAACACTCGCTCCTCGCTCACAGTCAACATACAACTGTGAAGCCCATAGACGAGACCGCTATCGCTCCCAACGCACACGCCGAAGATCCTATGATAATGGAGCCCAAGGCCGAGCCGACCGATAACTTCCTCAAACGTCTCCCCGACGAGCTCATCGTCCGAATCGCCGCTTGGCTCTGCGACGAGGCCGCGCAGACGTTTCCCACCCGTGACGGACCATACGATTACCAGGATTTGCTCAATTCCTCCCTCGTCGACAAGCAACTCGCGCGCTGCGGGCAGGAAGCGCTAGTACGACACATCGATCTTACAACCCGCCCATATATCCAAGTAGTGCAGCTGCTTCGGACCCTCCTAGAGAAACCAGATCTCGTCCGCAAGATTCGCAGCATTCGCCTCGCTATCCCGGATCGCACCGCGGCCACGGACGAAGATAGAGCGGCACACCGGTCAGGAACCTTGCTGATCCAACAAACCTTCGAGTCCCTCGACCTCTCCGACGAGCTGTGGCGGTCCTGGCCAGTTAAGCAGGAGCTCCGACTAGGCGGTGCGGGCTTTCTCATCATACCGGCACTTATGGCCGGGAACCTGAAGCAGCTTGAGCTGAGAGCGGATGACCTAACGAGCGTGGTTATACTTCTCTGGCTCCTCTCCAGGTTACCGCATGCCTGCCACGCTTTATTCGCAAACTTAGAGACCCTTTATATGAGAGATGAGGATCCCAGCCCGAATGTCGAATTCGCCGCGCGAACGCTCCTGTTGCTGCCAAAGTTGAAGAAGCTAGAACTCAGCTACATTCCAGTTCGTGAATCGTTCTCCCGGGATGCGGTGATCGAAGATCTTGTACAAGACGACGAAGGGAGAACATCGACCGTGGAAGAACTCACGCTAAACGGCTGGTGTCCCCCAAGCGTGCTCGCGCCACTGTTCCATCATCTCACGGCGCTCCGATCGCTCACATACCGGCCATTCCCCAGTGGCGCAGAACCTCGCTCCCGAGATTTTGTTCAAGTGTGGGATACTCTCTTACTTCTCAAGCATTCGCTCCAGAAGCTCCATCTCGAGTTCCCGGCAAGCGAAGGCCGTTACTACCGCATCTGGCCTCGTAACATGACCCAATTTCCGCTCCTCACACACTTCTCGATCACCGGGAGGTTCCGCCTCATCCCGGATTCCCTTCCTTCTTCTTCGGCTGCTGCAGCCTTCCTACAGTCCGTCCCGCCAAACGTGGAAGACGTCACTATCGCGTGCGATTCCGCTACATACGATCAGTTTACAGCTACTGTAACGCCGCAGGGCGAGGCCGATAACGGTTGCGCGGAATGGTTGAAGGAGATGCGGCCGATGCTTCGGGTCCTGACTGTTGGGAGAGGCTTGCGGTCGGAAGTGGAGGAGTGGAAGTTTGCGCAGGACAAGCTGAAGCAAGAAGGCGTGACACTGAGACAATGGAGAGAGGAAGAGGAAAGGGCGTTCGTGGAGAGATGTGCGGTCTGCGTTTAAAGTACGCCAAACGGCAGGCTGGCTATTTTCAGGGACAAACTGCATGTCCACGCTCTTCCGACAGAAATGGTCATTTTGGGGGAAGTTTGGTTAAAGAGACTCCCATCCCTTCTTGCAGCCAATCTAACCCGTCTTCTCAAGCCGCACATAGCAGCTTAGCGGCGCTAAAAATCGGCACTGTGGCGACACACCTTTCAAATATTAGTCATCCACTCTTCTGTATTTTGAGAGAGGAAGAAATCATGATACTTACGATAGCCTCTAGCCAAAAAGCATGCTAAAATCTTATACCCCACTCTAAGCAACCCAGATGCACCAACCACAATCGGTATCAGCTGCCCGGTACTATTCAAGCCGTTTACGCCGCTGATGCCGTTCCAGGAGATGGTGAACTCAGTGATCAATACGAAGACCGGAAGATCGAGAGAGAATGTCGTATGCATCAGCACCGTGAACATTCGCGGTTTTGCTTGCGATGGTGAGCCTAGTGTGTGTATTGCCCCTTCTAGGACGCCCTGTGGATCGAGGGGGCCACTAAAGACACCTTTCATCCCGCGCCGACGAACAAGTCGAAGAACCACATAGAAGTTCCAAACCAAGCTGAGGGAGCCATAAGATGCCGCAATGGTAAATATAACCTTCAAGAACACCCTATACCACCCAAAAAGAGCGACTTTCGCGAACCAGAACACCACGTGTCTGCAACCAGACTCCGGAGGAGGATGGGAAAGCGCGTCGAGGCCAACATACGCGAGCCAAACGCCATAATACAACGTCGCAGCGCCTAGCATCGTCCGGAAGAGACTCCCGGGCCCCATCGCTTTCCTCTTCCTATCGGGATTCGTTCGAGGCTCCTCACCCTCCAGCGCATCAACAGCGTTCCCCGTTCCACGACCCGAACACACCCCGCCCGTACACAGCACCAGCAGGAGGAAAGCTTCAACGGCGGCCAACCGCCCTCTTTGAGCAATCGTTCGATACATCAAAGCGATGAAAGCTGCCAGATGGAAGTTGATGTTCGCGACGCGCATGGCTGGGGCTTCAGAGGGCACGAAATTGTTAGCCAGGGTGGTGGAGAGCCATTGGAGGTAGAGGCCGATGCGGATCCCGAGGCCGTAGGTGTTCTCATCACCGGGGAAGGTGCAGTTAGCGGGGGTGGGAGATCGCGCGATGAGTGGTGTAGAGGTTGCAACGGCACGTGTGGGTAGCAGGAAAAGGATTAGAATGATGGGGATGAGAATGAGGATGGGAGAGTGTGGTCGGTGCATTGCCGGTGCAATGTTGCTGTTCTGATAAGACACATGTGAATTTGACATAGCGTCGTTCGAGGATCATAAGTGCTTCTCGAGCTGGAGTTTAAACAGTGTGCCCAAACCGCCTCGCGATATCAGGCAGACGTGAAGCAGTGCCCGAACTATTCTTATCGCACGAGGCGCCCAAGTCTGGAAATCCAAAGCGAAGCCACCAAGCCACCATTCTCAGCCTTCCACATCACCTCCCACTGTGCATCCTCTCGTCAACCCACCAGGCAGTCCCCACCAGAAAAGATGCCCCTCCGCCTAACCTTCACAACACCCCTCCTCCCCCGCGCATCTCTCGACCTAGGCTACCTCGTTCTCAACAAAACTCTCCCAACACAAGACTACCACGCGCTGCCCGTCCCGCCCTCATCCATCATCTCAGCCTCGTCCCTCGAGCTACTAAATCGTCAAACTAAAAAGACGGGCGCATCGCTGCGTGCCCAGTTAACCAAGCATCTGCGAGCATCCCTCGACGTATCCTCCAATCTAGAACTACATATCGAGGCGGAGAGCGGGACGTCATATGCATTCGGGAACTCGCAAGAATGGTATGCAAAGCAAAAGCTTGGTGAGCCTGTGAAGAAGTGGTTGGAGCGGGCGATAGCGAGGGGTATGGATGTGTATTTGGTGGTTGGGCTATATACGCTGCAGAATGTGCGGGTATCGTTACGGGATTGCAGGGGCAGAGATGTGCAGTCAGCGTCGACTGTTGGCATTACGGACTTTGCTGCGCTGGGTCCGGCTGCTGTTGCAGTCTCTATGGTGCCGGCTGTCAAGGATGTTTTGGGTGTGAGCGCGAAAGCTGGTGGCAAGGCGGGGGACAATACGGAGTATAGATGGCGGGTAGAGGAAGAAGTGGTATACGCGGTACAGTATCGTAAGATAGAGTTTCGATGGTTCTTTAGTAGGAGTGTGGAGAAAAGCTTCTTGGAGAAAGGCAATCGCTGGCAAATACTTTGGGGGACGAGGGGACATGTGGATTCACAGGATAACGAAGGGGAAGAAGACGTCGTAGAAGCTGTGCTGGCGGATACTGATGGAGAAGCAGATGAGGAAATAGTTGATGGATATGAAGATAGCGAAACCGCAAAACGCTAGATACTATCGAAGTCGAGCCTATATCCCGAAGTGCACAAAAGAAGCCCATTGAATACAGTTCTCCGGCGCATCCATTCGAAGATCATCCATGACACTCTGCAAGATCTCGGCATAACAATCCTTGGGTGCTCTCATCACATTACCTCTCTTCTCATACTTCCCTGCTAGTCTTCGATAAAACCCCACAGCCACCGCTTTCGAAACGTCATCGTTGACAGGCCACAGCGTACCTACAACGTTAGGAAACCCGAGCATCTGGAACTCGCTGGTAAGATGCAAGCTCTCTTCCACCAAGGAGTGCACGGCCGTGTCTGCCGAAGAGCAAGCAGAAAGGAAAACGCTTGTCCATCGCTTGCTTTGGCGACCAATCTCAGATAAATCTCGAACCGTCAGTCTATCCGACATTTGAGGATTGTCTGAGTGCTGCAGCTCGATGCCGCTGTTGGAAGGGCTGTCTTCATCAGAAACGCCATGGCAGGCAAAATGAACATGACTGCATGCGGGAAGGACCTCCATGACGGTGTCTTTCGTAGGACTAGTAACTCGCACGCAATCAACGATCTGATTGATTGCATTGGCTACCCCATCCAGCTCAGATTCTACCATGGGAAGCTCAGAGAAACTTGGAGTATGTGGCATGCCGGCAAGTAGGTAGAAGTCCTCTTCAGTATCGCCAGGTTCCTCTTGAGTTTGGTTGCTTTGTTTCTGGCAAAATGAAAGAGCCTTGAGAGTCGTCGCATACGATGATATTGCGTACGTGAAGACGCCGTGATCAGGTCGGTCGCATGCGGCGTGAATAGGCAGGTATGCCATGATTCCGGCCGGGATCCACCAGAGACGTGGGAGGGAATGCTCTCGGCGTTTGCCCTTCAGCCCAAGCTCTTGAAGAACCGGATGGACCGTAGTATTCCATAGCCACCTTAGGACCTCTTGAAATTTTCTTGACCGAGCAGCGAAGGTGCGGAGCGACCCTTGCAAGATCTCATTTCGCAGTAGATTAACATTTCCCACCACATTGTCGAATGCTAGATCTGGAAGCGGCAGTATCTTCAAATTCTCCGGAGTGATGAGAACCGCATGGGAACCCAACTCAGATACATTCAGATAGACAAGCGCTCCTCCGCAGTCTTTGCTGAGTTGTGCGAAATCGTCTTTAGACTCAGGGGAAAGAAGAAAGCGTTCATATCCTGGGAGGTCTCGAATTTTCTTCAATGTCTCCTGAAGGGCGCGAGATGCGTCGTTCTTCTGGATCCTTGCTCGGAGATCCCGATCAAGCTCCTCGACCGAGAACGGAGAAGGCCTAATCCTTGCAGCAGCTTCCTTACGTTCGAGAAATTCGTCGAATAGGGCAGGGTAGTCGGTCGATAGGTTGCCTGAGATTAACGCCGTCTTGAACGGAAGTGAGCTGGCGGCAACAATGCCTCTACCGCACTCGCTTATTGCAAGCAGGCTCTCTGGGGGCTCCTCAAAACCAATGCCTAGGGTGAGTGCCAGTGCCACTTTGCTCAATGCTGGTGACACTAATACCTCCGTAGTCTCGTCATCCGTTTCTTCGGATGTATATGTGGCGATTGTGAACCCAGCTTCGCTTGCTTCCTTGATGCTATATTCATGGTCGTCTCTGGCGTTCGAAACCCCCACAAAAAATGGCATGAGGGCGACAGCAGACCGCAGGCAGCCGTAAGCCTCCTTCGCTTCCTCCAAACCGAGCAGCAACTGACTTATCCCAACCAGTGTCTCATATCGAGTCCTGAAGCTTGAGGACAGCTTAAGAAACCTCTTCTTAGCGGCAAGGCACTCTTGCCATGTGCCTAGGCTGGGTGAAGTGACGAGCCTCATTTCGTAGATCCGATCTAGCATGGCCGCAAATTCTTCTTGAACCCAAGGGACGTCGGGACAAGTGTCTCCAAATTTCAACCATTCTTCCAAGGCAAGGTCCAGATAGTTTTGATGTTCTGTCCTGGAAGCCATCCGATGCAGGAACAGATAGCAGAGGCATAGAAGCATAACAGCTGTCTCCTTGGCGTGGAACAAGTCTTGTGGGGTCTCCGCCACCACCCCTTTTAGCAGGTTCATTGCATCCAGTGCCACGGAACTTGCAGACGATATGGCGCGGTCACTTAGGAGTCCGATCCTACGCATCATAGTAAATGCCAATTGCCTCCGGTATTGAAGGTTGTATGATCTTAGCACCGGATCATTGGCAGTGGCATCGACGATGGTCCGTAGAATTGCCTGCGACTCGTCCAAATCTTCAATTCGGCCTAGGCGCTGCCAATGTTTACGAAGCCACCGACTCAAGCTGTAACTAAAGCGCATGTATCTTTGCGAATCGGGAGGTAGCTGTTCTAGAGTCCCCCGAGCGATGGCTATTGCGCTTTCCAGGTCGGCAACAGCGTTGGAGTGAGAATAGCGGTCTTCAAGGGCATTGAGTAACCCCAATTTTGCTTCGTAATAATGCGCGTCGTGTGGCCTTCCTTCTTCGTTCAATATGGCATCCTGAAGCAATGACGTTGCTTGATCGAGAAGGCTAGGATCTCCGGAGCGGTCATACATTGAGTTTTTAATCCCGGCGAGATACACGATGTATGTTAAAGGGCGTGGATGTCTTTCTCGTGAAAGATGAATACCTTCTAAGATTGCATGGGCCTCTAGAAGGTCTTCCTGCGAGTTCTGGTAGAAATAGCGCTGCCAGTAGCAGTGTGCTAGATTCGGCAGAGCCTCGAGTTTCCGTGGGTTTCATCGGGTATTCGCATTATGCCGTCGCGGAAATGGTCTAATGCGCGCTGCAGACACGCTACATCGCCCCCAACATCAAGTAACTGCATCAAGGCCGTCCCTAGGCGTATGTGAGCCGCTGCAATGTCCATGTCGACGGCTGTGGGAGACTGGAGAGCCTTTTCAAGCGGTTCAATGCTCCTGATTAGATCCGAAGTTTCTCCTTGAACTTGGTATCGGTTCTGGTATGCAGCGCCGAGCATCGCTCGTGCCTTAAATATGTGTTTCTGGTCATCCTGGCCAAACAGAGACAGACTCTGCTCTAGAAGCTGGATTACCGCGTGACAATCAGCTGATCGATTGTACTTCTGATAACGTTCGTTCAGGTACCAAGCGAGCCTAATCATCCAGAATCCGAGCTTCGGATGATGCGCTACCTTTTCTGTGAGGCTGATTGCGTGTTGTAGGAGTTGTATGGTTTCATCCATCTCATTGTGGGCTTGGGGGCGAAATTGCTGCTGTCGAAGCCCGGTCCAGACGCCTAGACAGTAATAGTACCAACCTTCCCGTAGTTGGTTTTCGGGCTGTTCGTCGTCGGTATGCGGTATAAACCCCAACGCGTCGCGGGTGGTGTCGATGGCTGAAGAATACGCTTCCTCAGTCTTGGTTTCGTCAACATGCCGCCGAAGGCTCACAAGGAGGTCGTCTTCGCCGTGAAACGCAACAGTTTCGTTTGGTGGCTTCTGAGCCTGATCTGGATTAGATGCCATGTAGTTTGATCGTCGCTGGGACCTAGAGTACACCTCCTAGTCGGGCGAATTTGAGTTGAAAGGTCGGAGCAAGGCTGAAGAGCTGAGGAAGAACGACAACATCGAGAGCCTTGGCAAGCCATGGATTATGGCACATGCCGCGTGGACGGCAGTCTCCGTGAGCTGAATGTACAGTGTCTTTATCGCATCGATCCACTTAGTTTGGCGGCTTTCGAAACATGAATCGACGTATGGCTGCCCTGGGCATGCGACCATACTACCAGTTGCGGAGTCTCATCAAAGAGTGAACCGAGATCGAGCAGTGGCATCCCTGCCTCAGGGAAATGCAAGCACAGCCATAATGGCTTCCTCTTCGGGATATCTCATGGTAGGGAGGTTGCACGTTTAGGGAAGAGTATCATGAACAACTCTACAAGTGAGCCTCATGAGCTTTGAAATGGAGTTTCCTCTAGAAATGGTGGAGTTTTGGACGGCACATAGGTGGCGGCTTACCGTCGGCAACCCTCCGATGTCGAATTTGCAGTTAGACGTACTAAAGAATGAGAATCAGTGGGAATCCGAAACGTATGACAGAGGCAGCGAAAAGTGATGAACTTACGCATGTTAAAGGACGGGGCTGTAGCGATAAATTTTCAGCCCTCACGCGTTCGAGCGGGTGCTTGAGGAGTGACGGAGAACGAGTTGTTTCTTTTATTAGCCAAGACTTTAGGCGAAAGCCATTCACTCTCGAGGCCTAGCTCAGAGATTGTGCATCCACCCCGCTATTTCAATAGCGCCACGCACAAGCGACCTCATCATTTTCAATCCCAATATCGTACAAGGAGAGCTTGCGATATAATGACTTCTCTATGAGTGGCGGAAGGCCCTCTGTGCCTGCGGGATAAATCGGGGCGGACATAGCATGACAGTCGTTCTCTGACTGAGAGGTCAAAATTGCCATTCGCTCCTATTAACAGACGAAGTTTGCTCCTTCACAACCTCCCGAGCCCTAAAAGAAAGAGCATTAAAAGCACTCCCAAACTCGAACATGAGCCTTAATCGCGGTGCCCAAAACCAGTTGATATGCAGTCGGCCAGCACATCCGCCAACATGTAGCGCTTCGCCGACGAGATCGCTGTAATCATTGCGGAGAACCCCTGCCAGCCGAAGCCTCTACCGCTTTCCCATTGTACGAAATCGAACAAATATAGCGACTTGCTCAGCTTCTGCCTCGTTAGCAAGCAGTTTGCGCGATGCGGTCAAGAAGCGCTACTCCAGCACGTCGATCTTACAGCGCGTCCTTTGGAGCAATTCGCCTCCCTCCTTCGGGTTCTGTTACAGAAGCCAGAGCTCGCGACGAAGACACGAAGCCTAAAGGTCGCACTCAGCCAAATCCCAGGTCGGGATCCTAAATTCCACACACGAGAGCTTTTTCGAGCGGTTCGAAACGTGCTGACGACTTTTGATCTCCCCGAATCTACAATGAAATGGTGGCGTCTCATGCTGGAAGAACGGCTGAACGCTACGTGTTGGATCCTGCTCCTCGCCGGCATGACGAAGAGCGTGAGTCATCTTCACGTCCAGCTAGACGCCACGCCTGGAAGCACAATTGGGGAATTCGCCAGCGTCCTTAAGCAGTTGCTATCCCCTGTGCTACTCCAAAACTTAGAGAATCTCGAGGTTGAGTGCGTGGATAAAGACTTCGATATCGAATACTGCATCGAAGTATTCCTCCAACTCCCGAGACTGAGGGGGCTCGAACTGAGCTATGTTCCCTTCGACCGCTCAATGGACCCGGACCGTTGGCTGGGCCGTTGTCTTTCAAAAGACATAAAGGCGATATCCGATCTGGAAGAGCTCACGCTCAACGGGCGCTGTAGTACTTACTTTCTCGGCCGCCTGTTCCGTCGCTTCAAAGCCCTCCGCTCCTTCACATACCGGCCATTCCCCGAACAGAACCCATCCTACAGGGACTTGGACCGTATTTGGCGCTCACTGGCGCTTCTAAAGCACTCACTCGAACGCCTGCACATCGAATTTCCGGCACCAGATGGCACATATTACTACGTTTGGCCGCGCCACATGATGCAGTACCCTAAGCTCACCGACTTCTGCCTTGTCGGCCGTTTCGTCCTCGACCCGAGCCTCTCAGATGGTGGCCCCGATCACTCCTACGTGCCGCCAAATGTGCAGGTGCTCTCATTCGCGTCGCACAATGCGACCGTTCGGCTGATTCCGCCCAACCGTACTAACACTACCGAGGACGTTAGCGAGAATATTTCGCGGTTTGTGCAAAACTTGAAGGAACTTAGGCTAATGCTCAAGAGGTTGACTCTTACGAAGGGCTCTGGGCCGGAAGAGCAATGGTATGATTTGGTGATGAGGATGGAGAAAATTGGTGTCGAACTGAGGGAGTGGACTGAGGAGGAGGAGAGGATGTTTACGGAGCGGCGTGATGCGGCATTTAAGGCTACATGAAGGTCGCTGTCCTCAAATGCGTCCCCTATCCAAGAATTTCTTCGGCAAATCCACCGTCTTCGCGCGCATATACTCCATTGCATCTACCACAAGTTAGCATATGATCCCTTGTCACTATTTTCAGACTGTACTTACTCTTTCCCAACGTATCGTAATTACTGCAAGCATTGTAGCCGCGATCGAGATGATCGTGCAACAAGAAGTGCACGGCCCTAATCCCAGGGAGCTCGAATCGGTCAATCGGTTTCCCCTTATACTCCTCCGGCCCAAGAAGCTGCTTCACGCGTTCGATCGTCATGAACGATCTCAGCCAGTCCCACTCATCATCGTGTCTTACAAAAAATCCGCAGTTGCAGTCCGACGCTTTATCTCCAGATCGCCCAGCCACAATGTAGCCCAACGGGGCACGAACCGTCTCCCCGAACGAGGACAGATCGATAGGAGAAGCGGTCTCGTACGATTGCTGCTGGCGCGCATACTCTTTCGTGATCTTCGGTGCCCCGAGATCGGTGACTTTCTTGTCACCCCACATAGTGTGCACGCGAAGGGGGAGCTCGGTCTGTGGGAAAAGAGTAACCCAGTACTCGTAGTACGGCTTTGGTACGATTTGACGGAGATCATTGGAGAGCGAGAGGCCGGGTGCGGATTGGAGGAAGACTTCGAGACACCAGCGGTTAAAGCCATTGGGGACGTCTGGGCGGACCACCTCGGGATCGGAGGTTTGGGCGAAGCAGCGTAAGTCTACGGTGGCGACATCTTGGTTGTGGGCGTCGATGGGCGAAGAGCCGTTCTGGTGGAACTTAAGGGTCGAGAAGCGTTTTACGTTGTCGCCCATCGCTGCCATATGTCAGCCTCCTAATGGCAAGGATGGCGTATGCGACGGAGAAAATACTTACCATATCGGATTTGGTCCTCGGTGATCTTGCACTTCTCCTCAATGTCGAGACCACACACAAAGAAGTGCCATTCACACTGGAAGCCCGCCGGCGCAGTGATGCCGACCTTCGTAGTAGGTGGCGGAGGCAACCCCTTTACGCCCGTCACACGCACTAGCTCTTCCCCGATCTGTTCCATCTTGATATTGGCGAGCTCGGCTGTCACGTCGCAATTATAATATAATGGACCCTGGATCTCGTAGAGGAGCTGCGAAGCGCAGGACGCCACAGTCACGCAGCCTGACGACTTTCAGTGAGGAATTCGTACCAAGAGTGCGAAGAGACTTACCCCCACTGTTCTTCTCCTTCGCAATATTGAAAGTGCCGTCATGTTCGACTTCCGCGATAGGGAACCCCATGTTGACGTGCTTCCCAGTCTTGATGAGATCCTTGAACATGGAGTAGTAACCACCACAGACGTAAGAAGAGCACTCGATCAGATGGCCTGCGATGAATGCTCCGGCGAGCTCATCAAACTGATCGGGACGCCAATCATGCCACCACCTGCTCACATTAGCCTCGCCATACCCACAAGGTTAGCGGCAACTTACGCAGCAGCCCCAATGACAGGAGCGGGATCCGCAACGCGACCCGCAAGCACGATATCCGCCCCTTGCTTGAAGGCTTCTGCTATGCAAAGGCCTCCTAGATACGCTTGGGCACAGATCGGGTCCATTCCCCATTCTTCCAATATCTTTCCGTGCATCAGGTTCTCAAACTTTTCTCCCTTCTTAATCAAGCTATTCACCTGTCCGGTCACATCATCACCCTCAATCCACGCCACCTTCAGATGCCCGGCGCCTTGCTTCTCTAGGAGGTCCACCACAACCTCAGCGAGAAGCTCCGTATCCGACGCACCAGCATTGACGGCGAGTTTCGTCTTGTTTTTGACAAGATTCGGAATTGCCGGCTCGAAGCACTGGATGAAGGTTTCGGCGTACATGGCATTCTTCTTGCGCTCCTCGAGCGTCAGTTGGGCTTTGCCGTTTTGAGATTGCACGTTCTTGATTTTTCCGCTACCGTGGACTGTCATGGTCATCTCGGAGAGCCAGTCGCCTGTGAGAGTGAGCTGAAGTCGATGAGGTTTGGAAGATCAGGATTACCCATCACGACGTCGACTTCTGGATCACCAGCCATGCGGGTGATTGCAGTGGAGCGGTCTGTGAAGCCGCCCGAGCATCCTGCAATGCGTATTGCGCGTTTTTGGCTCTTGGACGGAGACATCGTTCTCACCGAGAAAAGTGAAAAGTGAAAAAATCGAAAGAAGATGAAGACGAATACTTAGCACCCAGGGCGCGTCTACCAGGTACTAAATATATCAATGCGAACCACTCCAAGCGGAGTTAAGATATCCGCAGCAGATGTCACAGGAACCATGCTGAGTTCCATTGGCCAATGGACACGCGTCTGAAGGGACGCTATAAGGTCCTGAGACCTTGTGGCGGATAACTTTTGACGTCGGATATTGCTTTCCTGATCGCTGGATGGCAAAGCACTAAGAAATGGGACGGTGTTCATTGGGCCACTAATCGCGGAGATGCGAGGAAGTGTTGGTGGACCTCGAGACACTCGAAAAGATTTGGGTCGGAAAGCATCGAATGTCGCGGGCGTTCGCAAACAGCTGCTCGAAACTTCGTCAGCTGCGTCAATATTGGGGTTTCATGCGATGACCTGAGGGCGTCTGAGGAGAGGCAAGGAGCGAAGGGCGGAAGAGCAGTAAATGGTTTGCCGGCACACGAGTCGTGCATCCTACCAAAGAAAGCTGCATGACTCGTACTCAAAAATGGACAACTAAATTAGCGTGCCATGCCCGCGTCCCTAATCACGACCTCAAGCCTACCTTGACGACCTAAATGTACTCTCTGTTGCAACCTCTTCTTGCACTGAGTACGGGCATAACTATGATATGTTGCCCAATACCTACGCAGCCCTTAAGCGACGACCCGCAGTGTCCGGTTCCAGCGCTTTTCGACGCAGAAGATGCACCCACAACTCGCTTGCTATGTCGGGATCGGGCGCAATCAGAAACTTAGTCCTTCTAAATGCTCTCAAAGATCTAGATAGGGCCTGAAGACACAATGGCGTGGTCCTGGTGGCTTCGGAAGGATCCGCAGGCGCCACAATCGTGGAATTACGGGCTCCATGCGCGGCGTGGTTCTGTCCAAGGGGTCGATTCTGGGATCGATTGATGCCATGCCCTGAGAGCCACTTAAATTGAAATATCTATGGCCGACGAGTGATCTCCATGTCTGAATCTCGTGTTGCTCATACTGCCAGCCTCCAATTGTAAGACACTCTTCCATTCTAGAAATTGCTGAGCCCAACTGATATATCGGATAAGGAGGCCTAAGAGTACGGAGCAATGGGGAGGTCATGGATTCCGGTGTCTGTCTTCATCGCGACAGCCAGACAGAAACGAGAGTCGACTTCCTGCAGCGGCCAAAGTCGAGTCTATGCCCATCGCTAAGCATCGAATACGGCTATTGATCTGACAGAGAGCCGTTCTGTTCAGGTATACGTGAACTGTACTGGTCTTTCCCGTCGTAAAGACTGTATCTAGATCCCAATACACCCCTGCACCATGGCTTATTCTCTCCTATCTCCTACTTTGTCTCTCTCTATATTGTATTTTGCGAGTCTCTGTAGCATCGTTCAAGACGCGATGGGATCGACTACGGTGCGGGCAAGCCGAGGCGAGTAAGCAAGATAGATGGTGGCTACGCAGAGTCGAGGTCGGTCCGACAGCGGTCGGGAAGGTTTCTCGCGGTCGGCGGCTGGATTCTATTAGTATTTATTGCGTCCGTCGCCTTCCTAAGATGATATTAGCATACGGAGCTAACGAGTGAGGGTACGAAGCAAGAGAGGATGTTCGCAGTCGCGAGGATCGACGTGTTATCGATGATACGTCCTCGCAATCCTGCACTGACGCCAAGCGAGGCACATGCATGCTGTGCTGCATGGAACGCTCCACAGGCGCTTATGGCGAAAAGGACAGCGGAGCTCATAGCACACGATGAAGAAAGAACCACCTAGCCGTCCACGGTTTTCGCCCGACGCTCCATGGCCCAGACAAGCGATGCCGAATACCCCTTACGCACGGCTGAAAACGCGTCCTCCAAGCAAGTGTCCGCCGGGGACACCTTCTGTCGGGAATGTTTCGAGATACTGGCGCGGAGGTCAAATGGACGAGCCCGCTTACACCGCGATGTCCTTGAGCTGGTAGAATGCGGGAAGAGATGCAAATTCTGCCGCTATTTGTGTGATGCATTCGGCGAAGACTTTTTTCAGGGGATCAAGTCGGAATATGAGGACGATAAGATGTCGTATGCTCTCATGTCGATCAAAATTGAAAGCATAGGGGAGAATAAAATAGTGGAGAGGCTTGAATTGCGCGTCAATATAGAGCAGAGTTATTGGAAACAACTTGGCTGGAGGCTTTTCATCGCATTGGGTAACGCGGGTATGTAACACTCGAATTCCTAAGTTTTCTTTTCTCGGGCGTATAGTATTAATGGAAGCAGCTAGAAGTCTTCCCCGTGCTATTTGGAGTAGTCCGGTACCTTCAGACTTCCCGGCTAGAGTCCCCACCCTTTTGTTCTGGCTACGGGAGTGCTTGGAGCAGCATCCAAAATGCCGAAATACTTTAAGCCCTGAAAGTCCCCTAGCGGCGCGCGTTCTTGAAGTGCGCTCGGAACATGGGCAGACGCTTCTTCGACTGCTTCCAACGGACGATTTGGATTTGCACAAAGCTCCATATTTAGTTCTCAGTCATTGCTGGGGAGGCATAGCGATCCCATCCAAGACGACGTGTGACAAAGTAAAGAGTTACCAGAATTCCATCGCCCTAGACGCCCTTCCCAAGACGTTCCGCGACGCAGTTGCAATCACCGAAGCCCTACAAATCCGCTACCTTTGGATTGATAGTCTCTGCATCATACAAGACGATGCTGCAGACTGGGAGCGCGAATCGGCGAAGATGGCGTCCATCTTTCGAGGCGCCACTTTGACCATCTCAGCGAGCAGTGCATCTAACTCGGAAGAAGGGTGCGGCATAGACAACTTGCTGGCTCCAGCTACTCAATTCTTCGTCTCGGAACGAAAGCCTGACCAGCCTCCCTCCTTCGCAATTCGAGACGGCAAACACGGCAATTACGAGCTCGAAATGCGGCACTTGATATGGGATGCGCCAGTGCACAAGCGCGCCTGGATGGTAAGGTGGCAGTACAAATAGCAGGATAGAACTTATGCTAACTTACAAGCAGTGAGTAAGACCTTCTGCGTACCCCTACGCTGAATGTTTGAATTGCTTGAGCATTTGACTGGCTACTTGGTATCTGCGCCTTCATCTTTTGAGCACCTGCTAATCGTACGGTCACTTTGGCTAGATTCCAAGAAAAGATTCTATCACGCCGTATTCTGCATGCCACGCATAAGCAGTTCGTCTGGCAGTGCGCCACGCACGTGGAGACTGAAGATGGATTGGACCATGAGGAAATGAAAGGGGGAGCGTGGGAGATTCTCGGGAGCCATGTCCCTGAGCACACCGTTGGGACAAAACCCTTAAAACAAGACCACGATATACGCGCCCGATGGTGGAACTGGTGCAAAAGCTATATGAACCGCAGTCTGACGTGCAGTTCGGACCACTATGCCGCGTTTGCAGGCGTCACAGACCTGTACCGGGAGATGACCGGCGATGAGCCGATCCTTGGGCTCTGGAGAAGATATCTTCAGTTCCACCTCGGGTGGGGTGTATATCCAACCGACGATTGGCAGCCGCTGCAGGAGACTCGCCAGCCTTCGTGGACGTGGATGACCTTTCCGCATGGCAGTGTCAGGCCGTGGCTCTACGACATAGAGTGGAAGGCAATAGCAGCAACGTACTCCGACCCCATAGCCTCCGCTCATCCAGGCTCTGATACCCCAGCCTCGTCACCGCTCCGCTACCAAGCAGAGATAATCGACATCGACGTCCGGTGGACGGGCGCACCGCTCGTCTCATCGCCAGCAAGCGGCACACTGAAAATCCATGGCTTGCTCCACCGGCTCACTTTGCCAAGGGACCGCTTTGGAGGATCGCTAACTCTCGATCCAGATGTACAAGGAAGAATTGAGCGCGGTAGTGAATCCGCAGTCTTTGCGCTCTTCTCGTTCTGGAAGGAAGGGGAACTTATTCCGGATCCTCCGGCAGTGCATACCGTATACTTGGTGATCGAAAGTACAGGTGCAGGAGAATTGGAGTATCGACGTGTTGGGCGCATGGTGGGGTGGGTTAGGCTACCGCCCGGGACCGAAATGCAAGATGCCTTTCCGGGCACTTATCGGACTATCACTCTCGTATGAAAACACTTAAACGCGTAGGACGTTCAAGAGCAGATAAATAGCTGATGTTTTTTTACTACATATGCGGCTAGCCTTTCATTGTGACCAAACTAGCGAGGTTTAGGCCAAGAAGATGATACAATAATAAACAGCATTCCGTTCAACCAAAGAACCACCTTCTTGTTGAGCGTCGAGAGCGGTAATGAGTCGAGGTATGGATCACCCCTAAATTGATGGGAGCAGCGCCCACGATTACGCGCCTTTTTAACCAACACGTAGCACATAAAGGACCGTGAAGGAAGTAGCTGCCGTGCGGTGCACTGCGATAGCTCGATAGGGAACGTCAACATCGACTGCAAGAACTAATGACCGCCAAAGTATCCAAAGACGAAAAGAAAGTCGCCCTTTATTCATATATTGGGAAGATGTTGCTCATCAATCATGAAGCCTATCCCTCAAGCGTCAGTGTCTAGGCTCAAGTGGGGTGAGTCCGGCCAACAGGGTGCCCAAAGCTCTTGGTTCAGAGTCATACAAGACAAGACCTCAGTACCTCCTCTCATACTCGCCACCACCATAGCTGCCGGAGCCATAACCTCCGGATCCATATTCCTGCTTTCGATCGCCATAGCCGCCCCCAGACTCCCCGCCATAACCAGAAGACTCCTGGCCACCGTATGAGGAAGATTCTTGACGACCGTATGAGTCCCCACCATATCCGGAGCTCTCCTGACGACCATAGCCGCCACCAGTGCTGTAAGAATCTACACCATATCCGGAAGATTCTTGACGGCCATAGCCGCCGGTATCTCCGCCATATCCTGAGCGCTCTTCACGTCCGTACCCGCCACCTCCGCCGCCTCCTCCGCTTCCGTAGCTCTGCTCACCGTAACGCTTCTCTTCGCCGTAGCCGCTACTGTGCGAGTAGTCGCCCGAGCGCCGCTTTGGGGATCCCTTGCGCTCTCGCGAACCCGAGCGACGCTTGTAGGCATCATCGTCGGAGTCTTCGTCGCCGCTGCCGTGCTTTTTGTATTTCTTCTTCTCATCCTTCTCACGCTTCTTTCGCTCCTTTTTCATGCGCTTCTCATAATCGTCTTCGTCCCCAGACTTCTCCTCCTCGGAGCCGCTATCGTATTTCTTTCCATGCTTCCTGTTTCTTCATTAGTACTCTAAAAGGAACAGGCGTAAGCATGGCTTACTTCTTCTTCTCTTCATAGTACTCTCCTTGCTGGTCGAAACCTTCGCGGCGTTGCTCGGACTCCCACTGGTTGCCACTCTCGTAGCGGCGTTCTTCGCGGCGCTCATAGCCTCCGGACTCGCCGTAGCTGGAAGTCTCGACACGTTGCTGGTAACCGTAAGAGCCGCCGCGCTGATCCTGCTCAGTGCGGGAGTATTCCTCGCTACGTCCTCCTCCTGGATATTGCGTCTGCCGGTACTCGGCTTGGCCATACCGTTCGGAGTCGTCCTGAGACTTCTTCTTGTGATGGCCGGACTCCGAGTAGGACTGAGTGTAAGAACCGTCGTCGCCGTACTTATCACTCTTCTTACTCTTCTTCTCTTCGTCGCCAAAAGCTCCGCCAAGGAGAGAGCCTCCAATTCCGCCGACGAGACCCGAAACCACACCACCCAAGACCCCACCACCAACGGCATCGCTCGCAATCTTGCCTGCCTCGTTGCTTACTTGCTGAAACTGGGCATTACCTCTACCCTTACCACCGCCGCCAATAAGGCCGGAGAAGTCATTGGCCATAGTAATGGGCTTGCCGCATCCATGACCTTTGTCATGTATGTCCCCTTTGTGGTTTTGGCCTTGCTGCACGCCTTCACGACCAAGCTGCCCCGCGAGCGACTCCTTCTCGTGTTCCTGGAATGAATCCCACCAATTCTTAACAGTGCGGAACATGATATCGCGGCCCTGTGCAATAACTTTGTCGTCGTGGCTGCGTTGGGCGGGGTGATGGAAGACACCCTGAATGATGCGGTTGATGGTCGTTTCTGGGTCGGCCTCACCATCCCAGCAAGAGACAATTTGCGGTACAGCCCACTTCAGGACTTCGGACGCGACTTGGCCAGCAGGTTCATTGAGAATGTTGGTGAAGTGGTCCTTTGAAAGCATGCTGTGGGTCGGATCGGTGCAGTTGTCGTCATTGAAGACAATGTGTTGCTTCTCACGGGCGCTGGCAATGACCTCGCTGGAACCGGTTTCGAGCTCAGTCTTCACCTGGTCAAGGATTGGCAGGACAAAAGGGGCTAGGAGACTGAAGACGAAAACATTGACCTGCTCCTGGACCTGCTCAAGTAGCTCAGGCAAGATGGGTATGTTCTCCATGAACTCGGAGATGGATTGCATGATCTCGTCGTGGAACTCCATGATGGGGTAGATCTGCTTCACAAGCTCACCGATCTGCTGGGTGAACTCTTCGGGCTCCTTCGGCGTGATGTGCATATTGCTCATTTGAGCGGCTTGAGCGTTTTGCTCGAGCTCATCGGCCTTGCCAGCCTGGTCTTTATCGCCGAAAATCCCGTCTGGGAGCTTGCCAAGAAGCTCCTTAATTTGGCTTTTGTTCTTGTTTCGGTCGGCGTCATTGATGGCGCCCTCAAGTTCCTGGAGCTCAGATTGGGTCGCCTTGTCGCTGATCTCGCCACAGACGGAATGCAAGAAGTCGACGCCGCCAAATGTGCCGGTTACGATGGGATAAACGGGCTTCTGGACTCCCTGGATGCGGAACATGGCATTACGGCCGACATGCGGAAAGATAGCGCGTGTATGTTCTTCATTCAATTCCAACAGCGCGAGCTCAGTGTAATTTGAGTGAGCGGAATAGTCTTCCAAACAGTGCGTGGCCGTACCGAGGAGACGAAGTGCCTCGTAAAAGTCCGGTCCGCTGCAGCCGGAACGCCGGGCCAAGTCAATGCAGCGACGGAGAAGGTTGCGGACCATTTCTGCCGAGGTGGTTATTCCCATATCTTCCGAAGCGATGTAGTTCTTTAGGCCGGTGCGCTCATCGATGCCTAGCTCGCGCCTCTCGTCGACGGGTGCTCGGAGGCGACGGTCGTACTGCCTCGCGTCGAGATTGTCGGCGTAGTCCTGCACCAGTCAGTAAAGCTCCCGCAACAGTTGCATAACCTCACTGACCTTAGGATTGTCAATATGCTCTTCCGGGCGGTAGCACCCGAGCCTGTCCCGCGTAACCTCGAACTCCTTCGTCCCATAGCCAAAGCTCAAAAACCCTAGCACCCAAAGCAGGATCCGGATAGCCTCGGCCGACACCATTTTGACGGTCCCGACATCAACCGCCTGCGAGTAGTCGCGCAGCCAGTTGCCAAAGTAGACGCGTTTGACGTCCATCTTGCTGAACTTCTTGCCGGTCTGGCTCGAAATGATGAGGGTGAGCAGCGTGTCTTCGATATCGCCATGGCGCCATCTCTGCCCCTCGATCTTGCTTAGGCTGGCAATGTTACCAGCGCCAAAGGCCGCCGTAGGGCGCGCCCAGAAGACGAGGAGGACGAGGCAGGGCAGCCAGAAGTCGCTAAGCTGGAGCTTCGGCGGGGCCATGGTGAGCGTAGTGTCTTGTCAATTCGTAGAAGTTTAGGTGAATTTGTAGTAGCTTTAGAGTTGGTCGAGTAATAGGAATTTGTATAGGGGTGAGAGAGAGTGTGCGTGTGAATACAGGTGTTGTCAGTTGACACACGTCTGTTTCAGTTTTCAGCTGATCTTGCTCCTGATGGCGGGGCAACTGCGTCGGATCGGACGGCCAAAAAGCATGACATAATGAGGGGGCACCCAGCCACGTTTTGTGGCGCTTCTTGGCGATGCGAAACATCTCTTGTCCGAACTCCAAGTCTCCCGCTCTCGAGACTTTTGCCTTTGGACCCTGGAGGAAGCTAAACGTGAAGTCGAGCTTCGCTCGCTCTCGCTTTCAATGTCATCCCGCGCTAGCCCGTCTAGACCCTGCCAAGGTGAGTCTATTTCATTCGCGGTCACGTGTAGATTTCCACCAATCAGGATATGTTGCAAGTCCGAGAATGCGTTTGGTCCAATATGATAATGGACTTGAGATTGAGGCGAATGACGCGACGAGAAAACCGCTCTTCTGCTGCGAAATAGATAGGTCGCCCACCGCTTGGCCTCGCCGACCCATGAAATATAGCCCATCGACCTATATGTGATAATAAACTCACGATTTAGCCCCTGTAAACCACCTCTTGCTCAGTGCTCCCCACTCTTCTCCTCTCTTCCAAGAATAGAACACATTCGGATGTCGACGACAGCCCCTCCTTTGAAATCAAATTTTCATTTCAGTCCGTCTTCGCAATCAATTCCTGTCGCCGCTGTCCGAGCATACTGCCCGCCTCGCTGCACGTATTCGAAAGCAGTCGCAGCGTTACATGGCCCTGCTCGCTGGCAGCTGCTGTGTTCTTGACCCTTGACCTCGGGAATTGGCAGTCGGCGGCGGAGATTCGCTGGACGGTATCAGTCGTCATGCAGCGTGAGGGGTCGCACGCAAGCCTGCAGCAAGGAGGCCGGTAGGATCCACCGAGACGGGAGCGAGAATTGCGGGATAACTCGGGCAGGACGCGTCACGCCGAAAAGAGGCATCGAGAAAGAGGATCGACCGCCCGCATGACAGAGCGGAACTGATGATAAAGCATTGTACGATAGTTGAGACGCACAAGGATGCGGCGGGACTGGCAGTGGTCCCAGAAGATTGTTGACAGGCGGGTAGTGACTTTGACAGGTCAGTAGCAGTCGTACATGCGTACTTTCAGGCTCATGCACAAGGTGTATTCGCTGCGTCTGTGAACACGAGTGCTACGGACGTGGCCTGATACCCGCTGTCAGTAACAGTCCCAAAACATTTGACCTGTCAAAAAATTGTGCATGTTCGTCTCTGCGGTCGGCCGCGACAGGCAGAACGCCAGCCCACGTTTCTGTGCAACATGTCAATGGGCCATGGGGAAACGCTTACTGCAAACGCACCCTTCTGCTGTGATACACCCGCACTGCGCTGTAACGTGACTCTCGCTCAAGAGTGGGGACTGAGGTTTGTGCTACCTCGCGACAAGAAACACTAGGGCCCAGAGGCGCTAACGCTTGCATGCATTTTGACAGAGGAGTACAGAGACTCGCGGGGTACAAAATGGCAGCTACACTCGGCTGGTCGAGCTACCCAATTCCTTCTTTTGGGGCAAGTGGAGCCATCATGTCTTTCGTTGTGTTCCTTTGATGCTGCAAGTGACAGCAAGGCAAGGCCTCGGCGTACAGCAGGATCCGAAAAGGGTAAATTTTGGAGGCGTCGTCACTCAGCAGGTAGCTAGACGAGTATCAGACGAGGAACGTCCAGAAGCTCGGATAGACGAATTCGTCCTCGAAGATGCGCCTGACCTGCTCCAGGACGAATGACTCCACCTTGCCTACGTTCTTCAGGACCTGTTTCCCGTTTCCCCTATCGCCGATCTCGCTCTCAACCTTGATGTGCTCAAGCAGGCCTCCGATTCTTGGGCGCGGTGGGGGTTGCTGCTCTTGTCTCTGTGGGTCCGTGTGAAGAGAGTCAAGGCTGGTTTCGCTGCCGACTAGTGCGTCGGCATCCTCGGGAGATAGAAAGCAAAAATGGGCTCGTCTCTTGATGTGGGCCAGGATAGCGACTCCATCAAAGGTTAGCCCCGAGATGTTCAGCTTCAGGGGAATGCCAACGAAGCTTGGCATGGGGTAGTCTAGGAGAATTTCTGCGGTTAGCGACATTTTGACGTCTCCGGAATACTGGACATGTGCTACGACCTGGATGTCTTCGGGGCTCTTCTCGCGCATGCGGGGAGGTGACGCGGGCGGCGTTCTGTCGTAGCCATCCTGCGACGAAGTACTAGTGGATTCGGCCAGAGAGTTCCGTCGCTCTGCGTCGTGCTGGTGCTGTGAAGACGGGCGCGTGCTGGGGTCAGGATTCGATTGCGGCGTCAGTGTCAAGGAGCTGAATGAAGCCGTGTTGCGCAGACGAAGGTTGGTCGGCGTCGACGGTCGGACATTGGCAGTATCGGGCCAACCTTGTAGCTGCGCCCCGGCCACAGCAGCGAGGGGCGCCGTGGCACCAGAGAGACCAGCGCCTAAGGGAAGATGGAAGTAGTTGATGTTGGATGTGCCTCCAGGTATGCCCGGCGTTGAGGCGCGGGGGAAAGGGCTCCCAAGCTGGTCGGCTGGCGCCAGCGTAGTCCGAAGGCCGGGCGCTCTCGGGTTGACGAATGGCGGCGCTAAACGTGATGGGTCCGACGAAGTCTCCTCTGCATTTGATGCTCGTCCCGTGTCTCTGCGCCGCTCCTTTGCCGTACGGGAAGGATCGCTGGCACCGCGTTGGTCGTCGTCTCCTTGGCCGTCACTCTCGTCCTCGTCTGGATAATCTTCGTCCTCCTCGTAAAAGTCGGGCAGCGGATCGCAGATGTCTTTGATCTCAATCTCGGGGGCGACGCGGCCAAAGTCGAACGAGTGCACGTGGACGGAGCGGATGAAGCGCGGAAGCGTCACCTGCTGGAACCGGTCATGGATGAAGGCGCGGATAGCCTCTGCACGCGCGGAGCCATCTGCGCCGCCTGTGAGCGTGTCCCAGTTGATATCAATCGACATCGATATTCGACACGGAGGGTTGTGGGTAAATGGAGACAACGCGCACGCTTATTGCCTGCGCCGATAGAGCCACAAGGCGAACCGAGGTGCTAGGAGCAACGCCCTGGCCAGTTAGCCCCAACCACCAACCGCTCAATTATAACACTCTTCGAATAATCCTCAACGTGACCCGAAAAGAAATCGTGCAGTCAAAGCCACCTGCGTGCGGGCGAAAAGCCCTGTCCGTTCGATCCTCGCCCGACCGTCAAACACACGAACCGAGAGACACCTGCCCGGACGATGTACTTGATGGCGGAAAGCAAGCTAAATAAAGACGTGATACACTGTAGAGCCGCATGGCGCTGGTGCATATGCTCGCTCATGCACGCACACGCCTTACCCGCGACTACATCGCCTCTGCAGAGCCTTTGCAGACAATTTTGTGCCAGACCGGATCCTGACGACAAGCGAGCAAAGCGTGAAGAATGCGGCTAGAGCTTGTCGGCGCCATATGCTGCCTGCATATATCGCAAGGCAGATAGATTAAACTGCCAAGCACGACGTGGGCTCCCCTTGAGTTCAACATCAAAGCACAGGACGTAGCCTGCCGCTGGAGGACGGCGCTGTGTGCAACGGTCGCAGCGTGGACAGGGAGGATCACCTCACTGAAACCCGCCCTATCTGGTCCGGATCAACTCGGTGTGTTGGATAGAATAACCTTCGAGAAGACCGCCAGGACGTGGACACCCAATGCGGAAAACAAGGTATATCAGACGAGAATATACGCTCATACTCGGCTATATGAAGATCACTTCGATGCCATATACGCTGGCCTTGCCGCAGCGTCACATGAAACCTTACCGCTGATGACCCATAATCTGCTCGTGGATCACACCACCTAGCTCAGTGCCTCCAGCCCGTGGCGAGGGGCGTAGACGTGGGTGCTGTATTACGGCAACGAGGAGGCATAGCTCACTGGGCATCGGCGTGCGTAGGATCCTCCCGCGTCTTCTAGGGATCGGCCCGTTACCCACAGCGGTAAGGCAGACATGTCTCAGTCTGACTGTGCTGCAGTACTGTCGTTACCAGGTTGAACACGGCGCCGCTTCCCAGGCGCAGGCGGTGCTGCATGACGGAAAATACTGCGAGCCGGCATTCACTTATCATGCCCTATCACGGTGCTCGTCTAGACACCATCTCATCTGCACTTACCTGGACCCAAGTACTACGGCTGTATATCGGGGCATTGCAGTCAATATCGAAAGCGAGTGGGCTGGTGCTGGGGCCAGGTGACTCGCAAAACTGGTTTCGAGCTGCGCTGGCCGCCGTCCAGCGATGGGAGTATACAAGTCATCTGGAGGCGGCCTGGGCCACAGCCGTACCGATTGGCGAGAAACGGTGCTGCATCCGCGCGGTGGGCATTCGTCACTGGCTGGCCGATCAGCCGCGGGTGATTGGTCCAGCACTGGCAGGGACATTCTCAGGCTCGTGGGGTGCTCGCAGCGGTGATGTGAAAAGAGGCTCGACCATGTCGACAAGGCGTCCTGTGAGGACGCTGTCTGGACCGCCTCCGCATTAATTCAACTCGCTTTTCTGTCTGAGAGGCCACCGTCCCGCTCCCCCGCCTTGGCGCCACGGAGCCCGTGGGGGGAATAGTTTTGTAGGCGGATCGATAGAGGATATGAGAGGAAGAGAAACGCCGGTTTTGCCCGTCTTTCCGTCGCGCATGAACAAAGAGACTACAAGACCCATATCAATGTCAAAAGAAGGTGCTGAGTAATACACGACGCGAAGTGCAATGCAACACCAGCCCATAGTGAACGCCGGACTCGCGAAGGTCCATGGCCCCAGTGGATCCCAATGCCCGTCGAACGCCTGTACTTTTGTCTCCGTGACGCCGTGAAATGCAGCCCCGGGCGGGCGAGCTATGGTAGCTCAGTGCGCCCGGGGTCTAGGAGGTCGAGCAGACGTGTGCTCTGCGAGCTGTCTGCGCGTCGACTGCGGACACCCGTCTGCGTGCCACCGGCCGTCATGGGGTGTCGTCCGGATAAAGTCTGCGGTGGCACTCTGCGCGCACACTTGTCAGAGGGTGGGACTTGCGACGGCGCATGTGATAGGGCGGTACCTGTCAGTGGTCACAATGATCACATTTCTCGTCGTGCTTGACCGTCTTGGTGTTGAGGACGCCGCAATTTGCACTTCTCGATGTCGCGCACGGCGCCTTCTCTTCCACTCGGTGGTTGCATGCGTAGACATGGATCACGCGAGTACACATGTCTGCGGCGGGCGGGGCGGGCGGGCGAATTGGGCGTGGTGGAACGGGAGCGGTCGAGGACGCGCAGGTGGTGAAGCTGGAAGGCGGGGCGGTTCCGTGGCGCGCTGATTGGCGGGGCTGCGGGGAGCGCCTTCTGCTCGCGGAGCACAATGGAAGGCGCGCGACAGCAGAGGGACGGCAGGGGCGGACGACGACCACGGCGGTGCGGGCGATGCTGCCGGCGGCGTGGAGGTGCGACGGCGAGCAGGAGTCGGAGTCGCAGGCGCAGGAGCGTGAGGGCGAGCAAGGTACCTGACGGCGCGGAGCAATTGAGAAGTGCGGGAGGGGAATTGGCAGAGGAGGGTCCAAACGGGATGGCTGGGCCGTGGGGTGGTTTTATAAGAGAGGCATCGCAAGCAACCCGAGCAGACGGTGCTTTCTCGCAAGCTGTTAGATTACTGCCGCTGCCGTTTTGCAACATGGACTGCGACAGTCTTGTACAGCCGTTGGCAAAGGCCGTGCGGGAGCGCGACTAGGGCAGGGAGCGCGCAGCATGGGTCATCCCAGGCCTATCCAGCGCCCGCCTGCAGCGCTCTGTTGGTGACGGCCTTAGCGGGCTGCATCCAATCGCCGTGCGTCCAGCGCAGACTGCTTGCGCTGCGAGCGTCGCCATCGCCTGCTGCCCTCGCGCCAGCGCTCTCGTGCCGGCCTCGCGACGCGCCGGCGCATTGCTGTTCGCTGCCGGCGCCCTCCGGAGGCACACCCCGCGATGCCTCTGGAACGCCAGTCCGCTGCTGTCGGCGGCGGCGGCGACGCTCGTCACATGGCAGGGCGAGGGTGACGGGCCTGGAGGGACCGCTGCTGCTTGATAGCAGCTAGAGCCAGATACATTAGCCGGCGCGCAAACGCCATGCTGCACTCGGGCAGATCCTGGCGGAAGAGACGCCGCCTAGCTCCAGTCACGCCGACTCGACGGCAAGCAGGAACACCACCAGCTCAGCCCTGTGGTCGCCTCCTGTGCCTGCAACCCTCGGTACAACGTTTGCTGCCATGCCGCAAGTATTGACGGACCAAGAAGGCCGCCTGCAGCACCGCCGGCCGCCGGCAGTGTCTCCGATGCTCCGCGTCGTTTGGGAAAACAGAGTTTAGTCGGGGAAAAGGCCGTCTTGAATCATGCCCGTCGGAGACGCAGAGGGTGAGAGGTCTCTCCAAATGTTACCTGTCTAAGCATCGCCGCGAGCCCTCTACCCCATGTCTCCCTGTGAACTCCAGCGCGTCTCCACATGGCACCCCTGCCTTGCTGCGACCTCTTTTTAAGCCTGAGGAACAATCATCGAAAGTGGACCCCGTGCGGCCGGCCTGCAGCAACGCCAACGGGTGGAACATTGAGAGCCGCCCTTGCGTGGAGCACAGCAACGCCAGATGGAGTGCGGCGTGACGGCGTGTGAAAGACGGCCGTCTCGACCCAATGGGCGCCGCCGCTCGTTTGCTCGCGGCGGCGGGAGGCTGCCACCGCTCGAGATTAAACTGAGAAAACTGGAAACCATAAACCCCATCTACGGCGCCGAGTCAGGGCTTGAACACGCAACACCGTACGATGCGCGCGATGGGGAAAAGTGGTGCCAAGTCCCGGAGAGAAGCTGCTGCAGGCGCCGGCTGCGAATCCGCGTAACTGCCGGGCGTCGCCATCAGGGTGCGCGTGAAGACGGCGGCAGGTCGCCGGCGGCGTCTTGGACGCAAGAGTCTCTTCTGCAGACAAACGTCTGAAGTACAGGCGCGCTTGGGTCTCCTGTCACTTTCTGTATCATCGTTAAACGGCGGCAAGGGTTGCTGCTGACCGTGCGCCAACGCCTTGCCGCTTCTGTGCTAGCGCGCCGGCCCGGACGTCGATCGTAAAACGGAGGCATGGCATGACAAAATTTGACGATGCTGCAGAGCGCTTTCGACGCTTGACGCCGCAGCGGAGATAGAAAAGGGGCGCCGCCGTCGACGACGCTGGTCGAGATCGCCCTCGGCAGCCTTGCGAAGTGAAACTGCCGTTTCATGCTGCGATCACTCGACAACCTACCTCCATACTAGTTCGTTTGGATCACCCACCACCGACCTGCGCCATCGTCTCCAGCTCTCCACACAATGAGAGCTCGCAGCGCGGCCGGCGTAGCTGAGCATGTGTCAGACTCCGATTTTCTCCTTGCTCACCTCGGGCCTCTCTACCAGCCTTCTTCGTGGCGCCCTTTTGCTCTAATTCCCCCGGCTATGCTCGGTTACCCAGGGCGCTCAGCTCCAGTCGGCTTCCACGTTGACGACAGGGTTGATCGGCGCGAGTAGCTACTACTGGGTCTCCTTGCCTGTATGTGAGCTGGGTGCCGAGTAAACGCATTTCTCCAAACCAAGGTGCACATCAGCCCGCTACAGACGCAGACGCAGCAACAGCATCGCCTCGCATCGGGAAGACGCTGAGTTTGCCTGATGTCGACCACAGGACCGACTCGTCCCAGAACATTATGCTTCGCAGACCCGCGTCTCCTAGAGCATGGCTAGTCTGGTAGCCCGTCAAGCACTTCTTTCAGCTCCTTGCGGGGTAATAGCTAGCCCAGCCGGGTATCTTTGACGCCGACCTTCACACGCAATGCGGGGCCTTGCCATGACATCCAGTCAGCGACGGATCGTCTCTCGTTTGTATACAGTAAGGATCAAGAAGCTTTTGGTCCTCGGATTGATGGGTAAGTTCTCCTCCCACGATTCTGTGGTTACGCATTGCTCTTATTCTTCCACGCCTGCCTACTGCATCCTCTCCGGGTCACTTAGCCTCGCAGGTGCAGACGCCATCCACCTCCACCATCCGTGGCGTTGTATCGGCTTCAGTGATCTGTCATCTACTTGGTTCGGCTTTCGTTCCAATGTCTTGAGTGCCAATATGGTGCAGCATGCATTGGTTTACCTTATCAAGGTAGAGATGGTCTTGTTTGGTTTCTCCTATCGTTCTTACTAGGACTGCGAACATCAGTTCACTTTCCGAGCAGACGACTCTGAGACTTCCAATATCCAACCCTTGTACGGTCTTTGGTGCATGCATCTCCATCGCTGAGGGGGCCGACCCTCTGTACTTCTTTTCGTAGCAAGGAAATGCCCCGCTTGTTAGGCGAAGACCCCCCTCATATGGCGGGCTGTTCCCCGGGCAGAAGCTTCATGCCTCTAGACCTCGGTCTCCATACTCTTTCTGGTTGGGATGTTGCATCACAGGCGCAGGAGATTTTATGGCAAGCTGGCCTCAATTTTGACTGCGGGATCTCCCGACCTACCCGAGCATCAAGTCCAACGAGCAAAAACGAGTACGAAGCCAGAAGCCAGGTATCCTCTGCATAGCAGAAGCACCTAGTGCAAGGATGGAACTGATGGGCCGCAGACGATTTTACTCGAACACATCCCTGCGTACGAGAAAACGAACCAGAATAGATCGTCTAACCCGGCTTTGCATTGGTGCGGATTCGCGACGAGCGATCGCTGGACCTGAGAGCGGGAGGCTTTCTAGGTATTGCTCGTCAGGCATCAACGCCTCACGCTACTGTTGCATCTTCGCATTGCCTTTCTTTTTTTCGCACCAGATACCCGGCTGCATATTTTACGACACACGCCATCTCGTTGACCGATTATTGAGCGGCGTAGCACAACCCAGCGCCAATGACCGGCTTATCTCCGAGACTTCCGCCAAGAGGTCGCTTCTGTTCAACACCACCTCAAATGCACGATGGTATCTTACATATGTATCCTTTGGCGTATACTTCGAACCGTCACGTACCATTTGCACCAGCGCTGTCTCCACATGATCTTCCAGCTTGAGATCGATTCACTCCCAGGCAGAGCGATCAAGCCACAAGCGATAGGGGATCTCACAGCAGCGTCCCGCTGTGTACCCCCACATCTCCACCACGATGCAAGCCACGATGGAGCACCTCGAATCTGACAACGCGGTTGTGCTCGTCGTATGCGCGCCTGACATGATCTGGTGTCTGGCCCGTTGGAGGAGGAGAGGTGGCTCGCGCTAACGTTTGCTGCAAAGCGCCTTTCTATGTGCCAAGCCATGGAAACGGTAGGTCGATGCCGCGAAAGATGCACCTCAGCGATTGTATCACAAATGCTGCAGATGGACCATAGTAGCGAGGACCGATGGCGCCCATCTCGCACAAAAAGCAGAACTAGGAAAAAGCAGTGCGTAGGCAGATGTAAGAGATATCATCCTTACTGCGCGCAATGCAGACTATAGGTACATGCATGGCAAGAGACAACGGCTCGGAAAGCCTCCATTGATTCTCCGATTCCTAGAATACCATGGCAACGGCTTGTTGTCTGGAGGGAAAGAAAGGTCGAGAAAGCTGTCAGCCTCGCGGGCTCAGCCTAGCGTGCGGCTACCATCATTTAACGTTGTGTTAAACTACCTCGACAGAGGGGCCTCCGGCTGGGTTATGATTGGACACCTTTCGGAAAATACTTTGAGCTCTCATCATCTCTGAGTTTCAAGAGAAAACGCCTTGTCTCAGAAGGACCGTGACATCCCTACCAGCCTCATGAAGTAAACGACTATCTCGAGGAAGACGTTCAATTTGGAGGGGTTGAGGATGCGCCGGCAGCAGATTTGCCACTCATTCTGCCCGCGGGCGGTTTCTTCCATCTCGCGCTCTGAAGGTAGAACAGGCCCCTCGCTCGCCCATACAGGGGGCTTCTCACTTTGAAAGACATTCGTCAATCCATTGCGGTTGCGCTTCTACGTCCGGCGTTGGGGGAGAGATGGCCGTCAAATGAGGACTTGATTGGAGAGGGGTAAGTCACGTGCTTTCTTACGCTTCACCCCTTCTAGAGTAGCGGCAGCCACGATCCAGGAAGCCCCGCAACATCCATGGTGTTCGATTCTCCACCTGCAAACCATCTCCGTCATTATTGATGGCCTTGGAGCTCCAGGGGCAAAAACTGGAATTGCCTGCAAAACACAGTCCATTTCTCAGCAGTCGGATTCTGGATCCGATCGGAAAAGGCGAATATGGCAAAGTACCATCTCCATGAGCGCGCTAGTGTTCCTCGGCAGCTCAGACGCGCGCATTCTTCGACGAAAGCTCGACATCATCGAAATGCCTATTGGCCAAGAGGTCTGCAACTCGCCAACTACGCGTCGCAGTAGCCACATTGGAGCTCAACGGGCGAGCGCGTGGCATGAAGGTTGAGACCTCACGGTAGACAATGCGGGTAGGGACGTGATGTTATTTCCTACGTCATAGTGACTGCGAAGAAGACAGTGCTTTATATGCTGCCCCGCGCGACGGACTGATGTACAATCTTTCCAATTGCTGTTTTCCGACCACCGGATACTTCAATTGCTTCGCTGGACAGCTCCATGGCCTCGCAGATTATCGCTAGTGCTTCCGAGAAAGTCAAAACCATGACGGGAGAGCGCACTCAGAAGGTCGCCGACCTTACACAAGACACCAAAGATGTGCACGACAAGAGCCATAGGATCACAACCGATTATGGGGTCAAGCAGAACGATACGGATGACTGGTTGAAGGTAGTCAATGAGGACAAGACAGGTCCCATGCTCTTGGAGGATCCTTTTGCTCGAGAAAAGGTACGTATCAATTCCCTAAAGCCTTCGCCTATGACATCTGACGGCTACAGATCCACCGGTTTGACCACGAACGTATCCCCGAGCGTGTTGTCCATGCCCGAGGCGCAGGCGCCCACGGCAAATTCACGCTCTTCGAGTCGGCCGCAGACGTCACTTCAGCCGGTGTCCTCACAGACACTTCGCGCGAGACGCCCATCTTCGTGCGATTCTCGACCGTGCTGGGCAGCCGAGGGTCCGCAGATACCGTCCGCGATGTCCGCGGCTTCGCTGTCAAGTTCTACACCCAGGAAGGCAATTGGGATATCGTTGGAAACAACATCCCAGTCTTCTTCATTCAGGATGCAATGAAGTTCCCGGACGTCATCCATGCAGGCAAGCCCGAGCCGCACAATGAGATTCCACAGGTATGTTGCCTGGTCGTCTGCGACTACTTAATTCTGACCATGACAGGCCCAAACCGCCCACAACAACTTCTGGGACTTCCAGTTCATGCACCCCGAAGCAACCCACATGTTCTTCTGGGCCATGTCTGATCGAGGCATTCCTCGATCATATCGCATGATGCAAGGCTTTGGTGTCAACACCTTCACGCTCACGAACGACAAAGGCGAGCGGCACTTTGTCAAGTTCATTTACACACCGGAGTTGGGCGTTCACAGTTTCGTCTGGGACGAGGCTCTGAAGATTGTGGGACAAGATCCAGACTTCCACCGCAAGGATTTGTGGACGGCGATCGAGAGTGGCGCATACCCGAAGTGGAAGTTTGGCATTCAGGTCATTCCAGAATCCAAGGAGCACGACTTCGACTTTGATATTCTCGATGCCACCAAGGTCTGGCCGGAGGAGCTAGTGCCGATCCGGTACATCGGCCAGCTCGAACTGAACAGGAATGTTGACGAGTATTTCACGCAGACCGAACAGGTCGCGTTCTGTACAAGCCATATCGTTCCTGGTATTGGGTTCAGTGACGATCCGCTCCTTCAGGGACGTAACTTCTCCTATTTCGATACTCAGCTGAGCCGATTGGGAGTCAATTGGCAGGAGCTACCCATCAACAAGCCTGTCTGCCCCGTCATGAACTTCAACCGCGATGGTGCTATGCGACATACCATCACCAAAGGTACGGTCAATTACTGGCCCAATCGGTTCCAGGCAGTCCCTCCGGCCTCCAAGGAAGAGGGTGCTTACATCGACTATCCCGAGAAGATTGCTGGCATTAAGGCTCGCATGAGGAGCAAGAAGTTCAAGGAACACAAGAACCAAGCTGAACTGTTCTACAACTCTCTCTCGGCACCCGAGAAATCTCACGTCCTGAACGCTTTGGGATTTGAACTTGATCACTGCGATGACCCAATCGTATACGAGCGCATGACCACGCGTATAGCGGAGATCGATCCGCAGCTAGCTCAAGATGTTGCTGAGATGGTTGGTGGCAAGATGCCAGAGCAGTCAACGCGGCAGAGGCATAACAAGACCGCGAAAGGCCTGTCGCAGCTCGACTATGCCCCAGCTGAGCCGACGATTGCCACTCGCATGGTCGCCATCATCATTGCCGATGGCTATGACCCGGTAGCATATAACGGCATCAAGGGTGCCCTTACAGCTGCTGGTGCTCTTCCCTTCACCATCAGCCCAAGGCGCAACAAGATTTTCGCAGCAGGCGAGGATAGAAACACCGGTACAGGCGTAGTGGCGGACCACCACCTCGAAGGTATGCGCTCAACGCTCTTTGACAGCGTCTTTATTCCTGGTGGCGCTCAGTCGATCGAAACTCTGCGCAAGAGCGGCCGCGCCGTCCATTGGGTCCGAGAAGCCTTTGGTCACCTCAAAGCTATTGGCGCTACTAGTGAGGCTGTTCAGTTTGTCCGCGACGCTTGCGATCTTCCCGGTATGGAGTTCTCCACCTCTGGCGAGGTTGTCGACTCGTATGGTGTTGTCACTGCAGCTCAGGTTAAACCCGAGAGCTTCAAGGAGGCCATCAAGATGGTAAAGGGTGCGAAGCACTTCATCGATGCATACACCTATGCCATCTCGCAGCACAAGAACTTTGACCGCGAGATGCAGGGGTTGAATGCTATGGTTGCTTATTAGAGTATGAGAGCCAAGGGAGCATTGGTTTAGTGTAAGGGGCCAGCATGCTGATGGATACCGGTGGAGTATTACATCATATTCATATATAAATTTGTATCGGAACGGTTCAATATACGGCACGAACTGTCTCACTTGCGTGCTGTTTTGAGGCCCAATATGCATGGCTTTCTATGAGGTTAGACTTGCAGGTCTTGCTCCAACACAATCTTTTCGGAATATCTCAGCCTGAGGCCTGCATGGTCTGCTCTGTGAAATCGAGATACGAGGCTGCGGTAGCACGCTAGTACCAATTGGGCATTCCGATATCGTTACTTTTGTCAACCGCTCTCATACCATCCATCCCGACACAAAGCGAATATTGTGTGCTCGAGCTGCAGGTGAGTTGATTTCTTGAGTTAGCCCTGCCCTTTGGGGTGTCTTCTATCGTCCGATTCTCGTTTGACCGATAGCGGGTCAGGTTGAGCCTTTTCTTCTCGGCGCTTCTCCGTCGGAGAAGGGATTCGTGATCGGAGAGGGGAATACAAGAGCAGGACGGTTCTTTAGTGATCCGAGGATGATAAGTCATTCAATTCGCTCTTCTCCTATTACTCCTTCTTTTCATCTGCATATATCCCCTCGCGTTGTCTCTTTTTCTTCCTCGTCTACGAAAAATTTCAGCCTCACTATCTGCACCATTATCGTCATATCTAACCCTTAAAGCACCTCCTAGTACTAGCATACTTATCACTAAGCGAACAACCTCCTTCCATCATGGCATCAAAAGACCAACCCAACTTCCTCATCCTCGGCGCCGGCGTCATCGGCCTCACCACCGCCCTCACCCTCCGCGCCGCCTACCCCACCTCCCACATCACCATCGTAGCAAAGCACTTCCCGGGCGACCGCTCCATCGAGTACACGTCTCCCTGGGCCGGCGCCAACTGGTCGTCCATGGTGCACGATAACGGACCCTTGGAGCACTACGATCGCGTGACGTTTAAGAAGTTTGCGCAGATGGTAGATGTGGAGGGGAAGGGGGAGGAGGTGGGGATTGGGCGGATGGGGATGTGGGGTGTTTTCGATGGGAAGATTGAGGAGGTGGGTGTTCTTACGGAGGAGACGGGTAGGATTTGGTACGAGGAGTTGGTTGGGGGGCTGGAAGAGCTGAGTAAAGAGGAATTGCCGGAGGGAGCGGTGTTTGGGCTGGATTTTAAGAGTACGTTTCGGATTAATACGCAGGTTTATCTGAATTGGTAGGTTCAGGCTTGGTTCAACTGAGGCCTTCTATTATATTGTAAACACAGGCGCTAACCCTCTTTTTTCTTCCAGGCTGCAAGCCCAAGCCCTCAGCTCACACATCGCCCTCATCCGGCGCCACTACCCCTCGCTCATCTCCCTCCTATCCGACTTCCCCAGCACCACCCTCCTCGTCAACTGCTCCGCGCTCGGCTCCCTCTCCCTCATGGACGTCCGCGACACCAACCTGTACCCGACGCGCGGCCAAACGGTCCTCATCGCCGAGCCCAAAACGCCCATTCCGCGCATGTACTTCCGCAGCCCGAAGCGAATCGACCCGGAGACGACGTATGTGTTTCCGCGGCCGAACGGCGGGGGCGTTATCCTTGGCGGGAGTCGGCAGGACGGCAATTGGAGTGCCGAGGTGGATGTGCAGCTGGCGGCGGATATTATGAGGAGGTGCTGTGAGTTGTGCCCGGAGCTGGGGAGGCCTGAGGATCTGCAGGTAATTAGCCACAATGTAGGACTACGGCGTGAGTGACTTCCCCCCTCTTTTTCTTTGTGGTAGTTGGCGCGATGCAGGGGGATTGTGTGCTGATGGAAATAGCTTCTCGCAAGGGTGGGCCGAGGATCGAGCTGGAGAAGTGGAGCAATGGCGTGCCTGTTGTGCATAATTATGGGCATGCTGGGGCTGGGTATCAGTCTTCTTGGTAAGCTGGGAGCTGCGTTTTCTTGCCTGTTGGGTATAGTAGAAGGAACTAACAAACTTAGGGGCACGGCTGAACGGGCACTGGAGCTGGTGCGGAAGGCGTTGGGAACGAGCTCGAAGCTTTAGCACCCGCAAACAGGCCATTGAGCTTGAGGGCAATGATACGAGAGGTACGTAAGTGTAACGCTTGCACCGGAATCTATTGAACGGAAGTCAATATTGATTTATTATTCTCTGTAATCACATTCGCGCAATACCGGCCATCCGTGACCGTCGCGTCCCTCTACTGACTGCTCAACCCCCTGGCTTAGCACTCAGCTTATTTGATCATGAACCACTGACTGAACGCCCCAGTAGGATCCCAGGTCTTCTTGAGCTGCTTTAACCGCGTGAGAGCTGACCCATAGATAGCCTGCAACTGCTCGTCACCATGAGCAAAGTTGATATATCTATCAAATGTCAGCACATGGTTCAAACGTGGATGCACTCGAACATCCGCGGGTGACTTACGTTGGATTCACCGTTGGGCTTGCCGAATAACTCCAGATCCCTCTCAGCTTCGCACCAAAAGCCTCCGCTTCCGCATCATACGTCGCATCATCGTACCAAGGGATAACAATCGCCTGAGCAAACGCCTCGCGGCGAAGAGCCTCCTGGAGCGCTGTCGAGCCCGCGGGAACGGCCGCCGCCTGGGTCAGATTGTAACGCTCGATCAGTACGGCAGTATTCTGAGCGCCCGGCTTCTTCTGGAACGTGGTGTACAGGTCCCAGATTTCAGGCCAAGTCTCCGGTTTCATGTGGTTGATGGTAGTGCTGTAAGCGGGCTTGCGTTGGTTGCGAGCACAGAATCCGTCGCCGGCGGCATTCCACGATGTGTACGGGGTCACAGCGCTAGAGTTCGCAAGGGGCCCGAGAGCATATAAGGGAGCAAACGCGGTGCGTCCGGCTGCTTCCGTTCCTTTGCGCAGGAAGCCTGTGACGACTACTGCCGGCGAGTTGGATGCGTCGCCCGAATTCGTGAGGTACAGGTAGACGTTTTGCGCGGGGGCCAGGGGAAGATCTTGGATTGCTTGCGCCACCTGGGTCAGCTGCTCGGGCGCGAAGACCAGCGTCATGAGCCAGGACGTCCGGTCCTGAGTCGTAGCTGGCCAGGCCTTCACGGTTGCAGACGTCACGACGCCGAAGTTCGGTCCCGCGCCCCGAAGCGCCCAGAATAGGTCCGGGTTAGATGTGCTCGAGACGGTGAGGATGTTTCCGGCTGCAGTCACGACCCGCATCGAGATAACGTTGTCGACGCCGAAGCCGTGCTCGCCCATGATGTTGCCATAGCCGCCACCGAGGAGTGCTCCAAGCGTGCCCACGCAGTTGCAATTGCCGGTTAGGACCAATGCGCCGGCGGCATTCGCTGCTCTGATGGTGTCGTTGATGATCGCTCCGCCGCCGATGACGGCTGACTTCTTGTCCTTGGCGATGGTGACTTGGTTGAGGCCGGCCAGATTGAGCAGGACGCCGTTGGTGCCCAGGTTGAAGGTTTTACCCCATCCATTGCCGCCGTTCTGCGGAAGGAACGGGATTTTGTTCTTCGCGCAGTATTTGACCTAGATGTTCGGGCGATGGTAAGCAGGGCTCGCTTGGAAGGTTATCCGAGGGCTTCGAAACGTACCACGGCCGCGACATCTTTCTCACTGGTCGCATTGACGACGACGGATGGGAGCGGTGCATTGTAAGAGCTCCATCTCGCTCGCAGCTCGACGGAGACGGGAGAAGACGAAACCAACGACTGCAAGTCCGCAGCGATAGAAGAAGCCCTCAGAGCGAGCGCAGAGATGGCCGCGATCCACAGCTGCAGACACAGAAGCACCCTCATGATTTCTCAGGCTGTTGGAAGGAAGGTGTGATTGCCCAGGACGCTGTGCATGGCAGGCACGTGGCGGATATTTAAGAACCTTGGAAGTCCACAGCGTGCAGCGGCGGAGGTCGACTGACATGCAAGGAGGTCCCTGAAGCACAGACAACTCCACGCATAGCGATAGGACGACTAGAAATTATCTCATGCAGTGTTGCCGTGGCGCTGGGGGTAGCGGACCGGGATCCATCGGCCCTAATAGAGTTAAGCGGAGGAGATATCTAGATCGAGTCTTAGCGAGCTTGGTATACGAAACGAATTGCGGTCCTTGGTAAATCCGCCAACAATGTCTCTCGTACTCTCCAACGGTGGCGGTTGCCGCAAAGAAATGCCGCTTTCCTTCTCAACGCCGAACGGCTGGTCCAGCCTGCTAAACGGTGAGGTTCTGTTCGCCCAAATTCCTTACATAGGTACACATTACTCGTTTTACGGACAAAACACGGGCTGGGGACCTTCGCGAGGTAGAACACGCAGCCTGCATACAATATTGAGTGTGCCGCCTGGGCGTCCTTGCATGAGAGTGATTCCAAGATTGCCTGTGGCGTCTTTGCCTTCGTATTTCCGCTCTCTCGGCCCCCTCAACGGCGTCCCGAAAGCAAAAGAATCTATTGGTATCTAGCAAAATGTCCCGCATCCCGAGCTCCTGGCTCGTAGTAAAAAATGAGTGTCACAGAGTCTGCGACCGCTGCAAGCCCCTTATAGAGGAAATTGAGCGTCGTCACCATGGCTCATGCAACTCCGTTTACGCACCGAGGCTCTTCCCTCTCAAGCTAGTCGTACTCGAGTCCTCCGACTGCTCAGTTGTCTGTTGGATAGTCACTTCCCTTACGATGACCCCGTTATGGGGTAAAGAAGGAAGCTGTTCGTGGCGAGTCAACTCCAACTCCTCAATCTCCTCGTACGGCATGCGGCCGAACTTGACTCCGAGGCTGCTATTCTTCGTCCCAGCGAGCCTTGATGAACCGTATCCGTAGCCCGAACCCGATTGTGTCGCTACAGGTTTGGGGAAGAAGTGGAGCCATATTGGTCGCAGAGTGGGAAGGCACGCGCATACGATTGCCAGGGAGAGCTCGATATTGGTCCAGAAGAAGACGGGAGCGGTGTAGTAGATAACGTCGTTTGAATGTTTGATGTATTCTTCGGCAATCGCATACGTTGCCACGACGCGAGTGATGCTGACAGCGCATACGCTACATTTGTTAGCAAAGATGCCGCCTTGAAAACAGCAGGTCCAGCGACACTTACGCGGCACCCAAACCCAACATTCCGATCACTGCCAACTTCTTCTTCATCGGCAGTTGTATGCTTAAGATCATGGGGATCGGCAAAACGAGGATAACAACGTCGGCGATGACATCCGTGAATAAAAGCGCCATGAACATCGGCACCGTCTTCACGCATTTGTTGCCGTAGTATGGTTCGATGAAGACCGTGATGGGGAAACAGGTAAACAGGTGTGAGAAGAAGAAACTGATCGTCCATCCGATTACGAACGCAAGCATTCCGTAAATGACAAGCTGGAACTTGCGAACACGGAAGATGTTCTTGTATAAAACGAGGATGGAGGATTTGATGAGCCCGAGGCCGAGGATGGAGACACAGTTGATAGCGAATTTCGTCTGAGTAGAAAAGTCAGCATGGGATTCAGCATAAGCATAGCTAGAGCATTACACTTACCTCTTCAAAAAATATCAATCCCGGATCGTCCATGATTGGCGACCCATCTGGATATTGGGGTTGGTGCTGCCCCAAATGGCCATGCATTGCAGCTATTCGCTATTGTGTTACAACCTCCTCGTTGGTAGAGCCAGTGAAGACTTACTGGCTAACTGCAAGGCACAACATGTGATGGATACCAGCTGTCATTCATTAGCACGGCTGTCTCTGAGCACAGTCAGTTGTAGTTGGGTACACTTACGAGCGCTGCGATCGTGAGATAGTCGTCCCACGCAAGACGTTTGGCCGAAAGAGTCTTCGCCCACAGACGAAGTCCAACAAATAGAACAGGAGGTATCATAAAACCCAAGGCCAGACCTATCATCTGGCCCTTGGTATAGTTATGATTCATGGTAACCATCGTGAGAGACTGAAGAGTACCGGTAGTGGAGTGGATCTGCGATGCACTACATCAGATTGCCGACGCTTTCGGTATATGTAAGATTTAGATCGACGGGATCCCTCAGAACATTTGGGAGAGATGAACATGCATCTAAGTTTTGTCGGGGATAGGGATCAAGGCCTTCAAGTGGCTTCCTCCGGGCCCTGCATAAGTTTGGGAGACAGATGCTTGGTCAAACAATTGCTGCCACATCGCTTCCTCCCCAGCTCGACGTGCCTTGCTCTCTGCTCTCGTCCCTCCCCTCGAGGATGCAAAACAAGGCCGGGCCTGTCAACGGGCTGTGCCTAGCCTCGCCGTTCCTTCACGCCACGGGGCTCCCAGGAACGCCTGCTGAAAACGCCCAATGTCCCACAGAGTGACATCTCTTGCCTGGAGTATTCGTGGCTGTCGGATGGCCTGATGTCAAGGCCTTGGCCAATTTCTTCGCTTCGTACCCCATGTCAATCACCCGCCCCCCGCTTCTCGCGCCAATCCAGAGTGACAGTGGTCGATGACGGAGAGAGAAGTCGGACCGAATCCAAGTCTTGCCAGTTTCATCGGATGCAGGTTCACGATCCGCCCTTATGGTAAGCGTTCCGATTGGTCGCCACCCGCGGATACGAAGACCCATGCTTATCTTGAATTTAGAGGAGGGGTCAACGCCAAACGAGCGGGAATTCAAAATGCCAACACCTTGTACGCCATGGAAGGACTCTTCTTACTGTGTAGACGTATACTCACGATATATGGGAAATAGGTGGCGAAAAAAGGGAATAATATGAGAAGAAAAGGAGAACGAAATCGACAGTGATAACACCCTTTGCATATTCAGAGAATGAACGCCTTTTGGGTGGTTGGCCAGATCCAGTGGGTAGCAATGCAGGAACAATTCCGATGCATACGCCAAGTGAGGTGCTTTTTCTAGTGGCTCAAATGAACTCCTTCCCCAAGGGCATCCGCTTCCCCGGTAGTATGGCGCTCTCGTCACCTTGCTTCCCCGTTGGTGGCGGTGAAGGGGTTCGGTTAGAAATTTGTCGAGAGCGCCAGAAGCGTCCGCGAGGAAAAGGCGACCCGAACAGGCGGACCTGCATTTCATGCCTTATTCTATAATGTCCGACGAGGCTGTGGAATGTGTACGTAGTTGAGCGTGGCCTCTTGACTCTGTGGGCATTGTACTCCGTTTCTGGCAGGGCACACTGACGGATTCTCCATGTGTCTAAGGGGTCGCTAAGGCTCTAGGATATCGCGATAACGGCGAAATTATCAAAGACGGCAACTAGTGCGTCCGAAGTCGGTACGTTTTCGGGGCGGCGTATTTGTCACTTGGGGGTGTCGCGCAATACGACCGACGGACCGGGATGAAGTCTGGGGGTGGACGGCAAGATACCGAAGCAGCCCGTCCGTTGTAGGAGTCGGGCGTTATCCGAAGCTGCCACAATCCCACGCCAAGCTGAGCGTGAATACCTGGGCAGTCTGCCATATCGAAGAGTAATGGCGAAAGTGAAAGAGAAATCAGTAGACAGCCCTTTTGACGGTCAGATGTCGCTTCTAATGGCAGGCGAAGGACCTCGGAAGGGAGAGAACTCAAGTGTTGATGTGTTGTAGCGGACCGAACAAGAAATAAAAGACAATGCTTGGGTATAAGAGCGCGCAGTATCTTCATGGGAGAGATGAGGTCGCAGCCGGAGAAAAACGGATTATGATCCCAATCCGTCCACGGATACTGCTCTCGTTCTATCATATTTTGCACGCCGAAATGCTGTTAGGGCTTAAAAGATTTCAAGCCTAGCGAAGGAATGCCCCTGCCATTACGGACGTTAGCCCGGCTGTGCGTTCGACCGTGGATGACATGCATGTGACGGTAAGGGCCCATCTGCGAAGGGGTGTTTCCGTCCGGTAAGAGGAGAAGTGGGAGAGCGATTGCCGGTTGCCGATTGAAAGGATATCACGTTGGGAAAGGTGATCGCACAAACGAGAAAATTTGCAGCAAGCAGTACCAGTCTAAACGAGCCATCCCCGAGCCCACCAACAGCCTACTGATAAATGTAGCAGAACGGCCCCGCCGTGGTCGAAAAGATCTGGTTGCTTGGGATTCCGTTCTTTCCCGCCGGTGCCACAACATCCAGCCACTGCGCGTCAGTTGCTTTACCTGGGGCGCTGTTGGGGTTCATCCAGTTGGTTCCACCTGTGACTATGTCAGAGAGCGCACGAGAGGCGACTGTAATGATGGCAGCTCACCTTCGTACTGGCTCGTTCGGGTCTTGACTTCAGCCTCAACGTAGTTCTGCCACATCCACCAATGGCGATCTAGTTGTCCATGATGAAGCCAGAAGGTTGGCTCACCTGGCGAGACATAGACATCACCTCCTGGGTCACCTGTTCATCGCGTTAGCCCACTCTCTAGATGATCCAACTATACTAGGCTTACCCCAGATAGAGAAGTGACCCGAGCTATGGATAGCAGGCATGGTGGGCGAGTCGTTCTGCAGGGAGGACTGGAAGACACCAATCGCCTTATTGCTTGTGATGTGGTTCGCCAGGTTGCTCATTGTAAGCGATCGCGTCATGTAGTAGTTGTTGACGTCGCGACGCAGACAGCGCGGGTTGTTGCCATAGCCGTCGCGCGAGGGGTTACTCGGGATCTTGAGAGAGGTGTCCATAGTAGACATTAGGGGCCCAAGGCTTACGGTCAGGCTTTGAAGAAGTGGAAGTTAGCTTAGTTGATGAGGACAGAGATTCTTCAGGGTTATGATCTTACTTTCCGAAAGGACCCTTGGTCACGCAGCCGCCTCCGGGTCCAGCAGGTATACCCATCATACCGCCGCTGTGCTTGACGTAGTCGCCATTGCCTCCCATGCTCCACTCGTCGCCGTTGAAGATCGGAGAGACGGTGAGATCGGAGTACTTGCCCCAGTTCCAGTACGGCTGGGTGCCCTTGTATTCACACTCCGTTTGCAAGGCTGTTTCATATGCCCTAGACGGAGTCAGTGATGTTTCTCGAGCTAGTGATAGGGAGACATACCAGATGTAGTATCTGTGCCAGTGCATAAAGTTGGCTGTGGAGTGGACCGACGGCGTCATGTTCATGTGCACCACAACGAAGTCATCGTACCGGGTCTTAGCACCGGGATACTTTCCGGCAGGAAGCTTGCTTGGCTTGCTCCGAATGCATTTGACGGCTCTGATGTACTCGAGCCTTTCGTCTTTTGTCATGTCGCCACTACGAAAGGTCAGTATGCTATTGGCTTTATGAGTGCCGAGGCTGATGGCTACGAGTAACTTGAAGCGCCTCAGGCGTGCTCGATGACAGCCCAGGGAAGATGAAGTGAACGGACACTCACTATTCCTTCCGCACGGCAACATTGTTCTTGTTACATGTGGTGCGGGTCATGCCATCTGACAAAGTGCCATCTAGGACCTTGTTGGCGTTGGCGAGAGCCTGCTTCTGGATATCGGCGTAGGAGAGGGTCTGCCTCTTGGCAAAGGGCCAAGCCGAAGCACCTGACGACAGGCACAACGACGCCACGAAGGCACTGAGAATCGCATTCCCGGCCATGCTGAGTCGACAGTCGTACCACCAACACGTTAGGAAGCGGCTTCTCCAACCCTTAAATCTGGAAACCCCGCTTTATACATCGCCCAAGGTCGCCGATAGTATTAGGCACTTCCCCAACTCCCAATTTTGCACTGGGCGTTTGTGTGGTACATGCTGTATATTTTAAATGGCCTTCACGTTGCTCGGCAGTGCATACCGACGCAGATTGGATCGATATGAGGAGGCTGACCAAGAGAAAGCTTGAATGCGCTCTTTACCATGCGAATGGGGTCTCGGTCAAGGGGGCGTAGCCGTGTTTTCCAAAGGATCCATGAGGGGAGACGCGTCTATCCAATGACCATCGCCCGGATTGAAGTAGTTAATTGTAATTGTGATTGAGCTTGTTCGTCCTCTTATTACCGACGCTGAACAATAATTTCCATGCCCTGGTTCTGATGCCTGCCACGATATTTGCCACTGCGGGGAATTGCGGCAAGGTCCATTGAAGATCTCGTGGATATCTTCGGCGCTTTCGAATGGTATGCCAGTTACAGTCCGTTTAGCAAGCGGACCCTAGAGCTCGTGGTGAACCTCGATGCACTGGATAGAATCTCCCATTTGATCGACCGCGCCGAAGGTCGGGCGAGAGCTGGGTGGGCCAAGAGTCAATCCTCTGAAATGCTGAACGGTAGAACATGTTTCAGGTTTCACGAACGTACTTTGCTGCACTATAAAAGCACTCAAGCAGCTCTTGGCATCAAATATTCCTTGCAGTCCTCGTTCCCGTGTCATCGAAATTTTGTAGGAAAAAAAGCTATGATCGTCGGCGCTATCCAATCGCATATCCAGACATGGTATTTGGAAGTTGTCGCAATACGGCAGGCAACTGCCGGCCTTGCTGACGTTGGGCTTCCGTTCTACCGGTTGCAGATCCCCCAATAAGATAAGCGAAGCATAAGCGGTAGAAATGTATCTTTATTGCAACGAATGTCGTGGAATGGCGATTCCAGATTTCGCAGCTGCACCCCAGATCATGTGCAGCGTTTCGTCTTCCAGAGTTTCTGGCAGGCCGGTTCAGCAGCGGGTTTGCGAGGACAATAAGCTCGGTTTCGGACAGCTGCGGCAAGTGACCACAGTGAATTTAATGCTTGGCCGGCTCTGGCCTGGTGGGCTTCGGTCGCAATATGTGCCCAGGTAGGTGCGGTGAGTCTGATCGGTGTAGGGGATTGATCTCGGGACGGCATGCGAGGATCTAGCTCGTCTTTCTTCATCTTGTATTCCAAGCCTCTGCGTTCTCTCTTGAGCCTCTGCAAGGCATCATAGGCGTTTCAACGCCAGTCCCTTCTCTTTTCCATGATGATACTGTATGCAACCCCAGTAGAAATGCCGGTAAGGTACAGGGGGCGTTGGCCGCAAAGGGGCACCTCCGGGATTCCCGGATGGAGGCTGAGAGGATGGAGGTTGGGATAGTGAAGACTGCGATGAAGGTGCACGTTGCTGCTGACAGCGCTCCTCTTTTCCAATCCCGCGATGTGACCCGTTAGCGCAGCTGGTCCATTCAGCACTTTTTCTTGTGTACAGTGTATAACCTGGCGGAAAAGGATTCGCGGGCCTCGTCTGATGCCGTTCGTCGATACTAGCTAGAAGTGAAGTGGTTCTGTTCAGTTAGGGCTGCTTCCTACTCGATGGTGGTGTGCTACGGCTGGTGCGTTGTACTTGCGACATGTAGCTCGAACGTGACCCGAGTTAATCCGCCCTTACCTGTACCACGGTGCGCAGTATGCAATTCTTGATAACTAGTCATCATCACCGAAGGCTGCGAAAGGGAGGTATAGAACGACGTGAACGTCCCTCAGAGTCGTAGTCGCAGCCCACGAGTCGGAAATACGAATCTGTCAGTCCGCCAAGCCGGAACCCACGCCTCTCGACGTCGAACCTCGGCCTACCACAGGATTGACTTCTCCGCACTCAAGCTCCACGTAGCGCTAGCCATACAGCTACACATTGATAATGCCTTTGATCTTACTACTACTGACACCGTCACGACTCATATTTAGGTTCTAGGATTCCTACTGTACGTCTAAGCCATTCCCTCGCCCACCTCCATCCACGACTCGCTCAGCATGCCGGAACCGCGAGCGCCGCCCACACTGCCAAAGAGCTACAATGACCTCCCCTTCACGCAAATCAAGACTCAGCACTACGAGAAAGATCCCTCGATTATTATACTTACGCTGTGGCGGCCGAAGAATTATAATGCGTTTACGAATACTATGATGCTCGAGCTTGAACAAGCCTACAGCATGTTCGACGTCGATGATAGGGTGAAGTGTATAGTGTTCACAGCAGCGGGCAAGATCTTTTGTGCAGGTGCGGATCTAGACGTAGGATTCGTCGGCGGCTATGAACCCATCAATGAACACAGAGATGGGTGCGCTTCCTCCCTCTCTTCGCTGCGCAATTGAATGGGCGGAGAGGTGCTAATGGAAGTGATATAGAGGCGGCCGAGTCGTCCTAGCAATTCACAACTGTCGTAAGCCGACCATTGGCGCGCTCCAAGGCTCCGCCGTCGGCGTCGGCATCACCATGACGCTTCCCATGAACATTCGTCTCACCCACAAAGCCTCCAAAATCGGGTTCGTCTTCGCGCGCCGTGGCCTTGTCATGGAGGCATGTTCCTCTTTCTTCCTGCCTCGGCTCATCGGGCACAGTCGCGCCATGCAGGCCATCACCACCGGATCCACGTATACCGCGAGCGATAAGGTCTGGGACGGCTTGTTCGCCGAGGTGCTGGAGCGGTCGGACGACGTGCTACCCAGGGCGCTAAACATCGCGCAGGAGGTTGTTAAGAATACGAGTGTGGTGTCGACTTACCTCATGAAAGAGATGATGTACCGCGACAAAGGGTCGCCCGAGGGACAGCATTTGCTGGATTCAAGGATACTGTATGAGTTGTTTACATCGGCGTAAGTGATATTTCTTGAGCTTGGATGGCAACAGGAGCTGATTCTGGAGAACAGAGATAATAAGGAAGGCGTGCAATCATTCATGCAGAAGCGGCCTGCTCAGTTCACAGGCACAATGGACAACACGACTGTGTCGGCGTACCCGTGGTGGCAGCCTATTGATGTAGTCAGGCGGCCGAAAATAGGAGCGGATACGAAGCCCAAGCTTTGAACCTAGACATTAGCATTAGCAATAAATGGCTTTCGAGGTTTCTGAAAGTAATAGCCCGGCCCGTTATCAGGCTGCATCTCTTCCCGATGTCGAAACTGCCTTCATTTTGGGCATCTCGTCTGATACGTGTCATGGCATTCGGAAGAATACGGTCGACAAAGTTCCAAGTCATTCCTGTACACTATGGCATAGCCAGCTCAGAGTCCAACCCACTGTGTTCATCTGCATAAGTGGCATCCCTGGGGAAAAGAGTGCTCCAGCCTAGACTGCTCACATGGTCCATAGTTCGATTGAGAAATGGTAGATATCAGGGATTTTGTTTCGTTCCTAGTGTACTTCATTTTTGAAGCCATGCATAAGAGCCCGAGAAAGCCATATCATCCCCGCCAGCCAGACCCCACTCCAAGAAAGAAGACGCTTAGAAAAAGGTTGATGGACGGTGGGCAGCAAAGATCTTCTTGCTGGCCTTCTTGTTGACGCGGTGGGGGAGAGGGAACTTGAGCTTCTTGACGAGGAGCTGCTTGATGTACGGGCGGCGGACGTCGGCGGTCTTCTCGACCTCAACGACCTTGAGGATCTAGAAAGGGGATTAATTCTGGCACTGAGTCCCGCAAGCGAATGGCGTACCTGAATCGACCTGAAGCGAGATCGGTGCCGGGCCGCCATGTCCTGGTACAGAGAGTCTACGGCGTCGCATCGCGACATCTCACGGTACTCCTTGTACATGTTGTGGGTGCCGGAGCGCGAGTCGTAGCGAATCCAGATACCGAAGTTCTTGACCTTCTGCGGGCGCTTCTCGAAGATCTGCCAAAGTCAGCAGTTGTCCGATTTTGGGCGACAGCGTTTTGCCCCTCCGCCCCGGCGGACGCACCTGGTTCATCGAAACGATCTCGCCATTCGCCTTCTTAATCTTCCGGAGCTTGCCGAGAAAGTACCAGAACCGCGACTTGGCGACGACCTCGTTCGGCGCAAAGATACGCATGCGGTAGAGCTTGGGGGTCGGGTTGGCCTCGGTGGGCAGATGGCGCCCGATGACCTGGTATTCCTGAAGGCGACCTAGTCAAGTCAGCACGCACTCATACACTGGCTTCTCCATCCAGCAATTGCAGTGCCATGGCCGACGCTGGCGGCGTATCAGTGTGAAGCGAGGCGTGACGTTGCAATGTAATCGTGTGTTCGGCATGGGAGATGCTCCAAAATCCCACCCCGACCATCGGGCGCTTCCCTACACAAAAATTCCTTGAACCACCTCTTGGCTCCTCTCGTCCTCAACCTTCATATGGCTGACGAAGGGTGCGAGTGACGAACGCCTGTTGTTGCGGGAGGAATAGAGCGTCTAGATCTCGTTCGAAAGCGGGACTGCAATTGCTGGACCGTCTGCCGTAGGAAGAGAAGAATTGCTTACCCATCTGCACTGGGGTTAATATTCGCGCGGCAGAGGAGCGGTACGGGGAATCTCACCTTTTTGCTGTGTGTTGTTAGTACCGGGTGGTGGTGGAGGTTTCGCGAGCTTGTGTCGAAGTCGCAGGTCGATTTTCGTTGTGGGCGCGCTTGCCCGATTTGGACTAGAGACGATCGGCAAGCAAACAGGCCAAACACTGACGCAATGGCCCCGGGCCTGGCCAGTTCCCATCACAACCACTTTTCGCGCTTCAGCAACACTTGCCCACGCGTAGCGCACCACATTGACCCGCGCTCGAGAGCTGCGCAGGCATCAGCGGCCACAACGGACTACTCGGTTTGATCCGCACACCTTCTGTCTACACTAAACATGAACATGCAGGAAGCCCTCGCGCCCTTCCAGGACGCCTATGCCACGGGTTCGGCACAGGCTGTCGCTGACTTCCTCAGCCCAGACCCTCCATCGCGCGACCCGGGGCGTCTCTATGACTTCTGGCGCGCATCGAATGAAGACAAGATTGAAGGCGACGTACGCTATGCCTTTAAGTACGGTAGGACCAGCGGGATGTCGCCAGGCGAAGCCACCGCATGGCTCGATATAGTCGTCTGCTACTGGCGCGCCGTGGACAAGATACTCAAGGCAGACCAGGCTAAGAACCAAGGCAAGCTTTCAGACCGCCAACTGATGGACGTGTATGATGCCTGGAAGGACATAACCAGCAACTTCATCAAGTACATATCGAACGGAACGCTACCCCATTGGACTGTCTTTACCCTATATTTCACGGCAAACAATCTGAGGAAGTTTGCGATCAAAGCTGATGAGCAGCTGGCGAAGGCGAAACCGGTGGCTTTCAGCGCTGGCTTCCAGGACGATGTTGTATCCGCTGTCAAGAAGAGCGAGAAGCTCGAGGAGGCGGCACGTGTCTTCAACAGGATCTTCGCCCTGTGTCTGGGTGATAGGTGCGTTCATTCATATGCGCTGGCCCCCTTCTCCCTTGGGCTTAACTTTAGCAGGACTCCGGACATGATGCAGTCCCGCAAGTGGGGTGTATACTGCATAGCCAACCTCCAGTTCAAGACGTACTTCAAGGTAAATGGGATACGTAACCATGCAATACCTACTAGTACTTACAAGCATACAGCTTAAAGCTATCAGCCTGTCAAAGAACGTCGTTCGATCTATCGAAGCGCAAAATGATCTTCCGGCCTTCCACTTGTACCCGGCATCGCATCGAGTCACCTACAAGTACTACTTGGGCGTCATCTCGTTCTTGCAGGAAGACTACACTAAGGTGGGCGTCAGTTCTCTGACCAGTCGCTCCCCGTGCTGACACCCTCCAGGCGGAGTCATGCTTGACAGAAGCTTTGAACTTATGCTACGCGAAGAGCGTGAAGAACAAGGAGTATTTGAGCCGACTTGCATCTCGGCACTCCAGCCACTAACGCATGCAGGCTGATCCTGACCTACCTGATTCCATGTCGTCTTATTACGCAGCATACCGTGCCGACTGCCGAGCTGCTTAACGAATTCCCGCACCTGAAGCGCCTCTTTGGTGGTCTTGTCAGCTCCATCAGGAAGGGGGACCTCTCGGGATTCGACAAGGCACTTGCTGAAGGCGAGCCCGAGTTCGTAAAGCGTCGCGTGTTCCTTACTCTCGAGCGCAGCCGCGACATCGCGTTGCGTAATCTGCTCAGAAAGGTGTTTCTGGCCGAGGGCTGGGAGGATCTGAAGGAGGGACAAACGGAGAAGGACAGGATCCGGAAATCTAGAATCCCTACGGCGCATTTCGTGGCGGCGCTAAGAATTGGTACGGCTGGAGCAGGCAGCGGCCAGGTGGTCGAGGACGACGAGGTCGAGTGTCTGATGGCCAACATGATATACAAGGTGTGTTGTCACTTTCATTTCGGCGCTTACGATCTTTGCCACACCACTGGAAACCCTAACCCACCCTCCACCATCTCCGCTATCTATCCTGCATGTCTCATGCACTCGTTCGCTTAGCGCGGTCTCTATTTGCCTTATCCGAGGGGGCCATCCGTCTAGGCAGCCTTGCCACGTCGACGTGGCCCGCTTGATTCGTCGAGGCTAATCAGCATCATAGGGTCTCATGAAGGGCTATATCTCGCGCGAACACGGCATGGTAGTGTTGAACAAGAAGGGCGCGTTCCCCGGAACAGGGGTCTGATGCCTAAACTGGTTCGCCTATACTACCACCCTACTGCACCCCAATTTTCTCCGGGCACCCACCGCGGTTTTTTACTGGCGGACATGGCTATGTACTGTCAGCGCGCTGCATAGAAAGATTGACTGCACGCCTGCAGTCAGTCACTTCGCAGATCCTTCTGAGCACCGACGAAGGAACGCTGGACCATAGCGACTAGACACAGATTATACCCAACAGATCATCAAGAGAAGCAATCATCCCTGCATCCTAACTCTCACGCGACATTTCTGTAGTCCTCGCCACCCCAAGGCGTCCTCATTTGCGCTGCTCCGGCGTTCCATCCCGCGTGCACGGACGCGCTTTCGCCCTATCATGTGATATCGCGTCAGCCAGACACCCAACCCAATCAAAGTTGTTACCCCACCTCAGCTCACCCTCCTTCGCTTCCCGTTTCTTACACCGGAGGATGACCTCCCGCACTTGCATTTCTTATCCTTGCAAGCCTCTCTTTGTTCGTTTGTCTCACCCCCTTGCCTTTGCCTTTGCCTTATCGTCTGAACCGTGGGAGCATGTGTGACTGCGCAGGTGACGTGTGATGGGAGGCCACCACATTGTGGGCTGAGTCGCCGACATTTGACTGATACAGTGACTCACGCATAGGTATACGTAGCGCGAAACAGTGCTCGCTTGGTATGGGCGGCCGCGTCCTCGTCCTTCCTCCGCGGCTCCGCTGCTAGTCGCGACACGACTCGACTCGCCTCGCCCAACGCCGCGCTGCAGCCCGAGGTGAGACCTTTCATCCCAACAGGCTGGTCTGCTCTGCCGGGCCCTTGCTGGAAAGCTGGCATCCTTGTCTGGTGCGGATATAGTGTGATTGCTAATCGTAACATCTGGGATACTCCTTTCTGCAAGCTCAAGGGGGAGGCGGAAGGAACGAGAAAGGGTCGTGAGTGGCGGCGTCCATTTGCGTATCAGCGAGATCGCTGTCGCTGCGCCTGCATGCCGGCTTCCGTCCAATGACAGGCCTTTCAACAGGTGCATTTTCTATTTCCTGTTTGGAACGGGGCTGTGGAGCGATGGGGTTGTGGTCAATATTCGAGCCTCACGATTTCCAAGGTCAGAAACGGCTTGTTTGACTCGCTGAAGTCAAGATCGATTCATCATGGTAGGTAGGTATACTATAGACCAACTAACTCCCGTAGCCCTCACAAAAACCGACAAACATCTCAACCATCCTAAACTGGTACAATTTGGTGCCATCTGTCCCGCAGAAAAACCAAAAATGGAGAGTCGTTATTATGGTAGAAAAGTGAAGAAGTGAGAACAGCCCCAGCGCTGCCGTGACATAGCCACGTATGCTTGATGAGTTTTTTCTTTCTCGAGAAAAGCAGAAATGCTTCGAAGAAAAGGCAAGGATAGGAGCAAGTGGCCCAGCGTATCTTTCAGCAATTTTGTATGGCCTGGAGATACGAGTAGCGGAAGGACAGAAACACGATCATCATCTGTAGCGATCCCTCGACGATAAAAGGGGAATGAGATGACGAAAGGATAAGTATAGTACAACGAGTTGGCAAATGAGCGCCAGAATGGTATCTCGGAACCGGAACACCTTGCGAAAAGAAACCCAAAGACAAAACAGATGGCCTCGATGTTGGTTGAGTCGTGGCCGCGTGGCTGATCGAGGCAAGTGTATGATACAAGAGAACAGCAACGGCGGACGGTGAGTCCGACGTGGGTATACGATGCGGGATGATTTTGGTGACTAGGATAATAAGGGGTAGATGGTCGGCGGCGTCGGAGTCGGTGTCGGGATGAATCGGAGGGGGCGGAAGTGTGAGTCAGAGCGATGGCTTGAAGAGAAGAGATGCGCACGAGGGCACGACGCGAGGCTGTGCTAACGGCGATGTGTCGAATAGAGAGCAGAGTTAGAATGAGGCAGTCGGAGATGAGATGGAATCGTTGTGGTGCAATGTGGATGAGTGGCGATGTTGAACCACCTAGCGAGGCGTCTTCGAAGCCAAGTCATCCATGTGATTGACCATCGCGACGAAGAGGTCGAAGAATAGCTTACCACCATTCTCCATCTCATTCTGCATCGTGCCGCTGCGCTTGAAAGTGTGTCTTGCTCGGATAATGAGAGCGAGATAGTGCGCTCGAAGCTTCGAGTCGTTGTCGGAGGTATTCGCATATGCGAAGCGAGCAGACGTCAGGATGGTCGAGCACTGGATGCCAGACTGGAGACCTTGCTTCCGCAAAGCAAGCTTCTTCAGCTCCTGGAGTCCGTACTTGTCAGCCTGGCAGTAGATGACAGTGTCCTTCAGGACTGGGCCAGCGGCAGTGTAGACTACGGCTTCGCTGGTGCCGTTGCCGTTCCCGCCATCTTCGAGATTCCAGCTCTTTCTTTTCGTGTCGTACTCAAGGCGAGGGTAGTAGTCGCCTTTGTAGAGATACTCAAGGACAGACGAGAAGACTTCAGGCTCTTCGTCGGGAAGGTCGATGCGTTTGTTGGTTGTTTGGAAGAACTGATCGCGGCATGCGGACTGGAAGAAGGGAGAGTGGCACAAAACGTCCTCGTGAGCTGCAAAGAGACGCTGCTCGCGCCCGACAGAAAGCGTGATAATTGCACTATTGAAGTGATGGTCAGCCGTCGATTTCATCAAAATTCATCAAGCGAAGCGTGAACTCACCTTCCCATCGTTGGTGATGTCTGATTTGACTGTGGCGATGATGCTTGAGCCTGCTGCGCAAGTTTCTCGACCTTCCGTGGAGAGTCCCTGAACGAAGGATTCTTCTTGTGCGATTTCGACTTGCTCGCTCGGTGTTTTGAGAAGCTCCCCTCCTGGTATCTCGATCGGTTTGATGAGAACATGATGGAATCTGATGGAACGTCGGCGGATCCGACGAAAGCGAAGCGTTGTTGATGGGGTTTGGTGAGTATTTATAGTTTCCGAAGCATAGGCAACAAGCGTACGAAGCCGACCACGCAAGCAAATCAACGGAAGGAAATCCTTAGGCAGAAACTTTTGAAGGGCAGACAAAAGGCGATAACAGGCAAATAAGGGCGCCCGCAGGCCTGAATATATACGGCAACCCCGTCGGGAGGCCGCTATCTGCCCAGCGACATGGGGCCAGAGTGAATGTCGACGCGATTGGACGCGTAAATTGGTGCAACGCGCTATCACGATATCACATGTCCACTAGGCCCGAAAGAGGCACATAAGACTCAGGGCGGAGGCTGCGCTCGGCCCCGGTCCTGGTCGAGGGCGCACAGGGCGCAAGGGGCTGTAACACGAGGGCCGGTAAAAAGTCAAAGAGGTGGTGGCGCTGGTGGTGCATGTGCGAGGCCTGGATGCCGCCTGGACGAGAAATGGCGACAAAAAAAATGGCGACTGACTTCAAGCAAAGAAAATGACCACTTACACTGCCTCAATTGCTCGACAAACTGCGAGTTCAGTGAGTAGAGCCAGCTCAATGGCAGTTGGGCTGAGAAAATGACTCCTCGCTCCCTTGCTCCTTCGGTTCGGCCGCTGGAGCTTTGACCAGGCACCTCCATGAAAGATTTCAAGAAAAGCAAGACGACGGCCGCGGTGCAACAGCCATCAGACGGCCATCGCACGCGTCCACAAATCAAGGAGACGCGGCCTACCGTCCATGTGAGCCGTCCGAAAGCCGTTTGCCGTGCCCCTGAGAGGGGCAAAGCCAAATGCGAAGGACCGATTGTCGTGAAAGCAGCCGCGTCCCGGTTCCCCGCTGTGATAGCACCGCGGCTTGAGGACGCCATGTCAGCGCTTTCGATGCTGTGAAAAGTGCCAAGGAATTATGCAGTGCCGATCAAGAGCTTCGGATATGTTGTGGTGATGGTGGTGTGGGTCCTGGAAGCCGCGTCGGGCATTCACCAGGCAGCACCCCGCCTCGCGCTGTCACGTGCCCACTTAACGCTCCACTTTCCCCTTCTTCCAGATGCTTCAACCAGAACACATATAAAACCTGCATCCTTGAAACCGATCTAAAGCTGCCTTCGTTGCGGCAAAACCATACCAATGTCGTTGGGGATACACAGTACAAGACCGCGAGCAAGTGGCACTACCCAGGCAATTCACGATGAAACAACATTCCTTTTTCTGAAGAGGAGTAAGTTCACTGCGAAAGCTGTACTCAAAGCTGTCACCAGGGTCTATCCAGCTTCTACAACGCCGCCCCCTCCTCCCCCATCCCCCACACAAACTCAAACACCCCCTCATCAATCGCAACCGCACCCTCCACCACCCTCCTCGTCCACTCCGTCCACTCCTCCTTCCCCATCCTCCCAACCACCGTCCCCTCCTCAAACTCATGCAGCGCCAGAAACCCCGGCGCCGCCTCCCCATCCGCCTCATCTCTACTCCTTACCTTAAACACTAACTCATACCGCGTACTCTTCCGCCACCCAGGCATGCACGCTACCTGCTCCAGATGCTCCTCTCTATACCAGCGATCGAATTCCCCCTCCGTTCCCGACTGGGGCTGTATAGCCGTTGATTTGATCACTGCGCCAATTCCCCCTCCCCTCCCCATCTTCCCCGTTTGCCCGCCGGGTTCATGTTTCTCAAAAACCTGCACCCTCTGGTAAATCCTAGTGTCGAAATCCACGTACTCCTGGCTCGGCCCGCCCTCGGGTAGCAGATCATCGTACTGGCTGATGCCCGCGAACTCCGCACTCTGAATGAACGACAGGTCCGGGACTGCGTAGAGGGCTAGATATGGCCGCGGCCGAGCGGCATCCGTGCATTTGAAGCGCCAGGCTGCGGCGCAACCTGCGCGACCCGATGACGGCTTCGCGGAGAGGATGTCGGGGATGTGGACGGTCTGGTACCAGGCGTTGAAGGTTGCGTCCGGGAGGGACGGGCGTGGGACGGAGTTTACCCAGATGATGCCTGGGCCGCTGAGGGGCGGGCCGGTGTAGGTTGTGCGGTTGGGGTTGGACATTGAGGTGAGACCGCTATGTCACGCTAATATGTGTGGTAGATGAGTAGGCCCTGGGTCCTATGGGGCTTGATTGATTTTCGATTTAAGCGGGCTGACTTTTTCTCTGCTTCTGTTAGCTTGGGAATCTAGTTTTGGTATGTTGTGGCGAATGTAGCTGTGGACTGTACTAGCCGGAAAAGCGTCTCCGAGTGGAGAACCTTGAGGGTTCGTGGAACCTCACTACCTTTGCCAGGAGTTAAAGTACTCTCGTATGTCCCATGAAACAGTGCAGGGTTCTAATAATCCAGGGGCTTCTAATGTGCAATTCTGAATTGCGGAGAGCTCTCCATCCCTATAGATACCATAGCCGAAACCGCAACTCAACTCTCAGGCACCACCCTCCCCCTCCGCTCCCTCATCTCCAGCACCCTCTTCCTATCCCTCTCAAAGCCCTTCCTGAGCCTAAGTTCCTCCTCCTTCCGCCTCTCCCTATTCTGGAACCTATAAAAGTCGTCCTTGATCCCATTCTTCTTCCTCCGCTCCTCCAACTCCGCCTTCTTCTTCTCCGCGTCCTCGAGCCGCACATTGCGTCCGCCGCCGCGCACGACGGTGATGAAGCCTTCTTCGTCGGGTTCTGATCGCGCGTGCTTGCGGATTTTGTTGCGCTTGTTTTCGAGGGCGGTGAATTGCGTGAGGTAGGCGTTTACGCTGGTTTGGAGGACGGCGGGTGGGGGGTAGCGGAGGGTGAGGTGGGATTTGTAGCCTGTGTGCCTGTGTTAGCATACATATATCCAGGTTACACTCTCTAGAGCCGGAAAAGATCCGGAAGATGCATAGAGTGGAAGACTCACGCTCAACGCCCAACCCCTCTCCACCCTTCCACACAATCTCCCTCCCCTCCTTAACAGCCCTCTGCACCTCCTTCAACGCGCCCCTCATACTCTTCCTATCCACAAACACCACGACCGCACCACTCCCTCCCTTCCTCAGCTCGCTACTCCATATCCTAGGCAGGGCGCTTTCTTCATCCTCCACGACGCCCTCTGCGACAACGTCCGCGTCTCTCTTCCTCTTCTTGCCTCTCTTCTCCTTCCCCTCTGCCTTTGCATCACTCGCATCCTGAAACCGCTTATGCGCCGTCAGCGCCGGAATCGCAGAATCAAATTCCACGCGCTCCACCCTCGAGCCGCCGAGCTGCTCCGCGAACAGCGCGCGAATACCAGTTTCCGAGGCGTCGATAGGCACATTCGCAATAAACAAACTCCGATCATGGCCCGGCGTCGAGTGTTTCGGCTCGTGCTGCTTTACGTAGAGATAGTGCTTCGCATCGGCGTAGGCGTCCGGGAGACCGGGCAGCGCGGGAAGCGTGAGCGGGAGAATAGTGAATTCTGCAACTGTTGTAGGAGCAGTCTTTTGCTTCTTCGCTTTTGAAGGCTTTTCGGAAGCCATTGCGGCGGGTGTTACTGGATTGCGGCGTTGCGAAGTGTGTAGAGCGTCGTGCTTCGAGGTGGGATGCGATGTGGGTTGGAAAATTTCTGCAGGGGTGGCACGGATGCATTCTTGGCACTATTTGGAGGGCTCTCTGGCGATTGCTCGCATGGCTTGAACCTTTCATTTTCCTGCGCCTCTTTGAATTCGATGTGCTTATCGGTAGACCGATGACGGCCAAGATGATTCAGCGCAAGGTCCTGCTCTACATGTCTCGTCTCGCGGCCGGAAAACTTAGCCCCGGCATATACACTGGCCCAACCACCAAAAGCAACATCCTAGTACTCCAGTTGCTTACATGGTGCATTGCGGTACATCTCTATTGGGTAGTGCTATTTAAAGTTAAACAATACTTTTACGGAGTAGCGACCGTTTTCGGCCGGGGAAGGTTATCGAACAAGTACATGCGATCGTAAGGGCAATATCAAACATTGCCGGGCCTCCCAATCCGGTCCAGTCCATCACGCGATATCGCGTCCCATCCCAAGCAGGTTCTGCAAAGTATCCGCGCCTTCCGGGAACTCCGTATCCAAGTTACATACACGCCAACAGCCCGAACCGAGATTCGTAATCGAGTGGCAAAGAAAATCGTGGAAGAACCGCCAGTAGCCGAATAGGTAATACGGGTAAGGCAGCTTTTCTTGGAGGCTGATCGATCGTAGGGGTCTAGTGCTCTTCAGTCTAGGAATCAGTTGAAACCTCCTGGTACTGCCTTGACCGGAGATTCCGGAAGTGACTGAAAGTTGTTCTTGTCTTCTTTCGCTTCCGTCTGCTCCTGCTCCGTCTCGATGTTCTTTGGTTGCAAACCTTTGCTTACATGCTCTAGTCCTTCGATAGAAGACATTGATGAAGCAGAGGAGCCATCCTCCTTGAGCGACGGGGTAGAGGGTGGGCTGTGGCCAACCATGGGCGACGGTCCGGCGGATGCGTCGCGGACAGAGCTTTCGCTCGACACGTTCGAGTTAACGGAGATCCGGTTGCGGAAAGGGTTTCTTGGAGGAAGCTTCGGAGGAGTGGGCTTTGCGACCTGCACGATGCGGGCACGGGTAATCGCTTGAGGAGCTGCAGCTTGGTGAATCTCCTCAATGATTGGTTCTTCATCATCCGCATCATCCAGATCCACCTCGTCGAATGCTTCCGAGTTGCGCGCTGAGCTACTTGGTCTGGACTCATCCTCGGTACTCTCTTTCCTTTCTGGCTGTTGAGGTTTTGACTCGTCTGTACTCTTGGCTTCCGGGATCTGTGCCAATGTAGGACTGGGTGTACGACTATGTCTGGGAGGTAGCTGAGGTGGTACTTGTATTGGCGTAGGGTCGTCCAAGTTTGTCTGAGTGCTCATGTCCACCATTGCGGTAGGTGTTCGCGGTTCCAGAACGCTGCTTATGGTACTGGTCCGCCAAGATGATCTCCTGCTATTGCTCCGGCCATCTATGCTCGAGCGGTCGAAGCTTTTCCTGAAAGTTGAGTAGATGGGGCTTGTCGGGCTCGGATGGAATTCGAATTGCTCGCTCGTTGGTCTTCTATTGGTGCCGGCTTCTTTTATCTCCAAGCCCGCGTTCTGCAATGCCAGGACGCCGTATGGATCTGGGTCTTCTCTATCCGGGATGCCAAAAGTCTTCTCTTCCCCAAACTCGTTCTGTACTTCATAGTCGCCTGGAGGTGGTTCGCTCGGCAGTAATGACTCGTCGACGTCGGTATCTCCTTGTGCGGCTTTGATAGTCTCCATCAGCCTCTTGATCTCGTACGGGGGATGCCTTGCTTTCCCGGCCAGGATATCCTTGACACCTATTCGCTCGCCGTAGAATCTTTCGTTCTCGTCGGTCCTTTCGATTATGATGGTCCCGTCCACTTGGACTCCAGCGTAGAAGCCTCGGGACTTCAAATATGTGAACACGGGGGCTTGTCGTTTATGCAGCTCACTTTCCAGCACTCCGCCAACGCCGACGGGCCCAGCAACAGCGCTAATTTCTCCACCTAACGTGCACCGAATGGTAGAGAAGGCATCCAGGGCCTTCTGGGTATTGATGACGACTACGCAGTCGTAGATGTCCACGCCAACGAGGAAACCGAGACCGGCAGTGTGCAACATGATCCCCGAGGGCGGTGACCATGAACCGTCTTCTTTACGACCGATGAGAATGCCGCTGCCGCCGGCTCCGGATACCCAGAGGCCGGTGCGCATGGTGGTAAAGATGGCGAGGCCTTTCGCATTCTTAATTACCTAGAAAGGAGGTTAGGTACTTGCTCTCAATGTCGCAATACAAAATCCGACTGCAATCAAATCGCTGCTGGCTTCCGTATGCGCCCGAAAAGGATATAAGCGTCTTTCCTAGTTCTTGAGAAAGCCCATGCCTCTGACAGTAGTGCACTGCAGCGACTCCAATGACCCATATGACCAGCCTATGCGCCATGTTGTGGCACATCGGACTCGCATTTGTATGTTTCCATGGGCGCCAGAAGGAAGGCGACGTACCTCTGCGGGTATCCTCTTCAGCACCTTCTGCTTCGACTTTGGTCCTTCGGCGCTCGGCCGATCTTCTTCTAGATAGAAACCATCCTCTATAGTATTGTCAGCGGTGGCTCCGCACATGCGTGGTAGACGGCGTACTGCAGAAACTCTTCAGAATGCGCGCGGCCTTGTCGCACTCCTTGTCAAGCGTCGTAGGCCAAAAGGCTTCGGAGCCCAACTTGTTCGAGAGGCGATTGACTGGGGCTCCGAGCTTGTCGACCCATCCGTACAGCTTGTCGAAGCCCGCCTTGCCGCCGGTCTTCGTCTTCTGCCAGAGCGCCATGTCGGGCCGGGAGCGGCGGCGGCTCGAAAAGAGATGGGAGGGGTGCGGGGACGATTCAACAGACGGCCGAACAGCGACTAGACATTAGAAATAGGGCCGGGCATTGACAGTAGATTGCAAGTCGCACGGCAGCGAGGCAGTGGAGAAGGGACAGTGATGCATGAGCGGGCACAGCAGGGTTCATGAAGGCTGGCGACCGGTAGGCGGCGGCAGCGCCGTTTTCTGTCGGTACGTCAAGTGGTCGCGTCAGCAGAGCTGAGCAGGCTCAGGGCTGGCGCATCAGCTAGCCCTTCGTCGGCGGCGCTGGACCGTCGCGAGCTGCTTTCGGGTACCTTAATTACCAAGGTGGCGACCCCTGCGTCCTGCGCTTTTCAAGCAACTTGGCCCAGGGCAGCAATATTGGAGATAATGCACAGTGCCTGGAGTCCGAAGCGGCATATATTGGGGAGGGCGATAGCAGCGAGGGGCTGATTCGCGGGGCTGGGGGCATCGCTCCGGCGCTGCAGCCTCGGGGGCACGGCAGGCGGCGCAAAAGCATGGAGAAGCGCTGGGGAGCGAGGAGGACCGACGTCGACTCGGGCATGCAGATGCAGACGACTGCACAGTTGGGGGCCGCACGTGTGCTGCGTAGATCCCCGAGCGTGGGAGCGGCGCGCAAATGAAGCGCAGGGCGCTCGAGATTAATCCCGATGCTGCTGCATGGCCTCCAGGGAGCATGGGTGGCGCACTGTCACGTGACAGCTCCACCGGAGGCAGCCTCAAATGCCAAGCACGCGCGGCGCGTTGTCGAGCTGTCGTGAAGTTTATTGTTTGGTGACGGCAGCGGAGCAACCACCACCCTTACCTCGCCATACCCGTCATTGCTACGCGAACGAGCAGAGAGCGCGCGCGCCATTCGGATCTTCGGTTTCGGCACTCAATTGAGCGGCATTCGGTCTCCAGATCCTCCTCGTCCGAGCACGGCTTCGTGCGAGCAACACCGCAGCGCGCAGCCATGTTCCGCGTGCCCTCCTCCACGCCGCCTTCTACGCCCGACTCGCGCCGCTCAAGTCGCAATGTGCCCTCGACGACGCCTGCAGGGCCGCCGCCCGACCGCTCCTTCATCCCTTCCTCCACCCCGGCTGGCGCACCTCCGCCCATGAACAGCCTCTTCGGGAGCTCGCGCCCCAATTTCCAGAGACCGAATTCGCACAGCTTCAACACCTCGGCCTTGGGGAGCTCCCCGCCAAAGCATGGACTGCTGGAAGGCGTTGGTTCAGGATCTATCGGCACCTCTACCTCAGGACGCCCGGGGTCGCAGCGTGGACGAACAGGCTCTGGCTTCCGCGTGCCCAGCAGTCCGCCGCAGGATGAAGAGGAAGATGACGCAGAAGGCTCCGAAGAAGAAGAGGAGGACGAAGACATGGAGGACCAAGATGAGGATGAGGAAGACGCCGATGGAGACGAGGACGAGGACGAGGACGAGGATATGGACGAGGAAGAGTCTGAGGAAGACGATGACCGAATTGTTGCGCCGCGCCGCTCAAGACCGCAGAATCGACTGACCCAATCCGTCGCATCACAGCACAGCGCACTGGACCCTCTGTCAGGCCCTACACTCGTCAGAGCTGGCGCGAAGCAGACCCAGTACGACCTCTTGGGTGTGGCCAAAAGCCTGACCCAGAACCCCGAGCGCACGGTCCTGCATGAGCCCGACGAGGTGATACTAGAAACTGAGCGGCTCATGGAGATGTTGAACGATTCTATATTATCCGGTACGCCTGAGAAGAGGGGTGCTGTGCTGGAGGACATTGTCCGTGAGCTGTTAGCACTCTGGAAATCCTCATCCCAGACCACTGGCCGAGGAGGCTTAGCATCGAGCCGCTCCGGAGGTGCCGCCGCGCTCTCTAACGCTTCGAAACTGGCGAACCTCCTCCTCAGCATCCATCACCCCGGTCGCGTCGTGGAGAACCAACCTGCTCCAGCTTCCTCCCTTGCTCTTGCACGCTCCGATTCAAGCTACTTTACGCCAATCCCGAAAGTGTTGCTTGACTGGCTGAATACCTACCGCTACACCGCATCCGAGGTGGAAGCCGTCTTAAATGAGACACGGGGCTACTCAAGGCATCACAATTTCTGGGACGCCGTACACATGTCAGCTTTCCGCGGCCAGTTCTCAAAGACTCTGAAGCTGCTCGAAGGAGCCAACTTCGAGGTCGCGGAGACTGCTCAAGCAGACGGACTAGTGCAGAACGGAATCGGATACGCAGAACCGCACGTCACACACGCCAAGCATGCTACAAACGCCGCTGTCGAACTCCTCAACGATTGTCCAGCTGTTGTTTCAGGCGACTGGGATATAAAAGGGCAAGACTGGAATATCTTCAGGCAACGGGTGCACCAGACTTACGCGGACCTTCAAGAGTTTGCTGAAGGAGACAGCCAGAACAGGCATTCTGTTTCACAGCCCTTCCAAGCTTCGCACTTCGGCATCTCACAATCACAAGCCAGCTTTCATCTGAGCGTGGCTAGCCGAAAAGCGGAGAGCAGGGTTCCGTGGTCCGTCTACCAGAACCTAAGCAAGCTATACCAGTTGTTGCTGGGTAATGAGGAGGAGATCATTACTCAATCTTCGGAATGGATCGACTCTGTGTTAGGCCTCGCCGTATGGTGGGATGGAGACGAAGAAGATGCTGCCCAAGGGAGTCTCGCTGCAAGTCGACGGTCGCTCGCTCGATCACAGCGCATACGGACGGTCGATGTCACACCGGTGAAGGCATATTGCCAGCGCATGTCCTCCGCTCTAGCTGCCGTCCTCGAAAACACCGATGAAGACTTCAGTGTCAACGTCACAGATCGCTTCGAGGTGGGTCTGGCATGTATTGTCGACGACAATGTAGAGGGCGCATTACAAATACTGCGCAGCTCGTCTCTGACTGTAGCATCTGCAGCGGCGGAGGTTGCTAGTGCTGGTGAATGGTTCACGCGAGCGGGCGGCCTACTTGATCAATTTGATCAGAGCGACCTCATGGTTCTCAGCTACACCGAGCAGCAGCGCTCAGGCGTATCAAAGGACGATGTTCTTGTCGCATATGCCAAGCATCTCACGACCAAAGGCCAGATTAGTAGTCAAGACGGAAAGACTACGAGAGAAGGATGGGAACTAGCCATCCAGATTCTCGGCAGATTAGACGACAGTGTATTAGCCAACGGCAGGATCGAGCAGATACTAGACGACCTCCCTCTTCAATCTGCAGAGCGAGTCGACAAGATCACGCAGCTATGCCACAACATGGGCCTGTCTCAACATGCCGTGGGCATCGCTTTGGTAAGTACTATCGTAACCGCCAGTCATGATCTATCTTGACCAGCTATAGAAATACGCCAATCATCTACAAGCCAACACTCAGAACTACGGCGACACTCTCCTCTACTACGCGAGGGCTCATGCAGCTCCCAAGATCCAAGAAGTCCTACGCGTACTCGTCGCTCACTGCCTTGTAAAATCCATCGCCTACCCTCCTCCCGCCGAACTGGATGATTCATTAAACGCCCTCATTACCTCGCCTAAGCAAACTCTCACCAAATTGTCAAGTCTTGACTCGGAAGCTGCGCAGCTCCTTTCAAACCATCTAAGCGGCTATGCAACGATTCGCAGATTCTATGATTTGAGAGACGAAGAGGTATTAGTCAAGGCTGGCGAGAAACCAGCACATCGGCCGATGGCACGGAGACGCGCAGCGGCCAATGCGCTGATAGTCATCATCGAAAGCGCATCTTCCTGCATCCGCGGCGGTCTCTACGATCCTGAAGTCGAGAACGTTGTCCAGGTCGACGTGCTGCTGCCTCTGCTGGGAGAGGCTCTCGTCTTCGTGAACCGTAAGTTCCATATATACCTTTTTTTCTTCCGGCGTAAGATTCGAAACGCTAATCACGATACGCAGAACCCAAACGCACACTTACTCTTCGCCACCTCTACTCCCTCCTCTCCGCCATCGAAGACATCACCACCGCCCCCTCCATGATCCGCACACAATGCGAAGAAGTCCTCGCGACGACCCTCGCCGCTGCGCACGACTCCTCGTCTAATCCCTCCCACCCCGGTCTCCACAAATCAACGTCGAACCTCACAACCGCCTCCTCGCAATACTCGCTCATCGGCAGCGCGGACTTCGGCTCCGTAGAAGGACAGAGCACGGAGAGCTCGGCGGTGCTGGTTAGAGGAGGGAGTGTGGATGATGCGAAGAGGGGGTGGGATTGGCGGAAGGGTTTTCCGAAGGGCGCGAAGGGCGAGGATGTGGTGAGGCTTTTGAGGCTGGGGATTGCGAGGGAGTTGGGAAGAGCGTTTGCAGAGGGGGAGGTTAGCGCGTGAGGGAATAGAAGGGGCTGGAGGCGACGGGGGGAAAATACCACGGTAGTGTAATTTTGGCATTTATGGGACATTGCGAATCCGGCTATTGGGTTAGCGGGGCAAAAGTAGAGCCCCGGTGGGCATAGTGAGCGTAGTCGCTCAACTCAATGATGAATCCGTCTTTCTAGCAGGCATTTGCAGCTACCACATCCTGCGACACAGTCTGGCGCTATTTGTCGATTTCGCTGTTGTCATACGCCGGCTTTTGTACAGTGAGTGCGTGAGTGAGTGAGTGAGTGTATTGCCAGCCCTAGGCTGTGGATGGGCTAGCGGAATGCTTCTGCGATTGAGGGGACGATGAAGACACAGCGGAATTTGGAAATGGGCTTTACTCCGTTCTGTGAAGGCCTTCAGGTTGCGTAATGGCACGCACATGCATAGATGTTTCACTGCACTTGATCGACGAAGAGATTCGCTCCGCGAATTTAACACCTCGCGTCGCTTGAAGAGGATGGATAGAAAGGAGATAATTGAAGCTTGAAGAAAGGGAATTGCATTCGCACCAAAGAACCCCCGCACTAGGCTAAGAACCCGCCCGTCCTCATACTCTAGGATATATCGAGATAACCAGGCGCCTAGTCGACACCGATATAAACAATGCTAGTCACGGTCCATATCGACATCTACATCCTCATCATCCACTTTCATCACCATTCCATCATGCACGTTCCCGTTATGCTCATCTCTCTTGTCTTTTCTCGAGCCGAAAGACTCTTCCACATCTACGTCTTGCTTTATTTGTACTGCGACGTCGTCGTTAGGAACGGGCCCATCGTCGCACTTGCAACAATACCAGTCGAAAGGCTCGCGTTGAGCGCGCCGTGGAGTGGGATGGGCGCATTCGGCGCCATTGGCATCAAGGGTGATGTTCTTGCCGTACGGGAAGTTGGGTTTCACATCTTCGGCGATGCTATCGTTGCATGAGGGCCCCCCAAGAGACCCAAAAGAGTCACTCTGGCCCGAGAAGATGGTAGGGTGGGCCTTGTTGTCGATCAAGGCGTCGCCCACTCCGCAGGAAGTGGGGCAATCGAAAGCGGAGCGTCCACCTTGTGTGAAGTCGTTGTGGTGGAAGAAGTTGTCCTGCGGTTCGCGATTCGCGGGCAAGAGACTTGCAGTAGTCGGCAGGAGCTGATGCCCCTCCACCTTGGTAGGGAGCCCAAAGTCGTCAGTCAGGCCTGAGATCGGTGCATGGCCGCTGGTCGCGGTGTCATCTCCACCTTGTCGATCGTCTCCATGGATCTTGGACTTGACATTGTCGATGGTGTGGGCCTTCACCTCCAACACTGGGAGCTCGAGCTCCATCTGTGCAGCCTCCATGGCATCTCCGATCCCATCTCCCTCCTTCTTGATCCATTGGCAGTTGCGGAGGAGGCGAGGGCCAAGGGCGCGAACGCTTCGTCGAAGCAGCTCGTCGGGATCGCCCAAGCGGCTGCCGGTTGCGTGTTCGCATTTGATGTGGATTGGTCGGACGTCGGGGCTGGGCTTCGTATGGACTTTCTCCCAGAGGAGAGGTGGCAGACCACGAGGGAAGGTCTCGCTCGCCTTGAGGGCGTTGCATTCCCAGTACATTTGCTCTTGGCCGAGGACCAGGAGCCGGCGCGAAAGCAGCCGCTCTTGTAACGCCCAGGCCCGTGTATCCCAAGCGAAGCCTGGAGTCAGGAAGTCGATGGCAGGAAGCGAGGCAGACGCAGTGAGCTGGTGCTCGATCCTTCCACTGATGCCTACACCTGAAGTGATACTTGAAGTGAAGCGGAGAGCAGAGTTTGCGCCGCCACTACTACTACTGTCCTTACTCATTCCAGGTTGAGCGTCGGTAGTGTCGCTTAGCTGGTCGAGCACCATCGTCAAGGCCGCGTTGCGGTAGATGGACACCATGGCTTTGCACTCTCGTTGCTTGTCGTCCTCCGAATCCTGCAGCACGCACAGCGAGTCTACCCATATGTAGCGATAGCCGACGCGATCAGTGGCTGAAATCGCTTCGTTCATGGCTTTGGGTAATGCCTCCCGAGGGAGCTCGCTCTGCATCGCCTGTAGAAGCTCGGTGGAAAGAGTGACGTCGTTCTCGCTCCAGACATAGCTCACAGCAATGTAGTCCACGCTGACTGTCTTCAAGTCGAGCTCAGCAGTATCGACAATGCGGACAAAGGTGCTTCCTATACCGTTCGGTTGGATATCCACGAGGCGGGCCGGGAGTGACTTTGCTTCGTTTGGCTGCCGACGGCAGGTATCGTGATCGTGGAAGCATTCGTTGAGCCAGCCCTTCGCCCGAGAGAACGAATCAGGCTGCTCTTTGTCATCTGCACTGCTGTGGAGATGGAGCTGCGTACGGCAATCGACGACATCGTCATGGACGAGCATCTCTACCGTACGGAGTTCCTCGAGAGGTCCTGGATAGGTTACCTTGTCGTTTGGCCAGTTGAGGCAGCATGGAGCAGGCGTAAATATCATTGTGAGTAATGATGCGCTCGGGCGCTCAACGGGCTCTGCGCTTAACATCGATTTGACAGTGCGGACGACGGTCGCTTCAGCAAGTGTCGATGCTCGGTCGAGGAACACGGAAAGCCATTCCTGCAGGCTGGAGATATCCTGCCAGTAGTATTTGCCTTCGCGGCCGCTGAACTCTTGCCGGAAGTCAAGCCAGCGCGGGTTGTCGTCGCGGAAAGCGGCGGACGCCATTTCCGCGTATACGCACCCCAAGCTCCAGATATCGGCGGCTTGCTCACGGGAGATCCCTTCAGAGACCTCCGGTGCGCAGTATTGGCGCGTCAAAGGCTTAGACTTTTCGTGCGAAGCCGTATTATCGAAAGAGCTGATACCGAAGTCGCTCAGTACCACATGAGGGAAGTCTTGGTTGCCGTGCATGACCAAGATGTTCTGAGGCTTGATGTCCATATGCTTGACGACAGGTCGTTGTTCGTGCAGGTACCGGATCGATGACGCGAGACAGCCGTACATCTTGACAATTGTCTGAGCGAGTCCCTCTTGTTTACTGGACATCGTATTGTCCAACCAGAGTGCGAGCGTTGTCTCCGCGACTGGCGAGAGCAGAATGGACATCTTATCGCCCTTCGAGTATGCGCCGAGGAAGCGGATGATATGTGGATGCCGCAGCTTTTGCAGTACGTTCACTTCCTTCTTGAGCTCCTCTAGCGCTGATTCCTCGCGGTTCTTCAGAGTCTTCCGGCTGATCCGGAGGCTTGTCTCACGGTGGACGACCTCATCGACTGTACTGAAGCCGCCAGTACCTAGCAGCTTCACGCTGAGGAAGGACTGCGAGTCGAGCAACGTTGTAATGCCCTTCCAGCACTGCTTCAATGTGAGTATCTGTCCCGTGCCCGAGCTAGCGGAAGGAAGGGGCAATGGAGGGGATGGTACCTGTAGAAGAGTTTCTGGGGCGGATTCAATGGGTATGCGTAGCTTCTGTGCATGCAACTCCGACCGGAGGACCGCCGCTTCTGCACCCAAGCCTGTAATTAAACCAGCTGGGAGCGAATGCTCGAATACCTCCAGTGATATAGGTGTCAACGTTCTCGACGTGATTGATGCGAAGAATGCCATGGCATCGAGCTTATCTGAGCCAAGGCAAGAACTCTGAGTTAGGTGGGTCGAGGTGTGTTGGTCCGAACCCGAACGGCCGGTGAAGACCCCGAGGAAGGGTTGCCCAATGTTAGTGTTATAGCCTATGAGCAGCGGTGGCGGAGGCAATAGCGACGGTCGTGGTGGGCGTCTCAGGCTGCAGGCTTCTCCGGTAAGCTTTTCGAAATGTTCTTCGTACTGCCTAAACACCTCTCTCCACAATGCTCGGTAGGTGGACAACGCTTCGTCTCGGACGCCACTGTTCAGGAGTGCGAGGTAATTTGGAACGATACTGTCTATGTTAGCCACTGCGTCTCCGGTTAAGGTCTGAAGCCCATGAACGTACCCTCTGTTGCTCATGCTGAAGATAAGGTCACTGGACTGATCCTTTACTTCTCCGTGACTGTTGGACTTCCGTTGCTCTTCTATGGCAACAGCTTCGACCAACTTCAGCACAACGAGAAGCCAGTAGGCGGAGTCACCTCGGTCTTCCACCGACCGTAGCTTCAGGCGCGTATCTTCACAGGCTTGGGCATGCTTCTTGGGGTCTGACAAAGCCTCCAGCGTAGACGTCGGTGTTACTGTATTGGTGACATCCTCTTTCGCTTTCTCGCCATTTTCGGTGAGATGGTAGGGTGACGGTGTTGTGAAGGCCTTCACGCGGTGTGAGGACGAGGCGAGGCTGGAGGCTGGACTCTGTTCGCATACGCTGGCTTCTTTTAGGACCTGGGATTTAAAGATAGCGTCTCGGGCCACAACGTCCGCGTTATCCTTCTTTTCCACACTATGCCATCCATGCGTTGATCGCTGTTTGAAGTGGTCGGTGGAAGTTAGTTTAATATGCCGCTCCGCGATAGGAGATTCATGTTCACCAGCAGGATTGTTGTATTGCTGGAGCTGGAATTGGAAGAAGCCGCCCTGGGGAGGCTGCTGGCCGCCGTAGCCGCCGCCACCGTTGCCATTGTATTTCGGACCGGAGCCGCCCTGAGGAGCTGGAGGATAAAACGGCTTGTTGTTGCCAAAGCCGCCACCGCTGTCGGGTCGGTCGTTGTTGTCGTCATCGTCGTCCATGTTGTCGTCATCGTGGCTATCGTCCTCATCGTCGTTCCAGTCAAGCATACACTTGCCCTGCTTGAAGTGATCTGTAATCGCGTTAGTGGATGCTGAAAGCTTCAGGAGTTTCACGTAGGCGACGAATTTCTTGACTCGCGTGGGAACTCTCATATGTGTACGCGGAAAACATGCTGAAGGGGGCCAGGCTGGCATTTACGTACCTCCAATATGGTCGATCCGCTCTTGCCTCGTAGTGAAGCGATGAGGACAGAAGCCGCATTTCCGTGGGAATGCCGTGTCGGAGTGTACAAGGCTCGACTCCTCGAAATCCGCAGCGTTCAAGCCAGGGTGGATATTCCGGAAGTGCTGTCTCTCGTCAGTGCTCTGAAGCCCTTCAAAAGGAATTGTACATACCTGAGAGAAGTGATATTTCCTGAAGCAGGGCTTGACCCTCTCAACGCCCTGCCCGGTACACAGCGAACAGATCCAAGATTTGGAGGGGTAACCCTCCTCCTCATTCCTCTTCCAGTCGCACTTTCGCCCATAGCGCTTACCGCACTTGCGTGTGCACTGGTACATCTTATTCGGATCTCGTTTTAACAACTCGGGGTCATTCGTCCGATTGCAACCCTTTCTACCGCCTCGCAGTGGAGGCTGGCTAGCTGTCGTAGTTGAGGCATCGAGCTCATAGTTGCATGGAAGCTGCTCTATGGAAAGGGTGGGGTGAAGTGCCTCAGGAACCGCTTCAGGGGCCTCTGCAAACTGCGGAAGCTGAGGGATGGTGGGGATCTGCTCCTGCGTGGTAAACCCACCGGTCTGCGACTTGTAGGCAGAATCATGGCTGGTCATGCCCTGCTTCAACGCCTGCCCGAACCAGTGCCGGATAGCGGTGGGCGACTCGCCGGTGAGCTGGCTCAAGGACGCGATATGTCGGTCACTGTGGAGGTTAGCAACGCCGAGCCTGGAGTGCTTCAAGGGGTTTCACGTACCTCGGCAGCACGTTGTACTTGCTGAACCAGGTCGCACACAGATCAGCAGCCTCGTCACTGAGGCCGATCTCAGTTGAGCTGGACGGAGTCAGCTGGGTGTCGACGTCCCAGCTCGATCCCGTGACGGAAGCGGAGGACTGGTAAGGTGAGATCGGGAAGGTCTCATGTCGCTTCGACTGAGGGTAGTCCTGTACGTCGAGCTGCAACGGGTGCTTGCCCAACGCAGTGCTATAGTGGGGGTCGTACATCGAATCGAAGGATTGCGCAGGCGTAGGTGGGAACGTGGTGCTGCCCACATTACCCCATGAGGCGCTTCCCGAGGTGTTATCCATCTGCGGGATAATTAGCATGGTACATTCTAGGTATGAGTACTTGATCGAGCACTTGCGAGAGGCTGCTGCATGGCGAAGCCCGTGCTATTATTCGAGGCGAACATTGTCGAGTCAAACGATTGCTGACCAAACGATGCGCCGCCCGATGTATCGATGCCCTCGTCGAAGTAGAAGCCGGCCGAAGTGTTATCCTCGGCGGGCTTCATATACGACTGCTGCTCGGGCACCGCAAAACCGTCAAATTCCAGACCACCGTTGAACTCGCTGAAGGTATTCGCGTTTCCAGACGCCATACTTGTTCCGAGTCGAAGGGCTGCGGTGGCTAGTCGCGATGGGTATCAAAGTCGACCTCAGAAGGCGAGGAAGATGAGTCTGAATGAGTCGCGCCTCAGGCCCGGCCGCGACGTGAGTTTTAGATGCACGAAGGGCTGCACCGGTGAATGCAGCCCGTTGACTCACCTCCGAGCACCGCCCTTGCGATGCTCGGAAGGGCGCAATTAGAGCGCTCGGGTAAGCGAACGTCGAATGTTACGGCTTGGCCGTACGATCCGCGAGCGCTGCAAGCGGGCACAGTAGCGGGTTGCGCGATACTCAATAAAGCGGTCGCCGTGCTCGCCGAGAGACTGCTGCTGAACAGGAGATCTGCAAGCTCGACAGAGGTCTGGTGTGGAGATCTGGTGATTTCGCTGTTGGACGTTGAGGCATCGCATAACGCGATTACAGGCAGCAGCGCCGCCCTAGACAGCTTTCGCAAGGGCGCGCCTTCCTTTCCTCTCCTGGACTTTGAGGGCTGAGGGAGGCTGTGAGGGCCAATGAGCGTCGTCTGTGCGCGTGGCTCAGATGCGAACCTCTGCAGGGGCTGACCCGTCTGATCATCCCACTCGGCGTATGGGTAGTAGCTTAGTTGGCACGGGACTACGATTACTGGCATCGAATATTGTCTCTCAAACCGTCTCGAAGAACGAAAAGTCACCACCCAGGAAGGCAAAGCGAAGGAACGCTGCGGCTGCCGCACCATCGATAGGATCAATTCAGCTCGAGTAGATAAACCAAGTACATCAGACAATCAACTGGACTTCACTTTGATTCAAACGGATACAAGACGTCGGGATGCGCAGGAAGTGCATTGCTCTACTCACCCCCAGGGGGCAACCAGGCCCTCTCAAACCCATTCAACCCCATCAATCCAGATTTTCCACCACAACCCAAACCATTCCTTTCCCCTGCCCGTTCCCCGCGGCTATTCCTTCTCGTCGCCCCCTCCTCCCCTCCCGTCTAGCCTCCCTCCACTCCCTCCTAAGCCGCTCCCTCTCCCGCCGCATCTCCCTCTTCCTCTCACGATACCCCTTCTTCAACTCTTTCCACTCCTTACTCTTCTTCCCCACGCCAGTTCTCCTCATCGCCCTCTTCTTCTCCCTATGCTCCTTCTTAGCCGCCCGCTTTTTGTCTCTGAACTCCCTCCACACAGCTCTCTTCATCCTCTTCTCCTTAACTTTGACTTCTAGGGCGTCTTTGTCGCGGCATGCCTTTTCGATAGCCAGGGAGCGCTCGCGTTCTATCTCTTGGGATGTTTTCTTGCCCTTAGAGAGCGAGGATTCAGCCGCGGTATTGATTTCGCGCACTCGTTGGAGGAAGATGGCATCGGTGTCGGGATACTTCTCCTCGTCCTCCGAGTCAGAGTCGGAATCGGAGTTAGAAGAGCTGTCGGACGAAATAGACGATGCATCATCATCATCGTCATCGTCTTTCGAAGCCTTCTTACCCGCCTTCTCCTTTGCCTTCCGTTCATTCTTGCTTTTCGCCTCTTCCGCCCCGTTGTCGCGGAGAACTCCCGTTTCCTGGCCCGCAAGTCCGTTCGCCGAACTCTCCGCTTGGAGGCCATGCAATTCGACGCTGTTCGGTCCAGCAGCGCCAGCCTGCTCACCTGGAGGGCCACTCCCACTTCCCCTCGACGCAACCCCGTCGCCCCAAGCCTCTGCTCTCTTGCCAAACTGCTCACCCCAGACTTCCATCTTTTTCCCGAACTCTTCGCCCCACTTGCCAATGCTCTTACCCCATTCTTCCCATGGGTTTTGAGGCTGCTCGCCGCCCGGTCCACGGGCACCTGCGCCCGCACCTGCGCCTACACCTGCACCTACTCCGCATCCGTGGCCACCCCAACCTCCGCGATGAGCACCCCACGGGCCGCGTCCGGGACCACCCCAGGGTCCGTGACCAGGCGGGCCGTGAGGACCGAATCCTGGCGGACCATGAGGTCCGAAACCAGGTGGGCCATGCGGGCCGAAACCTGGAGGGCCGAATGGTCCCCAGCCGGGAGGACCAAAGGGACCCCATCCACGGCCGTGCTGGCGTCCTCTGTTCCACGAACCGTGTCCGCGCCAGCCACCGAGCGGAGGCCATCCAGGGCCAGCCTGAGCTGGCTGAGGCTCGGGAGGAAGCGAATGTGGAGGATCGGAGTCTTGTGCCTCTGCTGCACGCTTCTCCGCTTCCGCTGGATTCGGCCCCTCATTAGCAGTCGTTTGCCCCTGCATTTGCGGCGGCCCACCAAAACGCTGCGCCATATCCTTCAACACAAGCGCTGCGATGCTCGGCGCAGGGACATTCGTCTCCAGCGCCTCGATCCAGGGATGTAGCGCTTGTGCTCTCCTATCCGGCGTGCTCTTGTTATCCAATACGCTTACGACAGCACCAGCTCGTTGGCCCCTCTCTTCCGGTATCTTGATCGCATCCATAAGAGTAGAAAGCGACCGTAGTGATACCCTCAAGCCCCTTGGCGCGAAGAAAGCCTCATTCGTAGCATTGATGTAGTTTCGCACCACATCCACGTCCGGATTCCCATTCTCCTCAGCATTAACAAGATCCGCAGGCGTAGTACCCATGGCCGCACACAGCGCATTCAGTCCATCTAGAAAGTCGAGGAACTCGGCGGGCCGGATCGAATGCGCATGCAACGCCTTCGCGTACGCTCTGAAGAACTGCACCGGCTCCTCTGTCTCGGTCGGCAGTGTCTCCACGGAACTCGATTCAGGCCATTGCCCCGGCATCGACATCTGTCGGTCGCCCCGTCTCCCTCCTCCCCGGCCCGTCCTCCTTACCCCTCTCCTCCCGCACTCACGACCACGCCGCGCCGCTCTCTCAGACGACGGAACGCTGACCTGCGGAATAGCAACGCAACGCGTCAACCGCGGTGCATACCGTGAATCTGCATCAGGCTCGTGCTTCGTAAATTCGAGCGCAGTGCTCAGCAGCACCGATGTTGGATCCAGAGGCAATGTAGAAGTCGTATTCCCACTCCGCACCACCCCAACAGGAATCTGCTCACTAGCACCAAGCTGCTGAACGGGCACATTCATGCCCAACCCACTTGCATTTCTCCTATTCTCTTGCTCTATCTCAGCTGCAGTCGCGCGATGGGCATGCACTTCTGCGCCTTGCGGGACACTGTATCCTTCGTTCAATGCAAGCCGGTGCATCTCTAGATTCTCCGGGTTCAGCGGCGGAACGCCATTTCGCGCATCGTGAAGCGCCTGCTGCTGCGCTTCGTCGTAAGATGGCGGCAGATCATCGTAATGTGGTCCGCTGGGACTGTGGACGGGTGTGGGCTCGAAGACATCTTCCGAGTCGGAGTCCAAATCGTCTGGGAATGTGCTTGAACGGGGTGTGAAGGGTGCGTTGGAAACGGAAGCGGGAGTCGTAGACGGTGGTGGGGCGTGGACGTTGAGGTTGGACGTCGGTTTGTCCGCCATGGTGGGCTGAGGTTGACGCGAGCGTTGTCTCTGGGACGAGATGAAGCGGAATTTGAACGTTTGCGTTGGCTGAAGTAAGTGTAGCAAGCTCCAAGTAGATTCAATAACGATTCTGCTGAGACGAGGATGAATCTCGAAAGATGGACAATCCCTAGAGTGGATCTTTAAAGCTTAAATCGACGTTGCAACACGGCGACGCCGTCGCAATCGTCTGATATGGCTGACCCGCGCTCGTCATCGCTCCAGCACCCCGTCGAAGAAGCGTGCCGAAGCGAGCAACAAGAGGGGACGGGGCTGAAGCTTGTCTCGCTGCTGCCTAACCGCATACCAATCGCCTGTCCTAAACCGCGCGTCTTACGCACGTTTGGCATCCCCACCAGCTGATCTCGGACTCGACGGCGCCCCGAAAAGCCGCAGAACTACGGCCGGCTTCCTAGTACACACTCATGGAGAAAGGAGATGGATCCTTCAAAATTTCGAGAAGAGCAGATATTAAAGCCATGAGTATCGAGAGTTTCGAGCGTAGGGAAGAACGCAGATGGCTGCCCGAAGCTTGCGCCAAAGCTCAGGCGGGGTAAGCGCCACTACACGCGTCCCACCGGAAACTATTGCGACGCCCTTCCTCCAACCCTCAAGAAACACACAGATTGGCAATAAATACGAAGGATACACGACAACTTGCATTCAGATATCGTCGACCTATCGCAACGCCGTCACGTGCAGCTCCTTGCTTGCGGTATCAGTCTTCTATTGCCTCGACCGACGTATAACAGATTACGAGTGGGAGAAGTAGAAAGCAGAGAAGTGAAAGTGATGGGAGCCGTACATCACCAAACATAAACCGCCATCGTCGTTTCCGTAAGTAGATCGTTCCGTTCACATACACAGTCTCCGCGCTTATGGTTCATTCCTCAGACTTTCTCCGGGTCATTGATGCCGCCATTCGTGATGATGTATGTCGCTTCCTTTTCGGGCATATCTGGAAGAGCTGGTTAGGTTATGGTCGAAGAACGGGAATGGAAAACATACCAGGGGAGTCTTGAATCTTTGCGACTCGCTCTTCACCTCGACCTTTGCGAAGGAGGATCCTGGTTGCTGAAGCATGCGCAAGAATATGACCACCAACTGGCTTGCGACCATCTGCGCCGGCGAAGAGAGCACTGGCTCCAGGATCGCTCTGGACCTGGTTGGTCATGAGGACGGCGACGTTGAATTCTGTTAACGGTCAGTCCGTGGGAATAGAGACGTAAAACGAGATGTACATACCCTCAGCAACGTGCGTCAACTTCGACAGGAACTGGTTGAGCTTCTGCTGGCGCTCATTTAGCTCGCCTCGGCCGACGTAGTCGACGCGGAACAGTGCCATGATGCTGTCTATGATGAGGAGACGGTACTCATTGCCAACGAAGAACTCCGCGACTTTATTCAGAAGCTCCATCTGGTGCTCGGAATTCACAGCACGCGCGTAGGTGATGTTCTCTTGGGCTGGAAAGCGTCAGTGAAGAGCTCATACGTCGGGAGATGGGTCATACTTGTCTCAGGGTCCACACCAAAGCGCTCCGCAATCTGCGCGATCCTTTCGGGCCTGAAGGTGCCTTCCGTATCTGCAGCGGACCGTTAGTCGAAGCCGAAGGTTTGATGACGCAAACATACCGATGTATGCCACCTTGCCTTCTGCACCGCCGAGATCTTTAGGCAGCTGCGCGATGACGGACATGGTATGGGACAGCTGAGTCTTCCCGCAGCGAAACTCGCCAAAGACTTCGCTGATGCTCATCGTCTGAAAGCCACTGGCTTCTATCAGTAAACGATCGGTTGTAGGACACATAGACGCACCCGCCCAAGATGGCGTCGAACTGCTTGCTCCCTGTCGAGATCTTCGTGACCCGCTTCCGCTGCTGACCAAGCTCCTGTGCAGTCTGGAAACCGCCTCCAGCGGGCTTATTGTAAAGTTAGTGAACATCGTCCACCAAACCATATGGTGAGTTTCGCACCTGACACTTGGCCACGGCATCCTTGACTTTCTCGACCTTTATCTCACTGAAGCCCTTGATCTTCAACAGATTACGGCGAGTGGCGGCATGCACCGAAGCAATCGTGTAGTATCCGTTCGCCTTCAGCTTCGCGATGTCGACGGCACCGATGCCATGAGCTTGGATGGCATCGATGTCAACGATGAAGCCGTCCTGCCATAGTCTGTCAGAGTCACCACGGATTTGATGGCTAGCTCGTCAGGACTAGTACGCACGTCATTGCCTGATTCATCACTGGCGACTGAGGAGGGTGCCATTGTTCACTGCTGATAGATGATGCGAAGCAAGTGAGATGAGCGATGCGCTTGAGTGATGTGTGAGGATTGGGTGAAGCGGAGAAGAAGAAGTGGAAATATGCCCAGGTGAGAAATGAACGCTGAGGCGATGCAGGGGAGGAAGGTGCGAAGCAGAAATACCATAACCTTGGAAGAGGCGAAAACCCGTGCTTGCGGTAAGTTGGGAAGGAACCACCTGTGGCACGGCGGTTGTACATCACCTTGTTCAGTGTCCGATTGATGGATGTTGTGAAGTGCGTCATAGGAGCCAGCAAAGTGCAAAGAGTGCACTGAAAGTAGCGTGAAGAGGGATAGGCACGACGGGACCGGCCGCTTTGGTCTTACGTAGGACCACCAATTCCTGTAAAACGAGACCCGACCATGCCCCCTCAGTCCCCAACCTTATCAACTCGACATATCCTGTTCATTCTCAGCAATATTCATACTGTACACCATCCAGATTATATTCACAAGGTATATTCCACGGAAAGGCCAAGCTATGCAACCTTGCTCGCGCAAGGTAGGGTGACGGGTAGACAAACACAAAAACCAAGGGCAGGGGATGCCAACCAACACAGCTCCGACAAACATATACAACTACTCTCCTTAACCGTTCTCAGTCCTCCTCCCCCATCCCAATCCCTCCATCGACTCACTACCAAACCACCACAGCCGCCTTCCGGGTCCCTGACAAATCCTCCTCTATCCAAGTAGTTCCATCTCAGCCGTCCTCTTTGGCCAAAGGGGTCAACCAGTCCAGAAATACACAGAAGAATGAGAACCGTCGTACTCAAGTCGCCAAGCCGTTGTCCAAAGGTATGATGGTTTCTGCGTAAAGGGATATAACGTTCGTGGGTATCAGCGTAGGATTCGTGAAAACTTTTCTCTCTTTCTCGATGACAGTAACTCGTGATTGCATGAAGTTTGCCGGTGTGGTGCCGAGGAAGGCCGTAAACGATTGTGGGTGATAAGTAGACGGAAAGCAAGGAATCCAAACAAGTCGAACCAGTATATTGCCGCAATTGTCGGGGCGATTTTACTCGCGCCGACGGGCGCATATTGCGCTAGAACAGACTTATGCGACAGCGGTGGTGGGAGCCGGGGGCGCAACGGACGCGGCGGCTGGTGCAGTACTCTCTCCATTTACCTCAGCTTGGGTGCAGTCGCGAGAGATGTGGCCAGTCTCGCCGCAGCGGTAGCAGGTCTTGCCAGCGGTGTTGAGAGGGCCTCCGTTCGGCGCAGTGCAGTCACGGGAGATATGGCCCAACTTGCCGCAGGCATAGCACTTCATAGCCTGAGCTTGGCAGTCTCGCGCGAAGTGATTCGGGCCGCCGCACTTGTAACAGGTGGCCGGGCGAGGGCCTCCAGCATAACCTCCCCTGAAGCCTCCATATCCGCCGCGGGGAGCACCACGTCCCATACCGGCGCCCGGGTTCGGGCAGTTACGGGCCAAGTGGCCGGTAAGGCCACAGGAGTAGCATCGTCCGCTGGTGCCAGCTCCGCTTAGCCGCAGAGTCGGGCAGTCGGCCTGGACGTGGCCAAGGCCCTGGCAGTGATAGCACTGCTTCGCTGCCCAGTTGTTAGCCAACCCTCCCTCAAGGTACACATCCTTCCCTCGGGCCGAGATCTACACGCAACGGGCCATTGTGATGTATTCCGCGGGGAAGAGGGGCTCAAGGAACGAGCGTAACGTACTCTCTGTAGTGCGTGGGTGCGGGCATCCGTTGGACTCGTGTCCAGGCTGCTTGCCTGTGGAGCTATTAGTATGCGCTCGAGAAGGCGGCGCAGGGTAAGGTCTTACAGTTGTAGCAGAGCCTCTCGGAAGACGAGCACACCTCTGTTCCTCGACGTCAGTCGCGTGTCCCTCGAGTTACAGTGTCGCACAGCTCGTGCTTGCGCGACCCGGGTACCGGTATCGAGAGCGCCATCTCGCGACGAGCACTCGCGACAGCGTCCCATTGCAGCGTAGGCGGCGGCCAAAGGCAGGGCGGCTCACCAGCATAGTGCCCGACGTTTCCGCACTTGAAGCACGCACGGCGAGACAGAGAAGACATGTTGATAGTTCCTCCGCGTGTATCTGCGTCGACGTATGAGTATCGTGCTCGGTTGTGGTGGACTGCGAAAAGGGGTGGCGAGCGACAGAAAAGACGCTGATGGCTGCGTTTGCGAGACGCCTGCGCGCCTGCCGTTTGCTCCAGCACACAGGCGGCCACGGGGGGCAGTGGTGAAGGGCGCACACACCTACTTCGTTTCCTTCTTCGTTTCCTTCTTCGTTTCCTTCACCTGCCGGCGCAAGTCAGCGATCAGAATTTTCGAGTCCCCCGAGGGGTGCGGAGGGATGTCGCGCCGAGCGGAAACGTGGCGCGCATACAGGAACAGCAGTGCTGGCGGGGCGCGACGTACTTGCAAGTCTCCAATCCTTCCCTCAGCGACACAGCTGCGTCCGTCCTCCGATCGTGCGGCGATGTGGTGTTGATTTATGGGGTTGCAGGAGCGGTCGAGGGTAGCGTCGGGCTGCAGGCAAAAAAAGGATCTTTTGTCGCAGGGACCAACTGATTCGGCAAAGGCTAGCGACGTGCGCAATTTTGGTGAACCCGAGGTCAGAAATGCACGCGCCAGGGTCCAGAGCTGCCTTGCCACGTTGGACGCCAGAGAATTTTCACCTCCTATCAGAGCCCCTATCCAACCGCTATCACGGCGGAACGGGCCTTTTTGGTTTTTCTTGCGTCTTCCGCCTCTGCCGCCTGCACGCAAGCTGCCTCCCTCTCTATCCTAGTGCTAGCACCCCGCGCAATGACACAATGGCAGTGCCTCCATCTGCCTTCGCCAGCCCCCGAGCAGGCCCGGGCCACCCCATCTCAGATCCTGCGGAGACGCACTCTCCATAGCTTTTGCTTCTTCGGGCTGGAAGAATGCTGGCCCGAGCCCGAAGCCCGCGGAACAATAGCTGTCGTCGGCCGCATCCGAGCTGCAAGTTGCGCTGTAGCCTGCATCGTGTGCTGAGGCCCATGTTGGGTCGCGACACGCTGCTTTTCTCGCAGAGCAGATTATTAGCCTGGAACCGATTCAGATCTTCACAATGCGTAGAGACTCTTGCACGGCTGATATGGGCTTGGCAGATGCTTTCTGAAGATGGACTTGCAGCCGTTGGACAAGAGGCCCCGCGTTGGACAGCGAACGTGGGTTCCTGCATAAAGGGGTAAACGCCGGGTAGGTGCTGTACGACCATGGACGTCACCACCGCGCATTGGTATACGTGAAACCTAATAAAAGGGGTGTTCATGGAGAGGTACTAGTGAGTCGAGATGCTGCGGGCAATGACTTTGCAGAGCATAACATTTTTTTAAGGACGATGTTTGGAATGTGGAATCTATTTTTCTCTTGTATCGCCAGACACGTCGTGAAGGGGAGAGCGCCGTCTAGTCTTCTAACTCTATGACGGCCGGCGCCTTGATAGTTCGGTCCTTGAGGAAGTCGAGGCCTTCGCCGCCCTAAATCTGCGTTAGTAACAGCTTTCACGAGCAGTAGGCGCAGACTTACGTATGAAATGAGAGGTGACACCTCAATGCCGTCGTCCTGGTCCTCACTGACCACCGTGGCGCCAGCAGCCTGCACCCACTTCTTACCCTGCATCATGATATCTTTCTTGCTGGTATCCGGGTCGTCCTCACCGGTGCCCTGTGCGTTCTTGAGCGGCGAGAACTCGTCCTCACGCTTCACCTCCATGCAAGCGAACTTATCCAGTGTCAGGAACGGGAAGCAGTCAAAGACGAACTGCTCCAGCTTGACGCCGTTGGGCTTCTCCGGTTTGACCGTCTCGCCCGTCTCAGTGTCCACGTAGGGAATCTTCTTGCGAGCGACGTGGTGCGGCAGCTTCTTCGCCCATTCGGGGATGCTCTCGAGGAAGCTGTATGAGTAGTAGTGGTTGACGATGTTGGCAGCGCGGAGTTTGAGGAGCTCGTGGTTCTTAGGATCTTTGGCTTCTGCGTCGGCAGCATCGATCTCGGAGTACTCGACTACATCTGGTCGACCATTCTTTTGGAGAATGAGGCCGACGGATTCCTTAGCGTTGCGCTTGCGGACGACTTTGGTAGCGATGTCCACATTCTTCGATGCGGAGAAGCCAATGAAGGCGGGGTCGGCGACCTTCACTAAGCAGTTGTCCACGCAGTAAGCGTGGATGTGCTTGATGCCTCGCTTGCCCATGTCCGAAACGATGCCGGATGTAATGAGCGCTTGGTAGAGACCACCGTTGCCATCGGGAGCAACAGCAGCCTGCGCTGTCAGCCAGCTCTCCTTCGTATGATCACAGGATTGATGCGTACCTTCGACTTGCTCTCCATCAGGATCTTGCCCTCGTTCGAAATGCAGGGTAGTACCCCCTGCTCGAAAATAACCACATTCTCCTTCTTCAACCCAAAGTACTTGTTCTCCTCGAAGAACTTCTGCGTAGGGCCTCGCGTCGGACCGCTTGTCATGACATACCACGGCACGGTGACGCTCTCCTTGCCATGCGTCTTCTTCGCGAGCTGCTCCACCTTTGCAATTCGCTCACCCTGGAGCTGGAACAACGACTTGTGGCTAGGCAGGCCAATGTCGAAGCAGCCCTTGGGAGCAGAGCTGCCCAGCCGTGTGCCCTGGCCACCAGCCATCAAAACCACCGCCACCTTATTGTCCGCAATCATTTCCAGGCCGCTGTCGTACCATTTCTGCAGGTCTTCCGCCTTCGAATCGAGGACCGATGACGTAGCATTCTCTGGGAGGGGCTCGAGTGTAGACTCTGCCGATTCGGTCTTCGGCGGGTGGAGAGCTGTCTCGGCGAGCTCGTTGATGCGGTCGGGGTCGAACTTCTCGAGCTGCTCATAGAGCCCCGCCTTCTCTGCGGCCGTGAGCTTGTCGTAGAAGGCGAAGACATGCTCCTGGCCTGCTTTCGCGTATTTGGATTTGAGCTCTTTGAGCTGTTCTTCGGCGGGCTCCTTTGCTGGAGCAGCGTGCTCGCCGCCGGTGAGGTGCAGCTTCTCGAGAGCGGTGTTGATGGTGTCTTTGACGGCTTCCATGATGCAAGCGGGGTAAGCTGTTTTGGCGGGGAACGGGGAATGCAATTGATCGAATTGGAGCAGAAGCAGAGTTTGGAGGAAGCGTGAAAAAGAGAAGAGAAGAGATCTCTGCAGAGTCCGGCGCCTCAATCAACGTTTATGAAAGAACCAGGAGCTCAGCTGCGCTGCCCTTAAGCCACTTTGCCCCACTCCTTTGCTTCTCACCGCGTCCCTGTGGCGCACGAAAGCATGGCGCACGAGAAGCTGCCTCACGAAAATGTGTAAGCGGCTGAAAATCACCACTAAAAATAGGCATCCAGAGGTCAGTCGCGGCCGTCAATCATCAATTTTGTCCGACTACGTGTAGATAAATAAACAGTGTGGTTATGCAGAAGTTTGTACTGGTGGGTAATCGCGATGGCTCAAACCTTGGAACGTCAGAGCCACCCAGCCACGCAAAGAAGACATGCGGCGCCACCAACATAAAAGGCCGCTCCGATGCCGTACAGCTCACAGATGTCCAAAATATTGAGTTGAAACACGAAAGCCGCACAACGCCCATAAGGAAGTACCGAACAGACTATGAAGCGTAGCCATTAACCAGGACGCCATTGGCCTCCTGTTCCTCCACCTTCAGAGGCTTGGCCGGCGCCGGATTCAGAATGCGTGTCGCATCAATCAGACGGGCGTTGGGATTCAGCTCCAGTCCAAACCCAGGCCTATCCAGCACGGATACATCAAGATATCCTTGGGTTGGAATGGGTTCGTTAACGAACAGATCGCCAAATACTGGCAGCACCGACTTGCCATCCGGAGAGTTGGCTAGATATTCCTGGAACGGCGAATTGGCCTGACTGACGACGAAATGATACGAGTACGGGCCGCTGGCATGAGGAACAACCGGGATGTCGTACGCAGCAGCCATGGACGCGATCTTGAGTAGTTCGGTCATGCCTCCAACCCACATAACGTCGGGCTGAATGATGTCTAGATTCCGGCCCTCAATCAGTTTCCGGAAACCGTATCTAGAGTATTCGTGTTCGCCAGTGGTGAACTTCATCCTGGGGTGAGCCCGCTTGATCAGCTCGAAGCCATCGGTGTCGTCGGGCGAGAGACACTCCTCCCACCAATTGAGGTTCAGGTCTTCGCAGGCCTTGACCACCTCAATCGTGTAGGGGACGTTCAGGCTCATGTAGCAGTCGACCATGATTGGGAAATCTGGACCAACGCTTTCGCGGTGTTTCCGGAGGAACTCGACGTTCTTCTTCAACCCTTCGATGCCTTCACCGGGGCCGTAAGGGAGCGGCACTTTCGCACCAAAGAATCCCATGGCCTTCGCCGCCGCAGGTTCCGGGCCCGTGCAGTAGAAGTTCAATCTCTCTCTTGTTGCTCCTCCAATCATCTTGTATACAGGCTCATTGCGGACCTTGCCCAAGAGGTCCCAGATGGCAAGGTCGATGACCGATATAACAGCGACTGGAAGTCCCTTGCGGCCGTAGAACATGGAAGCGCGGTACATTTGCTCGAACAGGTGGTTTGTATCTCGAGGATCTAATTAGAATGTTAGTATTTAGTTTGAGTGGGTACAAAAAAACGCAAAATATGTCAGCCATATTGTCGTGGGTACGTTTGGCAAGCTCCATCGAAGTACAGCTTATGCTGTCGGCCTCAGGAGCTCATAGACATAGCAAAGATGCACCACTGTCTTTGGAGAGAGATTGCAGAACGTTATCAAGAATGACTTACCTTTGCCAATGAGAAAGCGCTCGAAATGCTCTGCGACCAGCCAGCATGCTGGTGGACCCCCAAATCCAGTCGCAAAGCCCTTGGTACCGTCGGAAGCCTCAAGCTCGACACAGAAGGAGCCCAAAACGTTGATGCCCCAACTCGTTCTTGACTTCCTGTACTGCTCATACTGCGACATCGGTGTCGATATCTTGCTGTCTATCAACCAATGGCCGCCATGCACATTGTGATAGTCGCCGCCGGAGCCAGGCCCCTGGGTGATAAAGGTACGGACATGCTTAATGGTAGGGAAGCCGCGGGCAGCGCCGCCGCTGACCGTGGAAGGCATGGCAAAGAGGGTAGTAAGACGAGTACGCAGGAAGAGGGGACGTGGGGGGCTGAGGCACAGCTGGGTGAGGTGCCCGCTGTGTTAAATACAGAACGGATCAGGCGGGAGGTTTAAAAGGAACGGAAAATACTGGGCCAGAGGCGCCGCAAACTTCCATCTCGGTTGATCTCGCTGCGATGAGAAACCCGAGCAGATAGGCCATCGTGACTTTGGCCACAAAGGGTGGATCCTTGACGTGGGCGCCCGTGGTGGTGAGGATTGCCAGAGCGGCCAGGCTAGGCTGATCGGCTTCAACAGTACATGGTTTTCGGCCAGGGGAGGCGTCTCACCCTCGGCCCAGTCATCCCAGCGCCGCCAATCAGCGACCGTATCTGGTGCAGCAGCCGATGAAAACGGAATCTGGGGTAGCGGCAAAAGCGCCTTACCCAGTGGTAGCCGACTGGAGAACCGCAGCCCCGCTGTCTGAACACCTCGGGTCAATTCTATGCGACGTTTGAGAGCCACACCATTCGCATTCCTCCACTATTATGGACGTGACCAACGGCAACGCGGTGCAACCGTACGTCAGTCCAGAAGCGAAGTTGTCCCAACACTCTCCCACCGCCGACGACGAGCACGACAACTGGAGCGGCGAGGGCTCGAGCGGCGACGAAGCGAACAGAAGCCAGAGCGGCGCCTCGAAACGCAAGCGGCCCCTCTCGGTGAGCTGTGAGATTTGCAAGCAACGCAAGGTACCGAAGGCGCTGAGGCTACCTTCGCGCGACACCGCTGCTGACGCATGAGATAGGTGAAATGCGATCGCGGCCAGCCCAGCTGCGGCTGGTGCGTGAAGAACCACTCGACGTGTGTAAGTCGGCCGTCGCAAGACATGGTGGAGAAGGCAGCTCACGCTCGGTCCAAGGTGTACCTGCCGCGCAAGAAGCCGGGGCTACGCGCTGGCTACGGCAGAGAACTAGAGTCGCGCCTAGGTAAGTTCCGCTCGCTTTCTGCTGCTGTCGGCTCGTTTGTCGTGTGCTAGAGGTCTCCCGGGCGAGGAGCGGAGAGGGCATGGCAGTGCTGGCAACAGAGCCAGAGCGAAGGCAGACAACGGTCGCTTCCGTATCTGGCTGGCTGGACAGGCAGGAGCGGCTGCATGAGGAAGGAGCAAACTAACCGTGGCCAGACAAACTCGAGACCTTGCTGCACCAACAACAGAACCAGATCAACCAGCTGTCACACAATCAGCTCGCGCCGGTCGGCACCTCGCCGCAAGATGCACCCGTCTTCCGGAGCCCGCCCATCATACAGACGCCGCACATCCCGCGCCCTGAAACTGCCCTGTTCATCCAGAAGCCGTCGTCCTTCTCTGCGCAGACGCCGATACAGCCTAATTTCGGAAACACAATAGGGGAGGCAAGGCAAGGGCACCCTGTTACCGGCAATGGATACCATCCGTCGCCCGAAGAGATGCAGTCTGGGCTGGGCGCTCTTCAGCGGGATTCATACGCGGCCGGTGCGCCATCGCCATTTCACCACGACCGGTTTGCGCCACCATCCATGGCTGGGGCGCTAGCACAGGGCGATAACGATTTTCCGCCGTACGATCTCCTTTACGGCCTGGTCGACCTATTCTTCAAGCACATCTATCCCTGGTGCCCTATCCTGCATCGTCAGACCACCTTGAACTCTCTGTTCGGCGACTCAAGCCTGGACGAAGCAGATAGGATCATCCTGCATGCAATAGTCGCTACAACCCTCAAGTTCTCCACTGATGCGCGGCTCACGCCCGATAAAAGAGGCCGCTACCACCAGAACTCCAAGGAGAAGGTGTTGCTTTACGGGATTGAGAACAGCTCGGTGAAGTCCCTCCAAGCACTGGTCATTCTCTCTCTGGATGTTGTCGGTTGTTCGAATGGCCCTCCTGGATGGAACATGCTCGCTCTTATCACCCGATCAGTGGTGCAGCTGGGCCTCTCGATGGAGACGTACTCGCCCATGGTCGCCCCACAGTATGCTTCCATCTATACTCTGCGGGCGACCGTACTACCTGAGCCCAAGGATTGGATAGAAGAGGAGAGCCGCCGGCGACTATTTTGGATGATCTACGTGCTTGACCGCTACGCCACCGTGGCTACAGCATTCGAGTTTGCCCTGGACGAGAAAGAAATTGACCGTAGACTGCCATGTCGGGACGATCTCTTCGCTCGGAACGTACCAGTTGAGACGAGATGGTTCCACACCTCATCACGGTCGGACTACAGCATGAACAGGCCCGAGAATCTCGGCTCGTTCTCGTACTACGTAGAGATATTGGGGATTCTCTCGCGGATCCACAAGTTCCTGAAGAAGCCCGTCGATATCACATCGCTCTCGGATGTCGAGAAGTGGCAGGGAGAGTATCGCGAGCTCGACAATGCCATCGAACAGTGGAAATACAACCTTCCGCCAGAATACGGAAATTCCGCACGAGTCTTTTCAGGCTCTGGAATGAACAAGCACTTAAACAGTGGCTTGGTCATGCTGCATGCCGCATTTCACACGTAAGTTCCCGCGAATGAAATCAGACGTATGGCCCTGACCAGAGAACAGCACAGTAATTCGACTACATTCCTCAGCAGCCTACCCGACCCATCGCTCACCGATTTTCACGCCCTCATTCAGCGCCAGTCAAAGATGTCTTAATGCGGTCGAGAGCCTTGTAGCGCTCTGCGCCTGCGTCCGAGAGAACGCTCTCTTAACCAAACTCGGTCCGCCTTTTGCATTCTCTCTTTGGGTAGCAGCTCGTGTTCTTCTCGTCCACGGCTCGACCATTGAGCATCGCGTTGACCAATCTATCAACCTCCTAGTCAACACGCTTCAAGAAATCGGCCATTACTGGGAAGTCAGCACACGCTACGCCAACCTGCTCTCGCGTGTACTGCAGGAATACCAGGAGTCGCAACGAACACCCGTAGGGGCCAACGGCGAGCGTGTCACTCCGTCCACCGTCAAGATCCTGGCAGACATGCGCCGCTGTGCATTCGATTTGGACTTCCTTATCTCGAGGCAGCCAAAGATGCATTCCAGCACTAGACCGGCTTCGGTAACCCCGGCCCGAACGCCGGGCCCTAACGAGCTAGAATATCTTGACGTCTTCGATTTCTTCAACATGCCGAGACTGCCTGTCTCCATGGACGGAGCCACGAGCTTCACTGCACCGGACGGCAGCCTACAACTACCAGAGGGCGCTCAAGGGAATGAATTCAATATCACAAATTACATGGTTGATGCGAGCTCCGATTGGTTTAAATCTTAGGGTTTCTTTTCTCATCTTCTACGAATACACTCCCAAAAATTCCCTCAAGCATGTGTCGGGCATGTCAATTGGCGTCTGTCCAAGTACTGTCCTGCCCCCTGTAATGGTCCGGTCCTTTCTTTCCGCACCTTCCTTATTCTTCTAGATACCCCTTCTTCTGATGGAACTGGGTTGGGGACACAACAACGTGCTGGTGACGGTGTAATGAGTATATATACCGCAAAAGGAATATGTTACCCAACCCCTCATTTCTTCCTAGTATTTTAAATCAAGGGAATAGTTTGGGTAAGTGGTGCGTAGCGGCTCCCATACTATTGAAAGTCGCCATAAGATGCGAGAGGGACGAGGTCTAGTAAGGTAGCCTAGCCGGTTATGTATGAATTCCATCCCTGCACCTTCATGAGTATTTCGAGCAGGAAAATGTGAGCGGTTTCTCAACGCTTCGTCTATATTACTACTGCCGCCTCTTTAAACTTGCACTAGATAGAAGTCTCTCCGTTGTATGCTTCAATACCTTCATGGGTTGGGTTCCTAGACTGGTAGGCTCGAATGAATTAGGCTTAGCGTGGAGCTGGAGCTCGTGAGGTCTAGGCAGCCTTCCAGCCTTCCTTCCTCCGCACCTCGCTCAAATTCTTACACAACACCTTCGTACTATACCCTTCCCGTTCTTGCGTCTTTCCCTTCGGCTCACAGAAAGCAAGCGATAGAGACCCAACCCCACGCCGATGTCTACATTTCAACATCTCAACCTCTCCAAGCCGCCGCAGTCGATGGCAAGAGCGCCCGTGGAATCTCGCGACGCTGCTAGGCTGAAGAGCTGAGCGCTGACTTCCTTGCTCATCATCCGCATCTTGTCCTCGATTAATGGCGACTCCTGAGGGCGGTCGTTTCCGACGCCTTAGACGGCTAAGCCTCCGGATCAAGCCTCAGAACAATTGCAGTGGCCGCGTTACAAGAGGCACTTGCCCTATTTGTGCACGAATTGCACATTTCATACAGGAACGGAGCGCCGTGGAAAATGTGACGGAAGAAAGAATTGGCACTGTGAGCGACTTTGAAGATCAAAAAGACTGCTCGACTTGCCAGAAGGTTCTTGAGGAGGCATAGAGTAGGGCTCCAAGATTAGAAGATTATCGAAGCCATAAAGTGTACCTCGCCAATAACACCACTCACCGCTTGGAAGAGGGTGGCGCGGTCCGAATTCCGTGGCAGCTACATTGGGTATGAGAAACCGAGATCTCTACTCTCATCATTTTTTGAGCTAATAAGCCTCTAAGTATGATCCTTCAGATCGTCTTCAAGGACACCTAAACTTTTGTCCTATCGACCAAAAATTCCAGCTAAATGGGGAACCCATTAATAGGAGTGACCTATCGATCAAGGGTCAGGGCCTGTCCTTGAACAGCCATTGCTTCAGCATCAACCAAATCAAGAGCTGGTTAGCGACCTGCAACCATGGACATGCCGGCCTCTGTCACTCTGTTTCGGATCCTTGGAGAAAGCTAAACACTCATCTCACATTAATCCTTATAGATGTAGAGGAAAATTGTCTCGTCGAACAGACCCAGCGATGCGACTATATCGCGTTGAGCTATGTTTGGGGCCATGGCAGTCAACCCTTCCAAATAACACAAGAGAATATCGCGACCTTACGGGAAACGGGGGCTTTCGCTATGGAGGAAAACTACATCCGACTACCAAGGACTATCAAGGATAGTATGTTGCGTACCAGGCGTATCGGCGTTCGTTACCTATGGGTGGATAGATTTTGCATCGTTCAAGATGATTATCGCCATAAATACACCCAGATCAATTTCATGGCATCGATATACGCCAATGCCTACTGCACTATCGTGGCAGCCAATGGCAATAATAACAACTCCGGGCTTCCCGGGATCGACCCGAATGCCCATCCGCGCGCAGCTCCGCATCTGATATCTGACTTCACCGAATCTTGTTCCGCGGTAACTCCAACATTGCTTGGATCTCGCTCCGCATACTACCATTCGCGGGCTTGGACATACCAGGAATAACTTCTGTCTCCAAGGAAGTTAGTATTTCGCGACCAGACTGTCACTTGGCTTTGTCGAAGTACATTGTGTCCTGAGTACCTTGCTCAGCCTCAGCAGTTAATTGCAAGAACCGTTCCATGGCAGATTGTGGACCTATTTCGTTCTTGGCCAGATATCGAAACATATCGTCAGGCTGTGCAGGAATACTCGGCTCGAGAGCTAACATTTCCTGACGGTGTACTCAATGCATTCTCGGCAATTGCGACTTTAAGCGGACGGGCCATGCAAGGAGGAATCTTGTTCGGGCTACCGGAACTGTTCTTCGATGGATGCCTGCTCTGGCGTGCCAATCTAAAGCCACTGCAACGAAGGGTAGATGTAAACGGTCGAGCCATTAAACAATTCCCCAGCTGGAGCTGGACCGGATGGATCGGGGCGGTAGACACGAGTCTCTGGAGTCACGTGCACAAATATATCGAAACTGGTGAAAACTGTTCCCTCGCTTTGCGCGCCAACATACAATGGTTCAAAGAGTACAACGAGAGCAGCGAACGTCTCGCGATCAAGAATTCGTACTATACGGAAGCGCTCAAAGATGCGACCGAAGCGGACCACGAACGTTTACCGTTGAATTGGAAATTCTCCCGCGCAGTGCCTCTTAGCGATCACCCTCTTCCTCCAAATGAAAATGTCTGGAGTCCGGTCCTGTTGTTTCGATCTCAGCGACTGGGCCTATTTCTCGGGGAGTTGTTCCAGAGGGAAAACTATCGTCGAACCCTAGCGTATGTATTGAAGGATAGGAGGAATGCAGTCGTCGGATTAGTGATTCCGGACGAGGCAGTTGCGGAGAGCAGGATTGGAGAAGCGTGCGAACTTATATCGATTGGTCAAGGCAGTGCTATTTTGGAGGGTAGCGGCGTAGATCCTTGGATTCACTACCCAGATTGGGCACGCGCACATCTCCAAGGCATCTACGAGGGGATAGGAGACTTTGGTGAAGAGATACGCGCATACGAGCTTCAAAACGCTCTTTGGGTCAAGTGGGAGGACGGCATCGCATACCGAAAAGGTCTCGCGCACATTGGTAAGGAGTACTGGGATGCAGCCGGACCGGAAGACATCGATGTTCGACTGGGGTAGCTTTCCAAAAGCTTACTGTTCACAACGAAGCCTCGAGCATATGCCGCAACAGATGAGCTTTGAGCCTCCAATATGGAGACACTGGCTGATATGGAGTATCGTGATATGGAGTAAGATTTCCTGGAATCTAATGTTTCCTATTCTCTTCTCGTGCTCGCAACTCGTCGTCCTCTCTCTTACCCAAGAACCGCCGAACATCGGTCTCATTCGACGTTACCACACCGCCTTGACAGTGCCCCTAGACACCATGGCTTTATGAGACCCACTATGGTTAGCGGGCTCTAATACATCTCTGTCATATCTCCTGCTCACGCCCCGCTTTCCTCGGCCATTTGAGAGCAGGAGAAGGCTAGAGCTTCGCAGGAGCCATATATATACTTCGTTTTGGAAGAATGACTACTACATACGGCCATAGGTCACTGAATAAGATTGAGAAGTGGGTAAATTGATAATAGTTTTGAACGCGGTACAGCAAAGCCCATCCATGAGTCCCACCCCTCTTCCATAGAAACTGGCACCGTTGACTTTGTTCGGTATGAGCGCATCCACTAACACTGGGCCTGTCCGTTGTATTCCGGGTTGTCCGGATCCCAATAGCAGCCACCAGGACAGGCCGTAGCGCCGCCACATCCTGCTTGCCCATAGCATAGGTGATATGAGCCTCCAGCATCACAGTACGTCCCGCTGAAGGCGCATGTTCCGCACTGAAAAGCTTAGCCACAGTATACCTAGTAAGCGGTCAGCGGGAGAGACTCACGATTATTGCAGCGTTGACGACGTTTGCTAGGCCCGCTACAAGGACGATAGAGAGGGATGCAATAAGCTTCATAGTTGGAACTGACGATCGGAACGGATATGCGTAAATGAGGTGGTACGGTGAACAGAGAAGTTTGTCAGAGAACTGAGAGTACTTGGTTTCTATTTCGCGAAGAGAGATTCTAGCAGCGTTTTATACGTTTACTGCTGATACTGCATGCCTACCACAAAGCTCGCACCTACCTCACCTCAACTCGCAACTAACTCCTCCAGCTCCTCGCGTCTACAAGATCCATACAAGCTCACCGTGCCTAAAATCTGACCGGAACTTGACGGAATAATACTGGATTTTTTTGATTGCTGGTGCGCATTTCGGCCATCGCTGTTCGACTTGATAGGCTTGGTACCCGGCATCTACTCCTAATTCTACTGTACTATTGATCCTTTAGGATGGACCTTAGTCCTCTTTCTAACCGGCTTTTCCTGCTTTTGGGAGTTTTGTGGGGCTGAGATGATGGAGGATTTGCGGGGTAGTACTACGCTATGCTATTTTGGAGCTTTGTGGTTTTCTGCCTGAATTTGAGTTGAAGAGTGGACTTGGGTAGAGGTAAGAGTCGCTGCTCTGGAAGATATAGCGCGATCCTTCTCGGCGAATATTCCACCTCAGGACATGTAAAACAGACTGTTTTACTCTCGGCTGGACATTAATCTACAAAGTGCTGTCTAATGCGCACGAAAAAGACGGGGCCCAATCGCAAACATGAGCGTCAACCTGGAGTATCGCCGATGCTTACTGAACCTCCCCGCAGGCCTACCATTCAGCCACTGTTAACGATGCGTAACCGGCCGGTGACGGCGTCTGCCTTTATAACTTTCTGGGAGCGCTTTCGAGAACTGAGCGGGCATCGGTGCCCAATCGAATGTTGGGGTCGGCGGTAAGTTTCTCAACGAAGTCGCGTATCCAGTCCTGGCAATTGGGGGCCTGCAAAGAGTCTTAGTTGTGGTGAAATTTGCATCGTTGGAGGGTGGGGGGAGGGGGGGTGCTTCTTACTGCCGGATCAAAGGGGTTCGCGCTGCGACCCGGGGGCTTGACGTCAAGTGCCGCTGTTTCGATCCGATCCGATCACGGGCTGTGGTGTCCGTTGTTTCTGTTCCTGGAGTATCGGTAACGTGTCGATCTTGTACTACGGCCAAGTGTATGATTTCATATTTACGATATGTCTCTTTGAAGTTATAGTTGCGCTTGAATTCGAGGAAAAATCCGGTGGACGGATTTCCAATGACGTGAATCAACTTTCCTATATACTCCTGCCCGGTCGTGGGAATCCAGACAGCCCAGTGAGCTGGCTTCGAGCCATTTGCGAAGACCGCCAGATAGATTGTCCGTGCCATGCTTCGTAGAAACGAACGAGACGAGGAGGTGCTGGGGGTATAGTGATAAAGATGGCAGATTTGAAGTCCAGGAGGATGATTGAGTATACACGATGGACTGAAAGCTTTATATATTCCTCATGACTCCAACGCCTCTCAAAGACTAGCGAGGAAACAACAATGGTATTGCGCGCGGCTTCTAAAACAGGGCAAGTCTAATTCTGTACCGGGGGAAGGTGTGGCCGTAGGAGACTCGACTCGTGATGCTTCGTAGACTTCCGCTGCTCTGCACCAACCAAATAAACGCTGGCGCCGTGTTTGACCAAAAGACTTGCGGCACTTGTGCCCGATGAAACTCTATACAATAGCGATACGCTCTTGTGGCTGTTCTTCTGCACTCGAACCGAGGAGTATGCTGTGCCTCACTACACTCTTACGGTCAGGGATTCTCCGGATTTAAGCGCTCGCTATAACAACCACCAAGTACCCACAAATTGCCTCACGCGGATCTCTTGTGGGCGCTACAGGGACTGCTATATTTGGAGAAAACCGCGCAATGCGAGACCCACAGATCCGAGCTGTGCCACAGCACTAAAGTGGACCAAAACTCAGTTTTGTCTCTCGCACATGAGCTTTGTACATGGCGAATTCATAAGCGCTACATCCATTAGTGGGCTCGCTGTGGTATAGAAGGCCTCGTGTTTATCATGCCTCATAATATACACTGGTCGTGATCAAGGGGAGCGGCCCCTCCAACCGGAGGGCTTTTGTGGAGGTGAGCCAGCCATGTTGTGGCCAAGGCCTGCATCAACAAGGCCATGTGTTAGCTTATCGCGCGTTGGACTCTACAGGATCCAAATTCATCCAACCGGCGTTTGCTTGGGCCTATACGCTACTATTGTTAAGACCCAATGGGCAGACAGCTGGTATTGGGAGCTTCCACCCTACCCATTTGCAGTTGTGAAGAGGCGGATAATAGGGAGGAACTTTCTCCAACTAATGAAGCTTGCTTCCGGGAAGTAGCTAGGTCGAACCAGTCGTACACGTAGCATTCAGCAGGGCCGCATAGATGTACTATAGTAATCCCACGGTTCCCAGGTGCTCTTATATTGATCTAAGATAAGGGGTAGGTACTTCTCAGACCATTCGCCGAAATAGTCGCACGTAAGGTGAGCCTTACGATCTTCCCAGTAGGCCGGCAACCAGCCCGCTTGCTCCCAATCAACAATGGCGAGGACGCGAGGTGGACTGGGCAATGATACAAGGACATTGCTCGGATGAAGATCCCCTTGCGTGAAGACAATGTCGCAATCATCAGGAAGATCGTTGCGAAAGGGCTCTGGGGGAACGGTTTCGGGATCAGGCATCGGTCGCTTGTATAGAGCGGTGAACCAATCGTGGAAGGCCTTGACGGAGGGGAATGGCCCGGCTTCAGCCATGTACTTATCGTGGATTGCTCTATCATAGAGAGGACCGCGAGCGATGCTGCCTGTGCATTTGGCGTCAGTTCTCACATGACCTACAGAGATATGCCTGCTCACGCACCAATGAAGGTCTCGGGGGGTTCCTGTTTGAGCCGGCGTATGGCATCAAAAATTGTGCGGAGCTCATGACAAATCCGCAAGCGGTCATCCTCTTCCATCTCTGGCCAAGCTTGTTCTAAAGTTCTTCCACATACTGCCTCCATGTAGAGGAAGACTTGGTCTCCATCCGTACGCCATCCGTAGATTTCGGGGACGGGCACGGCATCGGTCAGGTGCTGTCGTATCGCGTACAGAGATTGACCTTCAGCGATTCTCATTTTACTTCCCCATTTGACGAACAGACCCATATGCCCGAATACAGCAGGTGAGGGACGATCATTGTAGCGATTGTCGACGCTTCTTCTTGGGTCTCCCCAGTGAGTGCCCGCAAGGTATTGAGAACGAGCTTGCGAGCGGACTTCCTCCGGCGATGGTAGCTGATCATAGCGCTGGAAAAAGGAAGAAGACCGATCATCGAAGTTTTTATCCGTGGGAACTATTGTCAAGCGTTGATAAGATGCGATCGTATAGTTTGGTTGACAGAGGCGCGGAGAGTTCGCGAGGACATACCTGAGAGGCTAGAAGCGGAAGCCATGACGAATCACTATGCCAGGCAAGCAGCGTTTCAGCGGTCTATGCGAGGGAGCTGACTTGGGGGAGATAGCTAAAGGCTAGAAGTTGGACACAGGGCCAAAATCGAGTCGGAGGCTGTAAGAGGAATCGGAATGAGGCTGAGTGTGGATTGAAGAAGGACGCAAGTGACAGATTATATGTGTTGGTGTTGATATCTAACGGGAAGAAGCTAAGAATCTTAGCGGCTTCTCCACCTAGCTCCGTTGCCAAGCCATTAAAATGCCGATGTTATTCCGGACCGGCCCCTTCTACATGCCGCGCAGTCCAACTCTATCGCTACATGACATTCACCTTACCTCTCGTTAGAGCGTCGAAATCAATCAAAGACAATACCTCCTGAGTAGCTAAAGCTGAACATTCACATGACAGGATGCGTCGACTTAATACCTATAGAGTCGCCGCGGCCACAGCAGAGAGAGCGAAATCCCACGAGCAAGTCACGAAACACGACGCGTCAATCGAAGGCAACGGCAGCGGTCTAATTGCGATATGGCAACATGGGATGCGACGATTGAGCACAAACACTCAGGGCTGGAGGCACCGCCGCTGCGGAGAGTGGAGCTGGATACCTGGCTGGCTGCGGAAGAGGAAGATCAGAACTCTCGCTATCCCAACCCACAGAAATTCATCCATTCATTCTCAATGGCTTTTTCCAGGGCGGGGTTCAGAGGATGAGAGAGGTTGTGGATGCAAGGGTGAATATAAAGCCACGATGCTGCCGCACAGCTGCTGGAGGGAGATATGGTTGAGCGACTCACGATAACACGGCAATGTGAGAGTGGCACGCTGGTCTACAGCGCTCGATAGGATATATTGCGACTGCGGTCCCGTCATAGCGGGCTTCCTTGGCTATATGTCAGCCTTAACGCTCAGGCAGTGCATCGGCTGGCAGTCTGATATTGGAGCGCGCACAGTGAACCCCCCGGATGATGCAATGGCTCGTTGTTCATGCTTGCGCAGTGAATACTTCTACACAGGTTAGATAAGCAGAGCACGCTAATCCTAAAACACGCAATTACGTTCACACCATAGTCCACTATCCTCCCAAAGCGTGCTTTCGTCAACGGCAGAAGAAAAGGTCTACGAATGAACAGGGGAGATTAATCGGGAGAGCTAGCAGATAGCCACGTAAAAACAACAGTCATGTACGCGTTCAAACTACTATACAAAATATTATGTGTGTACTAAGTGAACAGCTGCAATCTTCAGCAGCTAGGGGGTATCAAGTAACTACACCGAATCAGAAAACACATACAGACCATTCTGAACCTCCCAATCCCGAAGCAAGCCCACCGAAACAGTAAACCCAAAAAAAAAAAACCGGTCTTAAAAGCGTCGTAAAGGTATACGACATCAGCTCCGATCGTTGAGAGCCGAGAACCAATTCTTTCCGCGAGTCTTATCGCGGCTGCGCCTCGGAAGACCGTGGACCAAGACGCTTTCCGGGTATCTAGCCAGATGACCATACATCATGACCTCTACAAAATCTCTCGATCACCCCACCACCGTAACGCGAGCATGATGTCTGCCAGCGGTGGGAGCGAATGCCGCGTACTCGGGCGGCAAATCAGCGTCGTGCCCCTCATCGCTCGGCGGCGCCACGCTCCTGGGCGTAAACAGCCGCTCCGCCTCTTCCAGCACCACGGCCTCGGCGCTGCGTGCCCGCGCGTTCTCATTCCCGGTATCGCTGCCCTCGGCGCAGATCTGAATGGGCACTTTGAGGTGCAGCGAGGGATCTGTGACGCCCGGTGCGTGGGCCGAGAGGTGCAGCGAGAGGCCGTAGACGCGGGAGATGAGGCAGGAGTGGAAGGTTGGAATGAAGTTTTTGTTGTTGGGCAGCGTGATGGGGACGAGGACTGAGGCTGTGTAGAAGGAGCCGTGCTTGTAGTGCTTGGAGGCGGGGGGAATGCCTGTGTGGAAGGTGTCGGCGACGTCGTTTGAGCAGTCAGAGATCCCGGAGTCGCGGCGGGCGAGAATGTCGGAGCACACGGGGTTGGCGGATGCGGGATGCTTCTCCCACTGTGCGGAGGCGATGCACATGTTGGAGAGGGAGAGGCTCTCGGAGTAGACGCCCTGGGTCAAGTCGTAACCAAGTGATGATCGAGCTGGGAAGGTGTGCCTGGGACATGAAGCATAATAGGTCGATACTTTGAGGCTCGTCTTAAGTTGGCCCAGCGGCGGTGGCGTGCTGTGTTCTTCCGAAGGATCGAATCGCAGGAGTACCTTTGCCCTCGTGTTGATCGGGTGGTTGCCCGTTGATCGCGCTCCTGGGATGACGAGTGCCTTCGGCTGGGCTGTCTGTGCCGTCAATGTCCCAAGCTTGCCCTTGAACAGTCCCTTCCTAACGGTCTTCTCCTGCCGTGCCCTGTATTCGTCGTTCGCGTCGATGTTGAGCGGCGGTTGCTCCTCAAAAGCGGGCTTGACGCGGACCTTCTTCGTCCTCTCTGCCAGCAGAGAGAGCGACCCGTCTGATTCCCGCACCTGCGTTATCCGGGCCTTGATTCCATATATGATCTTCGACATCTCTGGAGCCATATCGTCAAGTAACGCGCCACCGAACCCAGAAAGTTCTGCGTCTCCAAGGCTCGGTGGTAGCAGGAGATGAGTGTCGCGGACGTTGTCTGAAGCGACGCGGTGCGGGCATGCTCGCGGAAGGAGGTGGGCTGGCACGGTGAAGAAGAAGGGGAATGTGTACTTCTGGCCCGCCCTCAAGATGCGTGGCGTGGGGAGATCGGAAGCATCCATGGGTTGCTTGAGCGTCAGGAAGCGATGAGATGCTTCGGTCCGGCCTGACATCGATGGCGTAGTCGTGAGTCTGTCGATATAGACTTGCGCGGTACCTGCGTTTGCCTATCAGCACTTGCTCGCCTGGCTGGGCGAATGCGTGGACCACATGTACGCACCTGTAAACGCGATTTCGATATCCTCGAACCTCGTGTCGTGCTGTGTTGAGATAGTCACGGTGCCTTCCAGCGTGTCCATGGTCGAATAGCTAGTGACATAGCTGCCCTGGGTCCCATGGCGGCTATCGTCAAGCTCGATCTCAATCGTTGGTTGGCCGTAATGCGCAATCTGAAGCATCCTATAGCTGATCTGATTCCCAATTGAGGCCATGGCATTAGAATGCACCGAAGCGCCAGAGGAAGTCGGCATGGTGAACTCGTGCGTGCGCCTTTGAGCTGGCGAAGCTTGAGTAAAGAACAAAGAAGCTAGAGCAACGTCGCACAAGAGTAGCGGGGGCGTGAGATAAGATCGGATGCGGAGAACTCTCGTGACCAGGGCAGTCTTGAGAACAAGGGAAAAAGAACTTAGTCTAGCTCGTGATACCTGAGAGGGTTCGAGGTTTCTAGAGCGCGCGTCTCTGCTGATCTTATACCACGCGCCCTCGAATGATGAGCTTGACTCATCCTAGGCGGCGCTCTCGTCGGTGTGCTAGCGACGTGCATGTGGATGAGGGCTGAGGGATGGCGTTGGCCCAGCCGTCGGGAAACCAAGTACAGCGCGGGGTGCTGAAGGGCGTGGAGCTGACTAAGTCTGGCCAATCACATTCACCCCTCGACGCCCGCTAGCCCTATCGGTGCCACATGCCAACGACATAGACACGCCCAAGGAGCTCATAATTCATCTCAAAAACGCCACCGTCTCAAGGCGCTCCGTGCTGTCAGAACGGGATGCATGCTTCGAAATTGACCAATGTAGGTTTTCTTCCTAACGGGCGCGACAGCGACCGCTAACGGCATCTTGAGGCTGAATCGGAGACACTATTACGCAGCGAATCAGTGTATGGGAAGTTTACACGCCCGTCACCTCACCGCGTTACAGCGAAGTGGATTTCCTTTGTCAATGGTCCACTTCAGAGTCTCCATCTACCCACCAGCTATGCCGTTAAGTGGAAGGCTTCAATAAATCTCATATCCTGGATGCCTCAGCGCCCTGTTGAGCGAAAATTTTCATGTTTCTTTCGCGCAGGTCTATTGGATGACTCCTCCCTATGCAAGGCTGAAAATTTTCTAGTCATGGAAATAGATCTCCATCAGAGAAGGCCATGCGCGAGCGCTTTTCCGGGCATGCAGACGCGGTCACAGCAAAATGCGCGTGGTCACACCTTCCAAGGGCGTATACACTTCCCAAGAAGGCTATGAAGGGCGCTGGCCATTACTCAGCACCAGTTGGTTGCTCACGAATTGACCAGTCATGTTGTGGGATGCGCGATCGCGGCCGATATCGCTAGCGGCATCGTTCCCTGTTTTCCGTGGTACTCAATTCCGATGCTGACTTATTCCGAATGACAAAGCTATTCCGATGAACACCTGCGGCAGGTATGAACGCCAAATGACGCCTGATGACTGTCACTGCTTACAGGACGCGGATGGGGAAAGAAGCTACTGCCTGGGCTCGTTCGTGTATGACTGCGCTCTGCGCCAAGCTTCACGACCTTGGATGCGGAACCGCTTGAACCTGGTATTTGGGCTGCTCGTATCTCGGAGGCGATGTTGGCATGAGGATAACGTTCGTGAAGGCACGAAATAGCACGGTGGAAGGATATTGGCTCTATAATATGATGTGGTGCTACTGGGTATCTCGTAAAGCTGCGTGCCTGATGCTCACTCAGAGCTGCATTGACACTACGCTTGTCGCAGCATAAAGACCTCAGTCTGTTGCAGAAGCACTCCGGGCGCCAACCATCCCCAAACAGGCGGTGTGCGATGGACATGGTCGTCCATCGATGCAGGACCATATGTCGGATACTTTTCCGAAGGTCGAGGAATGATCTCCTAGATCTCGTCTCATCGTTGAAGCGTGGTTCTGGCGTCGCCTGACCAATTCTCCTCCTTACCGTCTCTTGGCCCATCGGTTCCCGCATAAAGAGCGTTGGGCACTATCTTCATCACCTCCTCCGATGAAAATCCAGCATGACGGAACTGTTTCCCTTCCCCCAAATCGCCCCATTGAACGCCAGTCGATGGAAAATCATCCAACTGCGTAGTAGCCGCGCATAGGACCCTGATGCTGCCGAACATCTGCGGGACGAATCCTTCTCGCTTGAAAGTAAAAGCCCACCAGCACACGCTGGTCATGGAGAGGATGAGGAACGTTGCCATCCATAGCGGGTATGACGCGTATGTGATCTAGAAGTGTTAGCGTTGGGTGGGAATTGGAGTTCGTCTCATGGGACGCACAATGTACATCGAGTGCTCGATATGGCGGTCCGGAGAATTCTCCATGTATATAGCTTCTTGCGTTTGGAGCGCCTCGCCCAACATCCAGTGAGTCAATACACTGTATGCCATCACCGGGAACAGTATCTTCTTCGGCAGCTGGAGGAGGTAGTCTTGCGAGAAGCTCTCTCCTTTGACGGTCGTGCATCGTGGGCGCTTGCGTTCATGCTCTAGCTTCCCCCAGTCATGTTCCTGTGGACCTAGTCAGCGTTGCGACTATGGATGGGACGTATTCAGCGTACCTGACTGACAAGCGTGATGTTATAGATCATAAGCAGGTAAAGCAGTGAGTAGATAAATTGGGCTCCATTCGATCTTGCGTATTGTTAGTGATCCTTCTGTCAAGCTCAGACATGTACGACTTACATGCAGAAAGACAGAAATTCATTCCCGAGTTGGTCAGGCGGCAGTGTAGCTACAGGTATAGATCGATTGAATCCGCCCCATCCGCCCGATAGCTTATCGAACTGCTTCGTAGAGCTCATTTTACAGAAATCGTCATAATGGGGTGATGAGGAGTATTCATCACAGTATTCCTTCTGGTAATGCCAATTCTCACCGAGCCTACAGATATCAGCTCCTGTCCTGATCTTACAGTGTTGAATACTTACGGTACTGCCGCTGCTATGGAAGCCGCAATCAAAACGAGGCTGCAGAACATCATGACACACATTTGTGTTAAGGCGGTATTCCCCAAATTCGAGATAAGGCTTCGCTTGATTTTGGTTGCGATAGTGGGTTGCGGTTCGTTGGATAGCTTGTTCGTCGAATTCCACTTCTTACATTTTTGACAGTGGCCAATTTCGTCGCCGGTCTTTGATTCTTCCTTATTCTTGCAGTGTTTGTGGCAGGTATGTGTGTTCTTCCTCCTGTAGCTCTCATTTGCATTGACCATGCATTCGCTGCCAATGTCAGCCATCGAAGCACTCTAGGGTACCGAACGCATTACTCACCCCTGCACGCGGAGCTCTGGATGCGAAGCGGAAGCCACGATGACATCTCCAAAGGTCAGCAGCTGACGCTTCAACTTCCCTCTCGCCAGCAGATTGACAGTGACCATGTAGGTAGCTTTGATGATCAACGCGCCAACGAGGATAAAAGCAGCGTTCATCCGTATATTCAGGCGGCATTGCGCCGGCTCAGGATCGGAAAGCATACACAACACGGTTTTACCCATGACGCATTCGCCGTCGCGGTATTCAGCCTCATAATCGTCGTACGTGTATTCCAGCAGTGAAGCGTCATTGGTCGAATTTGCAAGCCCTGTGCAATTCTCGCGGGCGTATTTCACCACAATCCGAGTATAGACTGAGCCGTCGGAGAGTAGATTGTCGAAGGTGCTTTGGTCTTTCTTCAGCATTTTTGTGCTTTCGGCTAGACGGGCACTTCCTGTCCGGAAAGCGCTCCAACAGATATAGGAGCCATAGGAGTAGATGGGGGAGTCCTGATCAGTGTAGTAACTCATCGACATGGCGTCAAAAGATGTTTCGTTGTATTCCACTTTCCTTGGCGGCTCCAGAATATACGAGGGCCCAATGAGAGAGTTTGCTATAGCGGAAGTCAGCATTAGAAGTTGAAGCAGAGTGGTTTGGAATACCAAGAAAATGGATAGGGAGAGAAGCTGGAGTATCGTTAGCGGGAGAGCTGGTGTCTCTCTTGAGAAATAACTCACTAAAAATCAAGAGCAACCAAGCTGCCCAAGAGGTCTTCTTCCCTTCACTCTTGTGATTGATGTTAAAAGGCGAGTTTGTCCCAACCCTTGAATCTCCAAACTTTTCAAGAACGTGCCGTAGATCGCTGATCTTCAACGAAGTCACTAATTGCTGGTAGGTGTTGCTACAACCTAGAACCATCGTGGCCGCTATGTTGATCAGGAAGAGCAGCGCGGTGTTTGTATGCGTGACGGTTTTGCAATCCTGTGTCTCACCACCAATAGACGAAGTGAATTTATTGTTCCTCTGTGCGAAAGCTTTGATGTTCACGCAAATTACGATGATCATCGCAATGGCAAACAAGCTCATGAGCAGCGCCATGGACCGGAGGGAACGATCGACAAGCAATTGATCTTTCCATACTCCGCGTCCAATTCGGGTCGGCTCGATCTCTGCAGCGGGATGTCTTCGAATAGAGCCTTGCATGTAACGCGGTAGAGGCTTCCTACGTATCCGGCTGATCCCACTCTTGAATCCATTCTTGAGCTTTTCGATGCTGGTACCGGACGAGGAAGAGGAAGCGTATGTCCCGAAGCTGTTGAGACTGGCGCGATCTGCCGCATCGCGCTGCTCTACCGCAGAATAGCTTTGGAGTGATGACGAGCTTGACGGGTGTCGCAGGGTTGTTTGAGAGTCGTGCGCATTGTCGGAGCTGCTGGCTCTCCACGCCGTGTCGATGTATTCGGCAATATCTTGCGATTCTTCGAGTGTGGGAAGGTGGTCGTAGCTGTAGTTTCCTGCCATCGCGGAATGCCAGCTGCAGAAGACGTCGGCTGCTTGAGGACGCGTCGAGGTGTCGCTCGGTCTCGTTTCATCTATTGAGATAGTCTGGACCCGCGGCAAACGACCCTAGCGACATGTCTTCTTCGAAGGATGCGACTTGCCCAGTTGCGAGATGGGTGGTGGACGATGAAGAGGAGAAACCGCAAAGAAGCCGTGGTACATACCTGAGATTCCCAAAGCCCCGTGGCCCCCAACGCCGTGCCCCAAGCCAAGAGAATCCTTCCAGAGGAAACCTGGCAAGCCTCATGTGGTGTTCGTCAACCATGAGGCTGTTCCGACAAGAATAGCACAGCCCCAACACGCTGGGCCAATCGGATCAGGCGCTTTTCCCGTTAGCGCAACCGTTCGAAGCTTGAAGAGGAAGGATTCCACTCCAATCTCGCTTGGGGCGGAGGCTTGTCTGAAGATCAGTTGATCTTGGCTCGTTTTGACCAACGCCGCGCACCGCCGGTAGAGGCTTGAATCCTTCGGAGGCTCGCACGGGCCCGTTTTGGGGCGGCATGGCGTCGATGGCGTGGTGTTGCCTGGAGCTACCAATGCACATTCCCTAGTCGGTATTATTGGATATACTGGAAGGAGAAATCTTTGCGATATTCCGCGTTGACATTGATAGAGAGCCGGTTGCGCATTCAAGCAATAAAGGAAGTTGATTTGCAAGAATCGTCTCTTGAAGTGGTTGGGATGGAAAAAATTACTCCAGGCACCCGGGAGTTCTTTCCTTCCAAGGTTGGACCCGAACTGTCACGTGCAGTTCGCACTGGAAGGAGGGGATTCGAGGCTGATACGATAGACATCTCTCGGGCTCTATCATTCGGTCGCTGATGCAAAGGGCGGAGAAACGGCAGGCCACAAGACTGATCCGCTATTGCGTTCGTAGGCTTGAGGGCCTTCGAACAAATCCCTATCCAACATCGCAACAACCATAGCCACATCATCCATAGCGTACCTTGCGTGCTCCACCAAACGAGTCGCCCATCTGACAGCTCACCGCGACGCCTTTCCTCTCCGCATACGCGATCGCGTCGCGGCTGGAAATGTGTCTGCAATTATCCACTTTCAGGACGCGGAGGCCAGGCAGACCGTCCACCAGCATTTTGACGCCCGCACCGGTAACCTTGGTTGAGGACAAATCGATAGATTGAAGACTAGTTGGGTGGCCCAGAAGTGCTTCAACGTCGTCATCAGTACATGGAAGTGCGGCGATGTCAAGCGACGTAAGAGATTGAGTCAAGATGCGTGGAGAGGAAAGCAGGCCGCCTGCACCGAATAGGCTCGATGCATGTGGGAGTACGGCAAGAGACAAATGTTGAAGGGGTGTCCGTTGGTCCTCCTCTATGCGTTTAAGCTCGCCTCCATTGTCATCGGAATAGATGTCCAGAAGTGCTTCGAAGAACTCAGGCGTAAGGTCAACCATCTCTCTTAAACTCAGGTGCGTGAGCTCTGGGAGGTAAGATTGGATTGCCTGGTTCCAAGAAGCTTGTTCCCAATGAGAACGAAACATAGTCGGTCCTCGAGGTAGATATAATGGCCTACTAGATTGCAACACTAGACGCTTCAAAGTCGGTGGAAGGCGTGGAAAGGTTATGAATGCCACATCTTTGAGTATAAGGCTTGTAAGGGCACGCTCGCAGAGGATGGTGCTCTCGGGGTGAGTCAAGAATCCACTGCAGCAGGATAAAGCAAAGGAGCGGAGTGCGGGGCTTTGGACTAGCAAGGGCCGCACGTCGAGGGAACTCATATTGAGGCCACCTACAACTGTTTCTTAGCGAACATTGGAATACCGCCGTGGAAGGCTTCAGCTACGTACCAGGAGGCCCATTCATGTGCAGCGTGTGGAGACAGGGAAACGGGCCCCTCCACTCTGGGCGTCCATCCGCCGGCACAATGGACGTAATAGACGTGAATTCCACATGTTCAAGGGTCGGCCTCCGGCGCAGGATCTCCGTCGCTGTATCCAGCGAGATATCATGGCGTATGATGAGCCTCTTCAGATGTAGGGCGCATTGCGCGACTTCGATTAGCGTTTCGGACAGCATCAAGGGAAGCGACAAGATTTCGATGTCTGTGAGTCTTTTACAAGTCGTTGCGATATTGCGGAGAACATCGGTATGCTGGAAGCGGTGGACGATGAGGTGGGTGACACCACGTTCGGCCCAGTCGACAGCATGGCGGATGAAGACACGCGACACGGGCTTCTTAGCTCCAGAGAGATCTAGGTTCGTCCAAAGCTTGGGACGCTTCGTGAGATAGCTTTTCCAGCCTCTGCTGACGCGCAGACAGTTGACCATGTTCTTGAAGGGTAGGTATCTGCAACAGTGCGAGTATCAGCGTATGCCCCATACCAAAGCCCCACGTCGTGCGAATCGGCTGAAGATCTTCAGCAGCAGCTTTCTAGGCCCTGAACCAGCTGTACCATGAACAACGTACCCGATGATCATCTCGACTAACTCGACTGGAAGGATCGTGAACGGGTCGACTGCTTTCGCTGGGGATAGCTTGCGGGTAAGCTGATCGTGGAGCTGTTGCAGGAGCTGAGCGAGTTAGTCATGCTACGCTGCGGCACGCATGTGTTGGCCCGAACCTTGAAATCCTTATTGTCTACCGGCACGTTCTTCAAGCCATATTTGTAGATATTCAAAGCGATATCCAGCTTGTTCATCTTCTTCAGCACACTCGCTGTCCGCAAATAGCCCCTCACGTCCCGTTTGTTCAACCGAATCGTTTCTCGCCCATCTTTGACTGCTGCATTGAAGTCGGCAAGCTTCTCGTAGCTGGCAGCGCGGTAGTCGTAGAGAGTAACGGAGGGAATGACGGCCGCCTCAATGCCCGTCGTGAAGGCCTTTACTGCCTTTTCGTACTGCTTTTGCTTGTAGTAGCTCTTGCCCAGGTCTTGATACTCTTCGGTGGACATGGTGCGCGCCATGGCGGAGGGAAACGATAGGAGGTTGCGATTCGATGCGCTGGTGGAGAAGTGGTAGAAACGCGAGCCGGGAGAGCTTCAGCATGTTCGCGCTAGTACACGCGACGCGGAACGTGGGATGAGGGGCCGTGCTCCCGATTCCGCAATACCCCTACTACCACACCGTTGACATGTTGGGAGAGCTTCGTTCACCATCATCCAACATGCCAATGGTTCTGACAACGACTATTGAAGTAGGTCACCGCTCCAGTCGGCGGAATTGATAATCCTTTAGTTTATTACGTTCCCCAGCTCACGCAAGGTCAAGGGATGTCAAATGCAAAATGGCAGGAACCCATTTCTCTCACTCTTCGTCTCTCCTCAAGACTTCCGCGGATCCAAATCCGAGTTCAACGGGTGCTGAGCGACATGGCTTCGGGCGAAAGCACTACGGGGGCCGAAATGCATCTGCTCTGCGCCAATACGGCCCGGCTCGTGTTCTGCGACAGCTGCTACTTTTTTTGGCCTGGCCCCCCAGCTCTCACGACCACACGATCGTACCTGCATCTAGATTGCTCCTTTCATTTCTCGACTTTCAGCCCTTCAACGCTTTCTTTAGCCTCGCTTTCTTCGTATCACCTCAAGTCACCCCATTGCGGCCCGGGAATTATCTCTCTAGCCTCGCGAGATCTCGAGCCGCTTTCGGCTATGCGTACAATATATCTCGAAATCCATCAGGAGATGAAGGCAAATACCACCGCACAAGCACCCACGCTCGTCGTTCAGCTCGCGTTCGCTATCCTTTCCTCCTCTCAAGCCTTTAGCAATTCCCTACCATTGAAAAGGCGTGGACCTTTTCATATCAATATCCATGGACGGTTCCCGTCGATCATCTGATACAAAGTATTCTAGGCGCACGTTTGAGCCCCGCCTTGGCGCAGTGCTTGGCTCGGCTCTTCTGTAAGTCAACTGGAGCACTGCCTACCATTTGGACATGGATCCCAAGGAAACAGCTATGCCAAGTCCGATACACGATCTTCTTTTCGCTTTCATGCCCTTTCTGATCCACCTTCTCCGCACACTCGGTAGCTTTAGTACGTTGAGATTCATCCAGGGATCAGATTGGTGGATATGATCGCCAAGAGCACGTTCCGTAATCTCCTTTGGGTTACCGTCCCTACTTGGTGCATGTAGGTACTCCTGGAATAGCTGGAGATGTCTAGATGTCCCTTGTCTGTACTTTAACAATACGGGCGCGTTCATGATGGCTGGGGGCCGTGTATCCATGTACAAGAGATGGAGATATCTCTTTCTCGTCGGCGTACTGAGGTTTGGCCTCACCATCCATTCGTTCTGACTGCCATTCATTCTTTAACTATAACTGGATCCACGAGTAAATCGGTGGATACCGCCATTATGTTGTTTCAATACCTCATCAGCCTTTTACTCGCATTGCTTGTAGGCAATGCGTCTGCTGTCAAACTCGCCCCGATCAGCAACCTGGAGGATCTCACTGGCCCTCTGACCAATTCAAAGCGAGAATCAAGCTTTACGGGGGACTTGGACCTTCAAGACTTCGAGACCTTCTTTTGGGGTGCTCCCGGTATGAAGCCTTCTCCTCGCACTTGGGTTAACTTGAGACTAACTTAAACAGCCGGCAAGAATCTCATTTATGCCAACCTCACGGCTTACTTCCCCGAACAATATCGCTATGTCATCGCCATGGAGCGCTTCGCCGGAAAGCTCAAATCCGTCCAGTGTGCCGAAGACATGATGCTCGAGTTCATCGATGACGCCGCCTTTCAATACGCCAAGGACGTCTGGAATTGGGTCAACCAAGATGTGAATAACTCTTTCATCATGGTCACCAATTACGAGGGCTGTGCAGACGATATGGAGCGCCTACCCTTCGTCGTGTCCAATATGAGATATGATGAAGCACAGAATAAGGCATACCTCACCGCCGACTTGATGGAGTGGGAGGAGGTTTTGCATTCATACACCCTGAACGTCGGCCACATGCCCTTGACTCCGAACCATAGGATGCTTATGGAGAGGGGTCTCGTGCCTCGTGGGCCTGATTTCAGCATGGACCTCACGAGTGGGTTCGACAAAAATTTGTTCTCCGCTACAGTAGGAGGATGGACGACGAGTGTGGATGCTGTAGTGAGGACTGTAGGTAGCCTTGACGTCGACTTCGATCTGGACGTCGACTGGCTGAAGCTCAAGTCCGCCTCCATGACCATCACGCCCGAAGACGTCGCTGCCTCAATCCAACTTGCCCTCTCCGAGCACGGTACCTTGGCCCAGGCATACAGCTGGCAGAAGACAATCATTTCAATACCGATTGAAGGAATTGAGATCGCAAAGGTGGTCAAACTCGGCGCCTTCCTCGACGTGGATGTTGGCTTTACCATGGAGGAGTGGGCCGGAACCGCCACCGCAAACCTTGGTGCGCGCATGGAAATCTCGAACTCCGCTATAGTCAAGATCGATCTCGTCAAATCGAGCAACAATCAATTCTCAGGCTGGACGCCAACATTTACGCCTATTCCTTTGACGTTGAGTGCGAAGGTAGAGGGTTCTGCGAAGGTCTATGCAGAGCCGAATATCAAGTTGGAGGCCTCAGCCCTCGGTAAGCCTATCTATACTCCTGCAAGAACACGCATATACTGATATGAGATAGGCAAGGGATGGAACGTAGGACTCAACCTCCAGATGCCTTATATCCAAGCCGACTTTGCGGCAATGCTAGACACCACCGGCGTCTGTGAGACCAAGAAGACGATCGGTGTTGACATCGATGCTCGCATTGGCGTGCAGCTCAGTGCTCAGGCAGCAACAAAGGGCAATGAAGCGAACCCGTTTTGGGAACAGGAGCTCTACGTAAGTACTGCACTCCTTCACAAGCATATGAGCCTAACCCCTATACCAGTCGAACGAATGGGATCTTTTCTCCAAGTGCCTAGCATTCGGACCTGAGAACGCGAAGACCGGTGAGGTGGCCGACCCTAATCCGCCTGCGTCGAAGACGAAGAAGCCGAAATCTACAGCCAAGGCGAGCAAGACGAAGACGAGCAAAAAGCCAGCATCAACTAAACCACCTAAATCTACCAAAGTACCTAATTCAACGAAACCTGAGCCTACTAAGGCCCCGTCATCGAAGCAGACGAAGACTGAGGAACCTTCGCCTACTAAGGCTGCTACAAGCAAGACTAAGAAACCTACCGCGACGGGAAAGTCCAGTGGCTCGAAGACATCGGAGTCGCCATCTGCTACAGATATCGATTCTACTGCTACTGTTAAGCCTAGCGGGACGAAGAAACCATCGGGCACGAAGCGAACTTCTGGATCCACGAAGCCTACTTTTGCTGATGAGAGTACGGCCAAGACGACACACACTTCCGAGACAACCAGAGGCACGCGGGACGCTACACTCTCCAGCACGGTTTCCTATACTTCTTCTGAGCCAACCAAGGGCATGTGCGATGCCACCCTATCCATCCCGTGCACTCCTTCAGCAACTGATAGCACAACCCCCAGTGCCTCGTCGACGAGCTTCAGTACCCTCTCCTGGACTAACTCCTCCCGTGTACGGACCCGTACAGATGATGGCCCTGGAAACACAGTAGAGTCGCCTGCCACGACTGGGGACGCCCCCTCAGCAAGTGACGAGCCCACACCTCCGGTGTCCGCGACTGGTAGCGATACTCCCGCTCCCACATCCGCCGGAGACGAGGGCTCTCCGGCCTCATCAGGAGGCAGTGATTCCCCTCGCCCCACGTCCGCAGGAGACGATAGTTCACCGTCCTCCGGTACCACGAAGCCCCCAAGTACCCTCTCGACGCAAACCACGTTTTCATCCTCCAGCTTATCCAGCGCCTCCGCCGAAGTCTGCGACATCAGCGGTCACGGCTGCAAAACCTGCCGTGACTCCTTCGACATGGACGCCCCGACCCGGGAATACTTCGCCATTGAGCAAGAAGGCATTCCCGACTCGACCACCAACGCAACACTCAACCTGCTCAAGCGCGCAACTCGCCTCTACAAATACGTCTGCGGCGCCGCCGCCTTCCCCATCTCCATGGCCGAATACCCGACCTACAAGTCGCGCACCGACAAACCGCACATCGTCACCGTCTCAGACTGGTACCAAGCCGCCAACCCAACCGACTGCCTGAACCACAAAATCACCACGACCGCCGCGAACCCGCCCACCAGCAGCCACACGAACCCGATTTTCGCCGCCGAGCACGTGTACGAGGGGAACTGGGTGGTGAATTTCCTGCGCTTCCTGCACGAGAGCGAGGGCATTGCGTGCGAGGACATGAAAGCGCTGTTCTTCACACCAGCCGCGAACCAGACGAACAACACAGGCGCGACGTGGGCGCAGGCGCTCATGGAGTCCCTCGGCTCGCAGACAAACCAGCACCTGCTCGTCTTCCTGCGGCAGAACATCAACGGCGCGAAGTTCCGCATCTTCATGGACGGCAACGACATCATCGCGGAGAAGGGGTTCAAGGACGCGGCCGCGCGCGGCAAAATGGAGCGCGTCGCCGTCGTCGGCCGTGCGCTGGATTACCTCGCGCAGCCGCACGTCGGCTCTATCCTCGAGGACACCGCGAAGAAGGTCGAGGAGACGCTCGATGCGCTCGCCACAGCCGCAGCTGCTAGCAGCGAGTTGAAGGGTAAGCTGGGTGAGCTGGAGAAGGGGGGTAAGTTGAAGAGGAAGCATCGGAGTTGGCTGAATGGCTTTTTGGAGAGTAGGAATAAGGTCGCGACGAGGAGTGTGAAGAGGTGGGCGAGTGAGGCCAGCGAGGCGTATGAGACGGAGACGCCGGGGCTGCCGCGGAGCACGGATTCGGCGGGGAGGGTGCATCATTCGGATAAGACGCTGAGTTTTATGCAGGCGCTGCAGACGGATCCGCCGAGGGGGTTTAATGCTGCTAAGTATGCGCCGTTGATCTGATGGGAGGAGGAGATGGAGATGGATTGTGTTGGATTAGGGGCGGGGAGGATTGATTTGGTTGAGCTTCGTTTCTTGATGTCCCCTTTTTTGCATTTGAAGGATTTGCGTGATTGGGACGGTTGTTTGAATTTATGATACCCTTCTGTTGTATATATGACGTTCAATCGATATCAGTGCATATGTATTTCATCGTCTTATCCTACACGAACCTTTAACAACTAAGCCGAAGTAGTAAACATATATATTCCCAACACTCCCGCCGCCCTAGAAGGACATAACAGCTGTGATCATTGCTGGACTATTGCTGTGAGAAATGTCCATGAGCTCTAGAAAGATTTCATTCATGGCATTGCCCAAGCCCAGGACCGGACAAGTGTAGCGTTAGCTATACTCACCGAATCGAATGAATAGAGAGAACCAAATCCCACCAGAGCCTCTACTCCTCGCTTTCAACGCATCGCTTGGCCAGACTTCTAACAGGCCCAATCTTCACAAGCACAGATTACGCATACACCATCGACTGAGTGAGCCCTCCCCAGTCCGCCAATCCATCAAGCAGTCCAGGAAGTTGAAAAAAGAACCCTTGCATGCACCAACTTCATCTCGACTGCTCATCCTCCATTCTCTTCCCTCCTATTCATCCCGTCCACACAACACCGAAGCAAACCGATCAGCCCTCCTCAGCCCGCGCTCCAACTAACAGCTCCTCGCACAAGGCGCAGAATTCCCTCAAGCGGTTGGAACGCAGTGTATCGTAGGGCGGCAGTATGCGCGTCAGCATGCGCATAAGCATAAGCATCGCATATCCTATGGCACCCAATCCGCCTTGCACAGAAAACGCCCCAAAGCTCTAGGTCGTAGAGAAGAGATCAGATGCCCCATTTGCCAAGTCGATGCATTGCGGAAATGGCCTCCACAGGTGAGCAAGTGTCTTGTATTAGTGTTAGCAGGTGTTCCGTTGACGTTGACGTTGACGTGGATGGAAGATTGGTTGTGCTATGCATTGCCGGAGTAGACGGGCGTGAGCCATCCGAAGGCCTTTAGGGCTGACCGATGCTGATAAGGAGACACACCCAACCGCCCAGCCTTCCCTCCGTAAGCCATTGTGCGGAAAAGTGCTTTTGTGATGAGGGATGAAGAAGTGCTTTTGAATGAGGGACGATGAAGTGGGGGGCCGCACGGACCATCGCCACCAGCGAACAAGAGGGGAAGGTGCATGCATACACGCCCTAGACGCATATGCACAACATAGGAGGGCCCAGTAGCCTCGTAAGATAGGCAAATATCAAGTCGTCCATTGCCCCTTATAAAAATAGGTAGGTTGTAAAAATATACAGAAGAAGGGAAGAGAAGAACGCGACGTGTGTCCCAAGATTCTACGCCATCGAACCCCAAACAAAGATTCTAGACCAGATGATCGCAACCAAAAAGAATGTTGTGGGGGTATATCGCACCGGAAATCGACCAAAAAACCGAGCCAATAGTATACGAAACGAGAATTCCAAGCCAGGTGCTTGGAGAGGCCATCGAGGGAGGGTAAGATGGGAGATAATATGGCGTTATGCGTTGATGATCAGGTTTCGTTGAGCAGCATCCTCGGGGAAGTTCCCAAAAACAAAGCGAAACAGTTCCCTTAACCAATTGAATTGGTCGCTCTTTGACATCCACTGGACTGCACGGCCTATCTCGCTGGCCGTGAGCCTGCGCAGTGGCTTCATGTGGACATCCTTCAGCGTTGGATCGGTGAGCACAAGCTTTCTGTAATCGTCGAAGAGCTTCTTCTCCCAAGGGATTGACCCGAAACTGTCGGACGGAAGAGAGCGAACAAAGTCGGGAAGTGGTATCTGGCGTGTGTAACCGATGTTGATAGCCGCCTTAGTGATAAGCCCTTTTAGACGGACAAGATTCGGGTCTTCGCGGCCTGCAGTGGCAGTCGAGGAGCTGTGCACGGATTGTGAGGTATCAGAATATGTTGACAGGCTGGAGGCTGAAGATGACCAGCGGTCATGAGTGCGTGTCTGCCCAGCCTCTGGTCCCAGGATCAGGATGTTCGGCACATTAGGCTCCTCGGCGGGTGAAAATTCCTCGCGGTCATCAAAGATGGTGGTCGGCGTCTCTGGGTGGTGTACAAGTGGCTTCCGTATAGATACGGCTGAATGGTATGATTGGTTCAGGCTGGATGAACGTCCAGACCTTTCGGAAAGCGAGGCCTGGGATTGTTGCACAGAAGCGGGGGCGGCCGCTGCAACGAACGTGTATTGAGATGGTCGCGGGGTCCCGCGTTCGGGCCGCACCTGTGTCCAGCCTTCGCGGAACAGGTCACACAGCTCCCAGCACGCTTGGATGGCGGATCCTAGGAGTTCCTCGTCGGCAGGTTTGCCATCGCGGCTGTTGTGGCGAATGCTAAATAGCATCTCCGCTAAGGACCAACAAGCATGAAGCAGTGCGTCTGTCTCCTCGGGTAGTGATGTCCTCTGCTTCATCAACCGATGGCACAGGGTCAGGTAGAAGTCCAGAGTGCGTTCACGAAACGCTTCGGGGAGATTCCGATCGTGAGCGTTGTAGAGATGGTTGTTTAGCTCGAAGCTAACCCTCAACACCGAGTCGGCTGCTTCGTCCCCACGCTGTCGCACCTCAAAAAGCGCTTGGCAGAAATCCCGACACAGTTCTAACGTTGGCTTGACCTCGGTGGTATGATCCTCATCCCTGCTTTCGTAGAGCTTCTGGCATAATCGCCAGCAGGTTCTCCAGGCATGCTCTTGTATATCGCCCCGTCCACCCGAGTAGTGGAACATTCTATGTCGGTGGTATTGGCTAAGTTTCGCGAGCGTGTTACACAGGGTCCAGCATTCGTGTAGGGCATTGCGGAGGGCTGCAACTTCTCGTTCCGTTTCGTTGATGTCCCGCAATACGTCTCCCATGGTCTGGGTGCCCATGGACACGGACGTCTCTCCATTTTGCGACTGCGGCTTGCTTTCATCCTGCTCAATAATGGAGCTCGAGAGGCTCTCCGAAGCGGTATCGTCATTTGTCTCAGCAATATCTATTCATGTCAGCCTGTAGAGCTCGCTATCATGACGGTAACGTACCGGCAAGGCTGACGCTAACGCGCGTGCTCCGTCGCTTGCTATCGTCTTCGTAGTCCTGGCGCGTCTGCGCGCGAGGGGTTGTGCGGTCGGCGGGGCTTGGGCCAGGAACGGTAGTGTCGATCGGATAAGTATAGGTGGAAGAATGCTGCGGATGTTCAGCCATCACAATCTGGCTTAGGGCTTCATGCGCGCGACGGACCTTGTCGTCGAGGATCATGTTTGCTTCTGGCGTTTGCGGCGACACCACAGCAGTGTGATCCGACGTAGTTTCATATGAAGAGGCGGCTGACACGCTCGCCCGATTCTGTTCGCGACGTCAGCGCCTATGTAGTGCAACCGTACCCCAGGCGACACGCACAAATGTTTTGAAGTTTGCCGGCGCATGAATGACCGACTGGGGCGCGTCGTCGGAGTCGGCGCGCGGCCGCGGGGGGAGGTCGGTGTCCAGCTTCGACGGCTACAGCGCGTTAGAGACGTCCGTCTTCCCGCTGTCCAGCTGCTGCAGCCGTACCTTTGCCTGGCTGTCCTGGCGGCTGTCCTGGCTCGCCGGGCTGATGATGTCCTCGACATCTGGCGACTTGACATCGCTCGCCTCGTCCTCGCTGATCTGGTTCACCTGCGCATCGTCCTCGATCTGTGTGCGGCGTCAGTCCCACCCCGTGCGTGCTGTTCGTCGGACGGCGTCTACCTCAGTTGCGCTCGTGCCATTGCTGTCGACGGGCGAGGGGTCGACAGTGGCAGGATAGGGACTCGGCGGCGGAACCAGGTGGTCCGACGTGGTTCCGGAGGACCTTGGGCTGTCCATTAGCGTCTTGAGCCGGATGGAGCGCCTGGAGGAGGGAACGGCACCTATTTGAGAAGACCTGGGCAAAGGTGGCCGGGGAGCTGGGCGAGTCGGTATATGGGCTGAAAGCAGACTTCAGGCCCGTGGTCGGGGAAGGCATGAGCTGGGTTGCAGTGGCCATGGCTCACAGAGCCTCCGCTCAGGCACGAGGGCGTCGCTGCGCCAGGTCTGCGCCGCGGATCAGAGCCCTGGGGGAGGACTCTGTCGGTCGCAAAGCGGGTTGCCTATCAGCCTGGCACCCTGGAGGAGTGCGCTCGCAAGGCTGCGCGATGGGACTCCCCGCGGGCGAATCAGGATGGGCTGCGCGGCGAGTCGACGTTGGGGCAGCGCAGGCGTCTAAGGGGGACGACGGCGGGTTTTTGAAATAGCAGCCGGCTGCCGGGGCGAGGGGCGAGGGGCGAGGGATGCGGCGATGCTGTTTCGTTTCAATCAATTGCGCATCGGCTCGCGTGGAGGCATGGGCGGCGCGCTGGGTCAGATTTTGGGGTAATGGGCGTGTGTTGTTGCACACCTGAACGAACGAGGTCGCTCCGCTCTCCACCCGCTCGCGGGCCCAGCTGTCTGCTCGCGCCCCTGTCTACCGTCTGCTTGGCGGGCGCACACCAATGGCCGGCGCAGCGCAGGGCAAGCTTCATCGCGCAGAGGCCTGTAAGCGCCGGCGGGCTGCACTAAGGCGCGGGATCCGCTAGCTCTCGCCCGCCTGGCCGCTGCCCATCACCGTCCGAGCACAGCGCGGCCAGCTCCCTTGGGCCCTCTAGCAGTCCCACCGCGCTGGTCGGAGGCCAGGCCTGGGACGAGAGGGACAGCCACCAGCGAGCGGCACTCTCCCTCAGTCGCAACTTCCGTCCGCGTCCGTCGCGATTGTAAATTCTCCGACGCGAACCCATCGTGTGCCCCCGCACTATCTCCCCTCCCACCTCCGCACCACCACCTGCGCGTCCAACATTTTCCTCCTGCACCATCCTTTGCGACTCCCTGCGATTCGCCAATTCCTCTCGCCTGTTAGCCTGTTGGCCTGTTAGCTCAGGAGCCCTGCACAAACGGCGTCCACCTTCACCGGCAGCCTGCGCACGAGCTGGCTGCAGGCACTAATGCACCTTCGTCCACATTGACTGCACCACAGGCTCCGTCATGTGCCAGCCGAGAGACTCACTGCAGCCCTGCAGCGTCGTCAGATTCCCCCGGCTGACCGTTCGATCCCTCTCCCGGGGTCAGACCTCCAACCTCCCGCCGTCGACGTGGCCGGCTCGCGCCAAATGGATGCCCGTCCAGTGTGACGGCGCGCCGGGACTGCTACAATTGCCGCCATGCTCTCCATCTTTAGCCCTTCTACAGTACGAATGATCGACCGATCGGCTAGAGCAGCTATCATATAGCTGTGGCCTTCTACAAGGACCACTTTGACATTGGGGGCCGAATCCCCTCAGCAATCACCACCAAGTGAGACAACTCGCTTCCTTGCCTCACAGTCCACGCAATTCATTCCTTCTTCTCGCCCGGTTCTCATCTTGGTTCGTCAGACCATCAATGGGGCGTGAGGCGCGCTTTTCCGACCTGTGCCGCTGCCGCATTTGATTATCCGCGCTGCGGGCTCCTAAGCAAGGACGATATGCGCCACTAGAGCCCGGATCATGAGTGTTGGGACCGGGCCTGACTAGCTGCATGTCTCATCTTGCAGCTGACGAAAACGGTTGCAGCTTCGGTCTAAAGCTCCCCATCCAAGCCGAGGACGACCTCAACGCCAGGTCGGTATATCTTCGCCGTACGCGAGAGCGCCTTCTTTGGCTCTGTGTCGAGAGTCAGACGAGAAGCCTCTCCTCTTCCAGATGCCGTTCTGGCGAATCTCACTGAATGTTCGTCGAAGAATACTCTATCCCACCGAAGACTCTGGGCCTTTGTATCCAACTGATGAGCTCCGCCCCGTAAACCTGAGCCAGCAAGCCTCAAAACTCCGCCCGGCTCATGCTGGAACATAATGTTCCTCATCTTCTCTCACTAATACTGGATGGGACTTCGTCATGATTTCATATACCCGTTACGGAATAAGTGCCAACCAAGCATCGCACTAGCGTTTAAGCAAGACAATGGGCGCTTATTCTGGCCACATCCTTGGTGAAGCGTTGCAGAAACCAACGCCTCTATACTACTTCGATAGACGAGCCCCAGCAGGGCAAGAAGTTAGTGTTACTTTTCCCTTGACACATGTGCTGACATTCGATCATAGCTCTAAGACATAGCCGTATGCTACTCCACGATACCTTGCCAAACTAGTCGGGCGACCACACTACTGCCGGGCGACTAAAGTATTACTCCGGAAGGATTCAGCCTCGCTACGAAAATGAACGAACCGTTGGTCCTTGGGTCAGCAAGGCGGTGTACCGACCCGAAGCCTTGATACAACTCATCCATGCGACTTGGAAGTACACCCAGAAGCCAATGATCGAAGCCACCAACAGATCGGGAGTATGGTGTCACTGCATCAACCGGGCCGGGAACAGCAAACCGGACATTTGCAATCTGTTGGGAATACTGACCGGGTCTGCGTGCCGTCCCGAATACTGTCTTATACAACTGTGAGTTCTGCGGCAAAGTCCAATGAATTGGCCGAACGCCCCTCCATGTGCATGGTGCTTTGCCGCGAGAGGCGCCTCAGACGCTCCAGGCCTTTCCTCACCGATCGGGTCATGGCGGCGCACACAGTTCGAGGGTCGACATACTGAGGCAGTTGTTGTTATCAGGCGAGGTCATACTCCAGCACCATCTGCCCAACAGATCAGCAAGGTATCGTAGATATGCCCGTTTCCGCGAGCGCTTGCTCGACCAACGACTCAAACCTCTTTCCTCACATCCACGCACTGCAAAGCCTCCGCCTCGTTGCTGTCATCGACTAAATCTCAGTGTCTGCCTTGCTCAAGATCGTCGCCTCAAATCTGCCGCCGCAGGACCTCTAGCAGGCCTCATCATCCAACACCCTTGATGGCCTTCCGACTGTTTGATACTCACCGCAGTTAGTCCTTTCTAAAGATATCGTGGTATGGGCGATGCTTGCCTCGAAAGGGGAGCGCATTCAAGGTTAGCGTTCGGAGACATCGTAGACGCCATTCTTGGTTACGCTAACAGCTCGGCCACGTTGGTTATCGCCGGTAACGTCCAACTGCTGGTCCTCGCTCTTGACTGCCAGCCTCGTCAGGACGACTGTTCGAGCACTCGCTGTTTGAATGATCCTCACTGATATCAGGTGGAATGAGAGTGAGGCTCAATTTTACAGCATTGAGGTTTGAGGCACTATCGGTTGAGGCATTGTATAGCTCCTCTAGTAACACAGCATGTGCAAGAAAATACTCCCTTAAAACGTACTGTTCTGATTCGAGAGTTGTGCAAAGTTCGATCTACTGACGAAATACACAGTCGTTACCCCGACTGCATTTCCGGCACTCCAACGCCCACTCCTCAAGACCGCATCCATCTAGGGCTCTGAATCGGCGGACTCAGCCACCATACATACCCTAATGCCGCAAACTTCAAGGGGCCCCATCCGTTGCCCGTCCTTGCATACCGGCCCCGCTGTACGATATCGTGCTACAGCCAATCTCGCTCCCCATAGCAGGAATCATACGAATGTAACTGGTAGATACCGGACTATCTCCAACCTACTGGTAGAGACGCGAGGAACCAACAAGCGTGTGTTCCTCATCGCGGTCGAAATTGGGCAGAAGACCATGTCACCACCCAGTTAGAGCCATTGCACGGCAGCCTGGCCCTTCCTTGGGGCTAGGATCAAGCCATATACGCTCGAGCGCTGGCATGAATTCTTGCGATCATTGATTGCTATGAGCTTCCAACTTTAGCTTTGTTCGTATCTGGATGTGGACTGCTGTGAATTGGTCCAACCAATCACAACGCGCATCCAAACGCCCGGCTCAACCCAGCCTTCCTTCCTTAGATCGCGCATGCTTCTTGAAACATCGCATGCAAGCCTTTGCTCTACGTCACCCTGCCACCTCCTCCGTCACGGATATATATACCCCAAAAATACTCTTCTGTTCCTGTCGATCTTTGGGGCCTTGCTGCAATGCTCGTGTATTGCCGTAAGGCATCGAGACTCAAGCCACGGTCTCAACTGCTTCGAAGAGGCACAATTAGCATCCTTGGCTTTGCAAATCTTCTGCCCCACAAGTCATGACACGCGAGGATACGTTTCACACGCCTGCCTTCGTCCGTCGACCCTTTCTAGTGTACGGGGTGGGTGTAGATCGTATCGCGGAATGTCCAGCCTCACAAGGCAGCAAGCCAAGCCAAGCAGAAGCCCGGGACACAAGGCTAAGTATCAATTCCTTTTCTTCCTCAGAAGTCCAGTCTCTTGTTGATTCCCCGCTTGCAAGCCAAGTCAATACATCTCCCTGTTAAAAGTAATCCTCTCTATTCGCCCATCATACCGCTCGTTCGACCACCACCTCGAGCCAAACTACCTCCCCAGCCCCGGCGGCGGTGCAGACCCGGCAAATACGCTCCTTCGCTGCTTGTCCACGCCAGAACTTCGAGCCTGATCACACAGACTGGTACCAAATCGCCTCCCGAACTCCTTTCCTCAACTTGGGCATCTGCCCCGACTGCTACAACACCTCTATAGCGCCCACACGCTACTCCCGCTTCGTCAGCTACGCAGTCCACAAACCCGAGAACGTCAACACGCGCGGCGGTTTCCTCGATCTCTGGTCTGCGTCGCGTACGCCTGGCTCGTGACGCTGAACTAGGCTGGTTTGATGTTGCTAGGCCAGGGAGTGGATCTGCAGTACGAGGAGGCGGAAAAGAGGTGTTTGAGGCCGGATCTCGAGTGTGAAGATGGTGGCGGTGGAAGGCAACACTACGAAGACTGGGACTTGGTACTGTCTCGTGGACCTGGGGTTCCTAATCGAAGTAATCGAAGAATTGACAATGTGGTCAGATTACGTCCCGGTGTTCGAAGGACCTGGGTGGGAACGAGAGCGTGTCTCGCGTGCTGGTGAGATAGTCGGCTTGGAAGAACTGTAGGGGGTGGTTAGGACACATTTGTTCATAGAGCGAGCAGGGATAGTAGAAGAGAGAGAGAGAGAGAGAGAGAGAGAGAGAGAGAGATTGCTTTTACTCTCACTCTAGTACAGTGGCGATACCCTACTTTGTTTCTTCACTTCGATATCACGTCGTGCGCCGCAGGTTGGTTGGGTTAGCAACCCCAAGCTCTCCTCTCTTCCGCAAACCAACCACTCTTCCTTCGCACTGCACGTTAATCCGGTATATCCAAACCACGGCCCTTCCCTCGCCTCTACTCTCCTCCGTCCCATATCACCGACTAAAAACCTGCACCTCGCCCACCCCCCTAATCTTCCCCTCCACCACCCTCTCACTCATGCCCAACTCAGTACAAATCTCATCAAAGCAATGCATGCCATCCAGGAACCGCACCAGCGGGAGTCCCTGCTCCCTCTCCTCGCTCACCAAGCTATTCAGCCGCACCATCTCTTCCGCTCTCCTCTCGCCCGCCGGGTGGGGGAACGCGTTAGCCGTAGGAGCCACGAGGCTGGGTATGCGGGCGAGATGGCCGCCTCGAATAGTCGCCTGGTCGCTGACGTCGTTATGGTTGACGGCGGCGGAGGTGGAGACTGATTGCAGGGATGCTGGCGGTGCGGGCGGTAAGGAGGTTGAGGTCGCGATGGCATATTTGTGCACGCGGTACAGGAAGCCTTTTATTATGCCGAAGGTGATGAGGCGCCGCACGTCGATGCCGCCCAGCAGCTCGACGTTCTCGAGCACCCAGTTCTTCAGCGTGAGGCCTTGGCGCAGCGACGTGTACAGCGTGATAAGCGTCATGTGCGAGATAGCGTTGCTCTCCTCGTCGTCGCTGTCAGCGTCGCGGACGGACCAGGATACCGAGGTGGTGGAGAAGTCCGGTGCGGGTGCCCGGTCGGAGGGCGTTGTGTGCTCGCTGTGCAGCTGGGAGCGCGACGATGAGGATATGGATGAGCGCTCGTCCGTTCCCCCCCTCGATCTCTCGGATTCTACCGAACCTAGCTTTGGCTTGATGGAGCCGATGCGCATACGCGGCACGCGGACGTATCTCGCGCACTCCTCCTTCACGCTTTCGTCGACGACGAAGCCGCCGATTTCGGCGGTGGGCGCATACACAGCGCCGAAGCTGAAGATGTCGAGCAGGACGAGGCAGCCGTAGTAGACGAGGTGCTGGATGGCTTTGCGAGTCAAGGACAGATCGGTGTCGGCGAGCTGCGCTATGTGCGCGACGGAGCTTATGCCGTTGATGTGGGGCAGGATGCGGTTCAGGGTCAGGTCTGAGCTGATTGGTGTGTGGAGGCTGGAGAGTGAGATGGTGAGGACGGGGACCTGGTGGGCGTAGATTGGGGGCGGTGGTGCGCGGGTGGGGAAGAGCTTGAGGTTGATGGTATTGGAGTCGTCTGCGCGGTATTAGCGCATAGAACGTAGGAGCCGGGCTATGTTTGAATAGAGGAATAGGGGGTAGAGAGAGGGAAGGCAACGTACCAATGGGTATCATACACTCGGCATAATTATTCAAATCCTCCAACACCATCTCACAAAGCGCAAACACCTTGCTCCCGCCACCGAGCCCAAAGCTCCCCTCCCCGTCCCCTAATCCACCTCCTCCCGTCGCCCCATCATCCTCCCAGACCCTCCCCTCCTCCTCCTCACGACTCAAAAACTCGCCCTGCTCCTCCAGTCCCCTCAACAAGCGCCCCAACTTCCTCGCCACCTCTCCATACGCGATCCAATCACTCACACCCTCCTCGACGACCAGCGCAAAGTTAAAGATAAACTCATTCCTGCTGTATCTGCCCTCGCGGATGCACACGGGGTAGCCGATGACGCGGTAGTGGTTGGTGCAGAAGGCGAGCAGGCGGTCGCAGAACTGCTGGTTCGGGATGATGTACGTGTTGATTATGGCGTCGACGTCGAAGAGGGGAGTGCGCAGGGCGGAGGGAGAGGACGATGGCGTTATGCTGCCTTCGGGCACTTGGTGTAGGACGCGGGAGCCTGGGAAGTGGATGTTAGATGGGGATGGCGGGCTGAGGTGCGGGGAGGACTTTAGTTACCCTTTTCATGGTGGAAGCGCGTGAAGAAGATGGCCTTGATCGCGCGCGTGGGCATTGAGACTAGTGATGGTTATAGAAACATGGAAGGCTGCTGAGGACTACATGGTGAGTGTGAGGTCGAAGTTTGTCGCAACCGCTCCAAGGTTAGAGCTCGAAAACCGGTGGTCTGTGCTTACTGCTCTGGCAATCACGTCGCCACCCATCTAGACGAATCCGCAATATAAAGTATCTCGAAATCTCTCAATTTCATCCATTCATGCAATTAAACTACTATGTTACAACCCTGCCTAGCTGTTGCTGTTGCCCTGAAGTCTCGCTCCGGCTAGGAAGTCAAGAAAAACCACAATGTTTGTTCGCTGTCCAATACAGTTCGATCCGCCGTCTCAAAAACGCCGTGCAATGCAAATGCTCCCATCATACACACCATAAAACTCCCAGAGAAAAGGCCAACAAGCCGCCAAGAAAAGGAAGAAATCGCTTTTGTCAGAAAAAAAAGGGCTAGCTACAGGCAGGGAAAAGGGAAGAAGGGGTACAAATCAGTCTAGAAGATTAAAAGGGGTAATGAAGAGGTCAAAAGATCAAGATGAGGGCAAACTCTCGTTATACACCCTCGAGAACTCCTCAGCAATGTCGTTCGTCTTGAGAGCAAAGAAGGTATGTTTCAGCTTGCCGCCTTCACCCGGCCGCACAGCGCTGACCATCTTCTTGCTATTGCCTGTAACATTCGTCTTGAGCTTAGGCAGGATATTGTAGTTCAGGGCTGTCTTGCCGCTCGCGAGCCGAATACGCACAAACGCCTTTCCGCTCTCCTTGTTCTTGAGGATCCAGAGCGGGCCACGGGCTAGGTTCTCCCAGGTCTTCTTGCCGGGCGTTTTCTCTTGCTGCTCCTTGGCCAGAGCCTGCTCCGCATGGAAGAGAATGTCGTTCTCCGATTTCTCATCGTCGGTGAGGCCTGATAGGTCAAGCTGTTCTTGCTTGGTTCCTTCGTCGCCATCGTTTTCCCCGGCGGAGTCTTTGCCGCTGGTCTCGGCTTCGGAGAGCGGCGTAGCAGCGCGAGAGGAGAGGACCGAGGAGGCTATGGAGCCAGGACCAGACTGACCGGTGGTGGGAGTGAGCCAGGAAGGCGTGCTACCGGAGGGTTGATTGAAGAGCGAGAAAGGTGGCGGCTTAGAAGGTGTCGCCGAGAACTCAGCTGGCGACGGTGTCGCAGGTTGGAACTGGAACGTCGGTGCATCCTTCTTCTGCGTACCAAAAACAATTGGACTTCCGGGCTTGAAAGTCTGATCGCCAGCGAAAAATTCCGATTTTGGAGGCGCGGTCTGACCCCCGGCCTTCTCAAAATCAAAGAACTGGAAGGGTTTATTAGGCGTCTGCACACCGTTGGTCTGTCCGAAGACTGAGGCAGCTTTGCTGGTATTGCCGTTCTCTTTGTCAGACTCGTCTCCGGCCTCAGAATCGTCAGTCTTCGTTATGCGCGACATCAGGCTCGGCCTTCCGGATGCCTGCTGCTTCTTGCGTCTCATCATCTCCTCGAGCGATTCTTCTGATTCCGACTCCGATGCGGCAAGCTTGCGCTTATTTGCCTTTCCGAAATCCGAGGGCTGGTCTGACTGAGGCTGAGATTCTGATTGCTCTTCTTCCTCGTACTCATCCTCATCCTCATCTTCGTCTTCATCCTCGTTTTCGTCCTCATCCTCGTCTTCGTCCTCATCCTGGTTGTTGGACGATGCGCCAGACGACAGATGCCCAAAGATATTTGATGAAGGAGTCTGCGCGGCATTGGGTGTGTCGAAGACGGACCTTGTCGCAGATGGTGCGGGGCTACCGAGCCTGGAGCTAAACAGTCCTGGAGTGGAGGTCCCACTGGCAGGCTGCGAGAGTCCAGAGAAGGGGTTGGAAGCCGTAGTGGTGCCGCTGGTTTTCTTTTCAGGAGCGCCGAATGCAAACTCCTGGTCGGCCTGTGCCTTCTTCTCGGCTATGCGAGCAGCCTCCTCCTTATCCCATCGGGCTGACCATTGCTCTTCCGATTCTTCGTCAGAATCATAATCTTCCTCCTTCGCCTTGGCCTTGCGTTCCGCTCTAAGCTGCTCGAAGGTCTTCGCACTCTTAGCAAACTGACTAAATGGGCTCTCGGAGCCAATGCTACTGAATGAGGACACCTTGTTCTCTGTTTGTTTTGTCTCGCCTTTAGTGCCAGAGGTGAGGAACTGAAAGGGTGACTGAGAGGTACGATTCGTCGAGCTATCAGAAGCTTTGCTAGCACCGAGCGTTGGCATGAAGCCTGTCTGGGATGTAGTGCCTTTCGAAGGCTCCGGCTCTTTCTTATCGGAAGCTATAGACCCGACAGCCGGAGTTGAAGTGGTCGTAGAGACGGGAGCATTGCCTTTGCCGAGGATGTTGCCAAACAGATTGGAGGTCTGCGTTGCGGGCGGGGCAGCTTTGGGGGTGGTGCTCAATATGCTAGACGGCTTAGGGGTTGGTGTGCTCGGTACATCAACGCCTCGTGCCTTCTTGGAAGGAGATGCATCCTGGTTCTGGCGGTTTACTCCGTCGTCGGCTTTGCGCTTGGTGGAGAGGCTAGATTCATTCCCGGTGATTCCTTTTGCTGCTGCTTGCTGCTTCCTGATCGCGACGATCTTGTCCATGATTTCACCTGACTCTTTATAGTGCCATGAAGACAGCAAAGTCCAATCTGCCGTTGCAGGGAGCTGAGCCAGCCTCGCACGATATTTCTCGTTCAGCTTTGCGAGCTGTAAAGAGAGCTCATTGAGGTTTGAACCCGGAACTTTCGACGTGGACCAATTCTGGGGGACACGGGCCTTTGGTAATTTCGGTTGCTGAGTTGGCTGCGTTGCTGTAGCTGGTGGTGCCGCAGCCCCGGTTAGAGTAGGCATGGCAGAAGCGGGCGAAAGCGGGGCTTGCTCCTTTGACGGGGACGAAGGCCTGAAGAAGCTTTGAGAGGCGGACTGCTGCGCTTCCTTTGGTGGTGCCAAATCTTTCTTTTGTGCAGACGAATCCGCAGCGCCGCTCAGGGACGTGGCAGGAGCGAAGGGCGTCTGCGACGGGAAGGAGAAGGAGGCCTTCTGAGCTGCATCAGATTTGGGACCCGCTGCTTGGGACTGCTGGGTGAAAATGTTAGATGACGTGCTCTTCGTGGCTTCCGACTTCTTGTTCGCGGATGAAAATGCAGCGAATGCGTTCTTGGACAACGACTCAGGCTTAGCAGGCTGTGAGAAGATTCCTGAGTCGCGTGGAACATTTGAAGCTGAAAAGAGGCCCTTCTTAGGCGCCTCGACCTCTGTCTCTCTTGTCGAGCTTTCTGGTTCCTTAATTGACGTCTGCGGAGTTCCGAGACTGAATAGATTGGTCTTTGCCGGAGTGGCCGCATTTAGAGATGTGCTACCTGGTGCGGTGGTGGCAGCTCTGCTCGTTTGCGGAGTTGAGCCGAAGCCTGAGAAGAAGTTGTTCGTAGGCACGGACGCGGTGAAAGGATTGCTTGCCGGCGTGTTCGTCACCTCTTTCTCAGCAGGCTTGCCCATGCTGAAAAGACTGCTCGCAGGTGCGGGAGTAGTCGGAGTCTGAGACTGTGTGCTTGCACCGAAACCTTTGAACGGGCTGCTCGTAGCTGCGGCGGTCCAAGAAGCTTCAGGTTGCGAGCTCGCGCCGAAGCCTTTGAACATGCTGGTCGCAGGCCCCGGAGTGCTTGTGGCTGCACCCTGCGTACTCGCACCAAGAAAACTGAAGCCGTTTGACGGTGCGGGGGTGCTCCCAGACGGTCCTGGTGTTCCTCCAATGCTTTGGAACAGACTGCCAGCGGGTGCTGCCGTGCTAGCGGCGTCCTGTTGTGTGCTCATACCAAATCCAGAAAAGGAAGTACTTGCAGGCGTTGTCGAGGTCGTGGCATTGTTCTGGGCGGCGGAGCTAATGCTGCCGAAGAGAACGGGCTTCGGTGCGGGCGTACTCTCATGCGCTGCTGATGCGGTGGGAGCGAAGCCGAATAGGTTGTTCGCCGGTGCGGATGAGGAGGGAGCCGATGCAAGGCTTGAGAAGAGATTGCTCGAGGGTGCGGTCGTTGTCGCGACGTTGCTCGGAGCGCTAGAGCTAAGGCCGCCAAAGAGATTAGTTTGGGGCGCGGCGCTCGTGCCGAAGAGAGTGCTAGGAGCCGCAGTGGTGGAGGTGTTGTCCTTCTCTCCGCCAAAGGGAGTGTTGCCCGGCTTCGGCTGGGAAGGCGGGATATTGAACATTGACGCCGTGAAACCTGAGTTTCCTGAGCCGTTCATTGTGGGAGCGGGAATGGGCGCGCCAAAGGCATTGTTCGTGGCTGCTGTGAAATTGAAGCCGGTGGAGGGGGGTTGTGGGTGGAAGCCCGTGGTTTGGCCGCCGCCGCCAAAGGCAGGAAACGATGAGGTTGTGAAGGTGTTGCTGGCTGTGGATGACTGGGTAGGCGGGAAACTGCTGGTCGCATCATTTCCAAAATCTCCCCCGTTCGGCGTCGACTGCTGTTGCGATTGCGACAGGAAGCCGAACGGATTCGCGCTGACAGTACTGTCGCCGCCGAAGCCAAAGCCGGACGCCTGGGGTGGCCCGAAACTAGGTGTGGCAGAAAGTCCCTGTTCGCGCGCATTAGCACCCGCTTGCTGTTGTTGCCGCCGACGCTGCTCCCGCCGCCATTCGACCGTGTATTTGATCGACATGTCGGGGGGCAATCGGCGGTTGGGGGGGCGTCGTCAAGGAGACACTTACGGAGGATGCGCCCGCCGGTCGACGCGAGCCTTTGGCAGCCTTGATTCTGCGAGACAAAGAGTCAGTAGGGTGTGCGAACAATGCGCTTTGACTGGCGCTGAGCTGGGGACAAGGTCGAAGCGGCGGCGGACTCACTTTCGCGTTGCCATTTGGGCTGCCGTCGCCTTCTTCGGGGTATCGATCGGGCCTTCATCCCTCTCTTCATACGGATTCTCTGGCTTGCCCTGCCCGAAGATCGAGGTTCGCTTCGACATTTTGCGCTGGGTTGTGTTGGCTTGCGGCCAGCGATGGAGTCGGGTGCTGGTGCCAAAAACATGCAAAGGTTCAGGTGTTGCTTTGTTGGGGCCCGTGCGTGACGTCGTTAGTAAGCAGCCGGGTGCTCGAGCAACGGCGAGCGACTCGCTCTCACCACCGATGACGTATTTGTTAAGGGTCGTGAAATGAGGCTCTGCACATGTGGCTGGGTGGAGAAATGGCACATATGATGGAAGCGGTCGCCAGTGTCATCCTCCGTGGTCAACCTTGGATCTATCGGACCGGGGCAAGGGGGGAATTTGGTGAGGTTTGTATTTGCAAGAATCTATTGCAAGGTAAAAGAATGATTTAGTGACTTCGTGCGTTCCTCTCTCGCTTTTGGCCTCTCCATAGACTATGTCTCTTAGGCGCTTTGGTCGAACACGGGAGTCTCTTCGTTGGGCGACTTCCCTTCACGTCGGAGCTGAGATTGATATCAAGATATCGACTGCGTTCTAATTCTGCCACTTCGAGAAATGCTCGTCTCCCAATTTCTAGCGTCTCCAATCTCGGGTAGCCAGCGTAGAGGCAAAGACCGAATAGTCACAGCTGACAGTGAGCGTTCCCGGGACAGAGGGCGACTAGCAAGCTTGAAGCTGCTAAAGAAGAAGACGGCTTCGCGAGCTCATGCTGCGGCTGCGGCTGCGGCTGCGGCTTTCTTCCAGATATCCACAAGCGGGCCATTTCTCCCGTAGATGGGATCGCAGTCCGGGATGGGAATGTTGCTCGCCACCTTTGCTTTCTCTGCCGTCTCTTGCGCATCGGCTTTACAAAAGTTATTGTCCCAATGCGGCGAGCCCTGCACAGAGGTGAGAATCTGATTTAGCTGCGGTCGCATGAAGGGCGTGATACCTCCGGATACAAGCCTAGATATTCGTACCCGCCCTCTGACGTTACAGAGCAATGGCTGACACCAGCCTGCCAGTACATCAGCCAGTCCTTCATAATCCTCATCCGCGGCTTCCTAGATGAGAAACATGAGTGGGAATTGGATCTCATACAGGTAAAACAATTATATCTCCCCTGCTAAGATTCACCTCAAGGCCGCCCTCGGACGGGTCATCGAGCGGGCCACGTCCGAGCAAAAGCCTGCTCGATCCTTTGAAAACAGCGTAGCACTCATGCGTAACTGAGTGGAAATGGTGAGCCCAGTACGTTTTGAACTGGCCTCCCTTCAGCCACAGGTTCTTCTCGAGAGCTTCGCGGGTGGAGGTCGCAGTTGGCTCGGGCGGGAGCACCTGCCGGTAGACCAGGACAGGCAGGCGCGAGTTGGGGACGTGTGAGGTCGGGTTAAAGTAATATTCCTCTGGCATTTGCGGTGCCATGGCGTGACAAAACACAGTGCAGAGGGTTGATGAGATGCTGTGATAGGTAGATTGAGCCAGGGCGGGCCGTGCATGGTGTTGAAGTCAGTCATGCGGGACGGATGAGGTAACTGGGGTATCAACGTGGGGCGGTTCCAGACTGTGCGCTTGGCCATGCGTGATCTGGCGATCGGCCTGCGTTTTCCAGGTTGCTGTTTCGCGGAGAAGGCGATGCCGGACAGCCGGCAGCCAACCAACGCTGGGCCGGTGCCGTCCTCGCAAGCTGAGCGCGGCGCTGTCAGGACGACAGAAATGCGCTTGTTGGCCGGCGCGGGGGAGTCCATTATGCGAAACACGGCATCTATCACCACAGTGCAACCTGCCAAAGCGAGACAGTCGGCGCGGCCAAGCAGAGAGCAGCCACGGGAAGCTGCTGCGGCGATATGATACGTTTGCAGCGCCGAGCAGAGCAATCTGAGGGCGTGGGCGGCCAAGATGCGGGCGCGGAATGCCCGCTGCTGTGCCTCTTTGGTTGCGTGGAGGCTCGCTTTCTGCTTGCGGGCCAGAACGGCGCCCTCAGGCTCGTGGGACCCCAGAGCAGCATCAGTCCACATGTTTACGTGCTTCGTCCGGACCGTCGCCGGCGGATGCACACAAAGGCTCGCCAGCCCCGAGCCATCCGCATCCTCTGTCCTTCGTGCTTTGGGTAGCGTTATCGCGTTCCAGATAGAAACCGCCTTCTCCGCCTTCCCCTCACCTGTTTCCAGGCCAGCAGCCTGCCATCCCCCATCTGCCGAGTGCGTATAACTAACACCGCGTCGCCGCTGACTGCGGCCGGCTTCGATTACGCTGAGATCGCTTTCGCATTCGCGGATCCACTCCCATCTGGGCAGGCTTAGCGACGCATCGCTCAGCGTCCGAAGCCCTGGCCTCATCTCATCATCCTCCGCCCTGCCGTGGTGCTTGATTCCTCTCGGGATCACGGCCAGCGCCACGAGCCCGTCGGCGGCCCGTCTGCCAAAACTTGCAGCTGTCAAAGACTCGTCACCAGTCCTCTCCGGACGTTCCGCGGGCTTCACGTCTCTCCACGCCGGCTTGGTGATGCTGTGTACCACGCACTATTTACCGTCTGGCATGCCTCAACACGCACGCCGCCCTGAACCCTCAGCACCCGCCTCCAGAACATGGCCAACACCCGCTCGCATGCGCCCTCGAGCCATGCCCGACTGCACAAACGCGGCAACTCCGCCTCGTCCATGACAAGTCCGCTCAGCCCGGTCGCCGACCAAGGTGCCTTCACATTTAACCGCTCCGAGACCCCAAAAGTCACCTACGAAGAGCCCTGGACCGAGCCAGCACGACCCATGCCCGCCGCAACTTCCTCGCACCAGCTCAAGATCAAGCCCTATCTGCGCAAGCTGTCGTACAAAGACAGCAACGCCCTCGACCTTTCCCGCCCTGCGGCCGAGAACGAGGGCCTCGCGGGACTGGGCATTTCCGAGTATGGCGGCACCTCGCGAACAGTCTCCGACGTCAGCTTTGCGCCGGTGAATGGGCGCAACCGACACAATCGCTCCACCTCCGCTACGTCACAGTTCTCTACGTCGTCGAGCCTGCAGCGCCCGACCGCGCCCTACATGCCCTCGATCCGCCAGACCCCGCGCCCGTACACACCGCCTATATCCAAGTCTACACCCTCCTCTGTCCTCGGCTCTGAGAACGAGGTAGACGACATCATGACGGACGAGGAGTTCCGCCTGAGGCAGGCCGCTTTCGACCCCGCGCGGCGGTCTGGCTCGCTCTCTTCCACACCTGGCGTCGCATCTCCCCCGCTCCGCATTCATACGACTGGTTCCTGCACCCGTCTCGGAGGGAGCTATTCTCAGTCCTCCATCTCGCTAACCTCACCCGTCGCTCAATCACGCTCGAGAGGCGACACTCTCAAGTCCATGGACACCACTGCCTCACCCAGCTCACGAACCTCATTCGACAAGGCCTTTGGCTTCATCCGCGGCGGACGGGATTCGCCCGTGGACGCCGCCTCTCGCGCTGCCTCTATCCACGCTGCGCGACAGGCTTTCCTAGAGAAGGAAGAGGCCAAGGAACGCAAGTACGACCGAGAGGCCCACAAGCAAGCGGAGCGAGATTATCGGAAGCAGCACAAGAAAGACGAGCGCGAGCGGCGCAAGTCTGAGTCCGAAGAGAGGAAGCGGGCTCGTAGCATATCCGACTCCAACGAGAAGACGCCGCGACCGTCTGTGGGCGGACGTCAGTATTCAGACCATCGACCACCGCATTCGAGCAGCCTCCCCAACCACGTGACTACTGTCAGCTACGAGAAGCACAGCGGCGCCATGCCCAAGGTCACCAAGAGCAGGGAGGCGAAAGGAAGGTGGCTGAGATTCGTGACCTGGTTCAAAACGAGGTTGCTGCGCATGTCCCGGAGGTTGCATATTGCGTCGTGAGTGGTTGGTGGCTATTATTGTTTGCCACGCGCCGCCTGCAGCAAACCAACGCTCATCAGCCTCAATATTCGACGCATCCTGTCGATCCAAGAGCTGACATGCATGCATCATCGATGTTCGATCGGAGCGGCACATTCATCGATTGTCAATATTTCCCGTCCTCGGGTATCAGCTAGGCATATCTCCGATACCCTGCTCGACTTTCCCCAACTCCCCTCTCTTTATTCAGCATGGTATCACGGTTTTCACGATTTATGCCTTTCCTCCTTTTTTTCTCAAATCCATCGCTGCACTGCATATTTGGCGGGCATTCTAGGGTACATCATTCGGGCACAGCGATATCGATTCTGGCGCATGGGTGGCTTGGGATCGGACACCCCCCATCTTATGGCATGCCCTCACATGGATATGGATAGGCGTTGCTATACATCTTGGGAGTATGCTTAGAGGAGCACTGCGTGCTTTGGCTCAGCCGTGCTCAGTGCATTGGTTTTCTGCTTTTGGGATCTTGGGTCTAGCTCAGCTTTGCTCTGGCTACGGCCATTGAGCGTGAATGGCATTCGTTCTTATCGCATCATCATCTTCTCCATGATTGCCGGCGCCGTTTCAGTGAGAGTAGCGCCTTTGGTACTTCTATTATCCGTCAGCCCCATGTCTGGTAGCTTTCGGGACCTAGGACCGCCTTCCCGTAAGATGAGTTGCGCGACTGGGAGATGGAGGTGCCGCAGGACTAGAACCCCTCTAGCTTAAAGCTAAGATATAAGGAAGCAAGACGCGAAAAGTAGAAAGTATCAAAGTGCTCAGGTTAGATGTGGCTCGTTCGCGCCACACCCAGCAACTTTGTACCCGACCCGATGGCTCGGATACCTCGTACAGCGTTCGTCCGAAGATCTTCCGAGGTCGACAGCAGTTCCCAGCTCCTGTCAAGCTCTCCCCGCATCTAGCCATCTATCCCTCAGTCATCGCACCTCAGCATGACCCACGCTCCTTTATAACTCGCAATGCCGCTACGAAGCTTGCCACGAGCTTCAATTGCTCTACGGAGCAGCAGGACGCCGCCTGCGATCCTCTCACAATGTTGCATGGGAGCGCAGAGGACGCGGATGCAGCGGAGATGGGCGAGCGAGGACAAAAAGAATGAGCAGACGCCGTTTCATTTTCAGCTGTTTGAGAGTATCACGCAGCGTGTGCAGAAGGAGAAGGAGGAGCAGCTTAGGCAGGCGCAGATGCAGAATAGGACTGCGAGAGGACGGTTTTTTGCGACAATGACTGGTGCGCTTCTTCTTCCCTGGGCGTGGGAGCTCAATTGATGGAGGCATATACTGACGCAATTGTAGTTTGTTTTATTGCTGCTTGCATCGGGTACTACTGGGGCCAGGCTCTTCCTCCACCTCCCACCACCGATTCAACCGCTCCCCTCGAGTCTACGGTGCCGCCGAAACATAACATCTCCGAGGCGAATATGGAGGCTGCATGGACTGACTTCCGTGACATCGTGGGGAATGAGAATATCACGCTTGAACGCTCAGAACTCGAATCACACTCCGGTTCCTCATGGTCTTCGCACCCTGCGGAACCTGGTGATGTCCCGTTTTGTGTAGTGAAACCCGGAAATACCCAGGAGGTCAGCGCCATCATGAAGATCTGTCATGAGAGGAAGATACCAGTCACGGCATACAGTGGCGGCACAAGCTTAGAGGGACACTTTGCGGCGACGAGAGGCGGCATCTGCATTGATTTCTCGCGCATGGACAAGATTATCAAGCTGCATAAGGAAGATTTGGATGTTGTAGTGCAGCCCGCTGTAGGCTGGGAAATACTAAATGAAGAACTGGCGAAAGACAATCTATTCTTCCCTCCGGATCCAGGACCAGGCGCCATGATCGGGGGTATGGTGGGCACGGGGTGCTCGGGGACGAACGCGTATCGATATGGCACAATGAAAGATTGGGTGCTATCTCTCACAGTGGTTCTGGCTGATGGAACGATTATCAAGACGAGACAACGACCACGGAAATCCTCCGCAGGATATGACCTCACGCGCATGTTCGTCGGCAGCGAGGGGACATTAGGCTTAGTCACGGAAGCCACGCTCAAAGTCACCGTGAAACCGCAACACACCAGCGTCGCTGTGTGCGCCTTCCCCAGCGTCCGCCAAGCAGCCGACTGCGTCTTCAAGGTCGTCGGAGCTGGTGTCCCCATCGCGGCGATCGAGATCCTCGACGATGTGCAAATGAAGTGCATAAACGATGCTGGAATGACCAAGAAAAGCTGGAAGAACGCGCCTACACTCTTCTTCAAATTCGCGGGTACGCCTTCGAGCGTGAAAGAGCAGATTGGCCAGGTGCAAACACTCGCGAAGAATGCGGGGAGTGTGAGCTTCGAGTTCGCCAAAAGCGAGCAGGAGCGAGAGGATCTGTGGCAGGCGCGGAAAGAGGCTCTTTGGAGCGTTATGGCGCAAGGCTCCGGAGATGAGGATATGGCGGTCTGGACTACGGACGTAGCGGTACCTATTTCGAGGCTGCCCCAGATCATCGAAGAAACCAAGGAGAACATCGGCAAGAGCGGGCTGCTAGGCAGCATTGTTGGCCATGTGGGAGACGGAAATTTCCACTGTAAGCCTGCGACTCTCCTAATTTAGAACCTCCACAGCCAATAATGATACCGGATGCTAACGCTATTCCTTTCAGCCATCATTCTCTACAACAAGAAAACCGAATACGAAAAGGCCAAAGGCCTCGTCCACGACATGGTCAAGCGCGCCATCGAGCTCGAGGGCACAGCAACGGGTGAGCATGGCGTTGGGCTCGTCAAGCGAGACTATCTGCCCCATGAGGTGAGCACGTCGACCGTCAACGCGATGAGGCGGCTCAAGCTGGCGTTTGACCCGCTGTGCTTGCTGAACTGCGATAAGATCGTTAGGGTACAACCGCTAAAGAAAGGTGAGGTGGACAAGTGGTAGAGCAAGGAACGCGGAGGGAGATCCGAGCGTGTTGTAGTATATATAACACCACACCTATGCAGTTCTCCATGATGAATCGCAGTATTGAATTACTCTACAATCGACTCGCTGCGCTGACATTAGAAGAACCCATCCCCTTCCTCCTCCCCTCTAGGAACTTAACCGGCACATCCACCTCCACATCCCGCAGCCAATCCCCCATCCCCTTCGCAAACGCATCCAGCCGCGAACTCCCACTCACCCCTCTCCCCAGCACCTCATACACCACAAAATGCACCGCGTAGATACCCGCAAACTCCACCCTCTCGACGTGATAACCGCCCTCCCAGCTCTCGGCGAACATTTCTCTGAGCTTGCTCATCGTCAGGAAACTGCGCAGCCAGTCCCAGGCTTCTGCGTAGAGAGGCGAGCCGGGCGCATAGGAAGAAGGCAGACGTGTGGGGATGAAGAAGCCGATGTTTGCGTTGCCGCCTTTGTCGCCGGAGCGCGCGAGGACTACGTCGCCTAGTCGCGCTCGCACCGTCTTGCCGAAGCTGTCCAGATCGACCGGGTTGCGCGTCTCGTAGCTTTCTCGTTTGCCCAGGGGTTCGAATCGAGGCGGGGGCGTGGTGCAGATGCGTACGGTCTTCCCGGTGGGGTAGAGGATGTTCATCGAGGTGTTGAGGGACGATTGCGGGTAGATGGCCGGATAGTACGAGAGATAGGGTTTGGGCAGCGCGGTGCGGTGGTCCAGTGTCGAGTGGAAGCCGGAGTAGTGCTGCATTGCGAATTCGCTGAGGAGGCTTGCCAGGCCGAGGTTTGCGGCTGGGGAGCTGGATTCTGCGAAGATGCGGAGGGATGTGGTGCTACGGAGTTGGGAGCGGGGGTTGCGTTCGGGGACGCCGATTCTGTCATGAGATATACATGTCAGAACACGGGCCTGAATTAAGAGAGGAAGGGAGCAGTAGAGAGCTTACCGCTGGAACTCTAGGACTTCGAACTTGTCGAGGATGCCGAGCCGCGCGAGTCCGAATCTCATCATGCGCTCGTAGAGGTCGTATTTTTGAGGGGTACCGTAGCCAGTGGCGTTTACGACGATTTCGGATTGGTAGCCTGCTTGGTAGAAGATGGCGAGTTTAGTGGTTGGAGGCGGAGGTGCGCCTTTGATGCCCCATACGCGGACCCTGGGGTATTCGTCAGTTCATATACATCGTTGGAAGAGTTCCGCTGTTGAAGCTGATTTGGAAATCGCACCGATCTTTGCCCTCCTGCTGTACTTGGACATCGTCCAAGATAGCCTTCACATCGCTATTCAAATACACATTTCCTTGCAACTCGTACAAGAACTGGCACTTGACCGTGTCCTCAGTGACGAATCCCTTCTTTGCACCATGCTTCGTAATCACACACGTCCCGTCTTTCTCGACTTCCGCGATGCCGAAAGTAATGTCGTAGAGTGAGTCGAGAGGATACTCATAGAAGCCGGCAAAGTTGGAACCAGTGACGTAGCCTGAGCATTCGATCAGATGGCCGGCGATGAGAGCGCCCGCGAGAGAGTCGTAGGAGGTGGAATTCCAGGAGTGCCAGTACCATGCAGCACCGATGACCTGCGGGGCTTTAGAAATGATGGAGGAGAATAAGGGGTTCTGGACGTACCGGGCTTGCATCTGCGACTCGTCCAGCAATGATGATATCCGCGCCTTCTTCCAGCCCCTTTACAATCTCCCGGGCTCCTAGATAGGCGTTTGCGCTCACAATGGGTTTGTCGTTCTTCTCCAGGAGATCGAGCGTGTGATTTGCGTATGTAACCTCGCTATTGTCTGAGTCCAGATGCGGCGGGAGACCTTTGGTGCGGATATCTTTCATCTCTTCGAACAAGTTATCTCCAAGCACATATGCGATCTTTAAGTCTAGGCCTTTCTCCGTAATCTGTGATATCATCAGCATATTCAGAAGGACGTTAGAGCGGTTTACCTACCAACTGCTGCACTTTCTCCGCCAATCCCTTCGGATTATGCGCTCCGCCATTTACGATTACTTTGATGCGTTTCTGAGCTAGGATGTGAATGGTTTGCTCGATGCCGTCCCAGCAAGTCTGCTCCCAGCCTGGATGCTGACCAGCGGCATGCGCTTGCGCGTTCTCTGCTATGTTGACTTCGGCTAGGTAGTCGCCTGTGATGAAGTCTACATCGCCGAGTTCGGCTTGATAGCGCATATGATATCCAGGATCCGCTGTTTCACAGTTAGCCTTATGGAGGTAACACAGTTCAAGAGAAGTACCTTTGTATCCTGAGCAATTTGCTATCCTAACAGGCCTCTTCCCGCGCTGCTCAGTCCATCGCGTACCATATTCTACTGCAGCCATCTTGTAAGACAACACAATCTACGAACAGGGGTAGGATAATAGCCTTAACCAGGGTGCTAGGGTGGTTGAAGAAAGCACATAAGCAATCGCCCTGCTGACAAAAGACCCCTCTTCTCTTTTACTTCCTACCAACTGCTGTAGCAGCGCAAGTCTAGGATCCCTTCGTTCATATACTAGTTTTCGGGCAACTGAGTGCTGTGCGACTGTTGTCTCCACCAGCGCACCTCCGAATGCGGGGACTGTTCGGTTGTGATTGGTCCCGTCTCCAACTCGTGAATAGCGACTCGACCGAGGACCGAATTGACGGCAAAGACCGCGGTCGAAAGAAGGCCCGAACGTAGTCACATGTGTCATAGAAGATCATTCTAAGTTCGCTATATAAGGAAACGTCTCCAAGAGTTGTTGACCATAAGCCTGGCTTGCGACACGCCTCGGAAAGAAACATGGCAACCAACGAAGCGAACGGATACGCAAACAGCGTTGACGAAAATGAGAAAGCTTACTCTATTCCTGAGGAGACGAAAAAAGTGTTTCGGAAAGGTATTCTAAGCAACCCGCTGATTGCTCCGACGTTGTCGAAAGAAATTGAAGAATGCGCGCAAAGAGTCGAATTCGTGGGCACGGACAAGCCGAGCATTCCTATTAATTGGCGTTTCGCGGAGAGTATTTCTGCTTTGAAAGGCCTGGAAGCGGCTATGATCAATGTCCTGCTAAAGAGAAAGTACGGCTTAGCGCCACAGAAAGCTGTCATCAACACGTGAGTAGACGACATTAGAGGAAACGACAAGAGCTCACCAAGCATAGCGACCATGCCCAACTCTTCATCATGTCCATTCTCCTCTACACGATCGACCCAGAAGGCGAAGCTATCAGCTTCGCTTCGGCAATGACTCCAAAGGGCAAAGCGGCGTATGCGAAGTGTTTCAAGAATTGTGACCTGCATGACACGAGCAGCAGCCCTTATCGGACTTCGGGCACGAACATCTACCGCTGCAAGGATGGAAGGTACTTCCATCTTCATGGGAGTATGAATCCGGAGCCGACACAACAGAGTGTTGGCTTACCTCCTTACATGGACGTCGCCTCGGTCGAATACTCGTGGAAACCATACGAGGAAAAAGTGGCGCAGATTGATTCGGAAGAGATGCAACGACTGGCCTCAGATGTGTATAAGCAGGCTGGCACGATATGCTGGACCACAGAAGAATACAAGAACAGTGAGCACGGGAAGGCGAATGCGCACGTCGGCCTATACGAAATCCATCCCGTAGAGAATGACAAACAACAGCCATGCTGGTGGCCCGAGATCCCTGAGACGTCCGCACAGCGACCGCTTGCGGGGTTAAAGGTAGTGGATTTGACCAGAGTAATCGCTGCGCCTGCTGTAACTCGCGGATTGGCAGAACTCGGAGCTAGCGTCATGCGAATCACTGCCTCGCATATCACCGATATGTCTGGCCTGCACTGCGACCTCAGCTGGGGCAAATGGAACGCTCATCTCGACTTCCGGAAAGAAGAAGATCGCGAGAAGCTCCGAGAACTCGTCCGCGATGCTGATGTCGTAGTGCAAGGCTACCGGCCGGGCGTACTAGACAAGTACGGGTTCTCGCTCGATGGACTCCTAGAGCTGACGAAGGACCGTGAGCGAGGCTTGATTGTGGTGCGAGAGAACTGCTACGGTTGGTACGGGCCTTGGTCGTACCGGAGCGGGTGGCAGCAGATTTCCGATGCGAACTGTGGCGTCTCGATGGAGTTCGGTCGCGCGATGGGGAATGACGAGCCTGTCACTCCAGTTTTTCCGAACTCGGACTTCTGCACCGGCACCGCCGGGGTAGTTGCTGTTCTCAATGCAATACTTCGGCGAGGCGCTGAAGGTGGCTCCTACAAAGTCGATGTAAGTCATCCTGGACTCGCTGCCAGCCCTTCATGCTGACCCTCCCAGATCGCCCTAAACTACTATTCACAATGGCTCGTCAACAGCGTCGGCGTGTATCCTCCCTCCGTGTGGGAAGATGTCTGGTCTCGCAACGGCAAGCAGGTCTTCCGGCACTACCACAATATGCACTACTCCCTAGGTCGGTATCTCCAAATGCTGAAGCAGAACTCCGGATCTGTTCTCTTCAACCCGGATTTCTTCGAGAGGAGGCATTCGGGTGCTATTGGAAAGGACATCGTGACAAGTAAGCCCATTATAAGGTTCCCCGAGGGCACGGTTAGGCTGGGGTATAATGTTGGGACGAGGGGGAATGGCACGGATCAGCCGAAGTGGCCAGAGAATTTGATGACGGAGGTCGTGGAGTAGACGGTAACATAGCGGCGAGGGAAGGAAAGCGACGTAGCCGCGATAAATGAAAGAAGAAGGCCAGAAGTGGTTCACTGCGTAAAGTCAAATGATGAAGTTGCGTTTGATGAGCACTGCATCATCATACGAGAGAGAGACAATGCAGGGGATGTGATCGTCTCCGCGAAACGCGGGGTACGCTTTCGCGTCTTCACGTGAGACCTATGCCTATTCCAGCAGGTCGCACACCCTCAACATCGAATATGAAGTACGAAGATGCCTAGCTTCCTAGCGCTCACCGATTATGACTCAGATCCGGGCTCAAGATGTCCTTGAAATCCTAAGGCAAACCCGCTTTGGCCCTACTTACCAAGCTTCACCAGATCTGGCTGTCTGACTCAAAAGTGCACCTTAGGAACTAGGGCGATTTTGGGTACATTAGATAAGATTTCGCCCCGCGTGTCTGGTTGCACTTCATCTGTCAGTGAGAGAAACAAACCCTCTGAAGATCTCAAGGCGGACCATGGACTCTACACTCGAGACCCCACGACTTCGCCTAATCCGCCTCACCGACACAAGCGACAACTCCCAGCATCTGCAATGGTTCCACCAACTCTGGAACGATGATGCAACCACAGCATGGAGGTGCGCTGCCACTCCCTTCTACCTCATTCCTTCCATCCTTACTCACGCACTCACAGTCTCCACGGCAAATGCCACACCATCCAGCAAAGCCAGCAATGGATGACCAAGCAGATGACGGAGATGGACAACATCCTCTACGCAGTTTTCGTGAAATCAGACACCTCTGAGGCAGATCCAAGCAATCCAGGAGAACTAGTCGGCAACGTAGGACTGCGGCTGCAGAAAGAAGGACCTTACCTACCTCCGTCACCACCGCCGCAAGATTCCACCTTCGCTGTTCTCAAGCCGGAGACAGCGGCGCCCGGCAGCACTCCTGGTGAGGCTCCAGCTAAATCGCTCAACCTCCGAGCCCTTGGTTACGCTTACTTTCAATCTGCGTGGGGAAAGGGGTACGGAACGGAAGCCGGGAGAGCGGTTATAGACGCGTATGCGGCATCCATCGCCGAAAAGCAAAAGGAGGGAGAGGAGACCTTTTACATCGAAGCGACTTGGGATAAAGACAACCCTGCGAGTAAGAAAGTCCTTACGAAGTTGGGGTTCTTCGAGGTGGGATGGTTGGTGGAGACAGAGCCGATTTTTTTAGCGGGAGCGTGGCGAGATCCAGGACAATGGATTTGGGGCCTGTATTTGTGATGGGGGAAGAGAGTCGAAAGCACAGGATTTGAGTGCAAATGCTCTTCCATACGGGGGTATGGAAGGGTGTTCATATTAAGAAATGTCCGTGCTAAATATGCGTATGCGCTCTTCAACAGAGCGGACTCAATGCTCCTCGCTTCGGAGCCCCTGGGTATCTCAGTCGATTACGCTCGATTCGAAATTACTCAAGAATCCTGCTCTCGCCGTTGCTCACCTCTTCAAACCTCACGTCCTCAAATTCGTCTTCACCATCTACGTCGGCCCTAGCTTCTTTTAGCGCATCTTCTATGGTCCAGATCTTGCGGCGTAAGAACCAAGCTACCAAGCCGCCCCCTTTCTTTACTTCGTCATGCGTGCCCACCCAGTACTTTGCGCGTAGTATCCGCTGTGCCAGGAGTCCATTCTTCGCGCCGAGATTCAGCTGCTGTGCAGAGGAAATTGAGACGTCGTGGAGCCCGTGAAGAAAGGCCAGAGTATGCAGCGGCGGGTCAGCTTCAGCGATGGGAGTAAGTGCTGTATATGGTATCCCATGCGGCGTATAGATGACACATTCTGCTGCCTCAATGCCCGTTGTCGAAGGCTCTTCGTCGCCGTATATCGATAGTGAGGAGCGTTTCTTCGGCGTTGTGGGGAGAAAGGGATGCGTTGCGAACGTTATGAGAAGCGCCGAGTGATAGTATAGGGAGTCATGCGCCGCCGTGAGGCGTGATATGCTAAGCCATGAGGGTAGAGGTAGGAGCGAATAGTCGTGCCAATCGGGGGCTTTCGAGGACAAGGTTGGGGTTGTGGTTACGGAGCGAAAGTGCTTAAAGCTAGATATTAGCTTCGCGGCTTGCTACGGAACCCATTAGCGACGGGTCTGCTACGTATGACCGCTGTGGCAGCTCGTTGGGAGCGAAGCGCTCACCCACCTCAGTCGCAAAGACCGGCACATCAGGGTGTATCTCCAACAGTGTCTCCTTGTGGCAATGATCGGTAAACTCATGCGATATGGCCACCGCATCAACAAACGTCTCAATATCCGCGCCAGCCTGCAGATTCGTTATCCTCCCTCTCCCCAGTCGTAAACCTCCAGCAAGGATCTCAATCTGCCGCGCCAGCTCCTCCACCTCGGCAATGCTTTGGAGCGCGCTCTCGGTGGCATGCCATTGCTGCGAAAACCAGCGCGCGACGTCTGATTGCGGTCCCTGGAGCCAGGGATCGATCAGGATGTTGTAGTAGATGCGGCTGCCGTGCTTGATCGCGGAGGCGGGGCGCGGGATCTGAAGAAGCCAGCTCGTGTCAGCGTTTAGGTGGTGGAGGATCGGGCGGCGCGTCGCGAGAGACCGGACGACCTGATCGCGAATTTCGAGGTGCAGTTGTGCGGAGGGCGCGTCGAACGCGTCCATGGCTACAATTTACGGAGGCATTGTTCGTTGTGAGTGATGAGGTCTAGCCGTGACGTGTGCTGGAGCTGTGGAAGCTGCAACCGTGCTAGCGCTGCTTGGGTGAATTGATGACGCACAGGGATCTCAAAAGCCACAACCGATGGCTCCACGTACTTTCTCCCTATTTATATGATCCGTCTAAACGTTGCAGTATAATAGCGCAGAGAACGCCTATCCCATACCATGCCCACTACATGCGAGTCGCTCCAGCATGGCGGTCGCAAAGCCCCGTGCTCCGTCTTCAATCCCCATCCCCCATTGGACAGTCCTCAGTAGCAAGACCAAGAGCTGGCTTTGTCGTCGAAGCTCACATCTGTAAGATTGACGGCTCCAGGACCCAAAATATTTGAATTGTTCTTCTCGATATCGACATGCTCGCCTTTGCAATCAGCCTCCCTATCCGCTGATTAGCAACCATTCTTGGTCCCTGAACGGCTCTCTGCAAAAAGGGCCAGTGAGGGTGTACTTACTCATAGAGTGTGCATCCGTTAGCAAGACCGACGTCCACGAAGGCCCACGAGATGTTCTTGTTCAGTCCCTCTTCTGTTATGTCATGACACACCCAGCGATTCGTAACCCAAGACATCCGGATGCCTTGCCCTCCAGGCTCGGTCGAGACATCGAAGACGACGCTGCTCCGAGCAGCAACCGCTAGGAAAATAACAGCCGTCGTGATGGTTGTCTTCATTATGGCGAGTCGGTTCTAGATATCGTACGTTGGGCAATGCGGGAGGTTGATGTCAAGTGCTGCTTTGGCGAACTCCCAGGATACAATATATACCCTTCGAAGTATCACTCCTCTTCCACAAGATGCGGCAGTCGACTGGAGTAGTGTTAATAGGTTACGTGCAGAGACTACCCTCAGGATGGCGAAGGATCTATTGTCAATGTCACGCTGAATGGAATCAAGGTCCGAGCAGCGCTGCCTAGGCCAATACATTATCAGGGAAGGGGAGACTACGGCAGTTTAACCGAGTAAGCCGGGCAGAGCCTTCGTATACCGCGTACAGGACTACGACTATTGGGAGGCCTTGTCCAAGGTGAGTCGGCCCTGGCGGAAGAGCGATCAGTGATACGTCCTCAGGTGCTCAGCCTCAGCGCTTTGGGGTCCAGTCGACCGTTACATTAGGTGGGCTCTGGGTTGGGGTTAGGGGCCGGACATATCATTTTGTGTCGCAACCTTGGAAAAGAATATTGGATCTGTATGACGCAGATCCTGTGGTTTAATATGCAAGGGCTAAATAAAGAATTCGAGCTCTATCACGCGGCGTCGAGTCGCTTTGGGTATCGTGGAGTCGTACAGTCAGCAAAACCATGGGTCAGATCGTCACAAGCCCCAAATCATAGAAATAATGTCCCGTTGAAGTCATTCAAGGAAGTGTTCTGGAAGCAGGATGGGGACTCAAGAGTTGACGAGGCCTTGCCAAGATTGCATGACGTTTTGGGGCTAGTGCATGCAGGGATCCAGTCAACCTGCTCAACCATGAATCTGTTACCACTTGGCTTCCACCGGTTTGCCTCGTCTTCGCTTGCAACATATTTGAATCACACCTTTTACACATATCAATACAATACCGGGCCCGCCTTTGTAATTGGTAAATCACTCGAACAAACACAACACAAGCCGCACCCAACGGCCAACTGCTCGTCGTTCGTGTCTCACGCCTCTCTTCTTCCCTTGCCACGACATTTCCTTCCTTGTCCATTCCCTATACTTCCCAGCAGTATTCATCACCTCGGCAGCTACTTGAGGCCCAAATATGTTCAAGAAACTCAAAGACAAGCTCAAAGGCGATGATCACTCTTCCGCCGGCGGCCCGATGGGCAACTACTCCCAGCAGGCACAATTTCACCCTAGCAACCCGTACTACGCTCCACAACAACCTCAAGAGCATACGATTAGCTCGGAGCAGAAATATCAGCCTCCTCCGGGGCCACCGCCGGGCCATGGCCCCTCGAACTCAGGCTACGAACCCCCTTCTGGACCACCATCCCATTTCCCACAACAACCGCCTCCAAGCTGGGATCCACCTCCATATCATGACTGGACAGTAATCCCAGATACATCACAGCTTCCTCCCCCACCATCGATAGGCTATGAAAGCTCGCCCACTGCGAATGCTACTGGGGAAGAGGGCGCCCGAGCACTGGCCTGGACTCAAGCGAATCCTCTGTGGCCACCACAAAATCTAACATCCGCCACCCACGCCGCAATCCAGAGCGCCCAGTTGGCCTTGCTTAAGGCGCCAACATACATTGGAGACCTCATGCCACAGCAACAGGCCGGACACTGGAAATGTCGCACACATGCAAAGTGTACAGACTCGGCTATCCTCACAAACCTCCCCATGTACTCCGTCCGCTGGGATTCGCCGCTGAATACCCACCGACCGAAGACTATCTACTTTGAGCTCAAGGTCCTCGGCATCGGGCGAGGCGGCTTCTCGCGCTCCGGGGTAGATTCTGGGATCGCAATCGGCTTTGTTGCGCCGCCATACCCCACATTTCGACTTCCCGGCCATGAGCGAGGCAGCTTAGCCGTGCACAGTGACGATGGCCGGCGATACGTAAACAATTGCCGCGGCGGCAATGACTGCACTACTCCATTCCAGCCGGGCGAGACAGTGGGCATCGGCATGACCTTCGCACCTCCGAAGAATCCTCCATCATACGACCAATCACAAGGAGGAACGATTCTCGATATCGATGTCTTCTTCACACGCAATGGGAAGAGGGTCCAAGGTTGGGACGGGAATGAAGAGCTGGACGTGGAAAGCGAAGGAGGAGCAATGGGTATTCGCGGAGAGTGTGACCTGTTCCCAGCAATTGGTGTTTTCGGTGGCGTGGACTTTGAGGTCTTCTTCCACCCTGCACAGTGGCTTTACCATCCATTCTAGATGCCTCTTCTGGGAGGCTCGCATCAGTCTTCTGCACAAACATGTGGTACCCCCGAGGCGAAGATTGTTGCTGTTGTTTCAACTACCTGTGGATCACGGATTTACGAAGCAATATAAAATAAGATACTCTCTGTCACTAGACTTAGACGTGTTTGGCAGTCTATGCCTGCGAACGAGGTGTACGACTGTACGACTGCAAGCGCCAGTAATGGCGCATATTAGTTGATGAAGTGCTACTAGCTTTAGTCCTCGATTGACTCCAAATTAGCTTTTCTGAATCGCCCTTGACCCCGGTGTGAATGCTCGCTGACTAAGCTAGCAAACAACCTAGTCAACGACGATTGGCCGAGCTATGACTTGCTGCGACCACTTCACAAACCTCCCCAACTTTACCTCAACAACACAACTTACAACATGGCCGACCAACCTTCTCCTAACATTTGCTGCGTTTCTCTGGGCATGGTCATTATCGACAACATTCACATGCCCAACAAACCCGCTCTATACGACGTGCTTGGCGGCTCCGCGACATTTGTGACACTGGGTCAACGCCTTTTCGCTTCCGAGCTTTCTGAAGTGGGGTGTCTGCTCGTTGCTGGTGAAGATTTTCCCCAAACAGTCAAAGAGGAGATTCAAAATTGGGGCACGACGCTGGTACTGAAAGAGCGGACCAATGCGCGCTCTACGAGGGGAAAGTTGGAGTATGAAGACGATACGTTCGGGCGTAAGTATTCATAGTGGTAGGAGGGCATTATTGACCTATGAGCAGCAAAGAAGTTTGAGTACACCGCAGGGCCGCTCAAAGCTTCCCCATCAGATCTCGTCAAGACGCCGTTACTTCACGCTAAGGCTCTCCATCTATTCGGTACACCCCAGGAGATACTAAGCCAAGTGCCTGAGCTACTTCAGCTTCGGGAGAAAGGAGGTATCACCGAACGTCCGCTCATTGTTTGGGAGCCGCTCCCAGCAGCTTGCACTACGCCAAATGCTCAGTCATTTCTTGAAGCCGTTAAGCTCGTCGACGTCTTCTCACCTAATCACATCGAGATTGAGGGCATATTTACTGAACGGGCGTACGAAAAGATCGACACGAATAGGTTGGAGTCATACGGTCAAGCCTTATTGGACTCATCTATAGGACCCAACGGCGATGGAGCCGTCATCATTCGAGCAGGCGAAGACGGCGCCTTATCGATGAGCAGAACATCAAGACCGACTTGGTTCCCAGCCTACTACGAAAAAGACTCTCCGGAAGTGGTGGACCCTACCGGAGCGGGAAATGCCTTCCTTGGGGGCTATATCGCGGGCTGGCAGCAGACGTGCGATATTCACAAAGCGATGTGGTATGGCCATGTCGCAGCAAGCTTTGCTTTAGAACAGATCGGACTGCCAAGGCATGACAGTAAGAATGGAGAAGCACTGTGGAATGGTGTTACTGTTGCGGACAGGTTGGAAGAGTACAGGAAACGAGTGAGGGATACGAAGGTCCTGTCGGACGCCGTGGTCTAGTCTAGAAGTGGAGCTGGGTTCCGGTGCCCAGAGAATACCGCATGTAACATACCAGTTTGCTCGCGGATACTTGCAGATGCCTCCATCCGAAGGGACAACTGACTGAGATCCGAGGGCTGGAACAATTCAAGAGCCAAAATGCATCACAGAACCTTGACCCATGTACTCCTTTAGATCGACTTATTTGAGTGACTTCTGTTGCTTTCCGATCGGATCCGGGAGAGCGCAGCATGAATCCACAAGACATTACTTCAGCGGCGAGGTGATGCAATCGTGCAATTCAAGTGTTTGTGCTGTCAGACGAAATCTGCGGTGTTTCACCAGGCGTCCGCAGAATTATTGGCCAGATCCCAGCGTACAACCACGGCACAGAAGACAAAACGAGGCCTTGAATGCAATGTAGGATTTGCACCCCTGCAAGAGAGAACTCAAAGCCTTACGCCTAAGGAGGCCTGGTTTAGGCAGCAAGCCTCACGTGAGTCGACCGTGCCGCACTAGCGCCCCGCCTTCCACCTCCAACGCTTCTTTCTTCTTGAACCTCACATCATTGACGTGCGCTATCAAACGCCAGACAGCCGAACCTCATTTCTCCAAAGAAGTGCTTGGATACGATCCGTGATACCGAAACTTACGCTCGGCGCAGCGCGAAAGTATCGACTGGTTGGCGACATGTTCAATCTACCTGGTAGGACGCAAACGAAGGCTCATCCCATGAACCAGTATCCGGTGAGTATGCCTCAGTTGCTTGAATATACTTGTCTTACGGATACTAGCGAGTTAAATTTAACCATCATTGCCGTGAAAGCGATGGCGTCAACTTCTGCGACTGCCAGTTGAACGTCCGAGGTATCAACTCCTGCATGCACTATGGACGCTACGTGGAACCTCTCGCTTTCTCGCTAGATGTCCATTCCGTAGTTAAGCAGGATAAGTGTCCGCTTTTCTCCACCATTCCCAAGGAGATACGAGACATGATTTACGAATTCGCACTCACGGACTGCACGTCGAATCCGGCAAACAGCGACAATAAGACTCGTCGAGGATACGGAAGAGACAGAAACAACCGGACTCCCTCCTCAGATATCGCTTTTAGTCTCCTTCGCACCTGCGCTGCCGTCTACCTCGAGGCGTATCGACTTCCGCTGCTGCTCAACCCCCTGATATCCTCCGATATTCACGATGGTACTCGTCCCAAACTGGGCAGCCTGGCACCGTGGCAATTTGCGCTCATCCAGAGTCTCGAAGTCGAACTCCAGCAAGCTGGTTTGGAACGCGGCGCGCTCCGCGAAATTTTAGAAGAGTGGCAGGCGAATGAGAGACATGCGGGCGCTTATGTCGCGCCGCGCTTCTATCAACAGTACAAGGGTACACTCTGCCCCACTAAGTATTTCGAGATCGTCAAAGCTTCTGAGCTCGTCGATGGCAAGTGCCGGGATGGCGATCAAGTCACGCTTCCAGACAAGTCGAGCCTCTGTTTCTATGACCAATCTTTCTTACGGGTCGGGCTTCCTGCCCGCGCCATGGTAGCCCGGCCGCTCACGCGTCTGACCCTCCGACTCTCGCGCACGGATTGGTGGACCTGGACAGATGATCCGAACTGCACGGATGGCGCAAGACAGCTCGGCCTCGATCCAGCATGTGGGACCGGCTGGGCCGACGCCGCCTCGCGTCCGACGGCAACCCAAATGCTCGAGCTTGCAGCACAGCGACGGGAAGGTAATTCTATTATGCGGTATACGAGCACGTGGGGCGCAGAAATCGCGCAGCTCCCGGACCTCAAACAACTCGAACTTGTTCTCGAAACGTTCGGCGATAAGAAGCATCAGCTGGAGACCGTGGTTGACTGTGCGAAGACTTGGAGGTTTCCTCTGGATGATACAAACTGCGAGCTGGTTTGGGATGGGCTGGTGGAGACGCAGAATTGGAGCGGTGGACGCACGGAATTCTTCAGCCGGGATGAAGCGCACAACTACGATGATTCGGAGGACGAATGGGAGGACGAGGAAGAAGAGCAGGGTGATGAAGAAATGAGTGATGGCGAGCAGATCAATGACGAAGATGAGGAGGCCGCTGTGAGCGGTGGGAGTGAAGAGGTTGAAGAAGATGGAGAAGGAGATGGCGAAGGAGATGGCGATGACGGCGACTCTGGAATGGAAAATGATGAGGAGAATGAAGAGGACGGCGAGGAGACAGAAGGGGGCATCGAGGATTGGGTGAAGCGGAACAAAATTTTTGAGGTCCGAATCATCCGCTTCAAGCGAACAAGGGTGTAGTTGGGGGAAATGACACGCTGGGAGATGTGGCGCACGTGCGCTTAGAGACTTGCTATATGTCTCTTGCTATGGCCCGACGCCTCTTCGATCTGTCGAAACACGTCAACTAGTCAGGAGAAAAACTTGGTTCTAAATTCCAAGAGCATGTCATGTTTCAGCCCTGATTAAACAATGGCTCATACAAGAATCCAACCCCCTAATCATGCCTCGTGATATACACTTCACCTACAAGGACACTGCACCCGACCACCATTGCCACAGCAATAATAGGGAGGTTCACTCTCGCGAAATCCATCCTACGAATCCGGATATGCTTTCGAGCGAGACTCTCCCGCCACTGAAGACCTGAAACGGAGGCGCTGAACACGGTACTGAAAGCTCCATAGTTGACTCCTATGGCCATGGCATATACAGCACCCCAGAATGTCCGGTTGCCAATAGGAGTCCCATTTCGAATATGCATCTCCTCCCATTCTTTCATAATTCTTGAGAGGAGGAGGGTCGATCCGAAGTTCGTACCTGCAAACTGTGACAAGTCAGCTAAGCAAGCTTCACGATAGTTGGCCAGATAGGGATGATAGGGAGCTAACTCACATTACTAAGCACCACAGAGAGAAATGCCATGCCCCCAATAGCGCCCATAGTCCCTGTCTTGGTGACCCAATGGTCCCAGCCGTGGGTGAAAACGGCCACCCAGCCGTTGGTGTCCAACGCTTGGATGAGAATGAAAATGCAGAAGATGAATGGGACGAACTTGAATGGTAAATGGCGGGCCGCTGCTACAAGGGTAGGGAAGGTCTCTTGGAGCCAGATGTACACCTCAGTGGCTAGTGACGCTAGGGTCGTCGGGCCACGCCTTTCCTGGAGGGCGATGTTGCGTGCAAGTCGATCGGCGAAATCCGATTTCTCTTCATCCATGACTCCGGAGGTGGAATTCATTTCTCTGTTTCCATCCGGACTGATGTTCTGCTCCTGGTCAGGCCCCGCTTCGACCTTCAACGTCCAGAGTCCATCCGGAGACGTTAGTGTAAGCGCTTCTTGAGTGCCGGAAAATGGCATGTGAACCATGGAAACCGGACGCTCCACAGGACGCTGGCCAGTGCCTGAAATCGCGGTACGACGATGGGCATTGTCACTGTTGGACCCGTCGGTGTTGCTCCTCTGGGGCTGGGCTTGTGGTGACTTCATCTGTGGCCAGGTTGATTGGCGTGGAGTTATCGCATTCGGGACCTGGTCTGGACCCGCCCTATTCTGTTTCGTGGCCTCAACCATTTCGGCCCTCTCCTCTTCTTTCGGCTTTGGCTCTAGAGATGCTCGTTTCGCTTCCTTGGCATGTTTCGCTGCTGCCTCCCTCTCTAGTTCTTCTTTGACGACTCGCTCTGCTCGAGCAGTCTGCGCTTGCTGGCGGCCCTGGCGAGCGATCTGACGCGTCTCATGCCGATGGTACCATCCAAAAAAGGAATCCCAGCCGATCATGACAAAGGCGGCTGGTAGCGTCACCCAGAACACGGGGGGGTCGTTACCACTCGCGCTAGTAGCGCTGAGCACGAACAGCACGATGACAGTTGCGGCCAGGATAACAAGACCGATGGTTGCCCCTCCTTTATCCAAGAAAGGGTTCAGGATATCTTCGACCGCAAGTTGCATACTCTCCTCCTCATTCTCCCCCTCAGTATGGCCTTTCGCATGCGGAATCGCGGTGTTGATGGGCTTCCTAGCTTTCCTCGCGTCAGGTAGGTCGTAGAGCTTGATCGAGATCGGAATCAGAGCCTGCTCTGCGAAGACCACGTATATTAGGATGGGGAACAGCAAGATGAAGGTCGTGAGAACAGGAACCACCATATTTGCCGAGTATACCCAAAACTTGATGTTGAAGGTGCTGGCCACCATGAGGTTGCAGGGGTTTGAGGAAACCAGGATCGCTGAAGCCACGTTTACGATGGAGAACTGCATATATATCCACGCCATTGGGTGAAGGATATTGGCCGACATACGGGTGATATAAGCAATGATGCCCATACCAAATTCAATGATGGGATCATTGCCGACGAAGCCGCCAAGTGCGAAGGAGGCCGAGTAAATCAAGAGATATAATCTGTGTGCAGTGCGAGCATTCCTCTGCAATACCTTGAAGCTGAGATACCGAATGAGGCCGGATGCTTCGATTGAGTTGGAAACGTAGGCCACCGTGAGCAGGAAGAGCGCGAAGTCGCCGGGCGAAATATTACTCAAGCCAATCGTGCCGTCGTGTATCTCCTTTCTTCCGATAGCGGAGATCGCAAGGAGAAACAAGTTTGCGAGTAAAGGTGCGGTGACGAGGTCCATCGGAAAGTACATTCGTACGAACTTCGGCATTTGGGCTTGCTTGCGTTGCCGCGACCGTACTGGTATAATTCGTACATAGCTAAAAACATCTAGGACGAGCTCTGTAAGGTTTCGTGGGACGTAGATTGGTATCCGAAAAGGGAAGATAACGACAAGGTCTGTCTCGCAACACCGTCAGTGAGACATGCCGATCGCATCGTCGTGGGACTTACTAGCCACAACAAACACCACGAGGGTGAGAATAGACAGCCAATTCAGGTCGACGCTAAGGTCGCTAGTCGCCGTCATAGTTTGTTGAAGAGGTCCACGGAGAGACTCGTTCCATGGCTATAAGGATATAGATGGGGGGCGAACGCGTGGCTGTGCAAGGCTGGGAAGGCAACCACTACTGCAGTAATCGACAGTATGCATCCACCCATGACAGCATCTCCTAGCGATCTGCATAGAGAGTAATACGGCGTCCAAGTCAGGCTGTTTCCGGTCATGGCGACAACTGCTCTTCGAGAGCTTCCCTAAACACTTCCAGATCGCTACTGAACGATCTAGGTACTCCATCATGCGTTTCGAAGCACGGTCAAGGCGGCGACAGAAACGGGTGGCATGGCAGTGGTAGTTTTCCCGAGTCATGTGTAAGAAAGACGGTGAAGGCTGACCCCAAGACTGAAGTTCTTTAAGCCACGATTCATGAGTGTGGCTTAGGTAATCATCCAACGAGTCGGTTTGGGCACCTTCTCTTCTAGCAGCTAGTTATCCATCCCTCAACAACAAAGTTACACCTAACAACAGCAGGTCTAATAAGAATGTTGAAGTCGCGGAAGTTGTGAGCGCCATGCAGGAGAAGGCGAGCGAATATGAGATTGAAGGCAACATCGCGGTAATTATGCAGTAAGACAGCTTCTAGACTGGAGCCCAGTAGTAGTCAGGTAAACCTCAATGATGCCTTCAAAATCCGGCTCCCTGGCGAGCTCCCCATTGCCGATGGCACTGAATCCTAGCAGCCTCCCCGTACTATTCTCCGTGGACACGGTGCGTAAACGTTGAAAGTGTATTCTGAATTACTCCCTCCCTTCACGAATGAGTTCATCACACACCCAGCACAGCACCAGCAGCAACTCCCATCCCAACACCAACCAGCCACCCCGGCACCCCCGTCCTAACCACCGCCCCAGTACTCGCCGTACTACTCGCTTGCGCCAGCCCACTTCCACTTACACCCGTACCGGTCGTCGGCGCCGGCGTCACCATCGCACTCCCACTCCTACTCCCACTCCCACTTACAGCACCACTAGTCGCACTCCCACTCGCAGCCACCGTCCCATCAACAACCCGAAGCGTCGCACTCTGCACATTCCACAAGTCCCAATTCCCGCTCCCCGTCCAACCCGGGACCGTGAAATGGTACTCATAGCCCAGGGTAGAGTGCGCAATAGTCCCCGCGTTCGTCATTTCGCAGCTGGCAGCCGTGGCAGGGGAGCCGGTGAAGGTGCAGGCAGTGTGGGTGGAGAGGACGGGCTCGTCGGTGTACTTCATGTCGAAGGTATTGGGGCCGATGGCGACTGTGTAGGTGAATTCGGGCAGGTTGGCCCAGCCGGCGCAGGGGTCGGTGGCGCAGCCTACGGAGTAGGTTGTTAGGCCGTTTTGCTGTGGGTGCTTTGGGTTAGTGAACTGGTCGAGGGCTTTTGCTATGAAGAAAGCTACGATCAACGCCCGAACAAATCCCTCTCTTCCAAACAATCGAGCCAAAAGGCTCGAATCTAAAGAAAAAAAAGTGAATCATACCACGTCCATAACCCGGCCATGAAAGTCCTTCCACTCATCATTATCCACGCCCGCGTCGCCTAAGCCGACGTAGGGAAACACCTATTAACCCCAGATCAGCACCTCCGTCTCTGCCTCCCATCACAAGCTTCCCACATACCAGATCCCGATCCGCGACTCCAAGTCCCGCAAACAGCATCATCGGCACCAGCATCCGCCATTGCAAAACCCTCCCCATTTCGTTCTGATGTCGTTCAAATCTTGCTTGCCGGCGGGGAAATTCGAGGCTTACGAAGCTTGAGAGGCGTTCGCGATGGAATAGTAGCGAAGATGTGAAAGCACATCGCGAACTTCATGCGCAGTAAGGATTATATGGAAAGCCAGAACAGTCATAAAACTCCGGTCCAGGAGCCACACCACCTCCCTCATCAGACCCAGTCATCGTATTTTTAGCCTCTATTTATTCCCATGAGCGGTAGGGCTGCATCGCTGGGCCAGAGCCGCATCTAGATCCAACGGCTAAAATCCTTCGCCTCATCACGGGATACGCTAACTTCACACCTACGGCAGTGATGAAGCTCGGCAGTCTTCCTATTCGGTGTTAGCGTGCTGCATATTCGCCTCGTCGAAGTACGTGGTATGGGATATGATAGGAACAAAAGATCTATATGTGCTCGTCCCTGGGTATCATTGCGTGACTCCATGCAACCAAACTGAGCTGACCCGTCCACTCTTCTCGATCTAGGCTTAGCAATATCATGTCCTCCCAGCTCCTCCCGAGCTCGAGCTCTCACCGACAGTATCCCGTCCTTCCCGCATTCTGCGTTGATGCTCCGCTTCTGCAAGAGACTGCTTCTTGACGTACTCCAGTACGATATCCTCCTCCGTCTTCTGCCTCTCCAACTCTTGCATCCTCTCCTGCTCCGCCTTCTCGCTCTCCTCGATAGCCTTTCTAAGGGCCTCTTCTTCTGCAAGCGGGTCAACTGAACCGTTCGCCATTGCTTTCTCGCTTTCCTCGATTGCTTTCTTCATGGCTTCTTCTTCGGCGTTCGCGTCGATATCGCCGTCTTCTCGCGGGCGCGCACCGCCTGTGGCCTGGTAGTAGTCGACTGGGAAGCCTTGCTCCATGTGTGCCATCTCTTTTGACTCGGCAATGATGCGCTGATAGTCTTCATCGTCTTCCGTATCGCTTTCATCCCACTCGGAATCGGAGTTGCGTTTTCGTTGAATGCGGTGAGAAGTCTCTAGGAGGGACTGGCGGAGCGTCTCTTCGAGAACCTTTTGTTCTTCTTCGGACACGCCACTACGCTGCGCTTCTTCGAGGCTAGCAGTCATTGCTCGGTGCAGCGCCTGTTCCTCATCCTCCACTCCCTGAGGCTCCCTCTCCAGTTCAGCCATGGAAGCGCGGATCGCCCGCGTTACAAGCTCATCTTCCTCCGGGTTGCCGCGCGAGGTTTCTGCTACCGAAGCTGCGATTGCGGCTTCGAGTTCGCGGCGCTCAGCTTCTTCTTCAGCAGCGGCTTGTGCTTGTGCTTCTTCAGGGGCTGGAGGATGTGAAGATAAAGCTTGGGGGAACGTGCTCGCAGGCTGGAAAGGAGTTGGCCGCTCTGGAGCCGCTCCGGCAGCTGTGTCCGCACCGGTCATATCCCGTGCGTCGGCATGGTCTACGACCTCGGGAAGACTTGAGGAGCTGATATTGTCCAAAGAGGCGGGAAACGAAGGAGTCGCCGAAGGTCGCTTGAAGTGCGAGTTGACCTTGGCCCAGCGTTCGCTTTTCTTCTTCCTCCTCTCCTGCATAAGGGTGTGCAATGCTTCGATCTTCTCCTCTCCTGGGTTCTTCTTCTTCTTGACGTTGAGGCGGATGCACTTCCACCTGCTGATGATGTCCGCTCGTTCCTGCGCCGAAACGGTTGAGGCTTCGTCGTAACCCTGCGAGATGCGTGCGGCAATGATGTAGTTTTGCACAGTGGCGCCCTTATCTTTAAGCATTTCCTGATACAGGCCCTTCATCGCGTACGCAGGGACTGAGAATGCTCCTCCCATGACGCGGAACGGCACGCTGAATATGCCTCGACCGACACCTTTGACGAAACCCACCCCACCCTCTTTCTTGGCGCCCTTATAGGGGTCCGTGACGATACCGGCTATGCCGTCGTAGAGGCCAAAACCAAATTCCTAAAAGACACTGTTAGACGAGGTTTCCGGATCATGATGCGCATCGTCTTACCTTAGCAGCCGTTTTCAATCCACTCTGGAGGTCAGTGACTTTGTCGACCTGTCTCGTCTCCGCTCCGTAGAGCTTTGGGACGTTATGGAAGCCTTTGGCGACATTTAGCGAAAAGTCCATGGGCGATTTAAATCCGGCTCCAATGATTCTGCCAATGCCTTTGCTGGTACCGACGATAGATTCAGGGTTCATATCAGTTAGCTTTTCCGAGAATGTTGATGTTGAGCCCGTGTTCGAGCGGAGCTCGGCAGCTGAGATAGAATTTGCACGTCCATGTTGAGGCCTGCCGGCACTGAGATGCTCAGAAGGGCAGTGGGGGCGGTTGCGGCGGTCTCTCGATGGAGATCGCGAAACCTCGCTGGAAGCTGCCATGGCTTGGGCCATGAAGGTTGATCTCCGTGTTGGAGTCTCTGGACTGCTAGGAGTAGCCACAGACGGAAGATCTGAGGTACTTCGATTGCGATCTTCAGGACTGTTGGGTGTCTGGACGCCGGGGAGGGTCGTTGCGCTGCTAGCGGCAGATGCTTGTGTATGTGTTGTTGTCCTGGAATCCGTTGTACGGCCTGTGCGGGAGGTATCCGAGACGGAGCCACTCTCGGATTGCTTGGCCTTGTCCTTCCCTTTCCTGGTATCCGGGTGGATGTTGAGCAGTTTGAGGGTCTCAATGGGGAAATCGGCAACCCCCATCATCATTTGTGTTGCTGTGCCAACTAGAGCCGATGCTGCGCCGGAGAGGGGATCCCAGGGGCCTTCATCTGTTTCATATTCGCGTGGGCGGAATCTGTTGTACTTAGTGCAAGATCGAGACACGGAGAAAGCGTAACGTACATTTTGAGCTCGGAAAAGTTGAGCTCGCCTTCTTGGGCAAGGACTGTGGCAGCCATGGCACTCAGTCTGACCTGCGTCCTCTTCACTCTCCAAACAGCAGGATGGTTAGGTGCGGCGACGCATCGGAGATCGTCGTACTTGAGCATCTGATGAAAAGACTGAGCGCCATTCTGACTGCCTTGCTCGTGGCTGATCTTGTCGGCTAGCTCCTTCGCCCTCTCAAGGGATTCTGGCTTCAGGGCTTCTTTGATGGCATCAGCCAGTTTTTCTGCCGTCAAGTCCTTGTATGGGATTGGGTCGGGACCAGCTCCCGCACGTGCGGTCATTGCTCCCCAGAATGGTTGGTCGCCGAAGAATGGTACGACGACAGTGGGTCTGCCCGCGGCAATACCAGCCGCAGTCGTCCCTGCACCACCGTGATGCACGACAGCGGCAACGTGCTTGAAAAGCCAATCGTGAGGACAATTGCCAAGCATGAAAACGCCTTCAGGCATCCCAAGCTCATCCGCTCCAAGACCGCCCCAGCCTTTTGAGACCAGCGCTCGCCGCCCAGTCATCTTCACTGCCTCGAAGATCATTTTCGTCATCGCATTAGGATCATCCACGACGATAGAGCCAAAGCCAATATAGACCGGCGGTTCCCCAGCTGCCAGAAACTCGGCAAGATCCGGGGCTGGAGTATAGTTTTGCGCAAGCGAGAGGAAGAAGAAACCGGAGATGGAGATGCTGTTGGCCCAATCCTTAGGCTTAGGGATTAAGGATGGTGACCTGTAGTACAAATATCAGCAAAATCCGAGATGGTAAGGACGAACCTACCAGCAGTACGTCCACGGAATTTTCAGCCTCGCTAGCATACCGGGCCCCCAGAGCATGCTGACTGGATCCAAGCCAAGGCTGTCTTTACGGAATTTGTTGATAACATCACCCAGCCCCTGCCATGTCAACATATCCACAAGGGTGTATGACATGTAGTTGGTGATGCTCGGATCTGCGTTTGAAGATTGAATGTTGGTCAATGGGTGGGGAAATTGCTGCGTCGGTGACCACGGCATCCTAGACGGAATAAGCTCAGCTGCAAAGGAGTGATGTGGGAGACTCACGTGAACATCATGTGGAGAGGGATACCAAGTTTCTCAGCACAGTGTATATGGCCGAAGCTCGGAGGATTTGCGATAATGACGTCTGCAACGAAGGGCTTCTTCAGCTGCTCCGGGAGTTGTTCCTCGACCCCCATCCACTCCTCTACGGATTGCTTCAAGGGGTCAATGCCCAGGCCATCACCGGTCTCAATGCACGCTCTCCAGGTGCCGCGTAGAATCTCTGCAATTCCTTTACGCCTCTTGCCTACGTCGCCGCTGCGTAGAGTGTCGAAACCAGGCATCAGTCCGGGATTCTTGACCATGTATGCCATGAGCTCGGCCGGGTCACCGCCAATGCTGAAGAACTCCAATCCATTCTCTGTGACGAAGTCCTTGAATACAGGGTGCGTTGCCAATCGGATTCGGTGACGGTACGTCTCCTTCAGCACCTTGCCCAGCGCGACAAACGGCTGGACATCACCTCTGGATCCCACGACGTGTATGACGACATTTAGCGATGGAGGCGGTTCTTGGCCGGGAGCACCGCCGAGAAACTCTGGAACGTATGGAGGCGGTGGGGCGGGCTCTCGTTGGACCTGGGTGAGCTGCCGCTGCAGCTGGGGGACGAAGAGTTGTGAGAGCGTTCGATTCTTCTGGTTGATGCGGATGTTGACACGGCCGTCGTCCGCAACCACGGCATTTGTACCCAAGTGATTACTCTCGTCGGATATCTGGCCGGGAAGCTCTGTATACGCAGGAGGGGGATGCTCTGTGGGGGCCGAATCGTCAATTTGACCGGAATTGAAGCCATAGTGCTCATGGGTGCTCGTTCTTTGAAGTTTCTTAGTCCATGAATGCGCGTGTTTGACAGATATACGCACACTGGCGAAGGATTATCTTGAGCGTCTTGCGGGCGGTAGGCGCTCGCGTAGGCAGACCCCTCAGGCTTCGTCCTCGGCGCCTCCTGCGAGTCATTGCTCCTCTGCTCTCCATCCAGCTGCGGCGAGCTTTCTGGAATGTCTCCGGGAAGCTCTACTGCTGCCCCCTCTGAATAAGGAGGAGGCTGTTGTGGGGGCGGGGCGTCCTCGCGACGCGCCTGTGGGCCGTCGGAGGGGTTCTGGTGGTTGGTCATGGTTTCGTTACGGTTGCGCACTGGGTATCATGAAGGACAGAGAAAGAGAAGAAGGCGTGCTGAGAGTGTCGAGGAGAGATTCAGGATTTAGGGTCCGAATTTAGGACGGTCAAGGCGATTGGGATCCTGGGCGCGGCACGGTGGTGCATTGACGTAGGCGCAGCTGCGGGCTGTCCCGGCTCTGATTGGCTGCCTCTTCTGCGAGGGTCGTGGCTGAAGACCCGTGGTGGGACTGCGTCATCCATGCCGCTAGGGTACTGGCAGGTTCGCGACGCTGTCATGGGGCTCAATCATTACCACCTCTTTCGCGACCGAAACGCGCAACAGGCGAATTGCGCGCCGTCGGCCGAACGAAGCGCGTCTTGGAGCCTTTGTTCGTGCCTCGAAAACTTCGAAGCCTACGTAACATGCTCAGAGTTGGCGATAACTCAAGGCTGTGAACGACCCAGATGCACCTTAGTTCTGCGTATTGCCGCGTGTCACTCGTATATCGTGTTGGGGCTCGAGATGTGCTACGAGTCCGGCAACAAGACGGCCCGATAGAGAACCACAAAAGAGCAGAGGGACTAGGTTCAATAGAAAACCTCTTTATTGTTGAAGGCAGCCTTGCTATTCATCGGGTTCTTGGCTGCTTGACCTGCAGATATTCGCGGGAAATCCCGCACACAGCTGTATGGGGATCGAGCTGCCATACACCAACCAAAGCCACTGTTCCGAACCCGCGTCATAAGGCCCCTTCCTCTTCACGCCTGGGAATCTCTTGCGTATGGAAAAAAGCCAAACACACATAATAGCCGCGCCCATGAGTCGGTCATTGCGAAAAGCCAGTCCGATCCGATCTGAGAGTAGCTGGGCGGGAGGCTGGGAGAAGAGATGGCTGCCGTCTGTGGAAGCTTTCGAGGTCTGCGCTCAGGCGAAATATGCTCACCTGTCGTTCATATGAGTACTCTATATTCCAGAGCACGGCGAAGGGGGATACGAACCACAAGTGGGGCCACACCGTCGGGCCTTCCCAGGACTGAGCGCCCTTCTCATTGCTGCTGTCATCGTCCCGCGCACCACTGTTGTCCCACGGCCTCTCGTGAGGCGACGGAATCCTATTTGCCGCGGGGTCCTTTCCGAGGGAGTGCTTAACGAGCCATATGAGTTGGCTGCGCCGGTGCGCCTTGTCGGACGGGGGTTTGGCCTTGACGGTCTTGTATGCCTCTGGAAGGACTGACTGGGCTTGCTCGAGAAGCTGGCTGACTCGAGCTTTGCAACTGAGAGACGGACCGGTGCTGAAGAACCGCAGTGCTGTCGACGGGAGAGGTTTGAAGCCAAGGCGCGTGGTTGCAAGGGCGTGCCGAAGCATCTTAAGAGACGGCACAGTTTTGTGTTCGAGATTATTGATGATAATGTTAAGAAGTCGTTGCTAGGAGAGTGTTTGGACTGCTCTTGGAGGTCGGCGTGAAAGCGGTCTGTCAACGCAGAGCGGTGAGAGAAGAAAGTTCTAGGTTATTCGACGGGGACGACTAGCGAAATGAGAGAGAAAGGAAGCAGTCTCCAGGGCAATTCGGTTCCTGTCGGTACGCCTCGAACGTTTGCAATTGGAAGGCGCTATCCGTTCCATGGGGTGCCGGGAGCTGTTTGGCTGGTAGGAGCATCGGGAAAGTTCGATGAAATTACGTAGGTACCTCGCCGCAGATATTCCCATCTACCTAGTTAGCCTATTCCATGTCTATATGGGCGCCATTTCCCAAGCAAGTCCTCTGCTTATCATGAGGCCCGGACACGGTATCCGAAGCCAGCCCCGGGAACGTTCAGTGTGCAAGACATTCCGTGCGCCTACTCTCTGGCTATTATCACTCCACTTGGATGCATACATACGGATGAAGTCTCCCATCCAATCGAAAACGAGGAATTGTCATTGGCGTTGCCCAGGTGAGGAGGAAGACGCGCTAAGGTTGAGGCTCTGCACCTTACCTAATTGGACAGCTGTGATCCTTGCAGCGATCCGAGGCTTGGAGCTCCGACCCAGCCACGTCCATCAACCCACTCAGCAACACTCACAATGCGCTGAAGCCTCTCTCGCTCGATCTTCGTTATATGAATTTAGACATGCCCTGACGAGGAAGCGTTCGTTCGCCCGCTCATTCTGTGCGACCTGATATAGCACATGTACTTCCTTCTTTGATTCACCAAGATCCAGGTCGTTTTATTGGATATCTCCATACCGCAGCACGATGTTCTTGAGCTACAGTATCCGTGGAAGCTTGTTGCTAGCATTAGCAGCGGCATGGAACACTGATGGTAAATTCATCACCTCTCTCGCGCCTTCGTTGCTAATACTGTTCAGTCCACAACCAGATCGGCTTCATGGCCGAGACATTCCTTGATCCCTATACTACCTCCGTCCTCGAACACATCCTAGAACCGCAGTACAACAGGTCTATAGGTAGAGCGGCCGCCTGGGCCGATGGCTACGCACACACAGACGAGGGCCGCTTCTCATACCAGTGGCACTGGATAGACTCGCATGATTTTCCACCATATCGTTGCGACCTCAACTATACTAGGGATTGTGCGAAAGGAGGTTGCGTCGTCTCTGCCATTGCCAACCAGACGCAGATACTGAAGGGCTGTATTGACCATGTGAAGAGCGGCAGCTTGACAGGAGGCGCGAACTTGACGTGCTCATACGCGTTAAAATGGATTTCTCACTTTTTGGGAGACATTGCCCAGCCTTTACACGCGTCTGGACGGGCTGCGGGAGGGAACTTCTTCAAGGTGACGTTTGGGAATGTATCGACCGAGCTCCACGCTGTGAGTTACATCCGCTCTCTTTGCCGAACTCTCGAAGCTGACGCACATAGGTCTGGGACGGTTACATACCGTATGCCGCAGCTAACGTCACCGAGCCCTTCTCGAACCACTCCATAGCCCCATTCTTCGCCGGCCTCGTCTCCCGCATACGGAAAGATCAGTTCTACGAGGCTCCATACATGTGGCTGGAGTGTAGCAATCCGGATACCCCGATTGAATGTGCGACGCGCTGGGCTCGCGAGAGCAATAAGTGGACATGCGACTATGTCTATAGCAGAGTTGATAATGCGACCGATCTGGCCAAGGATGGGTACGCCGTTGGTGCAGTCCCAATTGTGGAATTGCAGATCAGCAAGGCGGCTCTAAGGCTCGCGACATGGCTGAACAAGCTGGTCAGAACGGACGTATATGCTCCCGAAGAGCAGATAGAGCTTTAGCTCTAGAATATAGCAACCGGGCAATCCCATGTGCGCCTTCACAACGCTATTTCCAAGTTCGCTGAAGCTCTTCAGGCCCACTTGCTCGAACATGCATGTCTCCTTCCTCTTGAAACAGCACCAATACCAGACCACAAACGTATTGCCTCCTGAGCAACCTTGGAACAAGCTTCGTAATCCCGATCGCTTTAGCTAAGCCCGCCATCGGCTGCGGAACGCGACCGCGTCATACGAGCTGTAAGACTTAGCGCGGAACCCCACATTTTCCATGGATAGCTCGTCGGCATCTCACCAAAGCTCCAGCTCGCAACCCCACATGCCGATATATCAAAGACACCTCCTCCGTGGAAATTAAATCATGTCAGCAGCTTTGTGTTCCTTTCTTCGAGACCCTCTCCGTCTTCAGCTTCATCTTTTGAAATATCCACCATGACGTTCGACGAGTTGAGAGAGAAGGTTACCCCAAAGGTATGTCATGGCCCCACACGCCTTCAAATCTTCACGACATACCGCGACGCATATCTATCAATGCTCCGGAAAACCTTGGAAAGAAGCCTGGGCTGATATCTCTCCACAGAACCCAAGTCGCGAAACTTCGCCCAACCGCGGGACCTCCTTGCCTCAAGACACCGCTATTCCCGACACCCGTAAATCCCTCCGTGACTGGCAGTCAGAAAACAACATCGACGGCGATGCCCAGGTCAAAATCCGCCGTATCGCACACATGCGATACCAACACCCCGACCTCGCCGAGATAACAACCTTCCTCCGTGACTTTGGCATGAGCGTGGCGAAGAAGAGCGAGGGAAAGCGTTGGTTTACGGGGTATGGACCGGATCAGTACGTGTACTATGCGCAGCAGGGGGAGAAGAAGTTTCTAGGAGGCACGTTCGAGGTAGAGAGTTTTGCGGAGCTAGGAAAAGCAGCAAAGATACCTGGCGCCTCACCCATCGAGGAACTCACGGACGCCCCCGGCGGCGGCCACATGGTCACCCTCACCGACCCCGAAGGCTTCCCGATCAACCTGATGTACGGGCAGCAGCCCAAAGAACCTGGCCCCATGCCCGAAATCCTAACCACCAACTACGAAGTCGAGAAGCCGCGCGTAGCACGCTTCCAGCGCTTCAAGCCCGGCCCCGCAGCCGTACATAAGCTCGGCCACTACGGCCTCTGCGTGCAGAACTTCCAGGCGCAGCTCGACTTCTACACCCGGGAATTGAACTTCGCCCCCACGGATTTCTTGTACGTGGATGCCGAGGATGGCACGAGAAAAGACGTCGCCGTCTTCCTCCACATTGATATCGGCCAGGACTTTACCGATCATCACACTTTCTTCATGAGCACAAATCCCACCTCGCATGTTCACCACTGCAGCTTCGAAGTCCACGGTAAGCCCCCAATTCCCCCCTGCGCGATTCAAACCCTCTCTAACACTTAGCCAGATTTCGACTCGCAGAACCTCGGCCACGAATGGCTCGTTTCGAAGGGCTACAAGTCCGTCTGGGGTGTCGGCCGCCACATCCTCGGCAGCCAGCTGTTCGACTACTGGTGGGATACCACGGGCAACATGGTCGAGCACTACGCGGACGGCGATCTCGTGAACGAAGATACACCCGTGGGGTGGGGAGCGGCGGGGGACGAGAGTCTGGCGGTTTGGGGGCCTGACGTGCCGAAGTGGTTTTTGGATTAGAGGTTAGTGGTTAGAGGGAGAAGGCCAGATGAGGGAATGATTATGAGAGAGGGAAGTGAAGGAGGGAATAGTATGGATGGATTGATCGGACTCGGTGAGAGAAGAGGGGGGTGGGATGTTGAACGATGATGATGATGATGATGATGACTACTGGAAGCTTGACTGCGTCTCTTTCCAAGTTGGAATGAAAGGTCGTACTTTGTACATTCTAGCGTAAGCGTACAATCTCAAGTCCGATGCTTTGCTGCTTCCACATATCATCCATACAACACCTTGAAACGCCATGTCTATTACCTCCTTCCCAGATTTCCCAGAACAGAAGCCCGAACACCGCACGCTTTTGGCAAAGGCTGTTATTTTCCCCTTTCATCCCGGCGGTCTGCCAATCCCCGTAAGCATTCTGACCACCCAATGCACCCACCCTTCCCTCTCCCTACAAACGCCCTCCAACTCGCCCACCCTCCCCTCCACAAACTCCACCTGCCTCTCCAGCTCCGCAACCCCGTCCTCCACATCATCCACCTTGCTCCTCAGCGTGCCAATCTCATACTCGAGCTTATCGCTCAAATTGGCCAAATCCCGTACCGCCTCTGTGAGGTGGGAGCGATTCGAGGAGATGATCTCGTGCGCGTCTTCGCGCAGGGACTGGTATTCTTCTAAGCGAGGGTAGTAGAGATTTTCGAGTTGGACCGTGTCCTCGTCCGCAGCGGCCTCGAGCGACGAGACGGTGGACAGGCGCTGGTCGACCCATGTCGCGTCTATGCTCGACACAAAAGCGAGCCTATGACGGAGGCGTTTGGCTTCTTCGTAGATGTACTTTTGTGCTGCTAGGGCTGCTTCGGGTGGGATAGTCTCGTCTTCTTCTGGATCCGTAGTGACAATGCTGGGCCAGCGGAGAATGCTGTCCTCAGCTATGCTGAAGGAGAGGTGACGCGGCCACCAGTTATCGTCGCGGGCGGTAGCGTGGTAAGGAAGGAGCTGGTCGGAGCTTTGGGTGCGGCGGAGGGACGGTGGGATTTCGTTAGTTTCGTCGAGAGACAGCTTCTCATTGAGGTCGACGCCGCGGTATATGGAGCCTGCAATGGAGTTTTCTGCCGTGAGAGCTTTCAACGATTCATCGTCTTCGGTCAGTTGGGGCCTTAACGTGACGGCTGACTGGTTGTTCCCATCTATGTGTTGCGGAGCGACCTTGTCTACCGCGAGGCTGCTCATTGAATCGTGAGGTGTTTCTGTGAGAACCTTTGTAAACGCTGGCTCGCGATCGGACGTAGTGTGTACGGGAGATAGGACGCCATTTCGTTGTTCTCGGCTGGAACTCCCACGCTCGTGTATCTTCGAAGATAGAGAGCCATCTGCGCTATTGTTTGTAGCAGACCATAGGTCAGACTTTGTGTAGTGCAGCGGGCTACGTATACTGTCGTCCTTTGAAGGCTTTGCCTGATGATTCCGCCGACCGACGACATCCTTGATGCGATGGAAGCCGCTTCCTGATTCGATCTTCCCCATGGCCCCTTTGATAGCGGCTCGCTTCGAGTTGGGGTCTTTCTCCTTATCGAAACCATCACCAACCCCGGAAGCATCCAGGCGCTTAGCCTCTTCACCGGTGTCGCGTTTCGTAAGTTCGTGCTCTCTGAGCGTAGATTCTCTCTTCAAGAGATTCGTGATATGCGTGGGTTGATCTTCTGGCGAAGTGGAACGTTCTTCTCCTGGCAGCCGGCTGAACATATCTGTGTTGGATTTGCGAGGCTTCCCATACCACAACCATTTCGCTCTTTCTCCCGTGACCAACTCAACAAATCGGTCGATGTCAACAGTCTCAATGTCAGCAATACCAGCTTTTTCACCAGCGCCAACCATGCCCATGACCATTTCACCGCCTTTCCCTCCCAACTCCGCCACGGTGGTCTTGAAGGCGCGCTGGACGGCCCAGCCCTCTTTGCTGGCAGCTTTTGCAGTCGCACGTCGTAGTTTTTCAAGCGTTTGTCTGTCTAGGCGACGTGTTTTCGCTATTCGCTGGGTCTTTTGGAAGTATGCAATGCCCCGCTTCGTGCTTTCGATATCGAATACATCCTTCGCGACTGGTGCGTTGTAGGCACTCAATCTATTTCGTGCGCCCATAAGCAGGCCAAGTAGGGCGGCGACAGTGGTTGGACCCAGAATACCGTCGTGGGGCTCTACCGTGTAGTACTCAGCTCCAAACTCCAACCACCAGTCATTGACGGCTTTCTCCGTCACATCGCACAACAGACCGTCAGCGTATTCGTATTCGAGCTTCCCGAAAAGGACCAGGGCAACTTGGCAAAGCTTGACAAGCTCAATGACGGAGCTGTTCAGCGGTATCTTGTCACTTGTTCGATAAAGCTGATGAAATTTGGCCTGGGTTGCACTGCTCGGCGGAGCGAGCTTGATTCCCAGGCGTCCTGAACATCCCAGCCTCTTCAAGTTTTCATTCACGAAGAATAGCTCCCGGTGCCCCTTCACGTCGCCGTCCGGAACGGGTATCACGGTCAAAGACGACGGGAAGCTGCTTAGATTCGTGATCATCAAGGTGCCAAGGCCCGTCTCTTTCCTGCGCGCGTGGTATTGGTCCAGGGCCCTGAAGTATGTCTTCATCTGCGGCGACCAGTCCGACTCATTTCTCGGAACGCTTATTACCGATGCCCATACCTCGTCCTTGGGGTCGCCGGTGTACGTGGTGATGATGAAAGTGGGGTGCCTTCGAGAGCAAGCCCACTGCTCGACAAGATAGATCTCGTAGCCCTGGAGCTTCTCGCGGCGAGAGAGGACGGTGGTAGAGGGGTCTTCTGCGAGGTATCGAAAGGCGACATGGTCGGTCAGGACGAAGCGCTGGTGGCTGGCCGATGTGGGAGATTTGACGGCAAATTCGTTCGAGGAAGCCGTGCGAGCTGTGTCGAGGGCGGGTGATCTCATTTGCTCCGTGCGCGAGGTGAGAGTGGTGTTGCTGTCAAAGGGCGAGGACTGAGTGTGCAGTCGCGGCATCCGTTTCCGGAGCTCCTGCTCTGTGTCGCGCGGCGATGGGGGGATGGGAAGGTTGTAAGACATGGCTGCAAAGCGCTAGCTGCAGCAAAAGCAAGCTCCGGGTGCTTGAATAAAACGGTATAAAGATTGTGGAGGCCTTTCCTTCATGGTGCTTGTGCACGCCGCCGTGCTGAGAGGCTCCGGCGCCCGCCCGCAGCCCAGCGAGCGCACGACGAGAAGGTATCGGGAGGACAGGGCGGCGATGGCGGACCACGCATATTTCCAGCGACGCCTTGCTTCGCAGGACCTCAGAAGGCGCCAGGGCAGTAAGCGGGGGACGAGGACATGGAGGAGGTTGAGGCTCGGGGGCTGCCTTCCCCACACGTCATCCGCCGGCCGACGTCCGCCCACCCCTGCACCGATCCCCAAGCTCAACACCTACCGGTCCCCGTCACGCCAGCACCAGCTCCCACTGAGATGGCCATGTCTCATGTGACGTGCGAGCTGCCCTATTCTTCACCACGTACCAGCGTTCGCTCGCACAATCACACCTCTCAACTCCACCCATAGCCGCCGCCGGCCGCCCGGAGATGGCGCCACCACCGAACGGCATGCAGGAGCTCATGGAGCAGGTGGAGCTCTTCGAGAAGACGGCGAACCTGTCTGCGAGCATCAACGACGTGCACAACACCATTGATCTGCTCACGACAGCCCGTGCTAAGATTGCAGCTGGTGCGCGCCCTGTTCCAGCGTTTGGGCGGAGCATGGCTAACCATCACCGCGCAGACCCGCAGACGGCACCTCTAACTCTGGCAAAGCTCCAGGATCCGCTTAAGAAGTCCCTAGAGGCTGCTCAGAAGGATATCAAACCCATATACAGTGGCTTGGGAAAGTATGGCAAGGCCCTGGACAAGGTATGCTTCTCCGTGGACTGCGTGGACGGCCTATATTGACACATTTACCAGCGATTCAAAGACAAGCCCCTGCCGACCGCCGAAAATGACGCCCTCTCCTCCCATCCGCAGCTCATAAACCGCGCCATAGCCATGCACCTCCTCCGCGAAGGCGAGTTCTCCGTCGCATCCACCTTCATCCAGGAAGCGAATCGCCACCCACCGCACGCCGAGCCCACGCTCAACACCCCAAATCCATATCTGAACGAGTCATGGGAAAAAGACATCGCAGAGGGGACGTTTAATTCCGAGAAACTGCAGGAACAGTTCGCGGAGATGTACCACATCCTGCACGAGCTGAGGCAGGAGAAGAACCTCGGCCCGGCTATTGAATGGGCAAGAGCACGGAGCGATATCTTGGAAGCGCGAGGCAGCAATTTGGAATTCGAGCTCTGCCGATTGCAATTTGTCTGCCTGTTCAGCGGGCATGGTACAGACGGCGAAGACCAGTTAATGGACGGCACACTGCATGGCCCTCTCCAAGCATGGACATACGCGCGTCGCGAATTTGGCTCGTTCCAGAGGAGATATGCCAAGGAAGTACAGAAGCTGATGGGCGCTCTGGCATACCATGAGAACGTCCCGGAGTCTCCGTATGGGAATTACTTCTCCAACGATACCGCATGGGAAGAAGTCGCCACGTCCTTCACACGCGAGTTCTGCTCGTTACTGGGGTTATCCGCCGACTCGCCGCTTTACATTGCCGCAACAGCAGGCGCAATAGCATTACCGCATCTCCTGAAACTGCAAAGCATTATGGAGAAGACAAGAACGGAGTGGACCACGCAGAACGAACTGCCCGTAAGCCCTTCTTCCTCCATTTCTTTCTCCCACGGCCATGCTGATCATATTCTAGGTCGAAATACCCCTTCCACCCTCCTACCACTTCCACTCCATCTTCGTCTGCCCCGTCTCCAAAGAGCAATCCACCGACCAGAACCCACCCATGATGATGCCTTGCGGGCACGTCATCGCAGACGAATCCCTCCAAAGGCTTAGCAAAGGCGCGCGCTTCAAGTGCCCGTACTGTCCCAGCGAGTCACACCCGCGGGATGCGAAGAAAGTGTTTCTGTAGATACGGGACTCCGCGGTGGAGCTCATGCGGGAGGATTTATGCATTATGTTGGCGTATTCCTGGGTCTACAGCTTTCTTTTTGGAAAGCATGTGCGCGTGCTTTGATCTGGGCTAGGCGTTTTTTCTTATCGTGCGAATTCCTCACATGTGCACGCCCGGGATGTGGGCGTTCGGTGCGGATGCTATGCATGTGTCCCCCTTGTGTTTTACTGCTGTCTTCAGGCTCGACACGCGGCGAGTATGAAACTGTGACTCAGCCTATATACCAGAAATGACATTCTCCCCACCTTCATCTTCAGTATGTCCGCATACAGTTTGCTGTCTTTGCACTCCAGGATATTTTACCATTCACATAAGGTAGCACTCGAAACGCTCTCACGGGCATGCCCGCTCCGCCATGCGATGTGCGTCCACTGATAAGCGGGTACATCGACTCTGCCTACTTCCCAGCGGGTATATATGCAGCGAACCCATCCCGTAGGTGATATGCCTGCCTCTACATGCGCTGCATGAGGCGTCACCTTTCCCTCCCATCCTATACCGACAGAATCCAACCCCAACCCCAAGAACGTATCCATCTCGCCCCCTGCAATCCCAACGCAGTGGTACCGCTTCTCTCCTGCCGTCTCCGGGGACTCGTACTTTCCCCATTATCCTCGGGATATTGCTTGCGTACGACGGGGTAAGCGGTATGACGCGGGCGGATTATGTACGTAGTGGGTAATGGGTGAGGTACTGTTGGTTAGAGAAGGAGCAGAAAGAGGAAGCAGTGGGTGAATGTTCTAGATGGGTGTACCTTTTCCGCGGCATTTATTTGTAGGTGATGTGGGATGAGGATCGTTTAAGGAACGAGGATGTTGCATTTGTGAGGGCGGAACTGGAATGTTGATAGTGGTGGTGGTGGTGTATTATGGTAAGGCTCAGTGAGAGAACGAAAGATGTCAGTAAAGACAGAGACAGATGCAATTGCATTGTTGCAGGTTTGTGAATAATAATGTCTTGAGACGGAGTGAAGAGCTTAATCGAGAGTGAGGTTAGAAAAGTATTTGCACTGACAGTTTCAAGCGGATTAGGTTGCTATGCAATTGTACTTAACACTCTGAGGATTGAAGGTGGTACTCCGATCCCCTCTCCTGTCCATTTTTGCGGGTTCTTCAAATCCAAACATGGAAAGTCAGGAATGGGACATCGGCTCAAACGATACCCAAGGAGATTTTGACGGAAATCGCATGGGCACACGATGCCGAGAATTTGTGCGGTCTGGAACCGAGACGGGAAGGATTGCGAGGAAAGTCCACTCACACTGTCCAATTGCTTTCCGGTTCCCACGGGATGAAGTAGGGTCGTCTACAAGGCCGCGTAGTGGGTCGCTCGCCACATCCCAGTAGTATTGCGGGGAAGGACTTGCCTATCAAACGCCTACCCGCATTTGCCCAGAATGTCGGTCATTGATAGGCGCGAGGATGGACAAACAGCCAAGTAAACTCGAAGCCGTCGTCAAATTAGACTTCGCAAAGACCACCGTCCAAGTGTGTCTGCAGGCGACTCCCGACACGTCGACTCGGACATTTGTCTCAAAGTATGCATCCTTGATAAGGATCCCAGAGCCGGGATTTCTTGGGCGTCTATTACTGCTGCACCTGCCGCATGTGACGATGGTGTGCCTCGCTGACAGCGCCATCCGCCAGGTTATCGGATGCTAGAGGAAGTCTTGGCCAGACAAGTGCTTTCAAAGGAGCAGAAGATGATCTGGATTCTGGAGGAGGGAATTGGAAGATTCTCCAAACGATGCCGTGTCTCGTATTGCGGTGGCATAGCGAGGTGCCATGAAAGGGAGGTGGACACGAAGCGGGGCGGATCACGGCAACTACTATGCTGATCATCTCGTGTAAATCATGAGGAGAGCCACGGCAAAAATGCCCAACGAGATTTCTTGGTCCTGGAAGCTTTGTCGGCGCTGGGATTCCTGCAGTATCGCTTGTGCAGCCGACGGGTATCTTCTGGAGGTGCTGCATGAATTGGACTTGCCACGCCCGGGTGTCTGGCTCCAGCGCAGTGTCGCTCCTCGGGGTTGACGATGATAGCCAGCATGGGACGTCCAGTTTGCGTGCTTCCAGAACGCCACGCGAACCCAAGTGGGAGCCTCAACCGAAGCCCCGCGTCAGATTTCGCCGCGCTTATCTACCACCCCAACATTCGTATCAAACGTCTCGCCAATCAGAATGGGGCAGGCATTCGAACTCCGCGATAAGAACCTGGTCAGCGTTGCAGTGCGCCGAGCGAGAGAAGGGCACTGGACGGTCTGACACGGGCGCCGCCAGCAAGTGAGCTTCTCGTGAGAGGAAAGCCAGAAAGACAAGAACGGGCGGAGATGACCGGCGCACCAATCGTCAGCATCCACCGGCAAGTCCGCCAGCCTGAAGAGGAAGCTGCCAAGGGTGCACCGCGCTGCAGGGCATCGAGGGTCGTCTAGGCCGACGAAGGTGGCACAACGTCCCCATTCGCGGTAGTGCCGTCCACTGCTGGAATAAAGTCCCGTCGCGACCATTTCTCCCGACACCAATTCCTCGCCTTTTTCTCAGTCCACTTTTAGGAATTGCCCTCGTGCCACTCGTCAAGAACCATGGCCGACATATCGCGCGAGCACAACAGCTCCCCGATGCCCGGTGTCGTCCACAACCCGGATCCTGCGCTGGATATCGAAAAAGAGCACCACCACGCGCACCTGCACCACGGCGCGCACGCGGAAGTGGGCCACGACGAAAAGGAGCATGTCGCCTATACGACAGGAACCACAAAGAACGAGCCCGGGGTGATTCCTCCAGCTGACCCAAACGACGATGTTCTGCACCGTCGGAGACATGCCGAGAGGAATTCCGATGTGGACATCGAGAAATCTGGTGGCTATATCGAGACCGAGAAAGGTAGCTTGAGCAAAGGATCGCCTGCTCCAGAAGCCAGTGAAGAGATAGACCCGCAGCGCCATCGTATTGCGAATGGATATCGAAGATTCCGACTTCCTGTTCACATCTTCATTGGAATGTTCTTCACTGGGTAAGCAAAAGCGTAGCACCGCCGCATTCCGTAACCGAGACTGATATCCGTGTAGCTGGTGGATCGCCAGTGTCGTTGTACATCGCCATGACAAGAATTGGATCATTCCCTTCTTGTTCTGGCTGTGCATTATGCTCCGGCTCATCTTTTTCCATGTGCCCATTACGATTATCAGCAAGCCCATGCATTTCGTCTGGAACCACACTGGTGTGAGACTCACGAACCTCATCCCAGAGAGAATGCGCATTCCCCTCGGTGCGCTCTTGACTATAGCCGTCATCGTCGTTGGGGCCTTCGCAAGCGAGGAGAGCCAGGACAACACTCGCGAGAACCGTGCCGTCAGCTTGTTCGGCTTGCTCGTGTTCCTTTTCTTCTTCTGGCTAACCTCGCGGAACAAGAAGAAGATCATCTGGCACACCGTCATTGTCGGCATGTTGACGCAGTTCATCATTGCGCTTTTCGTGTTGAGGACCAAGGCCGGCTACGACATCTTCGAGTTCATCTCGACGCTCGCCCGTCTGCTCCTGGGATTCGCCAACAAGGGTGTAATCTTCTTAACCGACGCGACTGTTCCGGATCTCCCGTGGTTCTTCACCGGCGTCGTACCGCCCATTATCTTCTTCGTCTCTTTCGTGCAGTTGCTGTACTACTGGGGAATCCTTCAATGGTTCATCGGCAAGTTCGCCGTGTTCTTCTTCTGGTCCATGCGGGTATCCGGCGCCGAGGCCGTTGTCGCTTCTGCTTCGCCATTCATCGGTCAAGGAGAATCTGCCATGTTGATTCGTCCTTTCGTTGCGCATCTCACCAAGGCGGAACTGCACCAAGTCATGACTTCCGGATTCGCCACCATTGCTGGTAGTGTGTTGGTCGCCTATATGTGAGTTTCAGGAAAGTCGTTTCGAGATGTTGAGGCTGATAATTGGCAGTGGCATGGGCATCAACCCTCAGGCTCTGATTTCATCTTGCGTCATGAGTATTCCTGCGTCTCTTGCGATCAGTAAATTGCGATATCCGGAAGAAGAGGAGACTCTTACCGCTGGACGTGTGGTCATCCCTGATGATGAGGAGCACAAGGCTGCCAACGCGCTGCATGCATTCGCGAACGGTGCCTGGTTGGGCCTGAAGATCGCCGGTATGATCGTCACGACGCTTCTGTGCATTATTGCGCTCTTGAACCTCGTCGACGGTCTCCTCACCTGGTGGGGTCGCTATATCAACCTGGACGGCGAGTACGACCTCACGCTAGAGCTGCTCCTCGGTTATGCCTGCTATCCGATCGCTTTCTTGCTCGGTGTATCCCGCCAAGGCCAGGACTTGCTCCTCGTTGGACGTCTGATTGGCGTCAAGATCATTGCGAACGAATTCGTTGCCTTCTCGAATCTCCAGGCCAAGGATGACCCCGACTCTCCGTACCACACCCTCTCACCCCGCTCTAAGCTCATCGCCACATACGCTGTCTGCGGTTTCGGTAACATCGGTTCTCTCGGTACCCAGATCGGTGTGCTCAGCCAGATTAGCCCCGGCCGAAGCGGTGATGTTTCTCGCCTTGCACTGAGTGCTTTGATCTCGGGTATAATTTCCACCCTGACCAGTGCCAGCATTGCTGGTCTGCTCATTACGAATCAGGTATGTTCCTAAAGCTCTTCCTCTTCTGAAATGCCGACGCTGACTTTCACAGGCCCAATTCTCCTAATTGCTCAAGGATGTACGGCGTGCGTAGGAAGCTTTGCCCTGATGTTCCGAAGCGTCGCAAGCCTAAAACATAGACCTAGTTAGAATTGGTCCCACATATACCCATCAATACATTTCACGTACCTTCATCCTGGCTTCCTGTACCACTCCGTGTTGCTCCTGATTTTTCTCCGTGATATCTCTTATCAATTCCTCGATCCGGACTTGAGAGCTGAAGGAAGACCGCATTTTTCAGTCTCCTCTATGGTGCTTTTCCGTTCGGGAGCGTCAGAGAAAGGAACGCAGTCGTCGGGCGGCGTGTAAGTTCGGGCCGCCATGAGTGTTCTCTTCGAAGGTCGACCTGTTGCTTCTAAGAGTCGGCCCACCTGCGCCCTTTAGTCTTGGCATCCGCCCTTTTTCGTTGCCCAGCGGTACGTTTTAGGCGATTGTCTCTTCGGCTTGGCGAGATCGTATTTCGCTTTCCGCGTCCGTTCACCGCTAATGTAGCTAGATCGTTCGATGTTCGTTTGGGACTGGAATACTTCAGCAGTGCTGTGGAAATAAGGAAGATTAAGGGCCGGGTCGAAATTGGGAGGCTCGGAGTGAGGAGGGTCCCTGCATGGCAATGGACCGATGTACATAACAGCAAGCATCTGCTTTCGCCGGTTTCCGCAACGGAGCCGGTAATTCGATGCTGGGCATTGGATCAGCAAACGGTGCGGTCCAGTCTTCATCGCGTTCATTCGCTTAAGCGCATCAGCACTCAGTGGGACAGCAGACTCGCGTGTCCTTAACCCGGATCTGGAACGCGTAGACGAACATCCGGAGCGAACGCCGCTTCCAGGCCATGTGGGATTGAATACACCACCTTCAGCTTTTGCCAACCATAACTCGCTCTGTAAAGTTGTGCATGATCGCATTGGACGGACCAGCGTGATGCGGTGTTCGTTTGTTTTTGCGAAACCGGGCGGCGCGGGCTGGTGGCGTTCGTGGCGCGCAAGACGTGAGAGACTCCGCGGAGAGATGATTAGGGCTTGAGCTGTGGTTGGGGGTACGATGATGGACGTGGAAAGATGGAGGTTGAGATTAAGTTGCGCTCTTGCTTTGCCAAGCCTGAGTGTCGTACGGACAGAAGGAGCGCCCCACGAGGGCACCCTAGATTCAAGGGCCCATCCGCATTCCAGAGAGAGCTCGTCATCATTGCTGTCAATTCGAGTGGCTGGTGATGCGCCGAAGGTACGACGTTGCCAGCGCGGGGCGCTTCGGCGCGGGTGGCGATTCTACAACCCTTATTTGGTGTTCCGCTTTACAAACAGGAGTTTGTCAAGGCCAGAACTGCGCACAGTACACCTGGGCACGTTGCCAAAGTGCGTTATGTTTTTGATTCTGTCGCTTTCATTGCTACCCGAACAGAATCATTCTACGATTCACGCTAACTTCAGCCTACCTCGCGACCATGCTGACCGAAGGCCTGGGTGCACCGATCGCATGGTCGAACGCATGTCAATCGGGGCCTTCGCAGAAACGATCGGCGAGCCCCAGATTGTTCGAGGCTTAAGTCCAACCTCTGCTGTATGCAGGGTCCTCCATGCTAGGGGACTTTTCTAGCAGTCGAAGGGCGATAATGGCGATTCTGGCGATAAACTGGAATGTACTGACTAGATGGTAGAGCCACCAATTCGAAGCTGGCAGTCTCCGCTGAAGCGGTCGAGCACTGAAGATGTGGTTCGCAAGCTCTGCTCTGTCTCGTCTCCCAGCTCGCCCCCACATCATCCTCCTCACTGTTGGATCGTCTGGCCGAGAGACTACCATCTAACCAATGACTGACAGCATATCAGACCGGTGAAACTTTTGAAGCGGCTTGTTCAACAAGGAAGCACATGGCGTGGCATAGTTCTCTGGCGACTGTCGACGATATCGGATATCGGATATCGGACGTAGGTGTGGGTTCTGATGCTGCCGGGGAGGAGCCAATCACAACGCGCCGGGCGGATCTTAGATCACTCCCGTCAGCCATGCCACGATACGAGACCCTCTCTAACCCCCACAGCTTTGCATCTGAAAAGTACACCCTCGTTGCAAAATTCTCTCGCTGCCCACGCTGACCAGGGACGCGTTAGCATAAAACTACCTTCGGCATATCTGAGGGTGTTGTGCTGCACAAGCGACATCGGCGCTGCAAACGTCCAGCATTCATCCTATCTGCGTGCATGCTGAGGCGATTAGCAATTACCAACAGGATCGAGTACTGTACTGTACATATCGTCGTCTGAAAATCCCACCGGCCGCCCCACTGTGGAGTTGAGGCTGGCGGGAGATAAGGCAGGAGCGGCCGACCAATAGGCAGCTGTGGGCGGGCCGGAAACGGCCGCTAGGGTCAACCCATCCCGAGCTTGATGAGACGTTACGCGACGAGCTTGACCAAACCCTCACCTCTTCGCGGAGACATTGCTTTTGCTCGCTCCTCCACAGCTTCATGGACTTCCCACGCCTAGACACGCCTCCAGCTGCAGGCTACCGTCTCAGACACGTTTTTTCGCGTCCCGCCCACGGCCTGGAACGCGCGCAGAGAAGTCGGCGCTCGGAGGGCTGCGAACTGCACGCCTGGCACTCGCCAATTCGCGCAACGACATCCTGCAACAGCTGCTCAGAAAGCGAAACCCATCTCGTGACAGTGGCCTGCCGTGGACTGATTGGTGCTGTGCCTCACAAACTGACTAAATTCGACCGCTCAGCGTTTCGCATCTTATCATGACTACATTTCGGTTGCTTATCAGTTTCTGGCCAGGATCCCGCCTAGCACGACACATCATTCCTCGTTTGAACCACCAGACTTCCCCACGGCTCAACCCAGAACCATGCCGGACGTCTTAGTCGACCACCGTTTTCGCCTGTTGCCACGGCTCGTGGTAGGGCGGATAACTTCTCGGCTGCCATTGTGTACCTCTGAGACCCGCTGGAGCGATGCATCTGGAGCCGGCTATCCACCTTTGCCTTCAGCTTTTCTCGGCGCCTCTTAGTCTTCGCAGACGCTAGTGCTTGATATCGCTCCTTGACTTCTCTGAGCCAAGCTCGGCAGCAGGCTTATATAGCTACCAGGTCTCCGCACTGTTTTTGGGACTCCCACGGCGGATCACCTCTCCACCTCGAGAGCTACGAGACGGACATTGCAGTCACAACATTTCTTGACTGAAACACCGCAGCCATGGGTCTCAATAGCCCGCCACTTTCCCAAGGTGTTGGATATGGCGTTGTCATCGGATTGGGACTTGCTTTTGCGTAAGTTGCGGCCCCATTGTTCACATTGAAGTACTGCGCTAACGTTGGAATAGATTTGGTATGATTCTGACGACTTTCGTGCTTAAGAGGTACGTTAATTGGCTTTCCTTTGCACGGTTGGCGGTGCTTCAGGGCGCTTGGCGCCATTACCGAAGCTTGTACGACCAAGCTCGTCAAGACTTGCTGGGGGCTCTTACGTCCTAGATCGTGCTCGCAACCGTTGTCACAAGCGCAATCTCAAGGCCTGCTGAGCTACCCGCTGCGTCCTCTCGCGGCCACTCATCTGGATCATCCCAGCAAATGTACCTGAACAAGGTACTAGCATCTGGGGATCTACGGCATCAGCTATGGCGACGCGATCTGGCATCTCAAGACCGCAAAGATCATAGTATCTATGGTCACATACTACGGCATGCTGATATTTGCATAGGTATAACTATGAACTCCAGACGTCTGAAATGTTCAGCACCGCTGGACGTACTGTCAAATCTGGACTTGTCGCTTCCGCTGTGGTTTCATCCTGGACCTGGGCTGCTACTCTCCTCCAGAGCAGCGCCGTTGCCTACTCGTACGGTGTTTCGGGACCTTTCTGGTACGCTTCTGGTGCGACCGTCCAGATCATCCTTTTCGCTACGATTGCCATCGAGTTGAAGCGGAGAGCTCCCAATGCCCACACCTTCTTGGAAGTCATCCGAGCTCGTTATGGCGCGGTGACGCACATAGTGTTCATGGTGTTCGGTCTCTTCACGAACATCCTTGTCACTTCTATGCTGCTCACAGGTGGTTCCGCAGTCGTAAACTCCGTGAGTACTCGGAAAGAGCAGAGACAACAAGATTGAGATTGCTGACTCATGTAGCTTACGGGCATGCCCACTGCCGCAGCTTGTTTCCTCCTACCCGTGGGTGTCGTTCTTTACACCCTTTTCGGTGGCATCAAGGCTACATTCCTGACCGACTACGCTCACACGGTCGTCATTTTGGTCATTCTCCTCATGTTCGCCTTTACCGCATATGCCACCGACCCATATTTGGGAAGCCCTTCCAAGGTGTGGGACCTGTTGCATGAGGCTGCCCAAAGGCACCCCGTCGAAGGCAACGCAGGAGGCTCTTATCTTACCATGCGCTCCAAGGAAGGCGCCATCTTCTTTGTGATCAACATCGTTGGTAACTTTGGAACCGTCTTCTGCGATAACGGATACTACAACAAGGCTATCGCAGCTAGCCCGGTTGATGCGCTGCCCGGCTACATCATGGGTGGTCTCTCCTGGTTCGCGATCCCCTGGCTAGCGGCTACCACTATGGGTCTGGCTGCTCTTGCTCTAGAGTCCAATCCCATCTTCCCAACCTACCCGAACCGCATCGACCCGGCCGACGTCTCCGCAGGTCTGGTCCTACCCACTGCCGCTGTTGCTATGCTTGGTAGCGGTGGTGCAGCCGCCACTTTGCTCCTGGTCTTCATGGCTGTCACTTCTGCCATGTCTGCTGAGTTGATTGCCGTGTCCTCCATCTTCACCTACGATTTCTACCAGACCTACATCAACCCCCGAGCGACTGGCAGGCAGCTGATCTATATGTCCCACTCCATGGTCATTGGTTTCGCTATCGCTATGGCCGCTTGGTCTACTGGGCTGTACTACATTGGAATTTCTATGGGATATCTGTACCTCCTCATGGGCGTCATCATCTCCTCCGCTGTGCTGCCGGCTACCCTGACCCTCATGTGGAGCAAGCAGAACTGGTGGGCCGCAACCTTCACCCCGCCGCTAGGCTTCGCCTGCTCCCTCATCGCATGGCTGGTCACCGCCAAGAAGGAGAGTGGTGAGCTGACTGTAGCTACCACCGGTGCCAACAACCCCATGTTGGCAGGCAACGTTGTCGCACTTCTCTCGCCTCTCATCTTTGTCCCCGTCCTCACCTACGCTTTCGGCGTCCAAAACTACGACTGGGTCAGCATGAAAGCCATTCGTAAGGGCGACGACCACGACCTCGCCGCCGCTGCTCACGTCGATCTCGAACTCATCCCCGGTGAGCGCCGCAACAGCATTGCCGACGAGGAAGAAGAACAAGCCAAACTCTACAAGGCATCCCGCATCGCCCGCTGGATGACTGTCTTCATGACGCTTGCCCTCCTCGTCCTCTGGCCTATGCCTATGTACGGATCCGGCTATATCTTCAGCAAGAAGTTCTTCACTGGGTGGGTTGTTGTTGGTATTCTTTGGATGTTCTTCAGTGCTTTCTGCGTCGGTCTGTATCCTCTTTGGGAGGGCCGCAAGACTAGCATTCGTACATTCAAGGCTATTTACCTTGATATCACGGGTCGCGGCAAGCCCAAGCCCCATATTGAAGGCGAGGGTACTGAGACCCCGACGGAGGTCCTGCCCGAAAAGATGAAGGAGTAAACTTCTCCTCAGCTGTCTGCCGACCCCAACGGATCTTCGGTATAGACTTATGGATGATGTAGACGAGATTGATGCGATGCCATTGCTTTTGCGTTAGATATCCCCCTGATACCAGCCCCTCTTTAGAGCGTGCAAGTCAGCTTAGATGCTAGCACTGTTTAATAAAAACAGAAGAACGCCGTTTGGCCAAATCTTCAACCTCTTGTCGTGCAATATTCTTCTGGTGCTGTGACCCCTTTCCTATTAAGATTAGCCCCTAATGTTCGTCCTGTCAAAACATCCGTGCGTAGCAAGATATACACAGACTGATGGGAAGGTATCTACTTTCCGGTAAGGACTGACAAGCTATCTACTAGGTAATAGAAATACAAGAGCCTCCACACAAGCAGAAGACTAGACTAGGTTTACGAAGTGGAAAGAAAAAAGGTATCCAAGTCCAGCTTTTCGAATACGCCGCCATTGTACATGTCATACCACACGCAGACCGGCAAGCAAGAAGCGAACTCCATACACCGTTCCTAACACCCAAACTCTTCCATTCACTTACTACTACACCGCATTCCTCGAATTCCGCGCACTCCCACGCATCCTCGCCTCCCAGTCCTCGAGTCAATCCGGCAGCGGCCAGCTACTCGTCTTGCCCTCCTTCCTCTCCGCACCCTCCGCCGGCGCAGGCGCACCCGCACTCGCACTGCCCCGCGAGCTCGGCGGCGTCGGGAACTGGCCCGGCGAAACCGGCGGATTGCTCGTCAGCGCCGGATTAGGTTTCCGATCCGGCACCCTCATGCCGATTTTCAGCACCTCGAGGCCGATCTTCTCGTTCCCTGTTCCTCCCGCTCCCGCAGCCGCAGACGAGGGCTTGCCGTCGGCCGAGCCCCGGCTGTCGCCGCGCGACCCCCCAGTGCTGACGGACCGCGCGCTCGCGCCGCGCACGATTTCTACCTGCTCGGCAGATTCGATGCTCCACTCGGCGTCGTGCTTGCTGTTGAAGGGTGACCGCATGCGGAAGAAGCCGCCGAGTCCGCCCCCGCGGCGGCGTCCGCTGCGTGTGCTGCGGTCGAAGCGCTGGTTACGCCGGCGTCGCCAGAGGTAGAGGCCTGTTGCGCCGGCGACTGAGAGCACGCCGAAGGTGATGCCGACGCCCATGCCGGCTTGCGCGGAGGCGCTCATGGTGTTGCTGGTGGGAGGGGAGAGGGGCGCGAGGTCCAGGGTGGGTGTGGGGGACGCTTCTGCTGCTGTGGATGCGGCTTCGCCCGGGGACTCGGAGGCGGGGACTGGGGAGGGGGTTACGTAGATGGTGGTTGAGGTTGTGAGGGTCGATTTTGCGGAGGAGGGGAGGGGGAATTGCTGGAAGTCGATGGAGCTGGTGGCGACGATGTTGTTGATGGAACTTGATGGGACTAGGATGGGGATGGCTGGTTGGATGGAAGTGGAAGGGTCGCCGAATGCGTCGGCGATGCTGGAGGGCGCCTGGGAGGGAGCTTCGGTGGTGGTTGGGGTAGCGGCTTCGAGGCTGCTGGGCATAATTTCGGGTTGGTTCACGGCCATTTCGCCGTCGTCTGCCGTTGCTAGCGTGGTTGAAGTTTGGGCTGGTACAGCTACGGCTGCGGTCGATGGGGCGGGCGTAGCAGGTTCGGCTGCTTGGGCGGGCGTCACGTCCTCTGCAGACTGTTGTCCTTTCTGCTCCTCGGACGCGGATTGATCGCCTTGCTGTTGCTGGCCCGGTGCACCGCCTGGTTTTCCATTGCCAAACTGTGAGTTGGGTGGCGGTCCAAAGCCCTATATCACGCGTCAGTGACGGATTTCCATCGAAGGCGCAAAGCAGTCCACCTCCAGCGGATTTCTGCTTGCGACAAACTTTGATTCCACTTACCGGTCCGAATCCACCACGAAAGTCTCCACCACCACCGCCGCCGCCAGGCTTCCCAGGAAATCCACCATTACGAAAGGGATTGCCCGGGGGACCGCCTGGGGGACCGCCTGGAGGACCGCCTGGAGGACCGCCTGGAGGACCGCCCGGAGGACCGCCCGGTGGTCCAAAGCCGCCACCACCGGGCTTGAAGGGCTTGGAAGGGCCACCAAATCCGTTACCACCACGCTGACATTGAACGAGAGGAAGAAGGCAACAAAGAATCCAGCACAGCCGGACTACTGCACCTACACTGTGAACCATAGTGAAGAGAATGGCAACATCAATCGAGTTCAAAAGAGTGACAAGAAAGTGAGTGAGATGCAAGAAAGCTGCACAACACGGGTGCATGCTCAGGGTAGACCTAGGAATACCACATCGTCCTACGGTCGCGCATCCCTACCTGGCTTGCCAGTTTCCAACTGGCTACCGTCTTTTGCCCTATGACCAAAACCGGCGCTGCATCAGATGGACGGAACCCGCATACACCTCTCATTCAGCAAAATGCCCCTCAGCCAATCATCCGCCCGCTCCTCCCAATGTTTCCTCAACCCCAAGTTTCCGGAAAAGGCCACTTCAGACCTTTCGGGAAATGAGGTTGCGACCGCCTAATACGAGGCAAGGTGGCGTTCCGCACAGGCTGAAGTTTGTAACCACGGTTTCGTGCGTGGTGTAAGGCGGAAAAGGAAATGACGGGGTCGGACGCTGATTTGCATTGATGTGCGTTCTTCGGGTCGCGTTCCAGAAGCTTATTGCCGATAGAGTGTGGATAATCCCGATGGCTTTTTGCCTGAAACGTGAGGGTGGTGCTGCCTCATGACGTGCTGTGCAGCAGGAGGGAACACAGAAGGGCCGAAGCGTGGAGATGCCGAAAGAACCGAGCGTTAACGTCTGAAAGCGCGAAGATCTGAAGAGAGAGAGAGATAATGAAAGTGCGCGATGGTGTTGCGCAAAGTATTTGGGAAGCGACAGCCACGTTTGACATCGTCGTCGTACTCGCCCTTCGTCACCGAAATGACGCCTGTCGCGAACATACGTCCGCTGATATCAAGTCCAGCCACAAGGCTGCGAAACGGGACTTCAGCCGCATACTCACGACTGCAGCACGTTAATCCCCGGCCGGCGCATGGTACTCTAGAAGCATTGTGGTCGCGCTCCGTTGTCCATAATGAAGATCTTATGCGGAGAAGGCATTTTGGTGGCGTGTGTGGCAATGTGAGGGGAGTGTTGATGGAGACGAAAGGGGAACGATGAAAGGTCGAGGGTTGAGCGTTTCGTGCGCGGGCCGCGCTAGCCGGATACGACTAGTGTTCACTTCTGTTACCTGATTGGGTCATTCTGATGGATGTTTGCTATCACGCTGGTCTCTTGCATGAAGGCTTCCTTTCGTGATCTTCTCAAGTGGAAGTCGACCTGTTTACCTGAGTCCAACATTGGTTCCGCATCTTGCCTCACTCGCACACATGTCCGAAGACTTCTACCTACGTACCTCAATCAATTTCGTAATTTCCATTTCTGAATACCTCTCCGCAGTCGCCCATTCGCCCTGAGAATAACAATAGCAATGTCAGCCATGGGCAAAGCTAGTACGAGCACTTCCCGCAATAACCACAGGAATCAGCAGAGCATGCTGTGAAATCCAGGCTGCCATCTTCGGACTTGTCATCCCAAAGAGAATCGTACACGTTGCGCGAATTAAAATCCTCCTCTCCGTGATCACTCTCGAATAGATCATCCGCCTCGTTGTCATTAACCCCTGCCCACACTGCCCTCAGCGACGGTGGCAAGGCCTGCGAGCCTTCACCATACTGCCTTCGGATCTCAAGACGATCAACCGAAGGGCAATAAACTTCCAGGAGCCCGGTTGCATCCTCTTTCGCAATGTCGATGATCTTGCGGAGAAGAACGGCCAGGTGCTGTATAGCAAGCTTGTTATCTTTCTCCCAAACTTCAATATCCTTTCGTACGTCTTGAACGCGGATGTCTTGAAACAGACCTTCGCCGTCGTGGTACGCCACGATGAAGTTGGGGATCTGTTTGACCCAGAGCTGTGGATGGATGTCAGACATGTCGATGTCTTTCTTGTAGCGGTTGGAGCGTGTCTTCAGGTCGAAGATGGCCGACTGCGGAACTGGGGAGCCGCCTGATTGGACAGTCAGATCTCCGTTGGGGTCTGTCGCAGCCGGTTTGAGTGCACTGTCCCCGAAGGCCTTGAGCAGGCTCTCAAAGTCATATCTCTTGTCCGGCGTAGAATCAGAAGTGCTAGGGCTCCCCGGTCCCTGAAGGTACCCATCGCACTCGAAGCGAAGTAGGCATCTGAAGCCCCCGAAGTCGTATTGGACGAGACGCTGGTGCGTCTCAGAACCCTTGACCTGGCTTTCCCATGTAGTATACGCTTCTGGGAATGTATGGCCGTAGCCATGGATGCCTTCGATGATTTCCTTCGGGTCGTTTTCCTTGCGGACGAAGAACACCGTGTTGCCGATGAGTTGGACGCCGAAGCGGAATGGCTTGTCGATGGAACGGACGAAGCGAAGGAGGTTGCCCATCGTGCTGCCGCATGCGAATATGTCGATGTCTTCGGTCGGAAAATCAGGGGTGGTGTTGAGGAGGGCTTGAACGGCCGGCTCGGTGGGATAACTGGGGAACATCGCTGCGTTGGGGTCGCGGAAGTATTGGCCGCTGTCTTCCTTCAGACGTTGTGGTTGCGTAAGAGGTGTCCAAAGAGGAGGTTTCCCTTTACGCAATCAGTGGTGAATACCACATTTGTAGCTGGACTGCTTACCAGGAACCATGATGGTAGGAGTTTTGGCATCGAGCCAATTGTATGATGAGACGTTCTTGCAGTCCTTAATCGTAGCATCGCCTTTGACACCTCCAGTGGCAGCTTCGAGATCGGAAGTCTTGAAGGTAGTCAGGAGCTCTCCAAGCGGATGCCTGTCGAGATCAAGCTTCACCTCGTTGCGCTTCTTGAAGGGGTGAGCTGGTCCTCCACGTCCACGGCGCGGAGCCCAGCCTCCTCTTGCTCGACCACGGCCTGAAATGGCGGAGTGAGACGACATGATGACAGACTATGGATGAGGAGGTGCAGAGAAGCGACAGGAGAGGGCAGATATCCGAGGATACCTGGGATGGAAGGCTACCGGGGGCTTGGGTATGAAAGACAGGACAATTGAAGCTGATGCCTCAGCAGATAGACAGACTTGATCGATGCGTCTGGTCTCACACGGAGTCACTGAAAAAGAGATATGTCGCCTTCAAATACTGAGTGATGCCTGAGTGAGCAAGGCTGAGCGGGGTGAGTGTGGCGTGTTTGTCTATGCGCTGGTGGCACAACACCGACATGGTAGGCCTCAATTCGTCCAGAGGGCCCCAAAAGATGCAGGCAGCGAGCGCTGCACGCTTTGCCGCATACAGCTCCACACTATTCTTCCAATCAGTTTGCACAGCCCACTGTCGCAAAGCGTCTCGCAGCAGGTGGAACCCTGTGTCACCTGCCTTCCCGCCGTGTTCAAAAGCGTCAAGGCCCCTCCATATGGATACTAAAGGCTTCACTCTCATCGATACTAGCTCTTTACCGACTGCTTCTGTGCCAATTCATACCTTGTACACATGGCCGACCAGGAGGCCGCAGCAAAGCGGCTGGTGGGGCTGACGAAGCTGTTCAACGCGGTGATCCACGGGCATCGTGAGCTCAAGAGCACCGGCGACGGGAACCGTTTTCTGGAGGCCTTGTGCGTGCAGCCGGATGCATCGAAGTGTGTTGAGAACCTAATCGCGGCCCCGGGTGGTCTGTGCGGAATTGCCAAGGCCTTCCGCTTTTCCATGGACAGCGCTTTTCTAAATGGCCCCGCGACCTCAGCCATCCGATTCTTGTCCGAGCCATCTCTGAAACAACTCTACGGTGGGCACTTCTTGCATCGCGTCCTTGAGCAGATCGTGCAGCCTCCAACTTTCTGGAATACCCTCGTCGAAGCACACCATGCTCGCATCCTTACGGAGGAAGGCACATACGCCTTCGGGTGGCTGCTGCTAGAGATCCTTTGCTGCCGTTTGGAAGACATCCCTGATGTCCGAGGCGTGGCAGAACGAATCACAAATGATGAGTCTCTCATCGACTCTCCGCTCCTTGAGGTGAGGAACCTCGGACACAAGATCAAGCATGTTCTGGACAGCACGTCCTCTGACGCCGCCGAAGATGGGCCTGGCGGACGACATGATAACGACTTCGTCGACTTCCGCAAGATCAAGATTTTGCCCACGCCTGATGAATTCGCGTCTACGGAAAGGCCGTTCTACAGACGCGCTGATGCAATGGAGTCGACGGAGCCAGAGCGTCGAGGGGGAATCCACCTAGACAACCAATTCCGACTTCTCCGCGAGGATCTTCTGGGCGAGCTACGGAGCGACTTCCAGATCGCCATGGGCGCAAAGAAGGGACGCCGGAAAGTCATCCTATCAGGCTTACAGTTCATCGGCATCGACTGTGGAATCGGCATGAAAAGAAAGCCATGCTCAATAAAGCTCTGCTGCAATACCGACATCCCGCAGATGAAAAATCTGAACGGAGCAGCAGCCCGAAAGCAATTCGTGATGGACAACAAAAACATGCTCAAGCACCAGTCTCTAGGATGCCTCATCAGCAACGGCAACATTGTTGCTTTCGCTAGCGTCGACCGAGACGAGGATAAGCTCGCCCAGAAGCCCCCGGTTCTCGTCCTTCGCATTGCCGACGAAGGTTCCTTCAGTAAAGTCCTTCTTGCCAGCAAACTTTCGTCCGATCTTCAGTTTGTTCAAGTCGACACCGCGGTCTTCGCATATGAGCCCATCCTAAAATGCCTCCAAAACATGACTGAAGTTCCGCTCCAAGAACAACTGCTTGACCTCTCGCCGGGCTCCAGTGACGCTCTTTCTGGCATCCAGCCGGTGAGTGTCTTCAATGAGATTAGTCGGCATTGGGAGCAAGATCTTCAATCCATCATTGGCACCTCCCGAAGTGTTGAGCTTGACGCCGCTCAAGCGGAATCGCTTCTCACAGGCTTATCGAAGAGAGTTAGCCTCATCCAAGGGCCTCCAGGTATGCACCACTGACTTTCATCTCCTTCTGTTGTTGTTCGCCGGGAGGAGCCAGTTTGGCAGAACGGTCCCTCCCATCAGTCCTAGGATCACCCGTCCCCGTTCCAGCTAGCTTGTAAAGATTGCGGCGTGATCAGGATGTCAATGCAGCATACTAACACCCTTAGGTACTGGGAAATCTTTCATCGGTGCATTGATCGCAAAGATTCTGCATGATCACACTGCGGTGCCTATATTGGTGCAAACGTATACCAATCACGCGCTCGATCAATTTCTTGAGGATTTGCTCGACATTGGGATACCGCCAGATTCGATTGTTCGGCTTGGTCCGAAATTCACAACCAGGACCAGGCCCTTGAGCTTATCCGCACAGTCGACCACCTATAGGAGGAGTGGTCAAACAAATTACATGATTCAGGACCTGAAGCAGCAGTCTGAAGGATATCTTGATGCCTTGCTCAACAAGGTCGCTCTTTACAATAACTCCCGCCTGACCGATCAGGCGCTGCTTGACTACCTGGAGTTCTCGGAGGATTCGGAGTTCTTCGATGCCTTCGTTATTCCGGAATCACAAGATGGAATGCATCTCGTCGGCCACCGCGGGAAGCGCCTCAACTCGTACTACCTGCTCGACCGCTGGACGCAGGGACATCACGCCGGTGTTCTTCAGGACAGCGCAGAAAGGGACTATCCTGGAATCTGGAAGATCGAACCTAGTGCTCGCCTTGCCTTGAGAGCCCGCTGGTTGAAGGAGATCATCGAAGAGCAGGTATCCGAAATCAGCAACCTCGTGCAGAAATACAACCAATGCCGCGACAGGATTGAACAATTGTTTCGCGAAAGGAACGCACACATACTCGGCCAGAAGCGAATCATCGGATGCACAACAACAGCCGCTGCGAAGTATACAGAGGAGCTACAGAAAGCTTCACCAGGTATCATCATAGTCGAAGAAGCCGGCGAGATCCTCGAGAGCCACATCTTGACGGCCATGACGCCAAACACTAAGCAGCTCGTGCTGATTGGTGATCACAGGCAACTTCGACCGAAAGTGAGCAACTACGCTCTCACGGTCGAACGGGGGGATGGCTACAACCTCAACCAGTCGTTATTCGAGAGACTGGTGCTTTCTGGGGTGCCTCACACCACGCTCAACCTACAGCACCGCATGCGTCCGGAGATTTCGGCGCTAGTCCGATCCCTTACATATCCCGAGCTGAGAGACGCACCTAAAACGAAGAATCGACCCCCGCTCCGCGGCTTTCAAAACAACGTCATATTCGTCACGCACGATCACCCTGAACTCAACGCTGAACTCATCGCCGATCGGCGTGACGAGGGCGCGAAATCCAGCAAGGAAAATGAATTCGAAGTGGGAATGGTGCTGAAATGCATTCGGTATCTAGCGCAGCAAGGCTACGGTACAGACAACATTGTGATCCTCACACCTTACCTTGGTCAGCTGTACCATCTGATGAAGACTCTGTCGAAGGACAACGACCCCGTTCTCAACGACTTGGATGCTTTCGAAATGATACGTGCGAATCTGATGTCGCCGGCTGGGGCCGGCATCGCAAAGCGAAAGATCAAGATTTCCACTATAGGTAGGAGAGGTTTTCTGTTAATGCTTCTTTTCAACTACCGCATTTGGATCCTGATACCGGCGCAGATAACTATCAAGGGGAAGAGAGTGATATTGTCATCGCAAGCTTGACGCGGAGCAACAAAGTAGGAGATATAGGCTTCATGGCCTCACCCCAACGTGTGAATGTGCTATTATCGCGTGCGCGGAACGCTTTGATCATGATCGGAAATGCCGAAACGTTTATGAACAGTCGCAAAGGCAAAGAAGTCTGGATCCCATTGATGGATCAGCTGAAAAGAGAGGGACATGTCTACGATGGCTTCCCTGTAAAATGCGAGCAGCACCCGGACAAGAAGGCACTTCTTCGCACAAAGGAGGCTTTCGATCTCGTGTGTCCGGATGGGGGATGCTCTGAACCATGGTAAGCATCCCAAGAAGAATATCATTGCAGCGCCCTGACTTCTCCAGTGGCACAATGCTCAATTGCGGTGTCCATACCTGTCCTCATCGTTGTCACCAGCTGCAGGACCATTCTAAAATGGATTGCACGTCGATCATCACATCCACCTGCCCACGAAACCACAGAATCTCGAGAAGATGCCACGACAAAGCAGCAGCGACTTGTCAGAAGTGTGAGGCCGAAGCTCGATTGAAAGAGAAGAAGCGACAACGGGACCACAAGCTGGACCAGGAACGCCAGGCAAAGCAGCGTGCATATGCCGTGCGGCTCGCCGAGCTCGATGATGAGATCGAGCATCAGAAACGGTTGCTGAAAGATCAGGCGGATGCGAGGGACCGCCAAAATGCTCTGACTCAGAAGAAGCAAGATCTCGCGAATCTGAAGGAGAAAGCCAGGAACATGCATCAGACGACCTTGCCGTCCAGTCCAAATAAGCCTGCGCCTCAAACCACTCAACCGGCCGGGAAACCCCATGGGACACCCGCGCAGTCCCAACAGCCTACCGCCCCATCCCCTAGCGACGCGGAAAAAAAGACTGTAGCCGATACCTCTGCGAACCCGCAAGATGAGTTGCCTGACTGGGACAAGAGCGAAGCAAGAGACGAGTGGCAGTGGCAGAAGGAGTTTGAGGGAGCTGAGAATGACCCACTGGATAAATTAATGTCAATGATAGGTCTGTCAATGCCTCCTCCGTATAATGGGTAATGCTTACGCTCCTAAAAGGGCTAGAATCGGTCAAGCAGCAATTTCTGTCCATCAAGGCCAAGGTCGACACAGTTGTCCGTCAAAACGTGTCTCTCAAAGGCGAGAGATTTGGGGCTGCTCTATTAGGAAACCCCGGAACAGGTGACTCCACATCGCCGATGGCCCAGATGCAGCTAACTCGAGATAGGGAAAACAACCGTCGCCCGCTTGTATGCTAAGTTTCTCGTCGAGGTTGGAGCGCTCCCTGGGGACCACTTCTTTGAGAGCTCTGGATCGGCCCTGGCCAACGATGGCGTTTCCGCTTGCCAAGGACACATCGACAAGATCCTGGAGCAAGGTGGCGGCGTCTTCTTCATTGATGAAGCTTATCAACTAGTCTCTGGAAACAGCTATGGTGGCAAAGCCGTCCTAGATTACCTTCTTGCAGAGATCGAGAATCTCACAGGAAAGATAGTCTTTGTACTCGCCGGCTACCATAAGCAAATGGAAGCCTTCTTCGCGCACAACCCTGGCATTCCGAGTCGCATTCCCATTCAAATGGAATTCCAGGATTACAATGACCAGGAGCTTCAACGTATCTTCTGTCACTACATCAACACGAAGTACAAGGGGAACATGAAGATTGAGCATAGTATGGCTGGACTCTACGTGCGGATAGTCGCTCGTCGCATTGGCAGGGGTCGCGGCCGGGATGGATTCGGGAACGCCCGCGAAGTGCAGAACAAGATTTCACAGATCACGGAACGCCAAGCGAAGCGCCTACGCAAGGAGCGGAAAACTGGGGCCAAACCGGACGATAACCTTCTCACCAAAGAGGATTTGATTGGCCCAGAGCCTTCATCGGTGCTCAAGAATAACGCCGCATGGACAAAGTTGCAAAAGCTAATCGGCCTTACGTCTGTCAAGGACAGTGTTCGCATTCTTCTGGACGGTATCCAGTACAACTATCGACGAGAGCTTGAGGAAAAACCATTGGTACAGTACTCGCTCAATCGATGCCTCGTGGGCTCGCCTGGTACAGGAAAGACATCTGTCGCTAAGCTGTATGGCAAGATCTTGGCTGACATTGGACTCCTGTCCAGTGGCGAGGGTAAGTGTAGCTACAAACACAATTAGCAACATCTAACATACGTCAGTCGTCGTCAAGAACCCGGCAGATTTTGTCGGAAATGTACTGGGAGCATCAGAAAGCAACACCAAGGCTATTCTTGCGTCAACCGTTGGCAAGGTTCTCATCATCGATGAGGCTTATATGCTGGCGGGAAGCTCTACCGCTGACCCATACAAAACAGCCGTCATTGATACTATAGTCGCAGAGGTTCAAAGCACGCCTGGCGAGGATCGATGCGTGCTCCTTCTTGGATACAAGGACCAAATGGAAGAGATGTTTCGCGACGTGAATCCAGGCTTGGCCAGACGCTTCCCGCTCGAATCAGCATTCGTCTTCGAGGACTTCAACGACGCCGAGCTTCGCTGTATATTGGAACTGAAGCTGAAAGATATCGGATATACCGCCACCGACCAAGCGAAGAAGGTGGCAATGGAGATGCTCCAAAGAGCGCGCAACCGAGCGAACTTCGGAAACGCCGGCGAGGTGGACATTATTCTCGATCGAGCAAAGGCACTGCATCAGAAGCATTTGTCCAGCGGGAAGGTTAAGCAGATGGACACATTCGAGGCCATTGATTTCGATCCGGATTTTGATAGGGGCGAGCGCGCGGCCACAAACCTTCCGCAACTATTCCAAGACGTTGTGGGATGTGAAGACTTGGTCAAACAATTCCAAGGTTACCAGACCACGGCTGCGAATATGAAGAGACTTGGCATGGATCCCCGCGAACAGATACCATTCAACTTCCTTTTCAAGGGTCCGCCAGGTGAGTAAACTCTTTCGCTCAATCAAGCTGGCAGGATGCTAACATGTATAGGGACCGGCAAGACAACAACGGCGCAGAAGATGGGGAAGGTCTTCTACGATATGGGCTTACTCGGACAAGCGAAAGTCATTGACTGTTCTGCGACAGACCTGATCGGCCAATACGTCGGACAGACAGGTCCTAAAGTCCAGAAGCTCTTGGAAAAAGCACTCGGCAAGGTCCTCTTCATCGACGAAGCCTACCGCCTCGCCGAAGGCGGTTTCGCAACTGAAGCTATGGATGAGCTTGTCGACTGTCTCACGAAACCCAAATTCGCACAAAAGCTCGTCACCATTCTCGCTGGATATGACAAAGACATAGATCGCCTAATGTCAATGAATCCGGGCCTTACTAGTCGTTTTCCGGAGTCGGTCGTCTTTCCGCACTTAGAGCCAGAGACGTGCCTGGACCTCTTGACCAAGGTGCTCCAGAAGAAGGCAAAAGAGGCCCCACTTGACCTTAGCGTACTATCATCTCCCTCGCCCAGCCTCAAGCAAAAGGCCCTTGACCTGTTCCAGCGGCTTTCGGGCTTGGAATCCTGGGGCAACGCGCGAGACGTGAAATCCCTCGCGAAAAACATGTTTGGCGAACTCATCAAGACACCTACACCAATTACCAACCTGGTGCTCACGGAAGACGTCGTTCTTCAGACTATGGAAGCCATGCTTTCCGAACGTTCGCGTCGCAACGAAGTAGTTGGTACAAGCCGTTTCCCAGCACGCCCACCACCACTTCTGCCGCCTCAAGCGCAGCAGCAGAAGCCGCCAAAGGCACTCGCCTCTAAAACAGCGACCAAATCAGCGATGCCAACAACCCAGGCGCCGAAGACACGCTCAGCACCTCCGCCACCAGCGCCCAAGGCTGAAAAGCAGAAGCCTGCTCCTGAAACCGCTAAGAAGGCCACCTTACCTGGCGAATCAGACCCTCTAGATGCCATCTTCAAAGCAAAGCGAGACCCCGGCATCTCTGACGCAGTCTGGGAACAGCTCGAGCGCGACAAGCGTGCCGCCGTCGCCCGCGAACAAGAGTACCGCAGCTTGCAGGAAGAGAAGCGGCAGGAGGAACAGCGCATTGAAGAACTCAAAAGGGCTGAGCAAGCGGCGAAGGACGATGAAGAAAAGCGGCGCCGCGAGCAAGAAAGAATTGAGGCGGAACTGGAGAGAAGGAGGAATGAGGCGATTCTGGCGGAAATAGAGAGACAGCGGCAGAGGGAGATGGCGGCACAGAAGAGGATAAGGGAACTGGGAGTTTGCCCAGTAGGTTTCAGGTGGATTAAGGAGGCGGGCGGATACAGGTGTGCTGGTGGGAGTCACTTCCTTTCGGACGCAGCATTGGGGCTGTAAGAGTAGAAGAAAGGTAGCATTCTCAACCAGAATGACTCATGAACGCCTAGCATGCAACGCGGCAATTTGAAAAAAAACGTTGCCATACTGCTCCAATAGCACCATCAGTAGCTCGCTCAATTACGTCATTGCTTACATCTCCGCCCTTCAGATCTCAGGTCGATCAAGAATACACGAGCAGCGGCTGAACTATGACTCAACTCAAAAAGTGTGCACGACCTAAGTGCTTACCTTGGCAAAACTACGCTCTCGCAATTTATATTGTCACCGTTCCTCGCAAGTTTCGTATAAAGCTCATTGTTTCCTCTTCTATGTTCTATACTCCGCGCTTGTTATCGTCCTACAAATACGGAAACCCTGATTGACGGGATTATATGATGGAGCCTGCGAGAACACCGATCCTGACGGTCCCCTCCCTCTCTCCAGACTCTCATCAAGCATCTTCAAACAACATGGGTCGAAACCCTTTCAATGGATCGGCCGACGGCTCCTCTTCCAACTTCGACCGCCTCGTCGCGGATGCAATGAACTACTGGCACGCGCCAGGACTCGCTGTAGCCATTGTAGACGATAAGGATATTGTCTCCAAAGGCTATGGTGTTACACGACTCAAGAACGATGACCAAAGTGACGAAAACGAGATGGAGGAAGTGCCTGTCACGCCGGAGACGCTTTTTGATATTGCAAGCATGTCCAAGAGCTTCACAGCCGCGGCGATGGCATTGCTGGTCGAAGACGAAGAGCTGAAGGATGTGAGCTGGCGGACGCCAGTATCGAAACTTTGCAGCGACTTTGTGTTTGAGAATGAGTTCGCGACGGAGAATCTCAGCGTAGAGGATATCTTGAGCCATCGGAGCGGGCTTCCGGGGTATGCATGAACACCCACGCATTGCATGTGCAAATATGCTGATCATACGTCGTAGGCACGATGAATTTCTCCGTAGTATTCGTCACAACACACCAGACACTCCCGCCTCCCTCACGCGCAACCTGCGCAATCTTCCCTTCACCCGCCCCATCCGAACCGAGTGGCAGTACAGCAACACGCTCTACACAGCAGCAGCCCATCTCGTCGAGACCTTATCGCACACCGACTTCGAAAACTTGCTTCGCTCCAGGTTCTGGACGCCTCTTGACATGCGCCGTACCTATCTTGGCCTTGAGCGAGTCCCAGCTTCGGAGAGCAACCACGTCGCTCATGGTTACGTATGGCTTCGCGAGAAAGCGCAATACAAGCCTCTGCCGCACTATCCCGAGCCTGAAGGCATGGGCGCAGGCTCCATTATCTCCAACGTAGAAGACGTCGCGCGGTGGATCCGTGCATTCATTCACCGTGCGCCTCCGTTATCCGACGCGTCGTACACGGAGCTCGCAACGCCGCGCATTTTGGAATCTAAGACGAAGGTCCCGCGGCTTAGCCCCACATTCTACGCTCTCGGCTGGGAAGTGTCGTACTACCACGGCCATGCCATCATCCAGCACGGCGGCCTCTGGGCCGGTTTCTCTTCGCTCATGCTCTACATCCCGAGTAAAGAATGGGGATTCGTGATGATGGGGAACACATATAGCGCTGGGGAAGCCATCGCCGACCTGCAGTGGTACCTGGTTGATGAGGTGCTTGGAATACCGGCTGCGGAGCGGTTCGACTGGCGTTCACATCTTCAAAAGGCCGATGATGATGGTTCGAAGGCAGACTCGAAAGAAGATTTGTATCCGGAGCTGCGAGAGCGCGAGGGCCCTTCTTCGACTGATCAGCCAGATCTTGAGCCGTTTGCGGGCACGTATCGAAACAAGGGCTATCATGAGATCGTGCTGAAGTATAATTCAGCCCAGCGGCGTCTGGAAGTGGATTGCTCAGATCGCTCCTTCCAGTTCCGCCTTGCGATAAAGGAACACGCGTACGAGCACTGGTTCGTAGCCGACATGATATATGTTGAAACGGAAGATAAGAGGACCATGCGATGCAAGTTCGAATGTAACGAAGAGGGGGAATGTCAGAAAGTCGGATTGGGAATTTGCGAGGAGTTGGATGGTTTGATATGGTTTGAGAAGGTGGCTGCACAGGAGTAGGTTTCTCAAGTTCGTTATAGCTGGGAATTCTTCTCACATTCAAACGGTGACGAGGTGCCGAAAGTTGCTCGCTTGGACTTCAGAAGGAAATACCGGCGTAAGGCGGGAACCATGAGAACCGCAAGGCAGAGGCTATGAATATCCGAGCGCCAGAGATAGTTCTTCCGTTCTGGCCGGCCAATCATGTCAGCATCGTAGTCGGCAATGTTGACCCACAAACCGATGGGACAGTCAGGCAGGCGCTAAGAGGGCGATCGTATGGTGTTCGTCACTGCAGAGTACCTCGGTGTTCCACTTTCGGGATGAGTATGTATCCGAAGCATTCGTACCGCTTTCAAGTCGCATCCTACCGCTTCCGCCCAAGCGCACCATGTAGAGCTAGTGACGACCTCAGATAGAGTTCAACAGCGATATAATGCAGCGGGACCCTGTGGTGATGTAATAGTTGGTGTTTCACCCGATCTGGAGCTTGTAAGCTGATTCCGTTTTTGACCCATCTTTAGGATTGCCATGCCCGACTTCCGTGTTTCCACCCATCCACTAGCTAGCTGTGCTGTAATGTTCACAACTAGAGGCAGTAGCCGCTGCGGTAGCCTTCCACATCGCATCAAAGCAGATGTCAAACACCCGGGGGGAAGCGACAGGGAGACATACAGCTACAAGCACCAACAGTTCGGTGAATGATATATCATCCGTGCTTGTATCGCCTCGTAGTTGGTGGTTGTAAGGCATGAAGTAGACTTCGTTGACCCCTCCCGCGTCAGTGGACTTGCGCATTATAAAATTCCGATGATGCTGTATGATATATCTCTGCTTGCCGGCTCCTGTAGGTGTTTATGGTCCAACCGAAAAAGTCTCAGGTCCTCAGAAGCGATAGATTGCCCCCGATCCAGGCGAGTGTCAAATCTGCGCAGGAGCCCTAGCGCTGGGAACCATAACTTATGGGTTGGAAGCCATGTCTCTCTGTCCTTTTAGATAAGGTCACCTCCTCTGGGTAAAGGGACGGAGAAAGCTTGAAAGGTTTGCAAAAGAGCGATCCAACCTGCCCGCGAAGGTGTATCCGGTAGTATCCCATCTCTTCGGGTGGATGTAGAGAGCCTTGCAGACTCCACCAGGGAGGGCACGTTAATTCTTCTGAATGCGTGAGTATCTCTCCAGATACGAAGTCTCTTCGAAACGGAGCTCTGATCGTTGTCGTCGACGGCCTTCAACGTAATATGTCGCGGCGATAGGAGATTTCGCCATAGTAGCCATAGGCTTAGAACTCTAAATAACGCAATCATGGCTAACCTGGCAGCTAACCATGTGCCAACAGTATAGGCAATATCAAGGGATCCCGCCATGTGTGAATGAAAAAGGCTGATGTTAACCTGTTTTTGAACACTCGTGGTGTTCGTGGTGCGACGTCTGCTGATGTTCTGGGGAGGCTGCCACTTTCAGCCTTGTGGCGTTCTACTGCAGCTACGCTGGAAAGCTTGATGTGCGCATGCGGTTCGGGAACTGCTCCCTCCAATAGTGCCCTTCGCCGTAATCGTTGAAGCACAAAAACAACCATGACTCTTATGGCTGAGTATGTGATTGGCGGCAATGGCAATCCGACTATTGTTCTAAGTCCAGCTCAATACTCGGGGAAATCTCTGTCCACGCTCTCCCTCCACGCTTTCAGCCCGCCTTTAATATCGCCGATCCATCTCTGACCGCCGCTGTCAAGGCCAAGGTTCTTCATCCTTTTGACTGTCAGCTGGGAATCGTTGCCCAGTCTGCACACTACAAAGATCGGCTTATCAGGGTGGCTTTTTAGCTCCGACACCCAGTCCGGTTCTTTGGCGTTCTCGACGGCATCATCTGGACGAATGACGGAGGACCCAAGCGTACTAGAAACTACAGAGAATGGTATATTGACACTTCCTTCGAGGCTGCAGAGGTCGAACTGGACTTTCTCGCGAACGTCAACAAGGATGTGCCCGTCTTTGCTAGGTTCCCTTCCTGTGAATGGATTAACGTCCAATCTGAGCTTCGCGTAATTCTCTGCCGATATGCGTTCATTGGGACCAAGGGTGTTGACTGGGTTGATGCTACCGCAGAACTGAACGTAATCTAGGCTTCCAGAGTTGAGGGCCTCGGGGGTCACGGTCGCCTGTGCGGAGCATGTTGCGCATTTTGGTTTTCGGGTGCGTAAACGTATCGTCCGGAACATCGGATTAGCGTAAGCAGAGAATATGAGTAGACTCGGAGGATCCACAGACGCTGCACCGTTTGTGGGTAGAGGAGAGCTGCGTGTCAGAACCTTGATAGCTTCCAAGGCCTGGAGTACGCCCATTACCCCGACTACAGGCCCCAAGATCCCGCCATCACCACACGACACGACTGACTCGGGAGGTGGTGGCTTAGGAAACACGCAACGGTAGCATGGACCGCCGGCTGTATCTCCTGGAGGGAGAGGGGGGTTGTTGAGGACCATCAGCTGGCCATCAGTTCGCAGTGCTGACGCTGAGATCAAGGGTTTACCCAGGAGTACGCATGCGTCGGAGATTAGATAGCGGGATGCCGGCGTATCCGTGCAATCAAGGACCAGGTCATATGGCTTCAAGGTAGGTATGGCGGTCTCCGGAGTAAGCCGGCCATGATGAGGCACAAGCTTGACGATTGGATTCAGCCTGTGGTTATATCAGCAAAGAACACCAGTTTTTTTAATAACTCCACTTACGAATGAAGGGCAACCACCGCGCTGTCAACCTTCGTCATCCCGACTCTTCCTGTAGAGTGCAGAATCTGCCGATGGAGATTTGACTCCTCTACGACATCTCCATCAACCAGCCCGATCGTTCCTACGCCAGCTCCCACTAAGTAAGCTGCGGCTGGGCATCCGAGCCCGCCGACCCCGATTATCAATACCGAGGCATGCCTCAAACGAAGCTGGCCTAGAACGTGTGGGAGCTATGGTTAGTTGAGGTACATCTTTCTGCGGAAATAAAATTGTGTTTAGAAAGAAATACGCAAGGAATATACCTTGCAGGCCTATTTCAGGCATGATGAGCTGGCGCCCATAGCGCTTGTACTCGGTCCTCTCAAGAGGCCATCTTTTGGTAGCCTGTTGCGCGTCCTCGTCTTGCGATAAAGCCGCGAAAATCTCAGTTCTAAAGTCGTCGTGTATGCCATAAGTGAAGTCATAGGCCAGGGGGTCCGGGGCTTTTTGGGCACTGCGTTGCAAGCGCTCTTGCTCTCGTTGCTGCCGTTGCTGATGCTCAGCTTCCACGAGCTGCCGACGGAGATCTAGCAGCTGCGCTTCACATGCTGCAATTTGCTGGCGTAATGATTCAAGTACCGAAACGGAAGCCATGATGCTTTTGGGGTTTGGAGTGGTGAGGGCGATTCCGATTCCTGACAGATAATCTCTAATCGATAAGGCGAGGCACTAATCTCTTTATGGGATGGTCATGTGACCCTCTTCCAACCGCTCCTTCTCCATGATTTCACATCCACCAACAAGCGCAAGGCGTGGCAGCGGGGGCTCGACGGCGTGTTTTGCGCGACACAGTCTGAGTTCTATTCGAAATCAAATCCGCGGCCTGAAAATCGCAGATCCGTCCATCTTACCTCGCAAACCTGCCCAGAAAGGCAAGGCTACCGAAAGGGGAGGGATGCCCACCAACAGCTGCGGGTCACGCATAACATAGAGCCTACGAAACTAATAACAGGCACGCCAGTCATCCATATTGCCATACCAACCAAGCGGGGATTCGCTTGTGCATTCGTAGCCACGGGTTTGAAGGCTGCTTACGCATTAATTCCTGGGCCACTGTTGGTCACACTGCACAACCCACCCATGATCCGTCTCCCTGCGTACATGGGAAATTGGAGGATGTGGGATGAAGCCCACAGTACCAACGACATTAGTACCTACCGGAAACGAATACTGGGTTTGCAGACGGCGTTTGGGATGCGCATGGGACAACAGAAGGACGACGTTGGCCGGGGAAATCAAGTTTGAAACGGCTGCAGATAGAAACGAAGCCTATCAGGGACCTGCGGCACAGGCATTTCCAGGTTTCCCGCTCTAGGCAAATGCTGATGGACATTCGCCATACTCTGCTGGACGCCGCCGGCTAAGATGGCCGCCTTTGGCTTCCTCCATTGGGAAGAAGCTTGACGGTGAGCACTGTCGATTGCACTCATCACGCGAATTTTCAGAGGAGACTTCGAATTAGGAATCAGCGACATCGATCCGTTTCGAGCTTGAAAGGGCTAGCGCAGGATTCGGAGGACTGCCTGATCGACCTTTTGAGTGAAACTGTCTCACAGGGCTCCAGTAGCCGCCAGTTTCTGGAGCCCTGGATCCGGTTGAGTGGGTGCGGCGACATGGTACGAGCGGGAGATGGGCAGCACCACAAGCCTCGATGGCGTCGGCGCATCGATGCCACTTGGGCCACGGCACACTTCCCAGCTCAGCCCGCAGCGCGTGCTTTTGACGCCACGAACCCGCAGACACCGCCCGGCATCGTCCAGCGTCCAGCGACAGGCTCGCCACGGAAGGATCCCGCTGCCAACCTGCGACTAGCCCATTGTTGCCCAGACGCTCCGGAACCCTGCGTTCGTGCTGTGTGACGACGCGCCAATTTCCCAGCGGTTTGGCATCCCACCATTCCCCACCAGCGCACAACAGCCGTGAAGCCCGGCGCGGGTTGGGGGCCTGAGGCTGAGGCGGCGTTGAGCCCGATCAGCAAGGGGATTCTAGGCTGTCGCTGCCGTGGTCAGCCTGCCAAAAGCTTCTACCCGTAGGCAACGCGGCAAAGCTGGTGGGTGTACAAAACGCGCCCGACTGCCCCGCTATTCGGCGCTACCTCCATCCCGCCTCCTGACCACCCCATCACCCGTCCAAGCCCGAGGATCACCACAAGCCGACCCGCCTACACTCCTTCATCCTCACGAACGTCATGGTATGCAAAACCTGCAAAGGTCTTCAAGAGTCGGACCCAGCATCATCCGTGGAATGGGTGAACACCGGCCTGCCCAGCCTACGGCAGTCCTCGACCGGAGGCTGCCGCGCATGCACTCTTCTTCTGCAAGGAATTCTATTACATCACGATCGGTTTGCCGGCGTAAAGGAAGAGAGCATCCATGTCGTCGCCCAGTCTTTTGACCCCACATCAGGGAAGAACGCGCAAGACCATCTCTCGGTTGAGGTGAGGTGGAAAGAGGCGGGCGATGGGTGCTGTGCGGCAGGAGAGCACAAGCACGATGACGGCTATCCGGATTTGAAGCTGGAGTTCTTCACCGATCAAGGTATGCAGCTCAATCACTGGACCCGGATAGGAAGCGAATGGCCTTCCGTACCTGCCAGGGCTCTAGCCACTTATTCCGCGCTATCGAGGCCTACTGACGTTTGCAGATGGCCAGTCGTCATTCTCTGCTATCGGACGCGGACGCCATATTTCGGAGAATCCTTTACAGGACGCAGGCCTCTCCGCAGCGCGGAGTATGATCAACACCTGTCTTTCCAGCCATTCCAGATGCAGACATATCAAGCCGACAACTTTGCCGAGACGAGTGGTGGATGTCTTGCTGGATGACCCGGCGAAGGGCGTCAGACTGCATGAGTCCGAGTTCGACGACGATGAGCAGCGATACGAATACGGAGAGTATCTTGCACTTTCACATTGTTGGGGCACCGGCCGAGGAATACCGAAGACGACCAAGAAAACACTGCAAGCCCACAAAAAGCTCATCCCATGGGCTTCGCTGCCGAGAACCTTCCAAGAGGCTGTTGTGCTAACAAGATCACGCGGCTTTCGTTATTTATGGGTAGATTCGCTCTGTGTCGTGCAAGATGACCCTGCCGATAAGCTAGAGGAGTCACTAAGCCTGGACGAGATCTTCGGTAACGCATTTCTCACCATGGCAGCCACGTCTGCAGCAGACAGCAGTAAGGGGCTATTCCAGCCGAGGCCACAACCCTTCAAGATCCAAGCCACGGACAGCAAAGGATCGCTGTCCAAGATCTATGTACGAGAACAACCTTCCCACTACAGCTTCAAGGCGCCGTTTAACGAGGGGGCTCACATGAACGATTGGGAGCTTCCCTTCAATACTTCCGAGGAAGCGAATCTGCATACGCCTTTGCTGAAGCGGGCCTGGGCCTACACTGAAAGACTGCTCTCTCCACGAGTGCTACACTTCACAAAGAGCGAGATGATATTAGAATGTAGGGAAGGATACCAATGCGAATGCGGCAGGATCGACAACTCCACGTACGATTCTAGAACGACCGACTCCGTCAAGCAAGAGTTCGCGAGGGTCGTGGCTGAATGCGTTAGCCGCGGAGAGACGGCGAACAGCAATGGCAACGATAGGCGAATCGATAGCGTCGCGTCTCAGCTAGCCGCAACATCGCTCGCCGACGTGGCGCGGGATCTGAATCGGAACCGAGATGACGCTCTTCAACTGTGGAGCTACATCGTCACCGAATACACAGCACGGAACCTCACATACGATGCCGATAGACTGGTCGCTATTGCAAGCGTGGCAAAGGCGCTCTTCGAGACGCTTAAATCGGGCTACATTGCAGGACAGTGGACGTGCAGTACGCTTGGCATGCTTTGGTATCCGAACGACAGCATGCATTGCCGTCGGCCGAAAGCAAATGCAGGACAAAATGTACCGACTTGGTCTTGGGCGTCAGTGGAGGGCTCACCGATCTTCTTTGACAACTCATCTGCGATGGATCTAGCGTGCAACTTCTCCGTTCCATCTGGGGCCGCCTGGTCACCAACGACTGGCGACAGGCTTGAACTGACAGCAAGCATGGCGACCGAAGTAACTTTCCGCATCGACTCGGGAACCGAGTTCTCGCTTGTGAAGAACGGCGTCAGCGCGGAGTTTCGGCCAGATGTCATTCCGCCACGGGGCGAAGATGCAATGGAAACAGGAGACACGCTCCTCTGCGTCTTCGCCAGCATGACGTTCCGTTCTTCGATCATTGGCCTGGTGCTGAAGCAGTCAAGGTCCAACACACAACTGTATCGGCGAGTCGGTCGCTTCGAGTGCTATGAATGTCAGCGAGATGGCAGCGACGAAGAGCCAGAGGACGCCGAGTGTCTGTTTGAGTACTGGTTCCCAGAAGTTGAGGACATGACGCAGCTTGATGACGGCCCTCAGCGGACGTTCATCGTTGTTTGACCGGTCTCCTATTCTCCTTTCGTTCGTATTCGGTCTGCTTTCCATGCTGGTTTTCGGTCGCAGCCACCATGATACCAAATCGAGCCTTTTTTCTCCTCTTCCACGGTGATTCAACTCCGCCAATCATATTTTCTTCTCTTGCTTGTCAAAGTTCGAACCTAGTTCACTACCCTTTTAGCATGGCGTTAACATTCTAATCACATGATTCTCCGACAGATCGTTACCTATCGCCCTGGCCACGAACACTGGAGCACGCCTAAGGTTCGGAGAAGGGTCACTTCGTTTATCCCGTCGAAAGTAGCGCATACTTGCGCAGTCTCTCTCAAAGTTAAGATGGAGCTAAGCCTAATCTCGACACGCCATTGAAGCCTCACTTCTCGGCATTCCGAAAGAACCCGTGGACGCCATGACATATCCACAATGACTCCATCAGCACATCGCACAAATACAAATACCTCCGTAGCCGAGCCTACGTACCGAGGCCTACTGTTAAACCGACTTTCCGCGGTATCCGATCGGAGCAATACGGTAACGCCGAAATATCCGAATACAAGCAATCTTTGGAATGCTACAGCTCCAGCTGATTTCAGTATCTCAAAGTATGCGTACAATTTCCAGTCCGACGGCACATCGCGTAATAGGTCGTTGTATTTCTGGACTTTCTCCAATTTCTCTTTCTCACCATTTCCAGTCGAAAGCTATCCGCACAGTTCCATCGCTATCTCTCAACGAAGGCCAGAACTCGAGCGAGAGCTATCCCCATCATCACCACTTCACGCTCAAGCTCAATACCACCTACCAAGGACCGAATAAACCAGCCTGATACCCTTTCGCAGACCGTAGGTGATTGCGCGGATTGGAGGAGGGAGCTGGGTCTTATGATGCCTGAATGGCTTCAATGAATGACGGACCGACAGAAAGCTCATGATGTGAATAATCAGCTTTTAGGGGCCAAGTCGTACTATTAAGTCGATCCTTTCCTTCGTTGAGCGTCCTTCCCCTTCCAGACCGGAGTACAAAGCACATACGGCACCTATTAGCCTAAACGAGACACTGGCAGATGCATATATGGTCTATACCGACATCCCGGAGCTTCAGGAAGCCATCGAGTATTAATACCCTCTCCTCTTTTTCCTCGATTTTGCTTCTATTATCATACTCGCTCTATCAACCTTCCTACCATCGATTCCAGACTACACACCCATCACTCTCCATCCTATCCCCACTCCGCCAAACCAAACCCAGAAACATGCATCTCCCAACCATCCTCCTCCGTGCCATAACCCTCCTTTTCACCACCACTACTACCCTGGCCGTCCCCATCGAAGCCGGACAAACCTGTATCGGCGCAGGTAGGCCACACCACATCCACGTATCCAGCGCTCCACTGCTGACGAGGAAACGCAGGCCCAACTATCTGGGAAGACGGCAAGTGCTACCAGTGTATCGTCTCTAACCTACCTTGCTTGGGGTGTATAAGGTTTCCGGTTAAGAGTGGCCCGGTGGATCCGAGTATCTGTGGGCATTAGGGAGATGTCGGCAAGTAAGTTATCTCCAGCATTCCTACCTAGTCTGGATATGTACACTAACATGTCCATGTAGGTAGCCCTTATATTAGGCTAAAAGATAGCTGCGCGAAGGTAGCAGAGCATGGTAGCACCTTCATATAAAGGAAGGCAAAACAGGATTTCTCTCTACCTTTCTCTTCTATTCTTATCCTTCTCGCATCCCATCCCATCGCACCGCACAGCACCCTCCCTCTCTCTCACCCAGAAAGAAAGCCCAAAATATCCACCTCCTCGCAACACTTCTCTTCCAAACCTCCATCAACCAACCGCCCACCATGCTCCTCTCCCTTTTTCTCTGCCTCCTCACCACCACCACCAGCCTCGCACTCCCACTCCATCTCACTCCACGTGATGGCCAAGCCTGTACATACTACGGTACACTATCCCCACAAGCCGCACTGTAGCATCACATCCCTAACCCCAAGCGCAGGCCAAACAATCTGGGAAAACAACCAGTGTTTCTACTGCTACCAGCGCATGCTCTGCCCCCTACGCTGCGGCACCGTGCTGGTGAAATCGTCCGTAGATCCGAGCGTATGTGGTCATTAGGGGATACGCGGATACGTGCGGCGCGGGTGAGAGAGAGAGCAAGCATTGGCCAGATCGGGCGTGGGGCGAAGCCGCAAAGCCGCGAAGCCATGCAGGCACACGGCGGCGGCGGCTACCCTTTTCGAAAAACCAACACGGCGTGGGCGTACACGCCTCTGCAAAATTTCCTAAATGGCGTCACTTTCATCTATTTCGCTTCCCGAGGCGGCGGGTAGCGAAAGTCGGCCTGACATGTGGGTTTGAGGGATTCTTGTACGACCCGAGTATGCATGCGGATTTTAGTGAGCCGCGGGCGGGGCGGAGCTGCCGCGATCGGGGGCTGCGTACAGTCAGTCGTAAGGAAGTGTCGATCTGTGAGAATGTGAGAAATATCCTGGTCCCTGGCGTTCCAGATTGGGGTGAGGATGGAGGATGGAGATGCAGGGCGAGATGCAGGGACCGCGGCGCTGTTGTGAGATGCGAGGGCACGTGGGCTGATCGGTTCCAAGGTTGGACTGACTATGTGTCTCTTCTCCCGCTATGAACTATTCGGACATAGCAGTCAAGACTACATGCAGCATGCGCTACCCTACGCGCTATCCAAGCACCGCACGCGCACCAAAGCCTCCCTCATCTTCGTGCTAGTGGACCGGCAGCGCCGGAGCACAGCAGTCGGCCTGCAATATCCCACCATCCAAAAAATTTCGTTGGCTGACGCGGCCGTAGCACAGGAAAAAAAAAAAAAGGAGTGCGTCCAGCCACGTTTCTTCCTTCCACGGGCTCCAGACCGCCAAGCCATGCCGTGCATCCATACCGAAACATTTCCCTAAGCCCACATGGTCTGATTCTTGTGCTTCAGTCTGAAGTCCGGGCCGATGCCGGCGGACGGTTTAAGTAGTGTTCCGCCACAATGAAGTCTGCAAGCCACTGGGAGAGTCTGCGGCGAGTCTTAGCCGTATAGTCCGAAAATAAAATCGGGATTTTGTGTATATCAGAGGCAAAGGACCATGTGATAGACTGAAGTGCTTTTCGCATTGGTTGCGCCAATGAGATGGCAGCCATGCGGGATCATTGCACGACAGCTTTAGCAGCGTGCAGGTGGAGCGCGAGGAAAGGCACATGGCTTCTTTCTGCTTTTTCCATGTGTTTTTGATCCGAGTCCGAGAGCGGAGGAAGGAGACGATGGATTATGGAAGAGCGGGAAGAGCCTCATGTTCCGTATTGCTACGTACCTTCTCAAACGCCGACGCCGGAACCTCCATCCCTACCCTGCTTGAATTCAGATGCCCAGATGAATGGAGCCACCAGGGTTCCAATATGCTCTTCTCCACGTATATGAAAGCACTAGCATCGAGAGCATCCTCCTTATTATATTCCCAACTCACACGCGCCCTTTCCGCCCTTAGACAGCGTGACAGTCGTCGAAACTCACACGCCACTGCCTCGTCTGCCTAACAATCCCCTTCTGGCTCTCATCTGACTCTGGCCTCCGGTCCTGGTTCTCACACCTCTTCGCTGTGCTGCTGTTACCACAAAGAGACTTAGGTCGAAACAGCCTAAGATCCGGACGGAGTTCTTCGGGTGGCGGTGGCGGACGAGGCGGTGAGCGTGTTGAAGATGACGACGAGGCTAATAATGACAGCTGGGTCAATGGTTGGGTCGATGGGGAGGACTCTACGTCCGATAGCGGGCGTCGCACTATGCGGCCGTGTTCGTCCGGGATGTAGATGTAGTCTCTGTTCGATCGAAGGCTTGACACAATGTGGTCCGAAGGGTGTCCACTCACATTGCTCTTTCCCTTGGACTTTGATGCCGCTGACCTTGGGGTGAGGGCCTGCATGCTGTAGGACTCTTGGCCGAATGTCGTTCCGTGCTGGTGTTTGGCTAAACTTGCGCTCAGCATTCCGGTGTGTACGTTGTCCATGAAAGGCTTTAGAGCGGGACTGCAAGCCACGATGACGGAGAGTGCAGAGTGGCACTGTGTTGCTATGCCGTACGGTATCCTATCAAAGGATGGATCTGCCCCCGGGATGATGAAGCGTTTAAGGAGAATGAGACGGATGATGGATATAATAATAAGCCTAGCTGGCCGTCAGTAATCAGATGAGCTGGGATGGGAGTCACCTTACACTAGACGAAGCATGAATATGAGTATGACGATAACTTTCTTCCGGGTTTCTAATTGCAGGCCCGAGACTATATGAACCGGAAGCAGGATCATTGCTATGTCTGAAATCATGTCCACTATACCGGCAGTAAGCCAAAATGGAAGCTGCCGCATTGTTAGCTAAGTGCTCTCGTCTACAGAAGTTAGGTTGCTCACGCGATCGATGCATTTCCCAATAAAAACTTTCCACGGATGCGGCAGTTCGCATTCGAAGGCGACGCCCACTCCAATGGCAAGAGTCCAGCACGCAGCAACGAAGCCCATCACAACAACGGCAGTCTTGTGGAATCGCGTACAGGCAAGTCGCGAAAGAAAGCTCACAATGGAGAGTTTTGACACACTCTGTTAATGGTAAGTCGCTGAGGCACTTCTCGCCGTGTTTTACATACTATCGTGAGAACGTAAAGTATGTTCGCTCCGTATATCTTCTTCTGAATCTTTTCCTCATTGGCCAAGACGAGGAGATAGGAGCGCTTTCCCAGTCCGGAATTGACTGCTAATGAGATGGCAATGGTGCCACCTATGGCCAGGGCCTGCCAAAGGATAGTAAGCAAATTGTGCCAGGACTCCAGTCCGATCAGCGATTTATTAAGGCTTAGCTCAAACTCTTGAAGGAGCAATAGACTAGAATGAAAAGTCTCGGGTGTAGAGTGTATGCACTTACTGTAGCAACTAGAATCAAGAGGTCGTCAAAGTGTGGGGGACGCCGCATGGAAAGTCGCATTCCGAGCCTCGTGGCAACACAGAGGATCTTCATCCCATCAATAATAACTCACTCGCAGTCGTCATGAGAACTGACCAAAGTGCATGCCAAGAACCAGGTTGTCATCGCCAGGAGCGCACCATGGTCGTCGGCCGTGATAGCCGCGCGCCTAGGCCCTTCTTCGGTCATCGTAATTGAACCTCAGGCCAGCCAGGTCGGACTGCGCGAAGATTCACGTCCAAATGACGGACACGTTGTGGTCGCTGACCTGGCCATCAGATGCTGTATTAATGCGGAGAGTCAGCGGTGTCTTGGAGAGATAAAGAACAAGTGCCGCCTAGACTGGTGTATCACCCTGGGGGATAAGCGGCTCCGTGATGTGCCAGATCCTTCCGCATGGAGAACTCGACGATGGTCACAGGCCTGGGGACCCTGCCACTGATTCTTTACTGAGACTCCATTTTCGAGGGGGGGGTATTCGTTCAAAGCCGAGTGGGAATAGTAAATAAGGAGCCCTTGTAATTGGTAGACGACACAAGATCCGACGGCAACACAGTATCAGCAGCCACAAATTGCCATGCCGGTCGTGACGCCAATGTGGCACATGTACCCAGACTGCGATTGCATGGTATTTGGGATAATTGCCATTGTGCCAAGCATCGGATCCATTCGGTCGGGTTAGGATCCAACGCCAGGGTGCGGCAAAGCAAGCCTCGACCTTATGGACTGTACGCGGTAGGCTCGTCAAGCGCGCTCGCTCGAGCGGCCGCAGTCGATTTATCGCTGTGATGCTTGTAGATGTTCCAGACCTCGGGCTCCGCGACTGTCTCGATTGAACACGGCGTTTTCTGAAGCAGGGATGAGTATCCGCATTCCTGTGTAACACGCAAAGCGAACGTGCACTTTGCTTTTTGTGCGATATGCCTGTGACGACGGCTGATACGAGTTGAGGAAGGCTGAGGCGTCTGCGGAACAGAGTTGTGTGATGAAGGCTTCCAATGGATCACACCTCTGATATGCAGTTGCCGACTCATTCGGGAATGGCTGGGCCGGGGTGCGGAGTCGAGCCGTAATACCCCTCCATACCCATGCAAGACAATCAGCGCAAACGCGGCGGCTATTCAGCGTGTCTGTGGGAGCTTTTGAGATCCAGCAGTAGTCGAAGTGCCTAGACATATGTGCAGATTCCCCGGTCATCAAATTCCTCATATTGGACTGCCACTTGTCCTCCCCTCATTCACGCGTGTCCAGAATGGCTCCTATACAGAGTCAGATGAAATCAGATACGGAATCTGCCCAAAGAGCTTCGAACAGCAATGAAGAGGATGAATTTCCGACTTTGAGTCAGGATGAAAAAGACATGCGGAGAATGGGGAAGGTGCAAGAGACTAAGGTGGGTTCTGTGCGACGCGCCGACGCAGATGTGGTTTTTGACATGAAGCAGAGAAATTTTGGCTTGCTTCCTTTGCTAGGATTTACGACGATTATGCTTTGTAGTTGGCAGTCCATCTTTCCGTAAGTACATCTGCCGCAGAAGGTCAAGGGCTGCTGATGGCTGATTGCTTGGACCAGCTTCTTCTGTAAGTACCTCGCACCTCTTACTCACGAATGCCAGACGAAAGGCGCTGACCTCGACCTGTGACCGGGTTCCTAAACGGTGGAGGACCGACGTTAATATACGGATACATTTTCTGCTTCGTCGGATCGCTCGCAATGTGTGCGTCGATTTCTGAGATGGCCTCCATGTAGGTTGTCGCGTCCGGAGGCCTTGGAATCCCGGCAGTGGAACGGTCCTAATTGACGATTAATAGGTATCCCACCTCCGGGGGTCAGTATCATTGGGTGGCGCTTCTCGCTCCTCCCAAATGGAGTAAATTCCTCAGCTGGCTGACAGGTACGTTCGCGACTTGTAGACGCTGTTTGCTTCGCTCAGAGAACTGCACTTCCACGTCCTGGAAAACGTCTTAGCTAGGCTTTACGGACTGAAGCCTATCAGGCTGCCCGATACGCACAGACGCCCCCTTTTTATTCCAGGTTGCTCCTGTGGACGTGGAAGCAGAGAATCTCTCTGTGACTGTGCTGAAAGATGCGGGAGTCGTCACTGACTGGTGTCACGCACTTTAGGGTGGGTCTCTGTTTTGGGCTGGCAAGCGGGCTGTGCCTCTGGGACGTTCCTCGGCGGCACAATAATCCAAGGGCTCCTTGTGCTAAATGATCCGTCGTACAACTACCAACGTTGGCACGGCACTCTGTTGCTGTACGCGGTGCTTCTCGTAACCGTTTTTGTTAACACGATTGCTGTCCGGGTGCTTCCGGCCTTGGAAGGGGTCATCCTATGCGCTCATGTACTAGGTTTTTTTGCGATACTGATCCCGCTCGTTCATCTCGCTCCGCAGTCGTCGGCTGATTTTGTCTTCGCGACCTGGTCCAACGGATCCGGCTATGTTGATGGCTTGTCATGGTTTGTCGGGCTGACCACGAGCTCGGTGTTGTTCATCGGGTTTGACGGTGCCTGCCACATGGGTATGGGGACTTCCATTCTAGGAAGAGGACTTGAAGCTGACTTTTGCTAGCGGAAGAAGTGAAGAACGCCTCCATCAACGTGCCTCGGAGCATGTTCTTTACCATCTTCCTGAACGGGGCGCTCGGCTTTGCCATGATGATATCCATCCTGTATTGTATAGGCGATGTCGACAACGCGCTGTCAACTCCCACGGGATGGCCATTTATCGAGATCTTCCGGAACGCAACTCAATCGAATGCTGGAGCGACTGCTATGACGTCTATTTTAATAGCGATGATAATATTCGCTACTTTCGGTTACGTTGCGTCTGCGAGTCGGCAGCTTTGGGCATTTGCTCGTGAGTGTATCCCAGCCATCGGCGCAAACAACACCTTTGCTGACAACAGCTCTAGGCGACCATGGGCTTCCGTTCTCGGGCACCCTCGCGACAGTGAGTAAATGTTAGGCAGAAGCAGTGATTGGCGCTGACTGAATTAGGTGGACCGCCGCTGGGCCATCCCATTGTACGCAATAGGGCTAACCGCCCTTATCAACGCCCTTCTCGCATTGATCAACATCGGCTCAAGCGTAGCCTTCAATGCGCTCGTCTCGCTGGTTGCCGCAGGCTTGTTCTCCAGCTACGTCATATCGATAAGCCTGATGATTCGCAAAAGGCTTGTCGGAGAGCACATCCCATTTGGACCATGGAACATGGGACGAGCTGGGCTTGCGGTGAACGTGTATGCGTTATTGTACACAATCATCGTTACTGTTTTCTCGTTCTTTCCGCCGTCAACGCCGGTCACAGCAGTCAGTATGAACTGGTCCTGTGCTGTCTATGGAGGGACGATTATCTTTGGTTTGCTCTTCTGGATAGTCAGCGGGCGGAAGCAATGGCGCGGTCCACTCATAGATCGAAGGTTCGTCGAGCAGGCGCAGTCCGCTCAGCTCTGAGATCATCGGTGACCCGAGAGGCTAGGGGGAGTCAAGACAATGAGGCCAAGCAGGAGCGCGTACGCTCCTATTAGATATTGGTTTTGGATTCGACGCTGAGGCACTCTTGGCTCTGTAATGCGGTTACTGCTGCGGAAGGTCTCGCATCTTTGTCCAAGCGGCGTAGCACACGATGGGACGAGGGTGGCAGTGAGAGGAGTCTTGGATGCTGCCAGGGCCAAGACAGCCAATCTGAAACTTGTGGGTGTAGGAACAGCGCTTACGCATCAAGCACGTGGATTTGATTGCCGTCGCGTCTTCCATGGCTGTGACTGTAGCGAAGGATTGACGGTTGAGCATTGTTCAGGGCCGCACGGGCTGCAGCCGTTGATGGCACGTGCGCTCGCTTAACTCTACTCTGGTCCGAGCCGAATCTCTCGAAGTCTCCACCAGCAGACCACTGCCCAGGTACTTGCATTGCTCCAGACACCATGGTATGCTTTTCGTATATTGCTTGTGAATCTGGTCAGATTACTGATGTCCCCTCACAGGCTCCAATCTCGAGCAAAAAGCGCACCACGGCGCGCGCAAAATCCGCCCGCACGTCTCGACCGCGAATAACCCTCCCCGCCCAGGACGACGCTCTCTTTCCATCGTCTAAGAAAGACAAGCGCACAATCAGGCACTCCGCCTTCGTCAGCAAAATCGAGAAATCGCACTCCAAAACGCAAAAGCGGCGGCGGCCGAACAAAAAGCTCGTTGCCAACCTCGAGGCCCTAGCCGATGCACTACCCGGCCTAGAGAACGGGGACGGGAAGGATGAGGTTGTGGTGGGCCAAGCGAAAATACAAAGGAAGAGTTTGAACAAAAGCAGGCCGGGGGCAATGAAGAGGCTGGAGGAGCTTGAGAAGATGGAGAGGGAGAGATTCAACATGAATCTGGCGCAGATGGCGACAGGATCTGGAACGAGTGGCAGAAGCGCGAACGGAAGCTCAATATCGGATCGATGGGCAGCGCTGAAGAGCCATGTGCAAAGCACAACAGAGATAAAACCGGAGTTCACGAAGAAATGAGAAATGCCGAAGGATGTCAGTATGGACCCTTGACAATTCTCGCTTGGAAAAGCCCACTACCAAGCATCTACATATTCGATTGGAGGTTGTTAATCCCGAAGCGGCTCCGCTAGGGCGAAGCTAGCTCTAGTCGGAAGAGATTGTACCGGAAGGGCCAGGTTTTGCCTTTCAAAGGCTATATCTATCACACCCCTAACGCCAGGGTGGAGTATGAGCGACTTCAAACGGTCGGTCTTCCACTCTAGCTTCACTAATGTGTACGCTGGTGCAGTGTGTTAGTCTCCTTGCGAGTGATCTCTGCGCAACAATAGGAACCGGACCTCATTAGCTAGATATTTCATGCCTAAATGAGTAACGCAGTAAGCATGGTTCAATATCAAATATTCCTGAGTTTCAGTCTGCGTCATGGAGCGTAACCGCTGTGATCTATGGGACGCGACTCTCTCAATTCGGCGACGCTAGTCCATTTCGGCTAAGCGCCCAGGGGAACTCCAGTGATGTCACAGCCTAGACAACAACACAACAGCACGGAACCGAAGAATTTCTCGTCATGATAGCAAACCTGATACCAAAGGCTTGAATTGCTTCGCACCGCTGCGCAAACCCCCGTAGTGCCACCATTTCCCGGAGATGAACACCTGACGGGCAAACCACCTTACGCTTTTTTTCCTTCTCTGTTCATATTCTTTCTGTCACTACCTTCTCCCGATATGTCGTATATTCAAAGGCAGACGACACGAATTACAGGCGTCAAAAGCCATGAGCCTCGGGACGATGGACGGAGACACAGCGTCAGCAGCGGAACAGGCAAAGTCCCGAACGCAAAGAAGCCCAGGTCACGGCCCCCTACAAGCCTTCGCGACAAGCTTGGGTTTCTGCAAGGTCATTTGCCCCCCTCTTCGGGCCCGTATAGTGTTGGATCGATGGATATCGAAGTACCCGCCGAATCCCCACGGACGTTCTCCAACATCACCCGCGATGGCCGTCATGTACTCCAACTGGAAACAGTGCTCTTTACCCTTTACTATCCAGCCGCATTTGGTGCCGGTAGAGGCAAGGACCCAGGAGGCAGGCGAAAATGGTCACGAGAAACCTGGCTACCAAGACCCCGCAAGGAAACTGCTAAAGGATATTCGAAGTTTGCCGGCCTATCCAACTCAGTTGGGATACCTTTCCTCGCTTTGACCACTATGTTCACAAAGCTGCATGCTTTCCGAAATGCACCGCCTGCGATACATTGGCCGCCAGAGGGGAATAGTAAGCAAGACGGGTATACGATCAAGAATCAGGAAGGATCGCCGCCTGAAGGAGCCTCCGATGAGCCCACATTCCCGCTCCTCTTGTTCAGTCATGGGCTTGGAGGGACCCGAAAGTGTTACTCGACAATGTGTGCGGAATTCGCCAGCTACGGCTTTGTCGTCTGTGCGGTGGAGCACCGGGACGGTTCAGGACCGCGTACTATCGTAAACCATGCGAAGGGTGGAGACGGCAGCATGCAGGATCAGGAAAGGTATGACAAGGTCGACCACACAGAGAAAGAGCGGCAAAGAGGCTACGATAAGATTGTGGGTTCAACCGGGAGCGCGTCGCTTAGCTAGGATACTAACTTGTTCAGGATTATATCTTCCCAAAGAATAACCCTTTGGACACCTCCCCGAATAACGACAAAGGTGTGGACCGCGAGCTTCGGGACGCTCAAATCGAACTACGTCTCGCGGAGTTAGAAGAAGCATACCGGGTCCTAAGAGATATCGCAGAAGGGAGGGGAGAGGAGGTAGCTAGGCAGAACCTTCGTCAAGAGGGCTACGTCGGCGGCAGCTCTCGCGGGCTAAATGGTGTCAACTGGTCGAAGTGGAAGAATAGGTTTCACGTTGACAAGATCACGGTGGCCGGCCATTCGTTTGGAGCTGCGACAATTGTCGAGGTCCTGAGGAATACGGACAGATTCGAAAATGTCCAAGGTGGAATCATCTATGATATATGGGGGTAAGTCCTCAATGGTTGTAAAGAAGAGATGTTGACGCTGCTATAGTGCGCCCATCAAACCACCGGAGGATGATCCGAAACACAGGATTCATTTGCCTCTTCTCGGCATCAACAGCGAAGCTTTCATGTACTGGCAGCCTAATTTTGATGCTGTCATGTCTTTGATGAATGAGGCGAAGGAGCAGAAAGCGCCAGCATTCCTCTGCACAGTTCGGTATGTAGGTTGCGGTACACACTCTAGCATGTCTTAGCTTTAACCGCCGGAATCTCCTCCTAGAGGCCTTCGGCAGGGAAAGATCTGAGACTTTATAACTTCCATCCCCCAATGCAAGACATCCGCTAAGTATAGGAGTGGGTCTATACATATTTCACAATCGGATTTTACGATACTATACCCGCATCTATGTTCCTTCTCCTTCAAGGCAACAGTCAATCCACAGAGGGCTATTGATCTCAATATCAGGTATGACTTCTCCGTTCCGCTGCCCTTTCATTGCTAATTGTGTCCGTTCTAGCGCGTCTTTGGAATTCCTTAGAGACGTCACCGAAGGCGCCGGCAAATCAATCATACAGCGCTGCCTCACCGATGAGAATCTCCTGCAAACGGAGTTGATAGGCGATGTTCCCGACGAGCACAGACCCGACGATGAATTCATTGCCGCGCGTCTCAAGATCCCACACGAGGCCAGAACCCGTATGGCGGCAAAAGCCCAACGAAAGATTAAGAGGACGAAAGCACACGGCTTTTACAGTACTGGAGATGAGATATGGATGCACTGCAGGCCAGACGGCGAAGAGCTAAGAAACTGGAGGGTGAAGAATCGGTGTACCTTCGGAAGCGATGACGATGTTGGACGAGAGGAAGAGGTAGAGCTGCGAGATGAAGCGAAGGACATGGAGAGTGCGTCTGAAGACGTATCTGGAGAAGATTTCCAAAGGACGGAGGTCGGGAAATCTTCCAGCAATACGTCACAGGAGAATTGGCTGGGCTGCAAGCCTTCGTTGAAGAGCGGTCCCAGCCCAGAGCGAGAACGGCCTTGAACTTGATGCCGACACTGAAAAGGTCAGATAGTCTCCCACATATCGATATGCATGTCAGCGGCCTAAGGGTATGAATGGTCACATTTAGCACGTGACAAGACCTCAGCCCTGGCGTTTCGAAATACTCGGCCCCATCAAGAGGCCGAAGCTTGGCCGTTCACTAATCATAAAGACACAGCCCTCAGCCAAAAACGCCCACTCGTACAGCTCTCAGCTTGTCAGCCGAGGCAGATGGTATGTCGAAAGGACCACGCCCTATGTCTTGGTAATCACAGCGATGGATTTACCCGCATATCCCATGCATTCACCTGCTCCACCGTCCCTTTGAAGGGCATGCCATTTTATGAGACGCATCGGCTGCTGCCGAGCCTGTCGGAGCCGTTGCTGGAGGCCAGGATTCGCTTACCAAGACGGCCTAACCTGATCGAGAAGAGGGGAGTTACGCAGCGCCCTGATGCTTTTTGAGTGCTGAGCACGCCTTCTGCCATCTGTTTCCGTTCTTGTTATTGCGCGAGGCCCTCCTGTCACCCTGTTTCTTCAACAGCACCTTCGCATCTTGAAGAGAGCTCGGCAGACGGCGAATTGTGCGACACCTGCCCAAAGCCGAACCTTCCGGCGGAAAGAACAATACGGAATATTAAGGCGCCCTAAACGACAGGGAGATGGCGAGCTCGGATAGCGATGGCCAGGCTCCTCCACGAAAGCGCTCGAGGACAAGCGCGAATAGTGGTGAGGATGGTGGAGCTGGTGGCAAGAAGGCAAGGGGGAGACCTAGAGTGGATACTCAGGACGAGACGGCTGCCGATGTGAGTAGCATCCCCGCTTCCTCTCGCGCATCTCCGAACTGCACGCCACCGGCACCGACGGGGCATTACGGATACGATAGAACACTGCAGAGTCGGGTTGGAGTTTTGAACCTTTGGTCAATTCTGCTGCTGGCCTGCCGGGGCCGGCCACATCGGCATGATGGTTAGGGTGCCATCCCAGCCGGAACTGCACGCGTGCGACGAAGGAGATCGAACACGGAAAACAGAGCTCTTGAAACAAACTGACTGATCTTCCAGCGCCGCCGAACACAAATTCGACTTGCACAGCGAGCATATCGCCTGCGCAAGGAGACGACAATATCGTCGCTCAAGAACCGAAATGCTCGACTTCAATCTATCATCGATCAAATGAACAAGTCCTTTCTCCGCTTTAATGATTCTGCTCTCAAGTCGGGCATTTTGCAGCTTCACCCCAGTCTGGCTCAAGAATTGAAGCATGTCACGGAAACGTTCGTCGCTTTGGCAAAATCTGCTGCTGAAGGGGCTCATGAGGCCGAAGATGACTTCGGTGATGCGACGACAGATCCAGCTGCCGAAGTGCTTCAGGCTGGCGCTTCCACAGCAGGAGCGGCGCAGAACCACCAGACAAATCAGGAGCCGCAGCATATGAATATCGGATGGGGGTACACCGCGGCCATCGAAGACGCTGCAGGGCAAACGAACTTCACATCGACGAAAGAGACTGGAAATCATCTGTTCCCATCTATAAACTCACCGTTCGACAAGAACAACCAAAGCCTTGTGCCACTGCGGCGTCCAGTATCTGTTGGCCATATATTAGACCAATCCACATCCTGGACGCGCACTCCCCCAAACGAGGACCTGAATTCGCAGCACCTTCCGTTCGGCCTTATCGACATCCTGAGCCATCACGAGTACTCGCCCGGGTCCCAAAGCCCGGACATGTACTCCGTTCACGTCCCCACCCCGGATATAATACGCCTCCCGACTCCTCCATACCTCCCTAGCCTATCAACCAAAACGCTAACACCAACCTGGACCTACAGCCACGACGAAACCACCTTCGCCCGTAGGCTAACCCGCGCCGCCCTCGAAACCGGCTTCCACCTCCTCAGCGCCGCCAACCAGCGTCCCGCGGCGCTCAACTACGTCTTCAAGCTCTCTCTTCCGTATATGAGCCTCAACGCCCTACGCGAGCGCTTTAAAATGCTACTAGCGCGCGGCACAGACGAAGAGCTCGACTGTTGGGAAACGCCCTTCATCCACCTCGGCGGGGCCGGAACCCATTATCCACGAAAAGACGCAAAAGGCAACGAGGTCGCTATTCCGAACTCCTGGACTGTCCGCAGAATAGGACCTATTTCGGCGAAGATGGTTCGCGCTGAGAACTCGGCGGATCCGTCGCAGAGTCATGATTTGAATATCGACCTTACCGGGTTTGAGGGAGAGTGGTTCGATGCATATGACGTGGAGGGGTATCTGCAGCAGGAGAAGGGGTGTAAGATTGATCCGAAGGATTCATTCGCCGAGGTTTTAATCGACGAAGACCACGAACCTACGTCGAACGATGCCAATGATTTTGTCTTCGCGCATCGAGCTTTGAAGTTCAATTACTCGCATATACACAAGACTCCAAGCACGTCTAGCTCCAGCAACAGTTGCAGCCTTACGACGGCTACGTCGTCAACGAACTCAACGCCTGTCACTGACACCACGACCATCAGCAGCGGTCACAACAACGTAGACAATATCTTCGCACCACCTGATGCACCCTTTGGTCTGGATATGGGCATCAATCTCCCCACTAGTAGCACCGACCTCCCTGTGGACTTCCCTAAATTCCCCGACATCGACCCAACCACATTCTTTGACCAACCCCTCGGTCTCGATCTCGCACCTGGCTTCGATGCGCCCTTCCCCTCCGCCACTTCCTTTGCCGACGTGAACTTCGGCAACACCTCTGTCGACATGGGCACTCTAGGACTGGACCTTATGGGTGGAGAGACGAGACAGTTGCCTGTTATTAGGCAGCGGAAGAAGAAGCCGGCCTGGGTTGACGTGTCGAAGCTTATTGATGGTGAGTGCATAGGGTATGGGTTTAGGGAGATGGGTTATGTGCTGACTCTGAAACAGAAATTATCAAGCATGGTGTCTGTCTGGGAAGGTCACCCGGGTTCCGGAAGAAGGATGTCGATATGGCGTTTCAGGCTGCTTTGATCACGGCATTCTAAGGCTTCGAATGGCCGGAACATGTATGGTTGTTTAATGGGTGCTCAAGGCGCGACACTATCATCATAGGGATGGATCACAGACATTGTATCACGCTATCGCGATAACGGCCTCAAGATCACTTTGCTAGCGAGCAAACTGCTGTGATAAAGAAAATCATCTCCTTTTCTGGAGGAAGCCGTCACGTCATTTGTGCAAGCAAGCCTGTATTCGCCATACCGACGGGGCATGGCGGGAATGAGCGAAAGAGTAGGTAAGGCACGTTACCGCCAGTTCACTCACTTTAGAATGGAGTATATAGGTTTCACCTTGACATTCAGTACCTACGCACTACGGTCTAAGAGATTGGTTCGGGTTTGTCAGCCAGGATGCCAAGACCCGCTAGCCGAGCCCATAGCCTTCATCTTCGCCCGGCTGCCGTTCCCCAAACCCCATACACCGACCCGCCCCCCACGACCATCAACGTGAGGGCACTCAACGCAGTCGCACAAATACCTTCGCCTACGTCTGCCGTCAACGTAGCAAGGACGTTTGAGCGCAGTAGGACCAAAAAGCGCCTGCCGTAGCTATCCCGCAGCCTCAAGCGCTGACGTCCGCCTGCCTGGGCCTTGGCCTCTACCAACCGTCTACATCCCGAGCGACAGCCGCGCGCTTTCCGCTGCCTCGCCGAACCGTCTCAGCGAAAGTGCACACGGTATACTAGATAGTTGGACCGGCTTGGAGTCGCCATGTCGAACCAGGTCGTGGTTAGTAGTCCCCGGGCGCGGATGCGGGCGGTGAATCGTGAAGGCAAGCCTGCTGACAGCGACCACAGGGCGGCGTCTACCAGACGATCATCGAGAAGGTGATCGCGGCCTCGCAGAATGACTTCGAGGAGTTCGGCGTGGATCAGTCGACGCTCGACGAGATGAAGCAGGTATGTGGCAACGGGCCTGGGCGCCGGGCGTCCCTGCCCGCGCTTTCCATTGTCGCGCGCACCCTCTCAGACTCTGTTCCTCTGTCGCGCATCTCTCTCCTCATTGATTATTTTCCGTCGCGTTATTTTTCGCATCGTCGATTCCTCCGCGCATCGCCGGCGGGCGGCATGGCAGCCTGGCGGGTGCTGTTGGGGCTGGCCGAAAGCGGGGCTGAGTTGCCGGTCGGTCTCGCAAGATCGGGGGGGCGCCCTCATTATTTGGGTCACTTTTTATAGCCCCTTGCGCTGGCACACGCCCCCGCCAAGCGCTGCGTATCCCTGCTTTGTTGGGCATAGCCCCGTCATGTGACGCCCCGATCCGTCTCCTCTCTCCGCTTCTGCCTTTGGGCTTAGATCAAGTGCAGTAACGACATGCTGACTCATCGCGTAGGGTTGGCAAGAGAAGCTGTCTGCTCTCAAGGTCGCCGCGTTCCCATGGGACCCACAGCCAGAGCCTCCGCGCCAGCCGCCGACGGTCCCGTCCAACGTGAAGACGGAGCCCGACATGGGGCCTAACGTGTCCGCGCCCCAGGATCATGTCAACTTTCCAAATGTGGCCATCAAGGCAGAGAGGGGCTATGAGCCTCCGCTCTCCTCGTACCCGGTCAACAATGGCTACGGAGGGGGCTACAATGGCGAGCTAGCGCAGCAGCGAGCTCAAGCACTGGTCGCTCAGCGTCTCCATAACCACCAGGGAATGCCGCAACCGCAGCACCACACTGGACAGATCCCTATGCAGCATCAGCAACGCATGATGGCTGCCCAGCAGCAGCAGCGTCCGCCTCAGCAGATGCAGCAGCGCCCGCCACAAGGTCACGTCTACACCTCGCAGACTGACGGTGCTGGCGATTCCCTTGAAGACTGGAACGCGTTGAAATCGGCTCGAGCTGCCGAAGGCGACGAAGGCCGACTTGCAGCCGACCAGTACATGCGCGCTCAAGTCGATGCACTAGCTGCCCGCCAGGACAGCGGTCTCATGATGCCTCTGGACAAGATGCCGAAAGGCAGGAAACGCAAGGCAGCCACCCGTGTGCTTCAAGCCCAAGATGCTGAGAAGGCGCCATCAAGCGGTGAGGCGCGGGGTCCGGCTCGGTTTGATGGCGACGACGATGATGATCCGGATGCGATCAACTCTGACCTGGACGACTCCGACGATAATATCGATAATGGGGATGGCAGCGACGATGAGACTATGGACTACATGCTCTGCACGTATGACAAGGTGCAACGGGTCAAGAACAAGTGGAAGTGTACTCTCAAGGACGGTATCTTGACGACGAACAAGAAAGAGTAAGCATTATGAAACGAGACCAAGTGCAAGGTCCAAGCTAACGAGCCTCCAGGTATCTCTTCCACAAGGCCAACGGCGAGTTTGAGTGGTAATAGGCTCAACCGCGATGTTGCGAGGTCTACACGAGCTGTTCCGTTTCCATACTGTACCATACATGATCTCGTCTTTTCTATCTCTGTCCCTCTATCCCGCCGTCGGCCTTCCCGTGGACATCCACCGCGAGCATCGAGATTGGATACTTTTACGACACTCGCTCCACGTCAGCATCTTCGACCTGCCAGGCCGAATGTATCTCCATAATCTAAAACGGCTCGATAAAAAGACGTTTGTCCCTTTCATTTCTTAACAGACTGCGCTTGCAATGCGGCACGAATCATGGTTCGCAATGGCTTACGTTACACTTCCTTTCTCTCCGGCGTCTCGGATATCTCCACATATCTCCGTGGAATTGTCTTGAAGACATGGCGGCTCTGGGTCCGGCTATTACACACTGGTCTGGGCGTCTCTTATCTCCCTATGGAGGTGTCTTTTCAACCTTTACTTATTTATTCCTCTCCTTTTATCTTTTTCTCTCCATGGTATGACATATCGGATGTGGGCCACGGGGTTTACAGGACCTGATGAGCGTGGCAGCTCTCAGCACACCCACCCCCGGCAAATTGCTGTGCGTGCAGATTTGCAGGTCAAGCAGGTGGTGCCGGCGTCTGTAGGCGAAAGCTGGCTAGACGGACGTGTACGTTAGTATTTTTCGACCTAGGCGGGAGAGGACAGGTCATGAAGGCAGGCAGCAGCAGTCACTGCAGCTCACTAGTAGACGAATAAACACGAAAATCGGCGCTTTGCTGAAGCTTTTTCTCTATAATTGCTTCTCCCTGTGACTGAGATTGCTGGGCTACAGCATATCCTCATCGTCATCGTCGGACCCACTTGCCTCCCCATCACCCAGCATAGTCTCATCCGCCTCCTCGTCATCCTCTTCCACCAGGGGGACGAAGCGGAAGTCCACAAAGCTCACCTTCCCCGTCTCCACCTCGATCATGAACTGCAGACTCAGCACGCCCTGCGCATCCACCCGTATGCTGACCTTGGTCGCCACGCTCATGGCGCGCGCCGCCCTTTGAATGAGCGAGAATTTATAGCTCGCGCGGAGCGTCGTCTCTGGATCTCCGAGCTGGAACGTCTCCAGCAGATTAGCCTGCGGCTGTTGGTCTGGCGCCGCGGCGCTGGAAGGATTCGGCGGCGGAGGTGGCGGCGCGCGCGATGACGGTTGGGGGTTGTTGTTGAATTCCACCCTCGCGGAGCCCAGGGTTCCGGAAGACGACAGCGCGAAGTACGGTTTCCCGCCCCTCGTCCTCGCCCACAGCGTTAACTTCTCTGGAGTCGTGCTACTTAACTCTCCCACTGCGTCACATAGCCAATTCCCGCGCATGATTGTCTTGAAAGACAGATTCGCCCTGTCGAATGGTATCTCCTCGCTAAACGCAGGCTCGTACGTCGTGAGGTCGCAGGTCGTGCGGATGGTCGCTTCGGTGAGGATGATGGTGAGCGGGGAGCCGAGCGAGGTGTACAGGATGCGGCACATGTTGTTCATGCCGAGGACGTTGTTGGAGAAGGCGGTGCTGGTGGGGTTGTCGCGGGCCCAGGGGGGCTTGGAGGTGTTGGGGTCGGTAAGGCCGAAGATCTGGAGGGTTTCGAGGAGGGCGGGGAGCGAGATTTGGAAAGTGGGTGTTGCGGTGAGGTCGTCGGGGTCTTCGCCTTCTTCGTCGGAGTCGATGTGCTGAGAGTTGCGCTGGGGCCGGGGCGCGCGGAAGGTGTATGTTGTGAAGAGGGATTTGGCGAGGAAGGCGGAGCCTGCGTGGTGCTAGTTAGGAGGGACGGAGGGTGTGGAATATAAAGGGTTGGTGGAGGTACCTTCCATGACGCTGGCTTCGTCGACGGAGAACTTGAGGCCTTCGTCGCTGATTTGAACGTGCGCTTTTTCCGAGAAGTTGATGCAGCGTAGGAGCTGGTACAGCTGGCGGGCGGAGCTGGAAACCGCTGTGAGGATTGGCGCCTCGTCTTCTTCGTCCATGGTAGGGTGCTAGTTGGTGTATATGGTAAGGTGGTGTAGATGAGAGGTGTTGGGGTGGAGGGAAGTAGTGGATTGCAGTGGTAAGAGTGTTGTGGTATCTCGACGCCGCGAACTTTTATTTCATTCCCAGTAGTCTACAGCTTCACCCGAACGCCGACGAAGGAGGTACAAGGAAATTAGACGTAGACGCCGACCGCGCAGATCATGTAGACGGCGCCGAAGCTGCCTTTTCGTGAGCAATGCCGTGCCACTGTCTGCTGGATGGAAGACGTACCCGAATGCTACGGAAGCCGGCCCACCGAGAAGCGGGAGGTTGATGAAGGAGCGGTCTTGGAAAGTTAGTCGCAGTATTGGGTGAGGTGTACTTCCATTTGGGCGTACTCAGACTGAAGACTCCGGCGAGAACCAAAGCTGGGCGCTGTTAGCAGAGCTCCACGCAAGCTCCAGAGTCCCACATACAGAAGAGCAGCAGCACGAAGCCGACGGCGAACTGGGCGTCCTTCGAGACGGGAGGGTGGAAAGGCGAGGCAGAAGCAGCCTCCCAGACGTCAAGCAGGGGCGACGACATGAGTATTTCGCGGGCAATGGGTGGTCGTAGTTTGTGGTGGACGTTGCGCGTACAGTAGCGGCTTTGGTGTCCTCAATTGCGGAACGACCCCGGGCTTGGCGTGATCGACGCTGATTGGCCCGAGCGCGACGCGCCACTTCCTCAGCCCGTGAGGCGTGAAAGCAGCAGGCGCAAACGAGCGCTTTCCTCGACACACCGACAACATGGCCAACGACGACGGTAAGTCCGATTCTCACATATATCCCCTATCCTCCGCAATCCCACAACACCCCACAACGCGCTATGGACTCGCGGCACTCCGGTTCGCGCACCAGTTTGCGCAAGACCTTGGGGTACTCAACTTCCCCAGAGCCGGAGTCACTGCCCAAAAAGCCCTCCAGTCCTTTACGCAGTGACACTCCCAACTTGCCGCCTACTCCCAGATCCGATTCTTCGGCCGAAGTTCCTCTTGCACTCCTAGCTAACCGCTCACGCGCCACCTCAGCAAAGCGCAAAGCTACCGCGCCCCTCGACCCAGTTTCCCCCTCCAAACGACCCAAGCAGTCCAGCGAAACACCCTCCGATGTCGCGCCCCCAGTCAAACGAATCGTGCCCTTTCCTCAGAAGCCCGCCGAGGTCGAAGAGAGAAATGGCGAGATCGAGTTCAGGGTCGTGAACAATGATGGCAGGAGAGAGAGCACGATCATCCTTACTGGTCTGAAGTGCATATTTCAGAAGCAGTTGCCTAAGATGCCAAAGGATTACATCGCGCGTCTCGTATACGACCGCACCCATCTTAGTATAGCCATCGTCAAGAAGCCGTTGGAAGTCGTAGGGTACGTACTTCCGTCCTCCTCCCCATCTGACTAATCATTAACTGATATCCATAGTGGCATAACCTACCGTCCCTTCCACGGCCGCCAATTTGCCGAAATCGTCTTCTGCGCCATCTCCTCAGACCAGCAAGTGAAGGGCTACGGCGCCCACCTAATGTCTCACCTCAAAGACTACGTCAAAGCCACCTCAGACGTGATGCACTTCCTAACCTACGCCGACAACTACGCCATCGGCTACTTCAAAAAGCAAGGCTTCACCAAGGAAATCACGCTCGAGAAGTCGCGCTGGATGGGCTACATCAAGGACTACGAGGGTGGCACTATAATGCAGTGCTCCATGGTCCCCAAGATCCGGTACCTCGAGTCCGGCCGCATGCTGCTCAAGCAGAAAGAATGCGTCAACGCGAAAATCCGCGCCGTCTCCAAATCCTACCACATCCACCAGCCCCCCACCCAGTGGAAATCCAGCCTCTGTAAAATTGACCCCCTCTCCATCTCGGCCATCAAGGACTCCGGCTGGTCCCCGGACATGGACGAGCTCGCCCGCGCCCCCCGCCACGGCCCCAACTACAACCAGCTCTTGCACCTGCTCAACGACATGCAGAACAACAGCAACGCCTGGCCCTTCCAGCAGCCCGTCAACAAGGACGAGGTCCTCGACTACTACGACGTCATCAAGGAGCCCATGGACCTCGCCACCATGGAGGAGAAGCACGAGAAGGATCTTTATCCCAATCCCGAGGACTTTATCCGCGACGCCAAGTTGATCTTTGATAATTGTCGGCGCTATAATAATGAGACGACGCCGTACGCGAAGGCGGCGAATCGCCTGGAAAAGTTTATGTGGAGCAAGATTAGGGAGATCCCGGAGTGGGCGGTGAGTACATCTATACTCTCCCTGGCCAAGGGAATTAACCTCTCTGACTTGTAACCAGCATCTTGAAGGCGAGTTCACTGGGAAATGAGCCGTTTGTTGTATTGGCAAGTAAAGGCGTTCGTTCATCCCGTGTTTTCATCTTCATTGCGCGGCGTCTGCTTGGGGAATTTCATGATGGCGCATGTTACTGGAGGCGAGCACGGGAGTTCTGGATATGGGCATGATACCACTTGACATAGTTTTGGGCACAGCGTTCGGCAATATAGCGTTGCAATATGAAAATCTGTTGGTCTGTGCCTCCTACTCCTATCACGTAATTATGTAATTCACTCACGAGTTTGTTCTTACAGAGGTATATAAACCTCTGCCCCGCTCTATTCTGTAGACAGTTCTTCCCCTCATGCAATCCAATCAACCTACTTCAAACAAAATCCCGAAGGTTGAACAACATCGCTTGAGCCTAGACAAAGAAGCAAGCACATGTGACAAAACGCTTTGTCATTTCATACTATTTCTCTCCGCTAGAGCACGCCCACCACAGGCCACGCTCACGCCGCCGCTCCATCACCCCCTGGAACTGGTATCGCCCACCGCAAACTGCAAACTGTCTATACTATAGCGCAGCAGCCAAGCCCGGGAAAGCGCAATTTAGCGGGCCACTCAGACCGAATCAACGCAAGGCACCCCTAACTCGACGTGAAAAGGCCACGAAGAAAATAAAACAAACGCCCATCCCATTCCACTATCATCCACCTGCATCCACTTTCAAGAAGGGGAGGCGGATCAGTCTTGTTGATGTGTGTGCATCATGAGATAAGATGCCCCGATGCAACCCATGGAATCCGGAACGCCTCGCATTTTGTGCAGAGAAGGGGAAAAAAGCGAAAGGAAACCAGCCGTATTACTCTTTCCTCCATGATAGTTCATAGGAAAAGAGCCAGGTAACCAAAAAGACGCCGTGAACCCCGGGAAAATGTATGTATAGATGCATGTCGGAGATCTTTCTTTTTGTTGGGGGCGATTCGTGCTGTCGAAGCACCGGACGCTCGCAGGGGGTGTTGAGGTGTTGTACATAAGAGCAGACATTAAAATAGGCGGAAAGAACCCAGCGAATGGTCGGGCGAGCTGGTGACGAGCCGTGGGCCTAGCTAAAGGTACGACCGATCGACGCGACTCCCCGGCCGGAACGAGGTAAAGAATGGAGACAGACTTTTCGGTTCGGAACTACCGTCACCAAAGGTCAGTCAGCCTTCCATCTAGAGGGAAGCGAGATGACTTTTGTACAAAGCAAGGTAGGAACCTTTGCTTACATAAACAGATCCACTGGTTCCGCGTATGCGTACTCAGTGGCGCATCACTGCTTGGGTGATCTGTGGTGTCGTTAGCATCAATCATACTCAGGGAGGCTACAACTACGACCAGGGCACTTACGTAGGAGAGTATGTTGGGGAGGTCGGCGACCACTTGGGTGACGTCGCCGAGTAGGGAGCTGGGCCTGGACTCGTCGGCGAGAACTTGGGACTCGTCGGCGAGTAGGCGTTGGCAGCAGGGCTAGTTGGGCTGTAGACCGGGCTCGTAGGGCTATAGCTCGGCGAGGTTGGAGATGCAGGTGAGCGCCTATCACTATTCGCACCAAACTGCGGACTGGTAGGGCTGTACATTGGCGACGTCGGACTGTACGCTGGGGAAGTCGGGCTGTAGTGCGGCGATGTTGCACCACGACCACCCACTTGCGCCGGCGACGTCGGGCTGTAGCTGGGAGAGGTAGGCGAGTACGAGGGCGACGTTGGAGAGTAGCTCGGCGAGGTAGGAGAGTACGAAGGAGACGTAGGAGAACCACCATACGCCGGTGACGTGGGAGAGTAGCTCGGGGACGTAGGCGAGTACTGTGGACTGGTGGCAGCATAACCCGGCGAAGTAGCGCCAAAGCGTGGGCTGCTGAGGCCTGGGGAGGTGGGCGAATAGCCGGGTGAAGTTGGAGAATAGCCAGGCGACGTCGGGCTCGTCCCCCCAAACCCAGGACTCATAGGAGCGAAACCAGGGCTTCGGCCGCCAGCATACGGGCTGAAGCTGCCATCACCGTAGGCACCACCTCCATAGACGCTGAAGCCACCCTGATCATCTCCGCCCGGAGCTGCCAGAGGAGAGAAAGATGCATCGTACGATGGGCCACCCATTCCGCCTTCGTACGTCGGCGAGCCAAGGTCGTATGGGGTAGCTGCACCAGTGTCGTAATAATTACCGGCAGCAGTGCCGACGCGCATTTGTGTGTTGTCCTCAACCATAGTGAGCAGCATCTGATTGTCCATGACGACCTCGAACTCCCCGGTACCCATAGGCGCCAGCTGACCAAGCATGATGTTCTCCGACACACCGCGGCAGTCATCCAGTTCACCAAAGCCTGCAGCGTCCAGTAGAATCTCCACCGTCTCTTCGAAAGAGCAACGCATCAACGCGCCGGTGTCGTTTCGGTTGATACCATGACGGGTGATAGCCATGAGCAAGCCTCGCTGGGTCATGATGTCGACAAGAAGAGCCATGTGTCGGTGGTTGACGTAGGAACCATCGAAAGAGAGGACCATAGCCAATTCCTTCAATAGACCAGCACGGGCGGCTTCAATGCCGAGAACTCCGAGAATCTCGATGAACGAGTTGGAATAGGTCGATGTCGGATCAACACCCTCGACCGCGAGGACATCAGCAAGAGCGGTGCCAGTCGTATCCAACACCCACTCTTTGCAGCGATCATCCTCCTTCTTGAAGAACAGCGACTTGTCCGGTAGCTCGATGACCTTGCTATCAGATCGGATGAAAGCACGTTCCACACCGCGGACTCCACGCAAGGTGACATCATCAAGCAAGTGCTTCTCGAGCTTGCGCATCCATCGCTCATCTCGATCATCCTCCTCGTCATCCTCTTGCTTGAGGTTGTGGTCCCAAACAAATCGCACGCGCAAGACTTGCTCGTCTGCATTCTCGTCGCTGAAGATGACCGCGATATTGGGAGCGAATTCTTCTTTGATCTTTGCAGCAACCTCAGTGATCGATATACTCTTGTCCAACAGCTTCTTTCGATCCAAGATGATACGAAGGAGCCACTTTGACTGCTGCTCGATATCGACGTCCTCTTCCGGGATGATAAAGTAGGATTCAACCATGTCGGCGTCGGCGTCGATAAGTGTTGACTGGATGTCGGGGTCGTAGTAAAGCTCCACCGTATGAGTCAACGAACGCAAAGTCGTGTGCTCAATTCGACTTCGGAGAAGCTTCGCGGTTTGCTGCGTGCCATTCTTGTCTTCTTGATGAACTAGCATAGACGGAGTCTTGATGTTGGCTGCGATGTTGAGAATTTCCTTGAGGCGTGGTACACCAAGCGTGACGTTCTTAGATGACACACCAGCAAAGTGGAAGGTGTTCAGCGTCATCTGTGTTGCAGGCTCGCCAATGGACTGCGCCGCCAAAACACCGACCATTTCTCCAGGAGCCACAGCAGCTTTAAGGAAGCGTTTCTCAATATTGCCGATGATGCTTTCCAATGCTTGTTTGCTTAAGGAGTATTCGTTGACCATGCGCTTGAAGGCGAGCTTGGACCGAATCAAACACTTGAACAGCTGTGTCGCACTTTCTTGGGCCTCCGCGGACAAGGTTCCACTACCACGGATGACCACAAGCCTGTCCAATAGGTCCCGGACCTGTTGGATGGCTTCCACGGGGTGAAGGTCGCTTCTGGCGTTATCCTTGATTTTGAACACGTTACGTGCGTTCTCGATAATGCGTTGGATATTCAGTGGCAGTTGGAAATTGGTATCGTCCTCCACGAGTCTACCGCGCAAGAAATTCCGATCCTGTTCGAGTTGTGCCCACTCCTCATCGAGATACCTCTGCACTTCATTGTTGCTCTGGATCAGAGAAGCGACTTCCAGGCGGCTGGTTGGAATGGGGGGTTTGCTGGTGTTCATGACATCCAAGTGGAACCGGTCTCGGAACTTCTTCTCCGAGATGGTGATAGTATCGATCTTCTGCTTCTCGATATGGGCCCCATCCAGGCCATCCTCGCCGTAGATGAACTCGACGATATCACCCATAGAGTTACGGACAGTGCCGTCGTACTTGACCATGACATCTTCAAGTGCCTTCACTAGGCGACGTTGGATGTAACCGGTCTCGGCCGTCTTCACGGCCGTGTCAATGAGACCCTCGCGACCAGCCATGGCGTGGAAGAAGAACTCAGTCGGCGTCAAACCTCGCAGGTAGGAATTCTCAATAAAACCGCGAGATTCGGGCGAATAGTCGTCCTTGGTGAAGTGAGGAAGCGTACGGTATTTGAATCCGAAGGGAATACGTTGGCCTTCCACTGCCTGTTGTCCAACGAGAGATACCATCTGGGCAATGTTGACGTTTGAACCTTTAGAGCCGGAGTTCACCATCTGAACGACGTTATTGAAGGGTTGGAGGTTCTTCGACGCGGCATTGCCACCGGCTTCACGGCCTTCGTTCAAGGCTTTCTGCACCTTAGCTTCGAAAGTTGCGCGCACAGTCAAGCCAGGGTTCGGCTCCAGCTCGTCTTTGGTAGCCTTTGCCACGATCTCCTCTACTTCCTCCTTGGCCTTAACCACGGCGTCCATGATCTTGTCGGATGTCATTTCGTTCGGAATGGTGTCGCCAATGCCGATGCTGAAGCCATTGTGAAGTAGCCAGTAGTTGACAATTCGCTGCGCCGCGTTGAAGAAATTCACTGCCTCAACCGGTTTATGCTCATTGAAAATAATATGGATGACACCGCCCGCAGCAGCACCAACAACCTTCTTGTTGAGTACACCGAAGATCACTTCACCGTTTTGGATCAGTAAAGACGAGTCACTGAAGTCGTCGTACGGGTCGGGTATATCATCGCCAGGACGAATGATGTTGATGCCGTCTTTCAGAGCCATGCTGATGATCTGTTTGCCAGTCCAGCGGAGGGTCGGCTTGAGAATAGCAGGGGTAGGTACGATCCCGTCCCAGCCGGGCACCCACATCATGATAGCCATGACTTGCTCCCGCGACAGGAAATTATCTTTGTGACATATTTTGTAAATGCCACAGAGCGTGTCCTGTACGATACCCATGAGCGGAGCGTTCTTCTGGGGAGACACAATTTGCAGAGGCACCATGCAGAGATTTTTAATCTCCGCCCTCGTCTCGTCGCTCTGGGGAACGTGCAGATTCATCTCATCGCCGTCGAAATCTGCGTTGTAAGGCGAAGTGACGGAAAGGTTTAGGCGGAAGGTCGAGTATGGCATGACCTTAACACGATGGCCCATCATAGACTCCTTGTGCAAGGAAGGCTGTCGGTTGAAGATGATGACATCATCGTCATCGATATGGCGCTCAACTTTCCAGCCATACTGCAGTCGCAGGTCGGCAAGGTTCTTGTTGTGCTTGAGATCAAGACGCACACCGTCAGTCTTGATGACGAAGTTGGCACCTGGGTGCTGGTTTGGTCCGTTGCGCACGAGCGCTGTTAGCTTGCTGATGTTGAACTTGGTTACAACTTCGGGATAAGTGAGTGTCCGGGCAATCGAACGCGGCACACCGACCTGGTCCAAAGACAGATTGGGATCGCCCGTGATGACCGTACGTGCGGAGAAGTCGACACGTTTGCCCATCAAGTTGCCTCGCAGACGACCCTCCTTGCCCTTTAGGCGGCCGCGGATTGTCTTCAGTGGCCGGCCAGACTTCTGCATCGCTTGAGGCACGCCGTTAGCGTCATTGTCCATGTAAGTCGCTACATGATACTGCAGCAGCGTCTCGAACTCGTTCAAGATGTGCTGGGGCGAGCCGTCTCGGTGGCATTCTTGCACTCGGGCATTGGCGCGAATGATGTCGCCTAGCTTGTACGTTAGGTCGTCTTCGCCACGCATACCCTGTCCCGTCCCATCGACCGAAATACTAGGGCGGACCGGCGGTGGAGGAACGGGCAGCACAGTTAGGACCATCCATTCAGGGCGAGCGTAGTCGGCGTTCAGCCCAAGTAGACCAAGCGTGTTGTCCGAGAGGTTGCGGAAGATGTTGAGTGCGTCCTGCGGCGTGATGGGCTTCCGCTCCTCGCCCTTGCCTTCGTCGTCGTCCTTGCGCGGCTTGTACACGGCGATCAGCTTCAAGCCTTCTTTCCGGATTGCGTCGGGCTGGCGGTTGCCGCAGCCGCCGTGGGGCATCTTGCTGGCCTTCTTCGGGTCGTCTTCCGGCGGGTCGTTGACGCAGTCGCGCTTTGTCTTGGACAGCCGCCAGATCATGTCGAAGCGCTTCTTGGGGTCCTTGATCCGGATGGCAGACTTCCAGTCCGGGTGGTTCTGGCATTGGCAGTTAGCACCAAGCATTCTAGAGACCTGATATGTTCGTCTTCCGCCAGGGAAGACTTACGAAATCAGCCAGGATCAGCCCGCAGTTGTGGCACACCGACTCAAGAAGCTTCTTAATCTTCGTGATGAAGCCTGCGCGCATTAGTATGGTTCTTTCGCCCTATTAGCATGCAGCACTTACCGACATGAAAGACGGGCACCGCCAGCTCGATGTGGCCAAAGTGCCCGGGGCAGACCTGGATGTCCTCCTTGCAGGTGGCGCACGTGAACATGCGATCGATGGTGCCCAGCTTCGGGTCGTTGAGGCCCTGGGCGCGCGGCAGCTGCTTCTGCTCGTCCATAGTCTCGGGGTAGATGATGTGCACCACGCTCATCGCCTTGATCTCCTCGGGCGAGAGCAGCCCAAACTGGATCTCCTTGATGGTGCGCAGCGGGCACTTGGAGACGGACGGGGCTCCGGGCGCCATGATTGCGGTTGTGGTGCGTTGCGTCGAGGGAATTCGTTGCTGGTGTCCGTCTTATACCGTTTTACCGGTGTCGGCGGGACGAGGTAAAGCAGTCGCTGGGAAGGCGGCTGCGGTGGCCACGCCTGAAGGGGCGCCTCCTCCTCCGTCTACGTTCCTCCTAGATATGTCGCGGTAGCACTGTCGCGGGTCGCTAGGGGCTCGCTGATGCGCTCGGTGCGCGCGCAGAGATGCGGTCGAAGAATAGGGCCCGCAGACAAAGGCTGCACGGGTCGGGGGGCGCGCGGTCGTCGCGCCGGCGCTGCAGCGGGCTACGCCGGGAATTATCGCGCTCGCGGGAGCGCAGTCGATGCCGGCGAGTTGGAAGACGCGCTCGCTGATAGCAGCGCGGTCGGGGGAGATGGGCGAGGGTGGTGGCCGTGGTGTGGAGAAGAGAGAGCGGCCTGAAACGCAGCAGGAGAACATGAGCAGAAGCGGCGACAAAGAGCGCCAAGCCCAGCGGCTGACGCTAGCGCACGCTAAAAACGTCCCCCGTCAGCCTCACCACCAATTTGCCAAAACACGCGCACTCTTGCTTGCTCTGCGCGAATGGCGGGCGGCGCGACTGCAAGATGCTGCTGCTGCTGCCGCCGCTGCTGATAAAACAGACGACCCTGCTCCCTGCTCCGCTGCAGCGCCGCCATGAACCTGTCGCTCGTTGACCCCTTCGTCCTCGCCCAGGACTGCCCCGAGGTCATCACCGGCCGTCTGCGTGAGTCCTGCCCCTCCCCACACGCTCTGCGTCGCGTCATCGCCGTTGACTCACCCGCGCAGGCAGCGGCCATTCGACGTCAATCCGCTTCAGCCACCGCGGCGACCTGCTCGCCTCTGGACGCGTGCGCTAGTCCTCGCCCTCTGGCCCTCGCTGCCTGATTTTCTGACGCCGTGCAGCACGATGGCATCGTAGTCATCTTCGACATCGAGACCAACGGCGTCGCCCGCAAGCTGCGCGGCCACACGCGCCAGATCCAGTCGCTGAGCTGGTCCACCAACGACCGCTACCTGCTGAGTACGGGCCAGGACTGGAAAGTCGTGCTCTGGGACCTCAAGGATGGCTCGCGCGTGCGCACCGTCCGCTTCGAGGCTGCCATCTTCATCGCGGAGCTGCACCCGAAGAACCCGTGAGGAGCTTCGCATCTGTTGCATTGGCGTCTACTAATACCATGCAGCATGTGCTTCGTAGCCGCCCTCTTCGAAGACCAGCCCGTGCTGGTTGACACGACCGCCGAAGTCCCCGTCAAGCACCCCCTCCCTTCCGCGCCCCGCCGATCGGAAATCGAACGCGAGAACGCATCCGAAAAGCAGGCCGCACAGGACGCAAAGCAGACAACAACAGTGACGCTATTCACACCCTCGGGAGATCATATCATTGCCGGAACAAACAAGGGATGGCTGAACATCATCAATGCTACAACACATGAAATGCAGTACTCGTACAGGGTCACGAACAACATCATCGTATTAATACGATTAACACAATCGGGGAGGGATGTTGTGATCAATTCCAGCGACAGAATTGTCAGGACTCTGCATCTGCCCGACTTTTCTGATCCGAAGCTCGATTTTGACACGCTGCAGCTGGAGGTGGAGCACAAATTTCAGGACCTTGTGCAGCGCCTGTCATGGAATCACGTCACTTTCAGTTCGACTGGTGAATACGTCGCAGCATCTACTTGGATGAATCATCACATCTACGTCTGGGAACGGGGCCAAGGCAGTTTAGTGAAGATTCTGGAAGGGACCAAGGAGGAGTTGTCAGTGGTTGAGGTATGCTATGCATCTTTGCTCGAGGCGTTCCACTAATTCGCTATAGTGGCACCCCTTCCGCCCTTTCGTTGCCGCCGTCGGTGTCGATTCTGGTCGCGTCTGGCTGTGGTCCATTCTCCAGCCCCAACGCTGGTCCGCCCTCGCCCCCGATTTCGTCGAAGTGGAGGAGAACGTGGAGTACATCGAACGCGAAGACGAATTCGACATCCAGCCGCTCGAAGAGATCCACAAGCGCCGTCTTGATCAGGAAGACGAGGACGTCGATGTCCTAACCCTTGGACCCGTCAAAGCCAGCACAGAGCACGAAGCTAGCGAATTCAGAATGCCAGTGCTGCTAGATATCGAGGCCAGCGATAGCGAAGACGAGGTGGTGGCTATTGGTGCAGGGCAATTCAGGAGACGGAGTCCAGGAGCGGGCAGAGAATGGATGAACGATGACGAGGTGGGCGTAAGCGGTGATGAGGCAAGACGACAGAACGGGACTACGGTACAGAATGGCACCAAGAGGCGGAGAGCAGGTTGAACGGGTGGCTTTTGCAAAATAACCCCATTGTTTACGGAAAACTGCAAGAGTTAGGTTAGCAACATAATTCTCATAGAGAATATGGGGATCAAGATCTTCCAGACTGTTGAGAGACGATCTGTGAGTGCGTCACTCGCCTAATACGCATCAATCGACACTCTGTACCTATCTACGCAGTGAATCTGCCCCAGACTCCCAGACCCCCAGACCTAAAAATCTTACGGCCTGGCAGGCGCATAGGTATGGCACAGAACGAGGAGCGTGTTGTGCTCCGATTGCCACTTTAGGACCCTAGCGGTTTCGGCTTACCGGTCGGACAATACAGTTTGGTAAGGTGATCTTTGTCTGCTCATAGGCCGTTCCCACACACTGATTCTGGTGAGTTGGAAGCGAAGGGTTTCGGATGTTGTGACGTGACGTGCGTGAACCTTGGAAGGCAAGGCTGGCACCGCTTGAGACGGCAACCATCAGTAGGGTGTTTCGCCGTATATCGTACATATTGTACGACGCTTGCCCATCAAACTTCCTAATACTAACCCCTCAATCTTTACAGCGCCAGGACCTTGCAACATTTTCGGAGGCTTGTAGCTGTCAGAGTGGGCGACCCGTTCCTTCTTCAGCCGCGGTCGCGGCTGCGGATCTTCTGACCAAGCCACCTCGTACCTTCCTCAAATCCCAAACCACTTTCACTCTACATCGCCAAAATGGACCCCATTCATCCTTATTTTTGTCTTTCGCTTCTCCTTCGAGGTTCCATCTTGCGACGTTTTTGCTTTTCAGAATGGCTACCGTGGCGAGAAGCGCCCGCGCTCATATGAGTCTCGCCATGCCTACTACTCGGCGTGTAGCAGGTATACCTTGTGGAATCGAGCAGCCTACTCACCCTACTGATGAATTCGGTCCGCAACACAAGCTATGGCAACTCCAGGAGTGCCTTCGCCATGGGCGGCCCATCGGACAGCAAGCTGGGGTACTGCATGTACAGCCACAACATCAGTCCCCGAACTCTCCATCCCAAACCGCTTCCCTGAACCGCCTTCCGATGCAACTCTCGAGATAGGAGGAACCCATCCGTTCGAGCCTAGCATAGTGGATTTTTACTTCGCGGCTATCGAGCGCGGCGAGAAACCGACGGTGGGTCGCTTCAGTTTGCCGCAGGTTCTTGGTGAACCGGGTCCTGCAGCACTCATGCGCACTGAGAACTCTTCGAATCCAGATATTCGGTGGATCCATCTGCCATTCAATAGCATGAAATACACTAAGGTAATACTCGCTGAGCATTTCGTCAAGGCGCTTTCTGACCTAGAGATAGGATCTGATTGCTCGCGTGTGCAAAGACATCGGCTTCTCAGGAGTTGATGAGATACTCAAGAAGAATGTATTCTCTTCAGACAAATGGCTTGATCGGCTGCATCATCGCGCAGAGGGGGACGGATATCATGCAACTTACCTCGAGACAAGCTGCTTTGACATCAACCTCAGTGAGCAGTTCTGCATGCGCTTGCATGGCCTCAACACTAACTCGCCCCTGCAGCAGACGAAAACACCCGCCTGATGCACGCCCATCATACATACTTTGACAGCGAGGGGGCTTCAATGGGATTATTCGTATGCTCGCCCGAAATTCATAGCGCTTGTTCACTAATTCAACAAGATTCCATTCCTACATTGGGGCACCGAAGACATCCTCGCGCAGCGGAACATGAAACTGCGGGCTCTAGAAGCAATGCGGAAGTCGAATCTTCGAGCTTCTTCGCTTCAGCCCCCATACGCACAGGGAGACTCAAATATGCTGGATTTCTATACTGATATGATGACCGACCAGCTCTTCGACTCAGAAAACCCGCTTCATCTGCGGCGCACTTTGGATCAGTTCTATTACACGCATACACCAGATACGTCCAAACGTGATGAAGACCAAATCGTATCAAAACACGGTCCGGATGCCGACAACAAAGGCAAGAGACCAATGCAAATTGTGGATCAACTCTGGCTCTGGATATTGGGAAGCAGTACGTAGCCTACCCTAGGTCACGTTCGGCTGCTGAAAGGTCTTCAGACACCGTTATCACCTGCTTTGATCGGAGATGGGTGGAAGAGAACAGTCCGCAGGCCAACGTCTACGATAACGTCCTCTGGCAGCTTCGGCACAATGGCCAAGCCAAATGTATCAAGTCTGGATTTGAGCTCGCTCATCTCATCATTGAGCAAGCCTCGAGCTACTTCTTCAACTACTCGCATTCGCTGGAAGCAAAACTCCGATTCAAGGATATCTTCCGCAAAGTGATTGGCGAAATAGTGAGTTCTGGCACTTGACCACTACTGCACAAGCTAAACAGTGTTGCAGAGTGACGAGCAAATAAAGCTGTTTAGAATCATGGCGGACCTCAGCGGGACAGACGCCCCCATGAACTTCACTCGTGATCAGCAAAACTGCCTCTTCGACGTCCATGAGGAGTTTAACCTTCTCTACAAGATACGCGATGTCATTGACGAGCTAACCATTATGAAGCGCGTCGTCGATGAACAAATGTCCCAACTGAATCCTCTACTTGCATTACATTTCCACGATACATTCGGAAGGCACGAGACGAAGCAGGATCTCGCCATAGCTTCCGAATATGACCTTATCAGGCACGAGATACGGAAGATGAACTGGGATGAGAGAGAGTGGTTCAAGAGGACGGAGCAATATCTGAAGGCCCATCACAAGGAAATTGAGGATATGATGACAGAGACGTTGAGAGTCTACGATGCTGTAGGTTGAATTTCCTTCCCAGACCGTGACGTTCTCCACAACTTCTGAACTACGGCGTCAATCCAGGCAGTGCAACTAATGAGAACCCATAGCTTCGAGACACTATCAGCCTGAAGCAGAACAACGCGAGTATCTTCGAAGCACATGCAAGCCGTAAGGAGTCCGAAGCCGTCACCCTATTTACCTGGGTTTCAAGTATTATGGTAAGTGCGCTAGCTTGGATAAACTGCTAAGACCCTTATTTTGACTAAACGGACAGCTTCCTATGTCGTTCATCAGCTCGGTTTTCAGCATCAACGCCATTGAGCTAGAAGAAGGCGGAAAAATACGTCTAAAGGTCGCAATGGCATACATAGGTAAGTAGACGAGCCAATCCTTCCGTGGAGTGATATTTCTCACTGATACTGCGCAGTCCCGATCTCCATCGTCATCAGCGTCGTGTTCGTCGTCATTACCTTCTTCCGCGCAATCCGCGAGTGGGCGACAGACCCAATATCTTCTGGAAAAGCAAAAAGGAACCTGCAGGGAGTCTGCGCAAGCATGTCATCTACGGGTGCGAGCAAAGTTGCGCGACAGGGTTCGCAGCGCAAGCGACTTCACAGGAAGAGCTGGGTGGAGGCCGCTCCAGCAACGAACGGTTATGCAGACCCAAATACGGTTTAAGTATCAGCATCTTTGAGTACTAGCAATGCCTTTCTTCTCGCTGCTCAAGGCATCATCTGGGAGAGGACCTTTTTCTATATAAAAGCGAGTCGATCATGGAATCGCACTTCATTCGCTAACGACCTGTCAACCTTGTGCGAAGCTTCCATGTGGCAATTTGCACAGTACCATTTAGGCCAGTGCGGAACTTCCGGCATGGCATCCTTGTGCGTGGAAGGCTTGCCTCAATCATCCTTTGTGGGTTTGGTGGCTTGCATTATCGCCGTTTGCGGCATTGACAAAGACTCCGCTTGAGCGCGCGATCCTCAGCCCTTCGAATATTCCAGGGACGGTGCTACACACAGCTCACCAAACAATCTTGAACATCAAGGTTGAGGCTTGTCTATTCACCCGCGACGCGGATCGGATTCACTACCGCGTCCCATCATTGACGACATGGCCGACCCAGGATACTCGTGGAGAAGCTGGCCGTTGAGAGAACCACCCGAAAGAACTGGCAAGCCATTACTTTATGCAACCGGCTCAGTCTTGGATCTCCGGGACATCGCATATTACTGGATGAACAAGCGCTGTCTTCAGGAGCGGTGCGATAGAGATCTCGCCGGCCTACGATATCTTGGTCGGATCACATATACGCAGTATGGCGACCCTCCGGACGTCGGGCCCGATACCAGAGGAATAGAGGATGAAGAATCGCGAAGCGAAAGAAGGGCCAGTGTTTCTGCTATGCCCGACTCCAACCCCGACGCAAATGGAACAGAACGCGAACCTCGAAGTGAATCGGCTTATGAAATCACGTTTTCTACTACACCAACTCCTCTAGAGCCCATACGTCTCCGTTGGCGGATGCCAGAGGCCATGTTCCTTTCGCCGTCGAATGTCCCGTTTCCTTCTTCTACCAACCCAGTCGGCGATCCGTTTGAATTGGATGTGTATGTCGACAATACCACCCGGCAAATATTCTACCAGAGAGAGTTCAAAGGCAAGCTCGAGATATTCAAGGCCGCTTTCTACGTAACCCACACGGCTGCTGAGCTATTCAGCGGACTGTACCTGAGAAGATGCGACACTCTACCCTGCGCGGCCCCTCTCGAGCCTTGTAGCCTCTGGGCCAAGGTCATGACCGAAGTATACCACGCCGCGTGGAGGAATGATCCTTACGAGGTAATGCGCCGCTTTACCAAGATGACTGTTTCGGCGGATCTCGATCACGACGTGGTCTGCTATTTCGAGGAGGTCTTCGACGGCATGGAGGCGAATGCTCCCCTGAAGTGGCGCATCCATGAAACAGGTGCGCTTCCGGAAAGATTTCCTTTCCACCATGGAAAGACGATGGATTACCGGCTCTATATCCTGAACAACGATTACTATTTGTATGACGAGGGGGATGGCTCGTGGATGAAATTGAAGGACCATAGGGTGTCTATGGTTTCTCACGTCAGAGCACAGCTCGAAGGGGAACGAGAGGGAACGAGGGGGAATTTGCAATGGTAGGAACCCTTTGATGCAAGGTCTTGTTCGTAGTCGAGCTCCTGTTGTTTGAAACGCGAGTGCCTGGCGTACATGGATGCACCGTTCCCAATTCGAAAGCGTCGAACTAACACTAAAGCATAGGGACTGTATACGCATGGAACTCTCAGGGCAGGGTACAGTGAGCATGTTCGTATGCACGGATGAGAACAGAACGATACACAGGGTAAGTTAGGCTTCCCGCGTCGCGTGATGGTAGGTATGACACTTACACGCATATCAGCGCAAGATCCTCAAGAAAGCTAGGCGGATTCGTGGAGATCTCTCATGCGATTCCGAGGGCTTCAGCGTCGAACCTAGAGAGTTTTATCTCCACAAAATTGTCGAAAAATTTAGCGCCGACGTGTGTTTGCGCATGACGGGCGGCTCGTTCCATGATTCTTCGGATATGCCGCACTATATGTGTAAGTTCTCGTCCTCAGAGATGTTTGGCGGCGCTGAACCTTTTGCAGATCTCGAATATGCGCCTCATGGATCGTTGAAAGATGTGATGCAGCACCACATCATCAGTGCTGGCACGTTGTAAGTCTGCGAATTCGGAAGATAGATATCCGTTCTGAACCGCTAGGCCCGACGCTCCCTCTCATTTACCAGAAAATTTCATCTGGATGGTATTTCGAAATATCGCTCAAGCATGTCATGAGCTCCGCCATCACGAGCAGGCCGGGGATGGCTTCGTACACGTTGGTGAGTCCATGTCCCTGGGCGCCCCATCTATTCCGATTCTCCTAACGCGCCATAGATATTAAGCCGGGCAACGTGCTCCTCAAGCATAACCCCTCCTCCGCAGACATACACTACAAGGTCCCCATACTCGCGGATTTCGAGATATACTACCGCGTTGGACACGAGCAGATTACCTCGGACATCGGTTCCCAGGCCTTCCGCGCCCCTGGTATGTGCAGCCCATTCGCGTTATCAGACCGAACTTGTGCAGGCCGATGATACTGACTTCTCTAGAACAATACGGCCCCTATCCGCAAAGCCCCGTACGCACAGACGTCTGGCAAATAGGCTGCCTCGTCTACTCCCTCATGCGCAACACCTACGGGATCCCCAACCCCGGAGATTCCGGCGCCCTCTCAAACGAAGTAGGAGAAGACGCCGTATCTATACTAGACCCAGAAGCCTTCGATGTCTTGGCTGAGTCGGAGCGCATCGATAACGAGACTGGCTACGACTGGCTCTACAGTATGCGCCTTGATACTCTCGTCGATTGGTGTCTAAATGACGATGACCGCAAGAGACCGAGCCTGAAGCAGCTAGTGGAGGAGACTACGAGCGGACTTGCTGATTACGATGCTGAGTATGGCGGGCTGAGCACAAAGAAAAGAGAGGATGTGCCCGAGTGGTTTAGGGTGAATTGGGGTGATGATGAGTTCAAAATTGGCGCGGTGCTGGGTGCGGATAAGAGGAAGCATAGAGGCGGTGAACATGGAGGCGAAGCGGATCCGTATAGCAGTGACGAGGGGGATGAGTTTGCGCATTGGGCAGCAGGGGGGCTGCATGGGTGGGAAAATGAGCGGCCTAGGAAACGCAGGACCTTGTCGTGATTGCTGGGATGGTGGTGAGAGTACGCTTTGGAATGCATGGAGATGTGTGGTTTGTTTCTAAAGTAGGCCGCTTTTCGGCAAGACGGATGATTAATGCGGGATTGCCAACGAAGATTTCTTATGCCTTCGACCGTTCGGCGCTGAAGGAATGTTGTGCCAGTTCGCCGTTTGCAGCCAACCAGCCGTCTATCCTTGAAGCGCGAATAAAGGAGGTGTCTGGAATGCAACCCAAATTTACGTATCCAGATTTGGAATCGTACACACCTTCCTCCTCAGCTACGTCTTTGCGGGAGCGTGAATTCCGGAACCAAGCTTCCCACATTCACTTACTCCGTAATAGCGCTGTAGAGGCCAAAAAAGAGTGCATTTCTTAGATCGCCTAGCCACTTCTCCGTTTCGATGGATTAAGCCAGTCCTTCGAATCCATTCCTTTGAGACCCGCCACTCTCCTCCCCCCACCGATGCCTCTTCCAGCGCCTATCCACCCTAAACTGGTCCGCCTCCCTACCCATCACGTCCCAAAACCCAGGCCACCCACCATCCTCCCTCCTCTTCGTCTTCAATCCGGGATACCTCGCCTCCAACTTCTGAAGTCCTTCCTCCACCGCATCGCTCACCTCCTGCAACGACATCCTGCTATCAACTTCTTTCACCAAGAGGTCTTCCACAAACTTCTCCAGCCTCGTGCTGTATAGTCTCCTGCTGTCGGCGGGGAGAGGGGGAGTGTCGCCGGGCTCGTGGCCGGGGAGCGGACCCTCGCGGAGGGACCCGTGTGTGGTGTTGTAGATCGTGCCGTGGGGGCGCTTGCGCATTAGCGACCAGAGGATTAGGCCGATGGCGTAGACATGGAGTGCAGGGGTGGCGTGACCGTTGTTTAATTGTTCTGTAGGTAGGGGTTAGTGGATGTTGATGGGGATAAAGGTGGAGGTAAGGGGAGAAGGGGAAGGTTTACCGGGAGTTAGCCAGCTGGCGAGTTTGTTAGCTATGCTATTACGAGATGGTGGGACATGGAGATAGGGAGGAGGCTTACCCATAGGTTCCCACCGTATGTGTGAAATGGTAATTTAGTGGTACCTGTGAGGTGTTATTTCGTTCTAGCAAATGATTTAGACTTGGATGAGCGGGATGTATGCCAATCCGTACGCAATTCGTTGAAGGCCTTCGGGAGCTGGTTTTAAGGGTCCAAGCAAAGACACATACGTGCTTGCATACCGGGACAAACTTACCATAAGGTCAAAGTCGCCCACTACCGGCATGCAGAATGCTGGGAAGTCACGGTTTGGATGGGCCTCCATACAAAAAATATTTTCCAGCTTGATGTCCGGACTGATTTGGTGTCAGCGCACCCCTTCCCTCTTCTAAACACTCCTTTCAAGCGGGGACGGCGAGTAGGGTAGGGAACTTACTGTATCATCATGTTCTCCTCCATCAACTGGCAAGCCTGGATCAACTTTCTCGCCGTGTACCAGATAAAGGGCTCCGGAACGAGTTTGTTCGCGGACGTGAACTTCTGTAGCAGGCTGCTCAAAGAACCGTAGAGTGCGTACTCTATGTAAATGTGGATATCGCTCTGGTAGAAGCCTGGGTTTTGCGACCATCCCCGCATTGGAAGAATGCAGTTATTTTTGTCCTTCTTGGTGAGCATGCCCTGCCGCGGGACTTGCTGGAAGTGGTGCCGAGGGTCGTGCATCAATACGTCGGCAGGCACAGGCTCCTCTGCTTCCTCGCGGGTATCACTGTTTACGACTTTCACAGCAATGCGCTGTTAGTCGTCAGTAGAGTGCACCATCAGAACATGTTCTGGGGAGAAAACGAAAGGGGATGCTTACGTCGATGAGTGTCCCAGTGTCCGAAACACACTTGTACAGATGCACGTTTTCCCTATTGAATTCTCGTTCACCGCGCCAGTCCAACTGCTTCACAAATTTCCACTGGCCTGCGCCTCGTCCAAGTACACGGCCTAAATTCTCCTCTGCATCGGCCTGCTCGATCCGCCGTCGTTTAGTTCCTGAAGGCGACTGTACAAGAGGGCGTTGCTCCAAGGGCAGTTCGTCGCTTGGGCTTGTGACAAGCATGTGCCACCCCTCCTCCCAGCCACGGCCCTCCTGGAAAATGTACATGGTGGGCGATCCAACTCTCCGGGGTAGGTAGTTCAGCTCGTATTTCGCTTCCTTTCCATCCAACTTCTCCGGGAGCTCGGAGGCCTTAACGGACTGCCAGAGTCCCGTCTCATCCCGTTTGAACGCACCTCGAACGGGCCAATCTTTCTCATGAGTTGCATCAATCCTGCACATTTGGCCATCCGCGCTCCATTTAACGACCAAGCTGGCCCAATCCACTAGAATGTCGTGATTGATTGCGTCCGTATCCCGTACGGGCGCCATCCTCCACTGTGTCCTCAGCACCCTTTCCATCGCCCGCACAGCCGTGAAATTCGAGAACATCTGCTCCATCGTCGGCTCACTCTGCCCTTCTGGTTCTGCTATTATTGTGATTTCTTCATTCGGCCAATCGTACAGATGTTGCTGTATCTGCGTGAGTGGCTCCAAGTATCCGACCGGCAAATGTGCGGGATCCACTTGGCCCCACGTGCCGGTCAGGAAGCCGGCGGCCATAATCTGGTTGGCAACCTGTGCGCGCACTCCTTCATTTCCTGGGACGATTTCCGGGAGATCTATAATATCGACTAGGGCTTCCCGCCTGCTGAACCAGATGTCGGGTTGATTCACGGCTTGCTTAGATGCGTCATCCTTCCCCTTGTGGCCACCTCCGCTGCTTCTCTTTGCTGTCCTCTCCTTGTGGTCCGTATTGCTGCCAATGTCTTTCGCACCATTCGTCTCTGACCATGTGCATCGCGCGAATCCATACCCATCTAACTGCTCACCATGCCGATACCGCACCCTATAGAACCTTATCATTATGCTACCTCTATATGCCCCCTGCGGCGGTCGTACGTGGTAGTTTCGAAGCAGTGCTTTGCGGTGATTAAGAATGTAGTATGCATAACGGAGGAAGGAGTCAGGGTCTCGCGTGCTTGGATTGTACTCTCGAAACGGAAGGACGTTTTGGCTCGCGGCGGCCATCGAAAAGTCGGGGCTGTCTTCGAGACAGGGTAAATAGAGTCGTTCTCGAAAGTCCTCATTCGCTTGGAGCTAGGGTGGGGAGGGTCTTGCTCGAAGGGCGAGTTGACCGAAAAGTTGAATCGGGCGAAAGATTTACATTGTCAAACTCGTGCTGGTGCGGATCGAACCAGGCGAAGCTCGGTTATGGCTTTCTTCGTGCCGTTTGCGGCGATGAGCACACAAAATGGACGGAACAAAGCCAAGTATAAAGAGCTTGTCGAAATCTTGGCATGAACAATTTCTCTTCCGAAGATGGTCTCTTGTGCATATTTCGTCGCAAATTAGAGAGATAGTGCGATCAGAAGCCCGATCCTTCCGGTCGTTGATCAGGTGCTCTCTTCGTGATTTCGGGCTACTTGCGAAGAACTCTTAAAACAGTCGATTCACCTAGAATGCCGGAGTAAAAGCGGTAGGTACTGAGGTAAATCAGACAGACAAGAGCTCGACGGAAGATTTAGATGGCTCGAAAGCTTCATCTTGGAGAACGCCTTCGATAGGTAACGAGTATCAGTTCCATAATGTGTTCAACGGAAGCCTGTGTCCTACGGTGAGATGCGAGGAAGGAAGAAACCTTGGGAGGGGGCCTCGGCATGGGACGGGACAAGCTAGCGTGCTGACTAATCTCGGCGTAACATTTGTCCGCCCCTGTTTTCGCCAACTTCGTCCCAATTGATGTCACGCGTTTCGGATCAATTCGGACGTTTCCATCTCTTGCTGGATTCCAGACCTCGCCTTCGCCTTGTTCGTCATGGATGGCTGTCTAGGATGCACTGGTCTTTTTGCTATTTCGTTCTATATTAGAATGGATAGCCTTTTTAGGTTAGTCCCATGTTTTCGTTGCAGCTCTCCACAGACAAGATTTCAATGTCATTACGCCTCTAAATGTTAGTCACTTCACTGTCGAAAATGTGTGTTGGGAGATAGTTGGGTATATGTAGTTTCATTTCGTCATTGTAGTCCAAGTAGTAGTAGGTTTTAAGTCAAAGAGCCCGTTAGAAGGAAATAGGCCCGCGGGCTATTAGCTGACGACCAGCGTCATGATTAAACCGATGTAAAGTCAAAAGGTACCGCCTCCTCCCATCCTTCAAACGTTGCGATAATCAAGCACCTTCGGAATCCACTCCTGCAAAATTTCCTTCGCAGCCATCCAATCCTCCTCCCACATCGTCTCCTGGAAGCTCGCAGGATCCACGCGCCGTAAGTACGGAATCTCCAACATCAGCTTCGCGATGAAGTCATTTGTCTTATCGACCCAATTTCCAGGGTCACCGAAGATCATTTCTTGGATCACCGCAAAGATGTGTGACTTCTCAGTGTATTTTGCGTCCGAATCTTTGCCACAGGCTTCCTTCATGGCGTCTGCATAAACCTTGCGGTACTTAGCGAGGCGCCAAGGTGAGTGCATAGCTGTGTCGGGAACGACGTAATCCATTCCCCAGTCGTTCTGCAGGAAGAGCGGAACTGTAGAGAAACCAACGCATCGAGGGACGGTAGAAACGCAGTCCCAATCAAGGATCCCAGTTACCTCTCCGGCATCGTTGCAAAGGATGTTCTGCCAATTCAGATCTACATGGGACAGGGTGAATGATTCATGCTCGTCGTCCTCATGCTTCTTCGACGCCGCGAACGGCTCGGAGTTGAAGACACAATCGAGCATGAATCGCTGGCCTTTGCTGCGGTTTTCGTCACGAGTCCGCGTATCGAGGCGATCACTGTAGTATTCCGATGTCGTCCGGTATACTCGGCGCTCCCAGTAATGCCGCTGAGACTCGTCCATTCGGTCGTCCCAGCCATGATGGGGACCGATAGTGGGCTTGTTTGGATCGTCGTCTTCGAAGTACAGCATACCAATACCATCAAACTCGAGATCACGAAGCTCGGCCATATGCTTTGCGAGGGACCGAAGCAAGGTAAGGCGCAGCTGCTCGCGCTCTAGTGAAGGGTTATCTGCCTTAAAGCCGTCTGCCTCGCCGTCCTCATCAATGTCGAACCAGATCTCGTGCGAATCCTTGCCTTCTAGAAAGGACAGCATCACGAACGGTGCGCCGATCTCGTTCTCGAACGTCTCGTCGTAACCAAGGACTTCTGCAATCGGGAAGTGCGGGAGCTTTTTCTTAATGTACATCATCGTGTGTGCTTCGGAGCGCAGGATGGCGGCGTGATGGTGAGTCCATCGATCCTTCATGCCAACAACCGGGACTTTGGCGACAACTTTAGTGATGCCATTTTCCATGATGACTGCATGGTTATAGGTGCCGCTCGTGCGCTTCTCCACTGTGTAACCTGGCGAAGAGATTTCGGCTTTTTTGATCATGAGGCGGTTGGCGAGTTTGGCGAACGCGTCGTCCGGGATGGCAAGGATTGGACCCCAGCGCTCTTGCTCTGCCTCATCGGTTTCTTCATCATAATCTTGGTCTCCGGCTTCGTTATCCTCTAGGTCATCAATGTCCTCTTCCGCATTCCCATCTTCTTTCACGGCGTCTTCGCAGCCGTCCTCATCTTCGACTTCTTCGTCGGAGACCTCAGTCTCGGTGATGCTTTTGGGGAGCGAGCCTTCACGTGAAGACTTGGCGTCATTCGAATTAGAAGAGGTAGTAGACGAATCGGAAAAGGCGGCGCTATCCCGAACAGCAATAAGGATTCGACCTGGATGAACCGGAGCTGGGTCCTTTCGACCACCAACGAGAGAGATGTTAGAGTTGGCCTCGCCATCAATGCTCACGGTATGGGACGCGGTCTCTTCACCAACGGGGACGATATGGGGCGTCCACTCAGCAACTGTGACGATGCGGGGAGCATACTTAGTCGCGGCGACGAGGATGCCGGTGGTAGTCACAACCAAATCCTTCTTATTTGCAGGAGTCGAGTTGTGTCGAGAGACGTCGCCATCGGATTCCTGAGCCCAACCGATCTCCTTCAGCAGCTTGAACGGAGCCATGCACTTCTTCAAGACCTTCTTGCCCAAGTTGGGCTTGCCAGTAGAGGCAGCAGTCTTGAACAACTTGCCGAGACCCATGGTTGTGTGCTTAAGTTGGTTGTTGTGGTATGCTAGTTGGGGAGGTGTGGGTAGGCTTTCCGATGAGGAGAGGATGTTTTTATAACAGCAGGAGAAGATACCAGGAGAGTAAGAATAGACACAATTGTAGGTTACTAGTCACTATTCTATGTGCGCACAATGTTATTGTAGCTTTTCAGTGACTTCAGACGCAGTCACATGAGGAAGCGTGGAGCATGAATGATTAGGTACGTCAGTGAGCTATGACAGCAGTCACGCTGCATCGAATTGAATGGGAGCTGGCCAGTGACTCCTAACTTCCATTGTTTTCTTAGAATACCACCTCCGACTGGCGCAGCAGTCGGCATTCAAGAACAACACGCAGCGTCCAACGTGCATGTCAGGGAACGATGCGTGCACCTCACCCTCCCCCAGCTTCTATAGAAAGCCCCCATGGGCCCTGCGATCTTCTTCTCATCCATCAACAACCAGAGCCGAAGCCGTCAAAGCAAAGCCGACTCACGATCTTTCTGAAACCCAATCCGAAAGCACTAGAGCAACAATCAACACACTCACTCAAGATGACTCGTCCAGCATTGATGTGTCGCAACGCTGCCACTGGCAAAATTGGCTCCCTCTCTCATAAGTGCCAGGAGTGCGGTAAGCAGGCCACGTCCGAATGTCTCAAGAAGGGGCACGTCGCGTACTGCAGTGCTCCCAAGAACAACAAAGCCGGGTTCTGTGGCATCCGCTTCAACGTCAAGAGTAGAGGAGGTTGTATGGAGCATCCGTATCATGAGGGCTTCAACCGGGAAATCGTGAAGGAGCGTCGAGCTAAGGATCCAGACTTCAAGACTGACTATGAGCTTGAGATGGACGCCAAGACCAGGGCTGAAGAGAAAGCCGCTGCCGAGGAAGTTGAGGAGCGTCTGTACAACACGGACTGGTCTAAACCCCAGTTTCACGCCAAGGCCACGCCAAAGCAGAAAATGAACAACAAGCAGGGTAAGAAGCAGCCATTGGCTAAGCATATCGCCCAGTTGCAGAGGTGCACTAGGGCTTCAAAGCGCTAGCTGCGAGATAGCCTGGCCTCTTGTCTCTGCTACTAGAAGCATTGGATCGTACTCAAGTCGAAAGCATCGGACCGATCATGTGCTGACCCTCTTCATGTTGACGGAAAATATGCGGTACGCGTTTTATTGCCATGCAAACGGAACGTTAAGTAAGCCGAGATGCGCAACGGCACAGTCCTTATTGGTGTCCACGAGACCTAAAGAACGTTTAATTCATAGCCGTCAATGCTAAGCATAATCGAATTAATCTAATATAACGTACCTAGTGCTTCCCGTCCTGCGCGCGGACTTAGTGATGAATCTTTTAAACTGCTACAGTAACTTAACTGCTTTCTTAACGAAACTTTAGAAATTAGCTATCACTCCCCTAAAAAAGGACCTAGGGTTGACGCGGAGAGAGCTCGAAACTAGGGAATGTACTAAACCTAATAGGGTTAGCGCATTTCTTAAACAGTATAGATTCGTTGCAAAGAGTGAATTGCTGGCTAGCCTTAACCTACCCTTAGAAGAGGAAGACCCAAACCCGCGCCCCGCAGAGCGTCTCTTAGGTTACGGCATTGTGAGGGGCGCTCTTCCCCAACTCTTTCATCCATTCCCACTACCCTAAAACTAAAATCCTAGCAAAAAAAAATCAAAAACATACAACAGCCGGGTATTCGCTAGTGGTCACCCACCTAACTACTAATCCGCCGGTATCAGGCTTGACGTATGCAGAGCAAACGGGATGCGGTATTTTCCTGATCCTATGGTCGTATGTGATAGGAATGCTTGCTCTAGTGGTATATATAGGTTGTGCTGGCGGGGCTTGGCGAGTAGCGACCACTGTATAAGAATCTTACCGTTCGCCTATTATAGCCGGTGCGACACTGTTTGGAAGGTCAGAGGAGAGAAAGGCTTAGGGCACTCTAGCTCCTATTGCTGAAGGGGGTAACCAGTGGACGGTCAAGGACCGTTCACGGCTTGTGCAGTGCGTGGCTATGGGGACGCATGATACTTCACTCAGTTCTGCGCACGATATGCAAGTTTGTCTAGATAGAAATCAGCCATGCTTGTACATGTTGACGGGAACACTTAGACCATGGGGTTTGCTCATGCCGACGCGAACCCATTGGGTTCCAGTCGGGAGTAGTGTCATGAAGAAGCTAGATGGAGTACAGCAAGAAGCCTTATATACGCCGGAGGTGGAAAAGCCGCAGATCATTGGATCTAGAAGGGGAAAATTAGCAACTTTACTGAATCGAGCAAGATATAGCCCAATGCGGACATAGCACTGTGCTGAGCAACAAAGCGATTGTTCCATGGAGCGAGATTCTCAGATGGGTCTGATAAAGAAACGCGCTCGGACAAAAACTAGAAGTAGTGTCAAACAATGACTGAAAGGAAATCCGGATAGAGCTGGTGTTTGATATGCTGCCCCTGGATTTCAAAGTATAAGCGTGCGAAGACGAAGGCGCAAGAATAGAAACCCCAGAAGTGAGAAAGAGGAGAGGAACATGACGGGTTTTCGCCCGCCTCAAACAATCAAAGGCATCATTAACGCTCTCCCCGACAAGGACGGTTCCTGGGATGCTTTCCGCACTGTGCTCAAGGCTAGCAAGCTTCAAGCCGTAGACCCCGCGTCGCCCTCTTCGTACAATTCCGGCAATGTCTTTGGCCCATCCGACCTCGACATCCCACACTTTATCCAAGAACCCATCTTCAAACCCCGTCTCTCAGCCCGTGAAGTCACCGAAATACTTCTTGCAGACATGCTAGGCCACCCCAAGCGCTTCAGCGTATTCCCGTCTCGGGGCAAGGAGAATGACGAGTTGGCGGCTGCGAAAATCATCCTGGATGTGTTCAAGCCACTCCATGCCGGAACTGGACAGGGGCTCTGGAACGTGGTCAGTCCGCGGTTGAGCGACAAGTATGTCTATCCGCGTCGGGTGAAGGATATGCCGAAACGCAAGGACCTCCTACGCGAAACAGACGTCAGCGTGAACATCATGCCCTTCGGAAGTGTTGCGGACCTTCACCATGATATCGGATATGGGACCGCGACCCTAGCACAAGGCGCGAAGCTATGGATCTTCTATCCACCCACGAAAGAGAATCTGGATGCGGCGAGCAGGGCGTACACCGCCCCCCGCGGCAACCGGAGCCGCCTCTCCAAGAGCTTTAAGGAGATGAGCAATGGTATCGTGTTCATCCAACCGCAAAACACGACGGTGTGGGTCCCGCCGTTTTGCCCGCACGCGACCTTAACGCTACAGACGAGCATCCTGGTCGGAAAGGAATTGTACGCAAAGCGCAAGTTCCCACAGCGACTCGCGAACGGGAACTTGCACCTGGCCTGGGGGCGTGTGAATGCCGACAAGAAGGCGCAGGAAAGCGAGGCCGCAGAACTCCTGGCACATTTGAAGTCAGTGCTGATGACGGACGAGAAAGTCCTACATGCAGATACGGTGCGAGCCTGGGAATCTGGGCATGGCGCTCTGAAACAGATGGCTGGTGATGGAAAGCACGGTCTAGAAGGCTTCGCAAAAGTCTGGGATCAGTGTACAAAGTTGTGGAATGAGTGTCCGCTGTGCAAGATACATGTTGGAGAAGGACGGGGCCAGGAATCGGGCAGGGAATTACGATCGACGAGTTTCATGACGCACTTTCAGAAGGCGCATTGTGGAAAGTAGAAAGCATGGGGTGAGGAGACATGAATAGATGAGGAACTAGAAAAAATGAAGGCAAGATTGATGATGAAATGTTTTCGTTGTTTGAAACGTAGTACAAATGAAATAAAGGATTACCAGAGCCACCCTATAGAAACGTAGGTGTCTCAATCAAATCTAGGAAATTTGCGGTAGCGCTGTCTATCGAGCAAAGGCCTAAGGAGCGAAAAGCTTACCCAACTCAGAGATCAACATCGTCTCCGCGCGGGCCCACCCTTCCTCACCGCCTAGCCGCTTCAAAAACTTCTCCTGGTCCACAGCGCGCAGCCCCGGGATCTCTTTGAACATGCGGTCAACAAAGGCGGGCTTAGCCCCGCCGCGGTTCTCCATCGCTTCCCATGCCGCGCAATATAGACCTGATTTGGGCGTGAACTTAGCGTCGCCGATGGAGGAGCCGTCCGAAGTGCTGATCGCGTCCTTCACGTACTGAGAGTACAAATTGCGGTAATAGTTGTAGATCCATGGCATGTGGTCCGCGTCGTCGATATCGTAGTCGCAATCCCAGTCTTTGCGGAGAAAGAGCGGGAGCGCGGCGTGGCCGATGCATCGAGGCACGACACGAACACCATCCCAGTCGATGATACCAGTGATCTCACCTTCCCGGTTTACGAAGACATTCTGAAGGTCAAGATCAGGGTGGGTTAGCACGAACGTCTCCTTTTCTTCATCAGTGTCTGCTGATGATGACAGGGGAAATGCGCCGCGGACCATGTTACAAAAGAGATGCACCCCGAACAGCTCGTCGGACATTTCGCCCTCGGCCTCGATGGCTTCACCGAACTCGTACCACTTAGTCTTTAAATAATTCTGGGTGGACGAATAAGCAGGACACTCCTTCATGGTGCCATCGCCCTTGTACTCAAAGAAATGGCCAACCGTAGGAGACTTCGCACCCTCAGCATTGGGATCTTCCTCAAAATGAAGCATCCCGGCTTGCTCGAATTGAAGATGCCGTAGTTCTGCCATCGTAGAAGCCAAGTTCTTCAAAAACTTGCGACGAGTGGCCGCATGCTCCGGAGAAGGCTCATCCATGTTACGGTAGTTCTTTGTGCCGTCTGGATTAGTAGGGATCCAGAGCTCATAGGCCGGCATGCCATCTACAACAGCCATGATGACATAGGGCGCCCCAATTACGTTGTCGAGCGTATTGTCCCAGCCATAAATTTCCGGAACTGGGACCTTGGTATGGCGGCGGATGTACTTCATGCTGTACACTTCGTTGCGGAGATTGAAAGCATCACTATCCGTCCACGCTGACGCAGTGCCGTGTGCGGGGACTTTAATAACAAAATGCCCCGCTTTGCCCTTCAGTGTAAGCATAGCGCAGAGATTGAAGGTGCCTCGGTCGCGAAAATCGATCGTGCAGTCCGCAGGCTCCAGCTCGTTGTTTGGATCAAGATGCTGCAGAAGCAGCTTCTTGAAAGCGCTATCTTCGATGGCTTGAATGTGTTCAAAATCGCGGCGATCGACCCATTCCTCCTCATCTGCACATTCTTGCTCATTATCGCCATCGTTCTCCGGATCAGGCTTGATCTCCTGCTTGGTTGCCCGAGCCTGAAGCTGGAGTTTAGGATCGACGGATACAACGGGGACGGGCGTAGCGGTCTTCGACAGACCTTCCAGGGTCGGCAGTCGAAGACGGCGGAAGAAATCCATGGCGGATTGGAAACAGGTAACGTTTTTCATACCTAGGGGTTGTGAGGTGTGAAAAATATAAAGGGTCGAAGGCGAGGCAGCTGTCCGTGGTCTAAGCCCCGGGGTGTTGGAAGGGTACGCTTGTATTTATGGGCTGTCTCTTTGATCAGTTATGTTTGGACACAATGTTCATTCGGATTATGTTCGACGTACAAAGAGGAAACGAGGCAACCAAGACTTACATTGTTTCGTGCGCTCTGGTTACGCCACGGACATTTGCAATGATCGCATCCGGACAACGTGAATCACAATGATTTGATGCGATACAGGGCTTTGGAATGTAGAATGCACATCCTGGTACCTAGTACGCAGTGAGTTGAAAGGAGAACATTGTCTACCTATTGCATAAAGCTTACCAGGCCTCCCTATTTAGATCCCCCACAACTGTACTTGCCCCTATCAGTCAACTCTCACACACCTGAATCCAAGCACTGTTAGCAAGTGATCCAGATAGTCATCATGCCTTACATCGACCTTGATCTACAGAAACTCTACGGAGAGAACTTCAGCGGGTGTTTCGACCCCAACACGCGCAATATTCGAACGCGCCAACCTTGCGGCAGAACTCACCATTGCAAAAAGTGTAAAGCGCCGACAAAACGCTCCTGCTATGAGGTAGACAAGCTACACTTGGCGTTCTGCATTGCTGTGAACCCGGAGACCGAGATCATGTGTGGCGAGCGGTTCTCGGTGGATTCCCCCGGAGGCTGCTGCACCCATCCTTACAACCATGGGTTCAACTTGATCTTCAAGGAGGCGGCGCGGGGTATGGAGCTCTCTCCGGAGGCGAAGGGCATCCTGAAAAAAGATGCTGACGCGGATCTCGCCGCGGAGATGGCGACGTTGAAGATCGAGGAGCCTAAAGATTTCGAATATTACAAGGAGAAGAAGAAGCTTGAGCAGTACGAGTACAGGATGTCAAAGCTCCCAAGGCAACCGACCAAGATGAAGGCCAGTAAACTCCAGCCGGCTGAGAGCTTGAAGGCCTATAAGTCGAAGGCAAAAAGGTAAAGAAGCCAATCAAGCCCGGCATCATCCGTGGTAGCAATGATATGAAATTTTAGCCAAGCGCAGAAGTAACTTAGATTAATAGCAAAAATTTTTGGAAATCTAAATTTGAGGGGAAGCATATGAAGTGACGTTATAAAATGTAAAGAGTCTGATGTAGTAGAAGATGGATTGCGATCAGAATCATAACCTGGATGTTATGGGTTAGCAAATGTCTCTTGTTTCAAAGCGTCGTCTAGTGCAGGAACTCTTGCCCCTCCGCATAGGAGGTCGAAGATAGAGAGTCAGCGGTTCCAGCGATACCTAGGTATGACGCTTAAGTCGAAGGCCATTGCAGAGTAATCCTAACTGCAGAAGTAAACTTGTAAATGGAAAATATCGAGTAAGCTGCTAAAAGAGACGTCCAAAGAAAAGGTGTTGTGAAAGGGAATAAAAAGTAGTGCGACAGCTTGGAAGATTTGTTGAGATGAAGCCCACGCCATCCCAAATAGGCATGGTCGAAAGTCATCGATTCGATCGAGGTCTGAATATACCCACGTAGAGAGCGGTTTCCGCCAGCGCTACAAGGTCATTTAGACCCTCTCGGGAATGTGCAGAGTCTGTCCTAAAATTCGTTTGAAAGGGCAGGAATATGCGGCGGAGCCGCCCTCAAGGATGCACAAGGAGGGAAGATGAGCGAAGCACCTTAGGCAGTCAAGGAAACATCTCCCCGACCAATATCCCGACATTGTGCCTGCTTAACCCCTCTCCTCTAGGCTCCCTTCTCATCTTCCTCTCCCCATATGCGTCCCGGGAATTGGCTCCTGGCTAAGCCCAACCCTAACGGGAGCTACGCCAGGATCAACATCTAGCGAGGACTTAGCGCTCTGCTCATTCTGACTTGACGTCTCCCTTTCACAAGTGGTTCGCTCTTGAAGTTTGGCAATTCAGGATTTGGCTTGAGGTGGGAGTCCTAGTTCGGGCAATGAAAGTCTCCCGAAGGCCGAAAGCGCGCTGCAGTCCATTGAAGACATGCAGAACCGACACACAGGGGGGCGCAAAGTACCCGAACGGACAAAGGCATACGATACGAAATGCCGTGCTCCCAAGAAACAGCTCAATCACCTTTGTTGGACGCTCACGCGCGGCGAACTGCGGCGCAGAAAAGCCACAGGCAGCAACTTCTCAAGCCCCCGTCCAGCACACTCCGGTATCGGTAATCTCAGCCCAGCCTCTCAGCCGCCCATGTCCAATCACCTGAAACACGGGCGCCGGCATGTGTAACCATCGCATATGCACAGCGCTGCTTTGTTCACAGCTGCGGAACCAGCACCCAGGGCACTGCGGGGCCCCGAAGTGGGTCCTACCAGCTTGGCGGCGGGTCTTCCTGAATGTTTATTTGGACGTCGTGCGGCGAGCCGTCGGGTCGGAAGAGTGCTGCTGGGGTATTCATCGGTGAGGCTCGATGTAGGCGCTTGTGGCTGTATGAAGAGGCTGGCAAGACCGGGGGTATGCACGGTATGGAGTGGAAGATCGGAGAGGAAGAATGGGAATAATATTGATTGATTGGAGGTAAGGAGAAGAAAGGGAGGAACGGAGTGCATGTATGTACAAACGCGCGGGAAGATCTCCATCTACATGTGCTGACCTGCCGCCCGGAACATGGCTGATAGGACGCCTTGCGTGCGCGGGCATACAGAGGCGCACGCAAGGCGGCATGCTGCATTCTCGTCTTTGCTGGTCAAGTGGGCGCCCTGTCGCTGCCAAAGGGAAAACTCAATTGCGTCTGGAGCTGCGAAAGGCTGAAAGTGGAGGTCGTTGCGAGGAGGGTGGTTAGGACCGCGCAGTACCTATATATTGGATCGTCTCAGCCTTATTTCCGAAAGAGGAAGAGATGGACGTAACGACTTACGTAGCAGTAGCGACAAACAATTCCAACGTCCTCGGCCTGGCGGCGAGCGATATCACAGCGGGAAAAACAAACAACGACACGATCAGCACGATCAACTTGGTCGTCTCACAGATAGCTCCCGCCGTCAGAACAGACAGGGGAATGCCGATAAGAAGGATGGCCAAGGCAGTCGCAATGAGGCGCGCGAGCACGAATACCTTGCGTGGGCTGGGAAGCGTCGTGAATTTGTCACCCGATTTGCTGATTTGCGCATCCGAGGAGAAAAGCCGCTAAAGTAGTTCCCGTTAGCGAGGGTGGAGGTGATAACGAGGCGCACATAATTGCTTCTGTCGTGGCGGCGATTACACGTGGGGATATGAAGCGTAATGAAGGACGACTTACTCTCAGCCACCGGGTGGGGATCCAGTTGCAAACAACGTAGTCGATGAGGTTCTCCAGTGGGGATTCTGAGCGCTCGCTCAGCTGGACAAAGTCGTCGCGGTACTTCAAGAATTGCGTCTCGGCCTTTACGACGGGCTTCTTGTTCCAGATGTAGTTGACTAGATTGCGATAGCCGCGCCGTGATGGCTTATGCAATAGACCTGATCTTATTTCTCGTTCTAGGAGATCGTCTAGAAATGATGGTTAGAAGATTGATCCGTCATAGACATCGGCGTGCCTACCGTATTGCTTAAGCTTTGTCTCGATCTGATCCATAAGCTTCACGCGTTTGGACTCGGTGTCTGCCCCGTCTATCATTAAAGACCGTGTTTTGAAGTTGTTGAGTTGGTGGTCTTTCTCGTCGAGACTCCTTAGCTCTTCTTCCAACTCCCAGAGCTCAAACTGCCGATATAGCAGTAGGCGATTCCTTAGTGTACCAAACCGCTTGTATACGCGAAAGGTAGGGTCCGAATTTTGAAAAGCCGCCCAGCGAGGATATCCAATCTGATAATCATCCACTGTGAAGCATTAGTGTCGCTCCGTACACGTCCGCGGTGGACTTGCCAGATTCATATATTAAGCCATCGAAGCGACCATCAGAAACATCTTCGGGATGGGAGCCGATTAACCAACTGACGAAGCGGGATCGTCTTCTGGTGGGTTTTTGGAGTTCCGGTTTTGCTACTGCACGAGCACTTGAGTAAGTGTTGCTCAACCCATTGACAAGAAACGGTGTATGGACGCACCCTTTGTTGAACCATCACTTGAAGAAGACGCAGTCGATGCGTCCGACTCGGATGGAGTGCGCGTAGATTTACCCTGGTCCGTGTCCTGGTCCTTCGGCTGTTTCTCTACCATTTCCGTCGCCTGGTTCGTGTGGCCGGTGTGGAATGGAAGATGCGGACGCGATGCGCGACACTTCCAGCTTCGAATCCACGAGATTAAGTCTAACATGTTGTCGGATTAGAACGAGGCTGGGAATACTTGTTTGGACAAAAGCTTCTTACCGGTCGGGCACAATTATATCATGAGGCCTGCCTTTGGGCGCAGTCGAGCTTGAGACTGCGCAAAGGTGTGGAGAGTTGTTGCTGCAGCTTGACGACCTGTCGAGTGGTGCCACGCTCGGGAGGGCGATATGTGAAGAGGAGGACGTCTGCGTCGACAGCGAAAAGGAGGGCGACGTGCCCCGGGCCAACTCGCAAAGCGCTGAGTTGTTCAAATAAAATTCGAACTCGGCTGCAGAAGCTGTGCACGGGTATGCTAAGCGGGAAACAAGTCGGTGTAGGGACCTCCGAGGGAGGAGGTTGGGTTGGCGCGAAAGCCCGGTGTCAGCCGTACACCATGTGGTCCACAATTGCCGGGTGCACCTCAAATTCCAGTGCTGAGTGGCGCGACGACGCACTGCATACCTAGATCATCACACGCCCGTCCTCCCGAGGTATTATGCAGGCGCTGCATGGACCCCGCAATGCACAGGGCTCCCAGCCTCGCCTGACACGACCCGAGAATGCAGACTTCGCCGTCACCCTATGCCTTGCGAGCCGAGAGAGTTGTGGACTATCTGACATAGGCTCCTGTCTGAAGCCGGCAAGGACAGATGCATTCAATGAATCTAACCGCAACGCGAAGCGTATCTACAGACGCGCAGTGTGGTCCTCTCATGGCGACACGCGCCATGCAGGAAGCAGCCTGTCCCATCTGCCCTAGGTATATAGGTCACATAGAAAGAGGGACGGTTGGTGATAAGGAACACACGACCCAGTCGAGGAACTAGCCATGGTCGTGACGCTGGGAGCAACGAAAATAGCGAAGGCGGCACAGGCAGCTTGTACCTCTTCCATTGCAGTTTAGCTTCCGTGCCAATGGTACTCGTCCAAGCCTGAATGCTAAGGTTAGCCTTTGACGAAACCTGTCGGGCCGATCAGGACTGGCGGCGTACCTTGTGCGTTGCGACGGTGCTTATAGTGATTCTTATGGTCGTGGCTCCATATCCAATCACTCCACGCGGTTTCCGCGCTCGTGTAGCTAGAGTATTGGCCCCCAGTCTGCTGACTGCTCGTCCTTCCTCTCATATAAGGATCTGTCGTATCGTGCTGTGCAGCAGCCTCCGATTGATGCTGATATGGTGCTGCTTTTGGCTGATCGTATTGGGTTGGATACGTATGCGTTCGGGGTTGTCCTTGGGAGTAGTTGCTACCGGTCGGATACTGAGACGTTTGTGATGACGGCTGAGCTTTCGAATAGTACGCGGGTGATGCGTGTCGCGCGTGGGGCGAATCGTGCGGTCTTCTGTCGGTTGACGATTCTAAAACTGCGTCAGACGAATCCTCTCAAGTAAGGTCTTTCATCCGAACGGTCTCTCAAAGACATGAATCTCGTAGCACTCACCAGGACCGCCTTCTGAACGGTCGGCCTTGGGAGGAGGTTGAGGGGGCGGATCCGGCCACTACATCGACTTCGTTAGCGGAAGCTCGATAGGGCGGGGGAACGACTATTACTCCGCCTGAATTTGGGTCTGGGTCTACCTGGGGCCGTTGCCCGCGGTGTGCGTACACGTTCTGTGTGTTCTATTTCGCATCAGCTTTTGAACTTTGAGGAATCGGGAATACGTACATTCGTATACGGCATTGAGGCCGGAATGAGTAAGCGACTGTACAGTCGGCTCCGCAGATCAAGTTGATAGTCGACCTGATCAGTCCCTTTCCTACGGCGCCAATACCGTAGTGCGCGTCTAGAGACTCGAGGAAGCAACGAAGGCCCGGCCGCCACGGTAGGGCGGACTACACATTTGGCGCGCCAACACACCTAGGAATCGGTAGATGCCTTCTAGTTCGAGTGATAGAAGGCTAATATCGCCAACCGCAAGCTTAGCCAATTAATCGCTCCGAAATTGGTCGGTCGGGCAGCAAAGGTGGAGGACGGGCGCCGCTGACCCGACCGATAAGATCTCACGAGGCTCACTCTCATAGCACCCGTACAGCTGTGGTCACGCTGACCACAAACCTGCAGACTGTTGCCTTCTTGCCTTATGCTGCACCGGCGGCAGGCCAAGAACCGGGGGACTGGATCAGTGCGGAGAAGGCAGTATGGAGGAAAAGAAAACATGTGATGGAAACATCCGATGAACCAATGGTGGGGTAACAGCAATGCGATGCACGTCATGGTGGTGTGTTGCACAGGGCTGAGTCTCGTGGCTGTATCCAATTGCGTGGTCTTTCCGAACGAAGGCTGACATGGAGGACAACACATCAAGTGCGGTATTATAATCGTAGCAGAGCCGCATCGAGACGCCGGAGATTTCGTGGCCGCGGTCGGGAGGGCTATAATCAAGTCGATTTAGAAGTGAGCAAATTCTCCTCAGGCAGGGCGTGTAACGAAAGAAAGCCGTGGTGGAGTCCTTTCGATCTTTGATGCACGAGCTCGGCGGTTGCAGCACGGGGAGCTTGCCCTGACGTCGATGCCCTATTGCTCCCTGCCCGCGGGTACAGGGATCACTGCAAAGGGCACGTTGGGCACAAGGCACGCCCATCGACTCAGCAAAGGACACGTCCTAGCTCGACTTCGAAAAAGCCACAAATCGTGCTCGTGCTCGTCATCGTGCTCAGCCTTGGAGTCCGGGTGCATAACAAGCCATCTAAGAGCCCCGATAAACATATAGAACGCTCTAAGATGCCCCCAACAGCTGGATGCGGTATGTATCCAAAGCCGGCGTACTTGGCTGGATAAGACACTGCTGTGATGTCTTGCCGTGCATCGGCTCTTTCACATCAGAGGGCGGGCCGAGAGAACGCACCGGTTCGAGGCGTGCCTAGTGTTTTGTGTCGTGTGCCGTTTGCTTCATTTTGGGGTTCCGAGAATGAAGCAGGCGATTCGTGAACACGCGAGGACCTAGTACTGGTATATTCCGCTAGGCAGCCGCAGCACCGCGACACGGATCCCAGGCTGAAATACCCAAGAGTCGAAGCAAGCTGCAATGAGGGTGAAGTGTGGTCGAGCCCAAGCCAGAGCCGTAGGAGGCTCATATTGCGATCGGTCATAAACCTTAACGGATGCATGACGGTGTTGAACGCAGGATGATGGAGACCTAGGGATGCTGACTAAGCGGCATTGCCGATGTCCCGCGCCATGGACACCCCACTTCACCTAGCTGGCGAGAACATCGCCTGGAGATAATAACGAAAAGTGTGTATACATTACAGACACGTGTCTGCGTCATATTCGACCCTAGCACTGCTATACAAGCATATGCATAGCCGGAATGAGGAGCCTCATTACAATAACGCCACCGTAAACCAATCCCTCCTTCAACCAGAGCCCTCAAAGGAGAGTAACCGCTCAATCCCGCTACGCCCGGGAAAAGGGCCTAGTTGGTCCGAAGATGGAATCGGGGAAATGCCGAAAGGGGATATATGTATCTAAATTCACCTGCATATATGTATGGAAAAGAACCTGGGGTATCACCATGCCGGGCTCATGCAATCCGTGAGCGGCCCGTCATCCTCCCCAAACGCCAGACTTTTAATGCAGCGCCAAATCGATGACATCGCTCCATGATGTGAAGAAACCGAGATCGGCCACCAAGGAAATAAGGAAGTAGAGAAAAGCGATGCCTAGTCGCTCAAGTCGATGACTTCGGCTTGGGCAGAGGTAGACTTCCGCCTGTTTGTCGGTACGGGGTCCTCATCGGGGCTTCCACGATCCTGCACGCTATTGGAATCGCGCACCTCCGGCTTTATTTTCCACGAGCCATCTTGGTCTACGATAATGGCACGCGTCCGGAGCAAACCCTGCTGCGCAAGCTTATCGCGCACTTCCTGGAGAAAGCCGTCGGCAATGAGATGCTGAGGGCGCACATCGCCATTGCAGATGGGACATCTCCACTGGTCGGCCACAGAGGCATCCCCTTTCCTCTTACGCGTCTGCAGGAAGGTCTCGAGATCGAAGCAGTCGTAGTGCAGACAAGCTTTGCCACGGACGGGGATGTCGCAGACCTTGGAAGCGCTGAACGGGTCGAAGAGGTTGATGGTAACATTGCTCTCGACTATGGCGATCTCGTCATCGTCGCCTGCGCTGGACAGCTTTTGCGTGATATGCCTTAACGTCGTAGCAGCGTCGATACGATTGATATTTTGACAATTCCTAAGGATAGTCTGGTGGTTCTTGATTCCGACGAGCTCGATTGCGACCAGGTACTTGAGATAGGCATCGTCATTGCGCTGGCGCATAACGGCAATCTCCAAGATGTTCTCGCCCTCTTTGACCAGTGACGTGATGTCTATTGGCAAGTCCTTTCCGTGGTGGAGCTTCTTCCGCTGTTGAAGAGTTGTGCCATTGAACGTAAAATACGAGTAGGGAATCCAGGAAGTATCCGCCGTGGCCCACATGTGCTCATTGGGGAGTTCGGTTGAAATCCACTTTATACAACGAATCCGCAAAAGATGAGCGTTCTCGTCTACGGCCCGCGTCGGGGGTGCCCCTACAACGTCGGAAACATCTTTGGGAATTGATTGAAGGTCTGTACGACTGAGAGAGAATGCCCATTTCTCGATCTTGTGACCGGCTTCGGCAAGACGCAGGGGAGGCTTGAGGAATCCCGTGACGAACTGGTAGAGCACTGATTGTGCTGATTGTGCTCGAAGCACTGGACTTCTGAGGTTGGCTTGATGAAGGCTGAACCGAGCAGGATTAGGCTGGCGCTGTTGCGGCTGACTTACGCCGGGCTGAGGAAGTAAAGGCATTGCAAGCGGAGATGAACGTAAAGCTGTTGACTGAGGTCGCGAAATCTGCTGATGAGTTGGCTGAGGCTGTGCAGCGTGCTGCTGGGGTGGCCGAGGCGATGACCAGACAGGTTGCTGTCGAGGATGTATACGAGGTCGACCTCGTCCATGTTGAATGGCAGCTTGTGCAGAGTTTGAAGGCATGGCCTGAGCTGAAGGCTGGGCAGTTGGGTTTTGTGAAGGGTGCTGGATAGGTTGCTGCCGCGTTTGCTGCTGCGTTTGCTGCTGGACTTGGGATGGCCAAGCTACCAGACCCCGCTGCCCTGGTAGGGTCGGTCCTGTGCTGGATGGGAGCGGACGCTGGTAACGCTGGCACAGCTCCTTTAGTTGGCTGCCCCACTGCTGCATCTCCACATGCCGTTCGCGTCGTTCGCTCTCAAAGCTCTGGGGCTGATTATGTGGTCGGCTAGCTTCGCGGCGGAGAAAGTCAACTTGATTTCCCTGGAACAGGGCGATTGCCTGTGCCTCTAATTGAGCTAGCATTTGTTGGTTGAGGACTCCCCATCGCGACCGCAGGCGTCGGAGCACGGCGGTGAAGACGATCAGCTGGAAGACGGTCGACGAGATACCAAGATCGCAGACCAACTCTCGCATCAGTGGCGGGTACCCTCGTTGTTCACAACTAGCCCTCAATGAACCGAAATTCGATGAATGCTGCATGAAGTTGAAGAATATGGCTGCTTCTTGCTCATACCTTGGCGGCCAAGTGGAGCTGATAACCGTCAGCGTCATGGGAAAGTTAGCAAAAAACTCCAGTACGGCCGGAGACAGCGACTCATTTCCGTCTAGGACATCTCGGATCAGTTGCAATGCCGAGGGTAGGTTCGGCTGGTTCCTAAAGCTTGCTGGCAAGGCGTCTGGGTTGAAGCTTAGCAAGCAGTAGTACTGATGTATGGTCAAGTAGGACCAGTCCTGTTGTTCCACTGCATTTCTCAGCACATGCAGGCGTTTTGCATCTCGTGGGTGCTGCTCCGAGACGACGTGTGTAGAGAGAAAGTGGTTCAGCGCTCGAAAGCAATCTTCCTGCGTATACCAATCTCGATTTGCAATGGGCGGCAGTTGAATTGGAGTATTCACCGTGGGACTTGGGACCGTGTTTGCTTGAGGGACACCATACGGCTGCCGGGAAAGTCCACGAGACAGAGAACGGGGAGGACCAAAGGGAGGCTGAGGCTGTGGGGGGGTCGTGCCGGCTTGCGGTTGGCCCTGAACTCGGTTGTCCGACCCCTGGGCCAGTGCATGGCGGTGGTGTTGCGCGTCATTCTGCGGTTGGGGGCTAATTGAAGGACAGAAAGCCTGTTCATGGCCCGACGACGCGCTGAGATACGGTGTTTGAGCTGATACTCTCCGCTGAATCCCAGGTTGCAGGCCAACGGACGGACTGCTAGATTGTGCTTGACCTGATGATGTCCTTCGCTGGTTTTCGGGTTGATTCTGTACTTGCGGTCCAATTGACGGACTGAAAGCCTGCGCAGTTCCCATCGATGGACTGGCGTATTGCCCTTGAGCTGATGAGGTCCGCGGAGGTTCAGGCTGGCGATCGTCGGCCGTCATCTGGATTCTCCAGCGCGCCGGGACAAGTGGCGCTTGCTGCGCACTCCCTTCTATACGGCTCCGTTTGTCTGCTTGCGTTCGTTCTGCTTCGGCGGGTCTCTTTGACAAAGCCGCTTGCCGTACTTCCTCCATAAATCTGACATCAGGGGAGATGTCTCTGGGAGACACATACTGGTTCCTTGCCGTGTCCGCCTCTTGAACTCCATGGTTTTGTGGGGCTACGCCGAAATTCGGGTCCGTGGGTGTTGGTGCGTTTTCCGCAACTGCTTCTTCGCTTGGTGACGGGGAGGGCAGAACGGCGATGGGCGAGGGCAAAGGATAGGATTTGGTGCGTACCGACACGACGTTTGCTAGCTGAGGGGAGATGGAGTTCGAGGAGGGGTGGCTTTCGCCGTGTGCCGCCACGATGGGACTGGCAGATCGGTTCGTTTGCGCCTGGTCCCAAGGCTGCGGCCGAGGAGGCCTTCCTGGCCTGCGTTTGACGGCCGGAGGATTCAGATGCTGGTTCGGTGAGGTCGCCTGGCCCGAAGACATCCAAGACTTCCGCCTCCCGCCCAGGTTTCCGAGGGCATAGTTGAGTGTGTTCTGCGTGGCGGCGGCTTCGGCCTGGGCAGCCGCCTGCGGATCGCGCCCGGCAGCGCGCCCGCCGAGAGTCATACTGGCGGCAAGATCAGACGGAAGGGGATGCTTGACTTATGGTGCCTGTAGAGATATGGCCGCGACGTGAAGCCTTCGACCAATACCCAGAGACGCAAGGGATGCGGGGACATGCTGGTCCGGGGGCATGTACACGGGCGGGCCTTATAGGGACATGGGTGGGTACGCGGCGGGCTCGGTGCATGCAGCTCCAGTCCACCGGGCAGGAGCGAGGGCGCGAGGAAGCGGAAGGGGCGATGGTGAAGGGGAAGGCGCGACGGTGAGTATGGAAGTCGCGACGAGATAGTCACTGAGGACGGCGCCGCTAGCGAGCGCACGGGGCAGGGGCGAAGGGGACATCCTGGCCAGAGCGCCCGCCGAAAGGAAGGCGCCTGCACCACCCGTGGCCGGTAGTCTACCGCTGGGGAAGGCGCGCGCGGCCGGCACAGCTCGCCAGAACTCCCAGAGCCCGTCTGTTATTCGCAGCGGCGGCTATTGTTGACGGCGCATGTGAACGAAGAAACCAGCTGGCGGCTCTCGCTGGTCCCGCCTAATTAATAGGAGACCTTGTCGGCGGCGAGCCCGCATAAGTCTGGCGGCTCCCCCAGCTGTCCTCGCCCTCCTCACCAACCAAGAAGCGGACGCCACGATACCGAGCCCCCTCGCCAACGCTGCAACGAGAAGCAGCTGCGTCTTCCGCACCATCCCTCCGACCGCTGCAGTCTCGACCGGCGACCAACAAGGCCGGAGTGCAGCTTCGTTCCCGAGCCCGAGTCAGGCCGTGGTCCTCTAACGGCCGCGCCACGTCCTCAGAGCTGCAGCGCCGACCTCCCGCAGTTGCATGATGAACAACATTCACCAGGTGCGCCGGTGATTGTCGCCTCAACCTCCCCAACGCTCGCTCGCGCCCTCCTCGCACCCGCCGTTCGTTCCCCAGGAAGCCGCCATGGCGTCCAGATCGCAGACCGAGTACTCGCGGCCCGGCGACGTCCTCGTCGTTGTGCGTAAGTGCTGCCCGCTTCCAGTGCTTGCTGTACCCTCCTAGTCAGGAGAGGAAAACCGAGTGCAGTGCTGATGCTTGTGCTGTAGATGAATTCCAGGCCCGGAGCCCCGACGAGCTCAGTCTGTCGCGGGGCGACCGCATCGAGCTGATCGAGCGCGACGACGATTTCGGCGACGGCTGGTTTCTGGGACGGAATACAGAGACCGGTGACAGTGGCTTGTTCCCGGAAGGTACGCCCCGCTACTTTGCTTGAGTTACTTGTGAAGTCACTTGTGAAGTCACTGCAGCTGTCTCCTTACATCCGTCCACCAACCCTTCTCACCAATATCTAAATCATGCTCCCACCTCTAACAAACCTCAGTCTACACCCGACCCGCACCGAAGGCGACCATCAACGCTGCCCTGCATCAGCGTGCGCCCTCGCAGCCCTCCGCCCAACCTCTCCATCATGACCCGAAGCCCGTCGAACCTCCCGCACCCTCCTCCGCCCCTCTACCATTGGCTACCGCAGATGCACCGGCGCCCTTGGAGTCCACACCCAGCACGGAGCCGCTTCAGATTTCGAGTCCCAATGCGGCGATACAAGCAGGTGCAACACCCAGGGCGTCCCTCTCGTCGCAACCGAGAAGCATTAGCCAGGCCTTGAGCGGGGAGCTTCCCAGGGAGGATGAGACAATAGGGAGCCCGGTCATGCACGAGACACTGAGTGTCATAGATGAACACATCACCGACATGAGCACCCCGCGCCACAGCATCGTTGGGAAGGACCTGAGAGGCAATGACTCTGGAAGCGAATACAGCAGCCACCACCGGCTGTCGTACATCAACGGCCAGGAGACGGAGGAAGAGGAACAGAATCTGCACACGGAACAGGAAGTCATGGCATGGTCGCCCGCGCGGGTTGCAGAGTACCTCGAAGATACGGGTGTGGAGAAGAAGCACTGCGATATCTTCAAAGAGCAGGAGATCAACGGAGAGGCCCTGTTGGGCATGGACCAGGCAACCATCTTCTTGAAGGAGTTTGAACTCGGGCCGGTTGGACCACGTTTGCGTACCTGGGTGAAGATCAAGGCATTGCAGCAAGAAGTCAAGAGCGTAAAAGATGCCCAGAAAGCGATGAGCACTTTCGATGGACAGGAGGAGTCCACGGTTGAGCCAGCCAGGAATCGCGCTACGTCCATGAATGCGGTCCTTCCGCGGATACCAAGTCTTAGGGAGTCCCAGGGTATGAAGGGTAGTCCCGGCCGACAGGCACTTCCACGCGCCCACTCCACCGCAGGCCATTCTCCCGGACTCGGGCACGAAATGACTTCACCTTTGGCGCACGTGACGCCCTCGTCTCCTAAGCCCGGCACGCCGACACGGCCTTCAGCCGCATCCGTCCGCAGTCTGAATCACAACCGACGTCATTCTTCCATCGATTCTACTATGAATATGCCACCCCCGGGCGTCAAGCCACCACCGGTAGCACCTTCGGCACACAAGAAAACCCCTTCATTTGACCGCAATTGGACAATGGGCTCTCCGCAGCTCCCCTCACAAGAGCTGAAAAGACCGTCGTCCTCCCATCATGCGCACTCGACTAGCACAGATGGAACCGCGTTCGCTGGCCGCGAAGGGACTTTGAGTTCCATGGCGGCCGCCGACCTTGATCGAGGCTATTTCTCCGGCGGAGAGGTGGATAACCGCAAGGCCAGAAATGTCCTACGCAAGAAAGACTCACCAAATCACTCACGAAACCCCAGCTATAGCACCGAAGCCGGACGTCGGGCCGTATACAACAAGCGCCACAGCAGAATCGGTAGCTCAGATTCTACGGCGGAAACCGGCGGCCCCATCTCTCCTGCGGCGAGAGCATACTACGGGTCAAGCATCAAGAGTCATCGCAGCTCGAGCACTTTCGAGTTTGTGCGACCATTAAAGCCCATGAACGAAATGGCTCCTACAGTGACCAAGCTAGACTACGCTGATTCGCCTAGCATCGACGCCATCGCGAACTCGCCACGAGTCCTGAGCAGCGAAACTTCGTCACAAGGGCGCGCATCGCCCTCGCCAGCAGCTCAAACACACTCCCACTCATTCTTCGGGAAGAAGTCACGGAGCACTGGCCTCCGAGCAATATCAGACGCAATCACTGGAACGGAGAGGGCCAATGCAAGCGCGGGAGAACTCACTGCCTCACCAATAAAAGAATCCCCCATGCAGTCTCCATCTCGAACCGGCTCCAGCACGCCCTCTGGTACCTCAGTATCGAAGAGCTTTGATTTTGAAAACCCGGAGATCAACAAGCGACTGACTGGTGGATCGACGTCAACCAAGGATACTGGACGGAAGAAGCCGAAGAAGCATAGTACCAGCGCATATCTCCGAGGCCGGGAAACCATTACTCCCCAGGAAGCCATGCAAGGTTGCGACTACAGCGGCTGGATGAAGAAGAAATCGTCAAGTTTGATGACGACATGGAAAACACGATTATTCGTGCTCCGAGGGCGACGACTTTCGTATTTCTACACTGAAATGGACACGGAAGAGAAGGGTCTTATTGATATTTCTTCACATCGTGTGCTTCCAGCGAATAACGAGAGGATCACGGGCTTACATGCAACAATCACTCGCGCCTCGTCATCGCCATCGTCGCCCCAGAACGCGACAATACCAACGGCTGCATCTACCGATGCTGCGAACGGCATAGAAGAGGACGTATCGGGCATGTTCATTTTCAAGCTTGTCCCTCCTCGCGCTGGCCTACAAAGGGGCGTTCAATTCACCAAGCCTATCGTGCACTACTTCGCGGTTGATAACGTCCAGATCGGGCGTTTGTGGATGGCTGCTCTTATGAAGGCTACTATCGACCGGGACGACTCGCTCAACGTCACCACAACATACCAGCAGAAGACAATCTCGCTGGAGAAGGCTCGCCAGATGCGGCAACGACCACCAGCGCTGATGGATGACGACGATATCGACAATGGTTCTGGCGAAATCGAGAGCAAGAAGAGCGAGAAATCTAAGGAGAGCATCCAAGAGAGCGTCATTCATGAAGAGGACGAGAAGCAAGGTCTTGCCATTTCAGGCCTGGACGATGCGAAGGCTCTGCTAGAGTATGCGGAGAATGGCGTGGACCCGCCGCAGTCTCCAACACCTGAACAGCCGAAGTCCGACCATAAGCGAAATGAGAGCTTCACACCAGGTCTCGTCTCCCCGATTGGATGAGCACCAACTTCTCAGTGTGTGTACGCATTCATTCATTCTTTTCAAGAGTATATTATTTCTATTGCCTCACTCGGTATATGCTTTAATCCGCTCATTGCGAGGACGTCCAGGGGGTAGCAGGCGTTCATGAATCATTCGGGGTTTCTGTTTTGGAGAGGAGGCTTATAACCAACCCATTTAGTTGAGTGAAGGAGAAGGATCGCAACGGCGCTCACGATGGTGGATATCCCTGTGGATCCTTTGAACCAGCACATGACGATCTTCACGTTGATGACGGATCTAGAAGAACCCCTAGTATATACCTCGACTAATACCGCACTCACTTGTAATTTTATTGACTTCTTCCACCGATTCAAGCTCTTTTTTGGGTTTGTTCAAGGGATTGCGGTGCAAACTGAGTGCTGCTGTTTGGGCCGATGCTAGCTGGGGTCCGCATGTCGTGGTACCTCGCGAAGGCGTAATGTCGGGATATGACTTGGATGGTATGCGCCAGACGCTTTCATACCTTGCATTCGCTCACCAGTCTGGACCCCTCTACTAGTTAGAGGTGGTTGGTGATTGGAAGGGAACAGCGGCGCGCAAGGGTAGGAGTGGAACCGATTGTGGAATGAGCACCCCCTTGCAACAAGAGATACTGTTCTGGCATGTTGACGAGAAGCTAGGTTTCACGGCTCCAGCGCGTACCTGCAGCCCGTCCTCTCTTGTCGATGATCCGACTTTTCGTGGGGAACTTAACTCACCGGTCCGCTCAATGTCTTTCTGCACGCACCTGCAGCTATTGCGTCTTTCCTCAGCTCCGCACATTGAGCTTCGTGCGTACCTCTTCCCAGTGGCATACATCGCCTTTCTCGCGCTCGTCCTGCGGTCGAATTACAGCATTGCTCGCCAGTGGTGATAATCTTGCGGCCCACGAGGACGAGGATCAATCCCATGCCCCGCCAGCACTCTTCCACCACTTCTACCAGCCCATCTTCTACGGGTATCGACGTCCCGCCCGCCATACTCGCAGCTGCTTTCGCGCTTGGTGTCGGATACGTCGCGTATACGCACCTCAGGAAGCAAGGACCCACCGGACCCCAGTACTCGAACGTCACTAAACTGGGTATCCGAATAACACAGACAACACTGCAAAGAGCAAGAGCAGGAGTTGAAGCGAAAGAACGGCCACGCCTGGCGCTGCTACCCCGCAGAAAAGAAGCAGGCGCTCTTTTACGAGAAGTGGACTTGTGCTTGTAAAACGGAGTTCAGGACCTAACCTTGGAAGTCCAGCCCCCGGGGATCTCATGAGCCGCCGTCACCAGCCCAGCTTCTCTAGCACGTCATTCTCTTCTCCGTCTAATTCGGCGCATATCACAAACACCCTCTTCGCCGTTGCCCTCGACCTCGCGGTTGGATACGTGGTATACTGCAACGCCACGAAGCCCGAGGAACCTCCGCAGAGTGCTGTTGAGAAGTGGCTAGCAAGAAAACACCAGAAAATCTGCGATCTAGAAGCGCGTGCAAGGAGCGCGGGGGACGGCCAATACTAGCGTTGCTATCCGAGTGTGGAGAAGGAACAGGCGGCTTTTTGGAAGAAGTACGGCTGTGTTTGTCAGACTGGGTGGACGGAGTGGAATTGACTCTGCGGAGGTGAAGAGCGGGTTAGGCCTCGACGCTGACGTCTCCTAACACTGGACCTCCTCGCTACAATCTGGCCAGCGCCTCGATAGAGTCTGCTATTTCTCGACTCATCCCATACCCCCATACCTCCCTCCTAGCTAGTTATGTCGCCCACCAAGGAAAAACAAAAACCGCTTCCCTCACCCCTCCAAAGAATCAAGAACCCCTTCATCAGCCTCCACGCCGCTCCTAGACCTCTATCCTTCCGCGCCCGCAGCAAATCCCGACTCACACTCCTCGTCGTGGCCATGGTGCTCATAGTCGCCGTGCTTAATGAGCTACGCTGCGTGGAATACGGGTGCCTGTCCCGTGTGGGGTTCTACGGCGGCGAGGCGAGGCATGTTGGCGGCGGGGCCGTGATTCCGTGGGCGGGGATAGAAGCGGGCATAGAGATTGACGGGGGGTTTGCGGAAGGCGAGACAGGGAAGCCTGAGGGGAAGGGGAAGGACATTGGTGGTGGAAAGTGGATCGATGAGGAGCACTTGCAAGAGAAGGCGCCGAAGGGTCAGAACGAGAATGTGCTAGGCCCTGTGAAGGAAGAATTGGAAGAAGAAGATTTGAACGAGAGCGAGTACTCTCTGAGGGCAGACTGGGAAGGTGATGGGGAACCCCCTTCTTCTCATCCCTCAGCCAGTCCCGCACCAGGCTCTAAATCTCCCCCAAGCACCAGCCCCGATAATTCAACCGAGCTGGGCACCATGGACATGGGTTTCCTAGGTGGATGACCCTTTTTGCTCATTAGAGCTGTGCTAGTACGCATCTCCCCCGGGTTCGAAACACGTACGGGTACTTTAGCCTTTTCCTTACATTCTACTTCGCTTGCTGTGTCTCATGCGATATCTTTTCCAGTGTTAGAAAAAAAATGATCATCTAATATAACCTGATATGCTGCATACGAACTAAGGAGGACCGTCTGTGTGTCCATTTGAGTTTCAGTTCTCTTCAAGTCGTCTGTGAGATTCATCCTCCCGCACCGTAATGGAAAAGTAGAATGTATCCATGCTAATATTCCAAGCAACGGCGCGGTGCAACGAATGTTGAATCTTGTCATGATCGAGGCAATGACTTCAAACAATACTTTCACTCCTCAACGAGTCGTTGTTCCCAACCGAGCTCTTCTGGTCTGTGATGCTTGCAGTCGTAGTAAGCTCATCCAGGCTAAAATAATGAGCATACTTCCTGTCCGTGGACTTCAACACGTCTGGCGCCGGCCGAGTCTCGGTTACTGGCGAATGCGGATGAGAATCGTAGGTATTCTTGGAAGCCGTCCACGATGTCTTCAGGTTGGTCATTGTGGTCACTATCTTCTGGTACATGGAATTCTTTTGACGAGCGGCGTAGGCTGCAGAGGGCATGCAGGCGCAAATCACCCCCACGAACATCTCGCAAAGTCTGGCCCTTAAGGTTAGACTTTTGCTTTTATGTGACCGATCACGGCGGCTTGGGATACTAACGTAGAAATGGTCACGGGAATAATAGCATAGGTTGTGTCGTTGGAGCGGGCAAGGACGAAACGATAATAGATGCTGCATGCTGAGCATGCGCAAGCCCTAGTTGTTGTTAACAGCAGGGAATAGACAGGCCTGATGGCTAGAAAGCGCAGCTTACATTGTTCCCGAAAGGAATATTAGCATTACTCCGATCTTTCGCTTCAGCGACAGCGTCAAGCCGGACACACCGATAATCGGAATGAGTAAGATGTATAAGTCTATCACAAGGCCAATGACGGATTGCGGTACTAAAAGCTGAAACGTTCTCTTCCCTGCATCCGACATCTGATGTGCGAACCATGTCTCGTCCCTGCGTGGTGTTGCCAAAGCGAAGACGCAGGCGGTGAGAATCGCGTAGGTCAGTGCTGTCACTACGAGGCCAAGCCAAGAGCACAGGCGTGCCCAGCGCAGCTGGTTGAACAAAGATAGGTACAAAATGAAAAAAGTCGTTTTGAGAAAGAGGAAGGTCAGAGGGGTGAGAACGGCGATCAACCAGCCTGGCTACGAAACGTCAGCGTGCCATGTTCTGGCTGCAGTTGAATTTATGGCCGTCACTCACCACAAGAAGGTCCAACTTCGTAGCTTGAAGACCGCTGATGTCCCATTGGTGTCTCCCGAAGCCACCTCTCTTAGCCCCTGTGCAGTGATCAGAATCGTTCGGTTTCCATCTGATTCCAACTCACCCCAGGTACAGGACACATAATAGGCCAGGCTTCCTAGCTGATAAAATAGTCAGTCAAGCCCTCTTCAATGGCTGATGCGCACCAACCATGGCAACGAGAATGGTAGCGTCGTCCCATGAGAGTTTCTTCATCAACCACAGCTTGACATAGGCACGGTTGCAGAAGAAGACGATCACCAAGCCTAATATGACAGAAGTGACGATAATCTGAGTCGGAGCCTCCGTGTAAGGGTCGACAAAGTTTGGTATCGTGCCATTAGGAGGAGGAATGGTTGGGGTGGATGCAAGCATAGCCGGATCCTCCGGGGTGATGTCCTGCGACGCAGATGCCATGCTGGATGGACTTAAGAGAGAGGTTGCCAAAGAGTTCTGTATAAGCTAACGATAAAAGCTATGCTTCGATCTAAGCAGCAGAAGACTAGTAGGGTAGAGCCACCCGATGTTATACCCGTAACAAAGCTTGAGCTGGTGTGGGTTCTATGTTATCGCAGGTGATAAATTGTGGACAGGGCTTCGAAATTGGGGCAGGGTCTTGAAGTCCGATGGTGGGTTGCTATCTGCATGCAACGCTCCTCCAATGCGGTATCCCTACACCGAACATAGCCCGCTGGAACCCGACATCGCGGACCTGGAGGTTATCCCGGCATGCTGCATATGTCGGGGCCACAAACGTACTAGGCGATCTCGCCTGTGAGCTTAGCTGCCTGAATCTGCTCTAGCTAATGGGCTAAATTTAGTAGAGCGCTGTTTCAACGCGACAAGGCGCAAGACCGCTTCCGACGACTTTGTCTCTTTCAATCGTCAATCACACACCTTGGGCGTCCATATTGCGAACCACCATGTCTCAGTATTCCGTCTTTGTTGTTGGAGGCTGTGGGTTTACTGGCTACCGCATTGTTCGCCATTTCGTTCCAGCACCAGAGTTTTCTCCCGTCTCGGTACTGAGCAGTTCCGCAGCTAACAGCGCGAACTAAGTTGCCGGCGCGAACTACATCGCCGGTGACTTAGGCGACCATGAAGCTATTTGGCTTGTGCTCATCACTAACTTGAGGGCAACCGTGGCATAGAAACACCCATAACTTTTGCGAGTCAGTACCAAGAGCTGCGACGAGAGGAATACTGCCCTACCAAATGATGCGTTCCGCTCCCCGAATAAGCCAAGAATCTGAGTGACGCAACATTGTTTATTGGAGGAGAAGAGAGCTCACTATTGCAAGGCTGGCTGGCTGAAATCATTGAATTGACCTCGCTCCTAAGAGCTATGCAATTATTCTACAATGGATTTTTTCTGCAGAGGCAGATGAAGGAAAACCACGCGAAGTGATAAAAACTTCCCTCTTTTTGCCTTTGTTCTTTAAATTCGAAACTGCTTAAAGGAGTGCCGTTTGCGGAAAGGAGGCAATGCCCTCACCGGATATGGATGGGCTAAGATGTATTCTCCAATGTTTGAATCCTACTCAGTTAATTCTCCGGGAATCCAACAGGCGTACACCTCATGGAGTACAGAGGTCCTGAACCTCCAACAGCACCATATCGGCTGCCGGGACTGTGTCACCTCTCCGGTTTAGCGTTCCGTCCTTCCTTATACATTCAACGACTTCTGTAAAGCTAGTCAACCCCATGCACGCAAGGCATACTAATGGTGAATTAGTAACAAGTACGGTCGCCTCACACCACTCTTTTTCCGGGCAGGGCCGATCCCCTCCTTGATAGTCACCGACCCAGCACATATCAAGAGTGTCTTCCTCGCTTCGAGGCAGATTACCCTCAAGGGTTTCCACCTTACTGTATACGAAAAGAAAGGGGGTGGGCGAAAAACATCCAGATCACTACGCTTGCCGTCTTGTTCGGCGGATATGAAGTCGAGTTGGTTGACGTGGCGGGTGCTAGCTCTTGAATACTCCTACTACGACACACAGCAGTAGGGGTAATTAAGCAGCCTGGAAATATTGCTATACGGATTCGTGGCCGTACTAGTAGTAAGACGTAAAGATGAAAATATAGGGCAGAGTTTTTCGGAGCCGCAGAAAAGTAATTTAGAGCCAGGCGTGCCAGGCAGTGCCAGGCCCGGATATACACAGCCGAAAAAATAACAGAACGCCGAAGTAACGCCGGAACATCAAAACGTGAGACGGAAAAATATTTTAGCCAATCAGGAAGCTCGCATTCTTTTTTGCCCGCATAGAGGCTGCGGAAAGCGGGCGCCCTCTGCGGGCACTTGCAACGCTCGCCAACGCTGCTTTTCTACCTGCAGTTGCGCCAGGACGGCCTAGAAATGTATGCGACGGCTATAGAAAGTTGCGCAGCGCCTGCGCAGGGCGTGGTTGTGGGTCGGCAAGCCTCTGGCTCTGGTGATTATTTTCGATACCTCAGCCACAGCTTGCAGTGGAGCTGGCACCGGTGAGAGCTCCCTGATTGGCTGAAATTAACTGTATATATCCAAATCTTGCGCCAAAAAATCGGCCCTAGATAATAGATATAGTGGTGTACGAACCCCCGGGTAGAGAGAAAACCGGAGAATTTGGTATGAAGCAGCATCGCATGAAGAGAGTTCATGCGCAAGTCTCCACTTTTACAAAAGGCGCCGTGCAAGCATGGGTTGGAGATATGATTTCCATTCATTGATGCATCCTGCTTCCAGCGGACGGATTACCTATACACACATCTGTCCTAGCGAGTGCTGCGCATCTTCGGCGCCATCTAGTTTTGGGGGGTATCTTTCTATACAAAAATCGCTCAAAAGGCCGTACCCATACGCCGCCCCAATGATGCTTGTGACTACCGCCTTCTCCTTCTTCGCTGCTTCTCCTGCCCCTCGCTCACCGTCTCACACCTGTCCCGACCTCTGCACAACAGCACTTCGTCAGGGCTAAACCAATCCCTCACCCCGCACCTCCCTTCTAACCTCACAAACAAATTGTCCACCCGATCAATCATCCACCCGGACTGTACGCGCTCCCTTGGTTTCGCGTATCCTAGGCGGAAGGAGGTAGAGATGGAGCAGCTGCCCGACTCGTACGAGAACTGGATGCAGTCCTTTTTTCTTTCGCAGACGGCGCGGCAGTGCCCGAAGGACTTCCAGGCGTTGCGCTCGAGCTCGTCGGCCGAGTTTGCGTGGTCGTGCGCGTTGAATTCCTTGTCGACCGACATGTTGTCCCAGTTGGATACTTGGGCGCCGATCTGCGGGCGCACGTGCTCGCGGAAAATGTCCCGATGACGGAGGAGGATGTCGTGCTGTTTGCAGTCAGCGTTTGATCTTTATGAGACGTTGCCGGGATGATGCAGGTCGGCTAGACTTACCCTCTTGTACCAGGCCTGCTCGAACTTCCAGAGCTCTTCGATCTCGGATGGTGAGACGTGGTGGTAGGTGATGGCGGGGTAACACCACGCGTCTCTGTCGATCTTGGTGATGGCCGGATCGAGCGTGGCTGGCGAGTCGCCTTGGAAGTGCGGGAAGGCGCGGTGCAGGGGGACTTTGATGTCCTCCATTATTTTGCCGAGTGCGCAGTCGCCCACCCAGTGGGTTGCTGTGAAGTCTTCATAGTCGCGGACGCGGACGGAGCGCTGCTCGGTGACCTTGCGCACTGCGGGATTGGAGAGGACGAAACCAGCGCCGCCGTAGCCAAATTCGATGTCGTTTATGTACAGGTGCTTTCCAATGTAATACGGCTTGTCAGGGTCAAAAGTGCTGAGATAATCCAAGAGGTTGTTCCAGCCCAGGTAGGTGTCTGCCTCAATGAAGACGAACCATTTGGCGTTCGGCATCTGCTGATACGCTTTGTCGATCATGGGGAGGAACTTCCACTTGTCGAGCCTCCAGCCGTCGTTTCCGGTGTTGAGATAGTCGCCCTTGGACGAACCCGACTGCGCCGTAATAACCTGCTGGCCCCCCAGGCCCCTCCTTCCTTGCTTCTGCAGATGGTGATACAGCTTGAAGTCCTCATGCTCTTTCCCTTTCTTGCTGACGCCTCCTAACACATCATGCACAGCATGCCCCTCGATCTCCTCATCCAGATCCGAAAAGACGACGAAGTGGGGTACGCATCGTAAGGTGGTCCTAAAGTGCACTGGCACCTTCTGGCGTGACTCTGTTGCCCCCGTCCGTAGCACGACTAGCACGTCATCGGCAAGGTCGGACTGCGGACAGAAGATGTCGTCGTGCGCGAGGGCGGCAGGTTTAGAGTAGCGCAGGAAGAACGAGGGTGAGCTGGCCTGGCTGAAGATATTGATGATGGAGACGGAGAAGATGGCGCAGAAAATTAGTCGGCAAAGGAAGGTGCGGTGAGGCATAATGATGGAATGCACAGCGCCAGGCCAAGAAAGAAAAGGAATGGAGGTGCAGCGACGATTTCGTGTCGCGCGGTACTAAAGGACTGACGAAGAGGTGTGCCTCTCGGCCATGGAAGCCGGCAGCGTCGCGGGTGCCACGGCGGTGAGGCGGCGAGCAGGGCGTTCGCACAGTGAAAAGTGTTTGCGAGTCTTAGCGAAACGGAGGCTGGGTGCATGTGGGCGCCGCGACGGTTTTCAACTCCGAAGCGGGCCGACGATCCTCATCTCTGGTCAGACACGACGATGCAAATCCCGAGGGCGGGCGATCAATGCCTTACGGTGCGTTGGGGCAGTGATGGGCGCGCGCGGGCGGTGTCGTCCTCACATGTCACCGGTACAGTACGGGACACAGTAAGCGCAGCCGCGCTGGTGCGGGACTACGTGTCGCCATCAGGCAAGTCGTCTCAGAGATGGTGCCATTGGCAGCACTCGTCGTCGCGGCAGAGCGAGAGCGCGCGCTGTGTGGATGGGCCGTCGTGTTGGTGTTTTGGCCTACCGGGCCATTTCAAAGCGCCGAGGCCGGCAAAGATGGGGAAGGAGCGCTGGGGTGTCCCTGCGCGGCTGCCGCATCCGGGCTTGGCGACGACGTCACAGGGGCTTGCGAGGCAGGGGCCGCTTTCCGCTTTGGGGCGTCGCCTACCTCGCACGTTTGGATCGACGGCTTCTCATGCCTCAACTCCAACGGAGCACACTCATCCACAGGACCGCAGTCAGCCAGCGATCACCACCTGAGAAGCGCGCCTCTTACGCGACTGTCTGTCGCAATCTATCCTGAAACACATCCCCTTTGTGCCCTCGTGCACAGCCGAGCATCGTTGCACCGGAACGCTTCAGGCGGCCGTCACCTCATTTCTCCGACCCCGGGCCCTATTGCGGGATTGACGATAGTTTCACGGTCGTGCCATCGAAAGAGCTGAAGACTACGCCGCCTCAACGCTCTGTTCTAGAATCCGCGCGGCAATCTATTCGCAGCGCCCGTTGACAGAGCCAACGGTTTGCACGACGCTGCCGACGAATCCCAATGCAAAACCGTTAGAAACGAGCGCACGGATGCGGGCACAAACGGGATGCTGGCCCCTCTCTTTTACTGCGGTACATAGCTCACACATCGACAGCAACTCCAATCAGCAACAGTCATCGCCTGACCGTGATTTTGCTGGCAGCGGGACCAAAGCATGCAGAAACGCCGTCGGCATCGATTTTCGATTGGGCCGTAATGAAGCTGAAACCAGAGACGTCTGCCGGCCACGATTGTCGACCGGGCGCTACGAACCGTAATTATTCTCTTAGTTCTCCTCTCCCTCTTATTCAGTGGAAGTCTTCGCCTCGAATCTATTTCCAGCTGTTTGTACGATATCACTCCCGCCCGGGATCCCCCACGAGGCAGTTTCTGGCCGTCACAACTCTGCAGAGTATTATAAACACACGACCGGTCACACTGCCCGGAAATGAAGGAGATGAACGTCAAGAACAAGCTGGACAGCGTGACGAGTGGTTGGTTCCAGGCCGAACGCTACCGAAGGTGGGCCATGTCCAAGACCTAAGGTAGAATTCACTTAGCGAGCATTCATGCCGACGAGCGTCAAAAGCCACCGCTGATGCAGAGACCACGCATGACACTGTGTCCGACTGGCATCGAGCTGAAGCAGGACCGATGAGGGCTCTCTTGGTGCCGTAGGACGCCCAAGTTGAAAGACCCCAGAGCAAAATTATCAAAACCCAGTTTGGGTAAGGGAGTAAAGGACTCCGGGCCCTCTCTCCATCTCAAACAACTCTGCGCCTACCAACGGAAATTACAAATTACCTTATGGGCATACCAAGATGTGAGCCAGGCGAAGCAGATCTATTCAGAAGCTTGGTACCTACCCTTACATTCTTCTTTCATGACTACCAAGACCTACTCAGCTAAGGCATTTTTATGATATTTGTATTAGGATAGCTTAGTGGGGGCCGCTGGAGCTAAGCCCTTTCGAGTCTAATTACGACAACGCGACCGGAATCTCCGCTCCCTCCTTCGTCGTTCAGGCCTACGAGATCTTCAGCTGCTTCTACGGGCTGTCATCCATGGCTAGTTATCGCATAGAGGACCCTCGCTTACTTCGTCATGTTCGGCAGGACCCTACGCCGCCAATTCCAAATCATCAATAGCTACTGAATATTGACACCATGAATAAGGATCTTACAGACTGCGTCGACCCCAGGGCTACCCGCCCATTCATGCAGGCATCCGTAGATGGATCACTAAACATATCTTACGCCACAGCTTTGGCCTGAACTTGGCTTCAGCTCCGTTCCCGCACTCCGGCATACAACTCTCCAGCCGGTCACCTGTGGCTCACCTGTAGCGCGCACGAACTGCGACCACTCAGACGGCAGTACCCAGCTCGGAGATTTCCCATCTCGCGAGTTGAGCCTTAATTCCGCCATGTGGTTCTCAGCATGTGCTGAGTGAATGCTTATCCTGTCTGGGCGCTGACGCTAACCTAATCCCAACGTGGAGCATAAGAACGAAGCTGGACTTCAACTTGTGGCGTGAGGATATGGAACTCATCTTTCTACTCGTCGTGCTGAATTGGGGGTTAGAAACATATACTGTGCTTCACTGTTTCATTCTCCATCTACTTCGTTTTCCTTTGCCCTCTCTGTCCGACAGCACTGCCTTCAGACGAGAACTCACAACGCGGTCACTCGATTCTGAGCATATAAAAGGATGGAGGATGCCATGCCGAAATCCCCTCCTCAGGAAACAGACGAGATCCAGCAACACGAATCCGACAGCCTTCCCTTCTCTCGCCACTTCTTTGCAACCCTCTTCACCATGAGCTCCAACAACCAGCAAGGCCAGAGCGGACATGATCCGAACACACCAACTTCCAATCCTCCAAGCTCGCAAGCTCAATCGTCTCCCGGACAGCCTAGCACCTCAGGCTCAGGCCAGCCCTCCCTCCACGTTTCTGGCGCCGGTATCATGCAGCAACAGCTCGGGCAGTACTACTTGTATCTCACCAACACGCAGTCGTCGGCTGGGCAGTCGGGTCAATCAGGCCAAGGGAGCCAAGGTAGCGGTGGAAGTCCGAGCAGCAGCCAAGGCGGGCAGAGTAGCGGGCCTGGCCCGGGAAGATGAATGTTCCCATGAGACGGTCAACATGAGGGCGCCACATTTGAACGGCCGCACTTAGGCAAGGAACGAGTGTGCGTGAATGGTACACTACTTCATATATAAGAGATGGAATCGGACCAATCTTGGAACCGGCGCTGGACCATTTAGACGACTAAGAGGGACATCACACTTTCTTTCATCTCCAGTCAAGGCGTCTTGTGGCGGTTGCCCTTTGCTCTCTCCTACTCCGCTCATTGTCTAATCCTTCCCACGATCAATTCAGTCAATTCCAGTCTTGAACGTCACAATATCCTAAACCCCCTTCTCTACCTCTCCTTTCATTTCATTGTGCTCCAAAGCGGGTCCTCCTCCAACTCCGTTTCCACCCCCATTCGCCATCCCCTTCCTCTTGTCCCAGAACTGCTCTCTGCCGCCAATGTGAACAGCTGATCCGTCAGGTCGGGCATAGACACCGGGTGTTACAGCCCATGGGTTGCTAGGAAGGCATGAAAGCGTTACTGTCATGTTAGCTCCTTGTGCTTGGACACTGATGTAAGAACTTACCTTGGCCCCTTTCAGCGGCTGTCAGAACTGCTGCCGGGGTCTGAGCGGTATCGTGCTGCGGCTTCGGACAGGAAGTGGTAGGAGACATGCTTCGTGTGAATTTCGGGCTGACAAACTAGGGAGAAGAGCGGAATGAATGTGTACTGCGCTGCGGAACTCGGCGAGTAGGTCATGATCGCCACCTCGAAACTTTCTTCATCCTTATAGATGCCTGTGCCTTTTGAGGCCATTCAACAAATGAAGTCGGCTTTGGCGAGCAAGGCGAGCAATTTTCAGAGTGCTCTTTGGAGAGTGTGAAGGGCCTCATTTTGGAAAGCGAGCGGTTATACATGATTGGAGGGGCTACACGCGATGGGGGTTGTGAATTTCACTATGGCCGAAATGTTTCTGCGACTGCTAACCCCACCGGTTGGCTCCCTGTGTGAGCCTCATAGCTTCTACAAGGTACTCCGGACAAATGCAGGGGAAAAGGCGGTCCGAGAATGATGGGCTCAAATGGAGTTTGATGCCTTGAAGCCTGAGCGATAAAGCGAATGGACGGGTCCAGATGGGCTCAGGATTTGGAATGGCTGCGCCGCTGAGGTGGCGCATCGTTTCAGATGACGGAGGACTGCTTGATTGGCCATGGGCTATCCGCCTCAATTGTTGCGGACGTCAACGGTGGCTTGCAGGCGAAGAGTAAGGCACCTGCAGTCCTCAGCCGGAGGTCCGTGCGTTGAGCCCATATTTGAGCTGCCAATCAAGAAAGGCACGAGGCTCGGCCTTGGGGCAGTTAAGAATGTCAGCCTGCCCAAACTTTCTCCACCAGCTTTCATCTCTACTCTCGGCCTTTGGGCTGGGTTGGGATTCTTTTTGTTCAATTGCACTTTGGACCTCAGGACGGAGAGCATCCTCCATAGGTCACTCCATTGAGCCTTGGGGCACCTACAAATCTTACGAGGCTGAAGCTCCCGGCTCAGCCTCTCATACCTGGTGCGCCTGTTCGAACCCATTTTCCGGCACCTAAGGCTAATTTCGATGAGCAGATCAAAACCATCGCTTGAAAGAGACGCTGCGCGGGGCATAGCTCCGCGTTTGCGCCATCCAAGAGCATCAAAATGATCGTCTAAATACTTATTCCGAACCGCTACCGCAAGGAGGATGGTTCAACGACTTCTTATCTTTGGACCCCGTGCTCTCGACAGATGCAGATCTTCAAGCGTGGCTGGATTCCGGTCTTCTGGAACCCGTGCCAGAGCTTGAATTTGCTGCTGTTGAAGCGGGTGATCCAACACAGTTTCCAAGCGAGCTTTCTTCTCAATCCAACGAATCCAGTCCAGAGAACTCTTCAGTCCCTTCTCTCACCCTCGGTGACTTTGATGGTCTCGATCGTCTGAGTAACACGCCGGCTGGCGCGAGCGAATCCTCCCACCAGCAGCCGCAAACCCCACAGGCGATCGAACAAGGCGTAGTGGCTCAAATCTCAACGACACCGGCCGACACTACCGCCTCACCCCAACTCCATACGCCTGCCAAGGATACTCTCCCTCCACAGTCGCCGTCCTGTCTCCTCTTCCCGGCGCCGCGTCCATTCCATTGCAAGAAATGCAGAGCTCGATTCGTGACGCGCCATCAGCTCAACAATCACGACCGGAACGAACACAAGCGCTTCCCCTGCACCTTCCAAGCTTGCGCAATGGAGTATCGGCACTACAAGTCTTTGTGGCAGCACCAACGAGAGGTCCATAAGCAATTCAAGCTTGAGTGTGACAAATGCGACTACACAACCGGCAGGGAATGGAATCTGAAGAGACACAAGGCCAACAAGCACGGACAGAAAGAAGATTCACAGGTTGATCCTAAAGATTGAAACCTGGAAACAGCCATATATGTTGAAATTACTCGGAAAACCACAGACCGTGCGTTATCTATCCATATGCAGTCCACACCTAAGCTCAGCATTCTGGCGTAGTAATTCTCGTATACCGCGCTAGAATGCTGAGCTTAGGTGTGGACTGCATATGGATAGATAACGCACGGTCTGTGGTTTTCCAAGTAATTCCCCAAAGAAGTCGTCATCCTTCCTCTACGGGAGCGGCGAAAGCGGAAGGTTGCGATGATCATCGGGGAGGGGGTGCCCGTGAGCTGGTTGAGATGTGGTTCCTGGTCAGCTTGACCAATTTCGATTCTCGACACTTTTCCTAGGTTGAGGCATAGAATTTCGTGTTCTGTTACTCGTCTTTTCTACCTTCGGGGCACAGCACGAGATTCAGTCCGCTGTCAATTATGTGACTGAATCTCGTGCTGTGCCCCGGAGGTAGTGTTCCGTCATTACCTGGACTGCTCTTCTCGTCCAGCGTCATCTACATCGCTCATCCATTTGTATCTCGCTGCGCTGGTCATCTTCCATATGGTACTTTGCGGACTTTGTTGCGCTGGTCAGGAACAGGAGGGGCCCACGTAGAGATGGGAAACCCGCTGACAGTAGACCGGAATTCGAATCCAAGACCAGAACTCCGTTCCCATCAGCTCTGCATCCTAGACTTCTGCTGTGCTCATCAGACCCCCTCCTCCCCCTTTCCGAACATCCACCCACCCATCCACAAGAATGTCGGCACGGCCGTAACTGCAGACAACAAACCCAACACCCAAGCCATCGTCGCCCATCCCTGCTCCTGCGCAATGAAACCAGCCAGCAACGGGCCCACCACACACCCCGCAGCAAAAGCCACATTAAACAACCCATAAGCCTGAGCATAAGCACCTCCTTTCCCATACCCCGGCTCCCCATTCGCAAGCATCTTCCTCTCCTTCGCTTCCACAACCGCCGATATCTCCGCCATGAACGGCGGGAAGGTGAGGGATAGCGTCAGTCCCACCAGCGCGAGCAATACACATATTAACACCTTATCATTCAATGTGTTGGAGTCAATGTACCGCAGACAAACGAGCGGAGGGCACGCCAGCAGAAAGCCGATCGACGCCGGGTAGCGACCGCCGATGCGGTCCGCGAGCCAGCCGAACAGCGGCGCGAGGAAGGACGGGATAACGACGGGAAGGAAGAGCAGCGCTGCGCCCGTGCTGGTCCAGTGGAAGGTTGCAGCGACGTGGATGGTGAGGACGGAGTCGAAGGCGGTCATTATTGCGGCTTGGATGATGGAGCCGAAGAGCGCGGCGAGGAGGCGGCGGGAGTAGAGAAGAGAGAGAACGGGCGGGAGGCGGTTGCGCAGACGACGTTTCTTCGGCGGTTCGGTTCTGGCGTTGGGATGTTCCGCTGGCTGTGCCCGTTCCGGGGTGGTAGATGTGCCCTTTTCAGGATCTGGTACCGGGATAGCTGAAGACGGGTCTGCTTTCTCCTCGCTGCGACTTGCAGGACTGGCGGCTTCTTCAATATCACCTGGGCTTTGCGCTCCCTCATCCGCGGTAGCTCTCTCCCTTCCACCAGCCCCAGGCTCCCACCTCCTCGCAACCTTCTTCTCCACAAGCAGCAGCCTCAGCACGATATCTAACCCCACAAGCGCATACGCCATCCCAAACACGGCATTATATCCCGCGCGATCAAACACCACGCCTCCCAACAACGGCCCAATCAAAATACCCACACTCATCCCAAGCCCAACATAACCCATAGCCTGCGCGAGACGCTCTTGAGGCACGGTATCAGCCAGAAGGGCCAGGCCCACGACCCACCTACAAAAGGATCAGCGTCAGCTACCCCTTTCGCTCCGCTGGAACGCGTACTTACACCACAGCAGCACTCGTCCCCTGCAAAACTCGTCCCACGACCAAAACCCCAATACTCGACCCCACATTAAGCAGGACCGTAGCGCCCATCAAAGCAAAGAGGCCGATCAGCAGCGGCGAGCGTCGCGAGGCAGAGCGGTCAGCCAGGAAGCCGCAGATCGGGGAGAAGGCTAAGAGTGCTGCGGCGTAGATGGCGATGAGGACGGAGACCCAGTATTGCACTACTAGCACGTGAGCATGAATAGGATGGAAGAGCGGTAGACGTACCTTTCCCGGGAGGGATGTGGCTGCGCGATTGGATGGCGAACGGGATTACTGGGACTATCATGGCGTAGAGGAACATGTCCTGGGTTTCGGTGTCAGCTCTCAGATGCATATTCTTCTGGCCCAGTACGATACTTTCAGTCCCCTTCTTCCTTCGTATGCGCCATGCAGGCTGAAGGTATTCAGCGCACGCAGTCCGGATGGAAATCCACGCACCGTGAAGACAGCCAAAGCAACCGTCCCAATAATAAATGCGTCTGAACTCCTACACCGCAGCAAATACGGCGGCTTGGAACCATGCTGCGTCAACGACGACAGCCATGCCGGTCGGGCCATATCTTTGCACAAATCCTTCAAAGATACTCGGTCACCTCTTTTTCAAAAAATCGACCATTATTTAAGGAAGCCGCTCCAGAAGATTAGGATGGGCAAGGGAAGGCCATTCTGGGGATTATGACGTTGAAAGAAGAAATCGTGCTGGTGGCGCCGAGCATGCTTTGGCATGGCGTCTCTGGCGCATCCCGCGGACGCCGAGAGTGGACTAGCGATGGCGCCTCGGGACATTTATCCCCGCCGACGGCATACAATAATCGTGCCTGAATCTTGCTTCATTCATGCTCATGTAAAACGTAATTCTCATCATCCTCATCATGGTCAACGTAGCAATTGCAGGCGGCAGAGGTGCCGTCGGGCGCACATTCGTCGAGGTCATGGCCTCACAGACAAAGCACAAAGCAATTGTTCTAACTCGAAAGGTAAGAGAGACACCACGCCTCCCACAATCAATGCTGACCGGCCTCCAAGGAGCCCACGCAAGATGATAAGGCTCTCGCCCCAGCATTTCAAGTCGACTACGGCAACGTTGACCTCCTTACGGCATTCCTTGAGGAGCACAACATCTATACGGTCATCAGCACCTTCGGCATCAATGCAACCTCCTTAGCAACCTCCCAGCTCAACCTCATCAAGGCCGCCGATGCATCTAAGGCCACGAAACGTTTCATCCCAAGCTCCTTCGCCATCGCCTATCCCGAAGAGTAAGCCAAGTACTATCTCTCTTCTATATCTGGGCCCCGGAAGGACATCTAACCATCTCCTAGCGGTGTCGCCATCCTCCCCCCGTTGGAGCACTACTTCACCTGTCTCAAGGCCCTCCAGGCTACCTCGCTCGAGTGGGCACCCGTCTTCAACGGCATCTTCCTCGAGTACTTCGCCCCGCCAGCCCTCAAGTCGTACCACCCGCACACCGTGCTCGTGCTCGACATGGAGCACAATGCCGCGGGCATCCCGGGCGACGGCAACGTGCCCGTGACATTCACCTACACCTTCGACGTCGCGCGCTTCGTCGTCGCCGCCCTCGACCTGGACAAGTGGCCGCGCGAGCTGCGCATCGTCGGCGACGAGTTGACGCTCAACGAACTGCTGGCGCTCGCCGAGGAGGCCAAGGGCGCCAAGTTCGACGTCACCTACGACCCGGTGGAGAAGCTCGAGACGTCCCAGATCACGGAACTGCCGGGCCACCAGGCCGCCTACGCAAAATTCCCGAAGGATCGCCTGCAGTGGTTCCTGGCCATCTTTGAGATGTGGATGGCAAAGGGCCAGGCGAGAGTGCCGAGGGAAGGCAGCCTGAATGAGATGTTCCCGGAGATCAAGCCGCTGACGGCGAAGGAGATGATGCGAAAGTACTGGAAGGGGAGCAAATAAATTAAGACCTTACACCTCCCATCATAGGCCAGCAAGCAAGTTCCATGAGACAGCCGACAAGCGAGGCTTCGGTCCGTCCATCTACCCAAGTTGACCGAGACAGGCGAGCAACCGGCTAGGTTTGGCGAAAACTTCGAGAGCGAAGGCGTTCTTAGCATCATTGCTCGCGCGGTGGAGCTCCAGCCCAATTTCAACCCTGAGACGGCGCTCAGCAGCTACTACCACATTGCTGCATTCCAGCCCTGGGGCTTACTGCAGTACGTGATGCCGACGCTGGCTATAATCGTTTATGGCAAGCAAGATCAGATTTCGCCAGCCCATCTCCAGAAGACATTGATTTACGATGTTCTTTCCGAGCCGAAGAAGCTGCTCACTGTTCCGGACAAAGCGCACATGAATCTCGTAAGCGGGCATGGATCAGAGTATGTGTTGGGAGAGCAAATCAAGTTTCTTTCGCAGGTGTGGAACAAGTCATGGTCTTAGGATACTCCTAGATGGGAATGTTCGTTAGACGCGGCTCATTCGCTAGAATAGAACAAGAGGATCCTGCCTGCTATGGGCATTGAATAACGGACTGCATCCCCAATTTCACTCGACTACTGTCATGACATATTCCCCACAACCTCGCTTCGTCCACGCCTTCAATCTACCCCAAGTAAGTGTCCTACAGACACGTACAAATCCTATCACTCCCACCCGGCGTCAAGCATCCCGCATTATCGCAAACACACCCTCCGTCCGTCGTACACTTATTCAGATCCGAGCATGTCCCAACTTTATCGTCTGCGGGCTACCGCCTCGTCACATACGTCAGCCAAAAACAAATCATTTACGGGACGCCAGGAGGAAGGCGGGAGGTCAGAGGAGTATGCCTGCTCTGGAATATCACTTACGCAGTCGCGAGAGAAGAGGGTAGGCGCATTAGCGTTTGCCACAGGCGAGGCCGCGACGCTCATAGCCATGGCGAGAAGGGTGAGGAGGCCGGTGGTTGAGAAGTGCATTGTGAGTTCGTTTCCGGCTGATGGAGATAGAGAGGGATTTGAATTGAGGATTGAAGGCCCGGATTGCTGATCGATGTGCTCCAAGCTACGGGTTCCCCAGCCTCCTTTATACGCCACTTTCACCTCACTCCTCCATCCTCCAAAGCCCCATCCACTCCTTCTCCCATCGAGATCTTGTTTCAAGCGTCTTGCTCCGCATCTTTCCTCCTCCCTCTTGGCCAGTAGCCAGAAGGCCCCGAGTACCGATCTGTTTCCCCCTTCTGCTTCGGGAAGGAGAACGTGTTTCTGTTTCTAATGGATGTTTTCGCTTGGTATCCTGTAGGAATGTGTGGGTTCCATGGGATTCGGGACTGAGCGCGGAAGTTTGGGCTGACTTGCTGATTTGGCTTCTTGGAGGATCAGATCCGCTGCGGAATCGGGAAGGATGTTTGGGGGCAGAAAAGAGGAGGATTTGACGTCACGGAGTTCCTTAAATAGTTGTTTCACGTGATGTGAAGTCCGCCTTCGCGGACCTTTTATCTGAGTGCAAGGGTTCGAAAGGGGAAGATAGAAGTCTGCCAACGCAGCAGCCGTAGTAGGGCTCTGCGGAAAATATCGGCGTTTCCATGGTTTTCGTTTAGAGGACATTGTATGTATGTACCGTTAAGCATATTTACAAGAACCTATTTCTCATATCTCTCCTACTCTCCCGTCATCCATTTTCGTCAGGCTGCTCCCACAACCTCCACTACCACTTTCTTCACGCAGCACCTCTTAAACAGTCGGCGTCTCGCCATTCCGAATGCAGCCCGACTTATCCGTAAGCGCCTTCGGGCACGTAACCTTCTCGAACGTAACATCCGGGTTGTCAGCGCCCTTGAACCAGTCGAAGCGCCAGTAGCAGCCCGCCTTGAGCTTCTCGGGGAAGCCGTCGCACTGCGAGCGCGACGAAATCCCGCCATACTGCTGTCCCCAGCCGTTTGGCGGCGCGCCCCACTGGTTGGTGCACGCGTTGAACATGCCGACGCCGCCGCCGGGCATCGCGAGATCGAAGTGGTTTTGGCCCAGATCGCCGCCCGTGTTGGTGGCCTGCACGATCAATTGCTGGCCTTGTACGGGGCCCGAGGTGAACGTCAACCTAGACTTTTGTGAGTCGTGTGATATTCAGGTGGAATTTGGGGGGACATACTTGTAGCAAGCGCAGCACCACGAGTTCTCAGTGCCGCCGGCGAGCTTTACGGCCGCGAAGCCATACGCCAATTGGTCGTTAACCGCCCACGGGCTCTGGTTGGTGCACATGTACGCCTGGCCGCCGCTCTCGCACGCATTCTTCGCCGCCATGTTCGCCAGCGGGTTGTCGCTCTTGTCGCAGCTCGTGATGGGCTGGTTGACGGAGGCCTTGCCAGACCAGCCACACGATCCCTTGCAGCAGTCCCAGTAGCGAGTCGTCTTTCCAGAGCCACTCTGAGCATCGACGACAGCAGCGCCGGTGGCCAGAGCCAGGAGGGCGAGTTGCTTGAGAGAAACCATCATGATGGGCGAGCGAGCAATGATCGATAGTTCCGTCCTAGGTGTCAGGAATTCCTGGATTGGAGCGACGCGGGCCTGAAGATCAACGGGAGCCCGGTCTAATATATGTCTTCTCGGTGTACGGAGTCTGGTGACGGTGGGCGGCCAACAGCGAATTGTTTCCCCATGGGGGAACGATGTTTCATCTCAGCAGCGCTGCACAGAGCCAGCCAGAGCCGGCTCCCGTATTAACCCTTCCAATCTCCGCGGCCTGATGACCTGGTTTGTGGATCGACGGGTACAGCTCTTGCAACTGCCTCGTCATCTCCACATATGCTGTAATACCCTCAATTCGGCGCAATTGGTGGGCAAGGCGCTTTTCTCGAAACAATTAGCGGGATCGCGACGTGTTAGTGGCTCAAGCAATGGATCTTTTAATCGAGTCAGCAGACGAATGCTTAAATGGCCCAGGACATTTCATCTTTCGTTCATATAGGAGCGTCGGGATTGCGGCTTCGAAGTCCTATACATTTTGCCGGGGGTTCTATTATTTGGGCGCTGCTATAGCCCGACAGCGGCGCCCGCTGCCGGTCGCGGCGCGGCGTTGTGGGGTGCGTCAACGGACATATAACCCTACATTAGGGCAATCGGAGACGGCGTCAGAGACTGCGGCAATGAAGAATACGAAGTGGAGGACGTGTGGTGGTACAGAAAGTCGAAAGGGCAGAACGGAGCAAAAGCGAGTGGTCAGGGGTGCGGCTAAGCGACAACACTTGCGCCTCTTAGCTCACCCGTCAACAAACATGAAACGTCGTCTCCTCAATTGCACTACATAGGACTACACCATAGTTCTCATCTGTCTAGAATTCACTCTCCCAGACGTGCTAATAGCTGTTGTGGCTAGTAAACCTAGCGTAGTCACGACTTCTCATATCCCAAGCTCCAGGAATCCACCACCCTGTCTGCTCTGCCTTGGCTTGTTTACATCAGGAACCGCAGAGACCAGGTGAGAGAGCCTAGCCTAGGGAGGCCAAGACGACAGAAAGGGCCGGCGAAGAGGGCAGTACTATGAGACCTCGCGTTGTAGTGTAAGTTCATGTTCAATCCAAGACAACACCCACCCCTCCAACCCACTTATGCTATAATGCGCTGTCCCCATTCACGAGAACGAGTGTGATATGTGCGGGTGATGCATTGCTCCTGAACATCAACGAAGAGAAGATCTATGTTGAGTTGCAACAAGGCTCCCAGACGGCAGAGCGTGCCATGCTCATTACCGTAGTACTATAACTATTGCCGATCATATTAGAGGTTGATATGCTGCTTATGTATTAAAAGACAGACCAGAGATGCTGCTTTGCGTTGGATACAGCATAGCTAACATGGACCATTGCTCCGAGCCAAGGTAAATCTCGCGGGATGTCAAAAATTGCTGCAGCAGCACTCCATATACGACGCGTTAATATATCTATCTACGTGCAGCCTCCTTTCATATTCGGCTTCCTTTCTCGGAATGCCCCCGCGACGTAATTACACCATACCCATCGCGTCTCCAACCCTCCATCCAATAAGAATAGAAATTACGAATAGAAGAAACCTTAGCCCCATCATTGTTGCCAGTGGGTATAAGGGATCCGGGCGCGAGTGTTCTAAAGAGCGACGAAGTCGTTTCCCTGAAGCGAGTGTGTCGAAGTGCAAAAATGCTCGTATGCAGTCATCTCAAAACGCCATTCCATCCATCTCTTACCCGCAAATAGCAGCACTCGTCCTGCTCGTCAACGGCTGCGGGAAAACACCCGCGTCAATCAGCTTGAACGCATCCCACTCAGCCGCGCCTTCGGTCTTGAAATTCCACCAAATCCAGCCCTGTGTCTTGGCCTCGTACGCCGTCATCTGTGCCTCGATATACGCCCTCGTCTGATCCTTATACTGCTGGCTCCACTTCGACACATCGTTCTGCCACGAGCAATCTCCGACCTTCGTGGTGCCCGGGTACGTGCCGTCGTAGCGCGCGCCAACGCCGAAGCCGTTCAGGTACTTGGCGCAGTCGGTCATGGCGCCCGTCCATTCGCCCACGAATGTCCATTTATCGGCGCCGTTGTAGGATTCTGCGCTGGAGCACACGAGTTGCACATGCTGCTGGGGCGTCATAGCGACGAGGGAAGGGTCGAAGACTTGGTATTCGTGGTGGTCCATGGCGACGTTCTGCGCGTTGTTATCTGAGGGAGTAAGGAAGGCGTTCCACGTATTTGGCGGGTGGAAGCCATCGTGCAGGATGACGGGCGTGTCGGATACGGTGCGGACTTGGCCGTAGCCGTCACGATAGAATTGGCGCAGGACGTCTGCGTTGAGCTTGTCCATCAGCGGCTCATTGAGGAGCTGGATACCGACGATAACGTCTTGATATTTGGTTTGCGCGTATTTCTCGGAGATGGTCATGAGGACTTGGAGGGTCTGCTTGACGGTGTCGCCGCTTTGCCAGGTTGGGCTGGCCAGGCGTTGTCCTGAGTTATCATATCCGTTCTGGGATCCGGGTGCGCCGTGGAGGTCGATGATTATCTTGAGTCCCACGCTCCTGGCCCAGTCGACAGCGGCATCCATGTACACTGCAGCTCCTTGGACATAAGGCGCGCCGAAGGTGTCGTACGCCCAGTAGCCAATTGGGATGCGGACGATATTGAAGCCAGAGTCGGCGATCTTCTTGAAGTCCTGCCATGTCACCCACGAGTCCCAATGCTTCCTCAATGTCGCGAGGGCAGCATCGTGACCTAGCTTTTGGCCCAATGTGTACTCATCAACGACATCATTGCGTCCAAGGCCATCGAACAGTGAGGGTGTGATCCAGCTGCAGAACGTTAGTCTTGAATTACACCCCCAGCGAACATTGGAGTGCGTACGGCTCTAGTACCAACCAGCCACCAATGTTCACACCTCTTATCTTCTCGGAGCCCCAATTGAAGGCGACGCTACGCTTTGTCCTGGGTGGTGTTAGCTCAACTCTGTTCAGGGCTTTGCAATGGCATTCCAATTGGCTAGAGGAGCAGGATGCACGTGAATGCTACTTCGCCGAACGGTGAAGGTCCATTCCACACCGCCATTGTTCGTAAGAAATGTACTTACGCAGGAGCAGCAAGCGCAGACCCGCAAACCAGGGCCGCAGCCAACACGCGCTTCAGTATCATGATGTAACAGTGGTGTATCCTTCGGTATCGAGAAAGCGAGAGAAAGATGAAGACGCGGTGTCACACGTTTACAAAAGAATGTCGGACACAGAGGAGAAAATAAACAGTCGCCTGCGCAACGAGGTGGAATGAGGAAATGCAGCAAGAACCCCCGTCCCTTGCGTCGGGCACTTGTTCAGAACACAGCGAATGGTCGGTGGCAATGAGGGACCGGGACTTGGATTAAGAGCCGGGGGACACAAGGATAAGCCAGGCTTGCACGCAGGCTTCTCGAATGACTGCTCGACGACTGACGTTGCCTAGGTAAAGGGGGCGGAGACGCAGATTAGAATATAAATTGGAAGGATGAACTGTATCAAACCAAGAACGTAGACTGTTGCGTCAACGAAAACACGCTGTCTGACAGACGAAAAGGGAAGCGTGGTGCTCGCGCGACGAACGCTGACCTACGCTCTTAAGTTGCATTAACGCGTCCTCCATCGCGAACCTAGACCGACGGTGCTCGTGAGATTAGTGGGTCGGGCAGGTTGGTTTTCATGTGCTGAGCCGGAACCATGCCACTATGCGTGTTTGCTTGCTGCGCCTAGGTGGGCCCGCTGGCGAGATGGAGAAAAGTAGGTGGAGCAGCCAAAAAGGGAACACGCCGTCCTCAACGACGCCGCTGAGTGGGTGCTTGCATGGATGTGAAACGCCGTAACCCTTTCCAAAAGCCTCCAATTCGCCAGACCTAAAATCAGCCAGAAAAGCTTGAAAATGGCAGCCCCGAATCCTGGCGGAAATCGCCTCCACGTCAAGGAACCGCGTGCATGCGTGGTGAGCTGTGTTGTTGTTTTCGGCTGGGCGCTCAGGAACGGTCGGTACCAGATCAGCAGCGGCAAGCCTATCGAAGCGCCTCCCGCCCCTGGCATGCGCCCCTTATCGGCGATGATCTTCATCAACTTGTTCGCCGCTTGCAGACGCTTCCAGCAGGTTTTTATGGGGATAGGCGAGTTGATGATGTCGCTTGCGCGAGAAGAAAGGAGAACGCGGACGGAATGCCGCTTGTACCACGGTACAGCGCTTGCTCCACGCCGTTCCCCGCTCTCCTGCCTTAGTTGGACAACAGTACAGCTGAGGTACTATACATACCATGTTGCGCGGTGTTTTTGGATCATACGACCGCCTTATCGTGCCTGCATCCCGAAGGACAACAACAGAAGCACAACAGAAGGGCGAAGGAAGTGGCGAAAAGTACTGCGACCTTCTGCGCAGGTCCCGCATCTCTCGATGTCCGCGGGCAGCGTTGCCTGATGAGGCTCGTCATTATTGGAGGGGCTCGATAAATTTAGAGTCTGGGATTGCCACCCCTAAATCTGAAGCAGGGCCGAGGCAAAGGTTTTGGGCCTCAGGAGAAGTGGGAAATGTACATGTGCGCGGAGGAGTTATTTGCTGATGCTAAAGTGGTTGATAAATGTCGGTGTGCATTTCAAGATGGTATTGACGTGTTGAAAGGAAAGAAGAACGATGATGGAAGGAGCAGTAGAGCGCACGTTTGCACGTGCATGCGGGTGGTGGCTGAGGACTTTTCGGATGTGGCGTCGTGTGAGGCGCTAAGCGAGCAGCCTCCAGTTTCAAACTTCAGTATCGCCAGTGTTGGCAATAGGCTAATGTGAGCAAGAAATCAGCCATTGCATGACGCAGACGTGAAGATGTATGCCAAGACCGTGAGCATTTCCCATAGAGCGTGACTACTTAGCTATGAGCCATGCATATATGTGATATTGCTTCCCAGATCGTGCGAAGCCAGTGCCTGAGGCCCCATCAGGCCGATATAGATACCATAACGCCGAAGATGATGTCTTGCAAAAGCGAGAAGGATAATAACGCTCCGCTACGCCACGCCGCTATGCCATGCGACCGAAATCAGTGTCGAAAGGAAGACCGCTAGATTAAGAGACCTGTCAGGCGTTAGTACACGACCCGGAACGTCAAGACGTGATCCTGCAATGCACATCGGAGGGAGCTTAAATACCTCAGAGATGTTCTGCCGCTCAATGTACGACTCCTGCTGCCCATCCCGTCCAACTCGCCAGTACACATCAGTGTAGTCGGCGCAGTTCATCTCACGCAGGAACTGCTCGTCATGGGTGATGACAAGCAGCTGGAAGTTGGCCTGCTTGCGCCGTGTCTGGATGATCAGCGACAAAGACTCTGCCAAACCCTTGATATTCTGCTGGTCAAGGTTCGTAGTAGGCTCGTCGAGTGCGATGAGACCGCAGTTGGTGCCGAAACACTCCGCCAGGGCGAGCCGGATAACAATGCTGGCAAGAACCTTTTGACCCGCGCTGCAGCGCCCACGCATGTCCATCTCAGTCCCGTTCTTGATCATGACTACGCGGTAGTTGTAGGAGCGGTTGCCCCTAGCCGTCTCTTTGTCTGATCGAATGCGGACGGTGTCGACGTCAGTACCCTGGTATGCATTGCGCCACAACTCGTCGATGATGCGGTTGATTTCCTCCATCTTGAGCGAATGATACTTCATGATAGCATTGTCGAGGGCGGTGCTGTAGCGTGCCAGGTCTTCGCAAGCCGCCTTGGTGGTTTCGACCTTGATATGCATCTCGCGATATTTCTGGGCGGCATCCTGGTATAGCGCCTTGTATTCTTCCCCGAGCGCCGTCAACTGGTTGTCTTTCTCCTTCATGGACGTCTCGAGAGTGATCTTATCGGCGTTTAAGCGGTGGAACTCATTCTGCCAGTACTGGCCTTCTTGAGTGTAGTGCTCCTTGTCAGTCTCGGCGTTGCGCGACTCAAGCTCTTCGATTTCAGTTTGTAGCGTCTCCAGAGCTCGCTTAGCCCTCCTATACCGAAGATTGTCGTTGATAGATTGCCTGTGGTGCTCAGCATCGCGTAGGGTATCTTCCATTTTCTTGATCTGACGAGTGAGCTGTAGAATCTCATCCTCGAACCGGTTGATCTCGCCCTCGAGGTTCTCGATTTCCCGACGAGCTCGGGCTAGTTGCTGTGGACCGCCCTTATCGATATATGCACTAATCTCCTGCTCGGCGTAGGTCAGCTGGCGGAAGCTATCAGAGAGCTTTGAAGCCTCCTCCTGTATATGCTGAACTCGCTCAGTACCTCGCCGATTGGCATCGTCATACTTGAGTTGAGCTTGTTCCATCTGAGGGATAAGGCCCTGTATGTCCTTGTCGAAGCCACGCATCGCGTCCCGCTGCTCGGCGTTCTGTGTGCGGAGCTCCTCAATGCGCTCCGCAAAAGTGCGCTTCTCCTTCAACTGGGTCTGGGCCTTATTCAGCTCGGCGTTAATATCGCGGACTTGGAGCTCCAGTGAGTTGGTGAGCGTTCGTGACTTGTCACGCTCCGTTGTGACGCTCGCTAATGCCGCCTTGGCGTTCCGGCTCTCCACCTTCACCTTGTTGAGGTCTTCTTGGACCGCGTCGATACCTCTAGAGAGGCCCCCGGCCTTCTGCTTCTCTGCGAGGTCGCTAATCTGGTCATCGAGCTCACGAGCTTGATTGTAGTAGTTGACAATCGACTGGACATCGACAGACAGCGACTCGACCTCCTGTTGCGCGTTCTGCAGGTCGTAGATGATACCGTCGTGCTCCTCCAGCTGCTTGTTGATGGAGTCTCGCTCGGAGATTAACTTGGCAAGCTCAGCTTGAAGAGCGGGCAGATCCGTGTCTCGTGCGCGCATAGCCATCTCGTAGCTCGGCTTTGCATTTCTCACGCGCTCGAGCTCGGCCAACAGTTCCTCGGCATTCTCTGCCTGAGCATTCTGCATGGCTTTGGCAACGATACCTTCCAGACTAGAGATGAATCCGGTCTTGCTAAAATGCTCAGCTTTGTCATCGCGCAGCGTCCGCTTACAGAGTCGGCACTGGTTGTGCTCTTTCGCGACCTGCAAACAAGAGCGCATGTATTCCAGCTGAGCTTCAATCTTCGCCTGGTCGGATGACGCAAAGTTATATTCGTCTTCCAGCTCGCGAAGAGTTTCGTCGAAATCCGATAAGTCCTCCTTCTGGATGGCGTCCAGGACAGCCTTCTCGTACTTCTGAAGCTCCGCACGTTTCTTCTTTTGCTCAGATTCGACACTGGCCAGCTTGAAATTGATATTGTCGAGCTTGCTCTGGGCAATATCACGCCGGGATTCGGCTTCTTTCACTTTGGCCGCCTTTTGAGAGACAACTTGCTTGAAGGCGACTTCCAGCGTGGCAGGCTCCCACTCCGGGTCAACGAGCTGTGAAATGCGGGAGGAATGTACGCTCTTCATCGTCTCCAAGCTACGCGTTGTTCCTTTCAGCTTGTCTCGGGCGAGATCAATCTGAGCCGACTCGCGCGCAAGTTTGGTGGCATCGACAAGTTCTGCTTCTAGACGCTCCTTCTCGTCATCAACGATGCGCGCCGTCTTCTCCGCTTCTTGCATGCGCTCGTCATACCGAGCAGTGTTGGCCTCGGAAATAGCTTTGCGAAGTCGTTGCTCTGTTTCATCCTTCTTGTTGGAGAGGATTGCTTCAGCTCCTTCGTCCGCCTTGATTTGATTCATGGCAATCTGTAAATCCGATATCCTCTTGTCGTTCGATGTGATCTGGGACTTCGCAATATCTTTGCGTTGACTCAATACCGACTTGTCTTCGCTAAGACGGTTAACCTCAGCCTGCGCTTGCTGGAGGTCTTTCTGGGCATCTGTGCGGGCTCGTTCAAGAGACTTGTTCTGGTCCCTGGACATTCTGCCAACAATTTTCTGGAATTCAGCAACCTGGTCATCTGTGATATCGTAATCAAAGCCACGAATGCCATGGCGTTTGGCTGTCTCTTTAATGATGTTCTCGCGCTTTTGAAGGTTGCGGGCATGTTGATCCTGCTCGGCCTTGTACTTGCCGATCTCGCTCTGTTTCGCTCCCAGAGAGTTGCGGTTGTCATCAAGGTCCTGCTTGAGTGCGCTGTATTGTTGGCGGAGACCGTCTTGCTGCTCGACGTAACGTTCCACCCGGTCATCGAACTGCTCGAGCATGGACTCCAGCTCTGCATCGGTCTCTGTCATCCGCTTTAAGTTGTCCTCTAGTGCGGCTACACTCTCCTGGTTCGCGTTGAACGTAATGCGTTTGCCGTTGAGTTCAGCAACGATCTGATTGAAGCGAGCGGCAGTGTCGAAGGCGTCTGAAGATTTCTGGTGCGCTTCATCCCACTGTGTATGGATCTCAGTATATCGGCTCTTCATTTCCTCAATCTGGTCGTAGAGGGCTATTTGGCGTTGCTGGCTGCGCTCGCCCCGCTCTTTGTCTTCCTTGGCATACTTTTCGTCAGTTTGAAAGGTCGCGAGCGCGGTAGCCTTGTCGCGCCGAATTGCCTTTATGTTCTCGATAGCTTTCGTATATTTGTCGGCCTCAAAAATGGAATCAAACTTCTTCTTCAAGGTCGAAGGCTCACTCATCGGCCACAAGCTATCCTCCTGGTGGCAGAAGATGACGTTCTCCAGTATGGCCTTCGAGACACCGAGATACTGCGGAATGATTTGATCCAACTCGGCTACGCGCGAGGAGACGGTTTCGGTCATGCCATCTCGCTTCATCTGCAGCACGGCTTCCAAGGTCTTCTGGCTCCGCGTCGTCTTCTTGATGGTAAGTTGCAGGTTACGGGTGGCTACTATGCGGACTCCAGCGGTGGATCGGAAGGACAGCTTAACCTGGGCCACAGTTTCTTTCTCGCCGGACAGCTATCTAGTCAGCAACAGAGCCAATGGGATGATTGCGAGGTATGCATACATTCGGATCATGGATGAAGGCGCCGCCGGTCTTGCTATTAGGGGGCAGCTCGCCGGTGGTGGCATATTTGAGACATTCGATGATGGTCTGCACCAGTCAGCCAACATTCAAAACGGTCTGCCTACGGGCTCCTACGGTCTTTCCGGATCCGTTCCAGCCAACGATCAGGGTCAGTGGCGAGGTGAAATGGATCGCCTCGCCTTTGTTGGGTCCGAAGGAGCGGATGCTGCAAGGGTCAGCTGAAGTTGACAGAAAGGCGGCAGGTAAAACTCACCCCATGATCTGCATCCGGTCGATCTGCGCTGTAGGGCATGGTTAGCTTCCGAAGGCTATATTCTGAGATGCACGTGCTTGCGTGCTTTGATATGGACGTACACCTGGAGGATGATTAGCTGGTTGAACAAGGCTGAAAAGGGCTGGGAATTGTGCTTACATGATGCCTCTCGCGCGGTCGCCGCGCACTCAACTCGCTTTGGTTTCCTCGTTGACTGTTGCTTGCGAGGCTGAGCTGTGGGAGATGGGAGAGGCGGAGGGGCGGGGTGGGCGATGTTGAGCGTTACGGGGCCCGCTGCGGCCTAGACGCGCGAACTTGCGGCGCGCAGTCACGTGCAAGCTTGCGCCACAAGCGGCGATCGCGGAACGAATAGGCGTGCATCATGTGCTCTGCGATTCCGCACCCCTCGCCGTTGAAGCGGTGAATAGCTGCTCTGCTTCGGCCGCCGCCTCCCTCCCAACGCTCCATCGCTATCCATGGTCGCAGTAGTGACCGCCGGGACTCCGCAGCCATGTACCAGAATGGCGGCTCGCTCCCCGCTGAGGTATGCCCATGTCCCCGCAGTGCCTCCATTGACAGGGTCTGACGGCAAGGCATCGCGCGATGAGGGCTAACGTGCATTGCGATCGCAGATGGCAGGCCTTGCCCCCATGCCCGCCCTCCCGCGCCTCCCCACCGATCAATCGGACCTGGCCATGGGCCTCGAAGACATGATGCCCATGGACATGGACCTGTCGCAGCTCGACGACGGCCAGCCGCCCGCCGCGCAGCCCGCAGCCTTCACGCCCTTCACCCAGCAGCTGCAGCCGAGCGTGCCCGCCAGCAGCGCCTCGAGCGATGCCTTCACCCTCACCCAGGACAACACCATGACGGGCGCCGGCGCCGGCCCGCTGCCCACCGGCTTCGGCGCCCCCAGCCTGAACACGTCCGGCAGCACCCTGACCGAATTCACCAAGCGCCGCAACTGGTCGCAGCGCGTGCTCGAGGAGCTGCGCGACTTCCTGCACATCCTGACCCCCGATGGCAGGATCCTGTACGTGTCGCCGTCATGCAAGGCGCTCACGGGCTGGGACCAGCCGCAGCTCATCGGTCGCTTCATCGGCGAGTTCATCCACCCCGACGACCGCGGCATCTTCGTCAAAGAGTTCCACGAGTCGATTGCATCCGGCAACCCCCTCCGCTTCTTCTACCGCTTCCGCAAGATGGACGAGTCCTGGGCGATATTCGAGGCCCACGGCCATCCGCACCTGAGCAACGACCCCAGCACCTTTGCCCCGCCGAACACGATGAACTGTCGCGGCTTCTTCATGATGGCCCGCCCATACCCGACAAAGAACGCCGCCCTGCTCGACTCCTTCCTCGAACACAAGATCGAGAACGAGAGGCTGATGAAGCGCATAGCCGAGCTCAAGCGCGAGGAACACGAAGAGCAGGAGGCCGCGGACAGACATTGGCAGAAGAAGACCGACGGCGTGTCCTCGGTCGCGCCGTCGGAGACGCAAGGGCACACTGAGAGCGACAGCGCGGTTGCGGCATACAACGCTATGCCTCCGCCTGCGAAACCGGGCGTCTCAAATGCGGCCCTGACGCGGCAGAACCTCGACGAGGCGCTGGCAGCAAGCAAGCCTGACAGTATCAACGACAAGATGGCACGCTACGAAGGGGCTACACACCTGGAGACCATCGAGATGTTGACGGGATTGCGCTATCGGGATGGTGAACGGTCACAGGGCATCAGCACTGGTGAACACAGCCCGATGCTAATCCGAGGCGATGCAGGCATTCAGATATCGCTCGACCGCGACGGCAGGACGTCGTCTGATAAGAAGAAGAAGTTGAAGATCGCCGATGAATATGTGTGTACCGACTGCGGTACGCTGGATTCGCCTGAGTGGAGGAAAGGGCCCAATGGACCCAAAACGTTGTGCAACGCCTGCGGATGTGAGTTCTTCCTATGCTGCCTCAATAATCGTGCGCTGACTGCTGTAGTGCGCTGGGCAAAGAAGGAAAAGAAGAGGCAGAGTCAAGCGGGCAATGCCCAGTCGTCGCAAACGCCAGCAAATCTGCCCATGCACACGAGCACGAACAGCAGCTGAGCATAACCTTTTCCGGAATTTCCATCACGGGACAACTGAAGGCCCATTCGGGCGGTCGCCGACGAAGAGGAGGCAATGGACCAAAACCCCACCGCCAAGGCTCGCTCGAGAGCCAGGAACACCGTGGCTGTCCATCAAGAATCGATATAAGCAAGCATCTAGTACAGCCCTACCGGGAGCTGGCTTTGACCAGACTTCGGTATCTGGAGTCATGACGCTGTTGCACGCTGGGATGAGGTAAAAGTTTGAAGCCATTATTAGATCGTTTTGGTGCCTGAGGTGCACAAGTAAACATAGACGAGTAGATGATACCATAAATCTAGCTAAGCCGCAGGATTTTTAACGCCTAATGAAAGCAAAGATGGTTTAATTGGAAGACTGGCGCTCATCCCTTTCCTCCACGAGCCGCTGGTAGTGCTTTATTCTTTTCCAGACTCGAGGAGTCGGTACCGTGTCTAACTCGCCCACCAACCAGTATCAGTGTCGCCCAATCCCGCCTCAGAGCGTCCGCTTCGGATCGGTACCCAATTCTTGAGGAACCCAAAAAAGGACTCCCCGAGTTCGCCAGTTCATATCTTTCCTCTTCTTCCACTCTCCCTGCACCTTCCTCGCAGCGTGAACATGGACAACGGCATAGAAATGAACACCCTCAGGGAGCCACTTATAGCCGCATCCCCTCCATTCTCGAGCACAGAGCCAGAAACAGCAAACCCTCCTCCCGCAGCCAGCCACGATGCAGAAAACTCCACCCCCACACTACTCCACAGTCCGTCCTCCCCTCCCCTCCCCTCTCCCTTTCACCCACCATCCCTAACCAGCCTAGCCCCTCCCGGCGACATCTCCGAACCACCCCCCGACGAACCCCACCACTTCTCCTCCCTCGACGCATTCGTCGCCACGCAGTGCGACGCTGAGCCGAGCCCGAGCCCGCCAACAGCCGCCAGTGGAGCGTATGTAGAAGATGAACAGGGTGGCGTGACGTGGAGGATCCGGAGGAGCTGTGCGTGGGAGGAGACGAATCCGACGAAGGTGTGGACGAAGAGCGATTTTAGGGCTCTGCTTGCGGAGTTGAAGAGGTTGGGGGAGGAGCAGGATAGAGGGGAGGGGGAGAGTGAGGGTGAGGGCGTAGACGGGGATGAGAGAATGGGTGAGGGTGAGGGTGTGGGTGTGGATGAGGATCTGAACGAGGAGTGGGATCAAGATGCGGAGGTGGTCCGGGATGAAGACATGCATGAGGAGTGCGATGCGAGCCCCGCAAGAAGCGAGTCGTCTCCGGTTGGCCAGGGGATATGCACGCCGCCCCCGGCAGAACAGAGCACGAAGTCTTATCTCAGAGTCGGCGCGTTGAGGAAGAATCCGTTTGACGTGGACATGGAGCTTGGTGACTTCGATGATCCTTTCATCGACCAATGCGCTAGCGAGCTGCCGACGACGAGCCCGTACGCCTCCAGTAGCTTCCGCGCGAATTCCTTCGCTTCCGAACCCATTAACTCGAATTCCTACGCTTCAGAGACTCAGCGATCAAGCCCCTACGACTCCATCCGCCCTGCTCCCAATCCTCGCAATCGCACTACCATCCGAACAAATCCCTTCACCGGCACTATCCACACTTCGCATTTTCCGCCCTCTCCGCCCTATGCACCACCGCCGCCCCAAAAGCTCTGCCTCCACATGCGTCGCAGCGAATCCCCAGAACCCCAAGAAGAGTCTGTCCCCTCCTACTTGCCCGCACAGCCAGTGCAATGTCGGCTCCGCATCCGTGTCCGCAAGTGTCAGGAGCTGACGAACGAGAGTGCACGGATCCTCCCTGCGAAGCAGCGGCCTCGAATCAGAATCCAAGTCTTCGAGGAGCCGGAGCCGATCGGGGAGCCAGACATATCCGTCTCGGGAGAAACAGAGGAGAGCACGCAGAATCCGGTTACGAGGCGAACGAATGTGACGTGTGCCTCCTTCCCTCGATCGTATGGAACGGTGCGGAGGGAGGTTATCAGTGCGTTTTGGGCGGCACCGAGGGAGGTGAGGCAGGCGACGGGGTATGAGACTATCAGGTGGATAGGTAAGAAAGAGTAGAACGCGGTAAGGAGCGCCAAGTAGGAACGCGGGAGGATGCAGTAGGTGACTAAGAAGAAGAGGTGACGATGGAATGAAAGGAAAGAAAGGCTTTGTGCCATGGGGCGGGAAGAGAAACGCGCTGAGATCTGTCTGTTCATCTATAGGTAGGCGCGCTTTATGTAGAGTTAAGCACCAATGATGTTATGCATATGAAATACTTCTGGTATTGTATTTGAATACGTTTGAGAGCATAACTCCTACCTGAAGCATGTGCCGCTCTCTGAGGGCGTCCTTTACCTATATTGTGGTGCAGTAAATCATGTGAAATGCTTTTTTTTGCATGCCCAGTGCTCCGAATGCGGGCACCGGTGAAGTCTGACGGCGGACGAGAAATCGCTCCAAGTAAAACCACCAAAGATATGTATCATATAAAGGCGATGCTGCCGACCGAAAGTTCCCTCGTCGATATCCAAGGCCTGACGAAGTGGGAGCGTCGGGGGAATGGTGGTGTTACATACGCTGATGCCCTCGGAATATATGGACATGATTTCGAACTCCACGATCAGGAGAGTCCTTGATTGGTAGTCGAATAGGCAAGAGGTTCTACCCCAGTAAGAGAAGGAGTTCGGGCGAGGCTCGCTCGCTGCTCTAGTTATCGAGAAATTGGAATCGCTCCGGCCAGTCCAGATCTCGCAGAGACTTCCACATGGCGGACAGGGATTTGCTCTTCTTCAATGCGTCGTTATACGATGGATAACCGCGGTCCCAGATATCGATGTCATGGTGCAGATCGGAACCTAGTAAGAGAGAGTTTTGAATGCATTCCACTTCGGCGTTCGTCATATGGGTGATTTTGCGTGGGATAGCCCAATTCACTGTCCTGTTTTTGTCGACAGGATAGACCGCTTGGACTGCCACGCCTTCTCCATTGATCCATATCTGAGGGCACTCTTGCTCTTCCATTAGTGTTCCGCTCAGGATGTTGGAAAGGAGAATGAAGCAGCTGCGCCGCATCTCGTGAAGCTCCAAGGTGCATTCCTCCAACTGCTCTTGTCCATCACGCTGACACCTCAGAGTAAAACGTAACAAGCTGTAGAAAGAAAGCCCATAGGTTAATCTGATGAACTCAGTAACGTTAATTCGCAGCTGACGCAATGTAACCGCCGTGTCCAACTCGAAATGTAACACGATGACTGGAGGGCCTGACGCCGAGTATTTCGGCTTGTACTGGAAACGTGAGGGGTAGAGCGCGCTTATAGGACTTTCCAGCCATTGGCGCAAATTTTCGTAATTGGAGAAGTTCGTCCGTTTCTCCGTTGCCGTCATTTGGATGGTGAAAGTATTCAAAGAATTGAAACGATTTGCCACATACCGTCGCGTCCATTGATCGATTCCAAAGAGATTTATATTGAGTCCGTTCGCAATTTTCAGATCCACATCGCATATGACAGGTTTTTCTGACTGGATGGCGTAGTCCAGGACCTTGTTGCGCAGTTGTGGAGGGAACGGAAATGCAAGAAAGCTTGGATCGCGGATCCAAGTTGCCCAACGAATCTTTTTCCCTGCCCGTCTAACGCTGAACGGTCGCTTTAGATCACCCGCGGGATTTATCTGTGTAGATGGGTATTCGCTGATTCCGTAATCAAGTGCGTCGCTCATCCAGATATGACCGAGAGTCCGCTCAAAACGCCCATATCTCTTGAGCCCAAGCCGATCCACATTAACCAGTGCATGCATAACATTATTTAGCACGGCGGCGTTGATGTCGTTTCTCAGTGCAGGTGCGTGGACATTGTATTGCAGTTTCCCTTTGGCATTCGCAAATGTTATCTGGCACTTCGTCGCTGGATGGGCCCAGAACCATTTGACCAGGGGGAGAATGTCGATCCGGACATCGCTCCTGACGCACCATGTGGGACAGCTTGGGTCTATGTCAATGACAACTTTGCGCAGAAGGTCCAAATTGGTGCCCATTTCTTCCAGCCATGATACGCTCCACTGGATCTGGCTCATTTCTTGATTATGGACGTGGAAGGGAACGCTGACGAGGAAATTGTTTCCACTGTACAGGATAACAACGGCCTCGGTGTAGATTTGTCGGCAGCTGCGAAGGAAGGGAATAGCGTGCCCGATGGAATCGGAAGCCCTCTCCACTAAATTTGGGTATTTCCACTCTTGATGCTTGATCTCGGTTGCGTCTCCAACTCCTTCAGTCTCTTCATCATCCGTCTCAGAATCGGCATCTAAGCAGCAGTCCAGATCCTCCCGGCATTCCTCAGGATCCAAGACCACTATCGGCTCATCGCGCTTGAACAGTAAGTTGTAGACCTCATTGCGAATCTCAGCTGGCAGTGTGCTCAGGAAAGACGGTGCAGTGGGGTCCTCGGGGTGTGATGTTCCCCTAGGGATCCAGACATTGGCCGGCCTTTTGCTCTGTCGTTCTTCGTAATGGGGTTCGTCCAAGAAGGCAACTCTCGTCGGCATCGCATCCGCGGCCAGGTCTGCCACCGCCATGATCTGGCGTAGAGAGCCTGGTGTGGGATTTGCAGTGATGGTTGGTAGGAGGTTAGAGGTTGAGGGATGGAGGGTTGAAGACAGCAGGAGCGACTCCGTCGACGCTGCAACCTTAGTCAGCAGAAGCACTGCTTTACCTGAAGGTGAGAGAGAAAGGGAGTGGATTTTGCAGGGTGAAGGGACGTACTTAGCCCTGCTTCTTGCATCACCGCGTCGCGGAGGTGAGCCGGGGGGGGGGGGGGGGGGGGGGGGGGGGCAAGCGACAAATCTCAATATTTGCGTTTGCAGAGCTACTAGGTCTTCAACACATAAAGATCTAAGACGCGCTGAGGCTTTGATACGCTCAATGATGTGTGCTGCCACGTTCCGTGAGGGAAGGAAAGCGAGCACCGGGAGTCGCAGGAGCGATATGGGATAAGCCAGACGAGGGTGCACAGTGAGAGCTTAGAGAAGTGGCCATTTAATTGAAGAAAGAAATTGAGGCGCGCACGGGAGTAATAGAGATTACAAACTTTTCTTCGACCTGACCTTCACTTTCCGTTGAGCCGTTTTATCAAGATGCCCAAGTGGCCATTATCTTCTCCATCACGCTTATTTTAATCGGATACCGCGCAGACTCCAATACCGGCAGGCAGCGCAAAGGTGGAGGTATATTTGGTATATGTTATAGGTTTGCACCTATTGAAGGCCTCCAGGAGGAGCTTTCCGCGGTTGAAGCTGAGACTTGCTAGAGTGTGTACGGCGCAGTCATCGATTCGCTCGACCTCGTCATAAAGAAGATGCGAGCATACTACATATACAGTAGCAGCAAAAAAGACGCTATATTTCTAAATCCGCATACAGAAGGGGTATTATTAAAAGGTTTAGCGGTTTAGTACAGAAAGGATCTACGGTTTAGTGTAGGCAACATCTAGCAATAGGAAATTTGAACGCCCAACGCTTTCAACTCGAAAAGATACGTAGTCGACTAGCAAACGATAAAACGGCTCTGCTCTGTTATTCTTCTCTATCTCATCACCTTTAACATTAAGATAGCAACTTAACTCCTAAGGGGCCCAGCTACTAACAGCACCAACTACATTAGGACTTAGGCTCTTCCGCCAGGGGCGCAAACCCTAACCACCGTCCAGCTTAAAGTTAAGAAGGCGCTTGCTAAGGACTACGACTACATTAAGAACGTGCGCTTAATGCTCGTACGCTGTAACATCCTTATAGGCTAGCTTACTAGGTGGAGTATGTACGACACAGTCTCTACAGGGCCTTATTAACAACTCGTAGAGGATTGAGCCTTTGTTAGGAAGAAGCAACGGCGACTACACTAACTCCTTCGCCGACTACTTAATAACCCTAATCCCGTTGAGAAGCGGTGGGCCCGCGACTTGGCCGTTTACTACGACAACCTCCTCGCACCAGTACGGCAGATCTACATCGACAACATAGGCCATGTGGACTGAGCCGCAGCGGAAGGACAGCGGTGGCGACAATGGGAGCATACCAAGAGACAGGAAGCGACAGACAGATTAGCAGTGATAATCTACAGTCAATTCAACACCGTGAAACCTCAATGCGTAGGACTCCTTGGAGTCTCATCATGAAGTTGTTCTGCAGGCTCCTCGTCGAGAAGCGAGTGTGTACGGCGACCTACGTACCAGTACTCATGCCATCAATAGCTCGTAGCCTAAAACATTAGTCAATTGCCATGCTGCATCTTATAGAGAAATAGTCACTTACATTGAGCTTCGAAACCATGCACATTCTCAGGACACAGCCTAGACTGTAGATAGGTGTAAAGGCATCGGATCGGGACCTTGACGACTGGGTACTCCAATTTCGGATAGTCCTTGGTGGGGGCCGTATCTCCTGCCCATGAAAGTCCGCCATCGAAGGTAGAAACCGATACATCAAGGAAGGTCTCCGAGATGTAGTCGGCTCCGGTAGACACCATGGTCCGAAAACCAAGCACATTGCCGTATCCATCGATCGTAATCTGCGGACAGCCATGCTCGTTCTTCTCAGGCTGCTGGAGAGCCGCTGAAAGAAACTTGTAGACGTTGAGCCGGAGCTTAGATAGTGTGAATACCTTCTCTACCAACCCCTCAGGCTCGCAGCGCAGTGCGACAGTCACGACCGCTTCTTGTACATACGCAGTCGCGGCCAGGAAGTCAATAACGTCGATGCGGAGCTTATCTAAGGTCGTGGGAGTATCAACTGCGAAGTTCAGTTGGAACACGATCCTTTGATGTTCCACGTAGGGGTAGTTTTTCTTGAGATGTCCTTCACGCTTCATCATACGCCGGCTCCGAGCAAACTGGCGCAATTGCGCGAATTGGCCGAACGAAGTACGCGTCTTGGAAGAACCCATGCCCAGTGTGATGCGAAACGTGTTCTGGAATGTATCCTGAAGCCCTTTGCGCACAGCTCTGCACACCCCTAGCAGCGCCGTGGGGATTCCAAAGCCGGCCTGGGTATCAAGGTCGACGGATATCCCCGGGTGTATAGTGTACATGTAGATGTTGGATAGCACATTCTTCGGTAGCCCGTTCAGACAAGGTCGTCGTTTCCTCTTGGGGTACCAGGAGGGTGTGATGCTGTTGGCATGGCCGGTCTCATTGCGCACATCAGACTCGTGAGGTTTGATGGTCCAGCCAGTATTGCGGATCCAATCGTCGTCGGCCTTATCGGCCTTCTCGATGTGCGTGATGTATACTCGCTCTGACTCTGCGAGCCGCTGTGACGTATGATACTTGTAGACGACGAACCCGCCATTGCCGCACCTGTTGACGTTGATCTCGGCAATGAAGGATGATTGTGCCCTGTTACAGAGACGACCCTGCTCGAAACCGCGTACAATGGCCGTTATATCCTTTGGGCTCGTCCTAGGGCGGTCCCTCGAATACCGCATGTGCGATCGATGTTTTGGCCTCACGAACTGTATTTCGAAGCGTCGTGTCGGGTTCCAGAGAAGATCGATAATGGGCTTCAGGTCGATAGTTTGGTGAGTGAGGTTTTCGACAGAATAAGGGCTGCCAAATAGCCAGGACCCGCTACCATGGCGACATCTGCGCTGCTTCGCATGTGTACAGCCGTCGTCGAGCTCAAAGGTGACATGCAGAAGTAGCGAAAGGTGTGTCGAACTCAGTTGCCTTAGCCATTCTGCTCCATTCGCAACGTACTGGGAGATCCTCTTCTCCGACCGCCAGCAGAAACCCGCAGGCGGAGCGACCACGAATGTATTGGTGGCATACATGGTTGAGGCTGCCTCCTGGTATATTTGCTTGCATGTGAAAAGCAACGCAATGCAGGGTCGCCATGGAGCGCGGTCGGGAAAAGACACAGCCGTAGAGGCGGAGGGATGCCACAGGTCACGCTTAGGCCCAGCATCAATCCTCGCGGGTACGGTTGCACAAGTCGCAGGGCTCGCTATGATACGTACTGGGTTCGCCGACGTGCACAAGTAGCCGTAGACTTCGTTAAGCAGCTCAGCGGAGAGGCTGAGCAAAGAGAGGCGGTTCTGGTCCATCAGAGCGCTCATTTGTTCTTGCCTGTCAGCAAAGGCTTGGGCCAGCGTCCGCGTACAGGGCCGCATTGGGCTACAAAGGTGGCGATACAGTTAGCATAAGTCTTAATTGGCGAAGAAGGGGGTAATAAACTCTTTACCAAGCCTTACTCTTTCCCTGCTAAAGGCGTTAGGAAGAGTTTTCCGCGGGTTTGAACGGCTGTCAAGTGTGGATGGGCGCCGGTCAAGGACAAGTCGAGAGTGCTCTGGCGAACACGGATTCTGCCGTTGGGTGAGTCGCTGTGCGTGATAGGAAGCTGGCCACAATGCTGGATTTGAGGTGCTTCGAACACGGCAATCGCGTCGGGTGTGGTTGAAGTGATGGCAGTCAAGTCGGACGGTGCTCATCGGCTTGAGCTGGATTGCGATCTACCTACATCACTCATGTGCTGGGCATCCTCAGGCTCCGGAAGGCGGCGTAGCTGCGACGAGTCCACGGGTACTCGCGACTGTGAACCATGGGTATACGCTCGGGACCGCGGATCCGGGGTATACGTACCATAGATCCAATCCCAACACTGAATAATCATCTTCGTTTCATTCCACTCCTTCAATACATCTATATGCGCACAACATTCTCTCATATGCACCTCCTTGATATGCTCCTATGCGTTTAGGGTATCCTACTAGTCCCCCCTGTCTCATTCAAAGTACCAATCTGCGATGAAATATCAAGAAAACGCCGAATATACCGTGCTAGATGCCAACCTTACATGCAATGTAGAGAAAGAAAGTGAGCGGCGACGCCAGACCGGGATTTAGAACCGTCGCTATGCAATTTGGCAAAGCAAACACGAGAACCATTCGCAAAGAAATGAAGAAAGAATATGCGTAGGAAGAGCAATTGCAATGACCGCTGCCAACTCCTCACACGATGCGCCACCCGCTTTATATGCCGCTTTGACCCTCGGCTGGCCGACTAGTACGACTTGTATTTCTGTGTGGCAGTCAGTACGCTAGAATCCTAGCTTTGGAATAAGGGGATAACTGACGTCGTCAATCTTCCGCCGACTCTGCGCATCCAAGGCATTACCGACGCCCAACAGGGCGTTTGAAACGGCCTTTGTAGTTCCGATAGCCGGTCTCAGAATAATCGTAGGTGCCCTCCGAGCAATAGCCTTCGCCATGCCGGCACCCGTACCCGTCTCCATAACCTCCGACGGTATTGCTATTACCGCGTCGCGGGCAGTGAGCAGATCCCGTTCCAGAGAGCGTGCAGCGCTCCGAAGACCGACACGCACGCCAATGGGCTGGTGTGCATAGTTCGATACAGCGCGGGGCTCTTCAGAATCCGAGCATGAGGGATCTTCGCCATCCCAGTCGTGGTGGCCGATAGAAGATCCACGGCCAGGTGATGCTTGATCCGGATTGAGGAACTTCTCTGCTCCTTCTAGGATATTCTGTGCTCCAATGGCGACTTTAGCGCCCAGACGCGCAACTTCAGACGTGGTGTTTGTGGCAAAGGCATAGACGCCTTTCTGGAGGCTACGGACTATCCGACCGTCTTTCTTGTATTCGCGCATGGGGACCACGACGAGATCGCGGACGCCAGAACCCACGTTGACGAGTGGCCGAACAGCTGCAAGGCCAGACAGAACGCCGGGTAGCTGATTGCGCTTGACGTCGGGCATCCAGACATCGTTCAATGTCTTATGAAGCTTATCGAATGAGGTGATACCGTAGACAATGGCATGGCGAAGGATAATGTCTGAACCATCCAAGATCAAGAAGTTCATGAATTCAGTCGTGTGGCCCGAGCGCAGGCCGCGATAATCAACCCTCTTGGGCTTGTAGTCAAGCTTGAGTGTCACAGCGTTCACCTCAAGACGCTGAATGAATGGTTGCTCAGACGGCGTGGAACTGTCTAGGGCGGTGTCGTCCTTGAATTCGAAGAAGCGCGTAATGAAGTCGAGCGCATCCTGATCCACATGCAGACGAAGAGGGAGGACGGTTACCCTAATCACTAGTTCAGACGCAGCCAGATCCGTGACCGGCTTTACCGTCAGGAGCTCGAGGTCGATCATGGGACGGTTCATCTCGCGCTGGCTGGGCTCGATGAGACATGTGACGAACTTCTTCCAGGTCGAGCTAGGAACATGGTCATAGATCTCGAAATCCTGAACCCTGACATCAACAGAGTTGACCGTCTCGCCCGTATCAGGAGGATAAACCACGAGATCCACAGCAACGCCCATTAGCTGAAAGGCAATTTTTTTGTGCTTGCTGCGTTCTAATTTCAACCGCCGTCTAGACTTCGTTATGCTACGAGGTCGAACTGTGGCGCCAGTGGATCGAGTGGCCGTCGACGTAGCATAACTCCCAGTTTCGCTCACCTGGTCGTCGATATCCCGGTTGATCTGTCGTGCAAGTGCGCCTTTCTCGTCCTTGATAGGAACACCTATCCAGACGGAGTTGAAGAGGAAATCTTCCTCAACAAAATCGTCGTCTTCATCTTCTTCTCGAGGCTTCCGTCGTCGCTCCTCGGCCCGGGCTTCCACGTCATCAACGGCTTGAGCGATAATGCTGCGCGTTCGCGGCCAGTCATAGCCGTCGAAGAGGTTCCATATAATGTTCATATCGCGAATACGGACCTTGAGAGGAGCATTTGGCACCTTGAACTCGTTGGTGAGGTGGTACTGATTCTTTGTTGAGTCCCATTTCCGAGCCTTGCCTTTGTGTTCGGAGTCTGAGTCCTTGAAGTAGTCCTCATTAAAGTCGAACTCCTGCTCGCCCTCAGCAACTTCGTACTGCTCCTGGAAGCTCTCCAAGAGGCCTCGGTCGCCGCGCTGACGTATGACCGGCGGCGTTGCTAAAGCTCCAAGGTCGTCCTCGCCGAGCATGCTGTCTCCGAGTTCCTCTTCGGTCGGAAGCGACTCTTGATTGTAGAAACTGCCTACAAACTCAAGGTTCGTCGGCACTTCATCCGGAACAAGGTCGGCGTTCTCCATGAAATTGTCATCCTCCCCACCCTCCGGTGCGGAAATGGCATCTCCCGAGAAAGACTGCATCATCTGCTGCAATGGAACTATAGTCCGATACCGCTCGGCCGTCGACGGTGGGGTTGGTGGTTGTAGCCCATTCAAGACCGCAATAAGAGTTTGGGTCGAATCTGCGCAGGACTCAAGAACGAAGAGCTCGTTTTTAAACTCCACGTCCACTAGCTGAGGCTGATCTTTCCCATCTCCTTGAATGCTAACCAGCACCTTCGCCGCGGATATGGAGCTGAGAGACACGTACCCGAGCTCATGTAGCTCTTGCAGATGTCGATGTGAGGGCGTGGTACCGGACGAAGGCAAAATTGACTGTCGTTTCTCCTCAAGTCGCGCAACATCGTCGATAGCATGGATGGAGGCTTTACGAAGTTCGACCTCAATCGAATAATCCATCCTCTTGGATTGCTTTCCTAGAAAATGCGCGTCGGTGAGGACAAAGAGGCCTTTCGCAGGGAACTTTCGAGGATTCAGCCCAAGTGCACAGCTTCTGAGGAGGAGGTCGATGTGCAGAGGTTTCGCGCTATTTGATGACGGGGAAGCCGATGCAGAGCTCTGCCTGCTCAGGCTCTTCGGTGACGACGCTCCTGTAATTGTGGCGACGGAAGACGCGAGGCCAAGGGCAATGTCATCAACGGTGCCATCGTCGGAGATGCCCAGCGCAGCCATTATCGTCGAAACGCGATACTCCGTGCAAAGATTGAAGAGCTTCGCCTTGACCACAGGTTCCATTTCATCCCCAATGATCCGCATCATGATCATGGGTAGCTGATCCTGCGCACGTAGCCTAACGACTTCGTGAACCAAAACCTCATCACCTCGGTGGACGGCAGCTTTCCCAACTTCAGCCGCGAAGAGTGCCGGGACGCCCACATGCGCGATCGATGCATCTTTGACCGAGGCGGACACATCTCCCAACCGTTCATTGATCATTGCGCTGACGTCGAGTTGCTGTACCATCGCAAGGGTAAGGATGCCAGGGCGATCATCATCCGGCAGATACTTTGTGACTTTGGACAGCTTTGCGAGCTCCGCACCCAGTGCTTCTAGTGTCTTCAACTGCGCGATGTCAGAGACGCGCACTCCAACACTACCCACTTCTGCGCGAAAAACAGATCCTTTTCGGCGTTGACGAAGTAGAGTATCGATGAGTATGTCCTCGTCGTTCTCGTACGGGTCCTTGGAAGGGGTGATCATGGAGATAAGCCTCGTTAAGTCTACTTCCTCTGGTGTGAAAAGGAAGTTCACGGTCGTATTTTTGACTTCGATCATGAGGGGAGCTTCGATCTGAGACTGCTCTACGTATGGCCCAGAAAGTTGCACCTCTGACACTTTCAGGCGTAAATTGCTTTCTCGAACCGCCAAGCGGACCGACGTTGTCTGGAGTTGCATGGCACAGCTCTTTCCCTTGAGCACGAACGTAACTTCGCCGAACTGAACATGGATCTTCGGGAGGCTGGATTGACTAGCCTGAGGGACAGGTGCTGGTGTGTCTCTGAAATGCACGCCGCGAGGCCGAGGCGGCGTGGGTGAGAGCACCGGGCTGTTCATCGTGTTCGAAGTAATGGAATTGCTCAACTCCAGGACACCGCTGAATCCTCCGAAAGAACCCAGTGCTTCGTCAAGTTTCTGCATGTCGAACATGACCTTGACGGGGCGTGTGACGACAGTGATACGACGGTCCTTTGCTTGCTCATAATCGATCTCCACGTCATTCATTAATTGCTCTGGGGCGTTGCCGACAGTTCTCCGGGACTTTGGGCGCGGGCTCTGGAAAGCAATGATATCCTGATCGAGAGAGGAGAGTACAAACTTCCCGATCTCTAGCTTGGTGCGGGTTTTTTCTGGTCCGCTTTGGCTTGCCACATGAATTGAGGAGAGACCAATTCTAAGGATAGAGTCGTGCGAGCTCGGATCAAGCGCGGTATAAGATGCCGTGCCTTCCGCTATGGATTCGGCAAAAAGCCGCTGAAACCAAGCGATACCGAAGCGCTTAACCGAAAGCTCAAAGTTAAATCGAGTCTTGCTTCCTACCGAGGCATCCCGTGTCTCTACAGACTCCTTTCCTTGGGTAACCTGGCTAGTCAGGGCCGTTAAAGCTCGGTTGAGCATCTGGAACATAATCCGTCCCGTTGCAAGGTCGATGTGGCTAACAACTGTGCCAACTTCAATGCTAACGGCTGCGGACTGTTCTTGGGAGGTAGGTTTAGGAGGCGTAGACATGAGTTTCTCCACCGGGGGGGATCGTAGGTTCGGACGCCTTCGCGCGGCTTCTTCAAGGGAAGCTTTCCTCAGCGACGTCGAGTGCGCATAACTGGAGAAAGCGCCGGGCATTTCTTGAAAAATTGAATCATCCGCCAGATTCGGAGGTCTAAAATCAAACCCAGACTCTTCAGGGGTCGGCCCAGTAGTTTCATCTCGCGGTTGCTCTTCGCCGAGTCCTAGCGGGAACCACACGGTTATTTCGTCCACGGTTAAGAAAAGCTTGGCGAGCCTCAGAGGGAGTTTATCTTCTGACCCTAGAGAGCGCTTGACATGGTCCGGTGCGGATGCTCGACCAGTTTCATGCGGGGAGGAGAACATGCTTTGTCGACTTCCAGGACGTGGCGTTTCACAGCCATCGTCAGCCTCCGCTTGAGGCCGCAGAATGCTGCTGGCAACCATGGCTTCCGGGATCGGACCAGACGTATCAGGCTCGGTGTCGCGGCTTGATGCCGATGATGAAGAATCCCAGCCCCCTGGTATATCGGGGCGATGGCTGCTGTCGGATGGTGCAGCGCTCAATGCACTCATGTACATGCTTTCCGCATCATCATGAGAGAAGATTTTGGATTCGCTGAGATCTTCCTCCTGGCGAGAATGGCTGCTACGACCAGTAGACGAATTACGTGTGCTTTGCTCCGGGCTATGCTCCTCTTGGAGATGATGCCGTGCGTGATCCAGGTTGTCTGTCCAGGGATGCTCTGATATCCTAGATTGCGACGGTGAGTTGTCGTTGGGTATTGCAGACGCTGGTTCCTGTCCAAGCGCAGACACAGAGAGCAACTGAGAGGTTGCAGATGCGCTTTGGGAAGGAGGGTGCCTCTCTTGGCGACTTGAACTGGCGCCATCCATGCCCCACAAATTCGAGCCCTCCTCGGAGAAATGTCTACTGTTATGTGGATCATCAACCCGAGAATCGAGAAGATTGTTCTGCGCAGCGTAATCTAGGAGGCCTTCATCGTCGTACAGTATGCTACTCGCACTCATATCGGGAGCAGGTAGGGAGGCCTGCGATTCGTCCATCGTCGCACTGCGGTCCATACCATCATCTGAAGTAGCATCTGCAAATCTGTCATCATCTATGGTATGGATAGATGAGGCAAGCGGGATCCTATGTACAGAGGACGCTTCGGGTTGCGGGTCTGCGACTGGGCTCAGATCACGAATCGAAGGAAGATCATGTATCGAAGCTTGGGGCGATACGACGTCATCTTCTGGGACAGGAGCAGACTCGAATTCACGGCGGACGGATGCGTGACTAATTGATGGCTCACTCTGGCTCTTCTGGCTTGAAGAGACCTCAGAGCGAGTGTCTGCCGGAGAAGTGGACCTGGAGATCCTCGACATTGAGACAAAATTGTCTGCATCCGATATCAGTCGGGCAAAGACGTTCTCGACTCGCATTCGACGCTTTCCGATTTTCGACGACGATCCTCGCTCCGGGTTCGGGAGAGTTTCGATATCTACCCGGGGGCTAGCAGTCACTGAGTCGATGGCAATGCGGCCGACATGAAAATTCAGCGCCACATGGGGATCGTCGTCTTCCTTGGATGCATTTGAGGCGTCTGAGGGGAACTGATCCTGGACTTCGATATCGACGTTATTGATGATGATTTTCAGACGATCCAGCGCTGTATTGAGAATGTTCCGAAGATATGCAGGAAGAGCCAACGGAGCTCCCATACCTGCGGTGCTCTCATCATCCCCATCATCGCTTGAAGAGACCGACTCTTGTAGATATGCGGACTGAGACTCCAATTCTTGCTCGAGCTCCCGAATCTCGGCCTCCGGCTCTTCTCTGATGAAAGACTTCGCAAGATCCTCTACAGTCGGAATATGTTCCTCTTCGTCCCCTGACGAGTACTCGCTCAAATTGTCTGCGGGTGGGGGAGGGGACAATGGCCGCCTGCGAAGCGGAGACCGCGCCCGGGGTGGGGATGGTTCTTTCCCGCGGGGGCTCAAATTTGCATCTGCTTCCTGCAATCTAGCATGGACCTGAATGCCGTCTATCTCGATTATAATTTGTGGTACACCGAAGTCGAGGACGAAGGTTACGCGGAGAAGCGAGGCTCGAGCTCTGGAGAGGTGGACTTCCGGCGGCAGCGTAAGATGAAGAAGAGCTATGAGTTTCTACAACATACAATCAGCATACGCCCTACTATCACATACCAGAGATATATTTATACCTTAACACGGAGCCCGACATCCCTCACTTCGAGCGTAGTCTTCTTGCCGACATCGACACTAACAAACTCGGCCGGATCTTTGTCGAGGATATCGATATGCCGAAGACCGAACAGCAAAAGTTTCTTGCCGATCGAGGAGGACACTGCAGAAAAGAACGCCATGTTGATTGTGCTTGGCGGTGGTGCGGTGTGTGTGGTGGGCGAGTCGAGCGCCTACCGCCGCGCCGAAGGGCACTCCATAAGTACAGCCCCAGCGCAGTAGCCCGGACACAAGTGAAAAGACAACAAGGGAGCGAAAGGCGTGTTCGCTAAGGATATACAGCAGCGGCGGAAGAGGTGCGATTCCTGGGTTTGCTCGTCGCGACTCTAGGAAAGGTGAATGGAGGGGACTGAGAGCGTTTGCGAGCGTCAAGGGGCGTGAGGATGTGTGGCGGGCAGCCACTCGTCGACGTATGCGATCACGGGGGAATGGGCGGGTTAGGATAGGACGGATGTCCAGCAGTGAATGGACAGATGATGCAGTCCCCAGGCAGCCCAGCGGTCGGGTCAGTCGAAGCCACCCCGCGTCGCACAGACCGCGGCTAATGGCGGGCTCACGTGCTGATAAGGGCCAGATAAGACGGGCACTAAGCCGCTTTCGACTATTACGTCAGCCGCTCATCCAAGAGGGAAACGATCGTGACTGTTCTTTGACTTTTGCTACCTCTGAAAATCTCTTTCCCCCTTAGAGATACATCGACCATTGCGTGCACTGGGCGATAATGGCGCCAGACCTAGCGCTTAACGACGAGGATTGGGAGCAGGCCGAGGGCGTCCCAAGTCTCAGCGACCCGTTCATCCAAAAGTATCTTTCCGGAAGAGACGCCCTAGTAGAGCAAGAAAAGAGACAACGAAGCGGTTGGTAGATTGGCAGACGCCTAAGTACTCAAAGGATCGACGTCTGACAGGTTCAGACTATCATTTCCGCCAAAGCCTTTCCCCGATGGCCACAGAGGCCTGCGCGATCGTATCTCAGATAAGATTCGCCGAGCGACAAACTTTGTGGACCAGAGAGTATGAGGACAGCCTCATGAGCGAGCATGTGGACGTCTTCCCTGGAATGATGTTCACACTCGCCAAGGACCGCATGGAGAAGAGCAAGCTATGGCAGATTGTGAAGAAGATGCCGAAAGGAGCGCTTCTGCACTGTCATCTCGAAGCAATGTTGGACTTGGACTGGGCGCTCGAGGAGGCGTTCGCTACGGAGGATATATGCATAAGGAGCGATGCGCCGCTGACGAACGAGCAGGCGCGCTTAAAGACACGGTTTTCTTTTACCTACTCCAAGACGAAAGCGAACAGCGAGATCTCCATATGGAGGGACGAGTATTCTGCAGATACTCAAGTTCCTCTTACAAAAGCCGCGGACAGTTTCCCGGACGGAGGTCGAGAAGGCTTCATCGAATGGGTACGGTCACGGACCACCATCACGGCGGATGAGCATCTGAAGCACCACGAAGGGCCGAACGAGGTCTGGCGCAAATTCATATCCTGCTTCCCAATCCTAGGCTCAATCATCTATTACGAACCAATCTTCCGCAAGTTTGTACGTAAAATGTGCAAGCAGCTGCTGGACGATGGCGTCTTCTACGTCGACATGAGATCGGCATTTTACACACCTTACAGGTGCCTCGGGAAAGAGGAGTGGGATCCGGACTTCTTCAACATGCTTGAACATATGGAGGAAGAAATTGAGAAGTTCAAGGCATCTGAGGAGGGTAAGGACTTCTGGGGCGCTCGGATGATCTGGACGACAGTGCGCGCTTTTGACAAGCGTCAGATCATCGAGAGCATGAAACAATGCATCGAGATGAAAATCGAGTTTCCAGAGCTTATCGCCGGATATGACCTTGTGGGCCAAGAAGACCTCGGTCGGCCTCTAGCGGACCTTGCACCCGAACTCTTCTACTTCCGCAAGAAGTGCGCAGAAGAAGGCGTCGACATTCCCTTCTTCTTCCACGCTGGCGAAACCCTCGGCGACGGCGACTCCGTTGACGAGAACCTATTCGATGCTATTTTGCTCGGAACGCGAAGGATCGGTCACGGCTTCTCCCTGTACAAACATCCGTTGCTTATGGACATGGTTAGGGAGAAGAAGATCCTCATCGAAAGTTGCCCAGTTTCCAACGAAGTGTTACGGCTCTGTGGTAGCATCATGAGCCACCCTCTTCCCGCACTGTTGGCCCGCGGCGTATCATGCTCGCTTTGCAACGACGACCCCACTATCCTCGGACAAGGTGTCTCTGGGATGTCTCACGACTTCTGGCAGGCTCTGCAAGGCTGGGAGAATCTTGGACTCGAAGGCCTAGGTTCACTAGCCGAGAATAGCGTGCGCTGGGCGAGCTTCCAGGACTACAGCCAGAAAGAGTGGGTCCAAGACATCAAAGAAGGGACGATGGGAAAAGGCATAAGAGCCGAAAGGTTGAAAGAGTGGACGAAGAGGTGGGAGAGGTTTTGCGCTTGGATAGTGGATGAGTACGGGGTTGATGAGAATCTTGATCCTGAGGAGTGAACTGGTGGGGAGAGAAGCCCTCACGGTGTGGAGTTCTCTGGAGATATCGACGCACTTATAGTCAGCTATACGACCTGTATGGCGAGCCCTTAAATCTGGAGAATTCTCTACCGCAAGAGAGGGTAACAGAGGACACATTCAACAGTCGCGGATCAAGACTGCCCAGCTCAGACGGGAGAAAGAGGATGGGTAAATAGACTTGCATGACTCAACGTCGCACTGGAGGGGAGATTATATTCTTGTCCCACATGAATTCCCAATTCCTGGTACCGCCATCCTAACAATCTCCGTCTCTCAAGCATGACCGTTTGATCGGCATCTCTACCACCCGAGCACACATCCTTACAGCCCCCACAAGTTTGCACCCCAATAATCTCCGTAGTTCTTCATCCACGTCGCTCTATACCCCTTAACAGCTAACTGCACGCGCTCTAGCAATTGGTCTGCCTTCTCCTGCTCTTCCTCTGACGCGAAGTACTTCGCATAGATAACGTTTACCCAGAAAGTGGTCTCTGCAGTCGCCAGGAGCGCAAAGCCGGTGTAGATAGTGTAACGGACTGGACGGCTCGAGGCTCGAATTTGAGCGAAGAGGTTGAAGGGAGCTGGCTCATGGATTGGTGTCGGGTTGGACGGTGGCTTTGAAGACGGGATTTGTGGTATTATTGAGGAGCCGAAGCAGCGGGAGGCAGGTTGAATAGGAGCACATGGAAGGAGTTTGATGAGTGCTGGGTGTGTGCTTGGCATTGACGCTCGTCTTGATAGTACTCGGATAGGCAACATGGCTGACGATAATTCGAAATGAAATACCACGAAAGATGAAGCGAAAAGTATGAGCTGATGCTCCCCCACTTACCTACCATCCTTTTATATACACTGGTGCCTTCACTTCGTACACCCATAGTTATAAGCTGACTAACCCCCTAAGGAACGCCAAGTAGAGTTGTCCAAATCGGTCGATACACTGCGAACCGCGGCACGTGAGCGTAATCTCCCAGGTTTTCATCGCCTTGCCCGAACGGGCGCTCGGCGGATTGCCCTGCGCCGGTGACGTCGTGCACAACAGCACCCGTAAACAAGTGGCTGGAAGCGCTCGCATCTCTGCAACGCTGAACACATGGCGCATGAGGTCATACGAAAACGCAGCGCCAATCGTTCCACGGTGAAACAGAAACAAGAACGAAAGTGAGGTGGCTGGTCAAAGCGGGGAGTCATGGCGGTGCAGGGGCAGGGATGGGTGCTGTATCCTGTTGGACGAGTCAGGCACGCATCGCTGTACCACGCGCCGCCAGGCCCAGTGATTCCTCCCTCAACACTCAACCGCCACTTATTTCCTATGTAATCGACACCTACCACCTACCTCCGAGTATGAGCGATACTCACAGCACCGCAATACCACGAACTTCAGCTACAGCGCGCAGGCGGACAGCGGCTATTCGCGCGTCGGCTTCGCCAGCCCCGCGGTAGCACACACTTATGGACTCCGACATAGCTCGCAGCAGCAGCATTCCAGGGCCCCAATGTTGCTGCGGCAGCAACGACTGCGCTTTTCTAGCCCACAATGGAAAGCTGCTCGAGGGCCTAGAACGCGATGTGTCCAAGGCCGCTCAACTAGGTCAGGTATGCACTTTGATCACTCTCACTGTAGCTTGACGACCGTATTCGTATCCTTGTAACCTATGCGCCATGTCGCTGACCTTTGCGTTACAGGCCCTGCTCGTCCGCCATGAAGCCTACGTCGCCGACTCGGAGAGGGAGCGCAGGCAGATGACCGCCACGATCGAAGGCTTGGAGAAAGAGAAGATGGAGCTGGAGGAGAGGAATGCGCAGACGATAAAGGCGAACCGCGACCTTTTGGACCGGCTGGAGCAGTTGAACGAGGCGGTAGCAGCGTCGGACGCCCAAGTACAAGCTCTCACGGATACGCTGCATTCAACGGAAGAGGAGATTCAGCGGCTAAGCTCCCTTGCTGCGCGAACGCAGGCCCTCGAACGGCAGTTGATCGATTTGGAGCGGGAGCAGTCGCAGCTGCAGTCCACACTAGAGACGAGCATCGGGGATGAGCGGACGGCGGTGCAGCGGTGGAGAAGGGCGGAGAAGACGATAGCGGATCTCCAGGACCAAATCGACCGCATCGAAAAGGAGGCTCGGGAAGAGCGGGAACGTCACGTCGAGATTGTCGCACGCATGGAACGGCGAATGGCCGTGGACGGAGAGCTGGCAACGGCGGCTGGGAGATTGAAGGCAAAAGCAGGCCCCGAAAAAGGAGGGACAAATATCGTCTCGCACTTTGTTAAGGACATCCTGCTCGACAACGCGAATCTTCAGCATGGTATTCTCGAGCTGCGGGAAATGCTGCTTAACTCAAATGAAGAGGTAGAACGGCTACGGGAGCAGCTGCGAGTCCATCAGCCCGTCTCTCCCATGGAGACCACCGACAACGCCGCTACCCCTACGTTGCAGAAAGAGCTGGGAACTGAGCCAGTCTTCAACCAGGAGCTACATATCCACCACCATTACCACGGTTCAACGCCCAAGGCACAGCCGCATCGAAAACCCAAGAAGAAACGCTTCAGTCTCACACCAACACACTTCACACCACCCGATCCATCGACTTCGGCAGCAATTCTTTCGCAAACTGCTGTAACCGTACCCAATTCGAATCGCTGGTCTAACGCGACCACGCTCGCCCCTTCGCTCCCCGGATCACCACTTTCCATGTCGCACCGCGGATCCATCTATGACCGCGTGTTCAGCGACGTTCCATATGACTCTTCACGGCCTACGAGTCCGTCAGACTCAATCGACCTCCAATCACCCATGTTCACACCCTCTAAGCTATTCACACAGGACGATACTTTCCGCCACCACAGAAAGAAATCGCAAAGCCTGAAACCACCAAGCCTTTCGACAATTCGTAGTACAAGCACACCCATCTCCATCACTGCTAAGAGCAGCCCGGCAACGGCCGTCATCTCAGCCGTCAGTCCCGCGAACTCGCTCGCAAACGAAGTCTTCACTCTCTCACCATCTCTCGACCCACAATCTGCGATCCGTGAGGAGAGCGAGGATGCCTCCCTTAACAACGCAGGATCAGAATCCCAAGCTTCACCTGAGGAGATCGATGACTTGGTATCTCCAATGACTCAAATCCGGCCCCCACTCCTCCGTCGAGCTGCATCCCACGAATCGCTCATCTCCATCTCCGGAATGGACATCCACACTCTTCAATCTCGACCTTCGCAACTCCTCTCGTCCTCTCCACGCTTCGCCTCCCCTGCCGGAGGCGGCTCACTTAATCCAGAACTCACGCCCTGGATCGCAACAGCCACACCGCACCTCTCCCGCCGCAATCTCGACAGCAGCACCTTCAATCGCTCGCTGCTCTACTCAAGCATGGCGTCCCAGAAACGCAACGTCAGCGCCAGCAGCCGGAAGAGCGAAGGGCTGGGGAAGAAGGTTGGTGGCTGGGTGTTGGGGAAATGGGGCGCTACCCCTGCTCCGTCTTCTCCCCGCCCCGACTCGGCCAAATCGGGAGAGACCCAATCTTCGACTGATACGGTCAAGAAGGGGGCAAAACCGAAGGAGGCGCCTATTAAGCTGAGACCGCCGGGCATCAATCAATCAGGCCCAATTTGGGGCTTCTTCGACGTACCGCCTACGCCTACAAAGGTCGTAGTTACGGACCTAGATGCCGACGCGCTGGGGGAGGCGCTCGCAGAGGATTAACATTCTTCTCCTTTCCCCAAGGGAGCCAGTCGCTAATGCATTTCCTATCCTTCCTTTTTTTCCCTTTTGGTCTTGATATCCATCCATTATACAGGCCTCAAAGTGGGGCGGCGGGCGTTCGTTTATCTTGGATCCATGGGAGTAGATTGGATTTGTCCCATTGCATCGTTGGCGTTTTATACCTCGAGTAGATTGACGGGATCATGGGTTATGAGTTTGAGTTTGGATATTTGACTTTTCTGGCTTTTTGGATGGATATACCCCGACCGACCGACAGACCGACAGACACCGTCCGGTAATTTCCTAGTGTCTATCCGCACTTATTTAGATCAGGGTATGGGGAAGTATTAATTTGTAGTTAGTTAATAGACCGAGGGCGACGATGACTTGAAAACTGAGAAGTTCAGACGATGGCAAGATGGACAAATATCATTAATCCTCGGCCGTCTCCAATGCGAAAATGAACACTGGATTCTACGAAATTGACAAGTGACACCAAGACACCATGCTAGCTTACAGACATTGTACAGTACAATAGGCACGTGGGATATATAGAGCAAGGACAGACGAGCGGATGAGAAAAGTGCTGGGACCGGGCCCATTCAGGTAGGTGTAAGCCAGTTTTTGTACAGGCAGGAGCATAGCGATCCGGCGTCTTGCGCGTCGAGGGTGATCTGGTCGCCTTGTTGCCCGTCGGACATCTTGTAGCAGCTGGGCACGCTTTGGCCGCCGCCGACGAGTTGTTCGACGCGTACAGCTACGAGCCTGTTAGCTTTTCAATGCCCTCTCAGGGTGATTAGGAGGGCTTACCAAAGGGCCACACGGTGGAGCTAGGGTCACCCGTCGGATCGCCATGCTCTGTATCCGGGTAGGATTTTGCCATCTTCGTGTACAGATACGCCTGCAGATCCGTGTTGTCGAAATTGCACTCCGTACTCGCGTTATCGTCGGTTAGATTCGTGCTCGGGGTCACTGTCTTGGTCGAGCTGATTTGAAATCTGTATCTCTCCGTATCCTTGCCCTCATCCAGCAACTCGAAGTCGGCGTTCTTGAATGATATCGAGAAAGGATTCTCCGTCGAGGAGATGGTGTAAGCGCCCGCAGACCCAGATATTATCCAGTTGAAAGTCGCGACGGCTTTTGAGCGGTCGGAGTAGTACGTCGAGTAGGGATAGCATGTCCAGGTTGCCGGGTTTGCTGTGCAGTTTGTTTGGACGGTGTCGAGGAACGTTACAAGAGAGTAGGAACCTAGCGGGAAGTCGGGGGGTACGCTGATAGTGGATGTGGATGTCGGGGAGGAGGGAGACGTAGGGGATAGGGAAGCGGTCGGGTCGGAGGCTTGTTGGGGGTCATCGGTGGTTGAGCTGGTTGCCGTCAGTCTATCACTTGTACATACAGGAGCGGCATCCTCGCCATACCTGCTTGTCTTCTTCTTTTTCAACCCAACAGCCAATCCTACCGCCAGCGCTATTATAATGGCGACTAGTATCGCTAGTATAATAGCCAGCCGTTTCCACCCTCCTCTCTTCGCAATCTGCTTGTGATTCCTCAACGCCGCGAACTTCTTCTCGCCATCCGACCACACGCTGAAACTATATCCGCTCGAATTGTTGCTGTTATCCTCCAGGCTCTCTCTCGGTGCGTCTGCCAGCGCTGGGCTCAACCCGCTCTTCCGTACCGACGCCCGATGTGAATCACGTGCCTTCGAGGCGTGGGAGTCGCCATTCTCGAGGATGACGGACAGACGCTGGCCTGCCGGCGTGGAGATGCGTTTCGGCTGCGGCTCGACAATTTCCTGGTGCTGTTTCGATGAGCGGTTCCAGAAGTCCATGGCGATGTAGATGCGGATGCGGGTGCGAGTGGTTGGACGTGTTTCTCGCGAGGTTGGTCAAGGCCGCGCCGCTCGTGGAATTGCGTCCCGTCTGCGGTCCCAGGTCCCTTGGACGCCCAATGGCTTTCGCCGGTTCTCTCTGTGTTTCAACCGCCTCCTAAATATCCATATCGTGCTCGTTCGGAAGGACGCTCGATGCTCGATGCTCGACGCTCGTGCAGAAGTTTTCCGAAGTCGACAGCGGAACGAGGTGAGGAGAAGGACGCAGCGCGCTCGGGACACCCCATCGCCAGCGCTTCGAGCCGGGAGCGAGCTTGGACCGCACGTGGAGAGCTTGCACGGCATGGCGCAAAGGATGTGGTGTCGCCATCTCCCGTTGCAGACTAGGGGGTGGCAGCCGTGCAGCTGGTTTCAAAGCTAAAGTCATTTGTGTGGGCTGGAAGCGGGATAGCGGGAAAACACGATGCTATTCCGGGTAAAGCTGAGGGTGGGAATACTGCAGATCGAGACCCTGGCCCTGCTGTCTGGGGGCTGGGAGACGCTGCGTGTCAGAAGGGGTTTGGTTTGGCGAGAGCGGAAGCGAAGAGGAACGAGGTGTGAGCCGTGCCGTGGAGGCGGCGGAGGCGGTGGAAGCGGTGTTGAAGGCTTTATCGAACGATAAGAGGAACGAGAGCATCATAAAGCCTCCGGAATTGCAGGGAAATCGATCGATGGCGATATCATCAGGGGTATCGATGTATGGTTCACGAGTCGTGTGCTTGCTGTTCCTGCATTGTGGAAGGCAGCCGGCAGGGATCACGCCCCCTCGCTCTTGCCAAGCCGTGACTTCCAAATTCGACATTCACTTGCGGGACGTGCGATCTGCTCTACGCGCAGTGAATCCGCTCGTCCAGCAGCACTGTCGCGTGCCTTTACTTTCCCTACATCACTGCGTTTGATCCAGACGGACTAAGCTTGAGATGCCGCGTATGTTACGCGCCGCGTCCTCTTCCACCGACTTCTCTCTTCGCGCGCGTTCCATTTTCCGCAAACGCTCTCCCCGCCAGCATGGCACCCAGCACGTTTTCTTGACTTTCCTAACTGCCACGATACCCTTCTTCTCTCACCCCTACAAACTATACACGCTCCTTCGCCATCGTCTCGAACGGGTGACTCGACTATCCCACTCACCAAGCATTATAGCTTCTTGCGCTGCAGTGAGTGAGCAGCATGTCCACTAGACGCATCGTTGTCCCCCTCAGGCCAGGGTCCGATGGAGATGCCACCCACAAGCCGACCTCGCCGTCCTATTCAGAAGTAAATCCGCCAACGATTTACCTCGAGCGGCTTGCCGCACAGTGGATGCAGGCCAGGGGTGAGGCAGTTCCCGGAATGATCTATATCTTGGAGCGATTGCCGGCGGGATATGCACTCTTCCAGCGCCCGCGTCCAAAAGATCAAAAGATATATGATAAGTATCTCTACGGCCACCCACAGCACAAACCATTCGACTCACCGAATCGCTTCTTTCCCCATTTCCAATACATCATGGAGAATGGCGGGAGCAGCCTGGGCTGCCCCTGCACCGTCTGCAACACTAAAGGAGGTGTCCTGCCGAAGACGGGGCTTACCAGCGGCTTCTTCTCGAAAGGCGGCTCCAGTAAAGGCGGCTCCAGTAAAGGCGGCTCCAGTAAGGGCGGCTCGAGTGGAGCATCTTCACGGACGTCGACCCAGAAAGCCGCCCCGGTCGCGACAGCCCCGGTCGCACCTCAATTCAAGGGCAGACCGAAGATGATTGGGACGGGTATGGATACCAGCCGAGTTGATGAAGAAGGCACGCCTGACGTCTATCGGAATCTCATCGACAAACTCAAACGACATGGTACGTTGGATGAAGCTATTATGGAACCCATGAGCCTGGATTGGAGAGCGGAGCAAGAGATTCTTCCAGGTGTCCTCTCCAAGATCAAGAAAGAGCCGCAATGGGTGCCACGAGCTGGTGATATCGTGCTGTACGTCCGCGAGATGCCATACAATGCTACGTTAGTCCGGCACCCCACTACCGGAGTGTACGTGTTCTACGACCGCCACCAGAAGACGATTCTCGATGTACCAAGGTGGGAAGCTGGACTCGTGGGCCAGACTCCTGCAGAGGCACTTCAGGAGGGAGAGAAAGATTTCAGTGTCAGCTATTCCGGCGTGCGAGTCGAGCCGCTTCCGAGCCCTAATAACCCCGACAAGAGCCTCTCTAAGAGGTACAAGTACGTTCCAGTTCATTACACTCGCCCGTTCAACCTGTGGAAAGAATACCTGGAGCAAGTACCCCAAGACAATTGGCATCCGACTATCAAAAACGCCTTAACGGTTATGTCGACCATGTCGCTCGTAGGCAAACATCGCTTCCACGGAACGTGGCCCGAGGCGCAGATCCGATGCCACGGCATCTATATCGGTTCAGAGATGTTGGCTATTGGTGATACCGTTCGCCTTCTGCCGAAGGCGCATGGCGAATCGGTCTGCACAGACGTCCTCGTCATCAAGTCCATCCGCCTCAAAATCCTAAACCTGGACAAGGCTTCCACCAACGACTACGATGAGGGCAGGCCATACAATTCTGAGGCATGGATCTACGGAGCCGCATACACGACGGAGCCCTCCCGATCAAGCAAGGAATGGCTGACCGATACGAAGCCTCCAAAATCCGCGCAGAACTACCCAGATATGTATCCGTTGCATCCGCCAAACAAAGAAATTGCAGTCCCCTTCTCGCGCGTCCTAGGCCGTCTTTTTGAGCACGACGCTATGCTTCTCTGGCTGAACTCCGCGCCGTCACTGGACGAAGGTCGCGAGGGCCTCCTCGAAGCTCGTGCATTCGGTAGGGCGCACGACAACCGCATCACGCAATCCTTCGGCGCGACATGGTACTGGGGGGACACGCGATCCGAGGCGCTCGATCTCCACACCATTAACGGCCTTGAGGTCGGCAAGTCCGACACTGAGCGGGACCCCGGTGCGTGGCGTAAGAAGATCAAAGTCATGGACGGACAGCCAAATGCACAGGTCAAGCTCGATGCCGGACACAAAAGTCTGAGGAATTTCATGGCACCTGCGACCTCGAAGCTACCCGTCCGACGCCAGAACTTACTGCCCAGCAGCAGCGATTCGAGCAGCGGCGGAAGTTCCCGGTCGGGCAGGAAGAGGGAGGCTAACGATGAGAGTAGGAACGAGGAGGAGATACGCGAGCAGATGCGTATCATCGAGGACGACGGCCAACCAAGCATGTCGCAGAAGAAGAAAGCGAAGGTCATGGTCGTCATCGACTGAGGGGATTTGTTGTTGCCAGAACTAGACTATACGTGTACTATGGTACGAAGGAGAACAACTGTTGCTTACTATCGCGTCCTGGGAGGGCAGCTGCAGACATCGGTCTGTCTAGCATGGAGCATGTCTACGTTGTCGGAAGGAAGGCGAGTCGGAAAGCTAGGTGGGCCATGTATTTCGGCACAGCATGCGTTGTGGAGCCCACGACTGACTCCGTGGAGAAACAGTGTGCGTGGGGGGAGTTAGTATACCCTATGTTTATATCGATGCGTGGTTCAGAGGCAGTCTAGTGTACATGGCTGGCTCATTGGAGGCATGGAATACCCACAGAGGGCGGATCAGATCAGATCATTGACTGGCCATGGTCCTCTGTGTGCACTAGTTCGAGAAATGAGATCAAACAAATATGCAGCGACGATTATTCAAAGCTGAGATGTAAACATCCCTTGTATTCCTATCTACCTGAGTACATTTGGGAAGAATACGCGACTTCCCATTTCTAAGCTCCCAACGCCTGCCCATATCCCGCGCCAGCCATGTCCGGGTGCACGCCAGTCCCAAAATACCTCATACCCAACAACGCTCAAGACTAGGAGAGCGACACGGATCGGGCTCTGGAGTATCAAGTCAGTCCAGCCGTGGCGGACTTCTCGGCGTCCTCCGCCAGGTAAACCTCCTATTGGTCACAACGTTCCTGAGCACGCGCAGATTGCGCGACCACTAGTCATCGGTCTGCATGTTGTCCTCATCTTGCTCCTGCTTTGCCCCTTCCTCATCTGCTTTCTTCTTTCTATCGGCCTTCTCGTCGGCATCGCCCTCACCATCCTTCATCTCCTCATCCTCTTTAGCAGGTGCTTGGGCGGTCGGCGGTTGTGGGCTCTTACTCGTGCGCTCAATGCTGGGTCGGCCGACCGCGCCCTCGATGTCGAGAGTTGCGCTTGCCTTCTGAGGACCGGTGTCTTCCATGCCGATCATTTCGGGGCCGCGGGCGTGGGGCACTTCTTCTTCGCCTTCGACGGTTTCGATGACTGTGCCTCCGCCTTCCACTTCACCAACAGTGGACCGGTTAGGGTTCGAGGTGAGAGAGTGCGGGTTGTTCAGGACAATGCCGGCTTCTTGCTCCTGGCGCAAAATCTCGCCTTGTGTGACTGGGCCGGTTGAAGGAAGCGTCTCGCCGTCTGGATGCGACGATGCTATTTGGGCTATGTTGCTCACGGCCGAGGTCGGCGGAGGCGGCGGCGCACCGTTTCCATTGAGCATACCCACGCTTACTGTCTCGATCCTCCCAGCGCCATTTGGGCCTTCAACCATCTCTGTGCTCTCAGATATGAGTTCGTTCTGGCCCCGGTTTTGCAACCACGGTATGGGTGTGAGCAAGGCGCCGCCGAGCGATTCGTCGGAGCCGAGGGCTGACTGCGGTGAGGAGGCTGAAGTGGTGCCATTGAGGAGGCCGGTGGCGGTAGGAAGGACTGCTTGAGGAAGGGGGAAGAGGGTGTTCGGCGAGGACACGGAGACGACGCGGTCGAGCGCTCGAAGGTATGGTGGGAGGAATCGATATCTCTTCTTCGGCTCTAGGATGAGCTCCGCTAACCTCTGGATGGTGTGTGGGGCATTCTTCCCGAAGTTCTTAGAGAGTGCCGTCCGTATTGACATGTAGAAGTTTATGGTCTCTTGCGGGAAGCTACCGTCTGAGGCGGACTCGAAGGCTGGGACGGGCGGTCGTGGAGAGGTATTGGGCGCCGCATTTTCCTTATCGCCGGTTTGTGAGCCCTGACTTGAAAGCGTCGCTTGCTGGCGGGGGGGAGTGTTTGAGGTTGACGAGGAGTCCGAAGTCAGAGGAGGCCTGGGGAAATCGTTGATTATCTGCGCAAGGTCAGCGTTTCGAATCGAGCTATTTGGGGGGTGCGCTGACCTCATCAAGGCGATCTAAGATGTACTGGAGCGTCTTAGGCCATTCTGCCCTGCAATTGACAGTCAACAAACGATGACGGAGACGGGTGGAGGGGCATACGGGTCGAGCGAGCCGTCGTCGGCGGCCTTCTGCAGGACGAGCTCCGCTATACAGACATCAGCATGTGACCTGGAAGGGCGGAGCAGGGGTGCGGTACCAGACGTCATGGGGTGATGGCGGCAGGTTCACGAGCTGCGACACTCGGTGAGCGGAACGATGTCGAAGCACTCCACCTGCGACCTCCAGAGAGACGCGATCAGAGCTGCGCCACAGGGCGGGAAGGGAAACTCGGAATCGAGAGAAGCCAAAATTACGGACGCCACGCCAGAGGGCCGCGAGCGCGCCAATCAGCGGAGACGCCACGGATCAAGCCGCTCAGCAACAACGGCTGGCGGTGTCTTTGCGAGGGCGGAGCAGCTGAGGCGGGCTTGTTCGTGCGGCTGTGCGCGCGCCATGCCCGAAGTGGAGCCCGCCAAGCGGGCCGCGTGAGGCATTCCTCCTTTCACCGCGGGTGGTGAAAAGCGCAGCGTCCCTTGCGCTTTGGATGTTGTCTGCGATTCCCCTCGCTCTGCGCATCGGCTATCGTTCCCAGTACCTAGTACACAGTTCATATCATATCCTCAAGCGCCTGGGTCCCCCGCGTAGCGCCCTGCGCACCCTCAGCCCGCCGTCTCCACACGCCGGCGCTGCCCAGTTCCATCCCCCATCAGCGCTACCCTCCACCACCGTTTCCATAGATATCATCTCGACACACTCGTCCGCTGCTCTTCACTCCCGCCGCTCGCTCGCCACCCGCCGCACACGACGTATTATTGGATTGCTTTCCCTGCCGCCGTCGGTCGCTGCATCCTCCCTGTTTCGGCTGCCAGCCCGCTCTCCGCACAGCCAAGTCGTCAACCGTCGAGGTTTCAGAGTCGCGCGAGCCCCCGAGCATAACGCCTGCACACAGAACAGGACGACCCGTCCGTTTCAGCGTCCCAGCACGCCGCCCGCCGCGCCCGCCGTCGATTCGCTGCACCGCCAACGCACCGCAGCAGCGCACTGAAGTGCTTCACACCGGTCTCAGCTGTGCTTCCAACCCTCCCCAACCGCCGCAACCACGCACCGCCAGCAGTCGCACACTCGCTGCCCGTCTGAACACAGGCACGCACCGTTGAACCACTTAACCCACCCACTTCAGCCGCCGCTCGCGGCTGACCATTCTGCCAAAATTTCTCACCACGAGGCGCGAGCATCCCTCCTCGGAGGCCAACCTCTGGACCGCAACTACCAGCCTTACGCCTTCCCGTCCTCTTCCTACACCCAGCAGCCTTACGACGCCCAGCCCGGAGGCTACCACCACCGCGAGGGATTCCCCACCCAGCTCCCACCGCCCGTTCGACGATCGAAAAGGATGTATATCCCAAATACCAAGTGGACATGGGCCTTCATGTTGACGGCCATTGTGCAGGCCGTCGTCGCTATAGGCCTGGAGGCGTACGTTATCCGGCTGCTCTAAGAGACCCCAGACTGACCATAATTACGCAGATATGTCTTTGCAAAGTTCCAAACCAGCCTGCGCGACAACATCCCCGAACACCACAATGAGACCCGGACCATTCCAACATATCTGGCCGTCTTCATGTTTGGCTACATCTACCAGCTCATCCTCGTCTATGACGCCCTGCAACAGAAGAACACTATTCAGGTCATTGGCCTTGTCCTCTACAATATTGGCATTCTTATCTATGCCGCCATTCAGTTCGACCAAATTGACGATGCCGTCAAAGGTTTGGCTTCTGGACGATTTATTGAAGGCCCCCTGTGGAGGGAGCTTCGACCGGAATTGATTGCCGAGCCCATTCTGATGGCCGTTGCAACTGTCATCTTCGCCTTCATTGCATGGAAGCTGTACGACGAATTTGCCTGGACCATCTACAAGCATATCAGCGCCGATCTGCGGATGAAGAGGAGGTATCTGACATATCAGGTAAGCCGGTTACAGAATCCAATCGAGATCACTGCTGACCGCACCAGATTTATATCGCACTCCTCAAGTTCGACTTTTTCTTCTTCCTTGCCTTCACAGTCCAGTTCCTAGTTGTCGTCGAGAACACGTCCACAGTCGAGCTTGCGCTTACGGCGGCGGCGCTCGTCATCACCTTCGTCCTCCTCTTCCTGGCCGCCTTCTGGGTCCGCCGAGAGTCCGTTCCCGGCATGATTCTCGTCATAATTGTCTACTTCATTGCCCTCGCCTACTTCTTGTTCAAGCTCGTACGCATGTACGCCGCGGACGCACAGCGCCTCGAAGACTACAAGCCGGCCCGGAAGTCGTTGACCAGCTTCGCTGTCCTGACAATTCTGCTACTGCTGGTCACGATTGTTACTGCATGCATGTGCACTCACAACTTCAACAAGGGTCTGAAGCCGCACGTCAACAGCAAGAGCGTGAGGCAAGGCGACGATAAGACGGGCTACAGCAACGAGATGCCGTCTCTCAGCGGACCGACCCCCACCACACGGATGGAGATCGACTAAACAGTTCTTTGCTTCTCTTTTCGTCCCTTTACTTCTAAAAACACCAACAGGAATTGTTGGATTGCGTTCTGCGTGCATAGCTCTGGTCCGGCCACGACCGGAGCAAAACAGGCGTCTGGAGCATGGAAGGCTTTTCTTGGAGGGAACAGTCAGGAACAGGAAGTGGGCCGGAGCTGGAACTGGTCGAGCTCCTGGAAGACTGGATTATACCACGTACTACTTCAAACAATTTCGATGTCTAATGACGGCCTTTGTATCTCCGACTGACAGTCTTTTCTTTACGCTTTGCCAGTTGGCGTCTTTTGTCACAAACTATATACCCCGACCTGAGAGTCTTTCTGTCTGATGCGTCAGGACTCTGCTGGCTGCGGGGAGCATTAGATTGATGAGGGTCAACCAAATCAACCACTTGGAATGGGATTTGCTTTCTATTCATGTGCAGATTAACTGCTGTGATCGTGATGTATCAAACTGTTGCTGCTTATATCAGCCCAAAGACAAATCCAAGCCTCCGTCTCCCCTCAAACGACGATTATGACGACGACAATTGGGACACTCCTGATAAGCGTAAAAATAGCTCCCCGCTAGCTGTCAACGATGCCGGTCCTGTCATGCGCGAAGTGGGTCCAAGCTCCTACGCGCCTGCCAGGGTCTCACAGCTAACTACATCATCGCTTGGCCCACTCCGAGTGGAAGCTTTACTTTTGCTTCCTCTTCCCCACAGCGACTCCCTTTCCACGCCACTATATCGAATTCCTCGGATCCGAAGATTAAGGAATTGGTCTGCCTGAGGTCAATTGCAAACATGGTGTTACGGTGGTGAGTGAGAAGCCGGGCTGGAGGGGTTGTGCGGTTAAGGTTGGACGAAGCTAATTGAGAGGAATATAGGTATCAAGCGAAGCTGAAGAGCGCGCCGTTGTTGACGCAGAGTATTACTACTGCGGTATGAGGTTCCTCTCCATAACCGTTTTCCCTCGACTCCGATTGATTGCATGTCGACTGCGTGGGCTCGAAGGAACGGGCTCGGCACACGAGCTGGTGCAAGCACAATTGGGGCATATCAAGTCCACCAGAACAGAGAGAATGAGAGGGCTAATAATAAGAGCAACAGGTACTCTTCGCAACCGGCGACGTAATGGCGCAACAAGGCGTCGAAAAGCGCGGTCTCTCCTCGCACAACCTCGCCCGCACAGGCCGCATGGCCGCCTACGGCGGCGCCGTCTTCGGCCCCGCGGCGACAAAATGGTACGCCTTCCTCGTCAAGCGCGTCAATCTCTCTAGCAAGAACGGCACCATCGCCGCGCGCGTCGCCTGCGACCAGTTCGTCTTCGCGCCCGTCAACATGGGCATCTTCCTCAGCACCATGGCGTACCTCGAGGGCGCCAGCCCCCGCGAGCGCCTGAGCAAGGCGTATGTGCCCGGCATGGTGAATAACTTTCTGCTGTGGCCGTGGGTGCAGGGCGTCAATTTTAAGTATGTGCCGTTGGAGCATCGGGTGCTGGTTGTGAATTTCGTGGCGCTTGGTGAGTCTATCTACCTTTCTATTTCGTTTCTCCGTTTTGCTTGAATGGATGTGGCACGGGGCTGTCTGGGAGGCATGCTATCCGTTGAGGGAGAGAACGTTGAAGGATTGAGAGATCGCGGCTAATGTGCAATAGGCTGGAACTGCTACCTTAGCTACCTCAACTCGAGCGGCGGCGCGGATGCGCAGCCGACGAAGGGCAAGGGGAAGGAAGGCGGCGAGCTGCCACCGTCTTAAGCCCAACCCTTCGCAATCCTACTCCTACCTCGTGAGCGCTCGAAGGCAACAAAGGGCAGGATGGATGGTAAAGCAATTCGCTGTATATACATACATGCATGCGGCGGCGAGGATGACATTTCGAGAAGCATATATATGGGCATGCGATACCCTTTCTAGGAGGAACAGGCCGAGCTAGGTCAACAGGTGGTAATCTCATCCGGGATACCTCCAACATGAATATCAAAACGAGCATTCCACATCATATATCCACCCCGGCATGAAGCGAAGTTACGACTTTTTCATTCATGGGGATGGATGGCAAAGCAGCCGACCATTAAAGCTAGACCGCATTCACTGAAATTCAGATCCCTTCATCACGCTTGATATACACAGGCACGGTCGGGTCGAGTTGAGTTCCCCTTTCAACATCCCTTCACATTCTCCCGCTCGCCTCCTCCCCGGTCTAGGATCACTAATGTACGTACTCTCGCTACACTATCCTACCAATCCATCGCATCCTATCCCATTCTCTCCATCGAGCCCCAAGAATCCCCTCAGGCGGTATACACGCCCTCCGAAGAAGAGAGAGAAGAGAAATAAAAATTAAAAGGGCTCCACAGCACACACGCACACACTATTCTCCTCGCTAAAAGAACAAAACCAGAGCTTATAACGCCACACAGACTTGAGGAACTCCTTGCTGATGCAATATTACCCTACTCGATCGCTTGGTACGAATTGAGGAACTCTTCTCTTCTCTCCTTGCTCTTGCTATTCTGACACGGGCCCTCCTCGAATACGGCGGCCTACGCGCAGCAGCCGGGCGAGGACGAATCAAGCCCGGACGCTCGCACGATCTAGATAACAATATGCCTGCCTCTTTTCTTCGCGCGTCTGTCTCGGACGTGCTATAGACAAACTATGCTGCCAAGAAATACTTCTTCCTCAGCTCATTCGTCACCGTTCTTCTCGACCCCGCTGTCTGCCCATCCTCCTGAAGAAATCCATGACCCTCTTCGAACTCCCGCTCGACCCTTTGTTCCCGCCGGATTCTTCATATGCGTCTGCGAACTTCCTTGACTTCTGCAGCACGCCCTTCCGATGCGACTCATGAGACTCGTGCGGCGCACGGTGACTTTGAACAGGCACGACGGGCTCGCTGGCTTCTGAGTCGTTCGTGTGATGGCGATACGGTCGGTTCTGCATCGATGGATGCGGTTCCTTAGGTCCAGGGAACTTTTCATCTCCAATCGGCGGCGCGTAATCGAACTGTGTCTGGTTCGCCGGTGCTGAGGAAGGTCCAGGCCGTATTCGCGAGCTACTCTCGTGCTGGCCGTCGTAAAAGCCCGGAACGTTGCTTCCCGTGGTGCTCTGACTAGGAGACCGGGATTCCGCTCCGCGTCCGAAGGCCATGCCAGGACGGGATCCGGCTCGTTGGCGGCTTGTAGCCGCCGAGCCCCGGCGATCCGAATGCGAAGTCGCCGGCATACTTTCTCTATGGCTCGAAGAGAACGTCTTCGAAAGCGACGAAGGCAAAAGCGAAAATCTTCTCGAAGACTTGCCTGAGTTGCCAGACTGATCTGTCGTCTTTCTCGAAAAGCCGAACGAGGTCCGTCGACTGGATTCGTTACTCTGTCGCCGACCGTCATCATTAGCAATGGGTCCAGGCATAGATGTGGGTGGGTAGGACTTCTGCGCCTTCTTCTCGTGCTGGTAGGTCGAGTTTTGGGAGGTCGACGATTCTTTGGGGTCTTGCGAATAGGACGGTTGACGGCTCGAGAACATCGACGTCACCCTGCCTAGGGTCTCACTAACCGTGTTCGAGCGCCTGTGGCCCTTCGTACCCTGCGACTCGGCTTGAATGGACTGCATGCGCTGTGTGCTCGGTTGCCCGATGCTCGGCTCGCCCATACCAGACTCAGCTTGAGCCATCGGTGCAGAGATATGATATTGCTTGCCCTTGGGTTGCGAGAAGCGCCCTTCGACATTCGTCTGAGCAACGGTCGCTGTAGAAGGCTGGCTGTAAGAATTTCCCCTGGACGGCAATCGTGGACCCAGCGTTCCACCAGTCGAAGGACGGTTGGTGGAGGTAGCAGGGATCGTGCCAAACGCTGTGTAATCGGAAACGGACCTCTGCGGTTCTCGCCCAGGCCTCGAAGGAGGCGCCATTGCATTGACAGCCGTAGGACGACCTGGTCGGGCATTGTACCCATCCGTGGGAGGGACCTCTGTCGGTCCTGGCTCCTTGACCCGTGACTTTGACGTCCCGGCAGTAGCCGTTGGAGGTGATGCCTCGCCGCGGACTGTCTGCGATTGAGGTGCCACGTATTCGACCTGAACGGTCCGGCGTTTATTGTCGCGGTCCTTCTTGGACTTTTCGGATTGCTGTTGGTTGATCTGCTCGCGTTTCTGTGTGAGTCCGCCGTGCACAGGAGACACTGCGGTATGCGCCTTTCCTGGCTCACGAACGGAGGCGCTTCGAGCAAGAGCGGGTGGGACGTCGAATGCATCTTCTTGTAAATCGGTTAACAAGAAGTCTAAGACAAAGATGGGTAAACACTTACGACTAAAGCCTGTAGACTTCTGGACATCGGCAGAGGTGGTAGTACTAGAAGTGATAAAGCTGACCACATGTGCGTAGTCACTGAGCCAGCTGTGCCGAGCGACCTCGAACAGATCCGCTCGTTTCCTGGGGTCGGGTACGAGTATGCGCTTCAGCAGGTCTCGTGCGTGTGGAGTGACGTATTCAGGGAAGGTGAGCGGAGTAGAGACGATGTACTTGTACAGGAGGTTGATGTTGTCGCCCTCGGGATTGGCTGGGTCATCGTCGAACGGTAGGTAGCCCGCCAGCATGGCGTACTGTCGAAAGTCAGAGTTAAATCAGGAATGGGCTCAAGGATGGGATCTTACCAAAATGACGCCGCAGCTCCACACGTCAACTTTTCGGCCAGTATACAGTGAATCGCTGACAACAAGCTCAGGAGCAGCATAACACGGGCTGCCGCAGCTAGTCTGCATGAGATCTCCGCGGCGGGTGCCCTCGGTAGCCTCTAGTCCCATAGCTTTCACAAAGTCTTTGTTGCCCAGATTGAACTCAATCTCCTCTCCCAGCTCGTCGGTCGGATTAAAAGTGTTTGCGAATCCGAAATCGGTAATGATGATGTTCCTGTTCCGATCAAGCAGTAGGTTCTCCAATTTGAGGTCGCGGTGAACAATGCCCTTCTTGTGTAGATAGCCCACACCGGAGATCAGCTGGGCGAACAGTCTCCGCGCCGCGCCGTCCTTCAGATATCTGTGGTTGAGGATGTAGTCAAACAGCTCGCCCCCTGACGCATACTCTAATATGATTCCAATGTGGCGCTCCGTCTCGACCATCTCGTGCAGTCTGACAATGTTGGGGTGTTCGAGACCTCGCAGGATCTGGATTTCGCGGTAGATCTTCGCCAGGCGGTTCTGGTTTCCGCCTAGAGTCTCCCTTCTTATGAGTTTGATAGCCACCTCAACCGAGCTGTCTTTTTTCCAGCCCATCTTCACTTTACCAAACTCGCCCTCGCCGAGTGTCTGTCCTAGGATGTAGTTGCCAAAGCGAGACCGTTTCGTGGAGCCTTCTGACCTGGAGTGGTCCTGCCGTCTCTGTGCGCCGCCGCGGCCGCCATCGTCGACGCCCTCGCTGCCAACGAGGCCGAGGCCCGTTATCGGTGTGATGTCCGCCCCGGATGCTGCGGGCACTGCTTCTGCCTGCCGCGCCTGTTCGCGGGCAATATCTTCCTGCGGGTCTGCTACTACGATCCTGTTGATCACGGTACTCTCTTCGCGGGGCAAGTTTGTGCCCGTCGGAGGCTGGCCGACGGCGGATGCGGAACGGCTGTGGGAGGGCTGTCCGGGAGAGTGCTTTGACCTGCTGGCGCTGCCCTGGTGACGCGGGCTGTCCTTTCCTTTTCTGCGGGACTGGGCTGCGTTCGCAGCAGCATTGGCGCTATCTTGCGGTGCCCGCGGGGTCGCCGGGCTGTTGTTTCCTGCTGTAGCGGTGGAGGGCTGGTTGCGGTGCGAAGACGTGCGCGGGGGAGGCATAGGAGCGCTGGTGGTCGCGATGGCAGCAGGGGCCATCGCTGGGGATGACTGCGTCGACGGGGGGAGAGGCTGCGCGCGGGGAGTGTTCAGGGTCGAGTTGCCAGATGCGGCTGGGGAATGGTGAGTGTGCGGAGTGGTTGGCGTGTTGGGCGACGCGCCATTGCTGGGACGGCGTGCGGGCTTGCGCGAGGAGCTGGGTGAGGCTGCCGCGGGCGATTGCTGTTGATAGTACTGCTGTGCATGCGGCGACTGGGACTGCGGGTATGCTCGGTTCGATATCGCTGGGCCGCTCTGCTGCACGGCGGCCGACGACATCCTCTATCCTCTGCGCTCGCGGAGGACGGGCGGTGGTGTGGGAGCGCCTGCAGTCACACAGGCGGGCGAGCCGGACTTGCGCAGGGCAGTTCTCTCAGGCACGGCGGGTGGGTCGTCGCGGGGAGGTGAGGTGCTCGCTACCGCAGGACAGACGCATCCAGGCGCGGCGCGAGGTCGAAGGGCTGGCGGGGTGCTCAGCGGCGAGCTGGGGCGATGATGCAATTGCGACGGAGCGGCGACAGCTGGATGACGATGGGCGCGGTGGTGGTGGTGGTTGCCCTGGTGAGCCCTTCACATGCGCGCTGCGGCGGCGGATGATAGCGAGCGTGCCGGGCTTCAGGCGGCGGCGGTGTGCTGTCTGACCTGCTCTGGGGCGGCCGCCTAGCTCAACGGTTGCCGTCGACTCGAAGGTCGCGCGGACGGTGGATTGGACTGGCCTGGAGGTCTTGACGTGAGTGGAGAGGGAGCACCGAGGGCAGGAGCGGCTGAGGTGCCTTCCTAGCGAGATTGTGGCAGCAAAAGGGGAAACACAGGTCGGCATTACAGACGCTCGAGGCACAACAACGCGCACAGGAGATAATAATGCTCGCTCGCCGCGCTGCAGCCGGGCCCTCCCAGCAGTCTCGAGCGATTGCGCACTTGCAAACCGCGTCCTTGGGCGCCGGGACGACAGCGCTGGGCGGCTGCTGCTGCTGCTTCTCGTCGCAGGGCAGCCACTGCGCGCGGCGGCACCATCTGCACACCTCTCCCCTTTGGGACCGGCAGGGGTGCCGGCGTAGCTGTTTCAAAACCATGCACCGCGCAAATTGCCCTTTATGCCATGCGCCGCGCCGCCGCACACAAAGCGTTGCCGTCTCGACATCATCCATCGTGTCTCGAGCATCGCGACCGCCCCATATCTGTCCTTCGGCGACGCCAGGAGCAGCGCGAAGCCTTTCCGCCATGCCAATACGTACCAATCACATCCCCGCTGGACCGATGCCCTCGTGGGCTGGCAGGTAGAAAGACCACCTCAACCGCACCGTCTTGCAGGGCTCGAGCTGAAGCACTGCCAACAACCGCCCCCTATTCACGCTTGGTCGAAAAGCAGGACGCGTTCTCATGGCCACCATCAACAACAACAACAAAACCTCGTCGCCAACTGTCTCTTCCTCGGGAGCCCAGAGCCCAATCAACACGCCCTTTCCCTGCCCTTTCCTCCCTTGGATCCCTATCGCGAGAACATCAACAACGCGCTCGCGCTGGAGCAACGGCTCGCCGTCTGCAAGGGACACACTAGAGCTTACGGCTACATTTCCGAGCCCGCTCGCCAAACCCACCAATCAGCGTCTGCGTCGGAATGACTCGCAGCGCATTTGCTGCAGAGCATTCCGAGCGGCCCTTTTGCGGCAGGACGGGATACGCTGGCTTGTGTCGGGACCTCGTGAACTTGGACGTGAAGCTAGGCAAAATTCTACAATTTTCTTTTTTAGGCCATCGGCGCTGCCGCTGGGCGAACGCTTTGTCAGAAATTAATCGGGCGCTTGGGGCGGTAGACACCCTCGTCGCTGACCTGGTGCGACTCGGCTCTAATTGCTGCAAGACATGACTTGTGCTGGCGCCCGGGTGCACACTGGAGGCCTTTAGGCTCTGTTCTCTGCTCGCACATGGTGAGTTCAGGGAGGTCATGGATAGGCAGACATCACATTCCCTCTTTGACGTCATTCGGAAGAAGTGGTTCCTCTGGACAATGCCCCTTTCTACTCCAGACGGCATCCTTTTCTCCGGACCTGCTATCCTTTCCATTATCCACGCGTAAGACTCATATCCTCTCAGATCTTGATATCCGACGGCACGCCAACCTCCATGATATCCACGCCTTTTTGCAGCTCGCTCTTCTTGGGCATCTTGCCCCTCCTCATCAGCTCGGCGCTCTGCGTCATATAAGGATCCTTCATCATAGAAGCCACAGCAACCACCTCCTCGCCTTGAGTATAGTATGCGACAAACGACGGCTTCGACGTATCACCTGTGATGACTACGTCATCATAGCCTGTTGGGCATTATTAGCTTCAGTAGATTGATATGGCGGTGGAGCAAAACGTCTTACCACCCACAGTGTTGCCGCAGTACCGCAGCTGCGAACCTAGGGCTGACCAGAAGACGGGAATGAAGGGCTTGGGTTTCGAGCCCGGGTTGTTGATCGAGTGTGCGACCGAGCGGCCGGCGTTCTGTGCGACGTTCCAATGTTCGATTCTAATGGGCGATCCGTTACCCCCAGGGCCGTGGTATGGGTACCTGCTCGGTGTTAGCTCCCTTCGAGGAAAGCGCATCTCTCTTTGACTGACGTCGCAATGTCGCCAATTGCGAACACATCGGTCAAGCCCTTGACCTCGAATGACTCATTCGTGTTCAGCGAACCGTCCTTCGCCAGCTGTACGCTTGGGTTATCCTTCAGGTACTCTGTTGCAGGCGCAACACCGACGCCTTCGATGACGAGATCGGCTTCTAGCGCAGTACCGTCCTTGAGATGCACAGCTCCCACTTTAGATGAGTCGCTCTTTGAAGGTGTGGCCTTGTCGACGCTGGCACCCATCTTGAACTTCACACCGTTCTTCTCGAGCAATCCTTGGAAGATCTGTCCGACTTTGCTTCCCATAACACGCTCCATGGGAGCTAGAAAGAGGTCAGCATGGGCAAAACGACCAAGTAAAAGAAGCAGGAAACCCTACCCGACTCCATGCCAATAATGGTTACATCATTCTTCATGCTCGCCAAGCAGTTGCCGACCTCCATACCAATGAAAGAGCTCCCAATGACGACAATCTTCTTCCCGTTATCACCGACAGCCTTGAGGATATTCTGTACGTCTGGAATGGATCGTAGCGTGAATACGTTGCCCAGGTCTCCTTTCAAACCTTCCAGCGGCAGCCATCTCGGGGTTCCGCCCGTCGCCAGGACCAATTGGGTGTAGTCGTACGTCTTGCCGGACTTTGTCGATACGTTCTTGCCCGCGAAGTCAACGCTCTTCACTTCGTCGTCGATAATGTCAATCGAAGCATCCTTGTAGAACTCTGGCTGTCGCCACGCGAGCTTCGATAGGTCAGCTAACAGGGCCTTGGACAGCTTCGTGCGGTCGATCGGTCGGTATCCTTCTTTTGAGAGCACGGTTATGTGTCCCTTGTATCCTCCACCGCGAAGTCCCTCGATTGCGCCGAACGTTCCGGAGCCACTAAACGATCCCATCAGCAATTGGCTACAACTGAGGAGAGAAAAGCCAGCTTACCCGCCAATAACGAGAACGCTCTCGTTGCTCAGGGTCGAAGCCGAACACTTGATGTTCAACGGTCGCCTGTTCATCCTCAGGGTGTCCTCATCGGTCTTGACGTAGACGGCGCCGTTCTTCTCGAATACCTCGTACTTGGTGAGCGGATCAGGCGCCGGTGCGTCTTCGACATCTCCGGTGGAGACATTGAAACAAGCTGGTTCAGATTAGCTCAAGTAACATCAATGGAAGCATGGAATACTCACCGCCGTGCCATGGGCAAGTCAATCGTCCATCCGGGGTAAGAACGCCCATCTTCAGAGGCGCTCCATAGTGAGTGCAGTTTGCTGACATGGCATGAACCTTGTCCTGGACCTTGCACAAGAGCACCTTTCCGCCCTCTACGCCCTCAACTTCGACCTCCTGCTTCTCGCCATTCTTCATGTTCAGGGATGAGACTCCCTTGAGCTTGAATTCTTGCGCCATGGCTCTGATGGTTGTAGTGAATGCTGCCCTTTGTAAGTTTGGATGGACGCGGGTATGGAGCTTGAATGAGCTTCGCAGTGGCGCGAAAAGGCGTAGTGACTGCATGAAACAACGCACAGGAGATGGAGCGAGAGTATATGAGCTGTACAGCGTCGGCGAATGCACGGAAGCAACCCCGCTGCTTACGCTGCGCGTTTTAGGCGTGCTCCAATTTGGTGCGACGCGCATATCATGGCGACGTCACCACTCTAATCGATAACGGGGCGTCGGCAATTGGCTCGCTTCACGGGCCGTCCGAAAGCCCTTGCCGTTGCCGATAACTCCGCAGTTGCAGCCATCATCACCGTCTAGTGAGCTACAATCACAGCGTGCTGCATTGTCATTGAAGCACTCTTCGGTCATCCCGAATATCCTCTACCCTTTGCATGGCATTGCGCTTCACGATGGCGCGTCAGTCAGACCTGCAAATTCCAGCAACCATGTGCCACTGACCGCCGCAGACACCACCTTTCCCTCCGACCTGCCCGTTCCCCCAGATGATGGCGCCTGCGCGCATCTGCCCGGGTCGCAACTGCCCTCGATTCTGCTTCCTGCCACTTCGGGCGAGCGAGTTGATCTATCAACACTGAGGGGCCTCACGATCCTATTCTGCTACCCGCGCACCGGTGCTCCGAACGAAACTACACCCGCTGAATGGAACGCGATACCCGGCGCGCGCGGCTGCACTCCACAATCTTGCGGTTTCCGGGATGAGATGGCAAAGCTACGCCAGCTGGGTGTCGCCCATCTCTTTGGCCTGTCCACACAAGACACGCCGTATCAGCAGGAGGCTAAGGAGCGGCTACATCTACCATACGATCTGCTATCGGACGAGAAGCTGGAGTTTACCAAGGCTCTCAAGCTGCCAACGTTTGACTGGAAGAGCAGTAGTCTCGTGAAGAGACTCGCGCTGGCCGTCGTGGACGGCAAGATAACCAGGGTTTGGTATCCTGTCTTTCCGCCGGACAGGAATGCGGAAGACGTTGTAGCGTGGCTGGAGTCGAGATAGTGAGGGTTGTTGAAATTCACGCCACACTGGGCGTGCTGCTTCTAGACGTCTAAGATTAACTCAGCGGCTTCCAATTCTCGTCATCATTGCCTCCAAAGGGGAGGCTTCTATGCAAGCCACAGAAACTTGGAGGTCCGCACGATACCCGTCAACGCCACGGCCGCTACTCGCGCGCGTGACTACCCTGCTGTGTCCAGACGGTCGTCCTCATCAAGACTGTCGAGCAGAAGGATTTCCGAGCGGAGCGCCGGCCGTCGTATCGACGCTTAACAGCACTCCAACTACCAAGCGCGGGGCAGATACCTGTTTCGCACACCACGGCAAGACTTCGAGCGCTGATGACTGGACGGCCCTCAGCAACGCGACAGCCGTCACCCCCGAGCGCGAGGCAGGCATGCCTGCGGACGACCCTACGACAGCAACCATAACCAATAGCCTCCCCCCTTACCTGACCTTTATGCCCTTCATTGCACCCTCGCAAGGCTTGGCTCCGCTTGGGGCGTGGATAGATAGCGATGAAACGAGCGGTATATAAAGATGTAGGAGTGTCAGCGCGAAGTCGGAGCGGTACGTTGGTTTGGCCAAAAGTCTGTTCGTGTGGAATGGGCATCGCCAGCTCGGACCTGGGTGCCAAGAACTCTGCATACGCTTAGTTCCGGGACGACCTTTTCCCGCACCGGACTCCAACAACCCTCAGCTTTGACTCACGCCCCGCCCTCGACGTCCGAAACCACTACCTCAACTCGATGAACCCGTTTCCACAAGCATGACCGAAGAATTGCCCGACCGTGGTACTGTCCTTCCAGTACCTGGAAAACGGAACATACTTGTCACTAGCGCCCTCCCATACGTGAATAACGTACCCCACCTTGGAAACATAATAGGCTCCGTGCTTTCAGGGGATGCTTTTGCGAGATACTGCAGAGGCCGTGGTCTGAACACTCTTTACATTGGTGGCAAGTATTCAGCATAGCTCCCATGATATTATGGAACAGGAGTCCTAATTCTTCATCTTTGCAGGGACGGACGAGTACGGAACAACAACAGAGGCAAAAGCACTCGTAGAGAAATGCACACCGCAAGAGCTCTGCGACAAGTATCACGCCATTCATTCCGAGATATATAAATGGTTCAACATCAGTTTCGACATCTTTGGCCGCACCACAACCCAGCTTCAGACAGACATCACCCAGGATATTTTCCTGAAACTAGACAAGAATGGCTTTTTGAAAGAACGGGTGACAACTCAGCTCTACTGCCAAGAGCATCACTCGTTCCTTGCAGATCGCTTCGTGGAAGGCGAGTGCCCTGCCTGCGGCTATCAGGATGCGCGTGGCGACCAATGCGACCTTTGCGGCCAACTTCTGGAACCTCTTGAACTCAAAAACCCTCGATGCAAAGTCGACGGTTCCACACCGATGACCAAGGATACAAAACATATTTTCTTGGAGTTGGACAAGCTACAACCCGAAATTGCAACGTTCTTTCAACAATCCGCCGAAAACGGCACGTGGACAAACAATGGCAAGCACATTACTTCGGCCTGGTTGAAGGAAGGATTGCAACCCCGCAGCATAACCAGGGATATGAGGTGGGGAACAGAAGTTCCTCTGCCAGGCTACCAGGACAAGGTCATATATTCATGGTTTGACGCTTGTATCGGGTATGTGTCCATTACAGCCCAGTACACTGATCAGTGGGAGAAGTGGTGGCGAAGCCCCCAGGATGTTCAACTGCATCAGTTTATTGGGAAAGACAACGTCGTCTATCATTCCGTGATTTTCCCTGGTTCTCAGATCGGCACTGGAGAAACCTGGACAAAGCTGCACCACCTATCTACAACAGATTACCTCACATACGAGGGTGGAAAATTTTCCAAATCACGTGGTATTGGCGTCTTTGGGGATTCAGCCCAAAAGACTGGCATCCCTTCTGACGTATGGCGCTACCACCTGCTCTCCCATCGACCAGAGACTGGTGATAGTGAGTTTACTTGGGATTCTTTCATCAGCTCTAACAACAACCTGCTCCTCAAAAACATCGGCAATTTCGTCAACCGTGTTCTGAAATTTGTCAACTCGCAGCACTGCAACAATGTTGTGCCAGACTGGACCGGTTACAATGAGGCTGAGTTCGATACTTGGAAACGGGAAATCAACGAGCTTCTCACGCAGTACATTCGTGAACTCGACGCCGTCAAACTTCGCTCTGGCTTGTCCACGGTCCTCCACATATCTCAGCAGGGCAACGCCTTTCTTCAATCGAATAAGCTTGACAATAGTCTTGCTTTGAATGAACCTCCGAAATGCGCCACCGTTGTTGGTCTAGCCATCAACTTGATTCATCTCCTTGCCTCCATCATAGCTCCGTACATGCCCGAAACAGCAAACTCCATAAATAGGCAACTCCGCATGGATCCACTTCCGATCCTCGACCATTGGGACGCAGATTCCGTCAAGCCCGGGCATGAGATCGGGAAGGCTGAATACTTGTTCAGCCGCATCAAGCCTGAGAAAGCAGAAGAATGGCGAAAACGTTTTGGAAGCGAAGAGGCTAAGAAGATTAAAGAGGAAGAAGTTGCGATGAAGGCGAGGAAAAGCGCAGCCATGAGAGCGGGGAAGATGCCGAAAGAACCAAAAGGATGAAGCTACACTGGCCATTCTCATCGACAAAATCGAGCAGGGTCCCCAACCCCCAATGGAATATGGGCATTATCGAGTAATTTCGATCTCCACTGCTAGATTCAAATCATCATGATATTGTAATTCAATCAAGTAGAGGGCCAGAAATTGGTGGTAGGAGCAGCCCAGAGCGCACCAGAGGAATTCACAAGCGCAAGCAAGGTGCATGTGGAAGCATTTAGGATTCAAATTCAAAAGTGGACGATGAATGGGACCCAAGGAGTGAAGAGTCTAACGTCAACAGAAACCCCAGCACCTCCATGTGTCTCTCTCTCCTCTAGTAACCTTGGGATGCTCAGACGCTGCCTCATCGAGGGCTGTGAGGCCGCAACTACAGTTATGACAATGATAACCTTGAAGGCTGTTAGCTTGATCATGAGAGTCCCCGTGCCAGGTACATACTAGCGCGGTTCGAGGGTTCCACCGCAAGAAAGGCATTTGGCCGTGTCGTGTTCGTCCAGCCAATTGCAGTCGTTGCAAACCGAGTAGCGCTGATCGACGGGTTGCTTAACTTAGGCGAGAGCCATGGTGTGATGGATAGGGGTGGGTAATTTGGAAAGGGCAAAAGTAATCGAAGATTGGTCATGCTAGAAATATTGAGATGCTGCAACTAGAGGGGATGCTGGCTATTGAAGCACCTTGGAACGAACGCGCCCCTCCTTTATACTTCAAGCCCTCAACTCTACGTGGGCGAATGATCAAAATAGGAAGCTGGAGAGGGCTACAGCGCATGTGTGCGGCGTTGCCGCAATATGGTTGGTCTATGTCGACGTATAAGGCTCTATCACAGCACTTGCAATCACTCTCATGCGTGCACCCGCGCCTAGAGATCACATTTCTATAGATGCAAACCATAGAATAAGAGGAAGCTGGTGGACAGTGCGACGCGGCTGTGGCGTGGTTGCAATGTGACACGACTTGATCGAGTAAAGTCGGTATGCAATATCTTTACCCATTTTTCATGGCCATCTATCTTGCTTTAGTCTATTGTAACTGGCACGGAGTCCAAACCTGAGAAGGGGCGGGACGAGCCAGCGCATCGAAGATGATCACCCCATGTCAGAACACCAACTGGAGGCGATCTTCAAATGGGGCGATAGAACTCAATCTGTTCGAACGCGAACTACTTGGACGCTTCAATAGCTGAAGCCACCCATGTGTGTTGTAGGCTCTCGGCGCATCTTGGCTTTGTTTGTTCCTACGCTGATAACATCAAGAGTCCTATCGGGAGACGAGGCATGATTGTATCAAGTATCGCCAGCTGAGTCCTTCATTCGATCACGCTACCGCATGCTTATATCTCCTTCGCATTCTCTGATCTATTCATTCAGTCAAGCCTCGATTGTTTGAAATTTGCGTAATCTTCTGCGGGCGTGGCATCTTGTCCCTACATTTGGATTGGCCAAACACCCTTCAGCCACCACAGCTCCTCACGCGCCTCAGCTTCAGCTGCCAATGCACGAGAACTTCAGCCTTTCCGGCCCCTCACTCAAAATGCCTTATCTTGCCGCCTCTCAGCCTCACATCTCCGCATCTCACCGTCGCGGAAGGATGCGCGTCGCTAGGTTTCGTTTCGTCCAGGAAAGCAAACGCGCTCGACGAAGGGTACCAATATTCCGGTGTTGACGTGGTCGGACTTTCGGCTGCGACGAGGCTGTAAGTAACGTCGTCCCAAAGCCTCACAAGTACTGACTTTGGCCGGGCAGTCGAGCCGTTGTAGCCATAGCCTTCACAATTCATCCCGCTTGCGTATCGCGATAATGTCTATCACCATTCCACCACCCTTCCATCTCCGTCAGGCCACCGCAGCTCCAAGCGCAAGCACGTCGTTTGCGGCATGTACTTGGGCAGGGCACTGTCTAGGAGACTCATGCGCGAGTAACGACGACTGCGACAACGATTGGATCTGTGTGAATAGGGTGTGTAGTCCCTGCTGCGAAACTCAGAGCACAACCACTTCCACTAGCGCCGCTACCTCGCAAGGCAAATCGGATAAGGGTTTGGACACAGCGGCCGCCATTGGCATAGGCGTCGGCATTGTCGCATTCCTGATACTATGTGTGGCTGCTGGGTTCTGGATCTGGCTTAGGCGAAGGAAGAGAAGTGCAGCGAATGAGGCAGCAAATGCACATGGCCCCGGATCTAATCCGTACGGTACGGGCAGCTTCCCAACGGACAGTGATCGAAAGAGACTATTTGAGACGACTGGTTCGTCTAGGGCGGAGCTGCCGTGTTCAAGCCAGCCTGCGGAATTGTCGACCGTGGAATTAGTAGAGCTTGACGCCAGCTCGCGCCCGCACACGCAGAAGTATCCCGTCCCACCTCCGGACCAAGTCGCGACACCAACGGCTCCCAGATATCGTTTTGAGGAATACGTACCTGCAGGCAACCATGTGCCGGGGCAGTGGACGTACGCGCCTGTCATAGATGACACTCAGTCATACACATCGCCACGGTCAACGACTTTCACAGCCGCTCCTCAACAGCAGGCCTGGGATACAGCTCCAGCACGACTACAACATGCAAGTCCAGCTTCCAGCCAGACATCCAGTTTCCGATCCCGTCAGATGTATGCGGCTAATCCCACGGACCCCTCCATCTCATCCAGGTCGACGACACTTGTTCCCAGCTCTGCAAGCCCAGCGCCGACAGGATCGTCCTTGGGCCCGCCCAAGGCAGGACCACCTCGTCACCATCCCAGCGATCGATCACATCTGTCATACCGAGGGCGAGGTGGCTTGGAAGATGATACCGGCTTTGTAGCTGGTGACGATCCAAACGAGCCCTACACGCTGTTTCGCTGGCCTAGCGCTTCGCCGAGTACTTCCCGTTATTCGCCGCGTTGAAGCTTCCTTCCAGACCTGGTTCCTCAGCCGGCTGTGCGGTGCTCTTCCCGAGAATCATTCCAGTATCCGGTTCTCGGGATGCAGCAGTACAGAAAGCAAGACGATCAAGCCACCGAACGGAGGTGGGAGCGAACTGCCTTTGATGGAAGATGCTCGTTCCGACTCCCAGCCAATGAGAGAGCGACCGGACAGAACGATCCCGCAGTGGAGTCTACCCACGCTTCTGAACGCGGGTCGGAAGGTTTTAAGCTTAGGGCGTATGATTTTGGTGGGGACTCATGAGAGCTAACTACTGAAAGTCGAGGCACCCGCCGCCCTCTCGTCCCGACTTCCCGCCAATCACCGACCTCACCCCCCGAGTTCTCTACCCCGCGGTCTTGTGGAGCTCGTGTGGAGCTCGTGTGGAGCTCGTGTGGAGCTCGTGTGGAGCTCGTGTGGAAGTCTTGAGAGCGGGACGGAAAGACTTAAAAACAGAGTGGCTTTTTTCCGACTACTAAGCTATGTACTAGTGGCGCGCTGGACACGCTCTGCGCATGACGGGAGATTGGTCGGAAAGTTCGCAAAATCGAGCGAAAGTTTTCATGAAGAAGTTTTGAATATACTCTATCTTTACTCTTCTTCTGATACGAAGATTGCAATCGTCCAAGAATGCTTTGTCTGGGTCGTTCAATGAACCGCAATCTGAAGATTAGAGAGACATTTGTCTGTATAAATCAAAGTCCTTCCGTGGTCGGATGGCTCAAGCTACCGCCAAGCCGGGTATGGTGGGAGCGCGTCGGGTTGGCGTTGTGGGGAAAGAACGCCGCCAGTAAGCCACATGCAGTCCCCGCCTCGTACATTTCGTCATGGGCGTTGGAACGTTGTGCGGCGTTCCTCTGCATGTACGCCCGACGAAGAGTGCCTGCTCCGGGTATCACTACCGTATTTCCCCACTTAATGCACAGACTCTACTTAACGCACAGTTTAAGAATAGCTACTACTACCACTTTTAAAGCTATATAGCTCTATATAGATCTAATTATTATAAGATTTTTTAAAAAAGTATTCTTAAAAACTTATTTAATATACTTTACTAGTAAACTACTTAATATACTTTACTAGTAAACTACTTAACGTACTTTATAAGTAAGCTAGCTATATAAGTAAGTTAGCTACTTTTACTAAGTCTCTACTAAAAAGCCGCTATCTTAGTTAGATTACTCTAACTCTAAGCTACTTAAGATAAATCTAGATAAGCTATCTAACTTATCTATATTATCTTTAACTATCTAGTACGTTTATATATTATACTCTAGCTTACTATAGTATCTATAGCGTTACTAAGCTAGCTAGCTATTATAAGAGCTAGCTTTATAGTCTCTACTACTATAAGTATTCTAGAACACCTAGCTAGGTAAGTTAGCTACAGGTAGCGCTATCTCTATAAGCTATAAGAATAAGAGGTGCTAGTAGAGTAGATTAGGTTAAATTTAGCTATCTAAAGGTAAGAAGTAGAGAAAAGGCTCTAAGAGACTCTATATATAGAAGTACTAAGCGCTAAAACGCTAGGCTAGGTTATATAATAAGGTTATATAACTTAAGATTATATAACCTAAGGTAAATCTCTAAACTAGACTATTATATTACTCTCTCTTATAAAAAGAGCTTGTCTCTAAGCTCTAAAATACGCCTTCTAGGTCTCTCTTCTTCTAAAACTCTTACGTTATACTCTTAACTATCTCTTTTAGCTTATAGTAAGTATATTTATATTAGTTTTAAACTAGAAGCGCTTTTATAGCTACTACCTTCTCTCTAGTTACTCTATTCTTATAGAGATTTAAACTAGAAGACTTATTTTCGCGTTAGTAGAGTAGCTTTATTATAGACTCTTTTCTTAAATAATACTATAAGCTTAGTAAGATCTTAAATTACTTAGTAGCGTCTTTACGTTACTCTTATATCTTCTACTCTTATAGGTTTTAAATTCTCTACTATCTTCTCTAGAGTCTTCTCTTTTTTATACGCCTTAATCTAAGTATCTAATTATAATAGTAGCTCTAGCTTATTTAGATATACTATATAAAAGTCTTTTACCTTATAGAGAGTATTAATAAAGCCTATAGTATTATACTAGATAGAGTTAGAATTATAAGTAACCTATATAGCGTAGTATTAAAGATAATTTTAATAAAGATAGCTATCTAGAATTTTATATATAGACTATTCTAGATTACTATTAACTTTAATAGATAGCTACTTAGGCTCTACCTACTCTAGTAATAGCTCTAAGGCTTTTCTTAGCTAATTAGTATAAAAGATATTATGTATACGTATATACGTAGATAGCTAGAGCTAAAAGAAGTAACTCTTTATAGTAATAATTAGGTAAAAGCTATATATCTATTAATTAAGCTTTATACTAGACTAATCTATTAAAAAGCTATAAGGTTTAATATAGACAAGGTTATCTATAATAAAATTAGGTTTTTAGTACTTTTTATTTACTTAGAGTATCTACCTAGCTTACGCTTTTATAATATTACTTTATATAATTTTAGTAGCTTTTTTTATAGCGTTATATTACTTTTTAGTAAAATTCTAAGCTTTCTAGTATAAGAGATACTTATATAGAATAGAGATTTTTATTATATACTTCTTCTAATTCTAGTAGTATATTAGCTAGTATCTAAATTTAATTTTATATACTATTAATTCTATAGTTTTATATAGTAATATAGCTTATACCTAGTCTATATAGAGTAGAAGATCTAACTAATTATTCTAGTAGTAGTTAATAAATAAACATAGACGCTAATTAAAATATTAATTAATAATCTCTATATTTCTATTAGTTTACAAGTAGTACATAGTAGAGAGCTTCTACTTAATTTCTATAAGCTAGTAGAGCTTATCTATAAAGGTAGAGGTAAACTATAGACTATAATCTAATATAATAAATCTAGAAAAACTATATATACGCTAGATATATTAATAATATAGCTTTATAGTATATTAAGCTATAATTTTCTTATAGTAGAGTAGAGAAAAGCTCTACTTACTTAGCTAATCTATAATAACGTATACGTAATTAAATTCTTTCTTATTAGAGAGAAAGCTCTTAAAATCTATAGAGACGTTCTACTATACTCTCTTAGAGATAGGTAGAAGCTTTAGAAGATCTAGTATCTTATTATATAGAATATAGCTCTACTAGTAAGCTTTATATACTACTATATATATATTAAAGTCTTCTTATATACCTAGCTAGTAATATTAATCTTATAGTAACTAAGTAGTCTTCTAGCGTTCTAGATAGGTAGTTACCTAAGTAGTATATATAGCACGTATTAGATATACTTATAGGTAGTTAATAGTAGAAACTATTAATTAATTTTAATAGATTAATAAGCTAACTTCTATTTTCTAGGTAGAGCCTAATATAGTAGCTTTTTCTTAAGCTAGCTATAGAAATTTATCTAATTAATTAGTAGTAATAACCTAGTTAATTATAGTATAGAAATCTTCTATAGAAAGTACCTCTATAAAGGTATTAGTAGACGTAATTTCTATAACGTTGCTTACTAGCCTCTTAGTAGCTAGAGTAGCTAGCTTACCTAAAATTCGCTTAATAGTAGAAAGGCTAATTTATTTCTTACTTAGAAATACTCTTATATAAGTAGTATAATTCTTTTTCTTTTAGGTCTTAAGTTCTTTTTACTTTTATAATAACGCGTTAGCTACTATATTAGCTAATCTAGGTTAATAGATAAGCTTAAGGTTATAGTTAGTAATATTATTAGTCTAGTAAACCTACCTTATAGTAAGTTTCTACTTAGTTATAAAGTACTTAAGAGCTTAATAGTTAGTTAATACTATAAATAGTTCTAGATCTTATAGGCTAATTAGCTAGCTTCTTTATTTCTATATACTAAGAATAACTACTAGTATTTCTTTATTATAAATACTATAATTTATCTAGATAGTATTTATTATCTTACTAAAGAAAGCTATAGGTTACTAGATACTATTCTCTTAAAGCTATAAAAGAACTCTAGTAACTACGCTATCTAATACGTCTATCTTAACTCTTATTTATTAATAGAGAGAGTAGTAAGCTAGAATGTTATTAGCTAGTATAAGATTCTTAATATACTAAAATACTATAAGCTTAGCCTTACTAAAGACATACTATACTCTTTATTTTAGTAGCTTAGTAAGTAGGTAAATAATTCTACTATAATCTCTTAGAAAGGCTTAATAGAAATTATAGAAACCTAGAAATAATTAAAGACTCTTAAGAGTTCTTAGTATAGACTAATTCTAAATAATAGTAATCTTTTTAGAGTTCTTTTAGATTCTATTAGTACTTATAATTAATTCTAGAAACTTAGTACTCTTAATAGTAAATTCTAACTTCTTAATATCTACTTATAACCTAGCCTTATATAGTTAATTAAGTACCTTAGTAACGTAAGCCTTATATTCTAGAGAATTCTCTAAGTAAATAAGAATATTATTAATATATACTATATAGAAATTATCTAGTAACCTATATAATATCTTATTAATATATTACTAAAAGGTAGTAGAGCTATTATAAAGACTAAAGAGTAGAATATAATACTTATAATTACTATATTATATATAGAAAGAAGTTAGGTTCTCTACTAACTTATTAAGCTAGATTCTATAGAAAGTCTACTAAACGTCTAGCTTTATAAAAACCTTTACGTATAATAAGTAGATAAGTATTTTCTAGATAAGAGAGATAGAATAGACGTCTTTTTTTATAATAGTATTAAGCTTTTAGTAGTCTATATAGAACCTCTATTCTCTTTCTAGCTTTTTAGTAAATAGAACTAGTAACGCGTATAACGCGTTACTATAAATAATAAAGCTATAGTAGAGGTAGTTCTCTAGATAGTTATATATAAGCTATAGGTACTTAAGTAATATACTATAGAGAGAGCTATTAGTTAGTATATTTTCTACTATAAGCTTAATATTATAATCTACGTTTTCTTAATATAGTAGTAGTAAATTAGAATTCTTTTTAGAGAAATAAGCTATAGTTACGCTAGCGTATTCTAAAGATAGAAGCTTCTAAGTAATTAACTAGTAGAGCTTCTTTTTAGAATTAGTAGTAGAGGTTTTCTTCTTATTAGTAATAAGCTAATTAACCTTATAGATACTAAGATACCTAATTATAATATCTTTTTTACGCGTGTTAATTATAAAAATAGTAGCGCTAACTATATTAATATTAAGCCTAGCCTTTAGGTATATTTCTTATAAAATAGGTAGCTTTTTTAGCTTATAGAGTAACTTAGTAGA